CGCTATCATGAAGGGATTGTGCTACAGGCAGTCGCAAATTCAAGGCAGCACACACTTCCAGTGACCTAGACCTGGGCCGTCCAGGACATGGTGACAGATAGGCCCTATTGGTGGTGACCTGGTCGAACGAAATGTCACTGTCATCAGCGAACAACTTACTCTAGCCAATCGACGTAGCCATGGTGTATCGATGAACAAGAGCTGCAATAAAGATGCTTTATTTGATTATCGGTATCCGAAAAAATGCGACGTGTAGCTAGGTCTTGAACCAGAAAGTCGTTCAAGCACTTTGATCGATCAAGGAGCGAAGTCCTCTCTCATCCTTTTGGTGCGTTAATCTCGGTAGACTCCTGCACAGGAAGTAGTATCCAAGCAAAGACTTCGACAATACGCCTATCAGCGAAACTCAAGCGATGGAAACCATTTCTTGATCCCAGGACGATCTCTACACTGTGGGTCCCCACAACCACAATTCATTCCATTTTGGATGCTGCGATTCAAGGTTCCTTCACTGGGCCGAGCATCAGTAGCAGTGCCCAGACCCTTCGTAGAAGCACCCTCTGGAACCATTTTTAGGGCTTGATAAGGCTGTGAACCTGGATCATAATAAAGACCATCAATCTCACCAGTGAGACGATTCAGTGCGATATAGTAAAATCCAGATATGGTTAGACCCCACGATGTGCTGGTAATGGAATTTGTCCCACCAACAGTGACCCCTGGGCCTGATGTGGTTGTTAAGATAGTTCTTGTATTATCTGCCCGTGGTGAAGTGCTGGGTGACGAAGAAATGGGAGTGACAAAACAACGCTCTTTCCAGCGCATCAAGATCCACTCCCTACCCAGTTTCTCTTCGATCCATTTAGCGCTACCGAGACTGCGTGACATGATCTCATCATCCTCAGCCTCCTTGTTTGATTCTGGTTCCGTTTCAGCAGGTTCACGACTTTGAACTGGATTGGAAGTTGTAGTAGAGTGGCGCAAATCGGGAGCGAGGTCTTTGTTTTCGTTGTCGGCAGCAGCAGCTTTGCGAAAAGCATCCCACAAGCGACTATCCTGGTTATAAGCACTGCGACATTTACCACGTAAATTCTTGACCTTATTGATCTCTTCTCGGAAGGGGCCAAGGCGGGCCCAATAGCGTGCATCAACGTCTAAACCACCCACGTTGTAATTGCGACCTTCCAGTTCAGTTTCAAGTGGCTGCTGACGGAAATCAATGATTTCACCAGTGAAAAAAGAGGACATGCTAGTTTGAATGCCTGGCTGTTCAGGCACTGTCTCGTGGAAAGATGAGGATTTATCGGGGATATGACTTGCGGACATGGTGCCAGTCAAAGTCATTGACCTGTAGTCCACTGAATGAATTGTGACCTTGACGGGCCAGTGATCCGAGGTAGGGGGTTCTGGAAGTTGTGAGGAAACATGGCGAGAAGGATTTGAGCCGGACCAGAAAGCCCAGCGGCCATCTGTACTCTGACGGAGATCCGATAGCCAACGGTCAGGATCTGCGAGGCTGTCGGAGGCCAACAGACTAGGGTCATCCAGAAGAGAATCAGAGGTGAGACCCAAAAACTCTCGTCTGCGATTCAGAGTTCTGCGGAGAACGTCTCGTTGCCTCTCTCTACGAGCGCTGGATCCCGTGAATGAAACAGAGCGGAGAGGCTCCCGATCAGTGGATTGGAGCCCGTGCCAGACCATTCCCGGTTGCAGCCATGAGGAGTACTGGGGGATGGGAAGACTGTTGACATGCATGGGGAGATCACTGGGGAGATTGGCTTCTTCAGACTCGTAGAGAGAATCCAAGCCGAGATGCCGGGCCAGTTCGAGTCCTCCTTGAACACCAGTATGTCTGAGTTGAGAGAGATAACGAATGAGATTTCGGACACGGGCAAAGGCTTCGTCTCTCTGGCGTTCTCTGCGGGTGGTCAAGTTTGGGGGCATTTCATGATGACGTCGTTCCCGCTCACGTTCGCGTTCCCGTTGAGCGTACACGCGGGCATATTGAAGTCGTTGAGCATGATCTCGGTGGGGGCCTGTAGAAGAAGAGAAAGTGAGAGGAGGCAGCCAGGGTCTCGTGGTCCCGTCAGAGTCGACGGGTTCCTCATGCCAGTAGGCTCGCAGAGCGCTAGCAGTTGGGACAGGAGGATAGTCGGAGGAACGGCCAGCCCTCAAGGCAGTGCGAGCTGTGCGGTAGTCTTGGAGGGCTCTCTCAAGACGCAGCAGATCTCTTCGAGCGGCAGGATCGACGTTGGCCGCAGCAGTACTGGACCTGTCCAGTTCGTCGTCACTCTCATCAGATAGATGATTGTTTGAGGGGAGTTGTTCGTCCATCAAGAAGGGGTGTTCAAAGTGATCTATGGAGGGGATTTCAGGCAAGGCATGACTGGCAGGCGGTTGTCGAGGGGTGAGATTGAGAGTGGATGCCAGATCAGGGACGGGAGTGGAGATGGCTGCTTCGAGTTGGGACAGATAAGAGGGGGAGGAGGGAGACGAGGGATTGATAGGAGGGGTGGATGGACGAGTATCCTGGAATCTAGTCAGCAGGAGATGGAGTGCCACCCAGCAGACGTGGTGATCTGCTTACAGATGGAGAGTTTGCGGGCGGCATGGGCTGAAGTGTTCAAGGGAGCTGGTAGTGAAGCGGCGGCATGGCGAGAAGAGTGGAAAAAGTTGAAGAGATATGAAGTGAAGTATGAGGTCTGAGGCGTGAGGTGCGCGATGGGAGTCACTAGATCAGGCTATCGCAGACCGAGTCAGTACGGAGGAAGTTATATGGCTCGAAGGATGGGGTTGTAGTACATAGGGTACCAAGTAGTGCAATGGTACAGGAAGTACACAGGTACGAGACACAGGAACTTGTCACTTTGTATCTTTCGATGGAATGACGTCTTATCGACTTGCATGTTCCTCGGCATTCGTCTGCGAGGGTCGAGGGTCGAGGGTCGAGGGTCGAGGATTCCTCGTACCAACAGGTAGTTGCCTGCCGCCTATAACCACCTGGAAGCAGAAGAGGAGGAGCTCTGCAACGACAAGTGCAGCCGCAGCCGCAGCCGCAGCTGCAACCGTGCGCGCACCTACACTCGTGTAAAATACGGAATATCTAATACAACGTGGGACATGCTGCGAGGTACTGCGTGGTACCGTATCTCATACGGCATGACTAATGGAAATTCTCACGTGCAGCCGATGCCCAATTTAGCTAGTGTCTTCCAGAGGTGTCACGTGCTTATCTCCTCACGGACGGGCTAGTCTCTTTTCATAATCGCGTCTCTTTCTGCCCGCGCGTCAGATCGTGAAGACAGGCGCGCGCTCGATCCCTCGACAACCCAATTTCCATCTACCACTACACCTGCGTCTGCGTCTCATTTCATCTTGATGTGAATTTTCCATCAACGATCGGGTTGCTTAACTGAACATCCTGAATCCTGCCATTGCAGGTGAACTCCGTTACCGACATAATCATGCATTTCTCTTTGCGCCATCATTGTGGCTCTTGATTCCTTCGCCTAATTCAGTCTTCGCTCTACCGACTCCCCTCAATTCACAATGTCACCTCTCGACAATTTACTGAATCCTGTTCCTCCGACTGCTTCTCCTTCTGGTGCCGCTCCTACAATTACTGCCACCACTGCCCCTCCCCCAGCGTAAGCCTCCCTGCCTTCCTCCTCCTTTATATCTGACAGTATTCTACACAGTATGAACCTTTCAGCATCTGCTCCCTCCGCCTTTGCGCCCGAACTCTTCCAGGCCGACAACAGTGCGCCAATTGCGCAAGATGCCCTCGCTGCCATCGCGCAGTCTGCTGCGACTGCCTTGGAACAAACCGCGAATAATGACGTCGATCTGAACATGACCGATTCCACCCAGGTCAAGCAAGAGAATGTCGACAGCAATTATCCTCCGCTCGACGATGAACCCCCTTCTACCAACTCTCCAGCGTCCTCTACAAAGCCCTCTAGTTCTAAACCGCGCCCAAAGCATTCAACCAAACCTAAACAAGATCCTAACGCGGCCCCAAAGTCTTCTGTTCATTCCTCTAAAAATGAAGGTCAACATACCGACCGACGATACCTTTGTTATTTATGTAACAAGTTGTTCACCCGTCGACGATCTGTACGCGATCACATATCCAAAATTCACAATACAAAGACCTGGGAACCTGTGCGCAGTCTTGAAATTGTCGTCGATCCCATTACAGGTGAACCAAGCGAGCCCCTTGAGGACATCATCGCCAGAGGGCCTCCTGCTACACCCCCAAAGCCGTCAAAACCAGATCGACCTGAACACCCCCTCAAACCCGATCATAGTGACAAAGACCAGGAAAGTCACGGCCCCCAACAGGCACATTATGAGGCCCAGCCTCCAGCACAAGCTCAACATCCACCTGTCGAAGATCCACCATCCATTCTACCCACGTCTCCTCCACCTGCACCCGCTATTTCCACTTTGAAGAAGGAGCCCTCCGTTACCGGATCACGCGCTCCGTCCATGGAACCCTTCGCTAGCCCAGCTCCTGTGGCTGGTAAGAAGCGTCCCGCTCCGATCGAGTCCTCCAAATCCTCCCCAGCCGCCTTCAAAAAGAAAGGTGTCGCCAAATCAAAACCCTCCCCTGCGTCGAACAAAAGAGCAAAATTAAATGATTCAGAGCCTAGTCCATCCTACGTAAGATCAAACCCCCGGTCTCCTAGTGTCACTCCTTCGACACAACTCAAACATTTGCCGAGTTCAAAGCTCAGAAAACAAAATTCTGCTACCAGCCCGAGACCTTCTGCAACTCCAGTCTCCTCACGAGCCGCCTCTGTTGCCTCCCAGTCCCGTTCCCGCTCAAGCTCTGTTGCAGAAACTTCTGGTAGCTCAAACGATGACGGTGAGATCTTTTGCATCTGCCGGAAAGGCGATAATCACACATGGATGATCGCTTGTGATGGTGGGTGTGAAGAATGGTTTCATGGGAACTGTGTCAACATCAGAGAACGTGATGGTGAGTTAATCGATAAGTACATTTGTCCCACCTGCATGAAACCGGGCCTTCACACCACTTGGAAACGAATGTGCCGAAGGAAAGACTGCCGCAAACCTGCACGCGTCATGCAAGATCCTCCTAGCAAGTATTGTTCCGATGTTTGTGGAAGGATGTTCTTTGTTGAGCTAGTTCAAAGGGGTGACCCTGCGGCTCAATCAAGCAGAGATGGCCAGCACATTATGGAAGCCAACAAGTCCAAAAAGTTGCGAAAGAAGGCGATCAAAATGGAAGCTCGTCACACAATCCCCAAGCCTATTAATCCACTGGCCAATGGCGATCTGGCAGAAGTACTGAATGATAACAGCCGCCTTGCCACTCCAGCGTATAGCGAGGATGAGAAGACCGACTATGAAACAGACAGCAGCTTAGACGACGATGAGCTTCCCAACCGGGCAGGTGCTCTACGGGCCGCTGAAGTCAAGGCGTTGATTGAAAAATGCAAAACCATCGACGAATGGAGGAATCTTGGGAAAAGGCCAGACACTCCACCGGGGGATGACGATATGACGGACACGAAGCCCATCTCCCTTGTGTATGATGAACTCGAATCGGCCAAAATGGCCAGCATTCAGGAGCAAGTACAGAAGTTCAATTCTCGTAGTAAACTACTAAGCGCAAGAGAGGCACTACTCGAGCTCATCAAAACTCGCTCAGCCACCATTACGGATGAAGTCAGGAAAGCCAATCCAAAAGGCAAGGATTTTTGTGGCTTCGACCCACGGCTAGCCTGGAGCGACGAAGAATTCAGTAGGTGGTATACTGATCGAGGCGGAAAGGCCATACTGGACGCTGGTGCCAATGGCAAGATCGGTCCTCCTGATGAGAATGACTCGACAATGAGAAAACTGTCCAATGGTGTCAATGGTGTACATGCAGCCGAGGAGGAAGACGAAGAGGACAAGAAAGCGCTCAAGAAAGGTGGAGTTTGTATAGTGAAGAACTGCCAGAGACACAAGACGTGGGCCAAAGCGCAGTTGGCTGAGATTAGGTTTGAACAAGACTTGGTTCGCAGGTCTTTGAGTCGATTGGAGATGCAAGAGAGCGAACTCAAGCAGAGGGCCATGGTCAGAGCCTGGGAAAGCAGGGGATAGTTTAGTCAGTGATGCTGACGGAGATTTTGCACGATTATGGATTGGTTTAGTGACCAATATTGGCGAGATGCATCTTGATAAGTGCATCTCGGCCCTAATGGAGAAAATTACTCGTACTGCATGCAGACCACACACGATGATTGAGTCACTGGATTTTATCCTCGGAAAGTGCAGAATACTGTGTCAAGGAACCTGCCTATCTTTAGTCTCGAAGCGATGCAGCCGTTACGTCTCCAAGGCAGACTCAAACTTGCCATCTCCGGAAGCAGCAGGTGGCCTCACTGATTATATGCCCTAAACCGCCAACAGCTTTTCCACCCTACGTTTCCTATCTTGTCTTCACAAGAGGCAAGGAGGGTGTGGTTCGTTTCAGCCACAGTCACAAAGCGAGACCAGGATACATTAGTTCGTGAACTTCCATGCAGGAGGATGATGGCCAGGAGACACTGAGGATCAAGGATCGATAGACGGTTTCTGCTTTGACTGCATACCTGCGTTGGCTCATATACAAAGCCATCCTATTTTTAGGTTGTTGGTGGCTCAAAGCAAGAATCAGGATCGAAAGGCACATGCTATGTATTTTCCTTCTGCAACGCCCCCCGGGTAGAATCCTGGCAAGAGATCCAAAGAAAAAAATATACAAATAAAAATGGAAGAAAGCCGAAACTTCTTTTCCCTTTACTCAACGGCGTCAACATAAAAACGCGCTTCTCCCTCAACAGGATAGATATCACACCACGCTACTTGGCCTTCGCCGCCTCGAAACTCCTTGTGATCTCGTCACAAACCGCGCGCGTAACATCCGCGGTCTTTGCATTGCCACCGAGATCCTTCGTGACCACCCCGCTCTCACAGACGCGCTCGACGCATTCGAGCAGGCGCTGTGCGGCGGCGTCTTCGCCCAGCCACGCGAGCATCTCGGCCGCGGTCCAGAATGTCGCGACCGGGTTGGCGACGCCCTGCCCCGTGATGTCGAATGCGGAGCCGTGGATGGGCTCGAACATGCTGGGATTCTGGCGTGTGGGGTCCAGATTGGACGTCGGTGCGATCCCGATGCTGCCTGCCAGCGCGGCGGCCAGGTCGGAGAGGATGTCGGCGTGCTGGTGGGAAGAGGAGGGGTGTTAGTTTGTAATTTGAGGTCAGACAAGGATTGGGTGTCAGGAGTGTAAGCTCGAACATACCAGGTTCGTGGCAACAATCGTATCCAAACTCTCCGGCTTCAGCACCATGCGACACGTCATGGCATCGACGAGCATCTTCTCCACGGTAACATCTGCGAACTCCTTCGCGACTTCAGCAGCGATCTCATCCCAGAGCACCATTCCGTTCCGCTGGGCATTACTCTTCGTCACGACTGTGAGATGCTTGCGCGGGCGTTTCTGCGCGACCTCGAACGCGAAGCGGATGATGCGCTCGACGGCGTGCCGCGTGAAGATGGACACTTCCGTCGCTGTCTCCCAGGCATGGCCTCGGTGCGATCGTCCGCCGTGCCCGGCATACTCGCCTTCGCTGTTCTCGCGGATGATAACCCAATCGAGGGAGCCAGGTGTTGCGTTGCGTAGCGGTGATTGCGTGCCCCGGAAGATCTTCGTTGGCCGCACGTTGGCGTATTGTTGTAGTGGTTGGCAGATCGCTAGGCGGAGGCCCCACAGCGAGATGTGGTCGGGGACGTCTATTGTTTAAGCTGTTAGTATGCTATCGAGTGACTTACGATTGCTTTCGGGCGATGTATGGGATCAGAAGAATGAGGACTTACCGGGAGCACCCACGGCGCCGAAGAGGATAGCGTCGTGCTTCTTCAGGTCTTCCAGCCCCCCGTCTGGGATGTACTTGCCCGTTTTCTTGTATGTTTCTGAGCTCCAGTCGTAGTCTTCGAATTCTAGTCTGAAATCGCCGGATGCTGCGCTGAGTGTCTTCAATACTTCGACGCCAGCTTCGATCACTTCTGGTCCGATCCCATCTGCGGGAATCGTTGCGATGCTGTAGTTTCGCTCTGCGGGAACGGCGATTGGTGACATCTTGTCGGACGTATATGTTGCTCTTTTTGATATTTCAAAAGTGGCGCGAATTTCTATTCAATCCTATTATGCTACTGGGCATGTAATTGAATTGAGTGGTCCGAGAGACTCCTTGGAACATGTTCAAATAATGAAAAGCCTGACCAGACCTCGAGAGCTACTTGTTGAACTTTTATATATTCATCCTCCCCTTCGGGGAACTGTAGTAAAGTTAATGAGCCGATCCGGCCTTTGCCTTGATCGGCTGTGTACAGAAGCTGCATGTCGTTCTAGAGCACGGCAATCCGGCAGCATTCCAAGATAATGGATACGAAGATTCGAGGGCAAAGACTGAAGAATCACACGTACGGACGTTCAAGCCGGAGAAGGTCAATCCGGGAATGGAAGGATCGGGCTTGGCTTATTGCGCGGATTCCAATTGGACAGTTCTCACTTCATCCTCTTAAACCGTGTTCCGACGCGATTTAGCGAGGCTCCAAGTCGATGCACCGGTGGCCGCTCCGTGAGTGGCAAGAAGTCCGTGGCTGAGTCGACCAGCATCTCCAGCAGTATAGAAAACAGCTGAGGGCAACCACGTTGGTTACATGGCTCCATGGATCCGCATCCCTCCAAGGCAAGGAAAACAGGTTGAAGTCATTGGAAGGAATGTCAGTCCATCAATCAGAGACGGTCTTTCCACAGCCGTACACTGATGGTCATACATAGCATAGCATTATAAGGTTACCATTGATTCAGAGAGTAGTACAGATCAGGGCATGCTTCGAGGGCGATCCACATTGTTGCGCTCTCTCACATAGGAACCGTCGCAGACGAAGACGAAAACGAAACACTTCCATGCACGATGGACTTCACCTCTCCGACTCAAGCCAGTCGCTGATCTTGCTATCTACCTCAGGCCGGTACAGCCAACGCATATCGTCAAACCCCTCGGTAGCATTCGCGTCTTTGGCCTTGCCCTCCTTCACCAGCTTATCCCTATCTGCCTGTGGAAGTCTTTGCACATTGGTTGCATTCGTCGCCCAGTCAAACACTGCATCAATTCGTTCCTGGCGTAGTCGCTGCCAGAACCCAAGTCTCGTCTTCCAGTCCTTCATGTGCGGTGCCTTCAACAGCTCGGTGAAAGTGTAGACGTCTTCCAAGGTCTGGCTGATGCCCTGCCCGGAGCTGGGAGGTAGGGCATGAGCAGCATCACCCATGATGACCACTCTCCCTGTATCCGAGTACCATCTTTCCAGCCGAGCCATTCGCATGAATGGCCACATGTATAAGGTCTCAGGATCACGGGTGACGGCGTCGATAATGCTTTTCGCGGTGTCGCCCCAGTCCTCATATCCCTTTCTGAAGTATTGAGACATCCACTCTTTGTCCTTTGCCAGTGCTTCCCATTTCTCTCTGCTTTGTTCTTCCATTTTTATCTGCATTGCAACCATGATGACAGAGCCAGCGCGATCCTCAGGCATAAGAACCAATGCTCCTGGTTTTCCTTGAATGGTGCACGCTCTTTCGTAATCTGCATAAGGCCATTGAACCGCATCCCACCGAATATGGCTCAACACTCCCAACACCCCGGTATACTCTGGCTTGACGTCAAGGCAGAGGTACTTCCTGACAGTCGAATGAATTCCATCTGCACCAATGAGCATTCCCACCGCCTGTTTCTGCCCATTGACCTTGAAAACAACCTGGTCCTCGCCCTCACTCACGACGCCTTCAAATCTTGACTTCCAGCGAATCTCAACACCACTCTCCTGGACCATCTCCAGCAAGACATTCAATAACACCCTTCTCCATACGCGGTGATTCTTATACCCGTATAACCCTTCATTAGCAATGAGCGTCTTTCGAACCGTCTCATCTCGGTCGTTCTTGAACGTCCGGTATTCAGAGAGCCAGCAGAGATGGCCAAAGCGATCCAAGATTCCAAGAGAGTCCAGGACTTTCAGACCATTTGGAGTCAGCACTACTCCGCTGGAGCTGGCTGGATCTACAGTGTCTGAGCTTCGCAGATCATAAAGCTTGATCTCTGATGGCTGGTACAATCCATGATGGAGAAGGGAGAGGGTCAGAATGAGTCCTGTCAGGGAAGAGCCGATTATCGCCGCTGTCTGTTTCTTTTGAGACATTTGGATATTGACAAGTGAGATTTTCTTGACCTCTCGTCTTGGTGTCGAATGTGGTCAACTCTTATTCGACATGGTGCTTAAGCACGGAAGGTTGGTTTCATTACAGGGATATGTTTGAAGTTCAGCCGAGGAGTTTGAGAGACAAGCAATTGTCCGAACATAGTCCAAGCTCTTCCAAACCTAAAAATGGTGGAGGAGCGTTCAGACTGAAAACTGACCTTCAAAGCCTTGCAAGCAATATTTTGGCCATTAATGCTATCATAAGGAACAGATGGTGCATAGCCACGCTTTAGACATCATTGTAAGCCACTAACGAGATCCCCTACTCCATATTATTCATGCTCATATTCCTATTGAAGTTTGTGCACAAATGGATCCCTCGCAATCCCGATATGCGGCATACCATCTTTGCCAATGTAATTCCCAGACCCAAAGCGATATCTTTCAAGCTCTCTCTGTAAGGAGCCGGAAGTACTGTATTCCCCAGCCCGGTCGACTGCGGCAGCTATATCATCAATGACATGAGATGCGGCCGCATACGCGCACGCGGCGGACAATTTGGTGGAGAGTTGCGTTTTGGATTGTACCGGACGAAGTATTGGTAGGTTGGTGGTATTACCTATCAAGTGACATTTGTGCAGCGAATATGCGCCTGAAAGCTTGCGACGCTATTTCACTGGCGAACTCAAACCGTAGGAACGGGTCTCTCTGGGTCGAGGACATCTGTACTGTTGAGAAGCGATATGTAGACGTAGTTTGGCCAGTCCTGCGCAATGACAATGACATTCGTGCGCCACCCAATTTTCGTGTCCGGCTCTTTATTTGCAGCTGCCTGAATACTGACTCGGAGCGTATTTGTCAAGTTGAAGCGCACCGCTGAACTGTAGCCAGGACTTCCCTGAAGTTGTTCCGAGACCACATTTGCCTCCATATCTATACGTATGATTGACTTTTGGGTTTTGAGACGAGAACGACATGCTATCGCCGTGGCATTGTACTCGAAATAAGGGTTATCGCTGGAGATGGAATGAAAGCCGTCGGGAAACGAGGCTACCTTTGTTTTCCAACGACCCCGTAACCATGCGAGAACGATTTGTTGCTCATTTGTCTGAGAATTCCAGATCAGGTTCTCCTTCGGATCGTTGGGTCGTAACACTGTTGCTTGGAATTCATACGCGGCACTTTTGTTATTTGGTACTGGAGCGAGATGCGTATCAATGCCCCAGTCCAACATATCCTCAACGCTGCAGGGAACAGAATCGCTTTCTGGGTACCCGTAACAGAACTCAAAAGATAGCGATGATTTATTTCTAAAATTACCAAGTTCGAAGTGGGCAACCTGATTAGGATGGATTGTTAAAAAGTCCACGCAGTCTAACTCAGCACTATAGCCAACAGTCTCATATTCGAGCTCCGGATCCTGAATACCCTGCGTCATCTCATCGAAACTGATCGGAAGGTAACCGTAGTTGATTGTTGTCCACGTTGGTAGCTTTGTGAGTCCTGAACTATTGGCGGTGACTGTATAAATTGGATCTTCTTGGTGATCAAAAATGTATTAGTAGTCAGAATCCGTCATCAGATATATTGCGTGGAGAGCCCGGCTATCGATACAGTGAGAAAATTTGACAATACGGACAGGACACTGAGGTAGCTAAGAGGTAGTCCCTAGCTTGGAGAGCTAGGGAATAGGACAGCGGGCGGTAATGAAGTGTATGTGGTGAGCAGGGTTCTCTCCGCCGGAGCATCACACTTTCTTAGATATTCCAATGGATTCATGAACGTGCTCGACATACAGCATTGATGCAATATCCAGTAGTGTTGCGAATAATGTAGGTGCAAAGCTAAGAGCAAGCTGAACGGCAACATCGTTTCCCTGGGCAAACGAATGCCATCGATTCGGCCGGATAGACTGTTCAGCATGAAGAATGAGATTACAGTTCCTGCAATCAAGATTATTGTCGGCCCCAACAAATTCCATGAACTTGCCGGAGCATGCTTGAGGAAAGGAGAAGTAATTGTGCGATCGCCCCTCTGAAAGGGTGCTGATGTCTGCAGCGAGCTCGTGACGAATAATGCCGGTCGCCCGTCTAATGATATATAAATTTTGAACGTATCTGATCCCAGGTGTTTCTTCAAGCTGGACTCTTTAGAATCACTGTAAGGAGTGAACTTTGCTTGGATATCCGGCAAGCGTGCTAGATCCAGACCTTATGCTAGACAGTCCGGATTCCGAACTAGTTCCAGGGGTGCACAACTCAGAAACCACGCCAACCATAAGAAAAGCAGCAAAGTGGTCACCAGGAGTGCTTCAGTGGCATATAAAAATCCTGGAACCAACGTGACTGCGTCCGCCAAAGTTTCTGATTCGACGTCAATTGGTGAGTTTGATCGATCCGAGGCAAAATTCCGACCCATTGCTAAGGCAAACAATTGCCGGTACGTTTTGTCATACGACTCAGCGAATATTGTTGAGTTAAGGTAACTTTTCAGCGTTGATGGGGCCAAGGTGAGCAGCCAGGTGACCATGTGGTATGAGCTCTCTGTCGGATATGCAGGAACACTGAAATTGAGACTTCGTGTACGCCCATCATTCGTTATTGGACTGACCTCATTCATTTCGAGGGCTATCTGCTGATACCCTCCATTCTCTGTGTATGAATTTGGCGGTTAGCCATCAATAGTAACACGCTGAAAATGCGAGCTATTGAAATCACTTTGTGAAAGGACTTCTCGAGGTCCTGTGGCAGAGAAGGACACAACACTTTCGTTCAAAAGCATCACCTTAGCGATGCCATCTTCCTTATAATATGTATTCTCACAGAAGAGTGCTAGTCCTTCTCCGCACGCTCATTAAATTGGCGTTTGGCCCTGACACTCACCAAATAGTGAGGAAGCGGTTAAGGAAAATTTGGACACATCGAGGTGGCGTTTGTTTCGCGGGCGTTGCCATCCTCAAAAGCAAATCCTGGAGACATAACTGGAATATGAACAGCCAGATACTGTGAATTCTGGACATTCCAGTAAGCATCATCGTCGAATGCATCCTTGGTCTGGCAACCGCTTCCATCCGCAAATGATATTCTCTTACTCGTGGTATTATGTACTGCGGCCTCGGGCTTCCAACAACTGGCTTCGGCCGAATATCTCGTTGTGGCAACAATGACGGAAATCTGTGCTGATTTCTGGACCGTCGAGTGATCGAAAGGAGCCAAAGTATAGGAATTTGTCGTGAATAGGGGGTGGCTCTGCCCTAGCCAAGCAATGAAATATGCAGCAACCTGGAAGTTATTGGTCATCGTTTTTGTTTGAGTGCTGGCATCGACAACGGCCTGAGGGGCACCGACTGTTAAATTCTTCGTACGACTTTCGTGGTACTTGTGAACATCGCGTTTTGAGCGGTGGGGACGATAAATGTAGCTAGAATCATCAACAAGACGAGACTACAAAAACCCAGTGCCTACAAGCAATGATCAGTCAATATTGTTCCTAAATGATAAAGCCTCCTACCTAGCACGGAGGGATTTATAGACAACGCTCAAGATGAAATCTGTATCATAAAGAGAGAACATGGCAGAAGAGCTGCCACTAGAGAGCCGAGACCACGGATCCAATCGCTTGACATCTAGGTCAAGCACTGAGATCCAAATGCCAAAGACCACAGTCAGGATCGTGGGAAACTGCTGATACATGAAGGTTTGCGCATTGCTAACATCGTTAACATCGTCCCCAAATGGCGTATTAAGGATGGCGCCAGTCCTTCCATTTTCGATGTGAGTAACGACGACACCGGCAAGAAACGGCGAGATGGCGATGATCGTTGATATCAAGGCAAACTTGCTGAATGAGGCTGGTCGCCATCTCTTCACCCACGATCTGTCATGGAGTTGAAAAGAGTGAGCAGAAATAAGCCGACTTTTCCCTGCCTGGGCGGGAAGAGGTTGGTCAGGTGCAGACATCGTTGCCGATGAAAGTAATTTGGCCTAGAAAATCCAAGACATTGTGTATTTCTTAACCGCGACAACGGTGAGGCTAGGTTTGCCATCCCTCACATCGGTCAACTTCTGTTCGGCGCTGCTTGAAACGTGTGGGTGCTAGATCGAGCGCCTACAGGGGAAGGGCCATTGAGCAAGAGGCTCAAGTCACGAAACTGCACTCTTTGCTCAAGGCCCAATAATCCAGCGACCTGATCATGGATGTACTCTGTAGCAATTCAGGCAAGCGATCAATTGCGAGCATTTTGCGAGGCCGCTCTGACCGCTTCTGCTAATGTTCCAGGTACCTCCAGAGATGTCATGGGATTATCCCCGGGCCAAGAGCACTCGGCAGGGAGAACAACAACACGTTCATTACCTAGAGATTCCTCGGGAGGATTGGCACGGCTGGGATGATGTTTGATGTAGCTGTCAACTATCGATCATCAACAAGGAGGAGGAAGAATGACTTACCTACCTAGGTAGGCAAGAGGTTCACCGAGAGGCCAAGCCAAGGGCGAGGGTGGCGAAGCTGCCGGTGCCACCACCTTGAAATACACTGGCCCAACTTATGTAGTAATTACCATCCATGGGTATGAAAGCGGAACGCCCAGAAGAGTTTCAGCCTCATGCACCACACATCCAATGATGCTGCCTCCAAGTCGCCTAGATCGTCCTCTGCCGTAATTTCTTGTTGCATGCTGCTATGTTGCTCGTTGGAGTACGAGGTATCTTAGGAGCGGCTTCTAATACCATTGAGCGTATCCAATCAACATGTTTGGCCCTCAAACCGCTGTGTTGACAAGTTGCTATGTCAAGGTCCAGAAGGGCTCAACAGCCAACACAGCGCATGGCATCGTTCTGGTAAGCGTATTGATGCGTAAAAGCAGGCTCTCACGGCCTCCCCTGACAGTCTGGCTCTGGGTGGCCACCATTACCGAACGCCATTTCAACCCACAGCCACACCAGTACCTGACTGCGCACTCTCTCTCACTGAAGCCACCCTATCCTTCCCAACACCAGCGCCCGCCGCAACGAGGCTCTACCTTAGACATGAGCGGCGTTGCTGAGTATGGAGACCAGCTGAATGGCATGGGAGGAGCAAGACTCGGAATCATGCCATTATATTATATTCAGATTCGCGTGCGCTGCAGATGCAGAAGCCTGAAGGAGAGCCCGCCTAGGGTGTGGTATATACGGTACACTCTTCTTCTGACTGAGGGCCTTGTTGGAACTTTTGCTGTGCGACCGAACGTTCAACTGAGAGGCATGCCGCGGCTCGTGACCTGAAAGGCACCCGCCCACTGCTCAAGCTCGGCGCTATCCATCGATCGTGTTTAATTAGTGGTGTTTAGAGGTACGAGTACTCCGTAAGTAAGATAAAGTCTAGTTTGCATTTGCGGGGTATGGAAGAATGCTTCTATGGGCATCGCCAATAGTGATAGTGAGGGTAGTTGACACGATATGGGGCAAAAGCCTGCCTAGAAAAGCTTGTCTTTTCAAGGCGCGTTCAGGAACGACTCTTCGAGTCCAGAGACATCTCAGGGGACAAGGCATCACACTACGGTCTGAAACAACTGGTAGGACAAATGTTTCATAGAGTTTTGAATGGTTGGCACACTGATGCTAGATCTTCAGCAGGAATTTTCACTCTATTAATTATGCACCGCGCACACACACACACACACACACACACACATTGTCCTTGATAAACCATGATGAAGACGAAGCAGGCGCTCGCTCCACAAACATTCTTTGCGGCCCGAGGCACACATTCTCCAGCCCCATCTGGCAAGGGGATGGGATGGACCCGTTTCCAAGCAAAGTGATGCATGCCACTGTGGAGAATCAGGGGGATCGACCTCTAGTCCAACTCAAAATCGTCGCGAGCAAACCGTTGGCGTGCATGGGAATGAGTTACTCGGTACAAGCGACCTAAGAATAAATATACAGCTCATGCCCCTCGGGAGCCTGCATTTCCAAGACCTAGATAGTCCCTCTTTGCTCGGGGATTCTGAATGTCTGGCTTTGGGCTCAGGTAGCGATGGGCAGGACATCAACACCTCGCGTCCTAGCAGCCATTCTGGCATTTATCGTTTTGGTGTTTTACTTGGTGCCTTCCAGCGAAAAACCCCGGCCGATTCTGAAAATCACGAAGAGCAGTTTCGATTGGAGTGCCGTTCGACCGTTCCACGACCCGTACCCCTTGACAACACCTCCGTCGGGTGTCCCACAGCGCCTCCCGCGCATCCAACATTCATTTCCGAAGAATTCCAGGTTCCTGGGAACCATACAGGCCACTCGCCGCGATGTGGTCAAGAAGACCTTCCAGAGAAATTGGAAGAGCTATCGCCAGTTCGCATGGATGAAAGACGAGTTGACCCCGCTTACTGCGGCAAGCAAGAATACCTTTGGGGGGTGGGCTGCAACTCTGGTGGACTCGCTCGATACGCTATGGATTATGGATCTGAAGAAAGAGTTTTACGAGGCAGTGGAAGCAGTTGCTCAGATAGATTGGGCCGTCACAATGGATACAGCTTGCAATATGTTTGAAACTACTATTCGCCATCTAGGCGGCCTGTTATCTGCATATGAGTTGAGTAACGAGGTTGTGTTATTGGAAAAAGCTATTGAACTCGGTGATATGCTCTACGCTGGCTTCGACACTCCGAACCGGATGCCAGCATTTTGGTTGGATTTTGAAAAGGCCAAAAACGGCGATCTTATAGCCGACTCTCACGTGCCCTCTGCGAGTCCGGGTAGTCTATCTCTAGAATTTACACGGCTTTCTCAGATCACTGGCGACGCCAAGTACTACGATGCCATCTCCAGGGTTTCCGAATTACTCCATGCAACACAGAATGCCACCAAGCTTCCGGGTATGTGGCCAACATTCTTCAATATGAGGGATGTGGACGTCACCCAAGAGAATTCCTTTACCTTGGGCGCACTGGCAGACTCTCTGTACGAATACCTGCCCAAAATGTACGCACTCCTTGGTGGACTCGACCGAAGCTATGAGAGCATGTTCCTTACAGCAGCCGACACCATCCGGAAATACCTTTTATATCGGCCGATGACAGTACATAATGAGGATATCTTGTTCTCTGGAACAGTCAATGTGGACTGGGCGATCTCACTCAATCCAGAAGGGCAGCACCTTGGTTGTTTTGCAGGAGGCATGTTTGCGTTAGCAGGCCGCCTTTTCAATCGACAAGACCACGTCGACACTGGTGGAAGGCTTGCCCGAGGCTGTGCGTGGGCCTATCAAGCCTTCCCGACGGGCATCATGCCGGAAATTTTTAGCATGGTGACATGCGAGTCCTTGGCCGGTTGCGAATGGGATGAAAACCGATGGCGACAGGAAGTTGCCAAGGACACACATGGATTTGTATCCTTGCCGAAGGGATTTCGCAATGCGCGAGATCCCTCCTACATCCTTCGTCCGGAAGCGATTGAAAGCGTCTTCTTGCTATATCGCATTACTGGGCTCGAAGAGTTCCAGGAAGCAGCTTGGGACATGTTCAAAGCAATCGAAGCGACTACTTCCACCCCGTACGGAAACGCAGCTATTGACAGCGTCACTGTTACTGGCAACCCGGTCCAGCGAGATTCCATGGAGGTAGGTCATCCTTTCCCCAACGTAACAACGCGAGTCCCCATAGCTGACCTCTCCTCGCGATTAGAGCTTCTGGCTTGCAGAGACCCTGAAATACTTTTACCTCGTGTTTTCACCCCCTGACCTGATCAGTCTTGATGACTGGGTATTCAACACAGAAGCGCATCCTTTGAGGATACCGAAGGCTTAGTTTAAATTGACGTGTTTGGAAATGCCCTCAATTTCCCACCTCATTCAACTTCTCTAAAGCCAGATTCCGGTCTCTCTAGAGCCTTGATCAATAGAGCTATGGCCAATATTAGAAGTCATTGCCTCTCACAAAAAGTTGCCGAGATGACCATGGAAATCACCGGTCAGGACGACATACACGGAGAGACTCTGCGACCGGGAGGGACACAACCCCCTCGACTGGACCGCGTGAGTACTGACTTAGTCAGGCAGATAAGCGCAGCCTTGCACGCCTAGAGACAAATCGAAAACAAAAGGGGGTGAATCGGGCATGCTGAGCTTGAAAAACGCTTCCGGCGGAGTCGCTGTCGTTTGTGCATTTTGCCCAGTCTCAGTAACAACGAAGCTCACAGGGATGGGAAATACGCCAATGATCTCACAGGCACATCCAGATTGACGCCATATCAATCTGCTTTCTTGGGTAGACACGTCTTGCAGCAAAGTCAGCCTCAGGGCCTGTTTGGCAAAGCACCTACGATGGGGTCTTTCGGGCCGGGCTGCTGTAACCCATTTCACTTGGGTACACCCGTCAAGAACATTTACAGATCTCACCATGTGTACATATATAGAGAGAGAGAGAAAGGTTATTCAAACATAAGCTCCACCTCAATTAAGTAGCCATTCTCGACACTCCTCGGCGCCAGTTTCAGCACCGTTGCACAAGGAGAATCACTTGAACTGGTTCTGTCTTGGCGGCTGATGCCTCGACTTCACACCCGTCAACGCTAGTATCTTTTTATGAAAGACGTAGGAGCGGATGCTGGTAGTCATTATCTTGACCCTAAAATAAACGTTCACAGAGTGTTCAGCGTAGGTTGGATTGATCAGGATCCTGTCCAGAAGGCTCGCCCTCTTTCTGCGAATATCACCTCGATGTCCTTACCTGCCTCCACCGTCTTGAGCTATCAATATGGCGCCTGGAGCCTCGCCGTGACAGGCCTCGTCACCCGAGAAACGCGAACATGGAGAGCTAACGTCGCGATAAATTGGCCCTCAACAAGCCTACCTGCAAATAGTTGGCCATAATCAACACAGAGATGTTTCAATCACCTGGGCGAAGTTTAGGAGGATACGAGCTTGGATTTGGAACAATCTAAAGCCCTTACGGAATCTAAACCATTCAACGTACTGTAACAGATCTGCCCCGGACTCCAATCCATGAACTCGGGCGGGTACGTTGCTTAGCCTGCTCACTTAGCCTAGTATCTATTCGGTACTTTCGGAAAGGGTGTCACTTACCGGAAAATAAGTTCACCAAGCTACGACAATAGGTGAAGGGGCGCACTACTGGCTAGAACGAACAGATTCTGCTTGCCGCTTTGGAGGTTATCCTAGTGGTATATTGTAACCTCATGAAATGTAGAGGAAAGGAATGGGTAAGGGCGCGCCTTTGTGGAGACTGAGAATTTTTCATAGAGCGACAATATAGAAATACTGATTGAAAACGTCAGCAAAGTAGAAAAATCAGACACAATTTGTGTCCTTGTGGTAACCGGGCAGAGTGGCCAAACTGCTGAAGTATATAGATCCAGTTGAATCAACAACCAATAATACTAGGGGGTAGTTTAGGGCCTGTATTTATCCCGCTAGCCATTATCTTATGAGTCCGATAGAACTAACGATAAAAACCACGTACATAGCGATGCTAACCCTAGAGGCTATATACTAGAATTTTGTTCCGGATCTTGATCACCGCACATAGATGACAATGGCCGCCATGATATACTATCTCCACGGTCTAGTAGCTGCCAATATCTTACAGACATTTGAGCTGGTGAATTATTTCTCGTCGTTCCTATGCAAGCCTTATTTTGGTCCCCGCTCTAATCCTTGAAAGGCGGTCCTAACATGCCTTCACAGTCCCCATCCCAACATGCCTCGGCGTTTTTTAACTGGCGTACCTGGACTGGCGACACTGGGGTAGGTAGCCACTCGTGATTCGTCAGCCAGGGGCCCGGCGGGCCGACCGGCCCGCTAAACCATGTTGTAGATCTCACGATGTCAAGACCACCTTGATCTCTTTTCCAACGCAACGGACCCGAGCAAACCAGCCGCCCAAGATGGCAGCCAGATGTCGTTATATTTTCGAATGTGTACTCCGTACCTCAGGAAGTAAATGGTCCACTTTTCAGACTCACCCCGAGCAGATAGATATTTCGGAGACTCCTCGCTGCGGTCACTCATCACCAATAGCTGTATCCCCAAGCTGCATGGAACATTAGTCAGCTACCCTCCTTGTTCCTTACACTTGACAATCCGGGAACCGTTATTGCGCGGCACTTGTCCTATCGGCCCTCTCCACCACGCCACAATCTCCACCCAGTTCTAGAAGCTCCGTATACACCATGGTGAAAGCGGGCACAGAGGTCAATGACCAAACTGATGCATGTAATGCAGGCTGTTTCTCTACTTCACACGATGATATGGTAGGCAATGCCACTCAAGTACGTGACGCGGAAGGACCGGGCTACTATGACGATTTATCTGCAGGTTGTATATACGAACCCGATTACGGCGGTATTCGTGCATCATGAGAAACTCACAGAGAAGACCTGGGGAAGACTTTGACCGGTGTTATAGAAGGTTCGTTTCCTCCTTGAAGTGGTCGTGAGAGGCTAAGGTCGAAGCCTTTAGACAGAGGATGCTCCAACCTTTATGGCCACTAGGGTTTACATCCAAGGCTCGATATACTGTTGGTTTTCGTGCCATCACCCGGTTGCCTTAGGCAGTTGAATCTGGTCTGAGTCCAGCCGTCTTTGGGGCAGCATGTATAGGGCAGTACTTGGAGAGGAACCACAGAGGGCTATTCATTGCTTTGTAGACCCAAGGCCGTCACTCCTTCGCTGATTCGGGCTTGTATATACTTGAGCATGACGTCCGGAACGGCGCTCTCGTCTGCACCGGCATCAAGGAGGATCTTCGCCAGCCAATCCCGCCCCTCATGCAACACCGCCGCCAATGGTGTCCCACTCTTGTCCTCAGATGGCATCCCGTAATCACAGCTGGCATTGGGGTCAGCGCCAGAATCGAGCAGAAGATGCACCACTCGATCCGCATGGTCCCTCGGCACTGTTGTACATGCCATCATCAATGGCGTTGTACTGTACAGACGTTGTCCAGATTCCAGTTGATGTTCATTTACAGTTTGCTCAGCGTTAACGTCCGCGTTTGACCTAATGAGCATCTGCACCACCGCCCACGGCAAAGGAACACTGGACAAAGCAGAGCCCAATAGCGTCCCTATCATGTGTACCCCTGGTGCATTGCCATGATAGGGCACTCTCCGGGCCACAATGTCTTGGGTAAAACCACCGAGCCGCTGCGATGGAACCTCAACATGGTGATCCTCCAGGTTGTGGATCTGGTGACACAAAGCGTCAAGGCTGCTTGTTAACGTCTGCTTTGGCATCAAGAAGCACCTTCACCACTTCCTTTTTCCCCCTTCGCTGTGCCTCTTCGAATGCTCCCTGAGTATTGACATCCGCCCCAGCTGCTAGCAGCAGCCGCACCACTTCTGCGTGCCCACCTTTGCACGCAGCTTGTAGTGCTGGATCAAGCAATGGCATGCCTCTGAGCGCATCATTGTCCTCCCAAGCTTTGAGTAGGACTTCCACTATTCTTGGACGGCCTCCTCTGGACGCAACACAGAGTGCCTTGCCGAAGCCTTCACCATCACTAGCGATAAGATCCATCCGCTCCTTGAGTAAAAGTTCGACCACGTCGAGACGCCCGCCACGTGACGCAGCTGTGAGGGCTGTATGGTCTCGATCATAGTAGAAGTCGTACTCATATAGATTGTCGTCACTGCTATCGCTTAGAACAGCTTCCCAGTCATCATATTCTTCATCGACAGTAATATCGTCTTCGTCTTCTCCCCCTTCTTCTTCTTCTCCTTCTTCTTCTCCTTCTTCTTCTCCTTCTTCTTCTTCTTCCTCTTCTTCTTCCTCTTCTTCTTCTTCTTCTTCTTCTCCATCACTGCCAGCGTCGCAAATCTCGCCCTGCATATTTGCTTCTGCTTCTAACAATATCGAGACTACGTTCACGCGGCCCCAAGCCGCCGCGGCCTTCAACGCGTTGCTATCCCGTTCACCGCCGCCGTTGATTTTAGCGCCAGCGGCGAGCAGGATCCTAACCACGTCCTCGCGGCCATCGCCCGAGGCATGTACCAATGCGCCGCTGAATCCTACGCCGCTGGTGTTGACTTTCGCCCCTTTCCGGAGCAGCATCTCGACCACCCTCGCACTCCCATGAGCCGACGCAGCCTCCAATGCAGTGCGATAGATTTGTATTAAATTCAACTTCCGGAAGTTACTATTGGGGTCGGCCCCTCGTTGAAGCAGCATCCGGACTATATTTTCGTACCCACCAGAAGCTGCAGCGTGTAACGCACCGGGTACATTTCCCCTCCCACCGTTCACATCCGCCCCTTCGGTGAGCAGCATATGGACTATATTCTCGTGACCCCATTTCGATGCGCATGTTAATGCGGTTCCGCAGTGTCCGCCATCGCTGTCAATATTCGCTCCGGCCTCGATGAGACGCTGGACCACTTTTTCATAGCCTTGTGCCGATGCAGCCTGTAGCGCGCTGCCGAAGAACCCGATATCCTTGTTGACATCGGGGTTGCTCTGTAATAGATGGCACAGGAGTTTGTAGAGGCCGAATTCGGCGGCGGAATATATAGAATAAGCATTCATCCAGTCTTCGACGGGGTGTTCTGGTTTGGGAGCCCAGCCTTCATAACAAATACTAAGCCATCGATGAAACGTTGCCTTTTCAGAGAATAGTTTCAAGCTCCATATATCCTCGATATCAATCGTTTGCGTCTTGCTTGATTTCACGTGGACGTGCCAGTGTTCTAAGGCATAGTGGACGAAAGGGAAGTCTGCGGAAAGACTCGGCCGAAGTTTTCGATGCACGAATTCCGTATCGCAGAGATACATCAGGCAAGCTGTACCGATTTTCTGATGACACAAAGCTGGGGATAGTTTAAATTCTGCGGCAGGACCGCGGCAAATGCCGTCGGACATGAGGAATTCTCGCACAGAGAAGTGTACGATCCGAACAAACTCGACGGTAGTTTGTTCCAATTCCTCCCGGATGTTGACGAGATAGCGGCTGAACAGCGCATTCCCGCTGTAAATCTCGATGAGGCCCGGACATATTTGTAGAAGATCGTCGGCGTTCACCATTCTTTGCTCAGGATCAAATCGCCCAGAGTCCTCATCTACTGCAGCCGCGTCTATGAGCTCCCGAACGGTCAATGGGCGAGCCGAGAAGCACAAGAAGGCCAAGACACGGTGCGCTACTACCTTCCAACTTTTGTCGATGCTACACAGCATGCGTTCGTAAGTCTCGTTCAAGCTTGACGGCAAAGAATTAAGGATTGATTGGAGGCGTCTAGAGGTTCGGGGACCCTCCCTTAGAAGGTCAAGCTGGCAATTTACCCATCTGAAGCTGCATCGCGTTAACTTAGATGCGTATATATCTATCATCAAAGAAACCACTACCTACCCCCCGTCGGCCTTTAGTGATAGATGCTCTCTGATTGTTTCGCAGTGCTCTCCCCACCGAGACAGTTGTGGATCGAACTTTAGTATGTCCGATACATATTGCGATATATCCTTATTGACACTATCGTTCCGTAAATTAATAGCCGCCTCGCCGGTAGCTTGGAGAGACTGGCGAATATCCACAACATCACGGCTTGTGACTAGTAGATGTAGGCCTGGTAGTTTCCAATCGCGGATTGTCTGAATAGTAGGGAGCACATCCCCTCCTCTAGCGCTCTGAGGGACCTCGTCTAAGGCATCGACAAGTAGGTAGACGTGCTGTTTCCTAGCGATAGCTGAGTGAAGATACTCCACAAGCACCTGCGGTGGAGGGGGCCCGTTGGTGTAATTGCTGGCGAGACGAGTCAATTCGGCCTCAAATCCCGTTACTTGGTGGCAGAGTTGTAATAGAATCGCGCGTAGGAGAGCAGAGGCGTCTTGTTTCGACTTATCTTGAAAGGTGTAGAAGAAGTACGCAATAGCGCATTCAGGTTGTGACTGCGCATAGCGCCAGGTATGTTGGATCGCTGTCGACAATAGAATCGACTTTCAACAGCCTGAGGGACCATGGAGCCAGAGGAGAGAGTTATCACGCCTCAGCCATTCGCGATAAGCTATATCCTTAGTTAGCCACTGACCCGTCTGTGAATGTCGCTTCTCAGAAGCGCTGTTATAGTCCACTGATACATCTGGCGACTTCAGCCATATATTTACACCGTTAGTCACATTATGTGCTTGAGCAATTTTAAGGATGTTTTTAATATCCTCAAGGTCGTTCCCGAGTATAGCGTAGTCCTTCACCTGTAGTAGCTGCAGAGTCATACATAAACTCTTCTGGAGTGCATCCACATCGACAGCTAACTTTATGAGAGTCCTCTGGCGAAATGGATAAGCTGCACTACGCCCAGCAACCCGGATCGTCTCCTTGAGCGTTGCCTGGGGCTCATTCTCAAACTTGTCGAGTTGTTCTTGTAGATCTTGAATAATTCCTTTCCAATCGGAGATGCTTGAATCAACTCGTTGAAGGATGTCCTGCTCGCCTGGCGGCCATTTCCGGGCTGCAACTATTCCCTCAAGTAGTTTGAGATTCTGACAAACAGCATGAAGCCTTTGAGCCATCTGTGCCAATTCATCACGACGATGTTTGTAGGACTCATAATATTTGTATAGAGACTCGGTAACTTGGAGGGAGAGTGAAACGAAGCCCGTTACGCTGGCGGCGATAGAGAGGGGATCCGTCATGCTTGACGGGGGATAGTGAGCACCTCAAGCTGCGGTGACAAGCAACAGAGACACGGCTTTCTGTTCATATGGTTGGCGTGGGCTGTTCCGATGATGGTATTCCAACTTCAGAGAGCTCGAGCTACAAAGAGTAACCTAGAGTGTTCCAAGGCTGCTGCGAGCGTTATGTAGGCATGCACACTACCGCCAACCTTACGTCCCCGCGTTATCAGGTATCGAAGATATTTGATGTGATGACCGTTGTGATGGCAGTTGTAATGACCTCATTGCCGTCCAACTTGAGGAACGTGAGTGGCGGCGTATGTAACGCGAAGCCCTTCTTAGAGTATAGTGAACTTGGGGCCGTAATGCTTGCCCGCATCGCCTAGCGAGGCAATAAGTAATGAGGAGAGGGCTTTTCTCTATAATCCGGGCTCAGACTTATAACCGCTTTGCAAGTATCACCGGAAGGAGGAGGGGTAGCAAGGTAGGTTCCCACGCCGCACCTAAATAGGAACGCAAACACATGCAAGTATACTTAAAACGACCCTACTCAAAACATATAATTATATCATAACCTCCACCCTTCCTCAGATCGTTGTTATTCAACTGCTTCATTAACAGCTGAAGTTACCCGATACTCCTCTACCTTAGTTTTGGCTAGCAGACTGAGATGAAAAGGATGTACGTGGGCTACAAGTTCATCACTCTTATCGTAGGGGTGTTTGGGGGGGGCAAGATTTAGGACAATGTATGGGGTGGAGACAGGCTGTTGGTGCTGATGGAATCCTTGTATGTGCAGAATGAGCGTCTCTTTATCCTCCGACTAGAGTCGTGTCGTAGACTCTTGCCCTTATCTTCCAGAAGCAAAGGACCGCTCGCCGCCGGACGAAGACACTTTGAGCCATTTTTTGAACCAATCGCGATCACAGGTCTGTGTGCTCTACTGCAAAGTGATCAATATGGGTTAGTGGCTGGTGGGTAGTGGTCCGGTAAGGGGCAGCCTTACAAGACGATACGGAAGAATGAGAGTGAAAGAAAGCATGAGTCAGAACAAGCAAGAGGGAAGAGGGGGCAACGTGGGCACTTGAATCATGAAAAGCGGCATATATCCATCAATATATCCATCCCCATTGCATCAACCCTTACACAACCCCGGCACTTTCTGGGCCTTGACGCCGACCAAGCCATCAACATAGTCCAAGAACTTCTGCACCGGGACAAGATCCAACCTCCCGAGACTGGGGTTCGAGCTCCGCAAGACTTGACCACCCCAAAGCACCCTCAAAAAGTAGCAGGCGTTGCGACTGTATAGTTCGAAGACGACCTCGCTGCCCATGCCGGGCCAGACCATGACGTCGAGCTGGAGGATCGAGAGGAGTCTGGAGATGGAACCATCGTGCGCGACATTATGCCTGTACAAGATCCCGCCATCCCCGCCATCCCCGGCGCCGCCAGTCGCCGTATTCACTACACCTCGCAAATGGCCCGCCAGCTCGGCCATCCAGATCCCGAAGCCAGCGGTACTCGCGGCTAGCGACTGCGGCGCGTCACGGTAGATGAAGCTATACTCATAGATGCCGGCACGGAAGACCGCCTCCGCCTCCTCGTCGGTGATGCAGTTGGACGAATTCGCAGCCGCGCAGGGCAGCGGCTTCTGATGGCACAGGCGCGCGCTCAGGTTGTCGAAGTAGTGGTCGAACCAGTTGTGCCAGGCCGGGGCGGTCGTGTTCACGCCAGACACGGCGTCGAGCTTTGCGAACAGCGCCGCCGATGCGTTCAGATGCTGCGTCCAATTCGCCGCGTGGCTGCCTACGCCGTACGCCGCGCGGAGGGTGTCGGCCGTGGCGCAGGTGTAGGCTGGTTCGAGCGAGTCGATGGACGCGGGCTGGATGGAGACGCCGATGGGCGCATTGGTCAGCTGTTTGGGGAACTGGCCCTCGATGACCTGGCCGACGACCTGCGACGTGATGACGTTGTTGGTGACGCGGTACGCGACTTTCTTGGGGTCGTACTCTGCGGGCAAGAAGTTCAGCAGGCCGTGGTACACGTCGAAGAGGTCCTGTCCGTGCTGCCGCGAGTCGTTGAGCCCTTGGCCTGAGATCTGCGGGAATTGGCAGCTGCCGTTGAAGCCGTCGGGCGCGAGCGGGTTCGAGTCTGAGGTGGCCACTTGCCAGTTTATCTGCGCCGAGGTCCCGTCTGGGCGCGGCGTGCCGTAGTAGAACAGTGCGGCGTCGGCGCAAGACCAAGAGTAGGTCTCGCGCGGGAATGTGTTGGCCGCGTAGGGAGTGCGTTTGTGGTGCCGGTGGATCTGGAAGTTGGTGGGTCATGTGAATACAGAGTGGTCTTGGGATTCTCAAAACGAAGAACAGAATAGCAGATATGTATTTCAGGACAAGTACTTACCACCTCGACGTACTCAAGCTTCAACTCGCTTGGTGGCACCACATACTCCTGCGGCCTGACATGTGGCATGTTGCACCAGTTGTACGTGCTGTAGCCCGACGTGGCGGGTGTCAGGGACGAGTTGAAGATGAATCCATAGACTCCCGTTCCATTGACCACCGAGCCGAGATCATTGATGGCACTGGCATTTGGCGCATGCCAGCCCAGATCGATTTGGGAGCCAGTTGACGCTGCGCATTGTGAGGCACCAGCGACCCCTTTGGAGACGGCGCCGACCAAGACGACGTCGAGCAGTCTCTTCGCCATTCCGTTGTCTTGAGGGGGCCAGAAATGCCCAAGAAATGTATTCCACGAGGTGAAGACGTCGGTGAGTAAGCCCTCGTAATATCTAGATATTGTTGATGTCGCGGCAGTGTGTGAGGCCTGCTGCTGCATGACGGAGAAAACCTCTCAGTGTGGTCGCTATCGCGGATCCATGCTTTTAATATCTCATGATAGTAGCTACATCGGAGGAGCTTCCAGCTCTCGCTTCGGGGCGATCGGCATGAGCGCACTTACTCACTGTAACATGGCATGAGGAGAAAAAGAGACCAAATGTTCTCCAAGGATGGAAAACGTGGAAGCGGGAGATTCATGATAGCGGGAGGTTGTGATTGGTGCGTGAGAAACGTGGTTCCAAGACGGAGAATTACAGGACCAGAGCTGATTCGGTGGAGTTGGATAGGTGAGCCAGGAACACGACTAATAATACTACTTAGAGCTGGAAGGGTTTGTAGCGCGGTGACCTGAAGCATGTGATGCTCGGTATGTCGAAGCCTCAATGAGAGCGGTACGATGATAAATAGATTTGTTGCTGGCATGATAACCGACTGGTGCTATACTTGCACAAGGCTGCCACAGTCAGGGGACATCTGGACGGGTTTACACCAGTTGGGCAGGAGTAATCCTATGGGACGTGATTCGGTCTTCTGTACCATGCACTCCGTTTACGATAGACTCCGTCAACCACCAAATGATCACGTCTGCTGTTGTCGAGCCAGTTGCCTCTTCGCCTCAGTTTCGAACTCCCCCAAATCCTATTCCCAACAATATCAGCATGTGTGAATCTGACAAGGCATTGCCAAACATCATTGCATTGCCTTTCAACCCCTCCTTTCATGTTCTCTTGAGGTGAAATTGCAACCACGATCACGAAGGATCCTCCACCGAAAGGGATGCAGTAATCAGGAACCTACCACTAAAGCCTGGAAAAGCAGGATCTCCGGAGTTTTCAGTATCAGCGCCTTCAACAATCCATCGGTTCGCAAACTGGGCTTCCACCACTTTCCCATCGTTGAAGGTCCAAGTCACGGTTCCGAAGAACATAAAAGTGTCACTGCCTGGTCCATCCGTAAAGACTTTGGTCACAACGTGTCGCCGCGCGCTCAGGATCTTCCAGGTCGCGGTTTGTGTCTCGGCGATTTCTACCAATTGTGAGTGGATAGCTTGGTGTGCTGTTCTGGTAGGTGATGATTTCAGACGCAATGCAGCGCTTATGCGGGTACAAGGCCGCTGGGAGAAGAAAGGGCCTTCGCCCTGACCTTGTCAGAAATCTTTCGACACCTACTGTGATCTGCCCGACGCCGCGCAAAACAGCACTTTGGTCCGTTTTAAGAATCATCAACACATACCACCCGGCCAAGAGAACGTGCGTTTGTTAATGACCATTCGGCTACTGGAAGAGAATATCTCCTGTGCCAATCGTTGCCCACAGTCGTCGGCTTTGGTATCATCAATCTCAAAAGCCCGATTGATAGGAGCCTTGATCAGTTCAGGCAGAGCCAGAGTCGGCCATTCTGTGCTTGACGTCGGTGTGAACATTGCCTTGTGGCTGCAAAGGGGGGTCGCTTCGTTTGTACGAGGAGAATTTCTTGGGAAGTGAGGTGCTGGTTCGCTTCGCCCATGGTAAGTGCTTACCACTCTGCCCCCAGTTATATAAGACAGCACTGGGGACGCTCATGCTTACCTTTGTCCTTACCTCAGAGACAGCGGGCCCTGACTTCGCCCACTGGTTTGCGTTTTCGATCGGGTGGTATTGGGATCCAGATCCATTTTCAGGCTTTCCACTTGGAGAGTTCATCCTATCCGGTGCCGGCGCGATTTATCACTTCCGTGGATGAGAACGAGCCACAAGTGTCCCTCCGTCCAATCGGCGCAACAAGACCATGATGCTAGGCCAGGCCACTAGAATCAAGATCCACTAACACATTATCAACGGCGGGTGACTAGTATTGCACTCAATGTTTGAGGATATGAAGAGAACGAAGTGAGCCACACTCGGCTAAGCTGTTGAAACGACTTTGGTTTCTGCCTCAACGGACGGGGTACAATTGTGAAAACAACCGCACCAACTTCGGGGACGTGCGATGCTTGGGGTATTCTGGACTTCGAAAGCCGTCCATAACTTCTAAGCAAGTAAGCATTTTCAAGCATGAGAGGCGATTACATATCGAAGCAGACGCCTCGGCTCCGCGCATTTGCTCGGGCCCGATCAAGCAGCGTCACACCGAGCTGATATACGAACGAAGGAATAGCTGGGGACATGTAAGGCAACCTGTGCGGGAGGTGCTGCACAAGAGCGAACTGTGGGATTTCCGCACGAAGACAGCCCGGCCGTAGTCTTGACGCAATGAGGAATAGACGTATTCCATGTGAGCTTCATTTACGACGGCTTGCGCTCAGATTGGTCACCCGCCTGGGTATTTGTTTCATCGTCGTGCATATATTCTGTATGCGAGACATACATACATACACCTCGTCCATGCCATGCCAAGATCGCTTGCAGCCGACGTCCGTCTTTCCGTCCCCTCTTAAGCCACCAACATCCAGGCCATCTATCCTCGTAATTCATCTGGACATTCTGCTGCCTGGTGATTTCTGTCAAATACCACGGTAGGTGCTCAGGCAGAGCCGTTCTCAAAGTTCCTCGACTACTGCGGCCCTGGACCCAGGAATACCCATCCATCACCGAGATCGACGGTAGGAGGGAGTGCCAAACATCCCGACCATCCTATCCTATATTCCACCTAGAGGACAAGACCTTACAGTCGCCCTCCCCTCCCCAAATCCAGTGTATCAACATGGTAGCGCGCATAACCCCCGGCCGACTCCTCCTAACCTTGGTGGGCGCCGCTCTGCCGCCTGGGGCCTTTGTCGCAGACTACAACGAAACTCACCTGTTCAACCCGCGCTGGCCACCGCACGCCAAATTCCACAACGGCCAGACCATGTCGATGGGCGTGTGCCTGGGCCTCGCGTGCCTGTACTATACATGGCGCGACAGCACGATCGACTCCGCCGTGACCGCAACGATCTTTGGCAGCGTGTACTATGTGACTGGGCTAGCGGCGTGGTTTTATCCGGAGACATTGGCGGTGGATCCGGAGTTTGGCGAGGGGTTTCCTCAGTTGAAGATCTTTGCGACGGCGTTGGTGCTGGCTTGGGCGGGTTGTGCGTTGGAGGTGAGGAGGGTTGGCAGGGAGAGGAAGGCGGTGAGTGGCAAGGTGAAATAATGACGGTTTGCAAGATGGAGATGAGAATGGGCATGGTATGTCGTTGCCAGTGAGAGTGTTGGACGTGTCGCTCCTATCGCCGCGGACGAAGAACGTCGCTAAAGCATACGAGTATCTGCCAAGAAGGCATGGCTGAGGGGAGATCCAGAGGGTGATGTTGAACACGTGCCTATACAAAGGTGCAGAAGTGGAACGGAACAGCTGCTGCCATATTAATTAGAATCGAAGCAAGGCGAACTGTTGGCCAAGAAACTCAACGCCCTGGTGTTGCACCATCACAAGGCTGTGCTCCCATGTCAAGTACGCGAAGTTGTTAATTAGGTAGCTAAGCCTATCTGCCATAGCTATCATCTCACTCCCCAGGCTGTTAGGAGGACGGCAATAGCACTAGAACAGGACACATCCAGTAGACCAGGTGTCCAGCTTTTAAATGTCTGAGCATCTCCACATTCTGGTCGGGCAAAGACACGTTCGAGCTCGACGGTGGCTGAGAGTGACAGTGTATTGATTAGGATCGAGACCGAAGAATTGGCGGTATGATGGGAGGCTTTCAATTCATCTATCGATTTGCGACTGAATCGGCACCTCATCCCGGATCAGCCGTTCTGACTCCGTATGGCCCCTTCGTGGCTCATCCATCGTTCATCCATGCAGTGTTTCCCAAGACCGGATGACTATCTCTGCCCCTCGAAGTCGGGTCTTTGAAGTGAAGACCCGCTTCAAGCTTTGTACCATGGAAGGAAGTTCCATTCACAACGACCCATATTCCATCACTTCCAGTATTCGAGGACGTTGGCATTCTCGCCTTGCGCATTCCTTTCACACTGTCATAGCTAGGTTGCTCGTCTCATCAGGTCATTGCATGCGTAGCCATCAGGCGGAGAAAAAGGCAGGCCACTCTGAATTTTCCCTTCATAATCATGCCAAGAAAACGCCTTCATGCATGCAATGGCCTGTCAATGTGCCCAACCATATTGAACCAATCCCCAAGAAAAAGAAAAGCAAAAGACCTCAAAGGCTTGCTCACCAGTTCACGACGTTTCAGTGTTTCGTCGCTCACGAGTCTTGCGTGCGCCTTTCATGCTCTTCATCCGCGTTAGAAAGCCAACTCCAGTGCTGGGTTTACTTTCTTCCGTCGGAGCTGCACTTTCACCAGTCACTTTGCGCTCTAAACCCAAACCCAATCCTCGTCTGGGGCTGCTAGGTGCTCGAGCCCGGCCGGTCTTCTGTTGTTCTTCAGCAAACGCGATCTGGGCCCCCTTCTTTTCATAGTCCTTGTCATAATCCTTGAAGAAAGGATTGGCTGAATTTTGATCGGGTCGGCCAGAGCCAAGTGGACTGGTAGGTGTTCCGGCTGGTTCGGGGGAATTGACGCGGGGTCCATCGGAGATTTTGGGACGGACCGATTTGATTCTCTGAGCCAAACTCTTGGTTCGGGAAAGGCCATTTGTATTGGCTTCTCGTTGAGCGGCCTCATATTCACTTTCACGTCGTTGGATAGCCGCTCGACTAGCCGGTGTTCCCTCTAGAAAAGTGCTCGTTCCAAGGCCCGCTGACAGGCTGCCATGGACGGGTTCAACACGTGCGGTAGGATTAAAACTGGCGCTGCGCTCAGGCAGAGGCCGGCGATAGTCGTCTTCTTCGCCTTCTGCGATGGCGGCCTCGTTGTAGTCGTTATGGGCCTCCATCTCAGTGCCATGATATCGATCTAGATTCAGCTTGGCGTTCACTGGACCAGAACCCCCCAACTGCATATTTGTCGAGTTTTTGGGGAATGCTTGCATGGGAGCCTGTCGAGACCCTTTGCGGTTGCGGTGTGGGTTACAGGCGTCAAAAGGTCCATCATGATGGAATACTGTAGAAGGTCAGCCGATGCTCGTAACGTCGAACAGGGGTCACTTGCGTCCTGTGCCATAAATGCTTGTGACATCCAACTTGTCGATAATGTCCAACTTTCGAGAGGGCTGTTTGGATTTGCTTGAGCTTTTGCCCTCGCGAAGTCTTCTTTCACGTCGCCTCTTCTCAGCTTCTGGGTCCATGTCTTTTGGTTTCTCGCGGATGGAAGATTCCGAGTTTCGACGGTGAGGGCGCCTTTCACGGGGCCGGCTGACATCGGGGGGGTCTGCAAAGATATCTAGTTCTCCTTTGGGGTGGCCACGATTTTTTCTTTGTTGGCGTCTTCGCTCCTCGTCTGAAGCACTGAGTTTGTGACGTGGTGGAGGCATTCTTGCGTGAGGGGGAGCATTCTCTCGTCTCGGAGGCCCTTTCGCGGGTGGCTGATCTCGGGGACGGGACCTTGCGCTATCGCTGATGTCTAAACCGGCCTAGGTTGAACATTAGAAGGATAGACTAAAGAAACCGCTGGGTTCAACCGTACAAATATATCGGCAGTAGTGTTAGCTGCGGCAGGTTTGGGATTTGCTGCAAGCGAAGCGGGAGACGTTTTGGTGGCTGAACCGGCCAAGGTGATCTCACTTGCATCGAGAAAAGGATTGGTTGTGGTTGCAAGTCCGATAGGACCTAGCGAAGGACTTGTAGAGGTTGGAGAGACACGATTGCGGAATGGGTTGTTTGAAGCCAGGGTGGCGGAGCCAGACTCTGGAAAACAAGTCAGTTTGGAGCCTTTGAGTGGCTTTGGAAGCTACAAAAGACAGCAGAGGGTAGAGCGAACAAAAAGAGACCAAGCAGTGTGCAGAAGACGAGGGAACATACCGATCGCAGGCGACAACTGTGCCATGGCGACAGATGGCGGTTGCACGGGCGGCTGGTTGTTCGGGCGTGGTCAGGGAGCGTCTTGTGGATGCGATGGATGTGCGTGCAAGTTGTGAGTCGAGGATGGAAGAAGACCAAGTCAGGTCCTTTGTCCTTGGGTCTCTGAAGAACTTGAAGGACCAAGACAGAGAGAGAGTGGAAGTGGAGGTGGGTCGCGCGAGTGGGAGTGGCTTTGTTTAGTACGGGGCCCCTTTTCCGCAGGGAGGAGGAAGAGACAGGGTGACGCAGCAGCAGATGCGCAGACCAGCGAGAATATCCAATTTGGAGCGGTAAGAAGGTGAGTACGGGTGAGGTGAGAGAATACAGGAGTAGAGGATGCAGTGTAGCAACAATGAGTTGGAAGGAGAAGTGATGAACAAAGGAGGATGAGAATAGGAGACGATGTGAGTGAGTAAGGGAGGGTGAAGGGTTGAGGAGGTCTCAGGTGGAATGTTGGAGTCGGAGGGTGGAACAGACCTCGCCAGGGTCGTACTGTACAGTAGCTACTCCGAGTATACCTAACAAGAGACTAAACTTAGTTAAGCGGCCATGCTTAGTGATGAAGGTGAGGGGCCGCCGGAAAATGAGCTTTAGGCGTGGTCCGAGCTAATTTAGTTAAAGGTGAGGGGCCACGTCGCTTATTTCTGGCTCCCATCGACCTGTGTCTGGTGGCCAGAGCATAGCCTCACCCTCCACGCCGAGATGCCCAGGTATTTCAGACCCTCAAGTGGGCGAGGTTGTGCCCAAGTGCCTGCCCAAGTGCCTGCCCAAGTGCCTGCCCAAGTGCCCACCGCCCCGGTCCATTCTTAACCCGTGTCAATCCGGTGTTTGCACCCAAAGTTGCTGTCCTTGGCCCCCCAGCAGTTACTCGTAGCTGATGGTTATGACCTGGTAACCTTGTGTGATAGTCGCCAACGCAGCCTCTGCCACAGCCGGTTCTCCCCTTCTTCCCCTCCATCTCTATTACTCCCTCGCAATCTCGATGCAGGACCGTGTTCTGTCATGCGACTGTCACCAATGCACCCCTTGGTGAAGGAGATACCTCTGGTTCATCGCATGACAGCTTGTTCCGAGGACACTCATCACATTTCATCCCGAGATCGCCATTCAAATTTGCCCATTGCTCCATGCTTCCTCGATTCCACCAGATCAACATCAGATCAACAATCCCTTGACCTCCGCATCCCTGCTCTTCAAACTACTGTATAACCCGACACGTCCAACACCCACTTTAGCATCCACACCCACACGGTCACACCTTGTTGTTCCTGGGACGCGACTGCGACTCTTTCTGCCCCACACTGCGGCGAGTACTTTTTCAGGGTTTGGTGCTGCATACTCTGGCATGGCTATCCTTTCCACCTATGATGCACCTTATCTGACATCGACTATCATTGACTAGACCAAGCACGAGTACGACTCCGACGAGGCTCTCCATTCGTACGCGTACCTCTAAGGCGTCCGAGCCTGTCCTTCTTGCACTTGACCTGCGTTGGTGACGGCCGGCTCTCCCCGCGGGCAATCTAAGTTGGTCATCCCGCCGCACCGATCGCGTAGTTTCCAAATCCTCCTTACCACACACAACACAGTCCACGAGGCCTCTTCCATCCACATCTGTCCGACTCCTCCAGACCTCGGCTTCAAAGATTTATACCAAACCAACCTCTGTCATCATTGGCACTACCAGCTGTTCACCAACCAAATCCATCGACCACTTTGGCACCATGGAGTCCACTTCCCCTCCAGTCCCACTATCACATCGATTCACCTTAGAGCTTGAGTTCGTTCTTTGCCTAGCAAATCCCCAGTATTTGCAATATCTAGCCATCACCTATCTACATCTTCTCAACAAACCTCAACACGCCGCAGATGCCGAGGACTCGGACGCAGCTCGTTTCGCCCGCTATCTCAACTACCTTTACAATTACTGGCGCACTCCCGAATATGTTCACTATCTTACCCATCCTGGAGCTACCCTGAGAAACCTCGAACTCCTTCAGCAAGAACAATTCCGCAAGGATGTTATCCGACCCGATGTCATTGCAAGGCTATACGAAATGGCTCCAACAACACCCCAAGATACAACCGCAAATGCTCCTATCGCTCTAAAAGAACAAGAAGTAACTGAATGAAACCATCATGCTGGCAGGTACCTTGCCACAAATGCTGAGACGGGGAGGCAACCACATTGTTGTTTGAAACCCTATCCGTTACGTCTTGCGAGATGAAAACACTCATCACAGAGGATTAGGAACTACACGCACTCACAATATGTGCCTCTTGACACTTTGTTCAGCAATCTATCCTCTCGATTGAGCCCCATCAACATACAATGGAGGCATGAAACTGGCCCACGGATTTGCATTGGTCGACGATTGGTCGATTGGAAATATAGTCTCGGAAATCGCTATGGGCACGTGCTCTACCAAAGTCACGTTTTCGAGCGCCACTTCAGACGTAAATGTTCCACCGTAATGGTGATACCGCCTCGAATTTAGGACATACTCCCGTCGGCGACCCCAATCTGCGACCCAATTTCAACTTCATGCCTCAGCCTTACCGCCATGAGAATTCTGACCTCCTCAATGACTTCTTGTTGCTCACGGTTCGATTGTCAGAAGGTGCCACATGTCCAGAAACTATGTTCACATGTCTTGTGCTATTCTTACCACCTACTGTCGCCCCGCAGTCTCCTCCGCTCCCTCGAACCCCTTCCCAATGAGTAACAATCCCTCTCTCCCACCATGAGTTGGGTGACCCGATCTTACAATCCTCCTGAGCGCACCCGAAATGACTATACCGTGGCTTGTATATGCCCCATGGGCGTCGAGCTCGCCCCAGTTGAGGCTTTGCTCGACGAGGTGTACCAACTTCCTCCCCTCGGAGTGGACCCTCTTCGCCCGCGCCTGAGGCGATCCGACCAGCCAGCCTACACTGTGGGGCGCATTGGAGCCTATAGAATTGTCGTGGCCGCTATGCCACGAATTGGAAATAATATCGCCGCAGCTGTGACAACCCAGCTGCATTCCGATTTCCCCTTCGTGGAGTTTTGCTTCCTTGTCGGTGTTGGTGGGGGAATTCCTGCTGATGCTGACGACCACGATATTCGGCTAGGAGATGTTGTGGTCAGCCAGCCTTCAGGAGTGTCCGGTGGTGTCATACAATACGACCTTGGGAAGAGAACATCATACGGTTGTTTTGAGCGTACAGGAATGTCAGCCCGCCCTCCGGCCATCCTAAGCGCAAATGTTGAACGATTGAAATCCCTACATCGACGAGAAGGAAGCCGGATCCCACAATTCCTTGCGCAGATGCTAGAGAAGTTCCCCAACATGACGAAAGACTATACTCGTCCGGCTGTAATTCAAGACCAACTCTTCAATACTTCATATCACCATCAGGGTGGCCTGACCTGCCAAAATTGCGACCCTTCACAACTCGTCGCGCGAAGCAAGCGCACTTCTCACGATCCTCAGATTCACTATGGAAACATCGGTTCCGGAAATACTGTCATCAGAGACAGTTATACCCGTGATGCCCTGAAACGAGATCTAAACATAATTTGTGTCGACATGGAAGCAGCCGGATTAATGGATGCCTTTCCCGGTCTTGTCATCTGAGGTATTTGCGATTATGCTGATTCTCACAAGAACAAAAATTGGCAGCCATACGCCGCGGCTGTTGCGGCCGCATATATGAAGGAGCTTCTATTGATCATACCGCCGAACGAATTCGTCGAGCAGCAAGGTGAGTCTACATCGATCCCATTCCTTGAAGATCAACTTCACCAGGGTGCCTCCATCACTCTTGCAAGATCTAAATGCCTCTCCTCTTAGCGTACAGTGTACTTTAGATTGTACCCAGATTGACTTGCCAGATAGAGAAGTGGATGAACGACCGAACCAACGTCCGTAAGTCAATACAAGTATTGCACACTTGATCTGAAGTGTTGCTGACCTACTGGGTTTCCAGTCATCCTCACACTACTCAAGTTCGAAAGAATGGACAATCGCCACAAAGAGGTCGCTGAGCCTTACGATCTGACATTCAAATGGATTCTTGAGGACCAGTTTCTGCCCATCATCACAAATGACGAAGGTCATAAGGAAGATCTCCAGGCACTTCACCAAGCTACCAGGACTCAGTTCATCTCATGGCTACGCAGTGGCGGTGGGATCTTCTGGATCAGTGGGAAGGCTGGCTCGGGGAAGTCCACACTCATGAAGTCGATTCGTCAGGCGTCGGAGACTCGTCAACATCTTTCTTCTTGGGCAGGTGAACATGACCTATTCATCGGCCATTTTTATTTCTATGATCGTGGAGGGACGCTCGAGAAAAGCCAAGTAGGACTCTTCCGGCACCTTCTTCATCAGGTTTTCACCCAGTACCCTCATTTGATGGCAGATGCCTTCAAACCGCAATGGCAACGACTTCGAAAAACTTGCCGAGCTTTGTTAGCCAAAGAACGTTCGTTTTCCGCAAGCCTCATGGCTAACTACCAATTTTCCCTGACAGAATTGCTTGAAGCTCTTCGAAATGTCATGTCAAAGACCATTGGCAAAATACGAATGTGTATCTTTATTGATGGGCTTGATGAATTCGCCGGAACCGACAGAGAGGTGATTCAGCTCATGACTCAACTTACGAGCGCTTATGCCATGTCTTCTGAATGGCATAAACTATGCGTATCAAGCAGGCCTCACGCGGCATTCGCAGCGGCATTCAAGAAACTACCAGGCCTTAAGATGCAGGACTTGACCAAAAATGACATATATCATTATGTCTACAGCCAGCTGACCTCACATGACTTTCTTGCGGAAAGCTTGGATACGGACTACAACATTCGTTTCGAAGCGGTTGTTGAAAGTGTGGTCACACAAGCACGAGGGGTCTTCCTGTGGGTTCGTCTTGCTGTCAAGTCTCTTCTGGATGGACTAGATCAGTTCGATTGGATACATGAACTGGAAGAGCGAGTTAAGGCTCTACCTCCGGAACTCGATTCATTTTATGATCGTATGGTGCGAATGATTGACCATAGGTACCATCGTCAGGCTGCTCGTATATTCCGAATCATGTTAGAGAGTCACGATCCACCTCAGCCGGTGATCCTGTCTTTCCTAGAAAATGATGATGACGAAATATTTCGTCATCCCAAAGAAGCATTTTCACTAAGTGCGTTAAATGCTCGAAGTCGATATATGGAACAACGGCTTAAAAGCAGATTTGGAGGCCTCATTGAGATCACTGACCGCCACAGCTCTGGAGGCAATTGGATCCAGGCCAGCACACAATTCTTCCACCAAACTGTTCGCGAGTATTTTCAGCGGCCAGAGCCCTGGAAAGTGCTGTTGGATGGCATCACTGTTTCTCCGTACAACATGGAACAGTTCTACGCGACATTCCACCATTTTACTAAACTTGCATACCTTGGGTTTTCGGATGTGAGGATGGCAACACTCGGAGACATAAGTCTAGGAAGTCCTACTTTGGCCCCCTCAGGCGTACATAAGCAGCAAAGAATGGCGCCGGCTCCTGAGACCCTTTTTAGAGATCTCGAAAGGCGCAAGCTTGCGGAGGACCAACTCTTAGTATTCGAAGCAGAGAAAACACATCAGTCGACTCGTCTCAAGAAACGCCCAGCAAATTTGTCCATTGAAGGCCGTTATCAGTAGTCGTTGCGCTGCACCAGGTCTTGCGGTCCATTGTGAATTTGTAAGGATATCAATTACAAGATGCCCAATCGCAGTCTTACTGACAAAGGCTTCAAGAGTGTGAGAATAAACCGTCTATCGCGCCTAGCAACCTATGGCTGAAGCGACCGGAATCATTGCTATGAGCAAGTTTCCCGGTGTTATCATTGGTAGCGCCCAACGTCACCTTACCCGCTGAGCAGGTTTCATGCCCACTTCCAACCAACGTGACCGCTTTGAAATGGCTGCTCCTACGAATTTGGACTTGGCATTGGCAACGCAAGACATTCAAAGTGATCTCTGCATCCCTCGGAAAATCTATAGTTGAAAATGCAAGCCCGTAAGCGATTGGCTTTACCAGGCATGTTGCAGAATATGGTAGAGGAGCGTCCCCTGCTGACTTCTCAACGCGGACTTCGCGAAACTGTGAAAGTATATTCAGTTTCCTATGCACTCCCTAGTCAGGCGCGCTGCAGAGCCAAGTCACTACGTGTGACGCAATCTAGGGTGGTATCCTGTACATACACAGCATATGATATGGCGGCCATGGACCAGATACTCCGGTTAGGAAGCACAAAGATCTCATGGCTGCCACACTTTCCAGACACCACTCGATACGAACTCAGAGCTTTTGCTTCCATTACTGTGTTTCGAGCCAGAGAGCAAACAGCCCAGACACCTCAATTGCGACCATGTCAAGACTATGCAGCCTCATCTCCATATGGACAATACTGGCTGCCATGAAAGAAACTACAGCGACCACCAAACGTAAATTGGAAGGCGCCTCAGTAACTTCGCAGCACCCACTGCATTCTTCACAAGAGCCCAAAGCCATTCCACGCACCGTGACTAACACACCAATCTCCTCTGCTATACCAGTACCGACCAGCTACGGCTTCATCCTCTTCCCCGCATTTGAGGTCATAGACGTCTTCGGGCCCCTATCACCTCTAAACCTCCTATCTCTGAACCAGAAGATGAACCTGCACCTCCTCTCGAACAGCCTCTCCGCCACATCGACTCGGCCCCACGCCACAGCCATGAACAGCGCAAACTCATTCTTCGCTGAATCCATTCCGCCCACGCACACACATTCACCTCCCCAACCCCCCGCGGCCGATATCCAGCCCCACATCGACTTCCTCGCCGCGACGTATCCGAAGCTGCAGTATCTGGTGACGGTATGCACGGGGGCTGGGCTCGCGGCGCGCGCAGGCGTGCTGGACGGACGGCGTGCGACGACAAGCAAGCGGGAGTGGAACGCGACCACGTCGCTAAGACCACAGGTCAACTGGGTCAGCCATGCTCGTTGGCTGCGTGATGGGAATGTCTTCTCTGGCTCGGGAGTTACGGCGGCGATCGATACGACGCTCGCGTTCATTGAACATGTGTATGAGAATGACACTGCGACAGAGATAGCTAATAGCATCGAGCATACCCGCTGGCCGGACGCAAGCTATGCATAACCCGTTCGCTGACCAGTATGGCCTTCCGTAGCCAAAGCTCGGTAGATGAGCGGCATCGAAAACCTAAGAGATATTATTCACATCCAGTCCGGGCCAATTCAGGGTAGAGCCTTCGCAACCAAGAAGATCCTCTCCGCTGGTGAATCGGATTACCCGCTGCTGTTGTGACAGGCGCGCAGCGGTCTGGTTTCGGTAGGGACTTTGTGCCTTGGGCATTCCCAGGCTTGCTTCCCCGAATGGGGTGGAAAGGGACGACAAATCCATTCTACAGAGAAACAGAGTCCCGATAATCGAAAATACCCTTGCGCTAAGCGCTACATTTGCCTTTCCCATTCCGTAGTCTTATATCCTGACTGACCTTCCCGGAAAACAACAGAAAACTAAGAGAGTTGTCGTTGCCAGGTACCCTCCTATCTAGTGCTCAGAGCCCCATTACTTAATTTACTGCTCGAGGTTTGTGTGGATACCTGTCGTGCTTGTGGACGGTGGGTAGTACTAACATACTGACTGTAACTCGTAACGAAGTGATTACTCGTCTTCTCTTCGTCTCATACATAAGTAGGCGTTCATATTCATATTCTCCTTCATATTCCTGTTCGTAGCCATTTTCATGCCAGCGTCCATCATAAACATTCCCTCAGAAGGGAGCTCCTTATTCCAGACCCCTCCCATCTCATTCGGTTCTGGGTCCGCCCCCGGCTCCGACTGTATTGTCGACCGAGAGCTCTCCTACCAGATATGCCAGCGGCACAAAAGATCGTCCTTCCACGCCATACGTCCCTCACTTCATCCGTAGCGGGTACATCATCACATGTTGCCTCTCGAACTCCTACCGAAAGTAATCGAAGCCCATCTCGACCTCCCAAAAAAGAAATAGAGCGGGGAAAACAAGTATCCGACGAACACTCATTAAGAAAAGAAAAGAGACACCGAGATACATGATATGACGCTTTACCGGAAGGGAAACACAATGCGACCAAGACTTGCACTTTCCGTTCTTCCTCGCTGACCAAGTAGTGAGTCACTCTTCAGTCACCAAATGGATCTCAAATCACAAATGAACGGAGAGGTGGGACTGGGGGGTGCAAGGGAAGTAGTATTCAATAAAGTCGGTTCGCTTTCTTTCCCTTTCCCTTCCCCCTTCCGCAACCCCCGCCACCACTAAAGACACGCCGAACCCATCTCGTGACAACGCCATGTCCGAGTCTCGGGCGCTTGCTGTTGTCGTTGACACTCTCGCTATGGTCTCCTTTAGGTGCAGCCGCCGCCGCCGTAGCTTCCGTTTTCGAGCGCGAAACAGACGCGAACGCGCTAAAGCGCCTTCTCTTGACTGGCTTCTTCTGTGGCAACAACAACGATGACGGTGCTGGCGGCGTGGCGGTCAGTGTTGGCAGGCCATGGGGATGACAAGGAATCGTGGAGGTGAGCTGTGTGAATCCTTCGAGGCTGGAACTGGCCGTGCCACCGCGGCGGTGACGTCTCGGGCTCGTTTCTTGCTCTGTTTGCTGTGATACGTCCGTCGAGAGCATTGGAGATGGGAGGAGGGTTGGCGTTGCAGGTGTTCGGCTTTGGGCGGAAGGATACTCCCGTCGTTGTTGCTGCTGGTGCTGTGGGTGGCCATTGTGGGAAGCTAAACTCGACTTGGTACCGAACTGATACCTCAGCCTTGCAGGAGCCAAGATGCGGACACCGCCGAGCTTGGACGGGAGGCTTAGACTGGTGGGCGTGGAAGGCTTTGAATCCTCGGGCTCGAGCTTCACCTTCATAGAGGCTTCATCGGCTGCTACGACACGAGCAATGGCAGCTCTTTGTCGATCTTGTTGTTGCTTTTGATGGAGCGGAAGTCCTGTGTTGTCCGTCGCGAGTCTACAGTAAGCAGGTCGACATGGTTTGTCAAAGTCTAGCACTGGCGTGCAGTCCACTGCGTTAATACATTTTCTAGGCTTAAAAATGATGTTTCTCCGAGTGGCTGCATCGGCGATGAATCTTTCGGCGGTACGGAGATCTGTGATGCTCTTTTTCATCCGCGCCAGGCGTGACACACTGCGGTTCGTTCGCTTGTCCTCCTCGTCGTCCCAGTCAATGTAGGATACTTCGTTTTCACTATCTGGGATTTGTAGTTGACAGATATGTGAGCGCACGCGAGGCTCGATGAGGTTGGGATTCAGCACGGATCGCAGTGGGTATTGGCTTATCTGAGGCTGTACATGGGTGGTATTCCAGTTTGGATTGGTAATTGTTCCCGCGGATTCGCGGCCAAGGCTCTCGTCTTTATATATCTGTAGAATTGAGACTGGTGTGATACTGGGGCAAGGTCCGCGATCAGGATGGGCGGAGGTGCCCCTTTGAGTGAAGTCTCTCGGAGCCATATGATTCATGCTCACTCTACGATCAGCAGGAGATGGCTCCTGGGTAGTTGACGAGAAGATGCTAACTCGGCCTTGGGGAGAGTCAGTGTCGGCAGCTAGAGAAGAACCAGTGGAGTGATGTGAGTAGGTGAGAGATGGAACAGGAGTGATGGTTCTTGCGGTGCGCGCGCGAGTTCTACTTGATGAAAAAGATGAATGTTCAAATTCAAGGGACAGAGTTTCCAGTTGATTAGATGTTGTGCTTCGCTTGCCAACGGTGATTTCCTCTTCCTCGGCTCTGTGAGACTCGTGATGAGCTTGAGCGGTGGACGACAAAGGACACTCCACACTATTGGAATTCGATGTGAAAATGTTTTGACGAAGGAACTCTGGCGTCGGTGGCAGTAGACTTGGTGAACGACTGTGAGACTGCTGAGTGATCCAATTGCCAAAGTCTACTAGAGAAGAAATCGAGTCACGATCAGTGGGATATCGGGAGTAGGGCTGCTTGTCAATCTGTTGATGATGTCTTTGAATAACATGTAGAGGTTGCGCAGTGATAGGCCACAGTTCCAACATTTCTTCTAGGCATAAAGACGGAGAAGGTACGGGATGGAAAAGGAGGGATTCGAAGGATGCCGAATTGGTCAAGGTGTAATAATCCCGAGAAGAATGACTTTGACGAGAGCTAGGTTCCGCGAAAGAGAAGGAGAATGAGTCTGGAATACAATGAAAGTCCCGTATTGTTGATGTGGGCAACATTTTCTGGGATATTTTGTCAAGGGTCGGCGTGTGGTGTGGGTATGTGCTCTCGATCTAGACAACCATAGGGATGGAAGACGGGTTAGTAAACAAGGCAATTAAAATCGCGCGGGCTAAGAATTCAATACCCTTTTGCCAGTTATCAACAATCCACAAGCATGCTTAAAGGGCAATATTAAGGAACGGCATTCTTATGAAGATCGACCAAGGAAGAACGAGGTGGAAATTGAATCTGGCCTAGATCGGTGATGTTCATTTCATATATGCCGTATCAGGAGTGAGTTTGTTGGACCCCAATGTTCAACGTGGCTTACCTGTCGCCGGCTGGTCGAATAGGCAAACATCATGCGGCGGGAAATGTTAGCTGCAGGCCAGGATCTGATGGATAGTTGGTGACATGTTGCAGGTGGAAAGATTGGGTACAAAAGTCGATCAAGGTGTTGATGGTGGGGAGCACACAGCATTCAGATTTCTGGCAGCGCCATCATTGGGTGAATCGCCATAGGTTTGAATGTGTACGGTATGGGAAGGGAATTTGAGGTCCAAGAATTCTTTCCAATTGTTTTTGGGGCCTATCCGTGCCCTGCTGGCCAGCTTCCAACCTGGCCCAGAAAGGCAGAGCAAGCATCACGAAGCAAGCCAGGCTTCAGTACGAGGTCTTGGCGCGGGCAAGACTCAGCCCATTTGGAGTCTTGGTTCGCGGCTGTCAGCTGTCATATTGATGGGGGTGCAGTGCATCAAGATAGGGAGGACCTGAGGTGGGAAGTCGAGATGTGAGTTGACTGACGGGGATGCAAGTCAAGGTGGCCGCGGAGATCAAGGAGAGATGGCCCTGGCTGGCATACCGACCCAAACTGCTGGAACAGGTTGAGGTACTCGGTATTGCGATTGTGATTGTGCATTCCAGTGGATTGCACCGGTGACCAAATCATGGATGCGTCGAGGCAAACCAATATAGTAGAGGGAGTCTTGCCTGACTTTCAACCACGGTTGGGAATTCTTTGAGATTGTGACCATCAGTCCGGGTCAAAATAGCAACCAGCCATGCAAACCCAAAGGTGAGCTGCAATCAGTACTCCATACAGACCACCTCAAAGATCAGACCGCATGGCCAGAATGGGTGTGAGTCGCGACAGGGAGGTCAGAATGGTGGTTTGATGACTCAAGTAAGCCACGGCTGTCCCTCTCCGAGACAATAGATATCCTACATAGCACATGGCTGCGGGAGTTCATTGAGAAAATTAAGATAAGGGTGGAAGATGACAGACAAGTGGCAGTTGACAGACAGGGGATCCGAGAATCAATATTGCTTTGGAGGCGATGAACCTGGCCCTTCAGGATTCGGGAGTGGCCGTACGAGTATACGAGGTAGCTCGTGCCCTGTCCTCTGTACGGAGTACCAAGGGCCCGCGTCGCTGGGAGTGTCTTTCTTCAGAGGCAGAGAAGAGACCCTTGCTGAGATGGATGAACTCGGTAAGAAGCCAAAGGAGTTTAGATGATGGGCACTCAGCCTCAGTGGCAAGATCCAAACCAGGATTTCGGGATTCCAGCTGATGGATGTCGAGGAGACTCGTGAGTCGTGAGTCGTGACATGCGGCCTGGCAGGTCTTTGTTCATGACGACGCATTTTGGGCGTGGGTCGTCCACTTGGCCCTTTCGCGTCTAGGCGCGTTTAGGCGTTGAGTGGGCGTCGCTGCCAGTCTCAGCATTGAGCGGATCCTTGGACGGAAGGGGCGGGTGAAGGGCCGCAGACAAGGGTTAACGGTACCAGGAAACTGGGCACCAGGCATCCCCTGGGCACTGGCGATGTTGATTTGTGAAGTGCTGACCTGTCCCCAGCCAATCTGGTTGCAAAGACTGAAATTCCCACGCAAGCAGAGCATCTGGCACGCATGTTCCTGAATGCTGGGTCAGGGACGCAGGGCGGTACCGAGTCCTTCGTACCGTGCCGAGGAGTTGATGGATGGTGGGGAGCAAGGGGAAAAAGGACATCAACTGCGAGGACGGAGAGTGTCAAAACTTGACTCGAGTTTTGGATTTCGCTGCCACGAGACACCTGCGAATACTCCTACAACTGACTAAGGGGATCGACGGGTCTGCATCTGTATCGATAGCGAGATGCAGGGGTGGTTTCTGGTCGGTGTCTGGTGTCTTCGCTGTTCGCTGGTGCAATTCCAAGGAAGAGGCGTCGGGTTGTGGGTTTGGGTTTGTGGGTTGTTGCCAACTCATCATCGCTCCCTTCCCTCTTTTCGCTCCGGCGTCGCGCTTTCCTTTTCCAGGGCCAAGCCCTCAGTTGCGTCTGGAGTTGACTGCAATTACCACACTTCGAATTCGAATGTGCGACTCTCGTCTATTCCGCAGCCTCCAGCCTCCACGACGACATCGAGCATCTTGAACCTTGGATATCCCCGTCCAGGATAATGGCAACTGGTCTCCAGACTGATTGCCGTCCTAAATCCCGCCGCTTCCATCGGGCTACCAACTATTTGGGGGCCCCTGCCGGCCGACCCTAACCACCTCAAGTCCCTCCATCACTACCTGCTACCATTCCCACTACCACGCTCTTTCCAACTAGACTAATACCCATCGAATAAGAATTAATGCTCCAAGTCCTCTACCGTTTCCATCCCGGCCAAGATACACACAGACCAGTGGGTCGTGAGAGCAAGAGAAGAAGGAAAAAGAAGCAAAAGCTCGGACGGTCCTCCATGCGACTGCACCCGCACCCGCACCGGCCCAATCCTGAACCCAACCCAACACTCACACAAACATTCATATTGCCTACTCCGTATAATAATTAGAAAAGTTGAACAAGCAAACAAAATTAATCACAAATTTCCAAAACACGAACCGCGCCATCCGTGGGCGTGGGAAGGTGTTTCGATTCCCTGGAGCGACAAGCCAGCAGCCCAACCTCTCGGATTATCGCAGACTCGGTTTAGACTCACGACCAGCCTCCCACCACCGCACGAACTCACGACTCGCACCTCACACTCTCCCGTCCATGTCGCTCCTCCATGCTTCCTCGCTCTTCTCCCTGTTGCGATCCTGCTTAGCCTTTTGAACTACGGAGTACTGCATCTCGAGCCCTTTACCTGCCTTCCTGCCTTGCCGTTTTTGCCCTGATCTTCTCACCACAGCCAACAACATTGGCACACCTCTTGCGCCCTGAGCGCTCATTACACATTGTCCCATCACCTCACCACACATTCGCCTACTGCAGACGAAGTGTCTACCAAACAAGATCCTCGTTTTGACGACCTTTACGAGTACTACGACCCAGACAACAATCCCCTACCACAACGCCAACAACAAGTCCTTACTCCCGCCTCTCAGTCTCGGACTCACACTCGCATCCAGACACGGCCACAATCCTCCCCTTCCAGTGGTGTGCGATCTCTACGAAGAACCCCGAGGTTAGAAGAGAGACCGACTAGGCCCGTTGTCAGGAGCAGAACGTCCACACCAGGTCTCAAGGGTTCCTACCGCCGCAGAGCACCTAGGTCCAACTCCGACACTCCTCCCCTTCGCTTTGATGAGTCGGGTTCTACCACCCCACAAGACTTCCAACGACTAGTCCGGAGTGAAACCTTCTGGCCCAAAAGAACAACCCGAATCACCAGGAATACCCACGACGCCATCGTTTTTGCCTTGGAAGCAATTCGTGCAGGCGGCGGTCGTAGGTCCCCCGAGCCACTGACTGCCGATCTGCTCGAAGAACAGGCTCGGATGTCAGATCTGCTACGGGGCAACCCCCCCACCTCTGCCCCTGCCACTGCCACTGCACGCGTCCAAAATGGAGGAACTGCTCGCACCACTGCTGCTGGTGACTCCGGTCCAACTCCAACTGGCCCTCCACGGTACAGGACTCCAACTGATGTCATGCGGGAAAGACGAGCGCGAGAAGCACGACGAGCAGAGGAGGCTGCCAGACAGCAGCAGTTACAGGAGGACGAAGCACGGAGAGGACCACAGGAAAGAGTTGTTGGCGTTGGGGATGATCCTACACGTAGACCCCCCCGAAGACCTTCGAATCCTCCTACACAATCCTACAACATAGCCGGTCCTTCTGCGCCACCCGCCTCTTCCTCCAGGCGGCAGGAGAACCAACCCCCAGATCCAGCAACTACTTCGGCAAGACCAGGAGGCCCCCCAGACCCTACCCGTGTCATATCCGCCAATACTCAACGGAATCGCACCGAAGCTTATGAACAACTGAATGTTCCCGCTCCTGCTACAGCCCGACCTCCCGTTGGAAGACCAGACCAACCCACCCAGGCTCATCAACCACCACGACAAGGTGCCCCTCCAACGGCGGCAGCTGGAGCAGCACCCGTCCAATCGGCACCCCCGCCTGGGCCCCAGTCTGGAACACAGCCCGGGCCTCGATCAGATCCACAACCTTCCGCAGCACAGAGTCGAAACCGCTTCCCCAACGCTTTCGACCGCTGGGAAGACCTCTCTTCACACTGGGAAGGCATTGTGTCATCCTTCCTCCGTAAACTGCAGAACAACGAAGACGAACTGGCGGGGAAACCCATTGATCGCCAGATGGCCCGGCAGATCGATGATCTATCTGCTGCGGGTGCCAACCTGTTTCACGCTGTAGTCGAATTGCAGCGTCTTCGAGCTTCGTCCGAGCGCAAGTTTCAACGATGGTTCTTCGAGACTCGGCACGAGCAGGAACAGGCTCAACTCCGACAAGAAGAACTAGAACGTCAACTGACCGCCGAACGCGAAGCTCGGACCCACAGCTCCACTTCCATCGAAGCGGCCCGTGCAGACAGAACCCGTGCCGAAGAACTGGTCAAGGAAATGCGCCGAGAGTTACAGATCAGTAAAGAAGAGGCACGGCGGGCGTGGGAAGAGTTGGGTCGAAGAGAGCAGGAAGAGCGCGAGAGGACCATTGCCCTGCGAAGTGGTGAGCCCACCCTGATCGGTGGAGTGCAAGTCGTGCCGATGCAAGGCCTGCCCAGCCGGCAGGTCAGCTCGGCTCAACGCCCACAAACTAGAGATGGTCCGACCGCTGGTGCTGGTCCGGGCACGCTGTCTGGTTCAGGCTACGCACAACAACTGCCATTGCCTCAACGACCTCCTTCCAGAAGCCAGACGACCACTACCTCTCTCGATTCCCCAGGCGAAGAAAGCCGCCAATTCACCTACCAAGGAGAGACTGGCACCTCACCCACTGTGACGGACCCATACACTGAAGGTTCACGCCGCCGTGACCAGCAAAGCCCACAACAGCTGCGCCACGAGCCAGATACACAATTCTACTCGAGCCCATCAAGACACCCGCAAGCATCCTCACCTCTACAACCACCCACCTCAGCGGCTGCCATTGCCGCCGCTCGTGCTATCGCGCTTTCTTCTCAGCCCCCACTGCCAACCCCCATCCGCTCAGGAACAGGCGGCACCGACCACTCCTTCATCCCATCGACTGCCTCTGCTTTCTCCGAAGAGGAATACCACATCAACCCAGATGGCAGTTATACACGAGATGATCAAGGCCACAGAATCCCGTATCGTCAACCGATCCAACGAGGTCCAGCAGGGTCGTCCGCTCTGTCCGGAGAAGAAGGCGAGATGACGGAGGAAGAAGAGGATGACGATGACGACCACGACCACGCCGCCGACATGGAGCGTGAAAGAATGTACGCTGCACAATACCGCCAGTCCCAGCCGGTCACGCTCCCAGCGACATCAATGGCGCAACAGCCACGCACCAGCGCGGGTGCATTACCGTCCATCCCACAAGGTCGAACCATCAACGCATCATCGGCCGAATACACCTCACAGGCACAGCAACAGCAACAAGGAGGTGCCTACGCCGCCCCGCCGGGCTGGGAGAACATCCAAATGCAGACCTCGCACCGCCACCCAACCCGCCTCAGCGACATTATCGAGGAGCAGACGGCACGCACTTCCCCCAGCCGTACCAGCTATATCAGCGGTCAGGGACTCCCTGGTGACGGCATGCCACCCTCCAGCGTACCGCCAACGACTCGGAGATGATGAATGTGTGCGTGGTCCGGGGCTCCAAAAATCGCTCTCTTGAAAATTTCCTCCGAAGAGAAGAGAAATCCATCATGGCCGGGGCGTTATACCGCCCTTCTAGACTCTAAGAGTGTACCTAGTAATTTGGTTGGTGGGTGGGGTGTATGTGCATAAAACAAAAAGGAGTGGGCAGGGAATCTGCATTGAGTGCATGCATTGAATAGCGTAATAAGCCAAAGCCCGGCTGATCTGTAACTTATCATCCGTCATCAAAAGTTAGCTGGCCAGAGAGGAAGAGGAGGATTTTCGCTGGATTCCTAGCCACCCACCGTGGTGTTGTTTGTGTCACTTATTTACCTCTCTATGGGCAAGCGATGGCGTATATAGGAGTGGGTCGGGATCGAGATCGGGATCGAGATCGCTCACCAGTGGTGGATGGTGAGGTATGTATGTGTGTGCTGATCATCATCATCATCGAATCAAGAATGCATCATCTGGGAGTTTTTGGCTCTTCTCATTATCATATGACACTTGTTTCGTGTTATCATCGTTTTCTCGTTCTCGTCCTCATACTTGTGATAGTATTCCCGAAAGGGAGAGTCCCAGTGACTCCAGTCCTGATGGTGGCCAACAACACCGGTTCCGTTCCTGTCAGCCTACACAATATTGAGAACCAATCATACTACCAGTATTGCAATGTCGTCAACAGTCACTCCCTTGTCGTGGAGCTTCGTTCTCATAACCGCCACTGGCTTTCAATTTCTTCTAGTTCTGTGTCCAGAAATTTGTTGTTCATCAATCGTGCACCAATTATGCACCAATTATGCACTGCTCGTTGTCATCTCACAGTCGAATAGTCGTGACAATAGAAATCATCCGTTCCACGCACTCGGATTCGAGTCGATTGTTGGTTGAGTGTAACACCAACAGGTTCGGGTGAAAGGATTGAACGCGGCTGGCTTATTTCCTTCATTGAAGCATATCATCGCTGCACAAGCTTCGGCTGTCATGATTGTAGTATACACGTCAGGCTCCTTGATTCCCCGAGTGGTAAGCTTAACTTCTTGCTCGGCACTGTTGAACATACACCCACAATAACCATCAGTCCCCTGAATCATGTGCATATGGTAGAAAGGACATGCCACGACGCAGTCCGCAGCAAAAATCTGACGCTTCTCAGGGGCAATCAATCCGGCAGTATGAGGTAAGCTGCGCTTCTCACCGCCGGATAAGGTGACCAGTGCCAATGCGACGCTCTGACTAGTATCCATCTTGTCGATGTCCCGCACTTTGTTGCTGCTCACGACAGAGTAAAGTGTGCCATCTGCAATCTTTTGTATCCAGTATGTGATGACTTGTGGATTATACATATTGACAGCAATGACTTCGCAATCAGCAATCACAGTTTGATTAACACCCTGCCCTTCGTGGACGACCTTAGGGACCAAGGCAACGTTTGGTTGAGGATCAGCAAGGCCAATGCTGTCACAGGGGAGGCTGACGCTTGCATTCACTACAATTGTCACGGCAACAGGCCCGTTGAGTTGAATAAACACCTTGAAGATACCACTCTTGAAATAGGGAATGATTGAACTGACTGTGGCGGTGTTCTGTGGTTGAATCGCCAGGGCTTCAGCAATCAGATCTGGAGTAATGTCAGGCTTTGGTGGCGGGATGTAGGAAGGTTCAGGATCGGAGATTTGTACTACTGATTCATCCTGTCCTGGATCGCGTTGCTGGAATTGCGTCAAGGGTGATCCTGGATCCTCGGGGTTCGTTCCCAGAGCGATCGGTATGGAGCTGTCGAACAGATCTCTTACTGTGCTGCAAATACATGCATCATCGAGAGTAGAGTACATGGCTTCTTTATCGCCACCACATACTGTTTCAGCGCAGGGATGGGGGATCTAGTAATGGTCTCCTGTTAGTGGGAGCCAGGCCATCAGGGATCATTGATCTACCTGGATATCAGGAGAGTCTCTGCAAACGCATGACAGTGTTTTGTCGTCAAAGTATGCTTGGCCAAAGGCACATTTCATGGTCGAATAGATATTGACACCAATCTCTAGGCAGGGTTGCTCCTTATCCGTCTTGATCTGAAAGGATATGCGTCAGCGCCCATTCAAACAAGACTGAAGCTTACCTTACCTTATTGCTGGGCCTATCAGGGCACGTGCAATGTAACGTGTTTGGGTCGAAGTATGCCTGGTTGAAAGCGCAGTCCAACTTCTTGCAGATGCCTGATCTGAAGACAGTGCATGGTATTGGTCGGTCCTGTCCTGCTCCAGGCCCCAATGCGGTCTGAGTTGGTGCCGCAGACACTACGGCAAGGAGTGTGACGAACAACTGTAGGTTGTGAACGGCAACCATGATTTGTTTGGAGAAACTTTGAGAAAGGGTCGGGATTTTGGAGCAGGTGATCAGGACAAGGACGGAAGATTCAAGAAACGATAGAGAAAGAAGCAGAAAGATTAGGCTGGTAGAAGATAGAGTACATAGGAGCAGTGTGAGAGTGGTATGGTATGATAGAGAAGTGATTGAAAGGTTTTATGAATCCTCTTGAAGGTGATTGCCAGACATCTGAGAAGTGAAGGCACGCATGCATTCGGAGCGGCACTGACGGGGGGCAAGGGTGGGCACAACCTGCACTGATTCCACATCGCTACTTCCAGTCTGTGAATTAGAGCCCTTAGGAATGGGAACTTCTGGTATAGTGAGGTCGCGATACAGTGACGACAATACGTGATTGAGCAATAAGAAGGTGCCGGTGCCGGTGCCGGCGCCAAGAGATTATACGGGCAAGGCTGCGCTAAGACCAAAGAGGCCGACGAGGCTGAGGCATCAGCCGGCTTGGCATTTGCAGGGACCAGCCTCGGCCCAAAACACCACCACTTTGACCACTTGACATGCTCATCGTCAATCCACAGCCTTGGGCAAAAGAGTGCAGGTAAGATGTGTTGGCATTAAACGACTGTATCCGGCTTGATACAGCTCACCACCATCACGCTTTCCCCAACCCCTGTTCTGATGATGTGTTTCACTCTGGTTGATCCGTGTTCTAAGCGAGTGGCTGGGAGCCGTCATTGGTCTGCCTCAATTCCCAACCACCACCACATCCCAGCCTCACCACCTTTTCCATATCTTCCATATCTTGTATTCTCCGAACTCTGCTTTGGCCATCCCTCCATGTCTCTTCCCACTTTGGTCAACGTGCGTCTTTTAGCTTTTGCATTTGTTTGGTCCTTGCACTTGCACTTCTCAGAGTAATGAACGTGGTAGCAGACGCTCAGATCCAAACTGTCAAACGGGAGACTCCTCAGTACCTTCGTTCACAATCTTTCAAGTCCGACGCTGCCTCCAACGAATACTTCTCAGACTATGCGTCGGACGCTGTCAGTCAAGACTCCGACGATAGCAAAGCAAGCTATGAAACTCCGCCATCTCGAATATCAACCCCCATTGTACAACAGACTGCGCAGGAGTCAGAGATGACCCTACCATCGAGACCGGGTGCAACTCACCCCGCTCCATTACACATCAGACAGAACGAGTCCGGAGAGAGGACTGTTCGAATGCTCACCAACTTTGATGAAATGAGCCCCCCCACCCCAGGCGTGGACGACACCCCATATATCAGATTTGCCATTGAGCAATTGACAAGAGATGAAGATGTTACAGGCCAGGGCAGACACAGTACCACGACCCCCCTCAACTACTCTGCCATACCCTCGCCTCCTGAGCCTGCGCAAGGCTCTACTGAGACTCTTGCGACCCCTACCCCATCACCTCCTCCACCAACACCTCCCCAGCAACCGCGAACTCCTACGCCTCCCACGCAAACACCGATCCAAAGAAAACCAGTTGCGCAAGAAGTCATGATCCCAGTAGATCTATCGAAAGACTTGCGATCACAACTTGGATTTGTACCACTACCACTCCGCCTTCCGTTTCTCGTCTTATATTTATTCCTATGCCTATTAATGATCGCCGCACTAATATTCAACCTCATCTTCGTCCATGGGAATCATGGATTATACGACTACGATGGAAATGCCTCCCCACGATACTTTGTTTTCAAATATCTCCCCCAGCTACTCGGTCTTTTACTGATTGTGTGGCTGTTTGTCATTGAAGCCGCAGTGTACCGAGCTCTCCCATACTTTTGCATGGCGCCAGGCCACCGCAACAACGCCGTCTTGCATGGAATGCGGATACTTCCGGTAAACTTCGTGCTTCCAGATTTCACTTTCTTTCGAGTGGGTGAGAAGCTGCTCGGAATTGTCTTCGTCACGTTCTGGCTGATGAGCTTCACGATCCCCCTATTAAGCTGCCTTTTCCAGACCCAGTGGATTACCAATGACGGTCCTGCGCGTTTCCGATGGACAGTTGTTCGAGGTGTTGGTTGGACATTGGTCGCCTTGTACATCTTGCTCAGTGCTGGTGTAACCTTCTGCCTTGTTCGGTTCCGAAGCAGCAACTCTTCCCTATTGTGGGATCCCTGCTCCATAGCAGATTTGCTTTGCCTATTCCGACGCTCCAATGTTGTGTCGGATTTTGAGCAAGCCGAGGTCTCTCCACAGCCAAATGCATCAATGCCACCCAAAGTACTGCGCCTTGGGTTTTGGACCACTTCTGAGAGATCTGATGTCTTTCATGGCGTGGGAGAGGAATACGCTCCTATCAAGCGGCTTTCCTTTCCTCCCAATCGGCAGAAGGAGAAGCCGGTCGCCGGGTTTCTCGGTCGAGATGATACGCAGGATGTCGAAGCACAACGTTTGTCGTATGGGTCAGCATTCACTCGCAACGTCCACTCTCCATTTGTTCGGTACAGATGGGTTCCATGGTTTCTGCGAGACTCTGCTGTCCTTGCATCCATCATTGCAGCGATCCTCCTCGTCATAGCCTTCTTGGTTGTGAGCTTTGTCAACCGTGCGGTTCAGGATGGCTTTGACCCTTTACTGCCATCACTAACGAACGCCGCCGGTTTCTCACCTGCCAACTTCCTCTACAGCTTTATTCCGAGCCTTTTGGGGATGATCCTTTTCCTGATATGGCAACCTATTGACATCTACTATCGATCGGTTCAGCCACTCGCTAATCTATCTCGCCACACTGGTGCCGACGCGCAACACTCGCTTCTGCTGTCATACCCTGCACAGACGCCGCTTGGTGTTGTGATACGAGCCGTGATCAATGGTGACTATAAATTAGCTTACATCACCTTCATCGGTCTACTCTCTCTCTTGATTCCTGTCCTCGCTGGTGGTGTCTTCACTGCGCGATTCTACGAAAGTCAAAGCCAAGTAAAGATGGTGGCCAGCATGCCTGGTTATATTGCTCTCTGTGTCTTCGTGCCGATATATGCATTATCTTTCTTGGTGGTCTGGCCAACAAGGAAACGATATCTACCACACAATGTCAACACTATTGCTGGTCTCATGAGCTGGCTTTACGCGAGCCCCCTTCTTGATGACGGCATGGTACAAAATGTTCGGACAAAGTCCGATCTGACTTCGAGGCTCGTTGGTTCTTCTGCATCCTCTGGTCTTACTGGAGACAGCTCCGCAGATGAGAAGTCCAGATTTGGCCGTCGTATGCATACCAGCACACGAGGCAAAGCGATTCGATATGCATTCGGCGTCTATGTCGGTCGCGATGGTAAGGAACATTTAGGTATCGACAGGATGCAAAGACCTGGCAGTCGGGAAATGCTTGTCCACCACGCAAGCGACAGATTCGACTATTCTACTATTGCGAGACACTCTGGCAGCAAGTGACCTGGCAACCTTTCAATTCTTGCAACAAATCACTTCCAACTTACAACCTTTTTAGTCAATCTGGGGAGATGGTAAATTGGTTTCGGACCAACATTTGGCACTGATATAAATTTATGAACCCGATCAATAACGGATATGGACATGGATAAACGCAACGCTACGCAGCACATGGGTCTATGGAGTTTTTATGCCAAAAAGGACATGATTAAGGGAAATACAATGGGCTTGTACTAGGCTTGTAGAACGGACCAGGACATAATCGTTCCCAAGTGATGCATACATTAGCTCGATATATGGCATGAGAGATACCCTAATGGAATTTGCCATATAAAAACAAGCTGAAGAATACTTGTTGGTCTTATCTATTAATTGACTGAACTGGGTAGTCTTTTGTCCGCCGCGATCACATCGATGCTCCCGACTTTGTCGCAATTTCTAGCCAACCTCTATGTCGTGCGCTCCAATACTCGGTATGCAAGCGCATGGAATCAAAGATCTGTCATTCATACCACCGTCGACCCTCGCTCCTCCATCTCCCTCTTCGTCCGAAACGCCTCCAAGGCGCCCTCCAAAGTCTGCCTGTTCGTAAACTGCAACTCCACATCACCCACCCACCCAGCCCGAACCTCCTGCTCGGTAGCCCACACGAACGCCTGATGCTCATTCGGATCCAACTTAACACTCACCGAGTTCTCGCCCCCATCATCCCCTCTCGTCTTCTCAACATCCACCAGAAAACTAAATTTACACACCAGGTTCCCCGTGCGCGTCAAGAAGATGTGGTCCGTCCCACCAACCAGGGGCCCGATCCGCGTGGCTTTCAGGCCGGCCTCCTCCCACAGCTCGCGCGCCACGCTGTACAACATGCTGGGGTCCTCCGGGTCGCATCCGCCGCCGGGGATTTCCCATTTGCCCGGCATCGAATCGTGCACGGAGCGTTGGATGAGCAGGAGTTTATTCTCGCTTGTTGGCGACTTTGGCATCATTCCTGGTCCGCTGTTGTCGGGACTGCAGCCGCTCTTCGGTGCCTTAGGTGTTGTCGGGTGAGACTCGATCACGAATGCCCCGCTGGCAACGTATTTGTAGCGGAACTCTGCTTCGGGTTGCTTCGCGACGTGGCTTTCGTAGGGGATGTCGTACTCGTCCACCAGGTATTTCGTGTAGTCGAAGGCCGGGCACGGCGGCTGATGTGGGGTTTTTGGCTGTGTCATTTTCGAAATTCGGCAGCCGCTCGGATTGAGATTTCAATGCTGTATGTAAGTTTTATTATGTTAAGCTTCGCGTGGAGATGCGGTTGCTTTCCATGGTCAATGCAATCTATGTATACTGTTGAAAGCACGCCCGGACTAGGTGACGGCGTGAGTCACTGTTGCGAGACCGGTGTGGTAAACACGTTCTGCCTGGAGGTTGGTTCTGATCGGGCTGAGACGTGGGTGAGATTGTAGGTGGATGGCCCACCGTATTTCCTACAAAAACTTATCAAGAGTCAAATTGGACGAGAGGGAGAAACTTTCTTTGTGACAATTGAGCGAATTCTAGGATCATCGACTGCGCGCAGCTGAAATTATCCGTGATGTGATGTGACGTGCAACTTTGATATCAATCTACCGGGATCGCGATTTATTTACCCACTAAGCCCTTCGACTGGTAGTCGAAGGGGATAGAACAATGGCTTGCAGGCAGCAACAAATTGATCCGGCAATCGCCCTAAATCAACACCAACAGAGACACTGGGTACCGGCTCTAGACCTCGTCCGATCACACTGTGCTGTGCCTCAATATATCGAAGACGCTGTAAACGAAGACACCACTTATGCCCATCACCAACGCTGCCAATCGCTCAACCACGAGGACCTCGAAGCTAACTTTCACTTTGCAAAAGCCACCTGCAGGCCTTGCCTGCCATCACCCCATTTGACCATGCCGGCAAAATAATCATGGGCGCCTTCGATGTCGTCCTGCGTCGTTTCAAACAGCTCAAGGTTCTCTCCGAACCGCCGGAAGATCGTTGCAGTCACGCTGTACAACTCTGCATACGCGAGTTGACGACCGATACAGTCACGGCTCCCTTTTCCGAAAGTCAAAAGGTACGGTTCAAGCCTCGTAGCCTCACTGTGGTCAAGCCATCGCTCAGGGATGAAGTCATCGGGATCAGAAAAGACTCCCTCGCGACGCTCAATGAAGAGAGCTGACATTCCCACGGCAGTGCCTGCTGGGATGAGGTGCTCGCCGTAGACCATCGGTTTGGGGATGACTCGAGGTAGTCTAGAGTATGCACCGACAGAAAGCCTGTCGTTTGTGTCAGATTCGGTGTTCAGTGTAATACGAAGTGGAGCCATGATTGGGGGGCATCCAGGCCTTACCGTAGCGATTCTTTAATCACAGCAGTCAGGTAAGGCAGTTTCTCCAGGCTCTGCCATGTGGGAATATCTTTCGGGTCGGGGATTGCTTCATGCAACTCCTTGACCAGCTTGCGCTGTCTTTCTCGGTCTGCCAGAATCACATAGGTCATGTGCGTCAATACCGCGCCAGTGGTCTCAAATCCAGCAGCAAGAAGACTGTTCGCATCGATGCTCAAGCGATGTAGAGTCTTCTCCTCGGGAGGCAGGCTGTCGCTGGTAGCAAGAGCGGCCAGGATGGTGCGCATTCCGGCCCGATCTTTCGCCTTGACCTCGTTATTGACCGCCTCCAAAGTCCACTGGTCGATTTGAGCTTGCATGTCAAGGACCTCGAGAGCTTTTGGACTGGCCACGGCCGTGACCCACCTTGGTAAGCCAAGCATCACTGTCATCATCCAGGGGAACTGCCTTATCACAGGACTTAAATCCCAGAGGCTCCTCCAGGAGGCATAGAACGCCTTGCCGAAATCCTCGCGGTTGAGGAGTCCTAACTGGCGTCCAAAGATGTATTCACTAATGAGGTCAGCTGTCAAGCATCGGTATGCCAAGAACAGAGGCACGGGTTTGCGGGCTGCTTTGCATCCAAGCATTCGCTCGATCAATCGATCAGAAAGCCCTTGGAGCTGAGAGTGGAACTTCTGCACGGCCTTGACCGTGAAGAATGGTGTCAACGACTGTCGCCGGATTCGATGGAGATTTGCTGAAATAGTGGAAAATGTCGCTTCCGGGTTGCCCAGCATGGAATAGAAATAGTCGTACTTGTCGAACCGGTTCGACATGTTGTACAGGGTGTCGTAGAAAGAAGCATCGAGGATATGGAGTTCGTTTGGGCCGATGCGGACGATGGGGCCTGTAAAAGTGTTGATGTCCCATCAGTGATCCGGCTTCTAAGCCCTGCCTCGAACATGAAAGTACTCATGATTGCGACGTGACATTGGCTGTGGACTATAGATGCCCTCTGCCCACGGAAACAGTACTTGTCTAAGCCGAATGAGATCAAGACTTACCATATTTCTTGTGCATCTTCTCGACCTGCCAAATATAATTGCCCTGATGGACTATATCATAATACCCTTCATACCAAGTAGTTACCGCGGCCAGTTTAGGCCCTGGAAACCTCGCGAGTGGGTGGAAACACAGCCGGTACATGACACCTGCAGCACCCCCTGCCACCGCCACCGAAAGAACGAATATCACAAGAGACACATGCAGATTGAGCTCCATCGTCCTGGCTGAATCCTGTTCCATTCCAATACCGAGCACGAATGTCCACCATATCAGATGCTATCAAGTTTGAGGGGTATGCCAACATGGTGACATTTATGGAAACCCTGGAGCAGGGGGACACTCCAACTACACGACTTCTAGTATTAGGCTCTGCTCTGATATGCGGCCTTGCAAATGCAGTCAAATGCCGGCTGCGGCCGCCCCATAGCTTTCTCGATGATTTGCCCCGTGTATGGAATGGAGTACGGAGTAGGTAGTTACTTATGTGGTTGGAAGCTAGATAGAGGGTTACATACGTGCATCGCGGGAACGGGGCGAGGCTTCCGTATCTGCAGCCGAACCTGGCCCTGAAGGCCGTTGGCCACGTCATGAATCTCAACGGGCCTTCGTATGTATTGAGGCAAGGATTCTTCTTTTCCGCTTTCCTCCGTGCCTCGTCTGAGCCATCATCGCCTGTCCCTGGCCAGAATCCATGTGCCGTAGCAGACCACCAATCACACAGGATGCACCTAGCGGACCTACACTGTCATATCAACAACGTATCCCTTGGCCATATGTGCAGATAGTGCCAATCCCTTCACGAACCACATTAAGCGCGCCTGTAATGGGACTGCTTCCCCTTGGTCCTCACGGTCAGCGAATTATGATAGAAGGGATGCTCGAAAGCAGTATACCGGGTATTTCGTGACTGGAGTCCGCATGCGATCAGCTGTGGGCCACTTTGCATGACCTGATGTTGATGAAGGCTGCCAACAGCGGACCACTCTTGAGGACTGGACAACCCACCTCACCCATGTGCACCCTCTTCAACATGTGGTGTATTTCTCGTTTTGGGACTTGTTATTCTAGGAATTTTTAAATCGCTTGCTCTCACGGCTCTACCTTTCCAACATGGCAGCTGCCGGTGATGGCACATCAGCCCTTCACCCCGAGGCTGAACATATTGAAGCCGATACTGTAAGAGCAGATCCCTAGCGTCGCCAGTCGTAGCATTCAGCAGATGTAAGCAGACTGATTTCGAAGCAGGCGCACAATGAATCAGATGCGGACTCCGCACTGGGCAGCGATGCGTATGTGTGCAACACTCTGATCTAACTTCATTATGTCTGTCGCTAACCGCGAGATACAGTGCCAGCTACACGACTTCCTTGAAATCGAGTGTGCTTAATTACAAGTACGAGAACGGGCGCAGATATCTTTCTCAAGGGGAATGTTAGTACACATGGTCTCGGTTGCGCAACTGAGCATACAGGTTGACAGGAAATCCTATTTAGCATATTTTCTCCCTAATGATGAGGTCCGTACCGAGTCTAAGTATCCCAAACGAGCGCCACATTATACTAACTGGGGGTCAAGTCTGAGCTGGATAGGTTGGACTTGTATCATCACATCTGTACACTCCTCATAGGCGGAGAATTGCACCTCGCACCGATCGGGCCTGGGCCTCAACGCATCCTCGACATTGGTACAGGCACCGGTATATGGCCGATTGAGATGGGAGATGTTTACCCCTCGGCGCAGGTAACCCACTGACCCCAATGGCTGGTACGTGGTGCATGGTTGACTGACTATGTGTGTGCAGATCATTGGGAATGATCTGAGTCCAGTCCAGCCAAAATTGTAAGTACTATGAAATAAACATTCAGACATCTGGGTACCGCGAGCTAAGGGTTGTGGTGTCCCACCAAACGTTACGTTCGAAGTCGACGACGTTGAACAGGAGTGGGCATACAACATGCCGTTCGATTACATTCATTGTCGGTATATGGCGGGCTCCATCAAAGACTGGCCTCGGCTCGTGAAGCAAGTGTTCCAGTATGTTCCAGTCCCGGGAATTGAACCACACATTGATCTGTTGGTGTCGGTCCTCCCTAAATATACCTAATCCACCTCACAGGCACACCAAACCAGGCGGCTGGGTCGAGTTCCAGGACTTTGAGATGCGGTGGTACACACACAGCGGGGAGTTCAAGTCCGGCTCCCCACTGGACCAATGGTGCACGGAGATCATCGAGGGCATCAAAAGCACGGGACTGGAGCCGGAGCCCGGACCGAAACTGCAAGGCTGGGTGCGCGACGCCGGGTTCACGAAAATCAAGCATCAGCTCTTCCCCATCCCGACGGGGACGTGGCCCAAGAACAAGAAGCTCAAGGAGATCGGCGCATTCGACCTTGTGCAGTTCCTCGACGGCATGGAGAATATGTCCATGCGGGTTTTGACTTCGCTGAGAGGCTACACGAAAGACGAGGTAGTCGTCTTGCTGGCGAGCTTGAGGAATGACCTGCGAAATCCCAGGTTGCAAGTCCAGCATAATTAGTGAGTCTTTCCCCTGGTCTCTCCCTCCCTCGTCCACTATCTTTGTGTCAGGGCGTGTGCGCTATATAGGAGAGAAACAACACTGATAACGGTGCCTGCTCTTCTAGCCATGTTGTCTACGCGCAGAAACCGCTGGAGCCGAGCATCTAGACGTTATTCGGCGCACTAGTATGTCAAGGAGTCTATCGAATGTTATGACTCACGAACTCACCCTGAATCCTCAGCCTTGCTATATCCAGTGGTGGAAGTCCTCTATAAAACTAAGACTAGAACAAGGATCAATCTCCATAGTTCTAGACTTGAGGTGGTTCTACTCCATTTTTAACATCGAGTCTGTCAGTACGATCATGTACCGTCCAGACATATAATTCTCTGGTATTCTCTCGAACTGGCGTCTGCAAGAAGTCTACGCATTTTAGTCAAAAGGTCATCTAGGATTTTTTCCTTTCCTAGAAGAAAAGGCATATGCTATCTCTTGTTTGTACGTGAATCGGCCTCATATATACATGAATCAGGCCTAGGCTGTTATTGTCGAAGCCACTCGTTGTATCGACACTATCGTGTTGGGTACATTGATTCATTCACCTCACATAACCACTACCCCTCCTCCTCTAAAAAGGCATCCTAAAAAGCTCAACCATGGAAACAACGTCCCTCCCTTAGGAGAGACTGTTTGTTTGTGTGTTTTCGCCGCTTAATACTGGTACGGACTATTCACCTCCGCCTCGAGCACATACAGCGTCGAATTATGCTGGTCGGGCAGAAAATACAGCCTCAGCCGCCCATCGACAAGGGCGACGTCGAACGGATTCTGCGTGAGCGGCGTGCCCAGCGCGCTCTTCAGCGTGATGGGGACTTCCGACAGCGGCACCAGCGTCTCGACATCGACGAGCGCCAGGCCGCCGATGGTCACGTTCGCCGCGAGCGTCGCGACGCCCGAGCACATGGCGACCGCGCGGGACCCGTAGATGCGCGAATGGCCCAGGTACTTGCAGTCTTGGTAGTCGACGTAGAAGCTTGGGTTGCGGACGACTTTGTCTGGGGTGGAGAATTGGGAGTTTGCTGACGATGCCGATGCCGATGATGATGATGATGATGATGATGATGATGATGATGATGATGCTGCTGCGCTGGATAGAGTGGTCAAGTTCCACAGCGAGGCGTTGCGCGCGCCCCAGTTGAGGGTCATGAGGCGACGGGCTTTCGTGTCGTGGACGATGCCGCCGAGGTGGTCTTGGTAGTGGATGACGGGTTGGTGTTGGAGAGTGGCCGGGTCGATCGAGACGATGGTCGCGGTCGTGTTGGGCCGGTACTGCGAGAGGGTGGCCCAGAGGGAGGTGCCGTCGTAGTCGATCCCGCCGATGTGGTACTCGATGTCGCCTGGCGGCGTCAGTGTCGCGTCGGCAACACGCTTGCCCTTGCCGTCGTAGACCAGTATGTGGGCGTATCCGGCGCCAGGCGAGCGGTCGGTGCCGTTGATGATGACGTTCTTGCCGAACGGGATGGTTTTCTCAGTCCAGTCGCCGCGTCCGAGGATATATCGTTCTTCGCCGATGTTGACCATCCCTTCGGGCTCGCCTGTGTCACCGTCAAACGTAATGTTCTTGACCGAGTTCCAGACGGTCGTGCGGCCTAGGCGGTTGAATTGCGTGATGATCTCCTCGAAATTCGATGCTGGCCCTGGTGGAGGAAGTGGGCTCGGTACGAATGCAACGCCCGGCTGATACGCCGTGATGTTGGTAGCCATTGTCGTTGATGCAAGCATCCATGCCGATGCCAAATTGGCGAGTAGCACCTTCGAGTCGCCCTTCATCTTGAAGCTGATGCAATTTACTGGGTACAGAAAACGTAATTGTGGGCGACAGTCTCAATGTGTCTTCGTGAGCATATGTAGTGACTCACCCAAACAGAACTCTGAGCTTTCCGGATGTGGGCTACATTGCAAGTCTGTACTTATGCATGTCGAATAGAAGTCGTCAGTGGAAGCTCTGCCTTCCGAAATAGCTTGAGATTTAGCTCCAGTCGAGGATGGAAAACCTTCGCCACATGGGTGAACAAGAAGTTGGGATTGGCTCTGAGCAGGGCGGTTCTCCCTCGGATGGGACCACGTGTGGAAAGAATACTATGTTGCGGACAGATGTGAGGCAGTGCCTACCTGGGGATTAGTTGGGAGGCTGCAATTCACATGATGTAATTATCTGTTCATCCCGGATCCCTAGCAGGTATCCTCAAGCAGGGGAACCTCCTCTACCGATCTCGGAAAGCCAAGCAGTCAGAGCAGTATATTTGATTCAAGTCTTTGGAGGGCATGCATCGTGTCACCAGAATCTATGGTATAGCGGCACACTTGGACGAAGTCCCAAAGGAGGAACCGGTAAAGTGAAACATTAATGGTAAGTTGCTGAAAAATTAAGGTCATTATTGGTGATGGCTTGTCTTAACGCTCTATTCTTGGAGCAGAACATGCCAGTCCATCATACATGGAGGTTTGAAAAGACAATGGGTATCATATCAGACGCTATGCAGAAACAATATGGTTCCACACACATGTATTTACTCCAGCAAGCCCATGATGGGAAAGCACAGAAATCCGCAATGTAGGATAACCAGAACACCTCGCTAAGTCGTAGTAGATAACATGAAAGCTCAGAGACTTGACGTCCAAACATTACATGTTCTCCACGAATCTTCCAGCACTTCTGCCACTACTTTTGCTTACGCGACTCCCATCTTGACTTGCGAGACTTCTACCAACACCATCTCTCTGCATGCCCAAGATAGGAACACTCAGTGGTACTGGTAGTGGCGGGGCATCATCAGCCAATGTGGCTGGCTGCTGAATTGGTAGACGGATAGAGCTGGCAGCGGGACTTAGAGTCACTGGGGTCCTCGCTGGGCTAGGGCGCATCACCGCGAAGCCATCAGGTCGACTTGGTGAGTTCAGTGAGATCTGGCTGGTACTAGTTGCCATAGGCATGGAAGGTTCGGCAAAATCCCGAGTGCTGGATGCAGAGCCGATCGTAGGAAGGTCAGCAGTCCTAGCCCCAGTTGTTGCGGTTGTTGGAGACGGCGGGAATGTTGGTGAATGTGCTCCGTTTCCACCATAAAATCCATCGCTATCTCGGTAGAACGAAGCACTCGAGAGGCCTCGTCCCTGGTTAGGCTGTGGATTTTCTGGACTTGCTCCGGTCTCCTTTTCGAAAGCCCCATAATTGCCTCCATATGGATCGCCTCCACCGGCGAGGACAGGCGCGATTTTTCGACCAGCAATCCTCTGGAAACCCCTCTCGGAGTCTCTGACACTGAGGTCGGTCGTACCGGTGATAGACGTGTCCACAGTTTGATTGCTGTGAGGACGTAGGCGTCTTAGATTATGAACGACAGCGGCCGCAAGTGGAGTAGTGGATGAACGTTGAGACATGGGGTAGGAGGGGCCACTGGCGTCTGTTAATTCGCGAGCTGCAATTTGTTCTGGAAGCTCTCCGCGAGACTTTAGACGGCGACGATACCACCTGAGAAGGAAAAGCACGATTACCAGAGACAGAGCTATTCCAGCAACACCGCCGACGACACCGCCAACGACAGTTTGCTGTTGGGGAGTCAGACCTGGTCCACTTCCCCCAGAACCGGAGTTTGAGTCAGAGGTTGCTGAGGAAGGCGATGAGGCAGTAGGGGAACCTGCCACGCCTGTGTTCGCAACGCCGGTGAAATAGCTTGTGGAAGGTGCATTATATATGGATCCATCATCTATAGATGTTGTGGTTTCTGTCAGTTGGCCAAATGTATACTCAGCTGAAGACGAGGTGAGAGACGCTGTGACCCTAATGGTACCGGTTTTGGTTGTAGTTGTATCCCTCGAACTTGTAACGATGACGGTGCCGTTGATCAACGATACCTCAAAAGTGGAGGTTGCGGTTACCGTAACAGTGTGCTCAGAAGAAGTATCAGAACCGGTTGTGGTCCCGTTAAGAGCATCGGAGAGTACAGACCCGGCCGGACTGAGACCAGAAGTCGTGCTTGAGCCTGGGAGAGAAGTGGCAGGGGGCGTAGTGATGGATGTTTGTGAACCTGTAATTATCCCACTTCCATCGGTAGCAGCCGAGATTCCAGGAACCGTCACTGAGCCAAGGTCCGAGAGATCAACAACCGTACCCGTGGTTGCAGCTGGCACTTCTGTCAGTTTAGAGGTAGTGGTACCATCATTGATATTGACTTCGATCACACTGGCGGTAACAGTCGCATCGGGAGCACGAGGAAGAAGGTATATGCCAGCATTTCTCCGCGGAAGGACTGGTCTCAGATGTTGGTAGGAGCCGTATTTGTTGCGTCGCTGGAACTCGGTGAGACCGATGGTGCGTGTGGGATGGGGTCCATGGTTTAGATCTCCACCACGTATGCCTTGTTCGGAGGTGAATAAACCTTCGGTCATCCTTGAGCCCGTATCTCGAGGATTCCTTGTATCTGAATTTGAAATTTTCATTCTTTTTGTTGGTCTCTCCATAGTATTTGATCAGCAAGTAAGCATGTATGGTGTTGGTCTTGAGACGTGAGGGTTTGCACAGTTCGATGTGCAGACTAGTGATTACGAAATTGGGAATGTCTGGGCGAAGCCTGTCGCAAATGCTTTGATGCTTCGAGCGATCAGTTCGTGGATATCGTTTATTGTCGAGCGAACGATGGGCGCTGAGGCAAGGCTGCAGTGATCAAGCAGCGTGCGTTAAAGCGAGTGTATTGTTGTATGTAGTGAACGAGTGGAAGCTGGCTTTATATCCAGCAGAAAAGGGTTGGACCAAGTCGAGTCTGAGTGCAAGAAGAAAAGTGGTTGTCAGTTGACAGCGAAATACTAGACATGGAGCGGATAAAAGTAGATGAATTACCTCAACCCAAGTATTGCATTATGGATGGGAAGTCTGCGTTTGGCTTGGCCAGGTTGCGATGAGCGTTGAAGGAATGGAACGGCGATCTGGTCGCTGCGTTGCGTTGCGTTGAATGTGTGCGTGTGCGTTTTGGTATTTGCGAAATGAGGTGAGTCAAGCCCAGTTTCTTTGCCAGCCTCCTTGCAAGCAAACAGGGTTGTGATTAAGTTGCAAATCGATGTTGAAGCTGACGATAGGTAAACGAGTAGTACAGATATTAGATATGGTGTATTATGCGACAACTTGAAGCACACGACATGATAGCAACGAGGGTGAAGGACACGGAGGAGGCCCGAGACGGAGGCAGCAGGAGGAGGAGGTGGTGGTGGTGGTGTTGCGGATGGCGAGGGTCAAGAGGCGAGTTGGAATTGGAAGTGGAAGTGCAAGTGCAATTGAGTGCCTGACAGAAGGCGCAAATGTTGAAGGGTGGTTGATTGGAGTGGACTAGCAGGTGGCAGGTGCAGGGAAGGGAGGGAACGCAGGAAGGCGCTGCCAGAGCCAACTAGAGTTCAGAAGCGCAAAAACAAGTCGATCCGACCTGGCACTAGAGGCCACTTTAATTCGGAGCCACGAGACCGAGACCCCCAGGAGAAGATATCCATCCATTCAGCAGAGACACGGGCCCCACTAGTGGTCACTAATATCATTTAGCGTTTTCTTAGCGTTAGTGGCCACGACTAGTGCTCCTTGGCTCCGATTAAGCGCACTGTTCCTGCATTCAACACGCCAAAACCTACCCACTACGTGAACGGCTGGCTCTACCCAAGCATCCACAGGCCATCATCGGAGATGAAAGACAGCTTCCCACCTCCTTGTTCGGCAAATGAGCTGAACAATTCCCCCACTTGGGAAATTTGTTCATTTGACCAAAAAACAGCCCATGCGGCCTGCGAGGCAGTTAATTTCCATTGCCACGAAGGACGAGGAATCATTCTTTCACTGAGGTAACCTTCCCCTGACGGCTGCTGGTGGCCTGCAGAGTACGGTTCGATCTACAATTTTCAAGTTACTCGTGCTCGCAATTCATTCATAGAGAAGAGCCCCACGGCGGGCTCCGCTTGACCCTTCTGGGGCCACCAATGGACAGATCCTGGCTAACTATCCAAGGAGGACGTCCTGGTTGGATGCTCGGTAGTATTCCCGGATTGTTCCCCCCGGGTTGAGAGAGCGGCTACAATTGGCTACAATTGAATTGCATAAGGGAACACAGACATGAATCGATAGCCGAGCAGGTCTATTCTCAAGACAAGTGACCCTGATATCTCGATTCCTCATCCCCGGCCCATTCCTGCTCAATGAACTATCTCGGTCTGAAACACCAACGCTTCAACACAAGGCTTTGGTCTCAACGGTAAGATAAACAGTACCCTTACTCATAAGTTATAACCCATCCATAGCATATCCCTCCAGTGTCTTCGCATGTGTGAGGTACGTACGACGTAACCAACGCAGCTTAGTATCTGTCCTTCTCCTGGGCCGAGGAAAGGATGCCGCACACTCATCTCGCTACGGACACCCATGATCCTGGTCTCGCCCAGTAGCAGGGTTCAACAAAAACAGTCAAAGACTCCAACCGCCCTTGCCCGCTACCGCTTTCTAGAAAGTCAGATTATTTGGTACTCACGAATGTATCAGGAAGATTCATCGTACTTCAATTATTCATTGATTTTTGGACAGATGAAACACGAGGGTTTCCCCATATCAAGGTAGGTGTGTCTTCTCGAGGCTGCCCTTGCGGGACTGTGTACCACGGGCAAACTAAAATGCATTGCTTCGGGATCAGGCTCGGATTACGAGCTTACAACCAATTGGGATCAAGGCAAGCTACTTCCAGGGGACTACCGAGTACAGTACTCGTAGATCGCCGGGCAGTCAAATGCTCCCGTAATCGTCCAACAACAATCAACGGATTTCCTGATGATGAGAGTCTCGAGGAGGGTCGCTTGCTCTACTAAGTTCTACCATGTACCTTGTAGAACATGACCACATACAGTCACATGTTTCGGACGTCTGGACACCAGTGACTTGTCCATAGGACACTGCTGTGAGTACTTGATTCTGGTGTGCCCCCTTGCTCCAAGAGTTTCAAAGATAGGCCATCCTCGTCTGGACTCAAGATTTCTGAATAATGCCGGCTGTCCGGCATGCAGCGGCAACTTTTGGTCGTCACACTTCTAACCTCCAGTCTGATGATGCTTACATTGGTGCTCTCCCACTTAATAACTTGCATCTACTCCCGAGGTCCGCCAGCCTCACATCGGCCGACCACCGCTATGAGGGGATCACCTTTCTCCACAAGCTTGGAAGTGCGGGGTGGAGATGGGTGAAGTCAACGGGTTGCGCATGTACCCAGGTGTATAGCCCACGTTGGCGATAATGGACGACACTGAGAGGCCTCGAAGATGGAATCAAAGACCGACGTGTTCAGTCGTCTGGATGAAGTGGTACTCCGATCCATCGAAGATGCTCTTCGACGAGATCCTGAGTTCCAAGCAACAATCCGAAATGGGCAGCATACCTCATTTGACTTGGCTTGCAAGGACAATGGCTCTTCTCTGGCGTTCGTAATTACAAAGGATCAGGCAAAGGCCTATCTTCAGTCGAGTATGAATGCGAGACTGGAAACTCGTTTCACCCTCTTTGCGCAGTCAAATCATTGGAATGAAGTCTTTGAAGCCGTCCCCAAGCGGCCATTTCAGTCGTACTGGGGTATGCTACGACTCCTTGGTGCTAAAGCCGGTGTGGAGGTTTCCGGGGATAAAGCAGCGTTCACCGCTTTCGCTAGGGCATGGAGACTGGTCATTGATCTAGTACGGGATACACTCCGACCTCAAAACTCAAAAACGATCGAGAGGGCATTTCTCGAAGCTGATGAGCTGGATGATGACTCGATCACCGGGCACTACCTGTGGCTCAAGCTACCTGAGGTAGGTAAATGCAAGGTATTCTACGAAAAATCTGGTGTTGGTCTTCAGTCTATGCTGTTTCTCCACACGGCTGGGGCCGATTCCAGGCAATACCACTCACTCATGATGGACAAGTCGCTCCAGCAAAAGTGTACAATGTATGCCTTCGACCTTCCCGGCCATGGGCGGTCCTTCCCCGGTGAGCATCAATATCCTGGCGCTTATGCGAATTCGGAGGAATTGTACATTTCAGCCATCGGTCAAATGATACAAAGACTTCGCATCCATCGTGTCATCGTGTCAGGCGCGAGTATGGGTGGACAGGTGTGCCTTGCCGTTGCGCTTCGTGCGAGTGAGCTGGATGTGAGCGGTGTTATCCCATGCGAAGCATGTGACTACATCCCAGAACAACGAGCGCAGAGGATCTATTCCCTTACAGGTGATGAGTCGATACTCAACCCAGAGCGTGTGTGTGGAATGATTGCTCCAACATCTCCAGCAATCTATAAGAGACTGAATTGGTGGATTTACTCCTCACAAGCAACCAAAGTGTTTTCTGGGGATCTCAAATTCTACTTTGAGGGGTGGGATGGGCGGGACCGAATGTCACAGATTGATACCAATTGCTGCCCTGTCTATATGCTGACAGGAGCGTATGATTACAGCTGCTCGCCTGATATGAGTCGAGAGACCGCTGCAAAGATCAATGGAGCTGTCTTCGAGGAAATGTTGGGTCTGGGACATTTTCCAATGAGCGAAGATCCAGCACGATTCTTACCATACTTTCTTCGAGCATTGGAGCACATACAACAAGCTCACCACATTAGCTAGTGAGGCCAGGAAAAGCATGGGTAGGAAGGAACAAGGATGAACTTCGTGCTGCTTGGTTCCTCCTCGCGCCTTTCGGTCAACAATAAGTGGTTACCTAATAATAATGGCGAAGTTGGGGCAGGCACGCGCTTTCTCGCCGCCCCACCCACGTACGTTTCCTGTCGCGTGTCCGCAGGCGTCGCGCGTCATCAACAGTACGCGCCCGGATCTGCACTTGCCCGCAAGTCACTTCGTACTCCGTACACACACCTCATCATTGTTGGCTCCTGCTTAACTCGCCATGGCACTCGCTTCACTCTCCTCCATACATGCAAAACTCTGAACCACCACGCCGTTGGTTGTCGGTTCATAAAGTTCCTCCCCTTCCCACAATGGATGACGTCGAACTCCCTCCACTTCATTCCTCAACCCACGAGACTGCACCAAGATTACCACGTTCGCAGACCATTCTCCTTACTCGTAAACGAACCCATACCGATTATGACGATGATACGATCACATCGAGTGATCCCGCTCTCTTCTCAAGCGATGAGCATGCTCCGGACGCTGAGAATTATCTCTCTGGAAAACGCAAAAAAAAGACCTATCAAGGCTCATGGTGGGACAATCAACGCGTCAAGATGAGCAATCCGAAGAAACGTGAGTTTAGACGGAATTTTGATTCAGGCGTCTTCATGGGAAGCGAGACCAGCGACGAGGCTCTGTCGAGCGATTCTTTCGGACTAGAGGATGAGTTGTTGCGCGACCAACAAGAAAAGAACCAGTATTCTCGCGCTTCCCAGTTATTCGCTACTGAGTCTGTCGAGACTACCACTAAGGCCAAGGCTGCATCGAGGCCAATGATTCCTGTCGCATCCAGAGAATATGATGCGGTTTGTCAGGTTGTACAGCACGCCCTTGACCGTGGCAAAGAAGATGTCGATCTTTCGTGAGCAGCCCCAACCTCAACACGATACATTGATATCTGATGGTGAAGCATAGTGCCATGTCTTTATCCAGTCTGCCTTCCGAGTTATCTTCATTGAAAACACTCAGCAAGCAAGCCGAGATAGTTCCCGGAATGCTTGACATGGGCACTGACTTGGAAGCAAAACTCCGTCTTTACCTGGCTAATAATCTTTTCGTCCAGTTCCCAACACCAATACTGGATCTTAACAATCTCCGCGTTTTATCTCTTCGGCAGAACAACCTCACATCAATCCCTTCTACCATTAGAGAGCTTGTGAATCTTGAGTCATTGAATGTTGGTGGAAACCAATTGCAAGAGCTACCTTTTGAGTTAGTTGAGCTCGTTAGGTCTCACAGCCTGAGAACACTCTACTCTGACCCCAACCCTTTCATAAGGCTCCCACAGGTGGAGCTGGGGATTGATCCCACATATCGTGAGGAATTTGAGATGCCACTAAAGAAACCCATGGCCATTTCCGTACTTTGCCGTCGGCAGGTTTCAGTTCTTGGCTCTGAGCCCATCTTCAATAATAGTCGCTTTGCTGATACTCTAGGCATGCCTTCTCTCAGAGAACTAGCACTGCGAAAGTTGTCACAGCTTGATCCTTTCTCACAGATCGATTTCAGCGACCTGATGCCGGCTGATGCACCGAAAAGCGTATTGGAAGACCTTTCACTACTCAAAACTCAACCGAGCCGACGGTGTACAAGATGCCACCGGCCATTAGTACTTGCTGGAAAACAGTGGATTGAATGGTGGTGCCCTTTAAATGGCGACCACTTAGGTTCGACATGGAGCGGCTACGTTCCTTTTACGAGGGTCTTGTGTTCTGAAAAGTGCCTTGGAAAAGAAAATGCATGGTGTGCTGACCCTGATAAGTGAGCCCTTCTATTGCGCCCATCTGTATCTACATCACTCTCGCGAAATGAGGGAAAACCCGGGTCTGTATCAGCATCAGGATCGTTGCACAGAGGCGGCTTCGCGAAAGAACGGACAATTGGATCGTGTTACAGTTACGCGGAACTACATTTTAATATTCAAAAGATATCTCCTGCCAAACCACTCCTCCATCTCACGTAACCTTGGACTTTTTAAGGTCACCTCGCTCTCTGACTGCCTGAACATCCAAGCATCTGTAAAACGCTCCTTCTACTGCTGGGTAGCTGTAAAGACAAAACGCAATTTGCGACGGACTTTGAGATATTACTCGAGGGAGGAGAAGCAAGCAGTCCACAGGAAGCAATACCTTGGTTTTGAATTGTTTTTTCTGTTCAGTCAATCTTTCGATCGGCAAACGTAGCTAAATGGCTAACTATCTGGAATTAACTCAGATAGATACCTAACGGATTGATGGAGCGCAATACTGCAGCTCTCGCCAATTTTCGTACCAAGCAATCAAATACTTCATCGCTTGAACATATCAAAATATACCCACTTTCCCAATTCCTGATGACCTTTTATTCCTTTGTCGCTACCCTTCCATTTTCTTAGAAAAATCCCGAACCTTTTGACACAAAACCACTGTGTAGAGATGATATAGATAAACATGTTCATCTTGCGCCAAATCTCTGGAAAACGCCGGTTCCACCCAAAAGAAAAACACTTCCTGCCGCCTAAAAGGTACAGTCGTCCAACTCCCCGGATTCCCACGAGTCTAAGATCAGATATATTTGTGGTCGTGAAAGTTTATCATCGTCGAGAGTAAGAGAGAGAGAGAGAGAGAGCACAGGGGCAGATAAAAGCAAATAAACCAGATGTGGTCATGTTGGAGCATTTCATGGATGGAAAACACCGCTCTAGTTGTTTCGACCGAGGGTATTTTCGCACTACTTCTTTCGTGTTTGCATGGGTACAGCGCATAGCCCGCGGCATGATTGCAGAGCCGATACAAGACATCGGATGGCTCGGTCAGAGATCCGGCGCTGGACTCGGCGCTGGATGAGACTTCACCAAGACTGTGATCCTGGTTGGATTGCCTGCCACGCTGTGGTGTCGGCGCAAGTAGCTGCCGCGATGTCTGTTGAGGGTCTTGCGTCCGGGTTATTAAAACGTGCGATGGATTTGCGAAAATCACATCAGTATTGTCTATTTACTCACTTCGGTGCCGTGATAGACACGGACGGCAGTGGCATTTCGTTGAGGGGTGTTCGCTCCTTCTCGGGACTACCATCGTTCGAGCCTGTGGATGTGAGAGCCGGTGTAGACTGCGAACCAGTCTCGTCTTCCATGGTCTTGGGTCGAGATCCAGGATAGCTAGTAGTAGTCGAGGGGCGTTCTTCGTCGACCGGCTCTGGTTCTTCCTCGGTCTTCTTCTTGCCAAAAGCGCGCTTCGTGACTCGAGAAATCGCGCGGAACATCTGTGCGATAGGATGGAAGACGATATGGAGGACCTTCCAGACGGGACGGAGAACAAATGTCAATGCTGCAACAGCGGCGTTAAAGAAAACAGCGAACCAAGCATCGGGGAACAGCCGCACCAACACAGCCCACAGGAGACAGGGCACGGCACACAAGAGAGAAATCGCCCACTGAGGTCCGTTGAGGCGGGTAATGCTGAAAGCGCGGCCACCGATGAAGATGATCATGATCTGTCCGCCAACCATGATGCAGTTGATGCCCTGGAACCAGAAATTCTTGTGGATGCCTTCAAAGATGTTGAACTTGTTGTCCAAGCGGCGGTTGTTGAATTCATTGAAGATTTGCATCCAGACGAACGTGTTGAAGACGATCGTGTTGAGTTCCGTCTGCTGGGTGGGCTCATAGTTGAGGATACGCATGCCTGCAAAGTAGAGCGTGAAGGTGACCACCAATTGGTAAATGGCTTGGCCGATGATCATCTTCCACATGTTGATTGTGATGAGCGCTTCCGACTTGGGCTGTGGTGGACGGTCGAGGATCTTCTTTGTCGGGGCGTCGGTGGCGAGCGCCAACGCAGCAAGGGTATCCATGATGAGATTGACCCAAAGGAGCTGCACGGCGGTGAGGACCGAGTGGTTCGAGTCGTTGGAAACGGCAGAGACGAACGTCAAGACCACAGCAGTGATGTTGACGGTGATCTGGAATTGCAAGAATTTCTTGACTGCGTCGTTGACGGCTCGTCCCCACATGAGAGCAGTAATGGTCGAGGAGAAGTTGTCATCGAGAAGGATGATTGATGAGGCCTCCTTTGCAACTTCTGTACCTGCGATGCCCATACTGAATCCGACATCTGCCATCTTCAGTGCAGGGCCATCGTTAGTTCCGTCGCCAGTGACAGCGACAGTTTCACCGAGGTGCTTGAGGCGGCCGACCAAGATTCGCTTATCTTCTGGCGACGACCGAGCCAAGACACGCAACTTGGGCAGGATGCTGTCCATCTCCTCGTTAGATAATTGGCGGAATTTAGGCCCTTCCATGACAATGCCTTCTTCGTCTTTCCGGAGGATGCCGCAGTCGGTGGCGATGGCGCGAGCAGTGGTAACGTTGTCACCGGTGACCATGCGGACCACCACACCGGAATGCTGACATTGTTGAACTGCTTCAATGACACCATCTCGAAGAGGATCGTGGATACCAACAACGCCAACCCATGTCATTTCGTGGAAAATGTCGGCGAACTCTGCCATCTTGGGGTCTTCCTCCAAAGTCTTCGCGCCTGCGGGTGGCCACTGCGGGAAGTCTTTGTAGAGAATACCGATGGTGCGCAGCGAGTGCTTCGCGTACTCCTCAATGATCGCTGCAGCATTCTCCTTGTCCTCGGCAGTAAGGTCATCCAGATGGAATTGCTTTTCATAGATGTTGGAGATTGTCTTGGTGGCATTGGCCAACATGATCTCTGCTGCACCTTTGACCAAAAGGCGGTAACCGCCACGCCGTTTGATCACAATCCCCATACATTTTCGGCCAGAATCGAATGGAATGAGCTGCTTGACCTTATAGCTAGAGCGTTCCGCGGCCAGGTTATCTAGGCCGAGGTGCTCCTTCGCGAGTGTGAGCAGTGCAACTTCAGTCTTAGAGCCAATAAATGTTGGCACCCCATTCTCCTCGCCGGCAAACGCAGTGCTGTTCAGTGTGAAGGAGAGTCGGAATAGTTCTTTCACTTCAGCGCTAAGCTTCTGGAACATCGTCGCAGGTGGCATAACCTTTGAATCTCCATCTGAATGTGTAGAGGCAAATTTCTCATTCGAACCAATCGTCCCAGCGACCACGGTCATCTTATTTTGCGTAAGAGTTCCGGTCTTATCAGAGCAAATTGTGGTAGCGTTACCCATGGTCTCGCACGCGCGAAGCTCGCGCACTAGGTTGTTCTCTTTGAGCATTCGAGTTGTGGCAAAGGCGAGAGCCAACGTGACAGCCAAAGGTAGACCCTCAGGCACCGCGACGACGATGACGGTGATGGCAACAATCAGGATATCCAAGAACTCCTGGGCTTTCTCAGGACCAGGACGTGGATCGTTGGATAGATGGCCGACGAATTTGAACAAGAGAACGAAGAAGAGGAGAATGGCAGCTCCTGAGCCCAGTCCACCGATCCAGTTTGCGAGCTTTCCAAGTTTGACTTGTAGCGGTGTAGGGTCGTTGTCTGTCTGGAGACTCATCAAAATCTTGCCGTAAGAGCTGTTGACGCCAACGCTGGTGACTAGATACGTGCCGACACCTTCGAGGACCTTGGAACCGCTGATGATGAATGGATCTAGCTTAGCGGTCGCTGTGCCATCCTGGATTCGCTGCCAGACTTCGTCTCCGGGAGCCTTCTTCATCTGGTCAGATTCACCGGTAGCGGATGATTCGTCACATTTCACCCCGTGACCAGTGATAAAGATGCCGTCAGCTGGAATGGCATCACCAGGTTCGAGATGGAGAACATCGCCGACTGTGATGTCATGGACTGAGATCATGATGGATTTACCGGATCGAATGACCTTGACCTCGCGATCATCTTTCTATAGTGATTTGTCAGTTTTCAATAGATCACAAAGCAAAAAGATAAATAGATAGACTTACACGCTTGTTGAGCTTGACGAATTGTCGCTCTTTCTGCCAGTCGTTTGCTGCTCCAACAGTAACAACGATGATAATAGCGACACAAATGGCAACGCCTTCGACCCAGTCGACACCAGATTCACCGGAAACGCTTTCATAGATGCCCAGAGCCAAAGATATGACGGCTGCGATGGTCAAGAGAATGAGGATTTTATCGTTGTAGGCTCTCCAGATGAGAACCAAGATCCCATCAGGCTTTCGCTCTGGCAATCGATTATCTCGGAAAACGCGAAGTCGATCTTCGAATTGGTCTTTGACCTCGCGCACGGATGCATTCGAGGCATGTCGAGCAAGAGGAACATTTGAAAAAGCATCTTTTTCGGACGCAGCGCTTGTCGCGTCGTCGAAAGTCACTTGGCCATCAAGGCGAGCCTCATCTTGCGACAAACCAGCGGTTAGACTTGTTCGTAGGCCCTTCTCGAGGCCCCGAAGACCGCCCATTGCTTTGAAAGCTGATAGAGATTTCGGATTTAAAAGCTTGTTCAGCATTCCCGGGGAAAAGGCGAAAGGATTGTTGTCGACCTGGAAATCCTTTTCGTTACCTTTGTCGGGATGCAAGGCATCTTCTGTCGACTCGTAGTCTAGACTGCTTTTCGAATGGACGGTGACACTAGAAGCGGCCGAAAGCCCTGAATTTGACCGGAGTCGATTTGCTGGATCGTTGGACTGTAGAGAACCAGATCTGGAATTGAGGGTGGATCCATCAAATGCATGTTTCCGATCAGGAGTAGTTGGCGATAAGTATGAGCCGTCATCTATCGCGGTTGAAGGCGGCGTTGACACACTAGGCCCTCTCCTGTGGGTAGGTGATATTGGTGATATTGATGACTCCGGCTGCTCTGTTAAATTCTGCATTGTGTTAGTGATGTCGAAAATATCCCCGGCAAAGGTTTCAGATTGTTGTGACTTACTGAAGTATCAAGAGTTATCTTTGGCGCCTGTGGGCCGGATGATGAAGGTCCAGCCATTGCGGGCTATGCTCCTATAGATGCCTACCCTAGGAGTTGTCTTTTGAAGTTCGAGGCAGGTGTTGACCATAATCCGTCTATAGCTATGCTGTGGCCGTGCTGAGTTGCAAGAGGCTTGTCCTAACAGATATGCTCGATGATGTTCAAGGACGGGGTGAGTAGCTGAAGACAACAAGGCAACTGAACAATATAACCAGGGCGGCTACACGAGACGATGACGATAGTACAATTGTTTGCCTTCAGGAGTTTTTTATTGAGGAATTGGGCAGGCAAAACACTGGCATGCAAACGCGGACCTCAGAGGCGTTGTTCGGAGCCATAGGAGGGTTCTGGCCAAGATGCTCAAGGGGGGCTGTGCAAGTAGGCATCTTCTGGGCAACCGGGCCCACAGCGAATAGGATACCCGGATCGCACAACACGAATTGTCACTCGGCGTTAGACCCAGGCTGTTTGAGAAGACGCCCTGTTTTCTTGAGATGGAAAGTTGAGATTTCTTGAGGGTTGATACTGTTTCATGAGCTGTCTGGTCACAGAGTAACCATAGTAATGCATATCCTCGAGATGGGATATACCATGGACATAATCACTTGCTGGCCCACCAGCCCAGCCAATTACATCAACCTTGCCCCTATCCAGTTTCTTGGCTAGAACCCAACATAACTGAGTCTTACTTCCCACGAGAACATGTTGCTGATTTCCAAGCACCGCCAGTTGTCTGTCCCTTACCATAAGATAGACTCGATCAAGCTCAGGACTGTCCCAAACATCGGAACTAACGTCGACTAGACCGTTTCTCTAGCGACGTGAGATTCGCCCAAGACGGAGCCCAGCTTGGCCAGCAGTGAAATTTGATCTTGGCCTCGTCTTGTTTTTCTTGACCTGCGTCATTGCAGATCAGAGTCTGTCGGAATTCTTTGGGCAGCCTACAGCGAGCATGGTGAGGCCACGGCTCCGGTGGAAAGTACCATGTCAGCTGGGGAGGCCAAAAGCCTAGACTCTATAACCACTGCCGCCTGAGCTCCTTCTGGTGTATAGCTGCGAGAGCAATGAGGATATGAGTGGGTGATTTTGGCACAAGTTGATGGTCTTACTCGGAGGCACCGCAGTCACATTCCCAGCCACACAGGCTTTCCAGCCACAGCGCGGCAGCCACAGTATTGTCACGTGATGCCCAATGGCCTCCAAATATATTTCGTCTGACAATTCTATTATTGCCCAAGGTCCCTGCAATTTATGCCGTTCTTCCTTCATACGACCCATGCGTCAGACACTTTATTTTGCCACCACCGTGGCGGAGCAGCTATTCCACTATCAAGCTTTGGAGGTCCGTGAAAGTTTCTCGATCCCACCCGATGATCGTCTCAACCATATCAATCATCCACTCCTCGAAACACCATGTGCATTCAAATCATCCCCATTCATCGGGAAAGTGCTCCGCATCACCTCCATGGACTTGCGGTGGCAAGCGGATAAGTGTCATCAAAAGCTACCCCTTGAGATTGTGTGCATCATTAAGATCTCTTCCTTTTGAGGCTGTGTTCATCCTTTCCACCTTTTCAGGTCACAGTCTGTTTTGCCTCGGCCTCTCGGCTGCCTTGAGATGCTCATTTCGGTTTCACAAGTGCTTATCCATCGCCAACATATGCCGAAGTTCGCTGTCAACACCTTCCAGTAGGGTCTTGGACCAATGCTGCGCCAGGTGAGCAGAACAGGTTCCTAGGCCCAAGAAACCCTGAAATGAGGCTGTGTCCAGCACCGTCTCTCTAATGGCCCAATCATGCTCAAATCGAACGAGCTACATCCTGTCGCGTATCAAGAACACAGCCTCGTTCCATCCGTTTGAGCCAATCTCAGAGTTCTCCATCATCTCCACCGAAACGGAGGTACCCCCGTTGAGGAAAGCCTCTCTGCTGTTCGTTGACACCACGCCATCTCTTTCGACGCCTCTATAAACTTGTCTGCCTGTAATCGAGAAAAGAGCTCCCAGGCTGCTTCCAGTGGCCATAGAGTGATGATGCGTCCACTGACCTTAGGTTTGCCGGTGTGGAAGAATTCGAGACATTGGCATGCGATTCGAGCCCAGCGGAACGCCTCCAGCATAGCCGCCTGGGGACGTACGTCTGTCTGAGGATCCCGTAAGAGGAGATCGTCCGAGATGCTGGCAATCAAATTCGCAACGTGGATTCTCACGGCTGTGTACATTGTGAAGGCGATGGCTGAGCATAACGAGGTAAAATCAAATGCGGCCTCCTCCAATCCCTCCCAGAGCGCGTGTTTTTTGTTGTATAAGCCGCTTCGATGCTGTGATCTCAAACTTCGTTCCCAGCTGTCTAATTCTGCCACAGCATTCCAAGCCTTTTGAAGACGCTCCCTCAAAATTGAGGGCCTCCATTTCTTTGTCATGTCTTGTTGGACGATTTCTGGCAATATATACAGTGCGATATCGAGCATTGAGTGCAAAGGCTGTTGAGCTGCCTCGAGGTTTTTCTTCCACGGGACTTGAATCCATTCAGGGTCGGACAAAAAAGCCCATTGGCGGTCCATGAAGAGGAAGGGGGTCTGTACGGCACGATATCCATAAAAATGCTCTCGGGTTGACTGCTTGTCAAGTGCTTCCGGGCCTCTGTGAAACATCAAAGCCCCAACTCCAAGCAGATGCCTGTTAAAGTTGGTCCACGATTGATTTGCAATCAGCTCAGACATGGCACATGTGAGTGCTGTCAAAGAGAGTATTATCGGATCAACACTTCCATCTCCCTCTTCATATTGAGTGATTGAATTTCTCAGCCTTCTCAGCGCTCGACTCTGAACATAGGCGGCTTGAAGCGCCATCTCCTCATCTCGCCCCTCCCTTCCGATAATGGCCAAAGATGCTGCGGCTAATGCCTCCATCAATACGTCTGTCTCACAACTTCCTATTCTCAGAGTTGCTGAAGTGCTCCAAGTGGAACAGCAGATCGTAAGTGTTTTACTCGGGGCACAGTGCATTTGCTCAGAGATCGACTTTGATGCCTGGTATTTTCTAGGCAATGCGGTCAGGAACTCATCCTCATAGGATGTGCCGCTGATGCTCAGTCCCATCTCAGAATCAATGGCCCAGAGCCACGATTTCGGGTCATTTTTGAACTCAACATCACTTGAGTCCAGGGACTGACTTTCTTCAAGTGATAGGTTGGTCAGAGGAGGCAATGGCGATGAAGATTGAGAACGAGGAATGAGCATTGGTGGGGTTGATTCCTTCCCTGATTCAGGGCTTGCACTGTCTTCGGCGAGCTTTTTCTCCTTCTGTCGCCTTCTAAAAGCTTGGACATTGGCTCTGACCTTTGCCCTTCGAGCCTCTACCCTCTCTGCCTCTGTCCCTGGCAGTCTTGGCCTCCCAATTGGCATTTTATCGTTGTATACTGCTGCGGTGCTTGGCGAGAATTGTTAGGTGGGTAGGGCACGTCAGTGTCGTATCACCCTTTGAGCATCTGAAATCAAAAAGACCTTGATATTTTGTGCTTTATAAAATTTTGATATCACCGATCATTGCCTGACGGGAGTCATATAGGTTGTTCCGCAGTTGCAAACTTATGGCCTCGCCACTAAGGTATCTCACCGAGACCATGGGGCTCCTTCAATCCTAACCGACTTTGAGCAATGCCCTCCTGAAACTGTGCCCCGACTCAGCACGATGCACTGTTACCCACATACCGGAGTAGCCACCATGCGAATAACCTGAGCACTCCCATTTGATCGGGATTGACATCACATAACGCGCCGCGGTTTTCTTGGGTGGTGGTGGCCCGCCGAGAAACAATGCTATGTTCATGTCCCATTATCTAAGCTCGGTCATATTGCGCTAAATTCACGCTAGAGCTAGATAGGAATATGACAACCGTCTCTCATTTGCTACAGCTCAATGTCAAGGATACCCCATGCTTGTGGCGTCTTAACCGCACCAACGGCTTTCAGCTGCTACGAAGTCTGAATCCCTTAGCAGGGACGCTGGGCCGACCAGGAAGATTGTCCTCCGTGTTCTACCACTTCTACCCAGAGGTCCGCCACAGCCTATTATATTTTCGCCCATGTTTCATGAGTAATGAATTATGAGAGGAACTAGCCAAGCTTCCTCCTTGCCTCTCTCTCTGCCTTGCACTCCCGCGCTGCGACCTTGTGGTGAGATCAGGCCACAGTGTGTTCGCCATTGGCACCCGCTCGTACGCGCGAGAAATAGAGTAGCTGCCCGCATATTACAAATACCATGATCCCAGTTGATAACAAGACTGTAACTCGTTTGCCGTTGATAATGTGGGCTCAGGGGAAAATGTGGCCTCTTGCAGATCTGACTCAGGTACGGGTATTGTATTACCACACCGCGCTTTGGTCAGCTATATGTATGGAGTTCCGTGGTCATTCGCTGGCACGTATCAACCTAGCATGATCAGAGGACACTAACCAAAGCTCGGTACTTCCACGGGCCAACAAAATTAGTTAGTCATGAGGTGGACATCACGACCTCAGTTGTGGGATCCATCGCCACCATTCCATTTTCATTGAGCATGGTGGTAACAGTAAACAATGCCCTTAGATCTCTTCGTCGCGCTGAGACTGATCTCACCGGGGCATACTACCAATACCGCACTTTCAAAGAGAAAGCCACCCCTTAATTGGTCACAACGTGGATCATTTACCCGATACGAGAAGAGTAAGTGTAGCTAAGAGTGTTCTATTTGGTTAGATGGGGGCCAAGTCTCTCTCGAAACGTGATTCTAGACCCAAATACTCAGCGAGATGATCTCAACCTGAAAGGGGCCGCCGTAAGCATGAAGATTGACCGGTGGTCATTTTTGCTCCAGAGCCCCAAACCTCTGAGCAAAAGGCCTCTCTATGCCAGTACGGAAGGTGCCCTAGTATATCCCGTTCAGGTCGGGGCCGGAGCTCCAAAAGGCTGCCGCTATACCGAGGATCCTCTCGCTAAGCGCCATGAGGTTGACAAGGCTAACCAAGCAGTAGTGAACTGACTGCCCATGCATGAGGTTATCGCCAATGTGGATATATGTCCGGCTGCTCGCACTGCGTATTCACATCACCCACCCAGGCTAATGCCCTGACCCCCGGTCCCGGCGGGCCTCAACTGAATCTTGATAATTGATAATGCCGCTCTAAGAATAGTTGTAAGGAGTCAGCCTTGCTCTCGCCGACTAAAAAGGTACTTAAGCCAGCTACTTGGACATGTAGTCAATTTTGTCATCTTGACGTCCCCGCGTAAACTGGGGACCGATCAAAGCCCGGGGTTCGCCGCGGCCGCGAATACCGCGACTGCAGACTTGCATACTCGGTAAAGATAGAGATTCTTGGATGACAGATTTATTCTTTCTTGCGCGAAGCTGCCGTCTCCAGAAATGTGTGGCTAGTTGTGAACTCCTTTAATGTGTAGTGATTCTACATTGAGACAGCTTCTGTCATCAACCTAGATCAATGAAGCAGGAATTCGACCACATGTGGCGTCCACAATCGTAACATCATTCATAATGGAGTTCTTAGCATGAGAGCCATATCGACGTCCGATCTGTGTCAATACGAGATCGGTAGACTAAACCTTCCCATCCATGAATGGCCATGAGTTGAATTGGCACTGAGAGGAATAAGCTTGGTGCATGAGCTTTCAGATTTCGATGCAAGGTCTCCCTTGTCGAAGTTGACCAAAACAATCAGGGCTCTGCTCCTCGCTGAGATATCTTGCGTCCCTATCACCAATCACCCAAGGCTTTTCCTGAGATTCCTTTGAACACAAGGAGCCGTTTGGACTTGGCCCTCTCTCTCGGCAGTTATGGCAGTCTCATTTCAGGACAGTTTAACCAGGTTTATGGTAGCTGGCTCCGCAAGACTTACCACTAGAACGCTGATCAAATGGATACGGAGCCTCTTGCTTGCCAGGAAACACTTCCCGACCCACCAACGATGGGCCACAGCGTGTTGAGCTGTGTCAGCCGATATCGAACAACAGCTATGCGAGCAGACCATTAAAAATTCAACCCTCAGGGTCAGTAGCATTTATGTTAGTCCATAATAAAATCGTGCGCTTATGGGAAGAATTGCGCGGAATCTTACATTTTTGGCATCATCAACTGAATGGCCCCAGCCAATTCGTGCTAGACACACAGGTCAGCCCATCATAACTCTAAACATTCATTGCATAAGCTTTGGGTGGGCCCAGACCTTTACATGTTTACTGTGTCTCCTTGAGCTGGATGTGGATCGAAGGTAGGCGTGTTTGATGCTTGTCGCAAATATTGTCTTTCAGAGTGTGTCCAACAGCACGCGTCCGGTATTTCCTGAGACAAGGGTTTTTCGCTCTAGTCGTCTTGCCAACCGTACCTTTCTTCTTGAAGAAGAGATAGAAAGATTGACAATGAGGGTTGTTCAGTTCAGTCAGTGATAATCAACATGCATAAACTCAAGCTTGAGAACCACACAGGAGAATCACACTAATTCGAAGCAGCTTGGCCAGGCCGCGCGAGAAAGTCTCGGCACTCGAGAGTACCTTGCCTAAAGTGTAGGTACCTCCTTACCTGGTTAGTCAAGTGCGTGAATACTTCCGCTGTTCCTACCAAGAGATAGTTCAATATCAACAAGATTGATGAATCATCCCAACGGCGCCAGCACGAATTTGGGAGTACGTGGCGTTACTTCTTTGCCAAGACCTTTTAGTAGGTATAGATAGGCCCGCATAGATATCTGAAGCCCAGATCTGATCAGGTTTCTCAGGTGGTTTTGGCCTCTTGAAGTCAATACTGGCGGAACAGAGAATTGGAGCAGGAAAGAACCCCAGTGGAAAAGGAGGAGTGAAAATATGTAGGGCCACGTGATTTGACATCCAAATTGGTTTAGCTGGCACTACCCCCACTCCTTGGCGCCTTTGGGGGTCGAAGTGGGTGGGGGACGCAACGACGATGATTGTCGACAGCAGCATCATGGCATTGCGGAATTGAAATTTGTTCAATTGGTGTCTATGCAGTGGCACAAGTGAATGAAACCTTGATATGTTTCCTACCGAAATGGCAGACGCAGAGTAAATACCTATCCGAAATCCATTGTGGGGGCCTGCTCTGTGACCGTCGATGGGCAAATAAATATTCAGTTCACTTCGACTGGCCACCCGGTTGTTGGAGTCTTAGGTTGGAGTCGTCACTTTAGTCGGCCTTCTTTCCACTGTACCGACCCTGATATATTGGAATTCTATGCCTTCTGAGGCAGCATTCTTGCCAATTATCTCCTGTACCACAAGAATTGAATAACCCTGTCTCTACCACTCGGAAATACCACAGCCACAGGATATAAAACGTGTCCGATCGAGTACATACTCCTGAATATTGCCGACCACCATGGCACCGCCGGCGGTTCTGATGGTTGGCACGGGGGAGTACACTACCGGTTTCGTATCAGGCGCTGCATCGACGTCGGACAAGAAGGTTGGAGTAGTTGGTTTGACATGTAAGTAAATTTGTTTCTTCCACTCAAGGAAAATATGAAATTCCCACGGGCTGCATTTGCAAAGTGTGGGCGAAACCTCAGAGAGAAGTCAAATTGGGCTTGGTCAATGCCTGCGCAATGGCTGGTGTATTCATCAAACTAACAAAACCCGCATCGTCAGTATTCGACCTCCGCCGACGAGGAAAGGTATCAGATCTGTCCATGGTTGGAGTGTCGGGCAAGAAATTCCCCGCGATACGACAACATTTACAAAAGAATATCTCTGAGGCTTACAATGGTCTCGATGTCTCATTCAAGTCGTTCCCGTCAGACAGTCAGACCGATCCGGACGCCTTTAGACCCGCTATCGATGCTCTTCCTAAAGGCTCCGCGATTACCATATTCACACCGGACTCCACGCACTTTGACATTGCGAAATATGCGATTGAGCGCGATATTCACGTCATGATCACCAAGCCAGCTACGAAGCTCCTCTCCCATCATATCGAGCTCATGCAGTTAGCTCAAAAGCATCAGGTCTTCGTCTACATCGAACACCACAAGCGATTCGACCCTGCATATCAAGATGCCAAATTCCGATCTCGCAGCCTGGGAGATTTTAACTACTTCTACAGCTACATGTCACAGCCCAAGTCGCAGCTGGAGACGTTCAAGGCGTGGGCGGGAAAGGAGTCCGACATCTCCTATTATTTGAACTCACACCACGTAGACATCTGCGAGTGGCTGGTGCGAGACTCAGCATGGCGCCCAGCGACGGTGCGGGCGAGTGCCAGCGTGGGGATTTCCGAGACTGTTGGCTGCGTCAAGGGAACAGAAGACACCATCACTCTGCTCGTGGACTGGACGCGAAGCACCGACAACAAGCGCGCCACTGGAATCTACACCGCCAGCTGGACCGCGCCCATGAACGCCGGAGTCCACTCGCAGCAGCACTTCCACTACATTGCATCCAAGGGCGAGGTCAATGTCAACCAGGCCAAGCGTGGCTACGAGGTTGTCGACGAAAATGATATCTCCGGCAGCGCCCTGAAATGGTATAACCCCTTTTACATGCGGTATGCGCCGGACGAACAAGGGAACTTTAACGGTCAGTCGGGATACGGATACGTGAGTTTTGAGAAGTTTATTGATGGCGTGACTGGTGTGAATGAAGGCAAGATCAGTTTGGAGGACTTGGACAAACGAGGGCTACCTACTCTGGCCAATACTGTCTACACCACGGCTATCTTGGAAGCTGGCAGAAGAAGTCTGGACGAGCACGGGAGATCCGTCGAGATTGTCGGCGAGGGTGGAGATATCAAACTGAAATAGCTGCGCAGGACTCAAGCAGGGCAATCGGACCAAGGAGTGATGCTCGTGAATCTACGCGAATAGTATGAAAAGTCTTTGCATCTAGCAGCTGAGATGTCTCGACCCTTTGAGAGGCTTACCTTTTGAGCCAAATTCATCCTGCCTTTTTCTCTGAGCGCCCGAGTTGCTTGATCGTACAAAGCCTATTTGCTGCGAACTATCCCGAGCCTACTGCATCTCACGCAGTAGACCCGCAGGAAGGTAGAAAAACATGGCGAACTCGAATACTAAAATCAGGTATTCGAGTTCTGCTCGGGAGAGATGTGTCCTTCACTCACTCTCAAGGTACCCATGAGCCGAATAACAAGCATGAGACTACCCGCCCTGACGCTTGGGTTTCGCACACCCTTGCTCGCACTGATCGAAGACGGTGACTGGGTATTGCTCGAGTCTCCCTGAAGATGCTGCTAGCAGCTTGAGCAATGGCTAGCTTACCGTGGGCGCGTCAAGGCAACGACGGTGGCTCAGAGGAGCCTGCCAGAAAATGTCTCGTGGTGTGGCGAAGAATCTCAGTTGAAAAGTCGCAGCACCGCTTAATTCAGCAGCCTTGCCGAGAAGACTAACGTCAGGCATCGTCAAAATTGCACACAGTTGTGCTTGTATGCCATTCTCGGCAACTATATGCTATGGGAGAGTACATAGTACTAAGTATTCTCCATAGTCATCTCAATAATTCATCCGAATTGGTCACATGCTCGTTTCAGCCGGGAGCGCTGGAATTGAGGTGTCCCCAATTGTGCGACGGAGAAATATTGTGCTGACGAGCAGATTCGTCTGCTGTGAGAGTCCAAAGGATTTCTAGTTCGAGAAGCTTGCGCATTGAACCTGATCGAACCATCACCTGGCTTACATTTACTGTTCAGCTGCATCTTGAAGGGGTGCCTGCAGTAGTTGTAACAGGACCCGTTTGCGATCCCGTCTAGAAGACCTGGGGAATAACTGCGCTTCATGCAAGCGTATCACGGTGCGAGGTCCTGAAGAACGTTTGGCCAAATATGGGCGAGTCGCTGATCACACAACAGAGCTTGCGGGTACCTGGTGGTTTCCTAAATGGTTGACATTAGAACTCGACGAAATGCCTAGGTTCCACGACATTGTTCCGATCACCCTACGCAAGATTGTTGCTGGTCCAACCTTCTTGCTAGACCTGCAACCGACCCTGTCTTCTCAACGTCCACGGCAGGGCAGTGGTGTAACAGTCACACGGGGGTTTGCGCCCCTACTCCGTACTGAAGCTCGTCTGATGCAGAGCTTGATGAGATGATGTGGATAATATTATGACGCACTGCGTGGCCTACATCGATAGATGTTAGGGAATCGAATCTTTGCCACCAACAACATGACGAATCCTCTAGATAGTCTTGGGCTGCGAGGGCTATTGTGACAAACGGACTTTTGTGAGAAATCGTCCGTCCTAAAACTTGGAAGGTAGTAATTGTAGGTTCGGCCATTGTTCAGTATCACCAGAGTCTGTCAGGAAAACGTGCGTTCGGCGCTCCATATTTTTGTAGTATGGTATGTGTGTACTGTTGCGAATACAGTCCAGGTCAGCTGAAATAGCCTCCCAAGATCATGACCTCAGAGAAAGCTCCCCAGATACTAGGGCCTGCAGGCAAGCCGTGCCGCAAAGATGCACGAATGTGGCTGGGGTACAGTAGTCTTCATAACTGCATCCTCCGTGATACCATTGTCACAAACGTCTGTGCATATGGGGTGGTACAAGATCTCGAGCTTTAGGGGGAGGCCTACGTATCATCGGTGTAGGAGCCGAAGCTTTCCAGCACTGCACACGTCCAGTGCTTGTCTGCTCATGTCTGTCGTTAGCATAAGCTTACCATGGTCTCTGGGGCCAGGGTGAGCGAACGCTCTTGTCGCATGTTGTTTTGGGCGATGATACAATCTTGGAATCTTCCACAGAAGCGTTGCACCATGCACCATTTCCGTCATCTGGACGAATGGATTGTGGGTCACCCGGGGCTTCCCACACAATTTAGGCCATCTGCTGGTGCATTTTGGTGAAGTACAAGTCTGCCAGATACGTAGCCTCCGACGATGGCATGCACGAATCCCAGCCCAGTCGTTGCCTCCATCAGCCGCCGAGGTGCTGGAAGCGGTGACGCTGCCTAGTCGGCCGAGCTCCAATCAAAGATGGCTTGATCGGGAATTTAAGCATCGCATTTGAAATGCTAGGTGGCCATGGCAGCTCTCGCAGGCTCTCCCCCTCTTTGGTCTCATCCACCTGTGCTGCAAGTTGTTGCTTGGCTTGGCATTTGTGAAAGAGAGCCGGCAACGTGGTAGATTCTGCAGCTTCTGTGGCTGGCTCCCCATGGGTGAGGCTGAGATAAGCCTCGATCTCACCTCGCCTCTTTCTCTGGTGGTCCTCTATTAGCGTGGTGGCCAGCGCCCAGGGTCACACCGCTTGGAGGTCGCACAAGGGACTTGGTCCCCGTACGGGCGTGAGACTAACCAGAAATATCAAACCAAGTCCGCATGTCGGGCTTGAGCCGACGTCTAGGCCAAGTTCTCCGGAGGATGCATGAAGGCATGCAGAAGGAGGAGGCTGGAGCCAGCAGTGCAAGTAGCCGGATAACTCGGTTCCCTACCACATACTCCGTACGGAGTTCTCCTTGCTTTGGTTGCAATTGCTTGTTGCGAGAATGCACATCCTTTTTTGGTTCTTCCAGTACAGAGAGCTGCCCCGCACAGCGGCGTTGTGCATGCACCCGAAGACTAGCCATGTAAGGCTTTTAGGGTGACCGGAGGCACCAGTGTGCAGTAGTCTACATATCACCGCCTTAATAGGAAGCGTTGTTTGGCCACGTAGATCCCGACATAAAGACATATGCTAGAGGCCGGAAACTCCCCAGAGAAATATGTGTTGCAACATGGGTGCTCAATATCTGCTTGTAGGCTTAAACGAGGAATTCTTCCGCACGGGGTAAAATTGATGCCAATCAGGAAGTGCGTTCCTCGCAGTATCCCCTCCTAAAATCTGTGCTCAAGAAAGAGGATTGCTTGGAGCTCACGCTGACATGCGGGAAGCGGAACAAGAAAATCCCATATCTGAACAGCGGGGCATTTTAGCCAACAGGATTGCTAGGATATTCTCGATATGTAGGAAGTCAGCACTCCGTACATGGGCATTCGTGCGCCATACAAGGAGTGCCCCCAACTTTTGTACCACACCGCGGCTCACGCTCTCATGCATGACTACGCCTGATGAAGCCAGGGACGCTCATAGAGAGGCCTCATGGGAGATATGGAGCCCGATCATTCCGACTCACCATTTGTGAAGTCGTCTTCGGGGCCCAAGGCCGAATTGTGAGCTTCCAAACGAGGAGTTGCACAGTTTCGAGGCTAGTGGTATGTGAGATATAGCTGCATGGCCGAATCGGACGCCCTATCATCGATTCCTTGAGTTACAGAGTCGGCGGCTCTCCAGTGAGATTACTTGGCCTAAGCAGGTTGACATTAATCTCAGCATTAAGCTGCCGAGACTGAGGTGATCGTCGCGACGTCTTGGTATCTCTGATATGTTGCGCAGATGTACCCACGTTTATCTGTCTGTGTGATTGGACTAGTCACTTTTTGAATTATGACTGCGAAAAGCTAGGCCAGAACTGGAGCCACTGTGGGCGAACCACGGGCCTCCTACTGGCCTCGAAAAAAAAAAAAAAAACTTCTGCTCTGCATCGTACAGTTCACGAGAACAGTGCCCATAGCCACGACATGTCATGGAGGGTAGGGCCGGAACAATGGGACTTCATTTCGCTAATGATAGGATATAAATGTCCGAAACCGAGCCTCAAAGGAGAACTTGGCGCGGAATTCGGCCTCTCCTGGCTAGGAGACAGGTTCGTATGGCTCCAATCAATTTTGGTGGTTTCCATGCTCCCCGCATTGGCAATCGAGGTTGACCACAAATCTTGAGCTTCGGATTTGCGTCTTGAAATCTGTCGAGCCAGGTCTTGTGCAGTCGATGGCGTCCTGGAATCCAATGATCATCACATCTGGTTCTAGGCCTGCTAGCAGGTCAACATCCGTGCCTAGCGCCACTCCAAGAACAAGGAGGATCCAGTTGCGAGGGCGGTGGCAAGCAAGGCTCGAGACAAGGCAGTGATGTTGATCGTCCCAAGAAACTTCGTATACGAGCGTAGACCCCACGTGTGAAGGATGCGGAGAACCTGATAAGCGGGACTTTGGCCAGAAAATATTGCCTCGATGGCCAAGGTTTCTTCGTCCCAATTGCAGGGCACCCCAACTCAAAGATGGCTCGATGAATGGGAATGTTGCTGAGACACTGGTTTCACCGTCAAAAGAAGCTGGGAGGCAACGGGCCCAAAATAGACAAACTTTTCTAGAGGGTGTGGGTGGGGGCTTAGAGCGAATCATCTTTCCCCCGAGGCTTGGAAGCTCACTTTTCCACAAGAGGTCGCTCCTGATGGATCTTGGCGAAAGGGCTTCAGTGGTCAAGAATGGATGTCAAGCGACAGGCTTTGCATTCTAGGCGACGGGTTTGGGTTTGCGTGCTGTCTGTTGCCCGAATACAGTGGCCAACGAGCACACGGCATGGATACGAAGATGCTTACATGCTGCCTCGAAGATGCATCGTGCTCGCAGTAGGGTGCGCTAGAGCTGAGGCCAACAGTCAGGTTCCAGTTGGCGTTCCATTTCGGACAGCCTGACGCCTATCCAGCAAATGGAAAGTGTGGCTCAAGGACTGTTACTACGCGATGCGGACGAAGGACGATTTCTCACCTCACGCTGACAAAATCTCAGCCCACGCTAGAACGCCTGGCTTCCTGCTTCAAGTGAGGACGAGGACGAGGACGAGGACGAGGGTGCGCATGAGCCCAGTCGATGCTCAATGGCTTTTTTGGTGTATCGATAGGGCAAGCCCTTGGTTTGTGGGTGCCGTAGAAGCGTGAGTTCTCGATCGAGAGGTTCTAGGCAGTCAGTCCAGGATTTCGAGCAGTAAGTAGGTCGTCGATGGTGGCCATTGACAGCGCCCAGCAAAGGCCTCAACATCAGGTCCGAGGATTGTGGTTTTCCTTGGCTCAGCCCCGATCATCGCCACCTCTAGCCGACTAGGCGAATGTTCCTACAGAGGCCCGTAGGCTGAATATAGCGTCACCTTTACGGGCCACCCGGGCTCCCACACCTCAACACCTGACCAGTGAACTGATCATGGTGTCTGACATTGGTAATTATGCGGGTGGGGAGTGAGAACTCCTCCCCTCTTTGAAGATCCTCCTTGATGAGATCTCAATTTACCACTGTCAGGCGACACTTCTTTTTCAGGCCCTCCAGCTGCGTCCGTCCGGCGTCCCAATAGATCGTTACTATTACGAGCATCTTCTGCGATTCCTACTGGCGAGGATTCTCGGGGTCATCCTCATCAAAGCTAGGGAGCCACTACTTGATTACATGGTTCTGAGCACCAGTTCGCATGTGATCCAGCTGTACCAAGTGTCTCCCTCCCCAACACCGTCGGAGTCTCCAGGAAAGCTCGACCGCGCCAAGGTGGGCGATGGAATGCTGGTAATCCCAATGCTTTCGTGCTGAGGACACACGACGGCGATCGGGGTAAATCTCTGGGAATCCTGTTGATGACGAGATTGCGATACCAGGTTGTGCACACCCGGGAAATTCTGGCGTGTATTGGACCAGGTAGCAAAGCGCTCGCTCGGTTTTTCCAAGCAACAAGCCCTGGCTCCTCAGGTCACGCCAATCAGTCCACCCAGCATTCCCACTACCGGTCATGCAAACGGCTCGCTAGTGACCCCGCCAGCCCCCTGGTCGCAAACGCTATCTTCATCCTCAGCCTTGGCAGGGACCCACCCTGCCCCTGACACTCTCCTGGCACACAACCAACTTTGTCCGACAGAACTCAGGGCTCTGTGCCCCGTGGCGGTGGTCAGGGATGCAGAGTGGTGGCTCGTTCAACCACAATTTCATCATTCAACAACGCTTTGACATCGATTTATGTTTACATATTGATTGATTGTTTTGATGGATAATGAGCAATCTACTACACACCCGCAGTCGCTGCTTGGGTTGGCCTTCGCCAGCCTCAGTCGTCCCAGCCAGCATCCATTGTGGCAGGTCATGACACAAATCAAAATAGATCTGCTAAGCCTTAGCCTTAGACGATGTTGGTGAGGTTGCTGACCACGGCTGTTCCGCCTTCAGTGTGTTCGACCTGCATGCGCCATTGGCTCTAAAAAAACCCACGCGACTCCGAAAGCTCTTAGAGCTGGGGCGTGATGCTACTGCACTTGCAGGGATCAAGAGCCCCAGCGAGGGTGAGATAGTATCGTGGCGTCGGGCGTCCCCTGCCTCCTCCACCCTTGTCAGAAGCCTGGGTCTCATTTAGATTCTGGACGACTACAGCCGCAAGGACCACGGTCTAGTGAGTCTGTCCCAATGAAGTATGAACTATAGTTCTTCGTGTTATAATATCTCCCCCAACCTCTCTTCACTTCGCACACACCTTTCATTTGTACCATTGTGATAGTATATTATTTCTTCAGTTACTCCCTTGGCTTCAAGGGCTCACTCGTTGTTTGTCCCATTGATTTTCCTTTGATTACATATTATTAGCGTACACCATGGGTTTCTCGAGGCTCATCACCGCGCTCTCATTCCTGTCACTCGCTCTCTTCTCACACGCCGCCCCGTCTCTTAATAGACGCGCAGGCAACACAGTCAAATTCGAGGTCACCTTGACGTCTGAGGACTACTCACCGATCGGAGGTACCCTTCGCAAGACTATCTTGGTCAATGGCACATTCCCCGGTCCAGCCTTGAAGGCCAAGGTGGGCGATGAGGTGGAATTCTTGGTTCACAATGAGCTCCCCGATCCCACAACAATCCACTTCCACGGCATCGTGCAGCAAGGCACTCCCTGGGCTGATGGTGTACCTGGCCTCACTCAGGAAGCCATTCCAGCTGGCGAATCCTACTTGTACAAGTGGACAGCCGATGCCTCCGGAACTTACTTTTACCACTCTCACTTCCGATCGCAAATCATGGATGGCCTCTACGGTGCCATTATCATCGACGCAGCTGATGACGCCGAGAAGCCATTCGGTCTGATCAGCAATGACAGTGCCGCAGTTCAGCAAATGGCTGCCGCCGATTTGAGCCTGCAGCCTATCTTTATATCCGATTATAACAGCCTGACCTCCAAGCAGTTCCACGACGCCGAGGTCAACGGCAACGTTGATGTTGCCTGTGCTGATGCCATCATTCTGAACGGCAAAGGCTCGCAATACTGCTTGACCCGTGATGAACTCACTGCTTATACCAATCCCAAGGTTGCTGCTCTGTTGGCTTCGGTTAACCCACCTCAAATCACCGACAAGGGTTGCTTGCCTCCTAATCTCGTTGCTACACAGGGTAATTTCACATTCAACATTGCTGCCCTTCCCAGCACCCTCTACTCAACCTGCAATCCCTCTGATGGCGAGGCCGAAGTTATTACTGTCGACCCCGCCAAGGGCTGGGCCGCATTGAGCTTTATCAACCCCGGTGGCTTCGAGCTCCTCAAATTCACCATTGATGGCCACAAGTTCTGGGTCTACGCAGTCGACGGCGCATACGTTGTTCCTCAGCTAGTTGACCAGGTTGTTGTCAACAACGGCGACCGATACTCAATTCTCGTGCAGCTGAACCAAGCCCCTGCTGATTACGCTATCCGTGTTGCAAACAACGGTCTCAACCAAGTTATCAGCGGCTTCGGCGTCTTGAGCTACAAGGGCTCCAACGGACCAGCTACCTCGGATCCTAATGCATTGGCTGGCATGAACTTTGCCGGTACCAACTTGACCACGCTCGTTCCCTTCAACGACAACAAGGCTGCTCCTTATCCAGCGGCTCCCCCCGCCCCTAGCGCTGATGTTACCTACACCATGAACATCAAGAAGCTCGGCCGCCCATCTGGTGCCTACGAATGGACTCTCAGCGGTGTCTCTGGTTTCAATACCAGCCTCGAAGATCAACATCCTCTTATCGATCTTGACCCCAGTGAGATCGCCACCAGCGACTTGATCTACAAGACCACCACTGGCCAATGGGTTGATCTGATCATCAAGACCCAGGGACCTCTTGCCCAGCCTCACCCGATGCACAAGCACTCCAATAAGGCCTACGTCATCGGAAAGGGTTCAGGAAACTGGACCTGGTCAACCGTCACCGAAGCTGCCGCTGCTATGCCCGCGGGCACGTTCAACTTTGTTAACCCTCCCCTCCGCGATGGAGTAAGTCCTTCTCGTATTTCCCTCGCTCGAATCGTGAGAACTAACATCTTCTTTCCAGTACACTACCCTCCCCAGCGAGCAAAACAACACCTGGATGGTGCTTCGCTACGAAGTCGTCAACCCAGGCCCATTCTTGTTTCATTGCCACGTGCAGACCCACGTTGCCGGCGGTATGGCTGTTGCCTTCCTGGACGGGGTTGACGACTGGCCAGAGGTGCCAGCCGCCTATGCCAACGGAGGCAACGGTCTCGAGACCACCAAGCTCAGGAAGAAGGGCAAAACCCATCCTATCGCATAAGGATAATGACTGGCACGCATCACAATGGCAATTGTTTATGGGTTACACGGGACTTTTTGATACCACAAAAATCAGGTGACAGACTTATCTTTTTTAACTGTCTTGCATACTGAGCAACTATGGGCGGTGATCGCATAGATAATGACGGGCGTTGAACTTTTTTATACTATTTATTTCCCCATCACCACAGCATCTCCCTCTGTCTTCAATTCTCTTCCCAATACAAGAATCAATCTTGCATTAGGACACTCCAAAAATATTCTCTATTAATCATCCATATTCAGTTCCTTCCACAACCGAAATGCAGCCATTTTGTACCCTAGCTGAACAGTTTTGCATGACAGTCCACCAAGATTTTGGACAACCACAAGAAAATGAACATAAAATCAAAAACCCGTCTAATTTGATCGCTCCCAACTCGGAATTCGTCATTGTGTGTGTGCATGCATATCTCGTACTTTCGGTGGCCCGTGTGTCTCATTCTTGTAGCTTTTCAGAGTGATCAGCATAAGGTGGCGTTCGTCCCTACCCTGATGTTAGATAAAGGACTGCCTGCGTGGCGTCTGGGCGCTCTGAAGATTCTTGTACCACGTTTCATGACCAGCTACTACGCCGTATCTTGAGTTAGCCGCAAAAGTCATATTATCTTCTGTGCGGCCTTCGAGGGAAGCGCGAACAAGATTCTCTGGTGTAACTACTGGACGTGTTGCGCAGACTCCGTTACGGCTCCTAAGAGCGGGGCTTGCCTTGATGTTCGGGAACAAATGGTCTCCTCCAATTCGAATGGCTGTTGCCCATACCCCTCGGTTTGTGAGCGCTTTACCTGTGACAGCGCGGCGCTCATAAGCCATCACTACTACAAGACTTATTGCCCCCCCTGATACGTCAGAACTACGTTTCGTTCCCCAGGTCATTATTCTTGCCGACTTGGCCTCCCAAGCCTTTACGAGTCCCTACCAAGACGTCAAGGCTATGTGGCAAGTTTGGGGAAGATTACTATGTACAGTAAGTGGGTAGCCGTCTGAGTCGTACTCAATCCATCTGTGGACAATGTCGGATGTCGGCACCAAGGGCTTGGAAATACTCCATAAAAGTACCGTGTACTCCTTACCCTCCATCCGTATTTCGGTCAAGACCCCAAGCCTAACAGACGTTTCGATTTGCCCCCATCAAGTCAACATGATAAACAAACCCGACTTGGCCGTTGGGATTGGCAAGCGAAGAGACTTGAATGTGATACTTTATGAGCTATGATTAAGTGCGTGCCAGCCTTCCCATCACCTTGTATCACTTTATTCAGGGTCTTTGAATGGGGTGACCACCCGCAGACTTACAGTACAGGCAAAGAGGCTGTACTCCGGTTGACCAAGCCTGGAGAACCCTGGCGAGACTTAGCACCACTGAATACTCCGTACGCAGTCAGTATGAATCACATTATTCAACATCCGGCTACATGATACAATTGTGGTCAGACAAACCGCTTCGTACCACGGAAGGAATCTCAGACCGCGGCGTTACTAGTTGCCTCCTCCAATTGAAGGAAGGGAAAGGCTTTCTATTCTGAGAAACGATGTCAAATAATTATTGATTTCGAATGCTGGGGCTGCCTGCGGAAGTGACTCTGATGATTCTAAACATACTCGTACGAGTACTATGTACGAGTAGTGCTTCTGGCCCCAGGCATATGTCGGTTTAGCCACTGTCAGCAAGCGATATTCTATTTTCGTTACCACTTGCTTGGTACATAGTACTTCGGACGGAGTACTCGTACTGTACGTGAGACCCTCCAAATGCACGCCATCACCTGAGGCATGTCTCTGTTCTGTCAGCCCGTCCGTGGGGCTCTCGGGGAGGGTCAATGCCCCATTATATGTAGAAGGGGCAGCATTTCGGGGATCTCGTCTCATGGGATCGAAAACAGACAGGATGATTCCACCCATTTCTCGAAGAAAACACCTCGAGGTACATGATTACGGGACCCAGATCACTTGGCAAGTGCTGACTTCTGCCAGATCTTACGAATAGACTGTCCGAGGTCGTCTGAGTGAAGGCTGACAGCTCGTCGTACTTGGCCCACTATCAGATGACGCCTCGATCAGAGAGATTTGATGGAATTCCTGCCTGTATAGATACATAGGTCACATGTGTGTGTTCTCGATACTCTGTACAAGCCATAGTGAAGGGCAAAATAGGTCAAAATCATCCTATCCCCACAAACCCTAGTACATAGTAATCATAGGTTCATTCCTACTGGAGTTGATATACAAGATAGATTCAGAACCAAGAAACGCAACCAATGCCCATCATCGCACCCATGTACCACGTACCCCGTACCCAAGAAACGAGGAACGAAAAACAGCGGGGGAGAGACCCTCGAGAGCAAAGTCCTACATACACTTTTTCGCAATGGGCATGAGTTATGCAACTAACAGCCTTGCACGTGAGTGCAATTTCCCAGGCTCGCTGGGGGGAGGCCTGCTTAGGCCTTCGCTTGACTCGTACAATAGCACAATGACCCTCAATGGCCGTCAGGGCAAGGGACATCCCAGCCAGATCGGCTCTCCCTTGAGCCCTAGCGCATGGCCCAGCACGCAACTGGGATGATGCCTCGGCGCCCCATTTCGCGAGCAACGGCTCTCGTCTTAACTGTCTAGTGTAATTGCGCCGAGCCTTAGGCGTGGCCGTGGTCTTCGACCTAAGGTCTATCTAGGCACGGGGAGCCGACCCCGACTGGTTTTCGAGGGGGTGCATCACGCTACATACCTCACGCTTACCATGAACTTCTTTACCTAGTAATAGTAATTTAGCCTGGGAGAGGCTACGTATACAAGGACTGGCTAGAGAAACGCCATCGCTTCACTGGTTGCACACCGACAGACTTTCCTGCTTTCGATGGTTTCTCCTGGAGAAGCGAGAATGCGACTCGGGAAGGGAGGGGAGGTGTGTCCATTGCATGGAGTATGAGGTATCACTGCTGGAATGGAAGTTCGAACTCCGGGTTTCCCGTGAAATAGACAGCTACCTATTCAAGGGCTGAGAGCCATTTCTGTACGGCGCAGAACAGCTCGTTCAAAACTCAAACCCCCCCAATACCAGCCAGCAAAAGCCATCCGGATCACGAAGGACCAACACGAAGGCAAAGCCAAATGCTTAAACCACGCTGGTGTGACAAGTGGCTCTGGCTGCCACAAAGCAAGCCGGTAAAGTTAGATAGCTGGCCGTACCGATAGAGTGGAACGCACGGGACTAAACAACACACTCAGATCATCATATGGCGTGCAACTCTGTACGAAGAGATTGCACAGGCCTGTGGCTTGACGAATTCACACGGCCTTTCCCAGGGGCACCTCGCGGCCTCGCACTGGCCCTGAGGCTCTGGCGCTCTGTACGTGATTGGGCGTGCGGTCGTCTTAAGCAATCTCGCACAAGATTGGATTTGTGGCGCAAGATCTCAACTATTCCCGCTTTGAGAGTCTCGCCAGCTACCTACATGCAGTCTACTGTACAGGCCACCATACCGAGTAGAAATGAGGTGACGACTGTACCATGGCAAAAAGACGACAGTGGCTGTGTAAGTTCAAGTTAGTGAGTGATCCAACCTAGTTAACAGAAGACAATCTCAAGATGTCGTTTCACCACCAAATCGCTCGCTCCCTCTAGCACTGCACATGCGGTGATAAAACCCCAGGAGCGCTAGAAGGCGTAGTGATGAACGCAACCATCCCTTACCCACCCAATAAGCGTGGTGGAGTCGATGATTGCTTGCAGCAAGGCTGCCACCGGGCCTGTCTGCTCAACCCCTACCTACAAGTAGCTCGCGAACCGAGGCCAATCTACAGGCGACCACATCATACAATACCCCTGAACCCTCCACCTCGACCGGTCTCACCAACCTCGTCTTGGTGGCTTTTAGTCTGCCACTCCGCAAATTACTATCGAGTCACTGTAAGCTGCAGGGGGCAGAACCTGGGGTAGAGATCTATCGCCCCTTGAGCCATCGCGTTACTTAATTGAAGGCTACGGATAGGCTAAATAGGCACTCCGTACTCCGTAGCCATCCAAAAAACTCATTCTAATGGCGGGGAGCACTCCGTACACAGTACCGGCTAATCCACAACACTATCAACCAGCGAGAACTCATCGTGTTCATTGGATGTCCACCCCTTGTGACTCTGAATGTCGACTAGGGAGGGTCCTATGTACTCATGTCATAGGTCAATCCATCACATTGTATATATCCTATATCAAAGTATATATGTGGTACACATAGAATATCGAAATCTGAGAGATCATAGTAATTTCAAAACACGAAAATCCAAAAAAGCTGGCTTGCTTGCTACTTTTTCGTTTGAATCGTTAGGCCAGTGAACATGAGGATGAAAACCCAATAATCAAATGAGACGAAAACAGATGCACGCTTGAACGCCGATTTTGTGGGATGGGTGCCGAGTTTGGGTATATATCCAATAGAACCACCGCACCCCTTCGACGCCAACATTGTCCCCATAGAACGCCAGAACACTGTAAAGCATGGTTGGGTGTGATGATGATGATGATGATGGTGATAATACGCTCATTCAAAGTCCACGTGCTCGCTCAGCAAGGGACTGACTGAACAACATCGCGTTCTCTGTAATACCAAGAAACAATTCAACAGGGAAACCCAAAAGAATCGTCACTGACTCATGATGTGATACTCAGTCATCCCATCTGCCATCGCCCACGAATGTCGGCATCCACTCCTGGCCAGGATACGCGGTAGCACTCATGAGGACCTCCTCTTCGCTCTCGTAGCCGTCAGGCTTGGAACCGGGCAGCTCGACCGCCGCGCCGCCGACAGATTTATCGCGCGCGATTGCTTTGCCAGTTTGTTGATGCTGTGGGGCAGCACTGGTGCCAGAGCGGCTCACCAGACCGTCCGTTGCGTCGGATTGAATGGCGCGCGAATATGTACCTGTGCCACCAATCGTGGCTCCTGTTCCCACGTCCATGGCGGTGCCGGCAAGACTTACTGGTGTTCCGCTTCTAGCTGCTGCTGGGTCTCCTAGCGTGTTTTGTTGGACAGATGGTGGAATGGGACTCATTGTCCTAGTTCTTCTGTGCCCGGCAGCCTGGCTCTGACCTGCGTCTTCATCGAGACCAGGTAAGTCGATGGCGTACGGACGTTCTTGATCAGAATCTGGTCTGGGAACGCCGCCTACAGGGCTAATCCTCTTGGAGATGAAGGTACCCAATCCAGTGGCAGCCAGTCCATTCTCCTGCTCCTGTCGACGCTGTGCATCAAAGTCCTCGGATGAGTTCTTGCGGCCAAGTTTTGGAGATCGGGAACGCTTGTGTAAGTCCATAACGTGGTTGCGACCAGGGCCAGGTTTTGTGCTAGAAGCTGCAGCTGAAAGAGGGGCCGTGGTACTGGTGAAACCTGGACTTGGGTCTGCATATGGGCGTGGCACTACATTCCTAGGGGGCGTGGGAGAGAGTGAAGATCCACGATTGGGATAAACTTGTGCGGGAGCAGTCGCAGGGATACTATGAGAACTGTGATTAGGAGTGTTTGTGTCAATGCGAAGATCGGAAGGACGACGTTGATCTGGGTTGAGGTATGGAGTGATATTGGCAGAATAGTTTCCGGGATGGGGACTAACTCCAGGTTGGACTGGTTGCATGGACGGGTGAATGCCGCGTGCCATTCCAGACGAGTACTGAAATGGGGATGTCGCGGTTGGATAGTGGCTTTCTGGTTGGCTAGAAGGGGTTGTGGAGTAGTCGTATTGTGAGTCAGGCCGTCGTTGCTGTACAGGCTGAGTAAATGCTCGCTGAGGCTGTGAGAACTGTTGTTGTGGGCCGCGGGGAAATTCATGCTGGGCTTCTGGCTGCTGCGAGGAATGGGAATATCCTCGTTGAAACTGTGCTGGTGGTTGCTGCTCCTGCGTAGTCCATGCATCACCGGAGTATTGTCCATATGTGTTTTGTGGGGACATGTAGTTTTGTGCAGTGTATTGTTGCTGATATGGCTGTTTGGTACCCATCTGGGGTTGAGGTAAAGCTGGGCTAGCAGCTGCCGGGGGCTTGGCTGAGCTTCCACTTTTGAAGAGCTTGCTACCTAGACCAGAGAACCTCTTCTTCTTCTCCTTCTCGACCGGATGCTCCTTGGCTTCATTACTGGAAGTCCTCAAGATATCCTTCGATTGTCTCCTTCCAGATTGAGTAGTTGTGTTCCATGTTGGTAATTGACCAATTTGGTCTTGACCACCATACTGACTACTTTGTTGGGAGGAGATGCTATCATGCCGACTATTGCGTCGGAATATACTGGCACGCTTGTCCTTCTGCGGGACATCTTGGTTCTCAGGAACTGGTGCTGGTAACCGTTCTTGCTTCTTCAACTTTGATTTGGAGCCGCCGCCAAAAAAGCTACCGAAAGTGCTCTTCTTGCGAGCAGTAGGAGGATTGGACGACGTAGTCTGAGGCGTCGGGGCCGGAAGAGGTCCCATGGCCTGCTGTTGTCTTTGGGCGAGTTGATCAGGCTGCTGTGACAGACGGTGGGAAGGATTGTCTCCTTCATAGGAGTACTGTCTTGAGTTCGTCGGCATGTATTCTCTATAGTGTTGATGGTCATGTTCAGCACGACTCTGCTCAGGAATGAAAGGTGGCCTTCCAGATTCCTGCATTATCTGTGATTTTAATGGGGGTTGGAAAGGACCCTGAGGCTGTGCTTGCTGCTGCTGCTGATACTGTTGGTAAAGCTGTTCTTGCTGCAATTGTTGTTGATATTGTTGTTGACTTTGGTATTGCTGATGTTGTCGTTCCTGTTCCTGTTGCTGTGACCTGAGAGTACTTGGGAGCGGCTGCCCGCTTGCCTCCACCTGAGTCTCACTACGCCCAACTCGTGGAGTAGTAATCTGTTTTGGGGACCTATAGTTTTGTATGTATGGACCAGGAATACGATAAGCACCTGCAGACGGACTCTCTTCTTGCGTCGATTGAGTTGTGAAAAATTGCTCGCTCCCAATTTGTTGTCGGAGGCGATCAACGTCCTCCGGATTTCGCCTAGCGCTTGGGAGCGGGCTTTCACTAGAATACATCTGTGCTCGATCGATATTAGGTTGTTCGGGTTCTGATGTCTTGAAAGCTGGGTGGTTGCGAACATTAGGGTCCGCACTAAACGGTCTTGAGTAGGACCTTGATTGTCGTTGTCCAGCGGCATTTGCTTGGTCGAATTCATCCACACTGACTTGTGACATCTCCTTGCTAAGCGCTTGACTCACAGGACTAAGCGGTGGTTCTGAGGCTTTGCCAAAATCCCCAGAACCCGCACCTTGTAATTGTCGGTTCTGTTCAACATCGTCTCCACTAGTCAACAAGGACGGAGGACCATCATTGGAGGTCTCATACTGATTTGTTGATGGTGTGGGGTCGGTATGTTGCGCCGTAGCCGGTTGCGGGATATATAAGTTAGGATTCGACTCTCTCCGATAGTAGGGGTCATCTATTCCTGGTGGCGGGCCATCAAGCACAGACTTCTCTGGAGGCAAGTCCACAGGCTCTGAGACGATTTGTTCGTAGCCTGGGAGCTGGTTATCTGTGCTTATATCACTCTCGACTGGGTCATCCGGCTTCTCCACATTAGCTGGCTCTTGCGAAGCTGGAACATCATCTGCAGGTGATACGCTTCGCCTGATCTGCTTGTCAGACTCTGGACCTGGACCGGGGCTGGCGCTTGACACATCAGATATAATCGATCGCCTTCGATCATCTGGCACCTGAAGACTGCGATCACTTGAATGAACATCTGACCTCGGGCCATGAATTTGTCCGGGGAAAGGTCCAGGTGCATTGAGATTGGTGATTGCAGACTCGACTGGAGCATTGAGATGCTGATGGGAAAGAGCCGGAGGACCTTCCCTGCCCACCTCTCGTTCCGCTGTACCCCTAAGAGGCGATTCGAGCGGAGAATCATCTGCTGTTGGACGGGTCAATTGACTGATAGATCGACTTGGGATCCCCGCCTTGTCACTTTGATCGTCATCGACAAGGGCGGAAATAGCAGGGCTTGCTGGAGTAGCAGTCGACTTGGTGGGGTCGCCAATGGGCTTCTCCTGCAGAAAAGATGAATTAGATGAGGTTGCATCTCCAGTCTGTCTAGTTGCGGTTGGATCATCTAGACTCAAATTTGACTTCGCGAACCAATTGGACGATTCGAGAGGGCTGGCAGGGGACAGCGTGAATGGAATTTGCGGTGGGCCATCGAGGAATGTGGGCTCTCGTGGCTGGGATTGCTGGTCGTGGAGGACTTCATTGGAATCCGTTGAGGAGAGGCCGGTCGACTTTCGTCGTCCCTATAGACAAAGTCAACATATGAGCATCGCAGAAGACAGACAGGACGACGAAGACAGGATTAACATTCGAGTACTATTTGGAAATGGTGAGGACCGCGATTGATAAACCATGAATCGCGTAAAGATATCGAAAACCTTGAGCGACCGGATCGCGGGTAACATCCCTTCGATGCTGAAGCACCCGAAACACTAATATAAGGCAATGACAAAGAAAAGATCAATAAACTACCTTTTCGCCAGAGCTTGCATTTCGCATCTTCTCCTTTCCTTTCGCAAACAACCCTTTCGCAGCGATGCCGGCCTTGCCACCGAATTTCCCCGCCTTGGCCATCAGTTTCTTGCCATCTTCTTGTATATGCCTTGAGCCGACTGATTCAGTCAAAGTTCGTCGAGGAGATGGCTTATGAGCAGATACTGCCTCGGTGGTATCATGAGAGACACGGAGGTTGCGTGCGAATACGTCCGAGTGTTCAGTCGTGTTCAGCGATGACAACCACCCTTCCAACTGTCCGTCAGACGTTGCATGGGCTTGTCTGCTTTCGTTGAAAGCCAGAATCCGCTCATGCGGGGTGCTAAGCGCCATAATAGAACGAAACGAGGCAGGATCGCTTGTAGGATACTGTCTCTGCGGTGGATTCGTAGAAAACTCATTGTTTCCCACATTGGACAATGTAGACATTGGTGGCGCCCCAGTGGTAGGAGAGCGTGGCGTTGTCTGGCGTTCTTGCAGCGATTGAAAGTGAATAGAGGGCTGGTCTTTGGGCAGTTGTGGTTGCATTGAGTCCGACTCTGGGTATTGGTGTTGTTTGGAAGGTTCGGCCTGTTCAGCAGACTGCTGAGCCCCTGTGGGCTGGGGCTGGGGTTGTGAAAGCGCCCATGTGGGTGGAAGCGCACTGACTGCTGGCTGGCTACTGAGAGAACCACTCTGTACGAAGGGCTGCTGAGGCCAATCAGTCTGACGCAGGGTAGGTTGGTTCGGGCCTAGAGGCACTGGCGGTCGCTCAGAGGTTGTGCTTTGCTGGCCCGTACTTCGATCGAATGGTCCGCTGCGTCCAGCTGGATTAGATATGCTTGATACTGGCTGAATGAGCTCCCTGATAGTGTCAGGGGAACCTGTAGGGGTAGGACTCAATTGTTTGGGGGTGGTAGTCGGTGGAGTCTTGTCGCTGGTAGTTTCCCACGAAAATCGCTGTTGTAAGTGTGGTCTCTGCGCCAAAGGTGCTCCTTGAGCGGATGATGAAGTGGTCGGCTGATCGCTGGTGGTGATTGGAGGGGGAGGGGAAGAGAATGGGATCTGGCCCGCCTGGTTTGCGCTGGAAGGTTGTTCCAGTTTCTGAACAGTATCTGGTCTTTCGTAAGTCGAGCTACCCCTTTCAGACGTTGGATGGGCGACTGGACCATGGTTGAGGGATTCCCCTTCAATATTAGAAGATTTTGGGGTCAGACTTTTGACAATTTCATGTTGTAGTCTATCATTGTCTTCATTAGTTGAGGCTGTAGACAGGGCGACATTTGGAATAGGTGGGCGCGACATGGGACTTGAGTCCAATATTCTGCTTGTTCGTAGCGGAGCCGGGTAGTCAATCGGCTCTGACCGAGGCCTGTCACTTTCGCTCGCAGTAGCGATAGACGATGGCGTTGACGCCGCAACAAGGGGCCTTGGTGCCAATGCGGGCGGAGTGGACGGCCTGATGGGTGAGATGCTCCGGTCATGAAGGCTTGCTTCATTGCTCGGACCGGCGGGTAGTTCATCTTCGTCATCTGAACTCGAAGCGTCCCATTCGTTTTCACTGGATACCTCAGAACGCGTAGGCGATTTAGAAGCTGCAACACGGTCTGGCTGTGGCTGTCCCGCAAAAGCACTGGCCAAAGCAGTGCCTGCACTTGCTGCAGCAGCAAAAGCAGTCTTAGAGATACCATCATTCGCCTCACGAGCTGGAGCTTTGGCTGTGGGGATGCTTTCGGTGGTGTCTGAACGATGTGCAGCCAAAGGGGAAGGACGGGCCGATGGCTCCGCAGGTTGAGCTTTTATTGAGTCTGACGTGGCGGTAGAAGTATATGATTGCCAGCCTCCAGGGATCGCTGGCCGGAAGCTGTCCTGCCGCGGCTCTGGCGCAGGTCGTGTCGGCTCAGGTATAGCAGAGGGCGGCGATGTGTCTGTGATATTAACATTGCTTGGGCTTGACCGTCCAGAATTTGATTCCAGCTTTCCAGCAATTCCTCTGACTGTTCCCTTTGGTGGACTTTCAGACCGAGTGATGGGTGAGGGAATGTGGGGAGTCGTGGGACCGCTATCCTGGAGACCAGCTTGGACTTTGAATTGATTGCGATGTGCTTGCCACTCTTTCCATTCTTCTGAAGCTGATCGTCCAGCGGCGGCAGCAGTGTCAGCCTGAGGGGCCAGGACTGGAGGTAGTGATTTCCCAGCAGATGCGGGTGCCGTGGTCGGCTCATCCAAGCAGGATTCGCCCTTGGCGGGGGCCCCAAGATACTCGTTGACAGCAGCAACAGAAGCATGTTCTGATTCTGGGGAGGTGAGAGATTCAATATTTGTCGATCTCTTGGTAGGGGCAATGTCCTGAGTAGGAGGGGTGTCAACACGAGAAAATTCAGGGCGGATGGATACTGGATGAGAGATGCCAAGTTGGGGATTGGATGGAGCTTCGGCCCTCAGGGATTCTGTGGTATTTCTGCGGGAGTCCAGCTGGGACGGCTCTTCGGGAATCACAGCGTAGGTGCCTGGAGTGGCCGACAAAGTAGCCAATGAGTGCGGCTTGTGACTGATTATGGGACTGATATCCGAGGTGGACGTACTGTTAGACCTATAGACACTATTCGTGGTGGAGGTTGGCGAGAAGGACGTGTCTTTTTGACTGTCATCGAAAGCCTGCTGCACCATAGACCTGTAACCTAGCGAAGGTTGATGTTGGAGGGGTTGAGTTTGTGATTCAGCCGCGGCTCGGTCCAGAGCGGAGTCGTCTTTCTGCGGCACTGGTGGAGGAGGTGGAGGTAAAGAAGGGGTTGGTGGGATATGGCGGGAAGTGTCAGACGCCGATGAACCAAGTGCCCCCAGATCCATGCCAAAGCTTGACATCCTGCCAATGGCGGGTAACCCGTAGCTCATACGATTTGCAAGCGGCTCTTCGGGGATTCCTTCATGCATTGACTGATTCCTTGAGACGGTTGAGGCAGAAACAGGATCAGGTCGATCGGTGTAGACAGAGGAAGCATTTGTAGGATGCCTTGCAATTCCAGCCTCGGTGAGCTCTGTGGGGCTGTCTACCGCGGCAGAAGGGGCCTGTGTCGAGGAGGGGTTAAGTAGATTGTCAAGGCCATACTCGCTCTTGCGCTCCGGTACTGGATCCAAGGTTGATTTGAGACGCCTGGTGGAATCCGAGTCCTCGGCGAGAGTATCTCTAGGCTCAGAGGAGATAGATTTGATGTCGAGAGTCTCTGGTTGTGGTCGAAAGCCGGTAGAATCAACGCTTGGTCTGGAGGAGGAGTCTTGCGAGGCGCGCGCCTTTTCCACCTCTTCGGGCATTCTCTTGTAAATGTCTGAAGGGCGAATGAAGGTGGGAATCGGCCTGTCACCAGTGGCGGGACTGGTGGCAATGGGCGAGGAAGACGTGACTGAGTCATTGGCTGGACGACTGAGATCTGGCGATGGTTGACCCAGACTGGCTTTGCGAGGGGGAAAGTGTCTGGCCGAGGTAGTGGAGCCTCGACTTTCGGGTCGCATGGGACTTTCATGACGCTGAAAGATCTCGGCCGGGGGAGGACGGCTACTAGAGCCCGATCGTCGTTGCTGCTGGGAGAAGATACTCGGAGCAGATAAGGGAGCATCGTCGTATGGCGGATATTGTCTCCCTCTTGAGCCTGGTCGGAAAGTATTGGATGGAGGTGGGCCTTGGGTATTTAGACGCAGAGGAGGCTGGTCTCGATAGGCTGGAACAGGAATATCATATTCATGTTGAGGTTCGGGGAAAGGATCGCGCTGAGTGGAGGGATAGGCCGAGTCGAAGCCGCTGCCGGTGGAAAAGTACCGTCTCTCGTCGGCGCCACGGTCGAAAGAAGGCCTTTGATGGTTCTGCGAGGGAGCAGGCGGGGGCGCATAGGAGGGCGGAATGGGATTTGTGAAGCTTCGATTCGACTGGCTGTCCCAACCAGGATGTCTGGGGTTGTCGGCAGAGACAGCAGCAGGAGAAGGATTGTTATCGTAGCCGTCGTCGTCGTCGTCACCCCAGTCGTCGCCATCATAGTTTATTTGATTTGCATCTTTCCACTTCTTGGTGACAGAGCGTCCAACGTTTGTTTTGTAGGCCGAGTATGAGCCCGGGGCCGCCATGTCTTGATATTATTTAGTGAAGTGAGAGGAGTGAGCAGTCAGGACATGGCGCATGCAAATGTTGTAGGCTGGATTGGATTCAGCCGCGATGTTGGAGATGCACTAAGAATAGCAGGAGCTTGGAGAATAAGCGACCGACAGTACAGATTTATTAGATGAACCGGTGAAAGAAGCAAGAGGAGGAAGAAATCGAGAAGAAGCTGGAGGATGAGATCGAAATCGTCTGATTGTGAACGAAGCGGACTGGGTATGGGCAGACAAGCAAGCAAGCAGATGGCCTGAATGGGACACGCAAGACAGGCTCAAGACAAGGCAGGACACGGACTGCGAGTTCTGCGACACGACAGCCGGAATTGGAGTTTGGAGATCAGAGGGAACAACTGCAATGGGAATGAGGAGACCCAAAAGTTGCCTCTCATCGTCATCCCACGGCGACTGCGCCACACTGGGATCATCATCTTGACCGCTAATGTGTACGGAGAGGAACATTTGTACCTGTTGGGCTTGCTTCATTGGTTTTGCGGGCGGATTCATAATTACTAGTGTGTAATGAATGGTATGCTAAAGGTCTAGCGGCTTACGCCGACTGTGGCTGTCTGCAAATACCAGCAGCCTAGATGTTAACGGCACTACCACGTCACTTGCACCCGCATCAGTGGTCGATGGCCCAAACCTAACCTCATATGGCCTAGCATATCAGCTAGTGCGGCCTAAGCACTCTTCAAAGACACCTTTCACTATGATTCCGCCTCTGCCTGCGCCCGACCTCCGCCTGCGCCTGCGCCTGTCCCTGTTCATTGTCGCTGGTTCTCAACAACTTCTATCTCAACGACTAGTATAGAGAACATCTGGCTTTAATCCACATTCCTTTCCCACAATTTGTTTCCTCTTCTTTCGATTCTCTGTGTAGATACCACTTACCGCACTCTGCTCGTCTTATCGCTTTGTGCAGACCCACCCTCTTGATCCCTCCTTGTCGTATTTCGGCGACGGTCCCATACAATAAAATGCTGCTTTGCCTTCTCTAACCACCTCCACCACCATTCGATCAATTTTACAATGGTTTCTACTACGATTCAGGACCGGACGAATGAGTTCCGAACCATCCTCACCCAGGCTCAAAAGCGCCAGACTGCCCCAAAAGGCCCGCAGCGACAGTCTCTCCTGAGTGATGCTCAAAAAAATGATGCTAATGGCCCCGTTCAAGGTGGCAGGTCAGAATTTGCTCGCAATGCTTTGCAGATCGGTCGCGGTATTAGCGCCACCATGGGGAAGCTAGAGAGACTTGCTCAGCTTGCCAGGAGAAAAGCCATTTTCGACGACCGGCCAGTCGAGATCTCCGAATTGACATATGTCATCAAACAGGACCTTGCCGCCCTCAACTCCCAGATCTCTTCTCTCCAGCAACTCACCCAATCGCAACATCCAACCGCCTCTCTACCCCGTTCCGCCGATCAGGAGGGTCAGCACAACAAAAATGTGGTTCTGATGCTCCAGAACAAGGTCACCGATGTCGCCGCCAACTTCAAGGATGTTTTGGAGGTGAGAACGAAGAATATACAAGCCTCGCGATCCAGAACAGAGAATTTCGTATCTTCGGTTTCTGCCCGCTCACAGTCCCACCTCGATGATTCAAGATCCGAGTCCCCCTTATACTCAGGTGCAGCAAGTCGACAACGAACGCCGCAAGCATCCACCAACGATCTTCTGACTCTCGAACCTTCTTCTACATCTACGTTAATGAAAAATGGCCCTCAATCCGATCATCAAATACTACTCATGGAGGAAGCCCAGCCGACTAATACCTATATCCAAGAAAGAGGCCAAGCCATCGAGGCAATAGAAAGGACCATCAATGAGTTGGGAGGTATTTTTGGACAGTTGGCCACTATGGTCTCTGAGCAGGGAGAAATGCTCCAGAGGATTGATGCCAACACCGAGGACGTGGTCGATAATGTTCAAGGTGCTCAACGTGAGCTGTTGAAGTATTGGAACCGAGTCCAGGGCAATAGATGGTTGGTGGCCAAGATGATGGGTGTGTTGATGGTAAGCGTCGTGGACTATTTTCTTGATGGACATAACTAATTTGAGTAGATATTCTTCCTGCTATGGGTATTAATCTCTGGGTGAGTGGGGCGAACAATGGGATCAGAACACGACGTAATCCACCGGAAATGAACGGACCAAAACATGGGAGTCTGATGTAGTGTTTCCGACGATGGTCTCAGAAGCGGCCACAGACCTTCCTGCTTCGTCCCCAAGACGGCCACCTGTCTTGAACACACCAATAACCACCATCGACCAGCTTGCAACGGTCTGGTGTCCGCCCACGTGCAAAGTGGAGCGAGAGGTGTGATCGTTGACTAGCTCACTTGATTGTGGACAGACAAGGTGCAGAGCACACCTGCCAGCAGAATTAGACGCACACTGTACAAAGAGACTAAAGGGATGGGCCAGACCATTGATTGTATATTAATCAGATGGAAGGAGGCGGGGCGACGGGAATTCAGTGGTCCCTGTTAGACTTTTTGTAGCATCAATATTGTTCACATTATTGTCTCAAGGATATCGCTCAGTTCATGATTATGGATCGACTTTTCCAACCCTGGCATGTTATGTACACTGGGTGCTAGTGGCACATCATTGGCGGATTTGCGGTCGATCTCGTCGAGGATGAACGCGCGGAGGGTATCGCGAGCGAGCCCACACTGCAGCTGCCATCTCAGGAGAGTCTGTTCGAATGAGACTGCCGATGCCCATAAAGACGCTGCGTTTGGCGTTAGAGTGAAGACGCACGACTGCAGGACCACGTCTGGATCGTACCTGAATGTGGCGCCTGATCCCACCATGTATTTCCCTAATGTCCTCATGATTCCTGCCTGGCCTCCGCCATATTGGAAGACGGTCACGACACCTGGAGCAGCCTATGGTGAGCATGCCGTCGCCTTCGAGGGCGGCGCGGGAGACTAACCATAGATCAATCCCATTATTCCACCCACGGCTTGTTGGATGCGTTAGTGGTTTCTTCTGCTCCATCAAGGTGTACACCTACTTCCGCCCATGAGCATGCCCATCTTGACTGTGAGCGGGTTAGCTTTCACTTTTACACAGTAACAACGGACAGCATACGCTTGTCGGTCCAGTGTGGACCCCGTCGCTGTGCGGATGGCGGCATAGGAGGCATGCTGGCGATCACGGATGCCTAGCTAAGTAGTAGCGGTGACGAGAGGAAAGAGCAAGTGGAATTGTGGAAAGTGCGATGGGTTCGAGGTGGAAGGTCGAAAGTGACAGGAGCGTCTGGTGATGCCCTCAACCCCAACTTGCAAGACGCACCTGCACCTTCCTACTCTCGGTACAGATGCACCAACCGCGCTAACCCCTTTTGGCCTGCAGCGTGGTTAATTTGGACGGCTCTTGATCATGCAAACCACCTTTGTTCACGCTTCAACCCATCCAGATCTCCCTCAATTCTCTTTCAAATGCCATCAATCCACTCTATCCCTCGCCTTTCTCTCTGTAGCCCGTCTTTTTCGCTTGCTCATCCGGTTTTGAGCTGAGCGGGTCGCCCAGACCACTCTCTGTCAGACCCCCACTGGCCACGGTCACTGCACGCGAGCAGCTCCTCTCCTCTTCAATCCCATCCACTTCCATCTCGGTATGTGCTTCAGCCGCTCAAGAGAATCTACAAACCCGCAATCTTCGATTCTTACCCCAGCGCCGTCCTCAGACTAACTGACGCAATCATTTCTGTAGATTTTTACCCACCTGCCGAGTCCTCGATTCCCGACACATGACGAGTTCACAAACCATCATTCGTCTGTTTTTGTTCTTTCTACCACCCTTGCGCTATTACACAGGCTATTTACTGTCTCTCTGAGGCTCGACTCGCTCCTTCGCCTCCTTACTGCCGGCTTGGCGTTGAAACTTCCCGATGACGACCGCCGTGGCATCACCCCCAAACTTTCAGAATATCTCTAGACTTAATTGGAATGGTATAGGTGCTAGTGGTGGCGGTGGAGGGTTTTCGGCCATGAGCTCTGACGAAGTCTCTCGAATGTTTATGCCACGCAAAACAGTTGCCCGGAGCAATTCGTCTTCCTCGCTTTCGTCTAATAGTTCAACCTCGTCAACCTCGACCGTTTCCCCTCTTACTCAAGCCGACTCACCCGCCGAAAGCGCACAGAGTAACAAGAAGAAGTCAAGAGGAGGTTTCTGGCCGGTTTCCAAATCGGAATCCACCTCGAGTCTTTCCAATGCACGCGCAAATGGCTCTTTACAAACCGCGATCGGCAATTCAATGATAGGAAAGAATCCAGTTCAACCTGCTCTACCCAGCCAGAACCCAATTGGTCAAGCGAATGGCGCAAGAATCGTTAATGGACAGCCCTCGACCGAACCCCCGGCCATATTGGCTTTACTACCGATGAACGGCACCTTTGAAAGGAAACAGATCAGTCTACCCTTCTACCCTGATGTTCTTCGAGTTGGTCGGCAAACCAACGCAAAGACCGTGCCTACACCGGTGAACGGCTACTTTGACTCCAAAGTGCTGTCGCGTCAACACGCCGAAGTCTGGGCAGAACGAAACGGAAAGGTCTGGATTAGAGACGTCAAGTCTTCCAACGGCACTTTTGTGAACGGACAAAGGTTGTCACCAGAAAATCGCGAGTCAGAACCGCATGAGCTTCGTCAGCATGATACACTTGAGCTCGGAATCGATATTGTCAGTGAAGATCAAAAGACCATCGTACACCATAAAGTGTCAGCCAAAGTGGAATATGTCGGTTTACCGACCTCCTCCAACAATGTTCTCGATCTCAGCTTTGGAGATCTAGACCCTTCGCATGGCGGCTCATTACTCCCCTCTCCAGTGAGCACACCGATGATGCATTCACGCAGTCGCTCAGGTGGGCCCATCACAAACGGTCGTGCCTCCGTAACCTCTAGTGCTGCCGGTGGGCAGATGAGTTCAGCAGCCCAGCAAAGACAAATGAGTTATTACGGATCGCCCATGAACATCGAACACCTTGTTAAAACATTAGCGGTAAGTCAAATGTCCCAAACCTGTGAGACAGGACCTGACGGGATTCAGATTGAGATGCGTACGGCCAAGCAGCAGGCCGAAGAATTAGATCAAGCAGGAGCATTTCTCAACGCAGTGATCAACTCTGACGGCGAGCCATCTAAGGTTCAACTCCCAACAAAAGAACCGGCACACCATCCACCAAAACAGTCCAACGGGCGGTCAAAGAGTATGAAAGTCGATCATGTCAATCGATTTGCCGACCCACCCGCACCTCCCCCCCAACAACCTCTTCCTGAGAAGCCCGACGTCTCAAAATCGAGTCCGGCTAGTAGTAGTTCTTTCACGAACTTGCTGAAACGAAGCGAGACTGCCAAGGCTCCAAACTCCAACCATTCACCAAACTCCACCCAAAGTAGTCAAATGTTGTCATTAATCGAGGCGCTGTCGATAGCGAAGAAAGAGCTTGACTCGCAAGGTGCAAGGGTTAAGCAACTGGAAGACATACTTAAGGAAGAGCGCTCTGCACGAGAGGATGCCGAGGAGCGAGCTCGAAAACTTGAGCAACATGTGGCATCTCGTCCAGCGACGCAGGTGGAGGAAGAGCAGCAACCTCCGGTTGAAGAGACCCATAATTCGACATCGGAAAGTCAAGCCGAAGCGGCACAAGAAGACGAAGAAATGTCAGCGAAAGAACGACAACTGAAAGAGAATCTGGATAGTGTGGTAGCAGACATGCAGAAACTCAAGACAGATGTGGATCAATTCCGATGGCGTGCCGAGGCTGCCGAGGCTGATGCCACTAAAGCCAGAGCCAGCCTTGCCGAGATGATTACGAAAATCCGAGAGGAGAACGAAAAATCAGAACCAGAAACCGCCGAGTCGGTTGAACGAGAGCCATCTCGGGGGCTCGACAGAGCAGTCTGGGCAGTTGCTAATGAAGAAGAGCAGCTTGGCATGAAAACCCTGACCAAGTGGCCATCACATGCCAATGGCCAAGTGCGTGGGCCGAAACTTCCCAAGCATCTGGAGCAAGCTGTGGCGACTGTGCTCAAGGATCGGGGTGCGAATGGCGATCCTCTTGTCCAGTCGGCACCGTATGTGTCAATGCTGGGAGTGGTTCTGATAGGCGTTGGACTGATGGCGTATCTTAATTCCTGGCAAAAGGCAGAGAAGTGAGACAGCTTCACACAACAGAACCCGACACTCGAACCGAACATTTCTTTTCGTTGAACATAATAAACTACAGTTTGCTTACAACACCAGTCATTCGTTCCATGCAAGCGTGGCATACGGTACAGGAGTTGATATCACAAGGAATGGGTGGAGGACCGTGAATTACTTGTCCTCCGGAGTAACAGAGTTCCAGAATCAGGGGGTTTGAATTCGAGTTGCATGGCGAAAGAACGTTGGTCGGGAAGGTCTGCCTTTTGTCCTTCTTTCGATGTTTCAAATTCTGGAACCGGTGACGCCATCACTTTCACGATGATGACGGTTCAGTGGAAAAAAGACATTGATGAAAGAAAGCAGGGCGTTTTATTGTTGTATATATGCCTGTTGAAGGATAGGATTGTCACAATGTGGGACCAGACGCGAAAGAGGATACCTGAACACTAGTAGGTTATATCCGTGATTTTTGTCTGGGACCACCATGAGACGACGATGACGAGACGAAAATGACATAAATCCTTGAGTCTTTCCTTTGAGATGGCCATGGTCGTGCTATTCGTTCGCCTCGGTGTGCATGTGGTATTACATAGTTGCAAGTTGCAACAAGATGGTGTACATGTGCCAATTCTCCTTTCAGCCCCGCTTACGAGTGCGTCGTCTGCCTCTGAGCCTGTTGGCCAATTTATCTTTCCAATCAGAGTGTGCACTTCGTATGTTTTATCCCGGAAGCCTCCAGGATACACATGCCCACTTGCGCCATCAAATTGATTGCGCCGATAAACACGCAGTTATCCGCTCGTACTTCGTATTCGCCCGACGTCGATGATCACCACCCAACACCGTCTATCACCATCCCGGCTCTGCCCTCCGGCCCATCCCCACCGTTAAAGGTCAGATCGTCATTCGGACGCCGGGCGGACTAGAGGAGGGCTTATTCCCAACTTCCAACGTCTCCATCCCTATCTCAAATAGCGGACAGCTAATATTCTCCAACCAATAATGTCACTCCAAGGATTCCCTCCTCCCACGGCTTCCCGTAACTTAGACCTTTCGGCTGCCGGAAGTCTCTTTCAACCCTTCAAAGCTCGTTGGTCCACATCCCGACATACGCTTCAAAACGGTTGGAAGAAATGACGCAGTTCCGGGCTGAATCGATGGAGCGAGGTTCTGTTGAGTGCGTGCGATGTTTTGAGTCATCCCTTTCCATTCGCGAAGTGGAGAGCAGGGCATGCTCGTCCTTATCGAAATGACTGCCTAAGTACTTTCATGATCGTGCAACGCAAGTGAGTCTCTCGTTTATCCAAGCCCTCCTTTTCATCTCTCGGTCTGTGTAAGGGGAATTGCAGGATTGGAAGGTGTCTGTATCTCTTGTTCAGACTTGGTTCTATCCTTCCCGTCCTGCGATACAGCAGCCAACAAGAGACATGCGTCTTCGGAGACTCGGTCTGCCTCAATGTCAGGCGTGGTTAGACCACACTTGCAGGCACCTCTCCCGACAATCTGCGCGTAACCCTCTCCTTGCGGCCCAAATACGTGCATATGCCACTTCCCTTCCAGAGCCAACCCAACAAAAGACCGATTCGAGGGAAAAAGTGGTTATACTAGGGAGTGGTTGGGCAGGTACGTTCTGTGTAGCCCAAGTTTTGCAGCAAGACCAAATCCAGATCCTAACCCTACGATCCAGGCTATGTGCTCTCACGCCAGCTCGATCCAAAGAAATACCGAGTCGTCGTCGTCTCCCCTCGATCGTACTTCGTCTTCACTCCTCTGCTCAACGACACCACCGTTGGCACTCTCGAGTTCCGAAACGTGCTCGAGTCCGTGCGAAAGAGAAACAGCCGAGTGGAATACCTGCAAGGATGGGCTGACGACGTGAACTTCCTTGATAAATTTGTCACCGTCGAGCCGTCTGTCCTAGACCCGGACGTAGGACGTGCCTTGACCGGGCCAAGAAAAGTGAATGAAGAGCGGACGACAGATATGCTAGAAAGAACTCTCCACGCCGGAGGAACGGGCAAGGCCCAAGTGCCGACGTTCCCAGTCCGGTACGACAAGTTGATCATCGCAGTGGGATGCTATAGCCAGACGTTCAACATAAAAGGCGTTCGCGAGAATGCTATGTTTCTGAAAGACGTGCGGGATGCCCAGGCAATCCGACGCCGCATCCTAGAGCTCTTCGAACTGGCGCGTCTCCCTATCATCCCTGAAGAAACAAAACACTACCTTCTACACTTCGCCATCGTGGGCGGCGGGCCCACGGGCATGGAATTCGCTGCGTGCCTCTCAGACCTGATCCGCGACGACATCACCAAACTACACCCAGAACTCCTCAAATACATCCAAATCTCACTCTACGATGTCGCACCCAAGGTGCTCCCCATGTTCGACGCTAGTTTGGCCGAATACGCTGTAAAGCAGTATAAACGACGGAACGTGCAGATCAAAACCAGCCACGTTGTAGAAGAACTACGGAAAGGATTTCCTAACGACCCAGACGCTGCGCAGAACCAGGACAAACAGGTAAAAGGCCGGGTCTATACGATTCGCACGAAACAGGAAGGCGACGTAGGTATCGGCATGTGTGTGTGGTCAACAGGGAGCATGAACAATCCGTTCGTGGACAAGGCCCTGAACCATGTACGCCGCTTCCCCGTCCGCTCAGCACACATCACGCAGGGTGGCGCCACCGCGGTAGAAAACCCGAATACCCGCCAATGGATGATCGACCGTGACCCTCGATCCGGCCTCGTTCTCGTCGACGATCATTTCCGCGTCAACCTCACCACCGACGCAGCGATCGACGGGGAGGTCAACGGCGACCCAGACCACAATCACGACCCGCAACCGCATGCATTCGTCCAGGACGTCTTCGCCATAGGCGACACCACGAAACTCAAGTCCGGCGCCCTCCCCGCCACCGCCCAGGTCGCCAACCAACAGGCCCTGTGGCTCGCGAAGGCCCTAAACCAGTTCCCGGACCCGGAAGCGTACGCGAAGAACGAAGGCTTTACCTTTCGGAATCTCGGCGTGTTTACTTACATCGGCGGCGCCAAAGCCATGTTGCAGGGTCCGCCGCCGGATGGGAAGAGTGGGGGTGGTGGGAACAACAGAGGCAATAATAAGGCCACCGGGCTGAATTTCCGTGGCTGGATTGCTTTTCTTCTCTGGAGGGGCGCCTATCTCACTATGACGCTCAGTTGGAGGAATAAGTTCCTTGTCCCTATGCAGTGGGTGGCTGTTAGGTTGTTTGGAAGGGATGTGAGCCGGTTTTGATGTCCGTGTTTTTAATTTTTGATTTGTTCTTGGGCCAGGTATGGTGTATGGATTAGGATTTCGGGAATCGGAATGGGAAAAGAAATTAACAGAAGGAATATGGGAGTTGAGGAGACATGGATTTCGAACAACAGGTGAGCGAAATAGGACGCTGCTTGTCTTGGTGCGAATACCATCTGCGCCAGAACCATCACCACTACATAGGTGGGAAGTATACCGTATGTATGATAAAAATACCAACATACCACCATGCTTGAAGTTCATTAAATCTGTCATCAATTGATGTCTACTCTACACACTTAGGTGACACCATTCAATCTCAGCAAGGCAAACCTTTCTCTCTCCAGTCAAATTAGCTACGACAGTAACAGCACAAAATGTATCGAGGTCCGAGGCTCGTAGTTAACAGGATCCGTTGATCGAACGAACGAAAAAGGCCTTTCCTAATCCGTCTGTTCTTCTCAAGACAACTTGAAGTTTCCACAAAAAGAAGGCTGGATTTTTGTTTGACGTCTGATTGGGGGCAGCAAGTATTTTGTAATATGCTTGGTTTTTGCACCTCCCTGCTAGTCTTCTAAAAGGAAGAGGCTATTTTCGATAATGGGCTAGAGGTGTGGATACAGCTGGCCCGGGTTACTCAGCGTTGAGGGTTCGTCGGCCGCGATGGGAAATTTAGGTCCGGAGCGCGGAGTCAGCAGGCATTGGATTCGATTGGGAGTGTAGGTTCATGACGGAGGGCGAGGTTGAGATGCCTTTGTTGAGAGGTTATTATTAATTGGACTGGGGATATATAGACGGAGGATAACGTTCTCTTCGGTTGTGCAGGTTATTTTCTTGAATGGTTGGTAGTCGGAGGGTACTTCCATTCAACAACTATTCCCTCCTGGTTCTGAATCAAATTTGCTCTTGACGTCTCCTCGGCGTGAGAGCGCAGCTTCAGAGTGGAAAGTCTCAAGTGTACTAGTGAATACCTCTACGGTTTCCGGCTTAAGCCTCCTGACCGCCTCAGCCTTGCTTCCATTGATAGTCCGTCAGTAGCAGAGCAACTAACCACCGACACGCCCTCGATATGTCCACCGACACCAACATCCCCACAGCTCAAGTAGCACAAACTCTCACGCGCTCGAACCTCCTGTACGTCTTCTCACAACGCGACGCGTCCAAACGGCTCGAAGCAATCGAAAAAAACTACCACGCAGACGTGCAGTTCGACGAGCCCGACGGCAGCGTGTTCGTGGGCCACGAGGGCGTCAACAAGAAAGCGGGCGAACTGCTCGAGGAGCGACCGGGCTGGGGGTTCGTGCCCACGGGCAGCGTCAAGCAGACCAATGACCTGCTCTATCTCGCCTGGGGGTTTGGGCCGGTCGTGGAGGGTGGGAAGTTGGGCGAGGAGGGAAGTGTTGATGTTAAGGCTACGGGGGCGGATGTAATACTTGTTGAGGGGGGCTTGATTAAGAAGGTTTGGGTCATCATTGATGGACTGAGTGATGTTAAGGTGTGAGCGCGTTTGCGTGTGATCTTGGGGTTTCGATGGCAGCCTGGATCATACAGACGACGAGGATGTTGAGCATGGGCACGTGCTGGGATCATTAGCAGCTTCCTTATGCTAGTGCAAAGAGTGTGACGTCATATGTCGATATACGGAAAGTGTCCCGCGATAGCGTGTCACTGCCCGTTGCACTAGCGGTGACTAGGCCTGTTTAGGTAGTAATTGCTACTAGCAAGCTTGAACCGAGCACTCCGGAACAGCCCTCGAAGCTCTACCGAACACGAATGAGGCACCCAGAGGATCGCCCCAAAAAGATTCCCTGGGTTCAAGTTTATTCGTACGGATAATCAACTCGTCTGTTTCAACCCATATCCATCAAACCGGAGTCAGCGGAGCAAACGGACCATCCTGACCATCCACCCAGCCATATCAGAAAACCCCCGTCCAAATCCCCAGTCCCTATCCCGATCCATCAAAGCACGGGACAGCCAACAATTGCACATCTCATTCCCACGTCCCGTTCATCCTATCCCATTCACTTGTACTTCTGTCCAGAACCGCGTCGTCATTCTGGCATCAAAACAGGAAGCTCCAAGCATTCTTCACCTCGTTCTTGTCTATCAAAGCAGGCTTACTATTACTATTAATATTGTCTATATCCGCGAATCTTTTTCTCTCGCTCTTTAACTCCTAAATCGTCGATCCTTCGGTTCATCCTTTGCTCTCGACAACACGCGTCACTTCCCAAGAACGCACCGCACCGCCCCCCAACCATGCTGCGACCACGAATCTCGTAGATTCCAACCTCCTCCCCTTAATCGCAAATGCTAGCCGACACAACTCTCTCGATTACTCGCCGATAAGTCGCCATGAGCTCCCTCCTCCACCCCATTCACTCGGCGAGCCAGAAATGTCGACCTAAGCATCAAGTCCTGGTCCTCAAGTGCTATCCCAAATACCAAAAGACCGTCCAAGAAGTCAAGCCAAATGCCTCTGAGTTGAGCTATCTCCTCTACTACGCAAGCACGCGCCGTCACAAGCTGCAGAAAGTCGGCGCATTTCTAGAAAAGAAGAATGCTCACGATGTCTGGAAGGCAAGACTTGGGTAATGCATCCTTCTGACCCTGCAATCAACCCTGTCTCGCTGACCGCGCTATAGTAATGTCCAAATCACTCTTCAGATCCTCGCCGCCATCATCGAAAAAGCCCCCCGCGACATCTCCCTGTACGCCCGATCCGTCCTGATCATTCTCGACTCCGTCCTTCGATCCAAAGATGTAAATATGGTAGAAGAGTCGGTTCCCACCTTTGAGGCTTACTGTAAGCATGTCGATGCTGCTTCTCTTACTGCCGATCAACAGCGTGCTCAGCAATACCTTACCATTGTTCAACTATATGCGGGATATGCCGCCAAGCAAGTCCCTGTAAGTAAACAGCCTGGCGATTCTATCCCTGTGTCCCTGCGATGGCGCACCCTCGGTCTTCGCGCTATCCGAGCCGTGGTCGCGTCCGAAGCAATTGCCGCAGACTCCGGTCGTCAGCTCAACACCGTCATGCCCGTCATACTCGACAATTTGTCTTTGGAGGAAGACAATATATTGGCATCTCTTCATCAACGTGCCAAAACCAGCGAAAGATCGGACGATGAAACTGCGCGTAGGAGGCGCATGAGCATCGCTACCGTGACCACCGTCGACACTGCTGAGGGCGACCCCGCTACCGCAGTCGAAACAACAGCTGCAGCAGATAAGGTGGCTGAAGAAGAAGTTCGAGCACTGGCCTTGAGATGTCTGAAGCAGATATTCTCCATCGGCATAGGAAGCACCCGTGGCCAGACGAGGTTAGCGACTGCTTTGACCTTGAGGTTCATTGCGGCGAAGAATCCACCCAAAACAACTCCGGATTTTGCTCGACAAGGGAACTGGGCAACATCCTTATTCGAGACAATTGCGAGATGGACTCCCGTACAGGATCGCTTCATTATCGTGGTCACAGCCATGGAAACTCTTGTCAGGAGTCCAACCACGGAAGATGTGCTCGAGAAACAGCTCGTTCTCACCATTCTGATAGACTGGCTTCTCAGTTCGTCTATCAACCTGATTGGGTTAAGTGTTATGGATGTTTTGTTGGGTTTCATTTACCACATGCTAGCTTTGCTTCAATTAGGTGGTCCCAATCCTCGGTTCATCCCTGCTCAACCAAATGACACAACCGGCTTTTTCCGCGAGATAAAGGAAGCATTCGATCCCAGTACTGTTCTTAGCGGATCTGAGAAACCGACGACAGCGTCGAAACCTGAGACGAAGCCCTCTGCAGTACGGCAAGAGCTGATACTCCGGCTCCAGAAATGCATTGCTTCACTTTCCAACCATATCTATTACACCGACCAAATCAGTGATATGATAGCTGCGATTTTGGCTCGCCTCAAACCCTCCACCCAGTCCGAAGTCCCGAATTCTGCCGCTGCAATAAGTGATCCTGCAGCAGCAGCAAAAGCGATTGCCGAATCTGCAAATGTCCAAGAAGATGCGTCCACTTCTTCTTTCTTCTCTTTCACCACTGCTAGGTTGACTGCCGTACAAATCATCAAGGATATTTTGTACCGTTCAAACAGCAGAAGAGGCCCTTCTGGGGCACCGATCGAGGCTCGTTCTAGAGTCGGTGTGCAGGTCTGGGAAGGCACCCAATGGCTTCTGAAGGATGAAGACAAGGAAGTTCGAATTGCGTATATCGATGCGCTCCTAGCATGGCTCAAGCTAGAGACTAATAAATCCGATATGTTATTGCCTAAAGATGGACATCGAAAAGTGAGCCAGAACAAGAAAAACACGCTTCAACCTGGTGAGACGGTCGTTGCCAAACGTGCAGTGTCTGGAGCTTCACGAAAAGAATCCAAGCCGGCAAGGTCCAACTTTCTGCAACTGTTGCATTTGGCCATCTATGACAGCATTCTTGATGACCCTGAGAACGAATCGAACACGCTCTTACTCTACCTCCTACTGACCAAGCTTGTCGAGAGACTCGGAGTCAACGCGGTCCGAACAGGAATGCCCATGATTTTGCGTCTGCAAGAAACTGCCCTCAACGGAGAGGTGGTTTCTCCTCATGGTCGAGTTTATGTTGCAAGTATTGTCAATGGATATCTCTGGACGATTGCCGAGAAATTCGACTTCGAGGTCAGTCCAGTTGGTAATGAAATCAACGCCGAAATTTCTAGGAGAAAACGCTTTGGGATCTGGTTTGATAAGGTCAAATTCCCCGCTGTCCCTATGGATGACATTCGCCAGATACCGATTGTCAGTGAGAAACGACCAGAATACCCGGATGAAGCTATTAAGACGATCAAGCCGTTCTTGTCGGTCAAGGAGGTCGTCGATGAGATAACTATTGCTTATGATAATTCACTTCTCACTCCCCCAACCTCAGCCCCTTCGTCTCCTGGCCGAGTGTTCTCCATCCCGACACTTGGCTTCGGCTATGGCTATGGTATCGCGGCGGGACCGAAGCCGTCCCGTGAAGATCAACTTCCTCAAAAAGTCAAGGATGAAATGTGTGCTGGGTGGTCGAGAGAAGCATGTATTGCTGCGGTGGAGAAAGAAAGTGCTGCTTCTGTGACAGGGTCGCGTACGGGAGCTTCGTCCCTGCCGAAAGCTGCACATCATCTCGGTGTAAATGGGGCTCACAAGCACAGTTCTACAAGTGGTCAAGAGTCCCCGGTCGCTGCAAATGGGTCGACTACTCCGACATTTGGACTACTTGGTGGATTGGGTACACTCACAAGAAACAAAAGAGCAAGTGCCAATGGCTCGCCTTCGAGACACGTCACTACTTCCAGTCGAGACTCAACTATAAGAGTAACTGATCTCAAACGCGCCTTGTCTAGCTATGCTAGAAATGGTACAAGACATCATAGTCCGCTACGCCGACCAACCATAGGGTCCAGGAGGAGCACGGTTAGCAGTGGGACAAGTAGCATGGTCAGTTGGACGGAAGCTGATGAGGGCAACTTATCGACTTTGGATATTGATAACAGTCAAGCGAATGGTCCCAGCAACGGCCCAAATGGTATCAGCTCTCGACCACAAACTGCCAGATCCAGCAAAGCTGGCCCGGGTGATGAAGGGGGCACATTTCATGATCAGGCAGCTGTCCCAGCCCTCACAGCAGATCCTCGACGAGATTCAGACATTCCTCCCGTGCCAAAGATCCCATCTACACTCAATCTCCCCGGGACATGGCCACGCGATATTTCTCCAGCTCGACCACTAGACGAACCAACCGAAGGAACGGCCGTGCATGCACCATCTGGGGCTATCGATGCTAGTGCTAGCCCCCAATCCAAACGAGTAACAAGCGGAACATACTCCTCTCCGCCCACGAGAGACGGCCAGACGATGAAGAAAACCTCCCGGCCTGTGAGTCGAAAAAGCGCCGCCCCGACTCATCCAGCACCGGTTGAAAAATTCGACTTGGGTTCGTTGTTGGCGGGCATTAGCCTGGGTACAGGCAAAAGCACGGAAGAAGTGATAGAGAAGGAGGACAGCCGGTCAAGTCGTTTGATCAAACCTCCTTATTAAATTTTTCTGGGTGGAGATGGGTTAGCTAGTGGATGTCTTCTTGGATGCGATGTTCTCGTTGTGAAATATTTGCCCCATCGGACATCGAGCACGAGCAAGCCTGTTGAGAGACTGGAGTGGAGTGGACTGGACTGCTTCATCACTTGAATGGAGCCAGAAATATTGGTATTTAATGTACTTGTATAGTTAGAGATGGAACGGCATCGGGGCTGTACCATAGAAAAAAATAAAAACTGTCTAGTCTTGTCTATTGTCTATTTTGAGTGTGGCCCGGTCCTGGCTGGGCTGTGCTGTATGGTGCTGTGGTCTCTTAGAGATGCTCTATATACTGTGGATGAGTTGGGCCGACTATTCCAGTTTGCGTGGTGCCGGTGGGAGGAATGGTTTGGGTTGGGTTGACTGGACTGGCTCCCATACTGGGGTTGATTGATTTGCTGGGCAAGTATATTCCGAATCAGGTAGTACATATCACAGCCTGATTGTCAGACGCGGTAATGAATGGCAAGCTGGACTGCTCCAGCTCTTTGGTGTGAGTCTTATTCCGCACAGTCTTTCCGTCCTCATCAACCCTTCGCTGGGAGAGCCGAGCTGTGTGGATCTGATACTGGCTTTTTTCTCTCTCCCATTCGGTAGTGGATCGAATGCAACTCCAGCAGCATCGCGGGTCTTGCGTGCTAACGAGCCAAGGGGGAGATGCCTTTCAATTTCTTGCAACTTGCTGGGCCGTGAATAGCCCCGATGAGGCAATCTCACAGCCCTCCACCGGGAACCATATCTTCATAATCACGTGTTGATTTCACTGCCGTTCCCTGTATGTACTCCGCTCCGTACTAATGCTTTTTATGTACTGCGTTCTACGCGCGGCAGTTGACTTTATCCGCAGTTCCGCGACATCGCCGGGCGGCATATCTTTTCTCCTGCTGTCCGGAAAATCGCACATCCGTAGATTTGCGATGTTGGGGCATGAATTTCTCTCTCGCTCTCCGTTTGAGGAAATTGTCTTGCCTTGATTTGGCAAAATGTCTAAATACACCGTCTAGTGTGACTGAGATTGTGCTGTCGACTTGTCAAGATTGCTGCCAGTGGGTTGCGGGCCTGGTAGGTCCGGAAAAGAGGTTTCCCCGCTCATGGTGAATTTGTCTGTGCTTTGGAGCTCATCAGGACGAAAGATGAGCGACGAGTGCTGGACTGTGAACATTCACTTCTTCTGTCGCGTTCTGGAAGGCATGCGCGGCCTTTGATCCGGGTCTGGATGAGATCTCACAAATCTCGATCCCATTCTCCATCGATGAGCCACCAGCGTCGACATTCTGCAGGTTGCTGCTTCCCCTCGTCTAGATTGAAGTGTACCGAGAGACCATTGACTCTTTGTACTCATCAGCATCTTCCGGTTTATTGCTGAACCGTGGCACGAGTGCATGTGAGCACAATGATAATTCTGGAATTTCTGCCATGCATGTATCCGGATTTCTATGTTCGTTTCACTGCATGAAATGTCGTGGAAAGTCACTGGTCGGTAGAAGGTTGATTGATGAGAGTGCTGGTCAGTCTTGCCGATATTTTACTGCTATCGTGGGGGGAGGCGTGAGGATTACTCCAGTCCAGTGATAGCGAGACCTTGCTATCACTTGCTTTCCCTTCTCTGACGTCCGACCAGATACTCTGCTCAGTCAATGAAGCCAGTACCTGGTGGCCAGGAACCAGGTCAAGGACGCAAAAGAACAAGGGGGCAAGGCTACACAGCGTCCAATCACCGAATATTCGAGAACGGGCGGCTCGCATAACGCCTACGTATCATCGGATCTCGGAGGGATGGATGGGTGCAAATGAAATGAGACCAGATGAGTAAAAGGTAGGGTTTGACTTGTGACACCTCACAATAGTGAGTTTGTGTACCTCGACAAACGCATTACCGGTTTGCTTCCTGCCCGTTACTGTGTCCAACGCCCGAAAGGAAAATGCCATTGACAAGCAACTGCAGCTACTCAGGGGTTATTGCGTCTGTCTGTCAAACATCCATAAGTCACTGAATGCATGGCACCCTGACGAAGTTTCATTCCCAAAATTTCACTCACAAAATAGTCTCTGTTTCCCCTTTCTGTTGACCGTCGTCGGGATATGCATGTGCTCTGTCGGCGACTGCTCTACTCTTCATTACACCATGCTGTGACGACGCCAACTTTGATTCATGCGGGTCTTTGGCCATTTGAGACCTGATAAATATTTACCTGATTACCCAGATTTACCACTCCTGTCTTCACAGGTGAGACCGGCGCCAACGCCAGCACCCAAAGAAAGGGACCTTCCTTACATAGAACCCCATGAGCCCCTCTTCTCTTGTCACTTCGGGCCGTGTCAATGACTACTACGTCCAAATTCAATAGCAGCTTGTCACCCGCCGCCGACAGACAAATCATCAGATAAGGGCACAAAACGAGTTGTTTCTTGCCGGGAAAGTATCAAGGAGAAAAAAAGGGGGCATTACCAACATTGCAATCGTGCAATGCAAGTAATGGCTGCTGTGGCATTATGGTCCCGGCCGTCATCGGGCATGAATGAGAGATTGTTGTGCAGCCCAGACTCATCGCAGTCGATGTTGTCACTGTCAGATCGTTGCTCTTCTTCCTCTTCTGCACACTCTTCTTTCTATTCCAGAACTGCACGGGTATCGTCAAACAGAATCACCTGCAATACCTTCTCGCCATTCAAAACCAGCCCATCGTCAACTGAGAAGTACGCCTTCCACCGGTTACAGTCATACGAGCAACCACTCAAATTCTCGAAGATTCAACAAAGCCCGGCCACCAGCATGCCTCCTCAACCACTCGACCACGAAAAATGCATATACTGCGGCAATTTCTTCGCCGAATACCAGTGTGGCTGTCAGAAACCCGTCTCGTCGATCAATCGGAACTGCTGAATACCGCTCTTCACGAGTCTTTCTCAGCGGATCTTGAGATTATATGTGTGGTCGGCTGGTTGGGTTGGAACGGGGTGGCTCTGAGAACGGTTTAAATGCTATTCTCTCGCGCACTGCACCCGTCTGCGCTCAACGAAACTGTGAGACGGGCATTATAAAGCCTGTCTGGCCATTTGGAACACCTAACTTGAGAATTTGGGACATTTTGGGGAGCAGAGAGGCCAAGCCGGGGGGAATCCTTGAACTATCTATGGGTTTACCGTCATGGCGTATCTCATGAGTTGACTACATCTGGAATGGGGAACGCAATAGCAACGGAGTTTTCTTTTTCTTTCTGGTGACATTGTCCAATGTTTACGGAAAGCCATCCCTTGGGCACCATTTGAGACTTATGCCTCCCAGGTAAATTTGGCGCTGAGGGGGGGTTTTTTTCTTCCGAATAGTATAGCTACTTTCAAGGTTTCTGCAGATGTCGCTCGGCTTCTCCGTCAATATACTGTTGTTCACTCCCATGAAGTCATGGTACTCAACGCAATGAAAGTCTGTGGCCCTGCCCTGCCCTGCCCTGCCGTCGTTCTTCTCCCGTTAAATGCACGACCGCACCACTGACTTTTGATACATATATACATATTCAAGTACGAAGCTTTTTCACTTGCCAGCATTGGGGTCCTGATTCCCGAGAGGATCTGTTTCTGGACAGTCACGGACGTGCGTTACACGCACTCACGAAAGCGCTAGTTGTATCAGGACACTGAATATGTGCAGCACCGCCCTTTAACTACCTAGTGAAGCACGTGGAACAACGACGCGACTTGACGCGAACTGAAGAGACAGCATGGCAGGAAAAGTTAGAAACAGTGCCTGGTGGAGTCCTGCACCAGCACGGACTACAGATGTCGAGGCTTTGTCACACGCAAGGTCATGGAAGGGTGCCGTGGAATAGGGGGTGGCCGGACTCGTCGTTGATGATAGTGCCGCTGATATTGATGTTGCGGTTCGGAGCGGCCAGAGAAAGGCCCCTCTTGGTTATCATCAGTATTGTGGCGCGTGGAGGTTGTTTCCAGTCGGTGTACACCATTCCAAGTATGCACTCAACAAAAGGGGCTTCGTGGTTGGTAGTAGGTCATTCCATTTCTTGACATCATGTATAGGAGTCTATTCCCTTTATTATCTCCTCTTCCTTCGTCATCTTTTTGATCTTTGATAGGTGAGCCTGCCTACTAGGGTGCTCGCCGACACCGGAGCACATCTCATTTTACCTCAACCCAACCCAACCCAACTCACCTAGCTACCCACTTTCCACCTTCATCCTTGAGGAAAGCAACATTCGGCCCGCTTTTGACCTTGAGGACATTCATCTCGAACTTGGCCAGTTTGGGGGCAGCGGTCTCGAGTTTCTTCAAGTCATCTTGCGATACGAGGCTGATGGCTCCATGTTGCCAGTCTTCGCCTTCCTCTTTGCCTTTGACCGGTACCCCGACAATCTCGAGGCCTTCTAATGCCGCCCCCACGCCCTTGTGCTCAAAGCCGGCGACCAGCTTGTCGAACCAGCCTTCTTCGAGGAGAATACTGGCAGTGAGGTCGACAAGGCCGCCTGGCCCGCCTCCCGCACTCGTGTATAGTAGGTTGCCGACGTCGGTTGCGCGCAGGGTCCACATGCTGAGGTTCAACACGCGCAAGCTGGACAGAGAGTCATCGGCGCTGAGATTCTCGAAACGTTTCTTCACCGCGGTCGGGGCGCGGCCATCGCTCGCGAAGGGAAGAACACCCTCAGCCGGCTTCTCTGTCGTTTCCTTGCCGTCTGCGTCTTTGGTGGCTTCGGCCAGCTCATCCTCGGTCACGGGTACGAATGAAAAGCTGGCGCCGACGATACCTTTCACAATCAGCCCGCTGAGTTCTTCGCCCTGAATTCTGGCTAGGAAATCGCTATCCTCGTGGCCACGGAAGGTATAGCTAGCATCCACAACCTTCAGGCCAACAGTCTTGTCACTTGTGGCCTTGTTCTTGGTCCGCTCCTCGAAGAAATTCCCCACCGTTTTGAAGAAGCCAGGGCGCGCGAAAGAGTCGATGATGTGCAACTCTTGGAGGTTGGTCGCTACTTCGAAGAATTTCTCTGCGTCTTTCCGGGAGTCTTCGCTGATGCCGTCAATGAGGCAGCTGAAGAAGGTCACGCTGCGGAGATTCGGCAGTGATCTTGCAAGTCGGGTGAGGAACGGGGGGTTGCCGGGGAAGCCTAGACCGAAAAGTTCCAACGTGAGGTGGGTGATGGACTTGGGAAGGTTGGGTAGGGGTTGTTGACCGTGGATGGCGTCGGCGAGTTGTGGCCCAACTAGGGTTTGGTACTCGTCCATCTTGATGTCGGCGGTCAGAGTCAGTTCCCTCAGTTTGTTTGCTTCTGCAGGGAAATCTGGTAGCTGAAATCCCTCAAGCGGGATTTGGGCAGCCAGAGGAAAGGAACCTTCTTCCGGGCCAAGGGGGCCTCCATTTGCACCATTTCCTCCTGGTGCCGCCATGTCGGAGAAGAGAGCCAGAAATGAGATAAATATAGTATAGAAAACAAGTGCTAGAAATCGATGTTGACGTTTTCTTCCTCGCCCAGGTGAGGACTTTTGCTCAAGCTAGGCTTTATCACAGGAGTACGCTTCTGTTAGGCTGAGCAACGGTTATGGAGGTCCCAGAGTAATTGAGCGAACCATGGGAATAGATCCAGGAATCGTTTCACGTAAACAAACAACTTATGTACGAAATCAAGTCAGCAGGCGAAGTAGCTCCCCCCTCATTCTGCTTTTCGTGGCGTGCTATTGAGCAATCAGTTCTTCGGTATGATTCTAGCGACATCCTTGAGATAAGTCAGGACTGCCGTTACATGCAAGGTCCATTTTACCCCTCAAGTAGATATGGCCCGGCAACCCGCAAAGTGGTGGTGCTGGGGCTGGGCGCGGGGAAACTGGACAGGGATAGTGAGCTATTTTTGAGGGTGAGACAGCGGAGGAGACACGGATGCTGATGTGGAATTCCTCCACATACATAAACAAGAAGAGAACGGAGCTTCAATGGACCAGAGAGCGAATTGGGTGGTTTGGGAGTCTGTTATACGGGTGTTGAGTCCTGCACTCACTGGTGTGAGATTGGTATAGCTAGCTAGCCATGATGGGAAAGACGGAGTCGCTGCGGCAACCTAGCTGTGCCCGCGCGTCCCTCGACCCTAAGTTTCGAACATATAATGAGCCACTTGCTCGAAAGCTCAATCGATCACCAGCGATTGAGAAGTGCTGAGTCGGAGCTGTGGTTCTTGTCCCTCCCCTTGGGCCTTTTGATCGCGTTAGACGCAACGCGTCGAAGTTTGTGTGCGGAGGGGGAATCCGCCCTCTGAGGCGATGATGTCATCGCATCATTTGGGGCAATGACGCACTCGTACTGTCATTTGAGGCAGGAGCACAGGCAGGACACAAAACTCAACAAAGCTTCAACAACACGACGCCTCTGACCCAGGACCTCGCTTCTCAGAGATACAGTCTTGATCCTTACTACTCCTTCTCCTTGAGCACTTGACCGTCAAAGGCACCCTGATATCTCCGCCATCAGCAACTCTCTCAGCTCACACTTCCATCAGAAGCCTCCTCACGGTCATGGCAGACATGGCCGACAGAGTCAAGCAGGTCGCGGCAGAGGAGTCCAAAAAGGTCAAAGAGATGACAACAGATGCAGTGCGGTCTCGAGCCTACATCTATCCCCTCAAGGTATGCTCTGCACGCTCCACACTCCACTTGACTCGGATCTGACCGAGCTCAGGGCATTCTTTATTTCGTCTCTCACCGAGACCTTTGGAGCCCGTTGACCTCCAAACTCGCTCCCACTCTCACCCTAAGTCTTGGTGTTACGACTTTCATGTTCCTTGTGGCCTATCTCCCTCAAGCTGCCATCATGGCATTCACCTCCGGCCCGGTGGCAGCCATCAGTGCAGCCCTACTCACTCTCAGTGAGAGTTCCACCATTATCAATCTGTTATCTAGGACATTTATGATTGAAGATGCATTGGTAGATACCTTTGATGGGACCTTGTTGTCGAGGGAGTGCACCAACCTCGTCTCTGAGGGCAGACAGGTCAAGGCCGGAGGCGACAACATTGCGCGGTTAGGGAAGCTGCTCAAGAAGCCCTTTGCCAAATTCTCACCCAATGCCATCATCCGCTACGTTCTCTACCTGCCTCTCAATTTCATTCCCGTAGTCGGGACTGTTATATTCATTGTTCTACAAGGAAAGCGAGCCGGACCTGCAGCTCATACCCGCTACTTCCAGCTCAAGGAATGGAATAAGAGACAACGAGAGATCCACATCGAGGAGCACCGTGGGGGTTATACGTCATTCGGAGTTGCAGCATTTCTTTTGGAGATGATACCTTTCGCCAACCTAGTCTTTGCATTTACCAACACGGTTGGTGCAGCACTGTGGGCGGCCGATCTGGAGAAGAATGCCCCACCGCCTGAGAGTGCGCGTGAAGAGCTTAAGAAGGCGCAATGAAGAAAGTGCATTGGTCGTCTGACCACACCTTAGGTCCCAAATACGGTGGGAAATGGTGACGCCAAATCGGTGTGCCTCAAATTACATTGGCTGGAGAAAGAGATGACATAAAACTACGCTGACAAGGCTGGCATGCCTTGAAAATTGGAATGAAACTGTTGCTCGACCTCGCCGATGGTGACTGACTGGCACGGGCTGCCCAATTTACAACAGGTGACGACTCACGTACAACCATCAAATTATGTATCTCCACTGGTGGTAGCGTATTTGGACTGCCAACCAAATGAGTATATCAAGTCAAACAAATCATGGAGTCTCCATCACACATATTCTAGACCTTGGCTGGGTAGACAATACCTTGAATCCTAGCCGTTGACGAACTTCGAACTCCTATACCGAGTACACCTTTATGGTTCGCCACGTTGTCCCAATTTGAATCCCCCCACAATACCGGATGGAGAGACTCTTCATTGGGATTTTATATGAATGTGCCCTCGCTTCAGTGAATATCGGTTGCGACCAGAAGAGTTAATTCTATTTTCCTGCCGGACAGTGTATACCCTTTTACCTCCCCTGTCCTGTCCAGCCCTCGAGTCACTCCTTCCATCATCTTCACTATTCAACCTTTTGCGCCCTTCTTATCCAGAAAGCTGTCCTAGTATCCAACTACCATCGTCTAGGCATTTCAGCTAAAGCCATCAGTTACTACCTGGGGTTCCGGTTTCCGATACCATTTCAAACCGGCAGGACCGGCCTGATCTCGAAAACTATCGCAAAGGGCACTCCGTCGTGTCGAAGTCTCATCTTGTATTCTTACCCAAACAATATGGGATATCAAGGCGGCACCCTCAGCTCGATGCTGATGCTGATGGCCATGGTCCTTATTCTTTCTCCCTTCGATCTAGCGTTCTCGTATCCTCACCATCCTGTTGGCATTGTCGCAGGTCAAGCAGCCTCCAACTTGCGCACCAAATATCCAATTGCCGGCAGGGCCACTGCGAGTACCGCTCATGCCGGAAGTGCGGCCTCATGCTCTGACGGTCGTTGCATTGGATCCACGGATACCATCACATATCAACTCTGCGATAGTTTCAATGAGACCACAGTGAACGATCCCAATAACTCAAGGAATATCCATATTCTTTGCGACGTTGACTTCCTCGGACAAGACATCTATCCATTCATCCTAGCACAATCGTTCGACGAATGTCATGCTTGCTGCAACAGCTTCAACAAGATATCAAATGACACAAAATGCCTCGGGTTCCTCTTTGCACCTGAAAGAGTGAATGGTACTGATGACTGTTACCTGAAATCCTCATTGCACAATCCCACGCCAACGGAAATTCAACTGATTGGCGCTGTGCTTATCCCGTCCATGACCAGCAATTCATTGGCTTCACCCCTCGAGCGAAATTCCACTCCTCGCAATGATTCCCCCAAGACGGAGTCGAGCCTGTCTGTTGCAGAGTTCAAGGTCCTGGGGGCCTCTATCAGCAGACCTCCAAAGTACTATCCTAGTCATGTCCCATATGGTCCCACCGAGATGCTTTACAATGCCGCCTCGCTCTACACTGCCAACGAATCTTTGGTAAGAGATTACGCCCTTGCGGATGACACAGGTTCTTGGACTGAATCCAAATTACCGAATCCGGTGCTGGCAGAAATGAAATCGGTGCCACAGATTTCACGTGATGGAGGGAGAGGAGGTAGTATCAATGGAACCCAAATCTTCGTCTTCTGTGACACAAAGAGTGTCCGAATTGACGATACACCTGACTCCGGCCAGTTGGTCAGTTTTGTCTCCAGCTCCGTTGCCACTGACAAGGGAGTGAATGCGTTGTCTGGCAACCCACTCGAACTTGTGGACAATCTTGGTGAGTGGCAAGACGATGTGGGTAGAATGCGAGGGTTTGCCCCCATGACTTTGGGAGAACAATCATACAACACCGCCATTTCTGGATCTGGCTATCGCTACGCAATCTGGCCTGATTCGTCCCTCATTCCCTTCAATACTTCGCATGCTCTCCTATACCCTACACTGGTCTTTGACATTGACAAGCGCATTGAAGCTCCTGTGTTCAACGAGATTGGGAACTCTGTTTTGTTGGTATCTGTTGATCCAACCTACGGTCCTGTTGCAGAGAGAACTGTCAACCAATTATTCAAACAGGGACAGATCGCATTTGGAACAGTTGGCGGCATACGTGCTTGGGGCCCCAAAGGTATTGGTGCCAATGATGGATATATCTACCTGCTTGGTCAGCATAAGGGACGAGTCAATGCCGGCACAAGCGGTAATGGTGTACTTGTTGCGCGAACCACCCCGTCAGGTATCAATGATTTGTCATCATATACCTACTGGAATGGCAAGTCGTGGTGTGATACCATGCCATCTGTCGACTCAACAGCCACCATACTCGACCATTTGGTTCAAAATATGGACATCTTTTATGTGCCAGCTTTGCGCAGTTTCATCATGGTGTACCTCAATATCTATGGAGACAACACGTTTTACTACCGTCATCTCCCCCTGGATCTGGATGTGATTCCAGGAGGAGATTATGTTGACAACATTGTTAGTGGCAAGTGGTCTGAAGAGAAAGTCCTTGCTAAACCAGGCGCCCCCGTTAGGGAGTTCCTCTACTCTGGAGGAGTTCATGGCGGCTATTTCGGTGCTGAAGACATCACTAATGGCGGATGGAAGATGCTGATCACCTGGACCGAGAAAACTGGAGCAGATGCGTATAGTCCAAACGCTGGTTATGCTCATAAGTCTGCCTATGTTCGCCTCAGTCTGGATTGATGTATTTCATTCGGCAGATGAATGGCTACAATCTCAGCAAAAGCTCAGAACTGATATTGCAAAGCATATTGTGTTGCCGCACTAAAAGGAACCGTTTTGTTTAGGACTAGGCCTTTGCACTATTTCACAGTCAAATGGACAGTGGTTTCTGACCAGGTTAAGACGTCTGAGGCGTCCTTGGGCTTCCACAGTTCATATTTGCCGCATTAGCAATCGGCGCAATAGGCGACTGATTCACTGACAAAATGAAATGACTCGTGACATGGTTACTCCTGATCACGCACATCCCGACGAGAGTTGAGGTTTTGACACATCAATAGTCGATGAGAAAGATATCCGAATTCGTCAGCACTTGATACTGGTAGACTTGATTCGCAGCGCAGGGAGAATGTATGTACGCCCGTGCCGAGAGACGGTGGTAGTGAGCATCCTTCACTCCTTGCTTCTTGAAGCTCTTAGTCCAAGGGAAATTGACCTTGTCTGACGGGAGTTCTCCCGACTTCGCCGTGGAAGCACTGCACAAATATCGTGTAAAGGATTCCATGTGATAAAGTACTCTGCAGTCAGACAGGTAAATATGTCTCACGCCATTTTCCAGGTCCCAGAATCGAGCGGGTCGCGCTTGAACACGCGTTCTCATTAAATGCCTTCCAGCTCGACACCAAATCAGTGATATATCTCAACTTGCCCGCTGAGAGACCTCCGGCCAGCAACTTCTAGCCTCGGGCTCAAACATCAACCTGAAGAGGGGAAAAAACAGCAACACGAGTTACACGCGCCAAAGTTTGACAGGCTGCCCAAAAAGCCCTTGTTCCGGCGACGCCGATGACTGGAACAGCGACTGGATGATTGATGAAAAGGCGTCTCTATTAGTCATCGTGAGGAGCAGGTCTGCAACCACTCCATTTTGCCGCGCACACACAATCTCATCAATAAGCTCCACGCCTGCTTTCCGAGTCTGACTCCAAAAAGATGGGCTCGGACCCCACTTCCCCCTTCTCCCAGCAGCCTTGTGGACAAGCCCGTGACCACCACAAACATCTCATCTTCACAGGCCATTTCTTCGCGGCTGACCGTTTTGCCTGCGGACTGGGTCTCTGCCAATAGTATTCAACATCGCAATATGACACGGTCACATTCAGGCTGGAAATCATCCAGTGGTTTGTGCGCGACATTACTGGCACTTCTCAATATCAAATTTCATGCACGCCAGCTAAACGAGACCTGTTTTGAAGTCAGCAGCTTCGTCCAATATTCCTCGCTGCAGAATTCTGCACATCGGACAAATCAGGGAGATTAAACACGGCATATTGCAGCATGGTCCAGGTAGTGCTTGCAGGAGGGACTGGCTGTGAGAACTCTACTCTTGGAGAGCAGTGGCTGCTGTATGTGGGTGTGTACTGATGTGGACGGCCGTCCTGCTCGCAAATGTCAGAAGAGAGATTCTACATGCTCTTGTTGCAATTCGTAAGCATGAGCTGACTTTGTTTACTCGCTCGGTACTGTCTGCCCACCAACCCGAATCTCCCTCGACGGGTGATTAACCATTACGGCATCTCCACTTTCAGACCTTGAAATGCTGGGGGCTAGCGTTATCAAGGTCGACTCTAATGACAAGCGCACCCTCGCGACGCACCTGAAATGGGTTGACGTGGTGCTATCGTTTGCCTTTGCAGCTGCTGATCCAGAAGGAAAGGCCCAGAAGAATCTCAGAGACGCAAGTGTCGCTGCTGGGGCCAAGCGTTTGGCTCCCGGCGAGTCGTGCATGGTAAGTCTTCCACTTACGGGCCTTGCACTCAAGAGCTCGGAACTTGAATCCCCCCCTCCCAACAGGTCGAAGTGGTACTGGCAATTAGTACTTGATCATTCGAAAGATATAGTATTTCGATACTTGCGAGAAATCAGCAAAGAAAAGAAGCTCGGCTCTCGTTCCTTCATTGACCAGCAGCAACAGGTCTAATTGCAAGATCTAATCAGGTACTGGGGGGCTCTCCTTTCCAGCCTGGTCTATTGACGAACTAGCTGGGGGCGCCCCCCACCAAAAGACTCGGCACATACAAATGTTCAAGATCTTTAGGGACCTGGAGAAGCGACGTGCAATTATACCAGCGGAAGGTGACAGGAAACTGATATTTATGACCGCACAAGACTAGCACGTGTCGTTCCCGAAGCCATTGATTATGCAGGTGTTTTGGCCGGAGCCAGGTGGAATTGATGGCCAGGCATTGACCAACCTTGGGATTCTGACGCTCGCCGAAGAGATTCGAGATATGTACATACGTGCTGCGACACGTTCGTTTCACGTTGACATGATTGGGAGCCCGCTAGCATTAGAATGCTGACTTGAGCTTGTTTTCCAATGCTAGAATCACTCAAGATTGAGACTGCCGCTCGAGCTGATGTCGAAGCCGGCGTATTAAAGCTCTCGTGGATTCCCCATATCGGACACCCTTCCATTCTAGCTGACCACAATACACGAGAGCCGTCGCAGGACATCATCGCTGGAGCACTGATTGCTGCGGCTGCTGGGTCGTGGACCGTCTCCGATGAATGGAACAAACTGCTACAAGATGTGAAGCTGACCACGGGGGAGGAGTGTCTCAGGAACCACGTGTGGGAGGGTATAACATAAGCCTTTCGGGGCCCCGTGCACCTCCCAGGGGAAGCCCAAGGGGATCTGGATACGAAGAAGAGAGGTATTCAAGCTTTCTTGGGAGTTGGCAATCAAAGTCAGAGACTGGCAGGGCCGAAAACGAACTCCACGATGGACCGAACCATGGTTCTCTCGGCTTCGCGCACCGCCACGGCCCATGAAGCAACCAATCAGCACGCTTATGACAGATAGAGTTTGGACACAGACCTCATCGCATCGGGCTCCCTAAATTGGGCACGGGATGGAGAAATGAGGTGTTTCCTAAATAACTTGAATGCACCGAGCGCACGTACAATAATTGCGCAAGCGCACGGTTACAGTACCATCCGCCTCGCCAATAGCACCGCACCCAGAAAAAGCGCATGGTACGGGCGTCCGTAGTTCCCCCAAACTGACACCTGAAAATAGATGGTCAGTTGGCTGCAGGCCGGAATGTAACGTTTCTCATTATTGGTATTGGCAGTGAGCTCCAATTATTCCCTCAAGACTCAGGGGACCATGGCGTATACCAGTAGTAGTAGCATTATGAGTGGCATCTGTAAGTTGAAGCGTATAAGATCATTGACGACTGCCATAGATAGCTCGTGGATTCTTTTATTCATTCCAGGCATAATCACAACACAGTAATCGACTCTGCCACCACATCAAAAAACACCGGCCAAGCACAACAGCAGACGCATTCTCCTTTCAAGCCCTTTTTCTCTTTTCGAGATCATAATATCGTGCCCAACATGCAAAAGACAGCCGCCTTCGTGGCGCTCGCCGCACTCCTGTCGGCTAGCAGTGCCGCGCCATTGGCAAATGGTAACTGGCAAGACCATCAGTCCGGCAACGCACCAGCGCCAGCTCCGGCCCCTTCCTCTCCATTCGCCTTCCCTCTATCCAATGGCTTCCCGAATCTAAGCCCCGCCGCACTCCAGGCCGTCGAGGTGCAAGCCCAAGGAACCGAGCCCAACGGCGCTGCCCCAACAGGCCTCTCCGAGGACGACCTGACAAGCATCCGTCTGATCGCCTTCAACGAGCTGTTTGAAGTCGCCTTCTTCACGGACCTGCTCTACAACGTGACGAACCGGGTGAGCGGCTTCGAAGTCCCCAATCCCAAGAAGCGACAAGAGATGATTGCCGCCATCACTGCGATCCAGGCTCAGGAAGAGCTGCACGCCATCAACGCCAACGCAATCCTCGCCGCCAACGGCCAAGACCAGATCCAGCCGTGCCAGTACATGTTCCCGAGCACGACTCTCTCGGGAGCCCTGTCGTTCGCGAAGACCTTCACCGATGTCGTCCTGGGCACATTGCAGGACGTGCAGCTGCACCTGGCCACGAACGGCGTCGCCGGCGTCGTCCCCATCATCGGCTCCGTCATCGGGCAGGAAGGCGAGCAGAACGGCTTCTTCCGCACGTCGACCGGCTTGATCCCATCGTCGCAGCCATTCCTGACCCGCTCGGCGCGTGCGTTCGCATTCAGCGCACTCAACCAGGCCGTTGTGGTCCCCAACTCCTGCCCGAACGCGCAGCTCGTTGGCCTGCCGGTCTTCCAGCCCCTGAACGTCATCACCGCGCCTATCACGCCCAACGACCAAACCCTCCAGTTCTCCATCGCAGTCGACGAGTCGGCCGCCAAGACCGGGGTGTCGATGGCGTTCATCAACGGCCAGAACACCCCGCTCGTACAGGAGGTCAACAACATCAACTTCCAGAACGGCGTCGCGACCTTCGAGGTTGATTTCCCTTACACCGAGAACTTGCTCAATGGGCTCACCATCGCAGCTCTCGTGGCTGGCAATGGCCCGTTCGCCGACGCGGATGAGGTCGCGCAGGCAACACTTGCTGGGCCTGGGCTTATTGAGATCAACTAGGGAGAATTCATCACATCAAACCCCTTTTTTGTTTTTTGAACATTGCATAGCGCAACGGCATTATTGGGAACTGTTCTAACGTCGCGTCTGGGGGCTGGGCTGGCCTTTGTTCCTATTGCCTTTCTTGCAGGGATTTATCCGCGTTGGAAACTGATGCTGTTACCGGGTTGATTTGACAACTTGCATTGGGCACTATCGACTGTTTTGAAATCAATCGCGTTCCGAGCGTCTGGGTTGAAGTTTAAAGGTGCACTGGTGCATGGGTACACAACCAAAGCTATTGGCAACTTGCATCCCGTGGGACCAAGCTCTCCATTTAATTTAATACTGACATACTTTTGTCTCCCTGACTTACCTCCTATTTGATGCTGCCCGTGCTGTCACATTCGTCTTTGGCCGAGCTTTAGCTTTCACCTGACACGTAGCGCGTTGCGAAGCGAGTTCGCTTTCTCCGAGACGGAATGCTGAACTTGTAAGAATGAGTACGTGATGGGTAGCAACGAAAAGCCTTCGTGTATGGCGCGGAGCCCTTTTTTTCACGTACTATGCAGCTCAAGTTGTTTCTGGAAGTGGTCCATTGGTCAGTCAGTTGCAGTGTTTCGATCGATCGACTATTGGGGTTTGAGAATGACGGTTGATTCTTAAGACTTAAAACGCTGCACATATCTCACTACCACCCACCGTAGCCCAGAGGACCTCAATTCGACAGCAAAACTCGAAGTGGATACTGATATATCTAAGTACAAGCCAACCTCAAGGTAGGCATACCCAATCCAAATATAAAACCATTCATCCAGCGCACGCATATTCGGAGAGGCACGATTTTCACGCGTGGAAGACAGTACGGTCCGGAAATGGGCTTGTCGCAGCGCCGAACGCGGCCAGAGAACAAGCAACATTTAGTGATAGTCACCTGGGTAAATACAGGAGGTCTGTTATCTTGATGAGTTTTACCCCCTTCGCTTCGAGCCCATTTCCAATCACGCACTGGCAGTCACTTCACCTTGCCAAAAACCCCCTACTACCGAGGGGTGCCCCCCAACATCTACTGGTAGATAGGAGGGTCGCCCTTCCCAACCGAAACGCCCAGCAAATACGACGTTTTGATATTCCAGAACTGCAGAATATCCCCCAACATTAGCTTGGCCAGTTCCACCTCTAAGATCCCACTCCTCAGGGGCTAATGTGTCGTGGTCTGGTTGGTGGGCCTTCAGGTAGGATGTAGCCTCTTGGTGGAAGAAGATAGGGGGGGACTGCCCTCCTACAGTTTGTCTAGCGAATAGCGACAGCGAAAGCTGGACTAACAACTGGAGGTAGTGTAGATGTTCTGTTCGAACCTACCAACTGCAGCTTTTTGGCCCTTTTTGGGCGCTTTTGGGCTTTTCTGGTTCATCTGGAATAAAATACCTATCTAGGGGGAGGAAGATGTGAGCACTCCCTCCTGGCGAGTATCTTCACTCCAGTTCACCTACAAGTCAAGACCACCATACGGCCGGGTCTTCCTTTCACCACTCCTAGCTCACAAGCAGCCCGTTCGTCCGTCCGTCCGTGTGGCCAGCTGATCACGCTTTTGCGGCGCAGGACTTCGTCTACCCTTGAGCATCGTTTCGAGTCGTGTCTGAAAGCACATGCTGGAAACACCATGGACTCGAAGCCCTTCCCAACCAGGACCGCCCGCTTGCTTCACGTCTAGCTCATACGTACAATTGGCCATTGGCCATGTATGCCCCGTCCTCAAGCCGGCGGCCGGCGATCATGAGTCCTTCTTGTTCTCCAATAGCTTGGCTTCTAGAATACTAGTAGTCGATGTCGGATGTCCGTCATCATGGAAGTTGACAGGAACGATCTCGATGAGGAATCGGCACGAGAGTACAAGCTATCAATAGTCGGCTTTGTTTCAACTTGCCGTGCTTACTTTTCGCCCTTCTGGTCACGATTATGGTTGTTCAGCAATAGTGTGAGAATTATGTGATATTCGAAGTACCTCATACCAGCCAGCACTCCAGGAGATAATGTGGATCCACACGCTTGTTGTCGTTATTGCGTCTTGTTGCACACTGTGCTTTGACCTTCCAATTCTGGATATTGTTCCGTCTGCCAGTGTCTACTGTTCCTTATGAACGAACTGCCCCGTCTTCTTTCCCTCGCCCTAGCTCGCTCTCTTTCCTCTGTATCACTTAAGGACGTAAGGCATAGCGCGGTAATCGATGTGGCAATTGTAGGTGCTGTGAGCTTCATCGATGAACAAACTATTCAATCAATCGATCTAACTGCCCCTAGTGATTATATCATATCATATCAGCCTTTGCTATCAATATGGGCGAGATCTAGGCTTCTAAACGGATATGCTTTAGAATCCTTGATCTGATCTGATCAGGCTGGGCGCGGTGGGCCAAACGTATAGACATCCATATACCCACTGCACACAGAGGCATTACATTACTCCGGACTCCGGCTTTCCTGTACTCATGACCCAAATTCCAGACTTGCGTGGACGAGCAAACATGCATGCATCCTAACAAGCACAATTGTCAGACTTTTGTTTCGTTCGTTCTCCCAGGTTGACTCGGGCCTCCTCTGCTCGATTGGCTGCGCCAGACAGGGCAGCCTGGGTACCTCCTCCGCTCGCACCTCGTGCACCCTTGAGGCTGGTCTCGGGAATTGCATTCGCGATTGCGCTGAACACATCTGCGACGTTCGTACCGGTCTTTGCACTGGTCTCGAAGAACAAGAGGCTCTCCTCTTCGGCATATGACTTGGCTTCGCGGGTGGAAATCTTCCGAGCGTCTCCATCATCTGTGGGTTCGGCTTCACCGGCTTCGGCTTCTCCTCCATCTTCAGTCTCTGAGACGGCACCATCCGAAGAATCGGCACCTTCGGAAGCCTCTGCACACAGATCGAGTTTGTTACCTACCAGGGCGATGACAATTCCCGGTGAGGCCTGCCGTTGGAGTTCGGCTACCCAATGTTTCGCCTTAGTGAGCGAGGTGGGCTTTGTCAGGTCGTACACTACCAAGGCGGCCTGGGCGTTACGGTAGTACATGGGTGCCAGAGAAGCAAAACGTTCTTGGCCAGCGGTGTCCCAGATCTCGAATTTGATCACTCTGCTGGGAAGGGAGATCTTTTGGGTCAGAAAGGCAGCTGTGTCACATACTTGTTAGACGCGGGACATGTAGAGGAGAAGGTAAATCGGGGAATAGGCAAAATGAACCGGATAAGGGACGAAGGGACGTAGAGATATCGACGTACCGCCAATAGTAGGTTCCTTGTTTTCCTGGAAGTCATTATTGACAAATCGCAAGACTAGAGAGGACTGTTCCACTTGTCAGCGACATCTATTCCAATAGCTTCTTGCGGGGCGGGACATTCTCCCATTTTATGTGAGGATAAGAAATCGTAAACAGAATTGTACAAGAATCACGGACAAGACAGGTTTGTGTCAAAGTGTCGCTCTGGGAACTTTGGGTGGGAATGGCGAAAAGACTGTTGCAAATGAGAATGGGGGTATGCGCAACCAACCTTTCCAACTGCTGCTTCGCCCAACAGAACCAGCTTGACGCTGCTGCTGGGCTTGGGCGCTGACGAGTTGTCTGCCATGCTCTGGGAGGTATAATTAGACAGGTATTGTGGAACACAAGGATCTGGATGTATTGAGGAGGAGTTCAAGTCGCTCTACAAATGTCCGGCAGCGAAGAGGTGGATTGAATATCGCCTGTTCGGCCGTATGAGTTGGAAGGGTTGGGGATGGTGGCGGAGCTTAACGCCGGGTTCTAGGAGCAAAGGGAGAGATAAGTCCGCACAAGACACAAGAGCAAGGATATTTACTCAAGAGACAAAAGGTGTCGATGGAGGATTGGAGGGAGTGATTGAATGGGTTGAATTATGGTGGTTCGATGTTGGACCAGCCAGTGAGCAAGCAAACCGGAATAAGTGACGAAGCTTGGCGTCTGCAGTCCGAGTGGCCCACTGTAGAATTGTTAGGGTTAAGTAGAAGAGCTGAATGCGTCATAATTCTCGAAGCTGGAAAGAGCATAGCGTGTTTCTAAAAGAGGACATTCATATGCCACTCATCCACGATGGTGCCTTATCAATGTGTCGCGATATGGACGAATTCAGTGCTCTACATCTTGCGGTCACAACTGCCCTACCTTAAAATGTGGTACAGATGTCCTGGGTGCACTCCCCACGCTTGCTCCTTGTCTCTGGAGGGTTGTGCTAGTGTTACTATCGAGTCCTCCAGTCGTGCATGGGTGTCATTGAAATTACACCCGCCGACCGTGAAACGTACTGAAGGAACTGTGTACGGACTTGAGCAAGGCCAGTCAATGATATTAATCAATCTTTATTAGGTCTCTCAAGAATGAGTCTTGCATCGGCTGTCTCTATGACTTAGACGCAATACCTCAAGCCCAGTGGTAGGCTTTGCATCCTCTGAATACACCAACATGTTGGCAGATGGATATGTTCCTTTCTGGACGACTGCGAATCAGCCGAGATGCGTTTCCATGGCACCGTGCGTCTTCGATCATCCTTCATCCTAGAAACAATATCCCAGAACGCCCATTGGAAAAATAATTGACCTGAGTCATACAATCTATCTTGCGAATGTCCGTCATTCGCTTTTGAGTATCCAGCCTGCCGACCCTCCCATCCCTGTCTAGTCCAACGCCCGAAAGAATATGAAACGAAAATCGACTTTTGTGTGGTAAAAACATGATTGTACAGGAAAGGTCGTCGTGGAAAGTTGTCCCAGAAAGATGTGTTGCGCCATGCATGCAGGAACATAAGTGTCGCCGGAAACGCTCAGATGTCGAGTGCGATCAAGTACTTGTACAGGGTAGTCGAAAACCATATGGGGGATTAAACTGATGTAAGAAGACAAAAATAATCGCTCAGTCGAACACGGGGCGGTTCTGATGATATCACAAACGGCCTGTTGCGCTGTCGGGTCGACACCGAATTGAACGGACCTCTTGCTAGGTTGAAGAAGCTGCGTACAAAATCGACTGTGGACCGGCGGAGAAAGAGAGTTGCTCGGCCGTTTCATGCGGCATAAGAATGATTGTGGTTGAGATCGAGAGGCTATCAACCATGGCGTCCCTTCGGAGGAGGCTTTGGTTTGGGAACACCCGTGGTGTCGTATGCACCGCGACCCATGTCGCATGGAGCAGATGCTTGTGACGAGGAAGTCATTGTGAATCTGTCAAAAAAAAGGTTGTGTTAGAATGCAGGGATCTTTATCGAGGACAGAGCGAGATTGAGCAGATGCAGGCTTATATAGCCCAAGCTGGTGCTGACTCACAGTATAATGAGCGTGCAGTCTGCACAGACAAGATTGGCCGATAGGCGCTAGAGTTGTACGGAGCACCACGCGCGTTGTACAAGAGTATCTCGCTGACTGCGGAGCTCAGAGGTCTTTGTAAGAGGGTATTTGAACGATGTCAAGGGAGGAATGCGGGAGGAAAGGAGTCGGCGCCTTGAGAATTTGAGTTTCTCCCTGTCAAATGCTGATCCAGACTGGTGGTCTCTCGGCTGTTTTGGGGGGATGTGGATGTTAGAGAACAGGTAGTTTCTCGAGTCTCGGATATGGGATGACGGATTGGGAGCGGATTGGGAGCGTGACCAGAACTATGGTGCAAGACTCGATTTTAGGGGTGGATCCGTTGGAAGTATCTGATGTGTTCGACCTGAGCGAATTTGGTCGGGGAGAAAATACTATGAGATGTTGCGTTTAGGGCTGATGTCTCCTTTCGCAGTAATCAAGCAAGACAAGCAGATCAAATGATGCAGACAAAGAACGTCAAAAGGTTGGATGTAGATTTTGAAGAGTCGAGTGTTTAAGGAGTCGAACGTGTAACGAGGGAGAAAAAGGATACAGTAGACAGTGACAGCAGGGAAGTAGTAGGCATTATAACTCGAGAGGAAATCCGAGGTACCGAAAGGGGCTCACCGTCAGCTGTGGACTTTGTGGTGTCAAAGTCGACAGGGCTTGCTTTTTGGGAAGCAGGGCCACAAGGCTCCTCCCTACTCCCTTGAAGCGGGCGATCCAGTTTCCAGCTTCCCGCAGGGTGCCAGAAGGGCGGATGGTGGGGCCTAGGGACCGCCCACGGAGCCTAAAAACCTTAGCCTCGAGACTTTACTCTCCCGTGGGTGATTAGAAGGCAGGGGAGGGAGTGAGCAGGTTGAGTGACGGTGTCTCGTTATCGGAGGCGATCCAGTTGGGAGAATTGGAGAGGGACCGGAAAGGCAGGGAGGGTGTTCCGCCTGGGAGGGAGAAGGGTGGTGGTGCGAGGCTAAAACAAGTAGGATCACTTCGTGGGTAGAGTCAGAGGCTACTGGAAACTGGATCTGGAACGTTTTGGGTTGTTTCCATGGCGGCAGAGAGGGCCCAAGTGGGATCGAGAGTCAGAGGAGTCCAAGGTCGGAGGAGTCAGAGTCGTCTCGAGTAGAGCGATCAGGCACGGTTCTAAAACACCTGGGAAGGTGATTCCCCGATCGTAGCGTTGAACAGGGTGCGAGGTGCGCACCCAGTAGGGAGTACGGAGCGCTACTGGAGCGCGGCGTCTCTATTGCTTCGATTCGAAATAGTTCATGACGCATCCGAAGCTGGTCGACGCGAATGGGTGTTGGTGGGTGAGCAGTGAGCAGTGAGCAGTGAGCACTGGGGGCTAGGCTCCAAGGGCCCTTAGCCGTCGTCCAGGGTTCCAGGGGTGACGGAGAGGCTCGAGAGGCCCGGGTGCTGAAAACTCACCTGCTAAACTACGGCCAGGCTAGGCCGAGATTGGGGGACGCTGCCATTCGACTGCCACCCGGAAGTCGCCCCAACCGCCAAGGGCGTCCTAACCTTCCGAGGGTGTCCCAAGGGGTGTCAAGTCAATCAGTCACCTCCAGAGCGCAAAGTGACGGTCACGGTGACGGGGGCCTACTTGGTTGTTTGGTTGACGGAGTCTTGTGGGAGCTGACCGCGCAGCAGGCAGCAGCAGAGGTCGATGGGTTGCGATTGGGCGGGTGGAGGAGAGCGCGAGTCGAGGGTGTGTCCGCGTTTGAGGGACCAATACTCCGTACCTCTTTTTACGAGTGCTTTACTCACCATTGCTTCAACGCTCAGCCATCCTCCGGTTGACTCCTTGGGCTGCTAAAGGCGCGGAAGGAAGTAGGCGAGAGCGACTAGAAACGCTAGAATAATGATCAATCCCTCCGCCTCCTCCACTCGGACAAAGTGATGGGACTACGGGTCACAATTCGCCATCCGCCCACAAATCGCAGCCAGACAGTCTGCCAAACAATGGTTATTCGGTTTAGAGCGACATCCCGTCACCATGGTACCACTGTGTCAGGCTGCGGTAGCATGGCCCCCAACCAGATTTCCTGATGCGACGTGAGAAGGAGTGACGTCTTCCAAAGAGAGCCATTAGAAGTTCAAAAGAAAAAAAAAAGTTTGGTCGACCCAGGCTGACCCTGTCACTCGATATTATCGGAGGATAGGGGGGCATCGATACCCCTGGGGCCCTGGGGTCCTGGGACCCTGGGCCTGTTTTAGGCTTGGGGCTTGGGGCGCGGCAAGGGGTTTGGGCCATCGGCATGGGCCAGGCTAACCGCCTTGGTGCTGTCCGCACATAGAGTTGGGCCAAGTCGGGCAAAGCTGGAGTGCTGCAGGTGCACCTGCTGGTGCGGTGGATCACATGGGGAATCCAGTAATGGGGCACGGTCAGATTATCCATTTCCTTTCGAATCTTCCGTCTTTTAGCCTGCGGCTCGATGCCGGTACCTGCACAAGCGCCGCTGCAGCCGTCGATCCAAAAGCCCCATCTGTGCCGAGTACTCCGTACTCCGTATGTACTCTGCTGGAGCTGGCGCCCAACCCAAATCAACCCATGACTTGTGCTCCTCGGTTCGTTGGAGCGCTGGGGCTGGGTACTCCGAGTATAGCCCATAGGCCCAAATCGATGGGCTTGCCTTGACTTTGAAATGCTTGAATTGTGACACCTGTCACTCGGTACGCTGAATACTTACGCAGGTCTATATACTTTTACGGATGCGGCGACTACGGATGAGAGATCTCGGTATGAGCATTAAATGGAAACTTCAAACTTCGGTAATCGCACCAAAAGAAAGCACACATACCCTTTCTGGCGTGGGATGACAGCTGTCATTGTGCGCCTCTCAGAGTAACTCGTCCCAGATAACCAGGCCTCCCGACAACGCCAATTTCCAATGGCGTTGGGATACAAATAAGACATCAAGATCTGTGACGTGGTGAAGAGGATGACAAAAACCATGATGTTGGTGAACAGCTGAATATTTGCTATGGCTTGCAAGGTCGCTTTCTGAGAAATGATGAGTGAGGGTGATTGGTGCTGCTGCACAGAGCCCGAGCACTTCGTAGATGTCCAGGAAAGACTTGAATGGTAGTGTCGTGCTGGCTGACAGCGCCGCTCCCTCACCTCAGCCAGGTGCTGGTGCTCCCACCCGGGACTTGAGGACAATGTCAAAGTGTCGCCGCATGCAAGGCAAGACGAGCCTAAAGAGACTAAGTCCTCGTAGTAAGTACCATGCTTCCCTTGCCATCCCACCTGCAGCTACTCTGGGGATTGTTCCCAACGCCGACGAGTCCATCCATGACTTCATTCTGCAATAATATCCCGCTGGCTGTAACTCCCCTTATCTATAACATATTGCTTTTGTACCACTCTACACAACGTCGCGACTCGCAAGACCTGAGCGCGCATTGACTTTCCACCCATACGAGTAATACGGAGCCCTCGACACTTCCTTGTTGCTTCCGACTACGCACGGCTAAAACGGTTGGGGACGCTCGATAAATTGGATTTTCTGTGTCTAGGTGGCTTGGAGGGGCCGAAGCCGCTAGAAGACAGCTAGAAACCACGGCAACTTTCCTGCTGCTTCCCCCCGCCCTCTCTGCTCGAGAGCGTGACTAGGCCTATTTGCGCCCGTGACGGGTCAAGGTTCTCAACTGCTCATGCACCAGTGCCCTTTCTCGACGGACAATGAACTAATCTCTGCCCAGACGAATGCAGCAACAATAGTGAGGACCATGGGGGAAGTTACATAATAGTCACATCACGGGCCGTCCCCACTGCAATGAACCTCGACTTGAAGCTGACCGGTGCGCCCAGGACGTACAGATCGACGAGGGACGAGGCACGGCGCCCTTTATACTCGTACTTGCTTGAAGATTGCCCAATGTCCCGCCTAAGTGCCCAACAAGTGCCGCCTAAAGTCTTCGCTCAGATGCCAGAATCCAGGGCGCCCCTTTCGGCCCTCGGATTGCCTGTGATTGTTGTTATTGAGAATCCTGTACGACGGATCTGGGCGACATACTGCTGGCTCTGCCGTACCTCCCGAGCCAGCTCATGGCTCTTCGAGTTGAGTTCAAACTTCAGGCGCCTGAAGACGCTGCGACGGAAGCGCTGCTCCATTTGGCCTTCCTTGTTTGACCACGGTGACCGTCGTGATCCTGGTCGAAATTACCACCAGCCACATGGCATATCGGCAAGCGGGTTCCATGGCCCTCGGCCTCCTTGGGCATATCCAGCCTTCGGGCCAGTTTCCACTCCTTCTAAGAAGGCTGTTCAGTGTTAGCCAGTTACCCGTCAAAGTCCCTTGGTATCCATCCTTCTCGACCAAATTCATCATCCACGCCGTTGAAGTCAGACCCCGTCTCCAGGCATTGACCCTGCTCCCACGCACACGCCGCAACGCACATGGATATTGGATACAGAGGACTCTTCATCCTCTAAAAGTGTCTATTTCCGATCTCTCACAAACACCGAGTGTACGTAGCGCCACCATATGACATGTGAGGTAACCATTGTCGAAAAGGGATGAAGCTGGGTAAAATGTTTACTCTCTTCCCATCCGAAAAACTTTCTTAAGATCTTCTCCCTGTCAGAAGTTACATCACATTTCCGCATCTACTTGTTCATACGAGGCGCCAACAGGGGACTTGCAAACGAAGGGTTACAATAATGCGACAGCCGGGTTACAGGCATCTTCCTTCCGCGCGAGACGCCCTCTGTGCTATGGTACGAGGCAGGCCGAGGGCGCTCCACAATGAACTGCTGCCTTGGCGCTTCCGGGGCAGCAAGGACTCAAGGAAGCCCCATCGTTAGTTGCCATGTGTTTTGTGCAGTCCACCTCCCCAGCAATTATTATTGTAAGCCGATCCACCCGCCAACTTGGTCTCGGAAATTATCACCTCAGCCTTCCCTGAAACGTCACGGTATGAGGGACATACCTAGGTACCTGTGAGGCTGTGACTTGGACATGGCCTGCTTTTTCCTGGCGTTACCCATCAACGGAAGCACTGTTACCCGCCAGCGGGAGGGGTACCTCATAGAAGGTATCCATATTACTGTCTGCATGGATGAGCCCAGCGTCCACTTGCCCATCATTACTTTATAGATAGGGCCCTAGTGGCCAGTCCCTCATCCTCCTAACCGACTTCTCGAAACCGACGTTAGTGGAACCCTGATTTTGCGAATGCCTGCTCTGGACGGAGTAAGGCCTGAACACAACCAGTTTCCACATTCCTCTTGTTTCTTAGTCGGCTAGAAAGGACTACGGATGCTGCTCTATTCCTGCTCATGATTTCGCAATCAACAAGCTCTTCGTCGCTAACCTGCAAATCCTCGCAACCGCAAATTATGATGAGTCCTCTATACCGGATATGGAGCTTGTATTCGGCTGCCCGCTTGCCGCACACGCGTCTCGGTTGAGCAGTTGTGAAACACGGCCACATCTTTCAGTACCCTCGGTTTCGTTTTGATTTGTCGATTCTGAGACCAGCAACAGAGCACAGTAGCATCAATATTGGAGCCGCTTTGCGCAATTTTGGGAGAATACAACCTATCAATGGCCTGATTAGGAAACTGTTGAGTCCAACACCAGAGAAATCATGATGTGGAGGCACCTAGCAGTACTCGACAGGTACCAGCCTACCAGGTACTCGGTACTCGGTACTCGGTACTCCGTATCCCTCTTTGTTCAACCACAAAATTATCTACTATGCCCCATTGTCCGGCTCGCCAGATGGAGTGAGTCGACATCGGAAGCGCAAGTTCTCCACGTTGGCTTGCATCCAATTTAGCGACCATTGCCAGTCATCTACCCTACTCGTACGAATTTGGGAATCGTAATCCTTTCCGCGAGTCCGAATTAGTCATGGCTTCCTGCAGACCTGTTCGCACTGTCCGTTGTCGTAAAGCATGAACTCAACACAGCTTTCAATCCGTTTGCCTCTCTTTTAGCAGCCGGGGGGAGGGAACATTCTGTTCTGGCCTAAGACCTTGAAAGAGGTTTACTTATTTGCGCAATCCCTCTGAAAGAGGTCTGTCCTCCACAAGGTATCCCATTAAATTCGGGGTTGGTCATAAATGAAAATCCATCGCGGCCCAACTCCCCCCGAGAAACTGGACCAGGGATCAATACCTGGTGAGGCTCTATCTACACATGGGTACCGGAAATTTTGGCCCCGATAAGCAAAATTTCCTAGGCAACGTTTGGATGCATGGCAAGGCTCGATCACCGCCTTCTCTGTTTCTAAAAGAGCTCCACCCGCAGCCTCGCTAAGCAAACAGGACCAGTCTGGCGGGATCAGGGCTCATACTTCCGTGGACTCTAAATTCTGCCTCACATTGTAACCAAGCTACCTCCGTACTTGGTATTTTGACATAAATTCCCCCTCTAAATCGCCCAGTCTACTGCAGGTAAGGGGTCGCACAGTGAGGCAGGGTTGTATGCTACTCTCGTGTCCGGGAACGTATCCTCATCTTCCGGACATGGACCTCGTATGGATATCGGAAAGCTGCACAGCGCCTGATCAACTACGAGTACGAGTCCACAGAGGAAAGCATTAAACGTTAAATGCTAGATCCGCCCATTGTTTGGAAATTTTCCAACGGCACTTTTCATTCTGATTCCCCTGTTGGCAGGGTTTCAAATGCAGGGGCACAGGAGTGCGTGGCATTCTATTATGCGAGGCTTGTTCACCGTGTTGGACCTTTTTAACTTTTGATGTCCGCATCCTATCCGTCCTCCCCCCGCAGGCGGAAAGGTTGTCCATTTGCCCCTCTTGGCTGACTGCATGAGATGGTTCTTTAGTGCATGAGCCAGGAAGATTTTCCCGTTCTCTATCGAAACCAACTCATTTCTTTCAGTTCTACTAGGAACATGTATGTATGAGCATGGTGAAACATTTGAATTCTCGTAAAACCTGCAAGCCCTCTGCATCTATGGAGTACTGTTGACTGCTACTACCAAAATAAAACCTGTTTGTGCCTCATAGCCTCGTACATACTAGCCATCTGAATAGCGGACTCCTGCCGTATAAACAATTTGCCCGATGGTCGTGTACTGCTCCCGGAAGTCCGGGACTGTAACTAGGAATACTCGAGCGGGAGAATCTTGAATTCAACGTCCAGGGTCTTCCATGTCCTCAAAACAGCCATAACAAGAACGCTTAACAAGAACAACACAGCGCAGTTGGACACCGACCAGAGTAGGAGAAAATAAGTCTACATTCCGGCTAGTCCTCAGTGGCTGGCAGTGCATACTGATGCTAGACACGGGAAGCTAAGAAACAGGGTTGATTTTGAGATAGCTCGAGCTGGCCATCCTACATTAGTACCTACATTGACAAAAGAGTATCGTCTGGCGCTTACAGTATCTAGATACCTCGCTAGGGAGAGAGGAACTGCAGAGGTCGTGGATCTCACATTCATCAACAATCGGACGAAGTGGCTCTAATTCCATCACATCGGCATCATGGTTTGGAAATAACATCAATACTCGCCCCGCGAGATTAGTAGCGATAGTTCATTATGTGCTTTGTTCTGAATAAAAGTGCTAGACAAAGTTTTCTTCTGCTTAAAATGGCAAGCATTTCATGTTCCAAGTGTGGTCTGTGTCAAGGAAGGAAGGGACAACCAGCAGCATGAAACGCTGTGCACGTGACATTGAAATTTACTGCCAAGCCAGACTCCGATCGTCCAATCGTCCAACCCGCATGGAGGGAACCTCGACCTCGAGGTTCATCACGAGATTGAAAGCTATCAAAATCACTCCGCAACACAGCGCAACACAGCGCAACGGCAACGATGTCCCACGCACCCTTCCGAGCGAAGAAGCTCGACCTGGGCGCCTTCGTCAACATCAGAATCATCCGCGACCACACGAAGCGCAAGGTCTTCGAACAGCACGAACCGCAGAGGTGATTCCACACCCTCCCCATCTCCATCCCGGTCCTTCATGCGGAAACCCTATTTTGCATTGTCTATTTTGCATTGTCTATCACAAGCCCTCCTCTCCAAAATAAATCGATAGCGAACTGACCCTCTCTTTTTCTTCACCCTGTAGACAGGCCCTCCGGTACATGATCCGCAACACATCTCTGCCCCAATCCATCCGCAACCGCGCCATGCTGCAGCTCAGCCAGATGCACTGCTACACGCGACCTACGCAGATCAAGAACCGTTGCGTCGCGGGCGGTGTCGCGAGGGGTGTGCTTAGGGCGTTTCGCTTAGGGCGGGTATGTATATACCTATATGTGTCTATCTATCTACATTGCTCCCCACTTTCGACCGGTTTTTCTGGTTTGAGGATCCATGGAAAGCGGCACACCTGAACATGGAGAGCTAGAGCTAACCGCGGGGGTGATTGTCTTAGTATAAATTCCGAGAAGCCGCGCTCGAAGGCGCGCTGCCGGGCGTCAAGAAGGCGAGTTGGTGATTGTGAGCGAGCGAGCGAGCGAGCGATCGAGATCTATCCCGTGCATTGGCTTGGGTGGTTTTCCGTCCCTTCATCCTGTTCCCTTCCTTGCGTCCAGCCAAGCCGGGCTAGCCCGACTACCACGGATGAAGAATAATGAAGAAGAGTGCAATGCGCAGGGGAAAGCGAAATCCAGCCTGTCTCTTTCTTCTCCCTCGTTGAAATCCATGCAGAGCGCCGGGTGGAAGAACGAGCTTGAGCCTGTATAGTAAACCGTTTCAAATCTCACATGTATTGTGGGATCCCGCTAAACTGGCGAGCGCACCACACACCTCCCATGTCTTACTATAGCGCACCAGCATCGAAAACGGCGTTTGGTGGGGCGAGGCACATTACATGAAATCTGGATTTTGAAGGGCGAGCTGGCCTGGGTGGGTGGCCTAGCCTGTACAGAAGGAATTCTAGATAACAGAACAAAAAGACCTTGAAAAGAGCATTTTTCTACTGCTATCGCTGTTTCTATTCCGGGTCACTGGCTTCTGCTAGAGCAATTGCCCACTACCCGGGCACCCAGGTTTCTCGAAGTCTCGAGTGGCCTGCACTAACCTTTCACTTTGTTGTTCAATTTGCTGTGCATATGCCCGACATGCCGAGTGGCACATCACGCCTTTCCGCGCTGATGGTGCGCGAATTTAGCTTGATCACTTTCACAAAAGCTGACTTGGGCCTCCGATAAAAAGTAAGACCGAGCAATGAATGATTGATTAATGCCTGGAGAGGAGTGTCGATTGCAATGAGCCCTCTGAATCAAGGGGGGTCCTGCCCGATCGCTCGAATCACTGGTTTTGTTTCCTGCCCTCCTGATTGCAACGAGAGCATTTTCCCTCATCCAGCACGTGAGTTCTTGGCGAACACGCTCTTTGGGACCTCCCCATCGTCTTCGAAGCGTATCCGCTCTGCCAGAGCAATGAGGTTCTTGTCGGTCTGACGTGGCAGGGAAGCTTCGGACCCGGACGATGCGAGAATTGCGGCCTCGAATTCGTCCAGGTCTTCTTTCTTGGACTTCGTCGAACCGGCCATCGTCGTGACTGGCTGACTTGATGTAGAGACGGCGGGGCCCGGAGCTGGAACCTGAGCCGAGCTTGGATGGGCGACCTCTGCAACAGTTTTGTTCCACTCGTCGGCACCGAAATCCTGTGCCAGTCTAAACTGGCCTTTCTGGGGCACCCGATCGTCCTCCAACCTCGCTTTCACAGCCATGGCAACAAGCGCCTCCAAAGTGTAACGCGCATCGTTGCCACCGTTGTGTAGGTGAAGACTCGGACGGCCCAGATCGCTGAGGATTGACTTGAGGTTGCGCGTTTGGGTTTCCCTCTTGACAATCCGATACAACGAGCCCGTGTCGAGCGCTTCGAGAATAGATGCCAGTATTTTTGCTGCTCCTTCGCCGGTGCCCATCATGTCCATAGCCGCAATCGGATAAGTACCACGCGTAGGGGTGAAGATCTTGCTGCCGATTTCCTTCAAGAATTCTAGATCGCCGCCGATTGCGTGGCCCACGATCAGGATGTTTCGCTCTTTGGGGCCGTGTCGCGTTGCCTCCAAGTTGTCGCGAACCGCCTTTTCCAAGTCGATGGCTCGTTGTATGGCAACGGGATCTCCCGGGCCAGGCAGAACACTGGCGACGGCCGCCCTATTGGCGTCATCTTGCTCTTTGTTGCTTGGAACTATGTTGAGACCTCCGAAAACAGAGGTCTGGAGCGTTTGAGGTGCAGATCCTTCGCCGATATTGTTTGCCCAGGGATCTTTGAGTCCAGCATGCTTGAACTCGGCTGAAAAGGGCCACTGGAAACATGCGTCCACTTTTGCAGCAGCCTCGCTCAGATCAATGAACTCGGAGTCCCCAAATTGGAACGCATCCGGATTTCCTGGGCAGAAGTCTCGATTCACTAGATGTTCCCGCCCTTTGATTCGGAAATGACGTGATCGGATTTGATCGATCCAGTTCACACCTCCTGGTCCAGGTGGAACGCCAACAAGATCGAGTGTGTCTAAAGTACTGACTCCGATCTCTGTGATGAGGTTGTGGGCTCTCTCATATGCCTCGACGTCAATCGAAATGAGCACTGTTTCCTTATCGAAGGGATATTGGGTAGGGGCACGGACATCGAGCGGGTCGAGGATGATTCTAGCCTCCTTCAACTGCCGGACACGGAAGTCTTCCTGCTGATACCACGACAAGATCGGGTCAGGCTCAACGAGTCTGCCAGTGCGAGGACGCAAACCGAGATATCTTTGACAGCGTCTGAGCTGCTTGTAGAGGTCTCCCACGTTCAACAAGCGATCTGCTTCCTTCTTCTTCTTGATAGCAGCACCCTTCTTTTTGCTCGCGACCATTGCCTCCTGACACATCTGTTTGAAGTCCTTGAAACTTTTCTTCAGGGTGGCTGAAGCTTCAGCTGGACATTCACCATGGTCGAATAATGCAGCCGGAATGTCGCTCTGAAGATCCGCGGCCTCATCTCTCGATTGAGAGACTCCAAGAAATTGCGGTTTCGGAGTACCATCGTCACGAAATGAGAGGGTAAAAGGGAATTCGGGCACAGAGACATCGATCTTGAATGATTTTCCGATTTCCATGACAAGATCCTGAACTTGAGCGTGTGGTACCAGGGCAAGAGGCTTTCCGCCGAGTGAGTACGGTGGGTTGAGGTAATACCTGTCTGTGGGTCAGCTGCCAGGAGCTTTGTACCTATGAATCTGCTTGTGCGTGCGGACAAGATCCAGGTGCTGGATGAAACAGGAAAGTCACTTACAAGTCCCAAGTCCGATTGAAGAATTTATTGTTCGCAAAAAAGTGTCGTGAGACCCTGTCACCCGCATCGTTCATGTACTTGTAAGGAAACTTGGATACAAGATTAAACTGACAGAACTTGTCTGTGGTCGGAAGGGACGCTGAGTGTGACGACTTGCTATTGTTTGTTTTTGATGAAGTGCCCTGAGAGGAATGCTTTGGTGACTGTTTGCCTTTGTGGATGTACTCAGCGCCACCTTGAGGTTCGACGCATTGCTTCGGGTCGGGTGGCTGTTGAGAAATAGTCTTCATCGATGGTTTCTTCGAGAATAAAGAGATATAGTCATCATCATCGTCAGAACTAGTGAGCAGCTCAGCGCTTGGTGCGGGCTTGACAGGTTTCGGGATCTGGCGTGAATATTTTGCAGTGGATGGAAGTTGCCATTTCGGTTGCTTTTGATCCTTGCTTCGCTTCTCCTCGATTTCTTTCTCAAAGAAGTGAGGCTCAGACGATGCAGTTGTTGTGGGAAGCGTCTGACCAGCAAACAGCTTGGCCAGACGGTCTTGCGCGTTTGTCGCCATCTTGGCAGAGTTGTAGAGAATAGAAGGAGACAGCAAGGTACAGAAGGCGAGATACCGTGCGTAGATATGGAGTGCAAGGACAAATTGGAGTGAAGAAAACAGTGCACTTAAGACTAGTGAAGCAGGAAATGAGGTTGCATTTGAGGGAGTGAATTAAATTGATAATTTCGAGAGCGAAAATAAAGTGAGTACAAAGGATTTCAATACAAACTGGTCGATGAATGATGGCGAATCGACCGCCAGACCCTGTTCATGAGGGATAGACTAGAACAAAAGTAAAGTGGTGGAAATAGACATAGACGATACTCAGTCGGCAGAAGCAGATGGACAAAGATTGCAAGTCTTGTAGACACTAGGAAATGGGATGCTTGGATCAACTGATCCTGCCTTGCATAAGGGGGGTGAGACAATGTCGTGCTCTACTATACAACGCCTCGCTGTACTATATATGGCACTGGACATTGAAGAAACAACTACGACGAGGGATGAGGATGCACTTGCAAAGCCAAGAACCCACGGCGAGGGACAATTTGAGCCAGACGGGACCACGTGAATCCATGTGATATCACGTGTCAATTGGCATCGCACTAACCCCATTCTGCCGCCGTTTACCGCCTTTGGAGAAGTTCATCATCGGAATTTGATGGGTCTCACGTTCACGAGGGCTGTAGTCGCGAACTGAACCCCATGAACCACATTCGCAATTGAACGCGTCGTCCACGACCTCAACAACGACAACAACCATCACTATGTATATCCATTTCCACTGAAATTTGCACGGTCCTCGCAGTTGAAAACCTTCCTGGCTTGACTAGCATCAACTGCAATCACCCCTGCAGTACAGGCTTCCTGCAGCTCGCCACCCCACCCTGCCTGCCAACTGCCTGCGCACTCGACTCGCACTCCCACATAACATCCACACAACACCACCTCAACCTCCTTCCAATGTCCCAGCTCCGGTGACAATCAGCCTCAATGGTCACTATGGCTGACCTCACTCATGACCGTTCGGTCGATCCTGATGCTCAGGCCGCCGTCACAGACTTTCTTGACTACACTGAATATCTCCCGGCCGACCTCATTCGCTCACTCACCTTAATCCGCGGCCTCGACGAGACATATCAATCGGCCTCCGCAACCTTAGACGATCTAACCAAGCTCTATGGCTCATTACCATCTCTTGCTCCAGCAGCCCGGCCAGATCCTCAAGACCTGCGTGAGAAGATTTCCTCTCAGCTAGATGTGGCTTTGAATTCTAGAGACTCGTCCTATGCGGAGGCATGTCGACTGTTCGATGTCGCCGAGAGACACCAGAATAGGTTGAAGAGCATCATAGCCAAGTTGAATGCCATTCCAAAACCTCCTTCCCGCGACCCAACTCCGCAGCCTCAACCATCAATACAAATCAAACGCTCACGCAGCGGGAGAAAGATTGAGAACGGTACGTCAACTAGACTAACACTGATTCCTCCTCGGGGCAAAGCTGCGGCTGCTGCAATCCTCAAGAGACCGCGTAGCCGCAGAATCACCGTGCCTGGTGAAGTAATGCCTCCCTATGATCCGGATTCACCCATTGCAAGCACCGAGGTATCTGATTGGGATTCTCCGCCACCCTCGCCCCCCAAGCCAGTACTGAAGCTTAAGCAGCCGAAAACACCAGCATCAGCACCGACTCAACCTTCTAGGGACAAATCGACATCAGCCATGGAAAAGGCCCGTCAGGCCCGTGAAGCAACTGAGCTGGAGCCTTACCACAAGCCCACGCCACCTCCTGGAGATGCTGAGATTGGGAGTAGGTGGAAGCCCTGGACACATCTAACCGAGTATGAGATGTACAAGATCAGGAAAAGAATGAAGAAAAACCTGAGTTGGGTGCCTAGCGATGTCATGATTCGAAGGGAACTTGCCGATAGCGGCCGAGGCTGGGAGAACTATTATCGAGCCAAAGCCCTTGCGGAAGCCGAAGGTACAAAGTTCGTTGATCTGGACGGTATCGAAAGGACGATACCCAAAGTAGAGAGAGGTGAAAAATCTACAAAGTTGGAAGCGGTTGAGAGCATTGAAAGCTTGGAAAAAATAGACAAAGATGTCGAGAAGTCACCCGAGTCGGTCACCCAAGCCTCTTCCACCTCATCTTCGCCAGAAACGCAATCGGAAGATAAAGCGGAGGCGACCCGAGTTTCAACCATTGCGGTGTCTCCTAGCAACGTTACACCAGTTCCCAAACCCAAGGCTGCAAGGAAAGCTGAACCCAAAAAGGACAAGAAGGATGTGGTTGCCCAATCCAAAGCGGCTCTTGCTGCTCAAGAGGCTGAGCTGGCCGCTCGCCGCCTCGGTGACATTGGGTCAAAGTTTCGCACTCTTTTTACAACTCCTTTTGCTTCAGCGCTTGCATCCCTAAGTAGAAGTGCTAGTACGCCGACTACTAACAGCCCGATTACAGGGAAGAAAGCCACGGAAAAGGCATCAAGAAAACGCAAAGCAGAAACAACACCCGCATCGTCGGCATCACCGTCTGCAGAACCCGATACAGCAAGGAAACGACCAAAGATTGTTCCGAAGCCTTCCCCTCTCGCAGCAAGTCCAGAATCTGTCCCTGCCTCGACTTCGACGCCAGCCAGCAGCGAACCACCCCTCCCACAGCCTCAACCTCAGCCACAGCCACAGACTGCTAGCACCATCAAAATCCCGCTCAAGTTGAATGTCTCAAACGCGCCGCCAGCGACATCCAATACCCCAACCCCAGCTCCCACTACTCGGGCAGCCAGTGTTCAGCGCAACAGCGTGGCCCCCAAAACTGAGCATACTCCGCCTGCTTCTTCACGCCCGCCTTCTCGTCGCTCGGCAGCTGCTTCTGTCGAACCTCAACCGCAAATTCGGACAAGTAGCCGTGCGTCTATGACGCCTTCACTTGCTGGTCAAAAGACCCCTGGTGTCGAGCCTAGTCCAAAAGCTACGGCGGCTAGTCGTCGCAGCAAGCGCGATGCCCCGGGGACAGTGATGCAGAGTAGCCAGGATGGTGGAGCAGCTGTTAGTGTCAGCAAGCGCAAAACCAAGCCTCTTAAACAGCAGAAAACAACACCCAAGTCCACCGCTGCTGCCGGGGATCATTTGCCACAAATACGCATCGATGTGGATGGTCGTCAGGAACTCGTTGATCCAGAAGAAGAGAGATATTGTTTGTGTGGAGATGTGAGTTGGGGAGAGATGATTTGCTGTGAGCTAGACGATAAGGTGAGTTTAGGACATGGCCTGTTTCCTCGTCCGAGTTCATGCCAATGTTCTTCTATGGAAGGATACTAATCACGCATCATAGTGCGACTACGGGCAGTGGTTCCACATGGAATGCATCCACTTGGTAGAGCTTCCACCCCGGACAGTTAAATGGTACTGCCCTGGCGATCGCAAAAAATACCACAAGGGTGAAACTTCGAATGGTCTGGTTGGACGAGGCATCAAGTGAAAGAAAACGACTTCTCGAAAGAGGTCCTTACTCTACTACAGGAAGATGGCGATGCAGAATTGGTCATGTTGGCATGAGATGTCCACTGTGAGTAGGACGACCGAGCTGCGTTAGACTGGGGTTGCTGTGATAGACTGGATCGAGTTGCAGATTTACCTAGGTGGTTGTGACAGAGGTCAGGCTATAAGGACACTGTATTCCAGACTGAGTGTACTAGTCCTAATTCCAATCGTGCACCACCGAGTGCTGGTATTGGCTTTCTCGTTCCAGACGGAAGCTAACAGCATCTCCCGTGTTGACAGTCTGGACTCCAGACAGATGTACTACCGGTCCAGACATTAGGGCATCGAGAGATCCCATTTTGCATTGGAATACTTTGCAATAGTTTTAAGTGGTGGTATCTCTGATATGACAGTCCTATCATTCTGCCCTTAACTTTGTGAGCGGGCAAGCTGTGGCTCGCTAATACTTGCGGCGAAACCGAGGTTTCTTTTCTGAATCACCAAGCAACCGGATGGCTCACAACAGAAGGTGCCTTTGCAAGCCGTCAAAGTCATCAAAACTGAATACGGAAAAGATCTGATTGCTTCAACCAACCTTCCGCACACCTGCACCGCCGAGGCTTGCCAATTTCGGCCCCATTAGGTGGTTAATTGTTTATCGATACCTTCTTATGTTCCCCGACGACATGTCCCTGTAAGCTCCGAGCGTGAGTCATCGATCCACTGAAGGTTCGAGGGCACATCGGACTCGTTGGCCTTTTCAATTATATTTCCTCTATCGTGATTCTGGTAAACGTGAGTCACTCCACGGTTTGCATCTGCACAGCCGCTGCAAACTGCCACACCATCCTCTCTTGTACGGCAAGTACTGCATGCCACCATGTTGATCACATCGAAGTAAGCAGAATTTTCATTAAAGCCCGAGGTTGAAACGGATAGTCGGCGCGGGACAAGGTACGGTGTGTACATTTTACGATTAATACATTCTGTACTGCTTTCCTCGATTCAATTCCAATTGTCATTGATAAATTTTGCGTGCCTCCATGCCGAAGCCATCGAAATCATCCAAAGCTGGGCCAAGCTTGGAAGACGGTGGTCTTGTGGTTACCAGCCAGCAGAGTCGTTTTCATGTCGATGCAGTCGACGCACCTACTTCGAAAGATATCGATGTCAAGGATTTGACTCTCTCAATCGGCGGGCGGGAATTGCTTGACCACATTCACTTGCGCGTTGTCGAAGGCGTTCATTATGTGCTCGCTGGTCGCAATGGGACTGGCAAGAGCTCACTATTACGAGCACTGGCAGAGAGACGAGTTCCGGGTATCCCTAGCAATCTCCGCCTTCTCTTGCTCGGTCAGACTAGAGTCAGCTCGGATGCCTTGACTGACCCTGTGGAGCCGGAAGATCCATCGCGCTCTGTTCTGGACCATGTCACAAGGAGCGACCAACGCAGACAACGAGCGTTGAAAATTGCGAATAGTAAGTTGGCCTGGGATGGTCAAAGTGGCCCACTGATCGTTCCTAGGCTTGTCTGCGGCAATCGAGGAGAAGGCCGACGCCAAAAAGATTGTCAATACCGTTCTATCTCTCCAAGTAGACCAAGCTAAACAGGAGCTTGCAGAGGCACAGCTTATTGCTGCTCGTCGAAGTGGTGCGAGAGGCTCCAAGGCTCGGCAGGTTCTGATTGAGAAGGAGAATGCTCTCAACAAAGCACAGAAACGGTGATTGTAGTGCTTTTGCAAACGAGAACCTACTAATCATTGGTAGGCTCGCGCAATCTGACATCGACGAGGAGCAGGAAGCCGTTAGGATTGGCATTGAAATGCTAGAGACTACCAGGATGGCGTTGGAATCCATGGATGCTGGAAGCACGGAGTCTCGTGCAAGAACTGTTCTACTCGGCCTGGGGTTTTCCGAAACGCAGATTGAGAAGCCATTTACCTCTCTGTCTGGGGGATGGCGAACGCGATGTGATCTAGCATGCGCGCTCATTCAACAAACGGATGTTTTGATGCTGGATGAACCCACGAATTTCCTCGACCTGCCTGCTATAGTTTGGTTGCAACGCTATGTTGAGTGTTCCTTGTCTAAGACTTCCGTCATCGTGGTAACTCACGACCGTGATTTTGCCGATGCTGTTGCTCAGGAACTGCTCTTGGTACGTCTAATGCCCGCGAGAACCTTGGAGGTGTTCAAAGGAAATCTGACCGAATATGAAAATGAGAAACGTCGACAAATACGGCGAATGACAAAGATGGCTGAAGCTCAGGAGAAGAAAACAAAACATATGGAAGATACGGTTACCAAGAATATCAAGGCTGCAAAGCGCACTGGAGATGACAAAAAATTGAAACAAGCCGCCTCTCGGAGAAAGAAGATTGACGAGAGATCCGGAATGGAGGTCAGCTCAAGTGGAGGGAGATTTAAACTCAGTGACAGAGAGGGCTTCTTCAATTCGACCAGAGCTGACATTGAGATTCCCGAGTTTGACCCACCGGTCAATATTATGTTGACAGACCAGCCCACAACTTTGAGATACCCTGGACCGCTCTTCAGTTTCGAAAAAGTCTCTTTCACCTATCCCAAATCTGGAGTTTGGACACTCAAAGAGATTGACCTCGTCATGCACCCTGGCGAACGTATCGGACTTGCGGGCCTGAATGGCAGTGGCAAGTCAACCATGGTCAAACTCTTGATGGGGGCGGTCACGGGAGGGAATCCGAGACCAACAAAAGGTTCAATCACAGTGCATTCCAAAGCTCGGTTCGCATGTTACTCACAACATGCCGTTGAAGAGCTCGAAGAATTGGGAAGACAGCAACCCGAAAAGACAGCACTTTCCTATCTGATGCAGCAAGAAGAGTGGACTGGAGACGAGCAGGCTGCTCGGGGCATGCTCGCCAAGCTCGGCCTTCGAGGGAACATCGTCGCCGAAGTACCATTGGCATCACTTTCTGGGGGACAAAGAGTTCGGGTGGCTCTGGCTCAGGTGTTTTGCAGCTCTCCTCATCTGATCGTGCTGGACGAGGTCACTACTCATCTGGATTCTGACACAATCGACGGGCTGATTGAAGCTCTCAAGTCCTGGGAGGGGGGACTTCTACTAATTACCCACGATCGCCATTTTATGCGGTGTATCGTAGATCGAGAGAAGATCGCAAGAGACGCGGAAGAGGACGAGAGTGATAGCGATGAGTTAGAAACCGGGACTCCAGGCACAGTCTACCACGTGCGCAAGGCTGGACTACGCAAGCTTGAAAGAGGCTTGCAACAATATGAAGAGCTCGTTTCCAGGACCGTAGCTAAGCTGCGCGTTTGAGGCCGATTCCGGGTGTAGACCAAAGAAAGGCTATCCGGTTAATCGGCTCACGATAAATCCTGGATTCCTAACGGAATGCGTCATGCATGTTGGATGGAACTATAGCGGTAATCACGTAGGAATCTTAGCAAACCCCTCGAATCATTTTGCTTGCTGCAACCGCTGTCCTGCTTACTCTCCGGTGCTCACGCCTCTGCATCGCGAAGCTCGTTGTGCTCTTAGAAGTTTCGTCGAAAGTCGCAATCCTCGATCGTGAGGCCTCGTTTCGGCCATCGAATTCTACACTATCAAGGTCCCATTTGGGCCCCTGAGAATTCACGCATGCTCACCAGCCCAGTGATCAATAAAGAATGTCTCCTTGTCCTCCGGATGGTTCCCTTTTATCATCCGATAATACACAATGCAGGACTTGAGATGGTTTGACTCTACAATGTGATATTGAGTTCCCCCTCGCGCAAAGTTGCTGTAGAAAGACACACTAAAGAAAATGATGTCGATTAGCATTACTTTGGAGGGTATTGTCTAATTCTTCTATTTTGACCGCAGCGCGGCAGGGCATACACGCCCTCCGCTCTACCAAGGATTGGACACTACCCCCCGTTTAACCTTGACAAATAGCAACTATTATGCCTTCGTGTCGAAGCGACGAGGTCAATCCGATCTCCTGTAGTAGATGATGCCATTTATCTCGTCGACGCCAGTGATACCGTCAATCAACCCAAGCTTCAGACCTTTTCCATTACATTACTTAGGATTCATTCGCTCCCCCGGCTCGACCTTTGGAAACCCATTCTTCGAGTTAGGATTTTCCCTGACCAAAGTAGCTTTTCTTGCCCGTTTTGAGAAGTTTGACGGATACTAGGTGTTGTAGACCACCATCATTGCTGCCATTCGTACTGCATCGAACAAATAGAGATAGATCTCGTGTTAAATAATTGTTCCCTCGAAACCCTCGATAAATTCCGCTACCCGGACAATCGATCGAGATATGATGAAAGCGCTGGTGATGTACAATATATGTAAAGACATCTCCCAAGGTATTGAAGGGTGCTGGGATAATCTGGTCGGCATGGCACGTACTCGACGACGAAACACTAGCGCAACAGCCACGGAGAAACCAAAGAGTATGATCTGGAGCAGCAGCCCCCTAAGACGATTCGAGAGCCTAGCCTCGCCGTTGAAGCTTTGCTGCTAGCCATCAGTCCACCGCCTAAATCGGGTCAGCAAAGTCTTCGCAGGTCTGAAGAGCGCATAGGCTCAGACTATTCATACATACTACCTAGTTGAAGAAAGAAGGAAAGCACATCGCTTGTCTCGAAAACCTTAGTCAGCCATCTTGTCTTGACTAGACCATTGCTTTCACCACCCACACTGATAGTTATACGGCCCAGTATCATGTACATGGTGGGAGCAAAGAGCGCTGGAGCGACGAGCAGGAGAAGGGTCTGAATAACATAAGGGCAAAGGGTCGGATTTCGCGCTTTTCCAGCGATACCCTACGACCTCGACTGTGACAAGATCAGCTTTGGCAGATAATGGGTTGAGTGGCCCAACAACCAAAAAGGCAAGAAGTAAAGTACTCACAGACCCCACCGATGAGTATAGGAATGAAGTACCAGGTCCTATGCTTCGCAATCAGTACCAAATGCCAAATAGTAAGCACTCCGAACACAATCGCAAAGACAGATGCTCCAGCTAAAGAGGGTTCGAATTGATAGTATTTAAAGTGTGCATCGGTGTCCGACGACATGTTGATGGAAGGACGTGTTGGTCGTGTTGAGAGAATTTGTCAAAATTAGGAGTACAAATGTACGTCCAGAATCAATAGCAGAAGACATAGGGGACGCAGAAGGAAGCATGAGAGAAGAGAAGAGAAGAGAAGAAGGCAGAGAGCCTGATATATAGTGCCAACTGCGTCTGCAATGGGCAATCTCATAGGATTTGAAGGGGAGCGGGTATTGAACCCGGAATTTGGAAATTGCGATACATTGGCTTAGAAAACTGGTGCCTTGAGAGAAAAGTCTCGATGGGCAACAGGTTGCGAAAATCTGTTACATAGCATCTTTTTGCACTATCAAGACAATCCATTAATATCGAGTTGGCTTTCATGAGTGCTTGGCCAATGATATTCTAAGAAATTCGCAGGAAGTTGCTAAAATAGGCCAAAGTCGGACCTTTGCAACTCGTACCCTTATTTTGGCTGATTCCCAACGCAGCATCACCCCCCGTCTTTAACAGTCTCTGCATCGCATAGGGAAAAGCAACATCTGAGGATCCCTGATATTGCCCTGTCCGTGGTGACTGTCCAGGCGCCTAACATATGTACGCTTTCACCATGCGCTGACGCCGCTACATACGCGTCGACCTCTTCTAACTTTGTTCTGAGCAAAAGACAATAAACTATACATGCTGCTTCACCCGTCGAATGCGAATCACTGTAATAATCACGAATACCATGGTTGGCGTGCCAGGGAAGTCTCAAAGCTGCAATACATGCCGAAGGCGGAAGATAAGGGTATGGCAGCGCCACAGAAAGTGACCAATTACGTTGCTGACATCAAACAATCATGCAGTGTGACGGTCACGAGCCAAGGTGTTGCCAATGCCAGAGGAGCCGCCGCGTTTGCGGGGGTTACGAGCGAGATCGTTGCTTCAAGAACTTGAGTGTTCTTGACCATGAAAACCTGCTCGCAAGAGCACAGCCCATTGTATTTCTCACTGAATCTTCATGGATCAGGTCTGAAAATGAAGATACGGACTCAGCAGACGACCGTCGACAAGGTTCGTTGCGGGCAGAGGACATTCTCACGCAGATGCGACCTTCTCGCAGACTGTTTCCAAGCAGCGCATTCACTGTCACTCTACTATTTGGTCGTTTCATCGAAGACTACATACCGCGACACTCATTCACGACAAGAGAAGCTCACATTTATCCTTCTTGGTGGCAGGTACTAATTGATATGGCTGGTCGATACGAATCATTAGACCAGGCTGTTGCTGCCTTGAGCATGGTCGGCCTTGGCTTGAATTACCAGGATCAAAGGCTGAGATTGGAGGGAATTAAGACTTATGGAAGGGCGCTCGATGGTATGAAGCAAATCATTGGCCGGGGGGGACTGCTATACCAAGAACAAACTCTTGCTACAAGTCTTGTCATGCTGAAATTTGAAGTGAGTTGGGTCTGTTCCCGCTGACTATTTTACCCTGACCCTCTGCAGTTGTTCGAGACGTCTGGAGAAAGTAGTCATGGATGGAAAAGTCATACCAACGGCCCCTCCCAGCTCATTCAACTTCGAGGACCCATGTTACACTCTAGTTCTTTGAGTCACCAGCTCTTCTTAGGGCTCCGACCAAGTGTGGTGAGTTCTTCTTGCTTGCAGTAGTTCGAATTACATCTAACTCGAAGCAGATCATCCATGCCTTGTTCAAGCGGAAGAGAACGTATCTAGCTGAACCATCATGGTTATCATCCCCTTGGTGCATTTCACCCAAGGACAATTTCCACTGTCTCCTCGACATCCTTGCCCGTCTGACTGGTCTAATCGAAAATAGCCAGCAGATATTGACATCGTCAATAAATGCTTCACCACAAAGAACATCAATTCTGATATATGGCTTGCAAATAGAACAAGACCTTGAGTCCTGGTACAACAAAACAGTGACTGGACCAGTGCAATGTTCGTACACAGATCTGCCTACCGAGACCGCGGCTCAAGATGACACTTTCCCGACTATGCTACGCTTCGAAAGCTTCGAGCTCTTCCGAATGCATTCATTCTACTGGTCTGCTCTCCTCTTACTCTACAATAGCATGCATGACGTTCATGATCATATATACGGGTCAAAACATCTTGCAGAGAGCACCCTTCAGCATCACCAAATTCACGAACATAAAACGGAGACAGAGGAGTGGTTTCAAACAGGCAGCCAAACCTCAACGGCTTCAGAAAATGCTTTGCCCGACTTCGAACCCCAGCACCTACAAATAAAGTGCCTTGAAATTGCGACACTGATCGCAAAATCCATTCACTTTCTTGTCTCCCAGAACATGCCAAATCTGGGGATTCACAGCTTCCTATTCCCGCTTCGAGTTGCTCTTCATATCTTCTCGCAACAACCTGGACCCGAAGCTGCATGGTGCGGACAGAAGTTTGAGGAGTTCGATAGAAGAGGCTTTCCCCTCGCCAAGTTTATGAGTGAAACACACTGGGACGATTTCCCTCTGCTTTTGTCGTAGAATTAGGCAAAGCTTACAATGCAGACGAATAATACGCGGCGCCATAATAGGCCACCCTTGCAGCTCAGCCTGTAGCAGGATTGCTCAGGCAAAGGCGCATGTTAAAGAAACCTTCCCTCTGATGCGCCTTACCGCACAGTTGGGCGCTTCCTGTGAGGCTGTCTTGCGTGGCAATGATGAATGGACCTTCGTTTGAAACCCCGGTGGAAGGTCGGCTTTGTGTTGAACCCCTGGGATACATGTACGCCGTCACTCGCTCGCGACATATTCACCTTCTACTCGGCAGTCACAGGGTGGACCTTTAGCCAGAACGTGGCTTGTTGTCCTCATTGCGACGTTTACGGGCTAAAGCCCTTGTTGATTGTCTCTCCTCTCAAGCACACCTTCCATAACGAGTTTCCCTCTGCTTTCGGCCGCGATACTTTCGCTCTGTAGCAGGGGAATCCCCTCTGGGAGTGCCAGTCTACTGAGGGAGATGGACGCCCAAGGCAGGACTCTCTTCAGGGCACCGGAATTACGCATTTTTTGAGGCGTCGGAAAACCTGCCTCAATTTTGGACTATTGCACGCCACTGTCATAGGCTATTATGTAAGCCCCGCATGCCCCTTCAGGCTCAGGTAGAAGTCTGTCTTTCAGCTGTCAACAAGCTGCAACTTCTCGACTCCCATAATCTCACTCTGAGTCTTGGGTTTCCCACTTTAACTAAATATTGGTGAGTTGTTTGGTTCGTTAATTCAACGACGCCTGCTAGATGTGTACTGTCGCTCGTCGTCAGGATCGACTATGGAAGGCCATCGAACCCGCAATACCAAGGTATGCATGCAATGTCACGCGCGCAAGGTAAGAGCTCCTTTCCCCAGGCTGGGTGATAGAGATCACTGACTCGATTGGATCAGGTCAAATGTGACTTGCAAGACCACGCTGATGGGACGTGTCAAAATTGTCAAAGGGCTAACGTCACGTGCAGGTAGGTTTGATCCTATGCGTGTGAAATGAGCACGACTTTTCTGAGCAGAATGAACAATCAATAGACCTCGCGTGGGAGTTCGGCAACGCAACATGCGGCCCCACCGGGCCAGTGCCACAAGCACGCAGTCGGCAGAGCGCTCAGAACTGCCACGGTCTGCATCGCCGGGATCAGTGGGCTATCTAGGAGAGGAGAGCATGATGCTTCAGAACCCCAGCGCGCTCCAGTTCGACGACGAGACCGAGGCAGAGACGGCCGAGTTCTACGCAAAGACGCTGCTATCCACCGGCGCAGCAGCCTTGCCCTCACAGATGCTGGTCGCCGCACTGACCGACGCTTACTTTGAACACATTCATCTCCACCAGCCCCTCGTCGACCGCACAGACTTTGAGCGTTTTCAGTCGCCTCTGCTGGTGCATAGTGTCTGCATGCTTGCAAGTGCCTATGGCCACCGACGAGGAGGAATAAGCCAGCTGAGTGCGGCTAAGAAGTACTACCTGAAGGCAAAATTGCTCTTGGCTACGGAGCATGAACGAAATAAATTGGTGGTTCTGAAGGCGCTCTGTCTGATGACCTGTCGAAGTATGACCGGGCCGACCGTAATTTGCCTAGACAGCCTTTGGCATTGGCTGGGGGCAGCATCGCGTTTTGCAATCCATATGGGTCTTCATAAAGAAGCAACCTACAGTGGCAACCAAGATGCTGGGACCCGTCGAAGGATGTGGTGGCATCTCTTCGTAAGGATGAGCCTAACACTGTCTACTTCTGACTTTCGGTCCGCCTTGGCGCTGACATTTCTCCCAGAATCAGGACAAGCTGGTCTCCTTCTGTTATGGACGGCCGCTGATGATCCATATGCATGATACCGACGTTCAACCGCTGTCACAAAGCGACTTTCCCGAAGAACATCCTGACAACAACATCTTCATTGAGAGGACTAAAGTTTGCATGATTTTTGGTCAACTCGCCGACGGGAGATACAACCCCAACTTGAGCTATGGAGATATGGTGCCCATTGGACAGGCTTTTGAAACGTGGGTCTGCGAGTTGCCTGCCGAATTAACTCTCCAACGTACAGACTCAAAACCTTATCGTCGAGTAGTTTCCGAATTGCACATTTTATATTACGCCTGCTTATTGATCTACCAGCTATCCTTGATGAAAGTGGAACCGGTTTCGAGCTCAGTCAGGGCTACATTCGAAGAGTGCGTCCAGACGGCGTCACAAATTATCCGTGTTTTCGAAGAGATCCAGTGCAGAAACGACCTTTTGTATATGGCACCGATCAACGCTTGGTTTTGTTACCTTGCTGGAGTGGTGCAAATTCGCGCTCGCGCCACCTTTTCGGGCCCAGGTGGTGGGTTTGATGACAACCTCGCAACTGTCAGGACAGTCTTGCAGGAGCTGTCCGCAACTGTTCCAAGTTCCTCCTTGGTCCTCGGCAACCTCAAACGCGCAGAACTTTCTGGCGAAACTCTGCCGGGGCAATATCCTGCCCATTCCGTCAACCCATCCGCTGGTGGGTCAGCCAATGATGAAGCGAACAACGAAGAAAACATCACAACCGAATCTCTCGCAGGTCCCGACGGTCGCCGAAATCCTTTGAATGTTCTGAGTGGTCTTGGTGAAGGGATGGACAGCAGTTCCCTTTTTTTGCCCGGTACTCTCATTGCCGATGGCAATGTGGCTTTTGACTTCGATGACGTTTTCGTTGACCAAATATTTCAGTACCAGTGATTTTCTAGTTGAATTGATGATGCGAAAGGAAGGATTTTTCCCAGAGCACAACATGTCTCGGTTGTGTCATGCTTTGACTTCAGTTGTTTAGGATTGTGCTCGAAAGTTCTGATCGCTCAACTTCCTCAACCACATCGTGTGACTACCGAGTACCGCGCGGGTATTAGCCGGTAGCCGCCTCAATCCGCCAACACTGCCGACTCTCCCAGACCAGGCTGAATATCTGCCCCGCAACGACGCTTCTATTTTCATTAGGATTGGACACGAAAAAGCTCTCCTGCAGAGAGCTCAACGCGTGGCACTACCGAGCCACCTGCTCTGTGATTCCAACCTTGGGCACCGACCCACAGCATCCTGTTTATGGGCGGGTTCGATTCTGACAGTCACCGCAGGAAGAACAGTCGTCAAAATTTGAACCATCAAAAGATGACCGAGTCGCCGAACGTGTCGATCTCTTGATACTTAACCACAACACCACACATCACTCATCACTTCAGATCCAGCCAAGTTAGAGACAAAGTACTGGAACTTGGCTCCCCGAGGCAAACTTCACTCATGGCCACCATGCGTGCAGTCGACATCAGAGGCGAGACAGGACCAGTCTCGGCCTTGTTCATCAATTCCGAAACAGCCATGCCCAAGCCCAATCAAGATCAGGCCCTGGTGAGAATCAAAGCATTTGGTCTCAACCGCATGGACCTCCTCCAGCGCGAGGGCAAGTACCCAATACCGCCTCAAGCTCCCAAGACCATGGGCGTTGAGTTCTCAGGCATCGTTGACTCGTTCGGTTCTTCATCTTCCACTCTCGACTTCCGCGTCGGAGACGAGGTTTTTGGTCTAGCTTATGGCGGTGCATACGCCGAGTATATCGCCGTTAGCACGTCTATGCTCATTCACAAGCCTAAAGAACTCAGCTGGGAGCAGGCTGCCGGGGTTCCTGAGACCTGGATTACTGCCATCCAAGCGCTCTACCTGGTCGGTGAATTCCAAGCAGGCCAGACCGTTATCTGGCATGCTGGGGCGAGTGGCGTGAGTATTGCCGGAATTCAGCTGTCGAAGGCTGCCGGAGCGTCTGCTGTCTATGTCACTGCGAGCACGCAAGCCAAGATTCAATTCTGTCAGTCTATCGGGGCGACGAAGGGATTTAATTATACAGAGAGCGACTGGGCGGATGCGTTGCTTGACCACACCGCTGGGAAGGGGGCAGATCTTATCGTGGATTTTATCGGTGCGGACTATTTCAAGAAGAACTTGAAAGCAGCGGCACGAGATGCCCACATCGTCAACTTGGGTTGGCTGAGTGGAACAGTTGTGAAAGGTGATGTCGACATCAGCCCCTTTCTAGGCAAGAGATTGAGGTTCGAGGGGAGCAGTTTGCGGAGTCGCGATGAGGAATACCAAAAGAAACTACGGGACTTGCTGGTTGAGCATGCGTTGCCCAGGCTTGTGGATGGGAGGTTCAAAATCTTCATCGACAAGGTCTTTGAGATGGAGGAGATCCAGAAGGCGCACGAGGTGTTGGAGTCAAACCAGACCATGGGCAAACTTATATGTAGAGTGCATTGATGTGCTGCCAGTCGCTGAACGTGCTGCACAAGGGGAGGTCTGTTGGACTAGACGGACATTCTACAGCACTTTTTCATTTTGAATAACATGTGTTTCTCAGTCTGATCCCCGTCTAAAGTTTAAGCCTCTGTCGAGATAATGAGCTCTTGACCACCCACCATAGTTCCTCGTTGGTGAGGTGCAAATCTTTCAGGAATGCCACTGGATCCTGACTTGGCGGATATCACCAGATGATCACGGCTACTGTCGGGCTGGCACCATGAGCTTCGACGATGGATGGGAGGAGAACTAGCCACAGACGCCATCATTGCTCCATCCTTTCAATCAGTCTCCTCACGATACGGAATCAACTCACTCCTCTTCCGCCATCGACGTCGAACGCTGCGCCAGTGATGTAGCTTGCTTCGTCCGAGGCGAGGAAAGAAGTAATGTTCGCCACATCTTCCGGTTTGCAAACACGACCCAGCGGTATCGAACCCAAGATCTTTTCGCGACGGTCAGAATCCGAGCTGTCGGGGTCTCCAAGCACCTTGGATAGCCTAGCCTCTTCGTTAGACTTGGGCGCGGTCAACAGGCTACACTTTGCGAGAGTATTTCTTACATGGCTGTCTCCCCTATTGAAGGTCGAATGCAATTATACCGAATGCCATCAGAGGCATACTCTGCCGCAAGACCTTTCGTCGCCTGATTGAGAAGTCCTCGGTCAGCCCGGAATGGATGAAGTTGGAATGTTCAAGTTACTACCCACAGCTGTCACGGCGCCTTTGCTAGCTGCGTACCATACAAAGTACGGACGGGGTCTCGGTTCACTGGTGCTGCTTAGGTTGATGAATAGGCCGGGGCATTTCCTCTCCTTCCACCACGGCACAATGACTTTGGTGCTCAAGTACAGTGGCTTCACGTTGACCTTGAACATAAAGTCGAATTGCTCTTCGGGGACCTCGTGCGACGGTGCTGCACCGTGGATCACTCCTGCACAGTTCACAACGACGTCAAGCCGGTCAACGAAGAGACTGCGCGCCGTGGAGAGAATCTGGCGCCACGACGACTCGAGGGTAACGTCTGCTGTACAAGCGTGGCACGAGGCGGGCGGGCATAATATGACCGTCTGCTCAGCTTCAGCTCCATTCAAGTCTACCGCCAGGACGCGAGCGCCTTCACGGACGAGTTTCAGCACAATCTATCGACGGTCGGCCTGGTCAGTTGACATTGTAGAGCCAAGTCCCTTTGGGAAATCTGTTCTGTACCTACTGCACGCCCAAATCCAGCACCGCCCCCGGTCACAATGATAACCTTTCCATTAAGTCGACTCATTTCGTCAAGGGGATTGTTTGATTTTCTATCTGGTCTGAGGAAGCTTCGCCATTCAGTTGCTTAGTTGCAATATGCTGTTACCTACCTTAATGAACTGAAATACCTAGGTTAGTCTCGGCTTCGCTTGAATTGATTCTAGCACGATGGGCGATCAGGGAATCGGCGGCTGTGAATATTCTCGGCCCCATTCAAACCCAGCTTCACCTACCCAGATTAGTCCTACGTACTATGTACATTAGCCTAGCTGCTCTGCTGCGCACTTGAGAACCGAGTGCCGAAAGCCGTGCAAGGCCCATCAAGAGAAACTCGCTTGTATTGTACCGGAGGAACCACTTGCCCACTACTATTAGTTCGTGCGGAATCTTTATCCGAACCCGGCAACATCTACCTAAAACTGGAGAGTTGGAAGGCTGATGAGGCTTCCCGCGGGCGCGGGGAAGGGAGAAAGAGGTTAGAATTGATTGGCCATACACGTATCTTGGAAACCGAAGTCACATTTCTATTGTTTCGACATCTGTGTAAGTCCAAGGCTTCGGTGCTGTCGAGACCACCATGGTTGTGCGCAACAGTGAGCCATACATAATTGCTACTATTATTGTGCTGACAGAGCCAGTTGCACAACAAATCCAGACCCGGAGAAAGCTGGAGTATCGGCGAAGGATACCGTACATCTATCCTTTTGTGCATGGACCCTAGCATCATGAATGCAATTAATTATTCACCCTCCCCTTCCCTCCAACGACCGAGAGTAAATCATCCAGCTTTTCTATCTCATCCCGGCCCTTACACAATGTACCGAAACTGGGGGTTCTGTGTGCCAAACTGGTCAGATCATTCATACCTCGAAGTGCTCAACTCTTGGAGCATGCTTGTCGTATGCGCAGAGGGACCACTTACAGTTTTGTCGGTCAAGTCATCCTCGTAAGCATGGTCAAAAGCCTCAAGTGTGCCGGTCTCATCTCTCTTACGGTTTTCCCTGAGACAAACAAATCGGTACAACATGGACAAGGCCGCCACGGCGATCGACGTACCTACCACTGTCGCCAACCCTGGTGCATAAATTGGCGCGTCCTGACTTCTGAATGTAAGAGGCGCCACAAAGTTACCTGCCGAAGTCCCAGTCAGCATTCGGACCAGTGCAGTGCGTCCAGTCTCTTTTGTCCCGTGAAATCTTCTTACCAATACAATAGGCAACGAAAATCCCCGAAGAAGCCAAAGATCGCTTGGTATAGCCCGCTGTGTTGGCGATCTGAAGTCCCAATTGAACTACGTATCCGGCAGCAAAGCAGGGAAGGATGACCACCCCAAACATCAGGCCCCCAATGGCGTGTCTCGGGAGAGCCCAGAGCAGGATTGCGGCGAGGACAGTAACCAGTTCAGATACCGCCATGAGATATGTCCTTATATTCGTGTACTTGTAGGCAAGGTAGGGAATGATCAATTCGATGGTACCACTTGAAACAAAAAGTAAGCTTGACGCATCATCGACGGTCCCGGATACTCAACTTACGTGAAAAACCCAACGGGGACTACCAAGAGCAGAGAGTTGAGTGTATTGAACCCGAATCCAGAGATAATCAAAGGGGTAAACGTCGAAACCGGAGCATTGGCAAACATAGCCAACAGTGTCATCAAGAACATGATCCAGAATTTGAGGTCGAACATCAGTTCAATCATTTGTTCTTTTTTGAAATGCGTGTTGCGGACGCCCGAGTTGTTCGATTGCAACCGACTCACAGCAATGAAATGCTCGCGCTCGGTGAATCCTTTCGCGCGGATCGGATCAGGAGGGAGGTAATAGTACACCACCACTGACCAGAGAATGGTGATGGAACCCGCAAAGACATACATGTAGCGCCAAGGGGACAGTGCACCGTGGACATGCCCAAACCCGTAGTTGATCAGAGGCGAGATAATAGACACGTAGCCACATGCACAGTACCAGACACTATTCCAGAATCTAGAGTCAGTCTTGTTCTATCCAGCGCTGAGATTAGAGGGGTGAACAAAAAAGAACTACACACCCTATCCGCAGGGCTTGCTCATTCTTTTTATAGAACTGACCCACGACCAACATGAACATCGGGCTGACTCCTGACTCGATGAAACCGAGGAAAAATCTCTGTGCGTAGAGCCCTTGCCAGTTGTGACAGGCCGGCGTGCAGATTAGACAAACTCCCCAAGCCAAGATAATGCCGGCGGCCACTTTTTCGATGGGGAAGCGCTGAGCCATGACAATGGCCGGGTAGGCACCGACAATGAAGCCCAGGTAGAAGATGGACGACGCGAAGGAGAACCGGTTGCCCACAGTAAGCTCGAGGTCGGTGCGAAGACCGAACAATGCGGCCTGCGAGATCATGGCTTTGTCGTAGTATTGCAGGCCATAGCAAATGACGAGGATCGGGAGGAGGCGACGATCGATCTTTTTCCTGACCCGCTGTTCTTCCTTGTCGTCCCATGTTTGCGGGCCAGTGTAGCTGGCCAGGACGGTCATCGCCTCGTCATTGTGGCGTGTGTCGACAGCGATGGCGGCCTTCAGTTCGGTATTGTCCAGTGGCCCCTCCACATGGTTGGAGTTTTCCTTAATCGTGGCTGCCATACTGATGCCCAGAATCGAATGGGTTTCTGCGACGATGCAAGAGGAAGGCTTGAGAAACTCAGCAGGTTGCGGGTGCAGCTATGGGCACGCTGAGATGCATCCACATTATGGCTACCACCACATAGCTAGGAAGAGCAGCCAGCTATAAATACAGGGATTGATTGCGGTGGAAGTGGTCCTAGATGTAATCTGACAATTCTCGTCAAAAGTCTGGGGACGCGGGGGTTAGACTCGGTAGTCGGGAGAGGCGACAGGGGCGCGTTCTCCAATGGAATGGCGTGATTGGACATAATATATGGAGTACGGAGGTACTCCGTACACCCTATACAGAAGCGACCAATCAACGCCCCCTCGACCCCAGCTGGACCCGTCGCAACGACCTCATTCTGAATTGCCCTTCCCACTTGTGGAGCATGTGGGCAATGAATGCCGTCCCGAAACCACTGCCGACTACCGAGGCCACATCTCCAACTCATAGTGAGCGAGACTCGCTTCTCTTGTTTGTAGAATCTGAAGGTCACCTAACTAGGGCAATTGAAACATACCTTTACTAGGACTGTGTTCGTCCAGGCCGGGCCTACCCTCCCTTCCCTCATTCTCGGCATAAGATTCAGCGCCTCAACCCGGATTCTTATCACGGACCGCTTCGTCTTCCCTCTCGTCCTGCCATATAATCGGACGCCAAGGCCTCGGCGGACTGGACATCCTCACAGGGACTACGCGGAACTGAACAGACTGAACATTACTTGTTTCGATTCCATGCGATCAAGGATTCCCTCGATGAAAACAAACCACCCGACCAGCATTCGATCCATCCTATCTGGGGTGTCCGGTTTCAAGCATTCTCTGGAAGACCTCGTACCATGCCGGCCGCAATCTTCCCACGAGAGAGAGGGATGATGGTCATATGGGGAGAGGTTCAGGACAAATCAATCAACGAAGAGGACCTTAATGAATGGTGGACCCATGAGCACCTCCCGGAGCGTCTCGCGATACCGGGATTTCGACGAGCTCGTCGCTACTACTCGGTAGAGAATGCCAAATCGCAGTACTTGGTCTGCTACGAAGTCTCCTCTCTGGACATATTCACCTCACCCGCGTACATGGACGCCCTGAATAACCCAACGTCTGGCACCCAGACATACATGCCCTTGATGGCGTCAATGAATCGTCTCGTATGTCGCGTGGTACAGTCTTGTTCGCGGCCCGAGCTTGGCGAGTGCTCCACGTTGGGCACAGGGGCCACGTTGGTGCTCATTACATTCCAGCCTCCAGCGTCGCAGAACCTGAGGGACGAGCTCGGCGGTTGGATTGCAGAAACTATATGGCCTAGTCTCTCAAGCCACCAGAGTCTACTGGCCATTCACCTTCTTCGATACGACAGTTATGCTTCGCAGTCAGGAAGCTCGACCAAGTCATATGAGAAGGTTAGCTTTCAATCTGCAGGGACGGGTGCCAGTCCAGAGAGATGGGTCATCCTTGTCGAGTTGGCCGAATCCATAGCGGCCCCGTTTGCGAAACATCGGGTCCTGACCCACAACATTGTCCATCAGCTGAAGAGATTCGCAGCCGAGATTGAGTCTCAGGCATTTGGACTCATTTATGCGTTGGGCGAATAGTGGATTGTGTACTTGGCACAATCTGGAGGCAGAAAGGCCTAAGGGGACGGTTCTGTCCTAGATCATAGTAGAGCTTTATAGAGAATCCGTAGTGTATTTTTGTACACATACCCACACCTAGAAGCCGCTTAATGCTTATGTCGGGGTTCTTACGACGCTACCCGGAAACCTTCTGAGAACTAAAACTTGCTAGATACAATTTTTCTTCTGTTTTCTCTTGCTGGAATAGATTTCGCTAAATGCCGAGTATTCGCGACCAACATTGTTTTGTGGCTTGAGTGTGCCAAGGCTGAGATGCTCACGTTTTCCCGGGACCAGTACTCCTTACAGAAACAAGAAGGATTCCGCGACGGGAATAGTAATAAAAGGAGTTCTATATTGGCATTGTGCATGGCCATCGAGAGTTTTATGTACTCTTGAGCTCATTGGAAGACGTATATTCATCATCTTTAGCATAAGGTCGCCGTTCTCGCAACCTGGGAATTGCTCGTTAAAGTCTGCAGACTCTTTATGTTCAGCGAGATAAAAACACTATACTTATTTGTCTCCAGAGACGGCTAGCCAAAAGCTTAGGTGGGATAGGATATCTTGGGCAGATGTAATCGACTGCTAGGGGGCCTGATTTAGCCTTCTCGTAGCTGTGCTCAGGCTATTCAAAAGCACGCAAAGAGCACTCAGCGATGATCAGCTAAATGCTCAGTCAAACATCAGGTTAAAGCAGCCTTCGCTCACCCTCTAGGATCGAACCATAAATGACAACTCGGCAGTTTGCTCGCGAGTAACATGGGTAGTTCGCAGCAACCATTCAAGCACGTGCTGGACGATTGGCTGAAAATTGGCACTCTTGGCATGCAGCTCACCATCAACGTCATCTGGCCCAATCCTACTTCTTCCTCCTCCAGTCTCAAACCAGGATGTCGGTGCGTGCCTCTGAGATACCTCCCAGATCGTTTCTATCCCTGTTACTGGCGAGCCGAGTATTTATATTTCCTACCTCACGCCATGGAACTTGAAGATTGTTGGAGCTAGAAGTGGGAGGATACACTGGTAAGTCAAGACAGCTTCACAACAGAATCTTTTGCATCTCTACAAGCTATGCATTGCAATCGTTCTCTGTTCCTGACAGCACTATGCTCTTGCTCTGTCCAGCTACTTCATGCTCAGAGATCTAGTGCGCGGCTCGCTGCCTATACTGTCCCCGCAGGTTTTCCAACAAGTCTCTTCTCAGCATACTATGTGCCGCCTTCACCCACAGAACAAGTAGGTAACCAGATGCAATGAGGATTCTCCGATATCAACGCTCATATGAATTGTAGCCTCAACCTATCATATACGATAATGCCTTGAATTATACCTATCCCCTGGAGCTGACTGATCCAACAACCATTCCAGAGGAAAACGAGGATCCAATTTTCTTCCCCAATGCTCTCCACTCCGTCTCGAATGGATCTGCCATTATTGCAGACGTCAAAAACCGAATTTCAGAAATCATTTCGGGGGCGGGGTCGAACTGTTCGAAGTGTATCGCGGCATTGGAATTTGGCCAATACGTTGCTCAGCGGGTACCTCAGCTAGTGCCCGAACTGCTCGTTGATCTTTGCATCAGCACAAAATTCCAGTCAAATTCTTCTTGTAAGGAGAACTACGAGGCACAAAACTATGGCGCCGTTTGGACGCAGGTTCTCTCATTTGCAAACGTGTCTGGATCAGATGGTCAGTATATCTGCAACTATCTAAGCAGCAACTTCTGCCAGCGACCGTATACGCTCCCTTCAAATACTTCAGCGTACTTTGGTCCAAAGCCCAAAGGCTACGCTGTGCCAAGACCAAGCGGGAACAGAGTCAAGGTTTTACACATGAGTGACATGCATATCGACCCTCGATATTCGGTTGGTTCAGAAGCCAACTGTTCGGAATCGTTTTGCTGTCGCGCAAATGTCGAGAGCACTTCTGGGAAGCTTGAAATCCCAGCACCACTGTACGGTGCATTCAAGTGTGACAGTCCGTATTTCCTGCTCACGGCGGCTCTTGAGTCAATTGCTCCATTGACAGGCACGACGCATAACAATCAGTCTGAAAACGATCAATTTGCTTTTGGAATCTACACCGGTGATCTCGTGAGCCACGAAGGCCAAAACGAACTCTCCAGGAACTACACTATGTACAGCGAATGGTCGATTTACCATATGCTAAAGTCCTATATCCCAAGTGGTCCAATATTTACCGTCCTTGGTAATCACGACACAAACCCAGACGGAATTGATTCGCCCCATACCCTCCCTGGAAACCTTGGCCAGCAACAATCATGGAACTTCGAGCATGTTGCATCTCTGTGGCAGCAAAACAACTGGATATCTACCGAGGCTGCCAATGAAGCCCGTATGCATTATGCTGCTTACAGTATCAACCATCCCAAGTTCCCTAAGTTGCGAATCATTACCTTGAACACTGATTTTTGGTATCGGAGCAATCTGTTCAATTATATGTAAGGATCAGAAGATGGCATCTACCTGCACTTACATCAGCTGACATGGATGAATTAGCAACACGACAAACCCGGATAATTCTGGCAATATGAGGTTCCTTGCGAAGGAGCTTCAAGAGGCTGAGGATAGAGGTGAGCGCGTATGGGTTTTGGGTCATGTGTTGACAGGCTGGGATGGAACAAATCCATTGCCCAACCCTACAGGTATGCACAGTTGAACACCCAATGCTTTCGACCGGGGCCATCAAACTGACACCTTGCAGATTTGTTCTACCAGATCATTGACAGGTATTCGCCTCATGTCATTGCTGGTGTCTTCTTCGGACACACGCATGAAGACCAGTTCATGATCTATTATGCGAATAACGGCACTGCCCGTGATGATTCCAATGCTCAAACTGTTGGCTGGATCGGGCCGAGCATAACTCCTTTGACCAATCTCAATTCTGGCTACCGTGTCTATGAAGTCGATACCGGCGATTTCAGTGTATACAATGCGTACACATACTACTCCAATGTGAGCAGTTTTGGTGCGATAAATGCCAGTCAAACCGGCCCAGTCTTCAAATTTGAGTACTCAGCCAGAGAAGCATATTCAATTGGGTGGCCTGACAGCGCACCTCTCAATGCAACCTACTGGCATCGCGTAACCGAGGCAATGGCGACAAATCATTCTCTGGTGTCGAAATTCAATACTTTTCAGGGAAAGACAAGTGTAAAGAGTCCGAACTGTACTAGCGATGCTTGCGCAGAGGCGAAAATCTGCTATATGAGGAGCGGCAGTGTAGCGCTTGGGCGAGCGTGTCCTCAAGGGTAAGTTCGATATGCTTCATGAATGCTCAGATCGACAGAATTACTCAACTAATAAATTTGTGCCAGGTTTGCTTCGGTGCAAAGTCGATATACTGGCAAGAACTTTTAGCTTGCCTGTAGATGTCTTCGAAAGCATGTCCGTATCTGGCCACCTTCACGAGGCTACATGGTACAAGCGGGGGACCCACAGCCAGCGCTAGCATGCCTTAAGCACGATAGCCTCAGATAAATATAGCCCAATGTGTCTCAATTGGCTTGGCTATCCAGAGCCAAAACTCACAACACGCTGAGAGTACGGAGTACTACAGACCAACAATAATAAACACCATCCTCGGACAACCCGTATCAAGCGAATGAATTTGTAGAAGTCTCCGGACATAAACAAACGAAACGTAAAAGCCGTTTCATGGTCTAATCAGGCCAACTATCTTTCATTAGTAATTAGTCCAAGCTTTCGATCTCGCTACGCAAGTTCAGCTCGGACCATCAGAGTTTCGCATCGGTCACACGCCAACTCCAGCACTTGATATCATACAAGGATCTAGCGAAGGACGAAAGTTTAAGCACTGGCCTGTTGCCAACGGAACCTTCATCGAGATGCCAAGATCAAGGTCCGTGCTCAGGGTCTGACAGAACCATCATTTGCTAAAACTTATTGATCGTATGGCTTCCCAAAGAGAGACCAGGGTGGCTTAGACCTGCTGTTTTCGACCATGGCACATTCCGCATATCTCACGGCGCCACACCACGTCAAGGCCCGAGCTGGCCAATGGGATACGGCATTCATGAGGTTGGTATCCAGGCAACGAGCCTCCAGTCGATGAGCCTTCCCAAAGTCAGCCATGGCAGTATTCCCCATTCGATTAGCAGGTTCACGTGGGAATAACTCGTATCACGAGCCAGCTAAGGCATAGTCCATGTCCCGGCTCCGATCATGTAATGGTCGCACATGTAAAATCCATCTAGGCCATTGAGAATATATTCTACGAGGACTGCTGCTGCTTACAGTGCTCAGCACGTATTGATTTTCACTGTCAACAACTTGTACACTTCGAGCATTTTCGCCCACAGCCAACTTGACATCACTGAAACTCATTATGGGGGAATGTCCAGCGATCGAAGGATCAGGTACACTAACTGGCGAGCCGATCACTGGTACTCTCACGTTCAAAAGCCTCATCACATACATCAACTACGCATGTCTTGGACTCACGCTCATTCTGTGGCTGGTACTGGCAATTCCGCACCTGAGGCGGTACAGGGCTCCTGACGAGCAACGGCCTATTTTTCGCATCATATCAACGCCTCTCGTTTTCGCCATTTTTGCTCTCATATCCGTGCATGTCTACACAGCGGCCGAGTACGTGGATCCTATAGCCAACCTCTACGAAGCATACGCTCTTGCTTCGCTGTTTTTGCTGTATGTCCATTACGTTGTCCCAGAAGCGCGCAATCGGAACGAATTCTTTCGCAATCTGGAGGCCAAGGCAAGGGACGGAAAACCAATTCGGGATGGCAGCATACGTTGGTTTATGGTGAGTTGAGACCAGTTCCAAGAGCCCTCATTTCTGACGATATTGCAGCGTATATGGAGAACTGTGTTCTTCTTCGTGGTGATCTACACGATTCTAATTATCGTCCAAGAAATCCTCCAGGCAACTGGCCACGTCTGTTCAACAACCAAGAAAGGAAAACGTGGGCAGATCATTGTAAACAAGCCCTTTTTGTTGGCCACCGCCTCTAGTAATTGCTAACCTGGCCCAGCTATCCGTGTTACAGACAATTTCCATGGTATATGCTCTCCTGGCAATCCTGAGATTTCAGCGACGTTTGAAAAAATACATGGAAGGACGACGGGCAATTATGAAATTGATTTCATTCAAGCTATTCGTCGCAATCCAGGTGCTCCAGCGCGTAAGTGAACTCAACCATGTGAGCTCGTCCAAAATGTCGTCGACTAACGCCCGATTCCACAGTTCATTTTCAGCATAGTGAGCACACAGGTCCAAGGCGGGGCCAAGGTCACCCATCTCGATATCTCTATCGGCCTACCTGCGCTGTTAACCTCAATTGAAAGTTTGATTTTCAGCGTCTGGTTCTACTTCACCTTCCACTCGAAAGAATACCAAGAAGTAGTGGACACAGGAGACAAGAAATACAGCATGTTCCGCGCGCTGCTGCACGCTCTGAATCCCATCGATATCATACATGGAGTCATCATTGCGTTCACACCGGGGAAGACTCCGTCGTTTGGGAACCATGATCAGGTGTCGACCATTCACCATGGTGCGACCAAGCCCGTCTGACCGATTGGCATGATCCGGGCGAGTAGCGCATAGTGCTCGCTGGGAAGCGAAAGGTGGTATTAGTAACTACTTCCTAGTATCTAAGCTACTTCAATTGCAACCATTACCTAGTCTACTGCAAACGGAGGCGATTTATGATAGATGCTACAGGATGTTAGACTAGTGTGAGCCTTTGTCCTTCCCTACTTCTCTCCTCCCCGCCTTCCATTGTACGAACTCTCTCTTTTCTTGGAGTCTGCTTGGACTTGGTGTTGCAGGCGGGAGAATACGAGCTACACGCCTGGCAACCCAACATGACAAACCACGCTTTTCGCCTGGTGGGTCTTCACGAGCTATGGCGAGCCTGTGCGACATTGGTGTGCTAGCATGAGCTAACGAAGTTAGTGGTGCACAGGCCATTTCCCGGACCTCCCTGTAGTTGAACCAACCCCAATACCCAATCTTCGCGAGCGGGGTTGTCGCTGGTATGTACTGACACCGTTCCTTCTCCGTAATGATACCGTAATATATTTGCCTATTCAACTACCTAGCCACTTGAGGAACTCACGATGACTGCCGTTATTTAATGCATTAATCAAGGAAAAATAGGGCCGAGTCTGCGCCTAGCCTTGTATGCCTGCTAGGGGGCGGCCTTGCTTGCGCTTAATGTCATGTGATCTGGTTCAACCTCTGCTCAGCCTCAGTCTGTCCGCTTGTCGCCCGAGCTGGATGCTTCGCTTGCTCAACTTGTTGCCCCTCCTCGTAACCTACGATACTGGCGCCGTGTTGAGACCCCTCTAGGAACTCACCATTATGTACAAACCAGCGGGGATCGAGGAAACAATGGCTTGAACACGGGACTGTACACGATCAGCCCGTATACAAGATCCGTATTGTGGGCCAGGAGGATACTGCTCATCATCCTAACACTACTGTCGGCTGCCATACTGTCCGCTCTAGTCCGGACGACAGACTATCGCGGTCAAAAGGCTGATGGTCGTCCTTCGAGAAAGCGAGGGCCACTCCATCTTCATTCCGATTAATAAATATAGCGGTCGAGGTGCATCTTTGGTAGGAATGAGTAAAAGCCGGATGGAGGACCATGCAATCGCGCATCAAGCCGGGACGCCTGCCTCAGATCCCGTCAATTCCGAATTCTCACGAAAGAGCCAATTTGCAATTGATCTGCTGCCAGATTCACGATTGGATCACGCAAGTCGCATTGATGTTTGCAGGTTCTACACAATCGACTGGAGCATCAAAGCCCAGGAGATCGTAGTCGTCGCACCGGGATCAATGCGAAATTGGCAATTGACTCATACGAGACTTCACATTAAAGGATGCTGCAATCATCGTAACATTGAGAAGCAACTTTCACGATTCTTCCGGCGATTGTCAGTTCAACAACGGTTCATGCATCACAAAGTTCCACAGGCGTTATGCGCAAAATATGTGCTTTGGCGAAGTGAATACCTCCCCCATCTTCTGTCAACTTCTCTGGTAACGATGGATATCACATCACACGCCCGCAGTCGAGGACGAGGAGTGGAACACCTTTTGTTGACGCAGATATAGACGTGTCTGACGAGATCTTTGTGGACGTTTTGAATTCGCATTCAGCTAAATATAAACCAATTGCACATCCAAGCAACCTAGGTATCGAACCCTCGTAGGTAAGCGTATGGTATTGTAATCAGACAAGATGGTACATGAGTTGAAGGTACAAAGGCAATGCCATAGCGTGCAATAATTGGTCGTGCAAACATTTGCGGCTGGTTTTGATGTTGAAGGCAACGGCACTAACATCTCCCGTCTTGGAACCAATCTGGTACTAAGCAACTCTGGTGGTCTGTGGCCGTTTTCATTGGAGGCTCCGTCCCTCGAGCACGAAATAATGATCAGACCTAAAAGCCCCAGATTGTTTTCTGCCACCAGCACTGCTGATCGTCAGTTCATGCACTGGTCGTACCAATATGCCAAATGCACTAGTGGAACTACTTTGAATAAGATCTTTGTGCGCACATTCTGTCAGATTATCTTCGGCGGGTCCAGAAAGTTGACGCAATCTACACGAGACAATTGTGCAAGTGAGATCACTAGAGAGTAATGAGTGTTCGAGCCTTGGCCGGCCACCAAGTGATTGCTGGTGCTGGGGGATAAAACCCATTCGGGCCCGAGTTATTGGTGCCCTACGGGACTCTGGATCGTGAACAGTTCCATCAGTCAAACCATGTGAGATCCGCAAAATGCGAGGGTGGAGGATGCAAGCCCCGATGCACATTCCAGAGTCCGAAATCTCGGCGCCGTAGAATTCAACACGAGCTGCTGCTAAGAGTATGCTAGGTGCAAGTGTGACAGGCAGCGTTCACGTTGCCCGGACGAGGTTCTTCGTAATTCATATGCAAAGCTGAGCGATTATTATTGATCCACAACAAGAAGGGAACTATTGGTAGCCGACGGGCGTCCAGCTGAAAAGCATGGACCCTGAACACGAAGAGGCATTGACAAATGATATTTAGTACGATGTCGACATAGAGTTTGCAGGGGCTGGTGGGTTAGGGGTGCTGCGCCCGTGGGACCGCCCCACCCCCCGCGCCGGAGTTCCGGAGTTCCCTGGAGCTTTCCCAAAACGGAGACCCATTCGGTAGAAAGACCCTACCCTACTCACTTTGGATATCAGCTCCACCAGACAGGGGCTCAGCACGTTCCAAAGTCTACGCAGGGGACCTCCGCCTCGCGAAATAGGTTATGGCGCATTGCGCACTTCTGCGGGCGTAAGAAGACGCTGACCAAACCCAGTCTCGTTGACGTCAACACGGCTCGCATCTGATAGACCAAGTGCCCGACCTACTAATGCAACGGAGGCGCTAATATTGATTGGTCGCTTAGGCGTTTCTGCCGGATGTAGAGCTAAGCCATCATGCTTCAATGAATTGGTTGTCCTCCGACCAGCACGTGGCTGAGGAACGGAATGTAGCCCCAACCTCGCTATGAATACCAGTTCGGGGAATGCGCAGCAGGGCAGGGCGGTCATCATTTATGTCTCAACGATTACAGGCCACTTCCTTGACAGACTGGAGGCTGAGGGTATTGGGGAAAGAATAAAGCTAGAAGCCTAGCTTCGAAGTGCTCTTGATCTATTCTCTGCACTGAGCTTTCCTTTCTTCCTCTGGCTGTTCTTTCTCTGCTTGCAATTGAAGCTCTCAATATGACTGAACCAATACCAGGTCCCCGCTCCCTTCCCGTCGTCGGAAATCTGCTCGACATATGGCAAGACCGAGACATTCCTCTCCGAGGATTGGAACGAGTTGCCGAGGCCTATGGGCCAATCTATCAAGCAATGCTCGGCGGCAAAAGGCGCATTGTTTGCAGCTCAGCAGCTTTGCTGGAGGAACTCACTGACGAAAAGCGTTTCTCCAAAGTGCCACCACCCCAGGTCTCCTCTGTACCTGGCCCCAAGGGCCTCTTCACCGCCAAAAATGATGATCCAGACTGGCATCAGGGGCATAGGATTCTGATGCCGGCATTTGCTCCATTCTCCATCCAGTCGATGTTTCCGGACATGAAGGACATTGCAAATCAACTGATTTTGTCGTGGGCTCGGAAAGGAGCCGAGAACAGAATCCTGGCCACCGAGGATTATACCCGTCTCACCCTGGACACGATCGCCCTTTGCACGATGAGCTTCCGCTTCAATTCATTCTATTCAGATGGTCTACATCCGTTCGTGCAGGCATTGATGACTGTATTCTCGGAGAATACCGCTCGAACGACGCGACCAGGCATCGTTACAAAACTGCGATACAAGGCGAATAAGGAATACGAGGATGCGCGGAAGTTGATGCGCAAGATCGGTCAAGATATTGTCACTAACAGGAGAGCGAATCCAAGTGACAAGCCTGATGTGCTGAACACAATGATCTTTGGGAAAGACCCAAAAACAGGCCAGACCATGCGTGATGAGCTAATCACGGAACAAATGCTAACTTTTCTTATTGCTGGTAAGTAACTATGCTATGTCACGCCCTAAAAGTATCTTCTGATGATCAATTAATAGGGCACGAAACCACTTCTGGTCTACTGTCATTCGCAACCGCTCACCTCCTTAAGCATCCTCACACCTATCTAAAGGCACAGAAGGAAGTAGATGAAGTCATTGGAAAGAGGTCTATTGAAGTTGAGGACATTCAGAAGCTGAAATACCTCAATGCCGTTCTCCGAGAAACCGCACGTCTTTCGCCAACAGTCCCCGTCCTGCAAAAGCAGGTCAACCCAGCCATCGCCCATGAGGTTGTCACGGTCGACAATGGACGGTACAGAATCGACCCTAACGATCACATCATCCTTCTAATGTCTAAATGCCAAACTGATGCGAAGGTTTGGGGAGATAATGCTGATGATTTCGAACCTGAGCGCATGTTGGACGAGAACTTTGATAAGGTGCTATCTCAATACCCAGGCGCCTGGAAGGTGAGTTGCCTCCCACTAATACCGTTCTCAGTAATTCTAATTTAATTTCGCGATAGCCTTTCGGGAACGGTAAGAGGGCATGCATAGGCCGTCCATTCGCCTGGCAAGAGGCTATGCTTGTTCTGGCTATGATCTTGCAGAACTTTGATGTCCAACTAGATGATCCAAATTACACGATGAAGATCAAACAGACGCTCACAGTCAAACCCGATGATCTGTATATTCGTGTCACACCCAGAGGCCAGATGGACGCGACAAACATGGACACCTTGCTCCATACGAGTGACGCGGCTTCCAAAGCCAATGGCAAAAACGGTGTGCAATCTCATGCGACAGCAAATGGATCCAGCAAAGCCCCATCTTCGAAATCTAAGCAGTCGAAGCCTATTTCGATATTATTTGGTTCCAACACCGGAACATGTCAAGCCTTTGCTCAACGCATAGCTTCGGATGTGGCATCCCGAGGCTACACGCCAACCATCGCCGACATGGATTCGGCCACCGGCAACCTTCCGAAAGACAACCCAGTGATTGTGATCACTTCATCATATGAGGGACAACCTCCAGATAATGCTGCAAGGTTTATTGAATGGTTGCAAGAGTGCAAGGAGGGCTCCTTGGCCGGCGTTGAGTACACTGTAATTGGTTGTGGCCACCGTATGTTCCCGAGCTTCGTGATGTTGCTGATCAAGATACTGACTGTCTGTGGCGCAGGAGATTGGACGCACACATTCCATCGCATACCGAAATTGACGGATGAGCTCTTGACGAAATGCGGAGCCAAGAGACTGGTGCCAGCTGGGTTCATCGATGCTGCAAAGGGTAACCTTTATGGTGACTTCGATGACTGGGTAGACAACTCGTTCTGGCCTCAAATGTCCTTGGAGCAATCTCAAGACGCCCCGGAACCCACAAGCAACGTCGAGGTTTCGACCAATGCTCGCGCCTCAAGCCTGCGATATGATGTCAAGCCGGCACTGGTCATGTCGAACTATGTGCTTACCAGCAACGGTGAACCTACCAAACGACACATGGAGATCCAACTTCCGTCCGACTCTACCTACGAATGTGGTGATTATCTTGCAATTCTTCCCTTGAACTCGGAGAAGAATGTAAGACGCATCATGAACCACTTTGGTCTCCCGTGGGATTCCGTCGTCACGATCAAATCTGATCTTCCTTCAGTCATTCCAACCAACGTAGGATTGTCGGTCTTCGATGTTCTGCGCAGTTATGTTGAGCTATCGGAGCCAGCTACGAAAAAGAACCTCAAAGTCCTCGCGCTGTACGCCGAAGACTCCAGAGACAAAACCTACCTCCAGGAATTGACTGCTGAGAACGGTTCTTATGAAGTAGAGATAACCGGAAAGCGCACCAGTCTCTTCGACATCCTCTCTCATCATCCGTCGGTACAACTTCCTTTCGGCGACTTTCTCACTATGCTTCCGCCCCTGCATGTCCGGCAGTATTCGATCTCGTCCTCTCCCTTGGAAAAGGCCTCGACCTGCACCATCACTTACGGAGTGATCGACACCGCAGCCATGTCAGACCCTGAGCAAAGATACGAGGGCGTGACAGGCAATTACCTGCAAAGTCTGACAGAAGGAGACACCGTGCAGGTCAGTGTGCGACCATCCGCGAAGAAAACATTCCGCATCCCCGTCGATGCCGAGAAGACGCCTCTGCTGATGTTCGCGGCTGGCACGGGTGTAGCGCCATTCAGAGGTTTCCTCCAACACCGCTCGATCCAATTGAAGGCGAACCCGAACCGCAAACTCGCGCGAGCCATCCTCTTCCTCGGCTGCCGCACCCAGGTCGGGGACAGACTGTATGCGGAGCAAATCGACCAGTGGGTGGAGGAAGGCGTCGTCGAAGTCCGCTACGCATTCAGCAAGGAAAAAGAAGCGTCCCAAGGCTGTGCCTACGTCCCGGACCGCATGCTCCTCGAAGCCCAAGACATCGTTGCCCTCTGGCGCAGTGACGCCCGCGGCTACGTCTGCGGCACCAGGAAATTCGCAGAGGGCATTCGCGGCGCGGCGACCAGGATCGCCATTCAGGCCCGTGAGCGCCTGATTGCAGAAAACGGCAGCGTCTCGGAGGAGGAGAGAGCGAAAATGGAATCTCGCTTCAAGGAGGCCCTGCAGGAGCGCGTTGCAAGTGATGTTTTTGATTAGTTCGGGTTGAGTCTTTGTTTCGGGCGTCTGTTGGATAGCAGTAGTAGCATAGCGCATAGCTTTTGTACACCCAGGTCGGTTGTTCTTTTAATGCAATTTTGCTTAATTTCTACATTCTCACCTCTGACTCCCCACTGCAACTACTTTCGGAGTTTGGGCCGGGCGTACGCTTTCATACTATGTATGCCTCACGCTCGGCCCCCTGCCCTCTGATCTCTCATAGAGACCAATCAGAGATGGACGCGGGATGTGAAACCTGGGAACCCTTGTCTACCTCTTGATTGGTGCTTGGTTGAGATACACGTTGTCGTCCTGGCCCAGGCCACCCCCAATCTCAATACGGGTTGTTGCTGGGGCTGGTTCATTCAGTCTTCAAGAACAGCCATGGATTTCAACCTATGGGCTTAGTTGGGACCACCCGCGCCTGGGAGCTGTTTGTGAATTGTATCCTGTGCATACAACTTGGGGCTGAACTACGTTACTAGAGGTAATAAGGACATCTGGCTTTGGTTTGATGCAATCGAATAAGACCGCGAGAGCGCTGTATGCCTAGGTGCGCGATGTGCTCCCTCGGCTGCCCATCTCGCGCGCAGTCCCGATAGTGTAGACATACAAAGACAACTTGGTCACGTCTAGTGTCTGTCGTTGGGGCGATTGACACCCTCAGATTGGCTTCGTCCTATTGTCCTTGGATTTCCTTCACTCTGACTGGCAATTCTTTACCAAACAGTTTTGCGAGAGATCCCCCCTCGAGCACTGTGCCTCTGTACTAGTGAGGAGATACTAGAGGACAAACACCTCAGGACCTGATCAAAGAGGCGCTGTCATCCAGACGGTTACGTCTTTCACTTCCGAACGTCATATCTTGCCAATCGCGGTCTCTCGCCATACTCGTACAGTTTCACACTCTCTTCCAGACGTATTTGCGAGGCTTGCTCATCCGACCTTTTATAGAGGCTACTCTAGAAAGAAAGTGCCAAAACCAGCAGCCACGATCTCCTGTACGGGCGAACTCGCCATCCACACAGCCCCCACGTACCTATCAAGCGACGCCTCTAAGCTCCCAACAAGCTGGCGACCACAATACCACACCACAATAACAGAATCGGGAAGAGCATCAACAAAATGTGCAGCCAGCATCCAACACGCAAGTACTGCTCGACGTGCGGCAAGCAATTTGCCACCGAATTCGACCGCGTCAAACCTTGTCTGGAGTTCCGGCTCAAGGGCCTCTGCGCAGCGGGCGTTTCATTTAAGACGTCTTGGGCTGACGACTACAAGGATCAGTGTGCCCAGTGTTTGGACGAAGAGCAGAAGGAGGAGGAGGCCAGGAAAGCGACTCAGGCGGGGAATCATAATGGGAAGAAGAAGCAGACGAAGGGAGTGAACGGTAGTGGTGATGATGGAATGGAGACAATCGACGAGGGTGAAGAATGATGGTTGTGAACGTTATGGAATCATGGACGGCTGGAGGGTTGTGTGATGGGGATCGTCGTGGGCCTTCCACGTGGGGAGAAGCATTATCCCAAAGAGAGACAAGTCGGCAGTCGGCAGTAAAGCAACCGTGAATGCATGAACTTGCTGCCAGAAAACGGGCGGCATCATTGCACATATTCAGGGTCTGGGGCCGGGGACAGCAGGCTTGGTTTCAATTTGATGGAGGCAGTCAAACAGGTACTGAGCCTTCTCAGAGAACTTAGTCGTGACCTTGATTTTGGTTCTATTTCTTTTGCATTCGATGTGCATGGCGGTCACGATGCACGTCTTCCTTCCAGTCATGACAAAAGGCACCGAGCAGGGCCGCTTGCTGGATCAAATTGAACGTGAGGCACAACCGGGTGGTTGAGGAAGCTGCGAGAAAACAACGGAACTGGTTCAAAGGCCAGTCACTGAACCCTTCCAACGTGATGAAAGCCAGTATATTTCCCACAAGCATATTTCGTTTGTTGTGCTTCGTCAAGTCCCCATTCATCCAGTATCCACTCCGACAATCAGCCCCTCCCATCTGGTTTCGACCGCATGATTTCATTCGGACATATCATTCTAATGGCACTGAGATCCATATCTTTGACTGCAGGAGGTTCCTCCAAACCTAGCCCGTAGGCAGATTCCTTACAACATGTGCCGATGGGGTCCAGTTAGGAGGATGTGTGATGGTTGCAATCTCCAGATGAATACAAAAGATGCTGGACTCGCCAGATGCCAGTACGCTATGTTTTGGGGGACCCCATGTTCTGAAGTCTTGACGGTGAATGAGGAAATGGAGACCCGCGACGGCAACATATGTTCAAGTTGCGCCACGTTCGCCAGTGAAGCGATGCGGACAGTGGTGGGGGAAATCACATGACGCTACCGCTGGCGGAGCAGCACTTCCAGCAAACAAGTCGGACTTACCAACAGATCCAGGAAGAACGCATGCGACTGGGAAAAGAATTTCGCCGAAAAGAGGGACTGAGAAAGAGACGAGCAAAGCGCTACCTAGAAGCGCACGCACGCATGCAAGAACAGCAAAATGAGGAGCTCCGACAAGAGCACGAACGCAAAGAACACGAACAAAATGGGCGACTCCAACAAGATCAGGACCGCGGACAGGGAAAGGGCGAACCCAGGCAACAAGAGACACAAGCCCACATACAAGAGGAGAAGAAGGAAAACATAGAAGAGCGCTGGCAACAAGGGGAGGAACAGGAACAACGCCGACGAGGTTAGAAACCACTCCTAGCAATCCAGCCGCGCACCTACCGAACAATTTTGCCAAAGCCATCTTGGTGATAGCCAAGAATCGGGCATGCCTTCTCCTTCACGAACTCCCCTCTTGAGTGTTGTGAAAACTCCATTTTTCAAGGTGGTGGCTATGTGCGAGGCTTGGATCCGAGATGCAGTTCTCACAACTGCCGCCTCTCCCCGGAGCTTGCGATATCCAGCGGGAAAAATGGCATCGATAGAAGGCTAGAGGCGCTCGCTGGTTGACTGATGATGCTTGAGCTCCATTTTGATCATCCAGAGAGTTTTCAAAATGAGGAATTGAGTTCTGGCAAGAGCAAAAGAAATTGGCAGGCGGTAGCAGAATAGCTATCTGAAAAGTAGCGAGGGCGGGCTTGGCCATGGTTGTGCCATACACGATAGGTCGTCGCGTGTGGCCCGTCTTCGTCGTCGAGTTTTGTTTTGCGACTCACGTGTTGCCAGAGAGATGAGCACATGCGAACGTAGGCTCGATCTGCCTGAGAATGAGGAGTATCTCCTGCCAAGGGTGGAAAAATGGCCGAACTCATCGAGATGTTCAAAACTTGCTCGCCAAGGCATAGCCAAGCCCGCTATCTCTTGGCATTTGAGCTTGTCCGATTGTCTTGGCAGTCGCGAGCACGTTTCTGATGGAGCGGTCGTCCCAATCACACTCTACGCCCACCTTCCTCCGCTATCCCAGGGACCGACAATCGCCACCTTGATGAGCGGCGTGATGCGCTTACTGCATTGTTCCAGGCGCTACCTAAGTAGACTGTGCCCTGGGCATACTTCCCAAGATTACTACTGCAGCACTACGCCGGTCCCTTCGTGCGCATTGGGGTAAAGGTGCTGGTACCTGGATTGGCGTGCAGTGTCAGTGATGGCTGTTGGCTAGAGGTGTGGATCCGCGTGTGCTGAGGGTGGTTGACGCCTGGGCATACCGAGCGCCTCGCCCCGATAATGGCCGGCCTAGATGAGGACCTCGTTTTGGTGTGTTACCGGAGAATGGACATACAGGGGGGATGCGCCGCTACTACTGCGAGAGGAATGAGGAATGTCGTATAAGATCCTAGCTGCTGCTCGGTAGGGTCGAGATTTAATTTTCTTTCGACTTCATTCCTCGATTCCTACCGGCACGCACCATCCACTCCCCGATAACAAGCTATTTCAAAGTCATTTCTTTTCCCTCCTCACGAGCTCAGCCGCCAGGATGATCCCTCCATCACTTCTCGCTCTACTCGCTCTCCCGCTGTTCGCTTCTGCTCATTTCGAGCTCTCCTTCCCCGCTCCACGAGGCAACGATGACGAGAACCAAGCGACCTTCCCCTGCGGCGGCTACGACCAGACTCAGAATCGGACCCGCGTCTCCATGACGTCTGTAGCTGTCGCCGTCGAGCTAGGCCACACCGAAAACTTGTTTCAAATCGCTCTTGCCATCGGCAATGATGTCGGTGACAGCTTCAACACGATCATCCTCCCAACCATTGAGGAATTCGGACCTGGAGAGTTCTGCCTAGCTGCTATCCCTATCCCAGCTGATCTCAACATCACCGAGGGAACTAATGGCACCATTCAAGTTATCACCAACAGCCACGATGGAAGCGGTCTTTATAACGTAAGTCGCTGGCTCCGTCCTTGCATTTATTATGGCATTTGTAGGGAGAGAGGAAATTGACTCTTGGTGTGTCTCAGTGCGCCGACATTACATTCACATCAACTTCACCCGAAGAGCCATCATCTTGCACGAACGGCACCGGTATCTCCGCATCTCCTCTTGTTGGAAGTGCCTACGTCAATGCCAATGAATCCTCTAGCCATGAAGGTGACCACGCCAGTAGTTCCGCCGCTCCATCTGGTACTGCAGCATCAGCTACAGGCAGTTCGACACCCACCCCCACTGGAAACTATGCCAGCATGCTCTCCGTCGGCTGGGGATTGCTGGGAGCTGCCGTTTTGGGCGGTGTCGCCATGTTGTAAACGGAAGAATTTACGCGTGAAGGGTGGGAGCACGATTAGTGGTTTTTCTTTCCACATCCTGAAGAGACGAGCCATGGTGGCAGAGTCTTTTCAAGGAAGAAATTTTACGAGATTGCATGGTATCCCGATCTTTTCTCAAATGAAACGATTAAAGCAGCATTATTGTCCCAACAGGAGCTTGTGTGGATGTGCCAAGGTGTGGCAACTCTCGTCCTGGGTCCGTTTAGAAGATCTGGGTTTTGGGATGTGAGACCCACGATAAATACAGCGTAGCAGCTAATTAATTAAAAGAATCAACATTCTCACCATGCAAAGTCTCGTCTCTCCTCTTTTTCTCACCATGTTGGATCAAACCATTCTGGTTCAAGGCGGAGCAGTAAACATCACGTGACGTTTCCAGCAACGAACACCCCACATTACCCAATAACAACGTTATATGTCTGAGCCGCTCCGCAAAATGCTTTAAATCCGTAGAAGTAGGATCTAGTTCATTAGAGTAGCTTGAGCCGATTCACCCTTGGCCATGCCAGTGTGACGAGAGGAGAGTGGAACTTGGAACGGGTCCTGCAAGCCTGAGACAGAAAAGGAGAAATTCGACACCCAAGAGAAGGGGCCGAGGTCACATCATAGCCCTGTAGAAGATGGAATATATATAGGTAGACCCTGAATTCAATACATGATGATCGACGATGTACGGTCTCTGCAGTGCGTCGACTTGAAAAGTTACTCCGTTGCGACTCGATGGGGGGAAAAATAGTTTCTCTCAAAAAATACTCGATCCTCAGGTAGGATTTTAGTCATTGCCCGTTTGTAGCATCTTCAATCTATCCCTGATGGTGATCCCGGTTCACATATGTCGTGACATCTGCAGCAATGCTCGGCCTCCTACTCCCGCCAGCGGCTCCAATTTCAACACTGTTGCGCTGACTGCAGTATGCAACGTCCAGGCCTGTCTTAGCCGCGATGGCGCGAGTGATGCTCGGCACCAAACTGGGCCGTCTCTGGTCCATGGTAGTGATGCTGTAGCGGATCGCTAGACCACTGGTGGTGGATTTGTCAAAGGCGTTGACGTTGGTCTTTGAGAATTGTCTCGCGGGCACCTCCTTGGCGAAAAGAATGTCCAGCTGTTCGAAGGTGCGGTTCCTCGTCTCAGGGAGGCGGAAGTACGCCCAGATGAATGTCAGAAGGGCGGTCGTTCCCCACACAAATCCAGTGTATCCGCGGAGGTTCCATGCCTTGGGGTTCATGAAGTATGGTTGGAGAACACCCGAGATCACGCTCACGATATAATATGCGTTACGGGCAAGGCAGATTGTCTTTTGTCTCAGGCGTGTAGATCCCACCTCTGCTGGGAGTGCCCATCCGAGCTGGCCGGCGCTGAGTTGGAATAGGAAAGTCCCTGGGAGATGGAGTTAGTATATGGATACGCAAGGGGTGATCCGGTGGGGGACTGACAAACTAGAGTTAGGACTGCTTGGGACATGGCAACAGGCTGCTGATTGGTCCAGACATTGAGCACACCGATCAGATAAAGAGTCATGGCCATAGCAAACATGCCAATCACGTAGATGGTGCGGCGTCCGAAATATGGCATCAAGCAGAACCAGTTCACCAGGGTTCCGAAAAGTGCCAGCCCTGTGCCACCAAGGTTCAGCGAATAAGTGGTTTCCGTGGCAAGACCGACTTGTTCGAAGAAGTACGAGGCATTGTAAGCGAAGGAGGAACCGGATAAAACTTGGCCCGCGAAGCATATGCATGCAATTTCTGTGCGTCGACGCTCGAACCCAGAGAAGCAATCAAAGTAGCTGGTGCCAACAGAGAGTTCTTCTTCAAGATTGTTCGTGTAGACGATGGATGCGAGGGTCTCCTTCACGTCGATGTTTGCCGATGCGCGCTGAAGACGGCGGAGAGACTTCTCAGCCTCCTCGAGTCGGTGTTGGCGGACAAGATGCCAAGGTGACTCAGGAGCGAATGACAGCAAAGGGATCAAGAAGGCTGGCCACACCCATTGAATGGCGAATGGAATGCGGAAACCCCACTGATCGTCCCGCTCTAAGCAAGCTCTCAGGACGCCAGCTGCGATGAGTTGCCCTATTCGTGAGTTAGCAGACGTCCGAGTCAGCAATGAGTCGGAAAGAGCACATACCGATAATGAAGCACATGTTTGTCCAACTTGTGAAATATACTCGTAAAGCCAGTGGAAGACATTCTGATGCGTATGAAGGTGCAATCGTGGCCAATGCTCCCCATGGAAACCCACAGAGAATCTGACCCACGATGAGAATTTTGATGTTTGATGCGAAGAACGTGAGGAAGATGGTGCAGGAAAGAAGGATTAAGGATCCAAGAATAACCCGCTTTTGGCCAAAGAGAGCTACGAGATAACCACAGAGAAGAGTTCCGAAAAAGGCCCCAACTCCAGATGCGTTGCCGAGCCCAGCCATCCATGCAGGAGTGAGTTGATATCCTGATCTCGTCTGATCTGTAACTCCAACAAATTCGCCGTCTAGACACGGATCAGTCTTTTAACTTTCTGAGAGAGTCGGGATAGTTACATTGGCGTTGAAAAGACGGGAAGGCAAAGAAGTTGCCAATCAAGATTGTGTCATAGCCCTCCATGATGACACACATGCTGACGGCAAGGCGCCAGAAGATGGCCATAGGGTAGGCTCTGATAGCTTGGCCAGGAGTAAGGGCGTGTTCGACATGGGCTCGGTCCGCGGCAGCCTGGCTCAGCTGCCGACTCTGCCACTTCTCATCACGCCATTCTCGTTCAAAGTGTCGATTACTCTCTGCATTAGAGAGATCCCGCTCTTCGACACTCGGCTTTTGGGTGGACATGTTTGTGCCAGATGAAAGTGGGAGGAGTGGAGATGCTGGGTGCTCGTCCAGCCTTCTACGTGATGGAGTGCTAGGAGTTGAGTCGTTGTCTGAATTTTGTTGTACGTAGGGGCTGAAGTGATCTCTTATAGATTTCAGAGATCATACCATCCATGATAGAGAGGCTGTCTTCATCGAACGAAGATAATGTATGTGGAGCTCGCCTACGGACGGCTATTGCCTCAAAGCACGCATGATTGGACGCAAAATATGGATTCTTCGGCCTTGAAAACAGCCCTGAAACCTCGCATATGCAAGGGAAAGCCGCTGGAAGGACGCTAGAAGGCCAGAAAAACTACTGGCTTGAGACTCTCACATGAGACAGAAAAGAACGGCGGCCCTAAGCGATGGTGTAGATGATTCGCACCCGCGGGAGCAATGACCGCAAAGCTGCGCAGAGGAGATGATTATTCTGGCCTATTCGCAAAAGAAAAGTAAAATCGGCGGAGTAACAGGAAAACACCCAAGACTCTGACAGGTCTAATGATAGACGAAGATTGTTGGGTGGACGTTAACTTGCGTGCGGGGCCAAGATCACGTGCCCTGGGGATCTGATGCGGGTTGATGGCGGGGTAATGAGGAGTCAATCTGGGAAAGGCGGGATTGAGTTGACTTGATTGGACCGAAGCGGAAAACACCGAGCGAGAAAAGGGGCGAGGCCGGCGGGATTCAAAACCGCCTTCTAAGACGCCTCCAGCAAAGCCGCCACCCACCAAAGCCACGGTCTCCCAAGATCTTTAGCTATATCACCTTCAATAGCCGTCCGATTGGCACATCAATGGGCACTAAATACACTCCAAGCCATCCATTTCGGGCTCGGGAACATTGCCATTGCGTAGTTTTCCTTGTTTTCCCCTCGTCCCTCCCAAAGAGCACACCTGTGGAGTCCACAGATTCTAGCGATGTACCACTGCATATGCCAGCTTCTTGAGTGGTACATTGGAATTGGGTCTTAGTCGGCCCACCGAAAGAACTTGTTCCGGCTCATTGATGGTTGATCTACACTGCTCAATGGAAGCTGCTTCCGCTATTTCAATCTCTAGCCCGCCATCGTAGAACTGGGCATTGCATGTTCTGTAAGGTTTCATTTTGGCTCAGTGTATTCATCCTCGTAAGATGCTGTCTCTGTTGGCTGGTGCCCTGTTCACCACTCAGACCCTCGCTGTCAACAATGGCCTCGCTAGGACTCCTCAGATGGGTTGGAACAACTGGAACTCTCTAGGCTGCAATGTCTCCCAATCTCTACTCCTTGATACTTCAAAAGTACTATTGGACAGTGGTCTGAAGGATGTGGGATATCAGTACGTGGTGCTTGACGACTGCTGGTCGGACGGTCGAGACCATGATGGTTACCTTCGCTCTGATAGCAGGAAATTCCCAGATGGCATGAAATGGATCGCCAAGCAGCTGCATGATATGGGCTTCCTATATGGCATGTATTCGAGCGCAGGTGAGATGACTTGTGCAAGATATGCAGGTTCTCTAGACCATGAGGAGAAGGATGCTGAGATATGGGCTTCTTGGGACGTTGACTACCTCAAGTACGACAATTGCTACCATATGGGTCGCTTTGGATATCCCGAAGTATCCTTCAACCGTTATAACAAGATGGCCAAGGCTTTGAACAGCACTGGCCGACCCATCCTCTACAGTCTTTGCAATTGGGGCGAGGACTACGTCCACACTTGGGGTATGTCTATCTCAAATTCCTGGAGAATGTCTGGTGACATTTACGACCACTTCAACCGACCGGACACACTGTGTGCTTGTGACGATCCGAGAGACCCTTACTGCATCGCCCCTGGATCACACTGCTCTGTCATGAACATCTTGAATAAAGTTGCAGTCTATGCTGATCGAGGCCAACCTGGGGGTTGGAATGACCTTGATATGTTAGAGGTAGGGCTAGGTGGGATGACGGATGACGAGTACAAGGTGGGAGCTTCTTCTGCATCTGATTCAGGGTATTTACTAATTCTTTTGTATAGGCACACTTCTCCATGTGGGCTGCTGTGAAGTCCCCATTGCTCATCGGAGCCGACCTTCGCAAGCTGAATCCCAAAGCATTGACGATTTTGAACAATCCTGCCGTTATTGCCGTGAACCAAGATCCGATCGGTCGATCCGCATTTCGAATATTCCGCGATGAGAATGTCAAGAAAGATAGATACGGACAGGGAGAGATTCAGATTTGGAGTGGTTCTCTCTGGCCTCACGACCAGCTGGTCATATTCCTCAACGCTGCGGATGAGGATTTGGAAATGAAAACCAGTCTCAATGACATCTTTGTGCATGAAGGTACAGAAGGCTCGGCCCCGCAGACCAAACTGGAGTTCGACATCTATGACTTGTGGGCAGACCGGATGGACGACTTCACCGCCGAACAGATTCTGGATGGAAAACATCAATACAAGAAGAATTGGTACAACTCCACTGAAACCCCCTACAAGATTGGCCTCCAACAGGGAGATGCAAGACTGTTAGGAAAGCGCGTAGGCAGTATCGGGCCTCAGCATGATGCTCTGAGGGCCAAGGTGCCTCGACATGGAGTCCGCATGTTCAGATTGCGCAACTTGAACGAGTCTGCGACCAGGTACTCCGTGATCAAGGACGAGCTATGAGTCGCAGGGGGCCCGTATCGACTTGTGGGAATTCTAGATAATAGCGGGATATACATTTGAGGGCCAACAGGAACGGAGATGCCATGATCACAGATGAGACTGCATCTTCTGGCGCATTGATTTAAACCACGCAGCATCGAGCGCGAGCCACTTGGATGTTAGAATAGGCTGGTACCTAAACAGCCTTCGAGGTGGCATACACCCTTTAGGATCCAGTATTACCACCTTGTGCCTCCTAGGCTAACCGACTCACGCGTGCAGCCGGTAGAGGTTCCTCCATCCTGGACAACACAAAGCAGTAAATTATAATTACCAATATCAATCCTCCGAGGATTGTACTAGCGCTGGACCAGGCGTCGTCGACCCCGCATCTAGAAGATGCCCTAGACTGAGAGGAGGAATTGGCACGGTGGTCTAGAATCGCAAGTCGACTTCCCGTGGATCCTCGGAGGTGGTTGGTGGGTCACATGCAATGACGACCTAGAGCTTACCGAACATCGCTCTGCTCTGGTTAGCAAACCTCCGCTTCTTGTAAATCTCATATCGGCCAAGCTAAACCAGCTGAAAACCCACTGAATGCCAGAATGCGTCCTCCTACGGCCTGTGTGGCATGCCGGTATGTCGGGAGGTCGTTTCCTTAGCTCTCCTAAAAAATGCTTATTGGTTCCTAGCAATCGGCGCCGGAAATGTGAGCCTACAACACCAGGGGCACCATGTGTCTACTGCAAGAATCGCGATGTGAAATGTTCCTTCGCCGGGCCCGCTCATGACGATGGGATTTGGGCCCAGAACTCATCACGGTCGCCTACGAAGGCTGAGTATGAGTTGACTCGGTGCCAAAGTATCACCACACAGCTGCCGTCAAGGCCACTATGTATCGAATTGGTTGAGTTTTACTTTCGCTACATACACGATACTTTCCATTCTCTGTTTCACCAGCCCAGTATCATGCAAGATGTGGTCGATGGCACCATTCCAAAAGTGCTTCTCTTTGCCATGATTAGCCTGTCCGCCAGATTTAGCGAGGATCCTTTCTTTGCAGGAATTGACCCCCGGATCCGAGGCAGACCGTATGCTCAAGAGGCGGAGCACCTCCTGAACCTGCGTGAAGTCTCTCTGCAGACGGTCCAAGCTTGCGTCCTTATCGGAGCATATGCAATCACCGAAGGCGATGCAGCAGTTGAAGCCGTCTTCTACAGCATCGCCTGTCGCAATGCCCTCCTGTTGGATCTCCCCAACCTGGTCGCCGCATCTAGGGTGGACCAAGAGGTTAACAGAAGGGCATGGTGGACTCTATGCATGATTGATGTCTGGTCATCAAATGGAATCCGCCTTCCACGAGCCTTGGCACCCAGGAATGACGTGCCGTACCCGATGGAGGAGACGATCTTCCTGCAGCTTCGCCGGGAAGACTTTGACCTCCCCAGTCCCAATTCCATGCAAGAGTCCTCGGCTTCGCTGTTGACGCAAATGGTCAAGCTCAACGCTATCCTCGTCGAGATCAGCACTCTCAATCAGCAGGCGGCCACCACTCAAGCGTTCGATTTCAACCACCAAGAGGCCGTTGAACAGCTCACATTAAAGCTGGAGTCGTGGTATCAGAACCTCCCAGTCCAGCTTCAAGACACTCATGCCAACCTCGCCCGCTACGCTGCGCTCGGACTGGGGCCTATGTTCGTGGCGGTCTACCTCGGATACTACCACTACGGGCAACTCCTCTACTACCCATACCTCCACGAAGACTCGTACGACAACACTTTATACGCAAGATACTACGCTGACAAGTGCAAGGCACACTCGATCGGCCTCTGTGAAATCACCTACCGCGCATATTCCACACCCGGCTGTGAAGTATACTACACCATGGTGGGCCACGTCCTGGTCATCTCATCGACGGTGCAGCTGCACATCCTGCTCTTCGGCACGGACGAGATCCAGATCCGGGCCGCGCGCTCCCGCCTCGAGAAGAACTTCGAGATCTTGAGCCGCTTGCAGACCTTCTGGCTCACCCTGGATGCCTCCTTCACCCGATTCCGCGAGTTTCACAAGGCGTGCCAGAAATCAAAGGAGAATTCATTTCGCATGGATCGTTGGATGCTGCAGTTCCTGTTCGAGTTCGCAAAGCCCGTCGAGGAGAAGGACCCAGATGATCTCGCGGAGTTGAAGCCTTGGTCTATGCAGGACCTCGGGTTCAGTCCGTATCAGGCCTCTTCTCTGAGGTCGTCGTGAACGTCTGGCCCAAACAGTGATGCTTCTGAGGTCGACTGTCCGATCCGAAACACCGCCGAGAGCTCAATAAGCACGGTAGTTAAGCCCATGCGCCGGCTAATAGGCTTGTCCGCTATTAGACGCATGTTTGTGAGTCGGATATCTCGTGGCTTGTGCGGCAATCCTCAACAACCCACACTATGCTAAGCCATCTGAGACTGAATAGCCACTCCTAACCCCACCAGATGCTGCCGAGATTCATCCTTCCACATGACCAAAGTGTCAGTGCAATACTTTCCAGTTGATAGCCCAACCGCGCGGACTTTCGGGGTTTCAGTATCAGAAACACCCCATGTGCAAGACCTGTGAACACCGACAGACACCAGCTCGCCTCTTCATGCCTTGGTTCGTCACCAGCAAGGCCCAGCACTTCCTACATGACAGGAAATGCGAGATTGGGAGTATTGTTGAGATATAGGATTACTTCGTGTGTATGCCGTGTTGGCCAGTCAGTGTATTCATTGGCAAGCGAAAATTAATGGTAGCCGGGGAAGTTTATCGTTCCGCCCCTTACGAGTTCTAATGGAGTAGATACGTACCTGGGTAGCTCTGCGTAAGGGACAGCCGCTATCGCCTGGCCTAACAGCTATTGGGGGAATTTTGTGCATGAGTGAATGATTCCATGCAGTCCTGAAAAGGAACATGGAGATGTCAATTCAAGAAATGTCTCAAAAATAGCGCCACTCTTTGAAAAGTTCATTGCTACAATACTATCTATACATACGAACACATAAATATGGCACGAGAACAAGTCGTCTTTTTGCAGTATGAGGTGACCCAACATTCCTTGCCTGTGAGAAGAGTGAGGCTTTGCTCGAGTGGTGTGGGTTTTTGGCCGTTTTGACTGACTCAATCGGAGCTGATTGTGTCATTGAAGTTGGTCACGATCTGACTTCCTTGTTCTGGCGATGGGCGAAGGTTCAAGGCAGATTTGACCAAGACGAATCACGCAGGCGGCAAAGGCGGCAACTGGTGACTACTGCGTAGGTTGCAGGAGCAGCTGGTCCATGATGGCTCCTATCTTCCGCAAATGTACTGAGTGTTGACACTCGAGATCGCCATATTCGTTTCCGAGGTGACAGTGTCACTGTTTAGGATATCATGGCTTCGGCCTCAGATTTGGCCTTGACCTTGGGTTTGGATTTAGCTTTATGTTTGGGTTTGCCCTCTCCAGATTTTGGCGTGAGCTTGGAGCGAGATATAGGATGTGTCGAAGTACTGGTACTGCCACTTTGCTTATGCAGGCCATTCGATACAATTCCCCGGCTCGTATCTGATCTTGAAGACTTGCCTCCACCTGGGCGATCAGGACGCTTGGTTTTGCTAGTTTTCTCCGGCCTTGCTGGTGGTTTGTTCTTCAACTTCGATTCCGAGTGCTTTGGATCGGCGGCATGCGGCTGAGGTCCTGGTTGTTTGGACCTTGCTGAGGCAAGTACGATAGCGTCATCATGTACAACAGACTCTACTGGCTTGGCCTGTTGGAGTTCCCGATCTTGAAGTGAGAGTCCTTTAGAAGGAGGGGGAGCATCTTCCCAGTTGTTTTGAGACCTTATGTAAGATTCAATCTGGGTGAGTATAATCGGTTTCTTTGGATCCTTCCCTAGATGTTCTGCTAGTGCCATTGCGCCGTTCACAAGAGTAGTGAGATCTAGTTTCTTTAGGCTTGGAGTTGAGAACAATGGTCGGTCAGAAAGTCGGAGTTCTTGCCTCGTCACATTAGAACCACTGAATGTTATGTTGTCGAGGCTGAGAGTAGCTGTTTCAGACCCACCGGGGGTGATTGGGACTGGTACGCTATGGGAATCCGCTTCGACAGTTTCCATACTGTGTAGGTAGTATCCGACCTTTGATAGAGCTTTGTCGTATGTCGTGTTGCCTGCTTCAGAAATCTCTGCTCTCCCCCAGGGAGCTAAACGCCTTCTCTCTGCGAAGGACCGCATCGTGAAAGCAACAGGAAGATTTAGAGGGGATTCAAAGATCCATCTGGTGCCATCTACCAGCTGGGCACTTTTAAAGTACTCACTGAAAGCCTCCAAAGTCGACGCATGAGCAACGAGTTTGTTTTTGTTCGGGTACACAAGGTCATGCTTGATTTGCTGAGTAAACTTCACATCGTTTTGGCCTTCTGGAAACAACGCATAGAAAGATCTTTGTGCGTGAATGGCAGAAATTCTTAGCACTGTCAGTTCAGCTCTTTCCGCTGTGTGGGCTGCAAGAGCCGAACTTGCATATACTTCAAAAGAAGGCCAGTTATTGGATTCCTCAATATTTGCACAAGCAAACACCAGACGGTGTATGCTTTGGCCACGGTCTGTCACAATGTCCCGCTGTGTGTGCAGCGGAAGCTCTTTCCATGAATCGAGATTGATAAGTTGTTGTAGCGTAAAAGGAAGGTCGCCCGCAAATGTTGGGCCTGCCATCGATTTGAGTTGGTCGGCCACCCTCTTGTGTTCTCCTTTTCCTTCAACGCTTGGTGAGGTGTTTGATGGCTGAGCGAGGACACCGCCCAATCCATAATTGTCAAGACTCTGCGAATCTGCCGGGAGTTCTTGGAACACATGGGTAGCGACGGATGGATTTTGATAGATCTCTTCATCGAGCTCAGTAGCATCACATGCGGTGTCATCGTCCAGTGCTTCGAAATCGTCCATCTCAACGTCATCCAGGACAGACGAATCGAACGAAGAGTCTTCGACATATACTGACAGCTCAGTAGACTGACTATCGGTATTAGCCAGTGGCCTTTTTACAGCTCTCTCTGCTGCCAGTGGTATAGGCTTGCTTTGGAAAAGTGCTTGGCCAATTATCGCAGTCACCTCAGATCGGACGTTACTTCGGGTGGTTGGGGCAGACAGGAACTTGCTGGGTTCAAAGAAGGCTGAAAGCTTCTGTACTATAGTGGCAGCCTCGGATATGGAGTGGGGCCTCATGGATGAAGGATCGGACATTGATGTTTCGATATTTGTGGTCATCAACCTACTCCAAGGCGTCTGCGAAATCCCGAGGGGAAATTCGGGTGGAGTAGGGTATCTTTCGAGTGCCATTTGACTGGATTTTCGAGGCTGGCAGATATGTACCCGGCGGATTTCCTTCTTTGACTCACCGGCAATTCTGATCTCATCGGCAGCTTGTTTGGCGGCATGGGGCATATTGTGATGCACGATTTTGATAGTCGTTTTCCCTATTGCGATGTGCAGATGATATTTCTCTTGTACCCGTCTCAGAAACGCCTTCACAGCACCACGCATTGAGGGATCTGCATAAATTGATTGCTTTTTTGACATGAAATTAACAACAATTGATTGGAGGTTATCTTTGTTTTTGTGAAAGTTGTTAATGGCCTTCTTAGCTGATTTGGCAGCATGAGGAGTGCCCGAGACCTCAAACCGTCGCTCGCGACGAAAGGCGTTTATCGTGACATTTTTCTCCTTTGCAATAGTGCTCAATGGTTGTCTTGGGTCGGTTAACAAATACTCAAACGTTGCCTCGTCCGGGATGTAGTTATAACTTTTGTTTTCATTTATGGCATTACTCGGTATGACCAGCCCCCAGACCTCAGTGAAGATCTTCGAGATGAGTATTGACCTGCTCTTCATGCTTCTCTTCATGCTTCTCTCGGACTTCACTTTGAAGGGGTGATTGTCAGGGAGTCGGGCAAGGAGATAATGTTGTAGTTGGGCTTGAGTAAAAGCTCGTAGCATTTGATGATGCATAGAATTATACTCCTCCAGTGTGATCTCTGGCGCGATGTCATCCCTAGATTCTAGAAATTTGTCGTAGACTTGTCCAATTGCCCTGTGCAGACTGGCCGGATCTACGTGGGATTGCTCCGAGTCCAGGGATTCTTGCAAAGTAGCAACAGAGTCTTCTTGCCCTCCTGCCTCTGTGGCCAAGGTTGGGATTTTGCGGTCATGGGCTGGCAGGATTAAGACCTCTGCAGGTTTGCCTAAAGAATTGACGCCCAGCTCAGCCGACTTCGAGGTGGGCGGGCGCCATCGAGTAAAACTTTTGAATTTTGGCGGCGTCTGTGTTAGAGCTGGTGTCGATGGGGCATTTAGATGTTCTTCCTCCTCCTCCTCGAGCCTGGCGACTGCGCTGGATTGCCATCGTCGTGACGTTGATGGCACATTGAGTTGGGATGACTTGGCTGGGATGATATTGGCAAGACGCCTCTGGCATCTCAAGCAGACATGCGCCGAGGTGGTTACTCGAGCAAACATAAAGTGAATGTCCTCAACTCTGGTGGCATGGGCAGCTAATGAACCGAGATATTCTTACTCCATTGATTAATTTGTTCAAGAAGGCGACACAAGTCGCAGGCGTCGGCGGAAAGTTCACCCGGCCCCGAGATCAAGCAACGAAACCGAAGATGTTAAATATCACGTGGAGGGCTATGCCGCTTTCAGATAAGCACTCTATGGCAAAACAAGCCCTACCGTCGAATTTAAGCCTCGGGTCGGTGCAGATCGCCAAGAGGATGCTTACTTTAAACCAGATCCTCTCACGCCAGTTTCCTTACTTCCTAAATGACCCAGCGCTTGTTCTGAAGTGCAATTGTTTGTTCGAGACACAGGCTTACGCCCGAAACGATATTCCATTCATGAGTTGTTTACTGAGAGATGTCTTCTGACGACGAGTCCTCCGCAAAGCTCAAGGCAATGTAGCGGTGGAAGAGTCCCGGCAATGGTACTGTGATCATTTAGGAGCACGTGATGCAAGGATAGAAGTGACTGTGATCATCAGTGGAATCGCTTCCACTTATAACCACCTCTATGATCTGGTCGGTATATTCTCACAGTCCATCAAACAAAAAGATATCCTATACCTACACCTGGCGCCTTAGCGTTAGCGTGCATTCATCTCCGTTGGCGTTGCGTTAAACAGATAGGCTAAGATTAAACGTCAGTTCAATAGATATGTATGTGCATGCCCCCGAGGGATTTGAACGCTCTCAAAATTGGTACCAGGTATTTGACTGCATTATAGCTCGTGCATAGATATGTTGCTTGCCTCAACCACTATGGACGAGGCAAACCCTGCCAGGTGAGGGTGCCTGGAGCACCTACTTCAACCGAGTCAGCGCCTGTCACGACACAAGTCACTCAGTTCCGAGAAAGAGCAATACTAGAACCAATTCTGACACTACCCGATGTTCCAGACGCCGATGACAGGCCCATCGACAAGCCATCCGAAGGGGTTGCCGTGGCTGCAGATATTGTGTTCGTTCATGAGCTCATAGGCAGGCCATGGAAGACTTGGCTCTACGGCAAGATCCTAAAGAAGTAAGTTCCACGAAATGGCCATACAAGGAAGATATTCAAGAACTCAGCGCCAAGCTCGATCTCGACGACAATTGGGAGACAGAAGACGGGAGGCACAATCATGCCGTGGAGGGAGAAGATGAGGCTGGGCCGTCTCAATCCAGTTCAGGCGATGCGGCATTTTGCCATTAGCCCTTCCATCTCGTGCCCAAGGATCCAGGGCTGTTCGATTCTTGAATTATGGATACAATTCAAATCCGACCCATTGGGTACATGACCCAAACGACCTAGATGACAATCATCCAACATGCACAGCAGCTTCGAAACAGGGTTAATAGAGAGAGAATACACTACCGCGGAATCCCCCTCATATTTGGGGCTGATGGGCTGGGTGCGGTATTGGTCAAAGACGCCATTGCCAGTCGCTTGGGATGAAGCACTAGCCGGAATAGATGGAAATTGCGAACTCGTGCCGGCACATTTTCTTCTTCGGAACTCCTCATCTGGGAGCCAATCTTGTGACATGGGGCACTATGGTCAGAAACGTTTGTAGGAGTATTGCCCGGTGGTTTTAGCACGTACCGAGAGATCTTGCGTGCCTTTGCCCTGATAGTGACACCTTGGACAGAAAAGGTTTAGGTTCGATCCACTACTCAATGAGCCGATGCCAGTATAAGAGACGATCCATGTCTGCAGCTTTCAATAGGGCTCAACCTGTGGTAGCATAAAAGGGATCGGATCCAAGGTACAGCCACTTCCTCACCTCCACCGTCCATTTTCAGCTGCCACTTTGACTATTGCGACCAGGTCTCTCCAGATTCCTCTTCATTGTTTAATCGCACAGATATCGAACGAAGATTCATTGCCCAACAAGGATATCACGTGACGATGTGCGAATCTCCACTGACTGCGGAAGATTCTCATAAGGATTTCAAATATGTTCTCATGGTCTATCGAGATTCTGTTGAAAACCAGCACAGGGCACAGAGGATAGCCGCACAAACAGGTCTGTATTGAATGTGGAGTCTTTCAGTGGCTCCATTTTCGTAGTCACTTTGGCCGCTGCAGCTGATCAGCCAAACAGCGATGGTCGAAGAGTTGAACTTCGGCGACGATATTTCCGAGCAGCAACAATAATTCGGAAGGATTGTCACCGTGGGCCCTTCATCCGAATCGATGTGGTGCTCGCAGTTTACCACCTGGGACCAATCCGCCGCCAAGGTATCCTGGATCACAGGCCATCCTGCGAGCGGCAATCAAACCTGATCAAGTATTTGACCGAGGGAGAACGGATCAAACCAACGGCGATGAAAACATCAGGACAAAAAAACTTTTCTCTTTTCTTCTTCTCTGATTATCGAGCAAACCATGGTATACACAGCACCTTTTCAAGGTTTACGACGACCGTTGCTTTATCAATTACTCTCCCGCTCGGATGATCTTGCGTCTCAAGTCAGAACTCACTTCGGCCTTAGCAAGGCAGATAATCCCGAATGGCTCGGTGACGATAACACGCTGGTTTCCAACCTCGCATTCCTTTTTAAGAAGATAAACCTCCCAGTATTATTGTTCTTAGACGGCCTAGACGAGTACCGACGCGAGAAAGTTGAGTTACTTTATCCAGTGGATGAGATTGTTTCCCTAGTTGTTCGCATCTGTTTGGCTAGCAGAAACAAGGTACCATTTGTCTGAAATTACAAGAATTGCCGTCTCTCCACATGGATAAAGTCAATCGAGAAGGCATGGTAAACTTCGCTGCCACCTTTCTAGTTGAAAAAACAAAAACCTCTCCTTCAAAGGGACAGGAGAAGGAACTCGTGGTTCCACGGCCAGGAATGTGAGGATGAAATCCTCGGGCGGGTTCCTGTGAGCCTTCTTTGCAGTCTTTGTCATCGTTGAGGGCAAGGGCCAAGGACTCAACCAGTATGATTTGAAAGCTAAACCCGAGTCGGTCCCACCAGACCTTAAAGGAATCTATGCTAGGAAAATCGGGTCCAAGTAGAGCACAGATCGGAGAGCGGCATCGTCTGTCTAGTCACATTATCTAAACATGACATCTTGGTATCAGAGTAGTTGAAGGCAAGTTACCGCGCAGGGAGACTTTCAAGTCCCATCTAGCGCCACGGTTGGCAAGGCTGGCTGAGACATTCTGCGAGGGTACACTCTTGCGTTTGCTATCTGTGTATTGGAGTTTATTCCACTCGCCATAGACAAAGAGCATCTGGATGACGACAACAGACGGAAGTCACAGATCTGTGCTGTATCCGCCCACACAGGTCAGCATGTGTCTACTCCATCAACTTTGCTGCGTCTTATAGATACTAGTGGTCACACCTATCTGAATTGATTTTACAATGATCTCATGACTTGGTCTTTGATAGGACATCAAGATCGATTCCAAAGGGCATGATTTCGAATCAGGGGCAAATGTTGACTTGTCTTGGCAGTAACACCAAGCCAGCTGCTGCACAACTTCAAGTGCTTATGTGATTCCAACTTCTGGCCTCTTGTGGGTCCTGAAGTCGGTGAGCCAACTCCAGGGCACTGGCATGCTTTTTCATATCGAGACATCCTGCACCCCTGGTCGGCCTTCGAGCTCACTCAGCCTTGCAGAGAGAAGCCTACATCACCGGATTTACGACCCAGTTCAATGAGTCGTTTACGCATGCCCTCCGCCCGCTCACGTTCAGATTCTGGCACCTTGGAGAAGTCACACTGATCGATCCAGTCTCGAAGACCATGCTGGAGGACATTTCTCGCACGCAGGCTCCCTCCCTTGACATGCCCAACACTCCCATGTAGCGTCATCCGCTCCTTCTGGCTGTCATAGGCTCCACGGTGAAGGATATTGTTGTTGTAGAAGACAATGTCTCCAGGGTGCATTTGCACGTGCAGCTCGCCGTCAAGGCCTTTCTCGAAAGGATCTGCGTTACATTCTGCCTCCGTGCGAGCGCGCTTATGAGAGCCTGGGACAACGATCAAGCTGGCATCGTCATACAGCGAGAGATTCCACTGCGTATGCCACGCTGGTTTGTTAAGCCGTTCGAGCTCTTCATCTGCCGTCGCCTTGTCAGAGATGTCATCCCGATGCCAGCGGAGCTCGAAATCGTGGTCTGGCCGGACCAGCAGATTGAAAAGTTCCATGACCAATTCGTCGTCCGCACAGCCGAGGAGCTCCTTGGTTGGATTGATCAACGTGTCAGAGAAGTAAGTGGCAGTAAACAGATTATGATCAAGCATAGATGGATGCATCAGACCCTGTACACCCCAAATACCAGCCTCGGCCGGGTTCTTCCCTCCGTCAACATTCCAAGGAGGGAATTGCTTTGGCAATGTCCTGACATTCGGCCATTTCCCTGCTCTTGCGAGTGCCGTTACCTGTTGACAAGAAGCTCGCAATTTTTCAACCTCATCAGGCTTCAATGCCGTTCGGATGACCACGAAACCATCACGCTCCAAGGCTTCGACATTCGGGGACTTGGCCATCTCCTACTCGGTATTTTCTGTTCGGTGTCTTTTTTCCTTCACGCGACAAATTGTTGTTGATAGCTTTTGTCGTCAATTATCTGCAATGATCAAGCAACTGCAATGAGCTTTTTATCTCGATATCTTTCACCTCATGAAACCTTACCCCGGAAGATCAGATTATTTCGACGACAATTACAGTGATACCAGGCTCGGACACCACGGTGGGAGTGAAGTCATGTGACCCAACTCAATATGCTTTGAGGTCGGAGGCCGATGTAACGTAACGTCGCATCTGAGCCTAGTCGTATCCAACATTCTGGGACGAGGTGACAGACGAAGAGTTTCAAGCACGCTCACAATTCGCGGACAGAGGATCGACTTCCGCCAGAGATTCCACGATAATCCAAATCCCTGATTGCAAAACTACAATTTGACCAATGCGTTCGATTCGTGGAAAGCAAAGATATTTGATAGCAGATGAGGATATTGCGAGCTACCCGCCCAGTTTCGCTTTCAGCGAACGTACTTGGTAGAGCGGCATCCAGGCCCGCACTTTATCCCTCAAAGTTGGTGCCAACTGAACCGACCCTAAGGAGCGCTATACTATGTCGAACACACGATCACGTAAGAGATAGATTGTAGACCTCCTAAGTGATTTCCCGATGGGGATAACAGGGCGAAATGTGAGGGTAGGAGAAGGTATTGCGATGATAGAGACCCAGAGGTGGTCGAGGTAGGGGTCCCAAGACATGTAACAGCTCCTCTGTTCCCACATTATGAAAGGTAGCTCAAATAATGAAAAGAGAGTACTGGTCAGAAGATCGGAGGTCCCAATGTCTGGAGGGTTGGCGCCTGATAGCTTCTAACTAATATGCCGACTAAGCATTTACAACTAAATGATTGCTAATAAAGGGCGTTGAATACAAGTTGTGTAGTCAACCCTCCGGGCAAATACCAGCCCCACAGCAGACCCCACGACAGCGCTTTACCGAAGCAGGGGATTGTTTAGAGTGCCTAGCCTGATTTCCCACCGCTTGATTCCCGTCTGGGCTGACGAGCAAAATTCAGATCATCATATGACGGTAAGTATGTACGGTTGGAGCCAACTTTGGAGACGCATTGAACCAAAGGACAACAATTTCATTTTCTTTTCCCATTGAAACTGCATTTCGAAAGAGAGGGGAACGGCGAAAACGAGCCGTGTATTCACAACAGTCTATGCCATATGTATCAAATATCTAGATTCGTGCATCGCCCTCTATCTGCTATTCATTCTTCCCCAGTAGCCACTTTAACCACGATAATAAGGCTCCTTCCACTCCTCGTAGTAATGGGACATCTCCGTGCCGGAGTTGTGGTACTGGCACTTGACATAGAACGGCTCCTTGTCGACGCTGCAGTCGAGGATCGTCTTATAGCAGCCGAGATTCTTGGCCACAGAGTCCAGCGCAGCGAGCATCCTTTGCCCAAAGTGCTTGCCTTGCTGCTCTTTCGCTATAGACACTTCTTCAATGTGGCCGCACAAGCCGCGGTTGTGGATGCTGTTTGATACTGTCAGTAGAGCTTATGGACATGACATTTAGAGTCAGGGTCCTCCGTGCGAAACTAGCTCGCGAAAACGACCAGATGATCGCGGTCCCAGGAGAGTGTACAGAGAAACACTCCAAGCGTGTTCCAGAGATGTAGACAGAGCGCATACTCTACAAACGTAGAACGGAAAGGAAGAAAGCACAAAAGGGGAAACTCACAACTTCTTCTCCACAATCAAACTCCCCGTGCCGACAATCTTGCCCTCGAACTCAATCACCAGCAGGTAATAGGTACCCTTGCCCTGGGTGTTCATCTCATCGTAACGCTCATAGAACTCCTGCTCCGTGAGGTCGCCGACCCATGTCAGGACCCGCAAGCAGTCTAGAAACCCTTTTGCAAAGTCCGTGCGCTCCAGAGATCGCACCGTGTACCCCGGTGGAAAGGAGGTCTTCACTTCGTCGGAGACTAGGCTGTTGGAGAAGAGGCCTTCTCCTGCTGCTTGGTTCGCCATGCTTGGTGGGAAGAAATATAACCAGATGTCTAGTGAGCAGTGAATATATACAACAGTCGTAGCCCAAGAGTAGAGTTTGTCGCCTTAGAAAAAGAAAAGCAATCCGTGAAAGATCCCCACTGTGTTTGGATGGATGTATTGTATAAGTTTCTGGAAGGATTCTGAAGGAAGATGGTTGCGTGGGCCCAGGACACATGTGGAAACCGGAATGACGTCGTTGGGTAGGTGGTGCACCGTATTCTGGAGGCAACATCACGCCCGAGGCCCCTCATCCCTAATCTACTTAATTGATAGGGATGGTCACGAGGTGTCGAAGGGGATGTTATTGAGCTTCTAAGTACAAACCTGTTCGCGATCAATGTCCCCTAGTGACTCTCGAATACTATTTTATAAAACGCGGAACCACGAATTTCACGTCATGACCTTCTGTCCGAATGTGAAATTCGGGTTTCAACTTGAACACTAGTTGGAACCAGTCATGCTCATGCCGCAAAGCTGAAGTACTCCTGTAAAGCTGAATGTATGGAATTCCAACTCATGAAAAAAAATACCCAGTTCCCGCATATCTTGACAGATGACTTTGATGTCGACTAGCCTGGCAGTATATACAATTTCCGTCCGCGTTAAGTATCCCGTGTATCCCTGACCGAGTCATTCATATCGACCACATACGCCTTGAATTCTTTGGTTGGGACTTCGCGCTCAAACATGATATCCAGCTCCTCGAAGGTACGACCTTTCGTCTCGGGGATGCGGAGATAGGCCCAGATGAGACAGATAAAGGAGATTCCGCCGAAGAAGAAGCCCAGTTTCCCTCGCATATCTGCTTGATCTGGGTTGATCATGTAAGGGATGGCCACTGTCATCACGACTCCTACTGTTGCTTGAACGGCAGTTGCGAAGGCGATGGTTCGACTGCGCACACGTGTCGCCGACACTTCGCAGAAGATGACGTATGCCACTGGACCGATGGAAATGTCGAAGAAGAAGTTCCATAATATCTGTTTAAAAGTGGTCAGTCCTGTCAGATCACAGATAAAATAGACGCTTTTTTTCTACTCGCGAAGAATAAAAGGCCAGAGACTCATCCTCCTGTTGCCCGCTGAAGTCAAGAATATCGGATTTTTGCCACTTCAAGCAGAAAGCTCCCTCGGAGGTTTCTCAGAAAGCTTACCATTAAAGATGACTGAGCCCAGATAATAGAAGGTCGGTTGATGTAATTCGGTGCACAGTCCAAGATTCCAACAATGATCATTATTACAGCCAGGATGAAAAGGCCGGTATTATAGATCCGTCGCCGTCCGAATCGTATGAGGAGGAACCATGAGGACACAGTACCAACCCATCCAAGGGCGAGATAGCCAATTCCCATGTTGAAAGCCTTATCACCGTCAAGACCTGCAACTGTGATATGGTCAGTGGCCTGAACAAGGCAAGGGTGAAGCATGGGTGATTAGACCTACGCTGGAAGAAGTAAGTCGCATATCCCACCATATAAATACCGCTCAGGACTTGGATGGAGTAGACTCCACAAGCGATTTCGGTCCTTCGACGATTGATCCTTTTGAAACAGTCCCAGTACGTGCTCCCGGCCTCCATTGACTGCTCTAGACGGTCCGTCTCGATAACCATGGCCAGCGTCGACTTCACATCAACTTTCGAAGATGAGAGCTTGCGCAAGGACTTTTCTGCTCCTTCGTAATCACCCTGTCGCGCCAGCCACCAGGGTGATTCTGGGGCAAAAGGCATTCCAACGAAGATGAAGAGTGGCCAAAGCCATTGAATGGCAAATGGGGTTGAATATGCCCAGTGACTGTCGATCCTCTGAGTGCCAGCCGCCACGCCGTTGGCGAGCAGTTGGCCAGTGACGAAACACAGATTTACGAAAGCAGTCAGGATACCTCTCATGGCGACTGGGCACACCTCAGACGCGTACGCTGGAGCGATAACCACGTAACAGCCGAGGACTAGACCGCCGAGCAGTTCTCCCGCCAACAGAACTGACAGAGATCTTGCAAAAAATTGTATGAAAATGAGACCGGTTGTGACGAAGACGCATGCCATGAACGTCTTCTTTCGCCCAAACCAGTCCATCGGATACCTGTTGAAGGATAAAGTGAGCGAAAATCCTCTTTCGCCCTTGCTCAGTTAACTCAACATACCCAGCAAACAAAGCACCAACGACTTGTCCAATAGGGCTTCCCATCATGAGGCCTGTCTGCCATGGAGCCGAGATAATGTAACCATCTTCGAATTTATAACCAAAGTCCTTCTGGAAGGCACCAACGGCGAACAGATTCCCCACGATTTGGGGATCAAAGGCGGCCATCAAAATGCCCAGTGAGAAGTACACAGACCAGCCTGCCGCAGTGGGATACAAGCGGACCGCCTGGAGAAAACCAAGTGCCTTCTCATGCTGTGTGGCGACTTGTGCCTTTTCGTGGAGTTCTTTGCTGTCCTTGCTGTTTGTCGTGCTCTCCTCGAGAGATGTTTCAGGGTGCTTCTCGCTGGAGAGATCTCCTTCTGCTGTCATGATGGAAGGCAGCGACTGTCTCGAGATGGAGGCGGAGGAAAAGGAAAGATTTTCGTTGAATGCAAATTGAAGGAGAAGGCTGCACAGTGGGAAGGAACGACATGGGATATAGTAGCAGGAGCGGAGGTTTATTGACGATCTTCTCAGATAAGAAATCCCAGTATGGCCAAAGTGGATCGAAGAGATAATGCAGGGGTCTGTTGTCGATACATTCGCTTTACCAAGATCGAGGTACAAGTCAGACTTTTGCCCTCCACGCTACTCTCCGTAGTTGATATCAAGGAGGGGAAGGGGCTAGTCATGCGCTCAAACCCCCTCGCAAGAGGATGCATATCTGTTGGTATCGACACGCCTGCATTGACTGGGGCAGAAACGCTGCCAGGTTTGATAAACCACGTCCTACGTAGCTCGAGTCAGTCTCAGACATCAGCCTTACACCAATATTCACTGGACCCGAGAAGTTAGTTGGGGAGCGGCAGATGTAGGAGCGTTGATCGTTACCTTACCAGTCGGGCAAATGTATGCAACGATTGCTTTTTGTGTTTGGATTTGGGAAGCTTCCTAGGTGGGAACAATGCCTGAGTACCCGCCAATTCTAATCACCCATCCGCTGCGAAACAAGAACCCCATCATCCCTCATTGTTAAATGTCATTTCAACAATGATTTCTCGCTGAGAAGCACACAGCTAAGCGAGAAAGACAATCCAGTGACAGTCAGATCATAGCCATAGAAAACAATCGTAGCATCATTTTACCGAAATGCAACGTGTGATTCCGTTGGATGGCCCGCCTAACCATCCAGTATAGATTAGGTATGCCGATGTGACTCTGAGGCGGGGCACCAGCAATGATTCCGGCAAATTTTCGAACTCATACTGTTCCAAGCCAGCCGGATATCGACCATTGGACTCGCTAAAGACAAATGATTGACGCTAGCACTGATGATAGCTTGTCAACTAACCTACCAGGTTCTTGTCGAGGCTTGTCCATTTCGAATAGATCGCGCAGAGTAAAAAAAAACTAGCTCCAAATGCGAGGGAGGGCTTTTGGCATAAGCTCAAAGGGAGCACGAGTCTGAAACCGTGCGATAATACAACTTTTCTCGATGCACGATGTAAGGTAGAGTCCTAGCAACGGTTGCCATTCTTGATCACCCAGTCTGTTTTTCCTTCAAATCGTAGTCAAGGTATCTTCATATGCAGATAGGGGGCAAACCAGATTCCAACATGATGTCCAAAAGTGCTCTAAAGATATGCACCAACGCCAGAATTCAACACGAAGCCCGAGGGGTATGGTACTCGCGCTTTTACGCTTTTACGTGACATGAACTGCTGGAGATATAGCGCCTTGTGCTCTGTTGACTTTGAAGGGCCAGGCCGTTGGATCGCCAGATCATCATTGTCTCAGCCTTGCGCAACGGCTAAGTTCAGTCCGCCCCATTTTAAGCTCGACAAGAGTACTGCTTGAAGTAGTATGTTTGTTTTTTGCGAACTGAGTGTGGACTAAACCAGTGAGAACGGGACAGATAAGAGATCTTTATGTGGGAATTTCTTGAATTGTTGGTATATTTCTGAGCAGACTGCATATATAAATATACCTGTCATTCATCATATTGCTCAAACCAGAAGATCCGAGCATGCGAAAATGTGGCACGTCAAAGCGTGCAAAGTCTGCTTTTGATCGACGCAGTCGTATTCTTTAGGTTTTGGTGGTATCATAAGAATTAGCGTCCAGTACCTGGTGTGATGCCACCTAGGATTTCTCGCTGCTCTTATCGTCTGCCTTGTTGTTCTTCTTGCGGCTCAGTATGCTCGAGCTCCTATTTCGACCATCGGAAGCCAGCGTTACGGCTCTGAAACGATTGGTGCCGCTTGCTGGATTATCGGCCAACAAGCCACTGCCTTCCAGTTTCCCCAGGCGAGCCGTAAGGGCTGTATTCTCTTTTTGAAGCTCACCGATCTGTTGCTGGAAGAGATCATTCTCCTTTTGCACGAGGGTTAACTGGGCACGCGCTTCGTCGCGCTCTCGCGTAAGCCGACCCTTTTCGTCTTTGTCCTCCTGCTTGCGTTTCTTCTCAGCCAGTTTCTTTGCTTCTTTTGATTTCTTTGCCTCAAGTCTAGCGAGCTCCTTTTTATATTTCTCTTCTTGCTTCTTGATCTCACGCTCATGCTTTTCTTCGGCCTTTTTCAAGGCCTGTTGCTCCTTCTCCGTATCCTTGTTGGCTTGACTGGAAATCTTCTCTCGTTGTTGAGAGAACTTCGCATCCATTGCTGCTTTTTGCTCGGCGAGTTTTGTCATCTCTTTATTGTGTTGAGATAAAATTTGGCTTTCTTGAGGCGATTTAGAAGACACCGATGGGGATTCGTCAGATGTGATGTGAGAGTCGGCTGAGGCAAAGGACGTATTCGAGATAGTTGACGAGGTGTCGTCGTCGTCGTCCTTGACTTGCCCCTGTGAGGGTATTGACAAGTCCGATACTGCAGGATCCCTATTAATCTGCCTGGGGACACTTTGAGGACTTCCTTTTGGCGTTGAATCATGCAAGTAAGGTAAACGATCGCGGACGCCTTGCGGTGTGTACGAGTTGATGGTATGTGACACAGCTGCAATGAATCCCGACTGAGAAGAAGGGGAGGAAGGTATGCTAGCGTTGTTTTCCTCCATCTCGTCGGCAGAGACACTCGGGAAGGGTTCTACCCCATGCCCGCTTGCCTTCGGAGTAGACGGAGCGGATCGATCTTCTACAGCTGAAGATAGGCTGTCCACTTGCTCGCGAATGCCAGCCAGCGTGCCATTTGCTTCCCAACTCGCAAAACTCTCGCGTCGATTTCCATCAGGCCTTGACTGGTGCCTCTCTAACGTATCCTCATCGTCCTCATGCTGACAAGCCCAGTCTAAAAATTTTAGAGCATCAGCGCAAATGCTGCTAGGCGTGCCTCTTTCAACCATAAAGCGGGGCACGCTGCCACCAGGATCGCTCCGCGTAACCATAATCCACTCAACAGGATTATCCTCCGGATCATAGTGATCAGCCATATCGCCGCCGAAGAGAGGGGTAGCTGGAACTCCAACTGTCGCACTGCGCTTTCTGCTCGATGGAGACAAATCTCTCAGACTGGAACGAGAAGTATCGACCGACAAGTGCTTGTTGTCCCGGTGATCATCAGTGGCAAATTTATCGAATGAGACTTCATGCTTCGCAGCGTTATGCATCAACACCTCCTTCTCGAGTGAAGGTGACACAGGCCGATTGTGACCGAGTCTACTTAGATCGGTAGAAGAAGTGGTGGTTTTTAATTTTCTCGGGATTTCGCGGATGAATTCAACTGATTCGTACTGTCCACGGATAAAGCCAGACCGGGGTTGAGTTTCTGGATGATCACAAGGTTTAGATATGATCATGTAGTGGCGAGGCACTAGGTCGGGAGTTTTATGGGCATCTCCGTGAGGTTTCATGGCCTTTGTCGAGGTGGCGAGGAGGGTAACAAAATCTCTAGGAGTAGTTGGGCCTGGAAACTGAGCACTCAATCGATATACCTCGACCTTTCCTCGGTTGGGGACTGTGATTTCTTCGACCTTTGTCTCAGCTCCAATGCCTCTGATATTGCCCTCTCCTGGTGCCCCTTGAACGGCCAGAGAGGTGGGAAATTCCCTTTCAAAGCCTCTCTTGAATCGCGAGAAGCCTAGGCCTTCGTGGACGCTCCTACGAGCAAACCATGCACCCTTCCCGTCTTTGCCTCCTAGCTTATAAACAGCAATGTTCATTGGATTCTCTTTGGCAGACAGCTTAATCGGCTTCCCCCACTCTTTCTGTAGCGCAGCATCTTCAGGCGAGGGAGGAGGGCTTCGTGCATTGGATATAGACATCTCGGCGGCGCTGTTGGCCTGAGATCTGCTGCCGTGTTCAAGGTTACTGTAGAGGGAGGAATCTGGGTCAGGAATGGGTATGGACTCGACTATGGACTGGACATGAGTGAATATGTCTGCTAAGAAGGGGTCGAGTTCCACTTTATCCTGTGGTACATCTGAGAAACTGATAGGTGCGAGGTACTTGAGATGAGAGTGGAGGGCGGCCATGCTGCAGCCAGGCCACTACGGGCGAAGAAGGTGCTTCAAGGCTCAGATTGTGGAAATGTTGAGGCTGTATATTGTGGATTACATCAAGTGGTCGACATCATGGGATCCGGGAGCAGTAGAGCGGTTACAATAAAGCTGTCGGAGGCTGCGGGACACGCCCGATGTGTCTTCGGATAGACGAGGGCCTTCATGAGCTGGAGCTGACGGGATCGATAGGTACAAGAGACTTGTAGAAAGTAAATCGGGGGTGATGTACTCAGCTCTTACCACACGGGAGGAGATGGCAAGCTAACCAAGCCGAGACCAGAATAAAGCTGCAGTGGTGATGAGTGAGCATAGTACATCATGCCTCAATGGAAGAGCAGTGGAAGGAGAAGCGGCAGGAATGGGTCCGTCATAGCGGGCGAGACCGAGTGCCGGATCGGAGTGGGAAAGGGATATTGCGTCACAAACTTGGAGCTTGATTGAGATAACGTGACTATCAGGCCCGCAGACTAACTATAAGTGGAATCCGGAAATAGATTATCTTCCGTTCCGACACCCTGAGCACGGGGCCACGATTGTGCAGTGGCGTCCTCGATGAGAATGCAACTGGATATCACGAGGACAGCAGGAAGCGGAAGATCTGGCCTTCACTCGAGAATGTGACCATACAGAATGGGAGTGATTCAATATTGAAAAATATGGTGCACTTTTGTTTGGAGATTATCTTTAATGTATCGAAGCAGTTGCTCCTTGATTCCAGCATCCGATACCATTTCCATCCAGTGGATCTGGTCTCTTCGGCTCCAGAGTCGAAGATATAGGAGATGACCCTATAGGCCTCGGGCCACCATAGTCCCCAATTCGATCTTCGCCAAGATGTTTCCACTCCAGAGTCACAGACGGTGGAGGGTCCTATTCACACCACAGGCGTGAGATAGGCAGAACAGCTTGGGTTCTCCTGAATGCTGACTAGGTGTCCTGTGACCAGGCAGCACTCATCACATACCTGATGTGATGGGGTGCCACCCTGCCGTTGTTCAGATGTGCCTTGTCACCAACCAGTGAATGACAAGTGCACAAAAAAACTGGTGGTTGACCCAGGCATGACGAGGTCTCGCCTCATCCAAACCCAACGCAGCACATCACGGCAACGCAAAGAAATCCCGGCATGCATCCCAAACCTGCAATCCTGCCGCGAGGCTAATCCTTCTTGCAAAGATGCGGGACTGTATCCAACCCAGGGATATTGTGTATCACTACCCAGCTGACCAGCCGCTGTTGTATGCCTGTAGCATCAATGAAAAACATATGAAATATTTCCAAATCGAATCGCTTCGCTGAAAATCAACCAGTGTTCCGTATTATCCTTATCCCAAAACCAATGTCAATGCAGAGTGGTATCCTTGTGTCGCTAAAGTTCAATCAAATAACTCCCTTTTCAATGCTGATGATATAGGTACCGCACAGACTGCTGCAGTCTTTATAATTTCTGATTTGGCCGTGTCCAAAAAAATATTATGTGGCCGCTCGGGAAGGTGCAAAATGCAAGTCGACAAGTCGAGCACTGGGGCATTACATAGCCGTGGCATAAGGCATTGTATATTCCTGGTATCGATCCCAACCGAATGTGCTGACAGATGTACTGCATGGCTGTTGGGCAAGCATGCTCGGGAGAGGAAGGGAAGGATATGAAGATGTTGTCACAGGTGCGCTGTATACCGGTGAGCTGTAGGCCGGGGAACTGTAGGCCGGGGAGGTGTAGGTCGGGGCGTTGTAAGCTGGTGCACTGTAATATTGAGGAGCACTGTAGGCTGCCGAGGAGAAAGGCTGGCTGAAGGAGGGAGTGGGTGATGGCAATTGAACCTCGTTCATACCCACACTCGTCCAGATGTTCTGGTGAGAGTCACAGGACGAGACCGGGCTAGGGCTTGAGGGGATGATTTTCCATGCATCCACGGGTGCGGGTTGAATGGCTTGGAGATGTTGCGATGGCCACCAGTGCTCAGCACCAGTCGAGCTCGGTAGAAGAGGGGTGGGGCGGATGACATCGACAACCCTGGGAGGTGGAGGGAGAAGAGGGACGTAGAGACCCATGATGGCCTGGCGAACTTCATCACTTCGACCAGATAGGAGTTCTCCTGCCCCATCCTCCTCCATACCTTCCAGTGCCAGAGCACCGGTCCGGTAGACGAATTTATTGGCGGCCTGCACAAACTCCTCCTGTAACTTCTTCAGCTGTTGTTCCTTCTCGGACCAAGTCCAGGTCTTGGCGGCAGTATCGACGGAGAAGACTTCTTTATGATATTCGACCAGCGAATCAATAGTGTCTGTTGTCAGCTTGAAAGCGACCTCATTCTGGGAGACCATGTCGATATGGACGACATAAGCTTCGACATGGACCAATTGGTAGTTGAACAAAGCCTCGACCAGCGGGTTGGAATCCTTCCGTAGCTCAGTCTCGGGGGCCTTGGGCAACATCAACGAACACAAAGACCAAATGGCGTTGGTAGATGAGAGGGTCTCTGTAAGACATCGTGTATGTTGAGGCACACTGTTGAGAGGTCGTTTGATTTTGTTGATCCTCTTGAGGGTGGCGGTTAGCCAGGGCTCGACCTTGTTGTTCAGAACGACATTGCAAGTCGACCGCGGCGCAAAGGCCGCAGCAGATGCGGGTAGTAATATCGTCGGCATTACGAGTTATCGGATTTGCGACTTTTAGATTCTATCGAAAGTGTCTTTGGTTGACGGCGAGGGACAAAACTTGGGCGGGGGACAGATGGAACACAAGGATAGGCAGAAGCAAAGGGTATATAAATGAGAGGTCGAAGTGTTTGGCGGTCCCAACGAGGGAAGTAGTTTGCGCGCCTGTGTAGAGAGGGAAGGATCGGAAATGAGGTGTTGGGATAGAGGGAGAGGGAAGATGAGGGTGGTAAGGCGGGGATGACCAAAAGGGCAAGAGACAGAAGGAGGAGAGAGCCGTACCTTATATCAGACGGAAGGGAGAAGTAGTCATGAGCACGAGTGATAGGTTCACGTGTATGGAGCTAAAGTTGGGACCTGGATGGCCCAGGCGCAGCAGAAGACATGTCGTTGGATAGGATGGGTGAGGGTGGATTACCTGAACGGATGGGCGAGTGGATTCTGGGTCTGGCATGGGAATGGGAATGAGAATGAATGGGAGGAGAGGGAATCAAGAAAGTGGGCATGGGAATGGGAGGGCCGTGGCTACGAGCACGCATTGTGGGTGCAAGCAGTACTACGATGGACGGGTATACGAGGGCGAGAGGTAGAGAGGTACAGAGTGGAGAGGTAGACAGTCGAGGAGCGAGACAGAACAAGCACAAGCGGCGAAATGCGAGGAACAGAGAGAGTCAGCAAAAGAGGCGGAGGCGAAAGGGCAGAAAGGCGAGGCCGAGGGAACCAGGGCAGGGAAGGCAAGCGCGAAAAGACCAGGGGGGCCGAGCAGGAAGGCACCACCAGGCTACGGGACGACATGCATCAAAGGCACTCCAGCCGTCATCATGCGCAGTCACGAGTTTTGTCTCTTGGGTGGGAGACTCCACCAGGCCGCAAGCCAAGCCCACCCATCGCAGTCTGCCCGCACTCAACACCACAGCACAACTGCAACGAAACCTGCGACCTGCGACCTGCAGTGCCACTACTGCACGTCCTACAAAGTCTACGAATCTTTCTTCAGGTCAAAAGTCCACTTCCTTCCTGCGTCCCAGCCTCTCACTGGTGGCATGTCCTGTCGTGTCTTGCCCTTCGCATTTCCGTCCCAGCTCAGCCTATTTTCCTCTCATCTTGACCTGCTCCGTCCGCCTCTGACCTGACCTCCTACAGCTGGACCAGGTCCGTGAAAACAATCGTCCGCACTCAGGCTACCCGGCTCCTTGCTTTAGCTGCATATGCACGATCAGCAAGTCTCCATCTCCCTTGCCTCCCGTACCTCGTTGCTCACTGTCTATCCGCTGCTGAGTGGTGGCCTCTTTGCAAAAGTTCATCATTCTTGAAATCACATCGACATCATTAAGCGTAAATGCAATCTATCGAAAGATCACCAATAATCAAAACCTCGTCATCACCGAAATTGATGCCCTAGACCAATATCCACCACCGCCTCGTCTTGCCCGCTGGAACTCGGCCCTCTTGGTGGCGTCTTTGATCATCGCATCCGTCCGCCGTGAAACCTGCCCGAACTGCCCATGTCTGCCCGTTAACACGGCTGGCCCCGAGGGCAATCGTAGCCTGGACTGGTTTCCCGTTCCAGAAAAAAATTAATTGTCCGATTTGGATAATTACACGGGCACTCGCACAATCCCCGTCCCTGGCCCTCTTTGTAAATGCATGGGACAGTAGCCGGGGTGCTCCGGATCATCACCAAGGCGTACTCAATCTTAGGTATCACTCGAATCAATCTACGCAGAACAAACTATCATGTGCGATCTACGAGCCCTGTAGATTGACTGAAACCGCGACATCACGTAGGAGACTCTGCCATCGTCAGAGGTGGGCGTGGGAATCCTCTCGATTGATATTCCTGTTGGCACGATCACCCAACGAGCGCAAACATTTGAATCCTCTCGCGTGCGCATCAAGTGGTCGGCGTCTCAAAAGTTAGTAAGACCAACCAGTCTTACTCTTGCGATTTGCAGTTCCAACTGAACGGTACGACTCCCTTGTTTCAGAAGTCGTGGAAAGGTTCTCATCCCAAGGGTCTCGGTCCCCCCAACAGGCGAAGATGCACGAAAAAGGTACAGGGCGAAAAAAGTTATTTCGCTCGAAATGGCCTGTTGGATGACTGGTCGATGGCAAATGCAGCGGGGCCAGTCGTTGGGTTCTGTTTCTAGTTGTTGAAATTCCGCCCGAGTTAGCTTGTAGGACCCAGCTGATGTGATGTTGTTCGGAAGGCACTTCTGCAAATAGATTGGACGGAGACGGTGGACGCTAGCATGCCGCATCTTCGCCAGATCCCTGCTGCGTGCAATCATTGGTCACAACCACCGTCAGTGGTACGGGCCTCCCAGCGTCATGTGATGTGGACTTGTGTGGGCCACGTTTTGGCCTCCAGGAATACCTGGAGAAGCTAGATACAAGTGTCGCAGTAGCCGCCGACGAATTCCTGTATTCCTTTGACTCGAGTCTGGTGCATGTCTCAGACACCTAGCCCAAACCAGAGAGGAGCGTGACAATGACAGGTGACGCATACTGGCATACCCAAGAAGACAAATAGGAGGTCATGACCTCCTACGAGCCCGGAGTGAGCGATGAAGTCAGCAGGCAAAGGTCATGCAAAGGGTCGATTTCGTGGCTGTGCAACTGCAGAACTGTGTCGACCATGCTGGTCGAGTGGCTGACTCGCCTGAAGGTGGGTGGGGCTTGTCGAGCTGGAGGAGGAAAATCGCTACCTCGTAACAAGTTTAGTCGCACTGGGCCTTACCAGCCACAATGGCATCCGCTTCTCCGGTCATAACCGACGCTAAGATTACCATCACGTGGCCCACATTCAATTCTCTGGCACTGGCACCTTGTGATCGACACGTTCTTGGTCCGACTCCAAGGGACTCCGTAGACATTGTGGTACTTCTGTACCTTGTACTCAGCATCGCTGTCTCCGAAAACGATCCTCACAGGGGTCACCCTTGCTCACATGACAATCGGCATCAGCATCATCATCAGTTCCAGGGATATGCAACGACATAGCTCTTCTCCCCACATTGTTTGTCCTCTCCGCAAGTGCACCGAGGTGCTTGGGAGATCTCCAAATAAAGGTACATCAGTGCCTGAATCCGCTTTTATCGATTAGAAATCGGCAGTGTATCGATAAGGCTTTGGGGTCTTTTCCTTGGAAATTTACGCAGTACAAGAAAACCATCAAGTGTCCGTTACAAGGTACAGTCTTAATCATAATTTACCACCTGCACAATCGAAAGATCTGTCCAAGAATAAAATTCTGGCATGGTGCATGGATCACTGCGCCATCTGTCGTGCTACAGTCTCATTTCGTCTGTTCAAAAATTGTTTTGTTGAGATCCGGGCGTTTGAAGAGTCGCTGCCTCTTCAAAATGAATTGAGCCTGAGAGCTTTCTGCAACCGAAAGAGCACACGAAACTACGGTTCAGAGCCCATCATAGGCCTAGTCAATCCTATCAGGACATACCGGCCTGCCCAAATGTTTTTCCAATAGAATACGATCTTCATCACCATGACGGAGCACACGTTAGATACAATCCTTCGAGCAGAAGATAATGATCCCAACCCTCGCCCCCAAGAGGGTGCCCTATAGTATAACTTTGACCCACCCACTATCTCCTCAGCCGTTATGGCGTTGCTCAATTCCTCCGGTTATGTACAGAGCATGCAAACTCGGAAAGAAAATAAGCGATCAGCAGGAAGCTTCAGATCATGAACCCCGATCCCAGGGCCAGCCCTACACGCTGTCATTGTTCCAGAGCACTGGGAGAATCGGTGAAAAGGAGTCATGTTATCCCGGCGCCCAGATGGCGTTTATTTTTGGACAAAGCTTGTTTTTATAGTGAGGATGACGATTGGCCGTAGTGCCAATTAACCTCCACCTTCCTCACACCCGGGATCCGTTAATGCGGTTTGCCCTCCAGGCGCCCAGATAAGCTAATTATGACTGGCATCGGTGCTTAGGAAACCGGCCCCCGATCCCAACTGTCTGACTATTTTTTCAACGTCGCCGTAAAAAATATCAGTACCACGCTTAGATGCCCATTACTTTCCTATAGAAACTTCAATTCGATTGACACTCGGTGTCAAAAGCACATTCGCACTGTTCTTAGCTGCCTATTCGTCTGCTCGGCATCTATTGTGCGACTCATTCCTCTGTCTCCAAGCTCAGTTCCAGGGTCAGCTACAAGCAGCTCATCAGCTAGACAGCTTAACATAACATCAACATCACCACTTCTAGCAAAAACCAGCAAAACTGAGAATTCCATATCACCCTATTCACAACATGTCTGCATATCTCCGTCCCACGGTCAAGGTGGCAAGTGCTACAGTCCTAGGAGCGGGCCTAGCTTACACTGGCTATCGGTATTGGAATACCACTCACTTTTTCTTCAGCACCGCTCATGCAGAATCACCCGCATCTGATCCAACAGCGGCCTCGAGGAAGATGGAGTGGAAGGGGTTCACAGAGCTCAAGCTGCTTCAGTCTGAGATGATCAACCACAATGTCAAGAGGTTGACCTTTGCTCTTCCGGACGATCAGACGGTGACTGGTATCTCGCCAATCAGTAAGTTGGATGCTGTTCTTAGAATGTTGCAGCTCCAGATATCTAATCTGGTACCTAGCTTCTCTTTTGACAAGGCACACTCCAGAAGGTGCTTTTATTCCCGTCTTCCGACCCTATACTCCTGTGAGTGATAGTGGTGAGTCAAAATCCCACCGTACATTCCTTTTGTTCTGACTAACATCCGGAAGACTTGCCGGGCACCGTGACTTTCATGGTGAAAAAGTACCCGAATGGCAAGGGCTCAGGCAAGATGCACTCATTGAAGCCTGGAGACTCGATGAAGTTCAAGCCTCTGCATGAGTTCGACTACAAGCCAAACCAATTCTCCAACATGACATTCATCGCTGGGGGCTCAGGCATCACACCTATCTACCAACTTACAAGGTCAATCCTCAACAACCGCGATGATAAAACCAAGATTGCATTGGTTTACGCCAACAACACCGAAGAAGATATTTTACTTCGGAAAGAGTTCGATGAGCTCGCACAGAAGTACCCAGATCGCTTCCAGAGACTCTACACTGTCAGCAAACTCAGCCCCAGCACCGACGGCCAAGTGGAGCAAGGATACGTGTCCAAAGAAATGCTGGCCAAAGTTATGCCGCACAAATTAAAGGTGTCAAACACTAAAGTGCTTGTCTCTGGCCCTCCGCCGATGGTTGAGGCCATCGCTGGAGCAAAGGGTGGCTTCGGCTGGACCCAAGGCAGCATTGGTGGCATCCTAGGTGAGCTCGGATACACCAAAGAAGATGTCCACAAGTTCTAGATAGCGGAGCAGAAGGGCTGAGATGAGGTTTCATTCGATGTGAATATTATTAGAATCGGCAGAACACATTTTGAGGCGTTTCACTAGCGAACTAGATAGATGAGCGGACATGGCGGAACCACCGCTCCTGGACAAGAGTTTGTACATGTAGATATCAAAAAGACAATAGAGGAGTGGTATTGGCTGACTAATGAAAGACTGCGACGATGTGATGGACACCCAATGCGTGAGGGGTCTTTGAGATGAAGACTCGAAAATAGAGTACGAGTAGCGAACCTCGTACTCGGCAGTGGGAGTTACATTCCTCGGCCGACCCCATCCGTTCTGGACGTCACCCACCAAACGCATCGCGATCTTATCCACAACTTTCTTGCTAGTAACTTCTTCCAACCCTACCTGGAACAAGAGTCCACGCAATCCCGGTCGGTCAGTCGTTTAGACTTGCGCGTGGGAGGGGTCGTGGATGGCAAAGACTGAACGCGAGCACATGCCGCCTCTTCTTTGTTCCCGCACGGTGACACTGTGCTGACAGTGATTTGTCCCTTCGCAACCATGCAGGCGTTTGGTAAGTCTTCTTCTTTTGCTGTTACTCTCCAGAGCTTTGTTCTGCTTCACACTGTCGGCGGAGCCCTTTGCTGTGCAGAATGCCTACGTCCATTCGATTGCAAGTCCTGAATGTCAAGTTATACTATGCTGCGCAAGCAGGCGCTGACCAATCTTGCTTTTACAGTCCCTAAAAACCGCAAGGTATCCCTATCTCTTTTCGAGCGCTGTTACGGCGATGGCGGTGTGTGCTAACGCAGATATCGTCACTCACAGCCCAAATTCGATTTAACCCTGCGCATTATCGATCTGACCAATATCCCTCTGATCTCCGGTACTGCCACCGTTCGATGGCATCTCTCCAGCTCAAATGCGGCTGAGCACCGCGGCCGCACGGACAAGGCCTACATACTCGAGCACAAGGCAACATGGGACTACCTAAAGGAAATTCCGGTGCGGCTCACCATTGATAAGACCCAGATGCTACAGGAATGCGACATCCACTTCGAGATCTTGCAGGAGTACAACGAGGGCGGAAGAGGAGGCAGAGTACACTTGGGGAACGTAAAGCTGAATCTAGCCGAGTATGCCCATTTACCAGAGGCCATGACCGAGCGTGATCCACAGGATGAGAGCGACGACGGCGGCATCACTAGACGCTACCTCTTGCAGGACAGTAAAGTGAACAGCACCTTGAAGATCGGTATTAAGATGAAACAAACCGAAGGAGACGCAAATTTCATCGCCCCGCCGCTCAAGTCAGCAATGGTCATCGGCGGAATTGCAGGAGTTCTTTCCACGGAGGCCGGGGAGGGAGATGACATTCCTAGCATCACGAGCAAGACAAGAGAGCTGTCAGAAGCGCAGGACATCTACAGACGGACACTCGCCGCGACTTGGGCTTGTCAGGCAGGTGAACTTGCGCCTGACAAGTTGATCGAAGACCTATTTAGCGGGGGAGACGGCGGCAAAATCAAAAGCCCGACAAAGCCTATACATAATCAGGCCCGCCTTGGCCCGCGCGAGGAGAGTCTAGGGTCCAGCTCGAGCGACGAGACGAGGCGGCCGGTGACTCCGCGGAGCCAGCACTTGACTCCACAGATGGCTAATGGACATGGACACCGGAGAGGTGGCAGTGCCGACGGTGGAAACACGAATGGCCAACTCGGTGGCGTTGCGCCGTTAGGAACGGTTAGTGGGAGATCGAGCATCGAGCAGCAGGTGCATGCCAGCCAACATCATCACCATTCAAGGCGGAGGGACCTAGACTACCGTGAGCTCACGGAATTCGACCTACGTGATGATCTACGCAGCTGGCAAGTTCGGGTTTGAAGGATGATTTCATGAAATGTGAATGACCTTGATGATATAGTTTAGATGAAAACGCCGTTACAATAAGGACGAAATTCGCACATGCATCAAGCCTCCAGAGTCTCCATACCCTTCGGCACTATGGTACTAGGTATAACAATCAAATAAGCAGTCGAGGTTAACACTCTTAATTTTGACCTCTTCAAAGATCAATACGTGACTACACGAAATGATACACCTGGTCCTCGCTTGTATTTGCGTTATTCAATGTGCTTAGATCCGGCACGCCACGCCTAAAAAAGCCGGGCCGGTTCGAATATCTCCTCTATTTACACTGGGTCATTTTGAAGACAAGACACTTCGCCATGGTTCAGACTCACGACCAGAGACGGACATACCCGTTTAGTGTTGCCTGCTAAATAAATCAGCGAGACCCTCAGGTGTTGTTTGCCCTTCATGCCCTTCTTGATTCTGTAGACCTCATCACTGGCCGGTTGGTACAAATTGCAAAAGGGTAAGCCATCGTCAATCTGACAGATCGAACCCCCGTTGTATTCGCTTTTCCGCGACCACACCAGGGCACCAGCACGAAATCCTCAGATGTCTCTTCCTCACGACAATCCAACATTGCCATATTGGCTCACGCACCACTCAGATCTCTCCAAGCATCGAACCACAGAAGAGCTGCCGCGTGAGGCAGATGTCATCATCGTCGGCTCAGGCTATTCGGGCGCCGCCACTGCCTACCATCTCCTTAAGAAGGACGACGGCAATCGGCCATCCGTCGTCATTCTAGAGGCACGCGATGCTTGCTCTGGAGCCTCAGGTCGCAATGGCGGGCATCTCAAGCCAGATATTTACTTCGGTGCAACAATCAATGAGAAGAGCTTCGGCACCAAAGCCGCAGAAGAGCTGATGAAATTCGAGATTGAGCAGGTATTAGATGTCAAGAAGCTCGTAGAGAGGGAAAACATCGATTGCGACTTTGAGTTAACGCGAGCCATCGATGTTTTCACGGATCATCGTGTGTTGGACCCTGTTGTTGCCGCGGTCACAGATATGAAGACACGCGGATTCCCATTTCCAGACGACTTACACTATATCGCCGACCCGAAGAGGGCGGAGCAGGTGTCTGGTGTGAAGGGTGCTCTGGCGGCGTTTACTTTCACAGCAGGCTCAGTATGGCCCTACAAGATGATTTTGCATCTGCTCCGCCGATGCTTAGAATGGGGTGCAAGTCTCCAAACGCACACTGCAGTCTCGACGATTTCGAGAACCAGTGATGGTCGCTGGGTACTGGAAACCCCTCGAGGTCAAATCACTGCGAAGAAGGTCGTCGTGGCCACCAATGGCTACACACTGCTGCCTGAGCTTGAGAGCAAGATCACCCCTGCCAAGGGGGTCGCCTGTAGGATCGCGGTACCGGAGGATGGCAAGCGAGCTCCCCATCTGAACAATTCCTACGCCATCAGATACGGGCCTGGTGAATACGACTACTTCATTTCCAGGACGGACGGTAGTGTTGTGGTTGGAGGGGCCAAACAAGCTGTCCTTGCCAAAGACGAATACTGGCACAACAACACCGATGACTCGGAACTGATCCCAGGAGCGGAGAAGTACTTTGAAAATTACATGCAGCGGATGTTCCATGGGTGGGAGGACTCCGGAGCCCGAGTGACTGATATCTGGACTGGCATCATGGGATATTCGGCTGATCTGATGCCCTGGGTCGGAGAGATGCCTGGGAAGCCAGGAATATTCGTCACGGCCGGTTACACCGGGCACGGGATGCCCAGAGTGCTTGGATGTTCTGTTGCCATTGCTGGACTCATACGCGAGGATATTAAATCTTTAAAGGAGACGAATGTCCCACAGCCGTATTGGATCACCGAAGATAGACTCCATGTGCAAGGCAGCTCTGTCCGTGAGTACATGGCACACTCTCGCACCGCGCGCCAATGAAACTGCTGTTCGAGAGTCCAAATAGGGAAACCTAGTGGCGATGCCAAGACCTTTTCATGAGACATCCCTTCTTCAGCCCGCTTCAGCTTCAAGCTCCATCAGGCTACAATTACATTAGGTGCCTAAAACTTTCATACAAACGGGGGCAAGCTCCCCTACGAGACCTCGGCTTATAGACTTCTTAGATAACTACCAAATTCTTCCTCCCACTGCAGACATTTCTCCCCATCCGTGCCAACTATTCACGTATCACCACTCATTGGTTGTTTAACTATGGCTCCGACCGTGATTAACGTGCAGGGGAAAGCAAAGCTGTACCGCGTCGCGGAGCGCGCTAAACTCGACATTGAAATATCATCATCGGAATACGAACAGTCCACAGCATCCGCCAACGTCGTCACGACGGTCAGCAGCCTACAAAACCAGCTCGACGAGATCTGCACACGGGCTGACAACGGGGAGATCTCGCCCTCAGCGCCCGTGAGCTTCTACTCGATCGGCTCACTGACGACAAGCAGCGACGACGAATACGACGAAGATCACAACAAGACCGGCAAGCGGCTCTACAAAGCGACTAGCAGCGTCGACATCCGGTTCCGGGACTTCGCGAAGCTAGGCGAGATGGTCGTCGCGTTTTCGACCGTGCCCTTCGTCAGCCTCCAGGGGATAGAGTGGAAACTGACCGAGGAGAAGCAGGCCGCGCTCGAGGAGCAGGCGAAGCTCGACGCCCTCCGCCATGCGTTCAAGCGCGCCACGGGCTATGCGGATGTGATTGGGAGGAGGAACGTCACGCCCGTCAAGATCGACGATACCCACTACATGTTCGCCGAGGGTCGGGTCATGCAAACCGCCCGCAAGGTCTCTTCGAATGCGAGCTATGGCATCGGTGTGGGCCTGGACTTCGAACCGCAGCAGGTCGAGGTCAACGCCACCCTCGAGGTCGAGTTTCACGCTGAGTGATCGCTAGCGCCCGTTGATAGCCTTCAAGTAGCTCGTGCCTACTATTGAGATTTCGAGTTTAGGATTCTGGATGCTAGCTTCAATCATTTACCTTACGATGGATTGGAGGTGCGCGATATGTATGTCTGCTATGAGGACTAAGGGGACTCCGTTCCAGAAGTTCACATCAATGAATTACAAAAAGGAATGCACGTCTACTGCTGCTAGCCACTCTTTGTTAGTTCCAAATATCCAGGTTAGATAAATGTTTCTAGATATTTCATGATGAGGGGTCGATGCTAGGCCGATTGTCCGAGGTCTTGTTATCACTACCGGAAGTGTGCCTCATACCAGCGAGGTTTTCGCGCTCTATTCGGGACTGAGAGTCATAAGCATGGGAATAATATTGCCGAGGTATTCTCATGGTTTTCGCGACGTAACCCGTTCAACTCTTCAAGATGTAGGGGATGTACATAGGAGTTTTCTTCTCCGTAGGAAGTAATTGGCCCTTTTTCCTGAGCCGCTCATCTACAGCTTCACTCTCCTCACGACCTTCTTGGCCCACGGATGGGCGTCGCCACGGATGACATAGCGATCGATCTCGGCAGTGTTCAGCAGACCTGGATGCGCTTGGTCCAGCCGCGTAATTCCAACCATCTGCATCGCTGTCTCCAGCTCATCCTGGAGGATCTCCAATGCCCTCTCCATGCCCGCTTGGCCGTAGGTGACCGCATACATAAACGGCCGTCCCAAGCACACTGCGCTGGCGCCGAGACAAATCGCTTTTAGGACGTCGGTTCCTCGCCGAATCCCACCATCGATGAAAACTTCCATTTGCTCGAGGACTTCCGGGCAATTGGCTTGAATTTCTAGCAATGTCAGAATCGAGGGAGGCGCGGTGTCGACTGCGCGTCCACCGTGGTTAGAGATGTAGATGCCCTTGCATCCGATGTCGAGCGCCCGCCGAGCGTCCTGTGCACACTGTATGCCTTTGACGAAGACAGGGATGTCGGACAGCTCGATGAGCCACTTAATGTCCTGCCATGTGATAGTGGGGTCGATGAAACTGCCAGTGGCACGTGCTAGACCCGTGCCCTTGTTGTCCTTGGGCAGGGTCTGCACTTGTGCATTCCTTGTGGGTTTATACGAGGCTTCGATCTTGATCCTTTCATCGGCTTCTCGCTTCCCTACCACAGGCAAATCTACCGTCGCCAGGATTGCTCGTGGTCGAAGCGAGATGACTTCGCGCATCAGCTTCTCCGTGCTCCGGCGGTCTTTGTTGAAGTACAGTTGGTAGAATTTTGGATAGTTCTCTGGCACCACATCTGAGATTTCTGCGAGTGAGTAGCTGGCACCATTGCACACGCATATCGTCGTCCCCTTCGCAACAGCGCCTCGTGCCATTGCCAGCTCCCCGTCTGGATGAGATAGCTTCGCAAGCGCCGCCGGCGACGAGAAGATCGGCATTGAATACTTTTGTCCCAGGATCGTTACGCTTGTGTCGACGTTCCCGACGCCCGTCAGCACCCGCGGTCGGAACCAGATCTTACGGTACCAGTCGATGTTTGCTTGCAGGGACAGGCAGTCATTAGCGGCGCCGGAGTAATAAGCCCACGTTTTGGCCGAGACGATCCTCTTCGCGGCATCTTCGAAATCATACATGTTGAGTATCGATTCGAGATCTGGAGGGCCTTCATTAACAGGAGTACTGCCCTCGACTTCTTCCGCGCCCTCTAGCTTAGACCGCCATTCGTCCGTGATAGTCTCGTCGTCAAGCGTGCCTATGCGTTTGGAAGACCCCAGGTGTTTCGAGACAAGATTCGGACCATGCACCTCACTGTAGGCCTTGGTCGCGTCACGGCCAAGGTATTCGACAATTATGTCGATGCCGCCTGGGTGATCAGGGGCGAATTCTGTGACATCCCACACTACACCGTCAATGACAAGCCATGCATCATTGGGCGTCGAGTGTGCCTGGATGTCTAATGCTGAGATCTTGCGGTCTGGCATGGTTGCAATGAGATGTAGTTCGTCCGGAGGTGCCTTACCTTCGAAGTGGTGACTTTTACAGCGCGATAGATTCAGAATACAAACAGTCACGAAAGTCTTGAGCCACTGGCACACGGCATAATACAATTATGAATGTCTGGGGCACCCCAACAGCCTACGTGGGTACGGAGGAAAAGCCGTGTGGGGTTGACTGGTTAATGCCTGGTCATCATCGTGGGGGTGAAGCTGTTTGGTCACGACCGGGCTCTGGTGCGGGGATGACTATCCGAGGTAAGTCTGCGGTGGGTGTTTTAATCACCGTAGTGGTATGGAGGTTCTTGCACCTGTCAAGCATGTTCTCGTTGGCGTGAGGCGCTTGAGAGAAAATTGTTCATTGTCGGTCCCGATCTCTGAACTGCCTGGTCCATGGTCGCTCTCCATTACCTACAACTTGCGCTGATCGCCGGCTGTCTCATGTCCAGAGGTCTTCCAAGCGTCTGGCGTCATCATAGTCACGCTTTGTATGTGGCATTAGATCTTGGAATGTAGTTCCTCGATCAGACAGAGCAAAGCAATCTTTTCAGACAGCGGGTGGGATACATAGGTCGAGCTTTCTGGATTTAAGATACAACTCGCAAGGGAGCTTGTTGCTGCCGAGTTCTTGCTCACTTACTAACGAGCAACATTATCTCCGTTGGGCCCCAATGGATTATCTCAGCCATCAGATAGATTTCAGAGGAATCCCAGGTCGGAAAATGGCTTGTTGAGATACTGTCTGGATAATCGACCCGGTGAAGCAAGAGCTTGCTTCAGGAACGGCTGTATTGGCGCGTCTTGGGCCTAGGCACCACCTTGCGGGTTATCCAATGACAGCCGCTGCACGTGGACTGCTGCCTGGAATTTGCTGTGTGGCTGCCAAGACTAGACCCAAAAAGGAATCTCTAGAGACAAGTCGGACGCGCGAGTTTTGCGCGGTTGCACGTGAGCATCAAATCACGGGAGCTTACCCACTTACCTACGCTTGAGACCGCCAGGGAAAATGCTATTTAGGAGAGGATGGACCTCTGGAAACTCAACCCACTCACACTACCTCGAATACTTGGGATTTAGCTACCGGCCCCAAAAATCTCACAAAACACCTAACGCATCGGTAAAATATCAATCCATTCACAATGCCGGTTGATCATACTTCACTCGCAGTCCCCCTTTCCAAGGTGGAACTAGAGGTTGCATTCTTCCTCGCTGCATATGCCCATATGGGCTTCAAGGATGCCATACGTCCGGTGCCGGGTGTGGTAGGCCTTGGGGACGAAACTGGTTGTTTCCTCTGGATCTCTGGCTTTGACTCGAAGTTCAACCCGATATCAGATGACGCACATATCTTCCGGACCCATCTAGCATTATCAGCCAAAGGTAGGATAATCTCATGCCTTGAAATCGGTCTTGTTCCATATTTACTGACCATCTCGACCAGATCGAACTCAAGTCGACACCTTTTATGCCGAAGGCCTCAAAGCAGGTGGGAAGGATAACGGAAAACCAGGCTTGCGGGTGGAGTATCATCCTAATTATTATGGCGCATTCTTGATCAGTCCTGGCGGACACAACATTGAGGCTGTGACCCACACCCCACCCCCGAACGCTCAATGACTGCCAAATATGAACATGTCTGCCCCGAGTGTGGCACACGAGAATGCGGCGAACATGACTGGGCAATCTGGAGGGGCTTTAGAAGAGATGCAATGGGAGGCTGTCGGAGTACAGGGTCGAAGGAAGAGTCTCGGTTTCAGGCTCGGGGGGATCTACTTGAAGTACTAGAAATCGCCTGAGTTAACAAAGTTGCTGCCACTTTCGTCAATCCTCTTCAGTGAAGAAACAAGAAGTATTGAATTGGCATGTAATCGGAATGGATTGAGCTTCGGCTGCTCCATCGTTGACTTTGTGACCTAGAACTCCAACCTCTATCGGCCCATACTTTTTTCGCGCTGGGCTATGAAAAGAAACTGCTCGAGGCTGTGCCCGTTTTCTTTCCTTCTTGGTAAGTTGCGCTCAGGGAGTCATATAATTTCTTCACTCGTACGAGTTCCGCTTTCAACTTTGACTGAGCCTCCGGATCTTCCACCGAGTCGATGAGATCGGCGAGAGACCTCGCGGTGAAGAACTTGTTCTGCCGATTGTACAGTGGTTTGGCTGCCAGAGTTTCCTCAGTATCCCCAGGCGAAGCGACTTGATATACTGATTGCAGAATGTCGATATCGTCTTTTATAATATCAGTATCGACGGCTATCTCGACCGGCACGGCTAAACTCACAAGGAATTGCAAACAGATCTCGGCTATCCTCGTAGGTGAACATATAGTAGAACTCGTTGAACCCAGACCATGTAATCCCACTCAAACACAAAGAGCATGGCTCATGTGTTGCGAAAAATACACAATCTTTGGTATCTGGCCGACTTTCTTTAGGGATCTTGAAGAATTGTTGGATACAATTTATTTCGCCGTGTAGCAGTGGCGACTCTCGCTCGTTGTTGGTCTCGGCAATAACTGTCGATAGCGACGCTCTGTCTAGGATTGCAGCGCCGAACAGCTTGGACCCTTGAGAGACTTGCTCCGCCGTCAGGGGAACGATCGAGTTCTCGGTTGCACTAAGTATTGCGCTTGCTAGCTCTTGTGCTCCAGGCATTGTATCTTTGAATAAAGTCGGTTGGTTTGGCGGGTATTTGGAACGCGGAAAGCTAAGTGCACGAGCCTGGGATGCAAGGATTATTGTTGATCATATACTTCTTTAAGCAATCTTGAAATTTGTTTCTTTATTCCTCGCATTTCGACAAGACGCCCTTCAAATTTCTCCAATGATAAGGAGGTCGCCGCCTCCAATCGAAGCTAAGCAGGTAGGAGATCGCCGAAGCGCGGAAAACAGACCGGAGATTGATTGGCTAAATTCAACCTCAGGGCTTCCCGCGGGACACGTCGCTTTGTAAGTCTTTCCCCTCCGAGACGATCACTTGGGTAAAAGTTCAAAAGAATTCCTTCTTGACTGTTCGTCTTCGATGATCCCTCATCTCAAGTCTTTTCCAGAATGAGACTCTGTGGCTCGGCTTTTATTAAATTATTTGATGGTCCGTGCGAAGATAATGAGAGAGCCCCAAGACGGCGCCACCGTGACCCGAGTTATGACATATCTCGAAAGCCATGTTGAACATATCGGTCTAGCTGCCCTTTCGATGTCAAAGTGGTACATCGCCAACCACGAGACCCTCGATGTTGGCTCTTCCGGTTCATGATATGGCTAGAGGCGCGATTGAATAGGTGACGTCTCAGACGTCTCACAAAGACCACTTGGTGGCCAGTATTTATCGACCTAAGTGAGGATTAGCGACAGAAAGCTCGAAAGAGAGTGCAAGGTATCAACTAACATCTGTCTCGACTTGATAACCAAGAAGTCGTGGCGCTAGACCAGAATCTCTCCAAGCCAGGGCTTCTCCTTCTTCCTTTTCACGTATTTTTCGATCTCTTTCCTCTTGTTCCGGTCCATCATGTAGATGGTATAGGTATTGCTGCAGATTCCCTCGCTTCACCACCATTTCAGTGCGTTCCTTGCGACATTGCTCATATATATGCAACATCTGCTTCTTTACCGCCGGAATTCTTGGGTTTGGTGCTCTTGAGAACAATTCACCCATCACAGCAGCGTCCTCTAGACACATACCCGCACCTGATGCAAGATAAGGGAGAGTCGCATGTACAGCATCTCCCAGCATAGTGAAAGTTCCAGATGGGTGGCTCCACGAATCCATTCCGACCCGGATTTGCAACCTCCATTTGTGAACCGATTCACATAAAGCAAGTAATTTTGGTATCCGAGGATCCCAGTCCTTATAAAGCGCACGCATCTCTTCAACATTGCCCTCAAGGGTATTTGACCCTCCCACTGGCATATCATCTGGCACCAAAAGGACCATGTTGAACAATTTTCCTCCGCGGAGCACATAGTTCACGGCGTGTGCGTCCGGACCAAGCCAATAATTCACTTGCGGTTCGGTAACAAATGGTGCCAGTTCTGGGTCCTTGAGCATCTCTGCAGTCGAAAGCAGGAGTCGATAGGCAAGATCCCCGGTTGGTGTCGGTGGATCTGGCCTTCCGAGAAATATCTCTCGTAAGTTCGAGTTGATGCCGTCAGCACCCACAACCAGATCAGTGACTAGCTCCTCTCCAGAAGCTAGAGCCACTGTTGCCTGCTCTGCATTCGGTCCGGCAATTTTGACGTCCACGACACGTGCATTAACTTGGACTTTGGCCCCTAGTCCAACGGCCCGGTCAAGCAGGCATTTGTGCAGGTTTGCGCGATGGAAATCCCAGTAAAACGTTCCAGGGTAAGCTGCCGCCGACTCATTCGTATCGAGATATGATATCAGGTTGCCCTTCCAGCCTAGCATGTTGACTCGTGAGGGTTTCGTAGCGAATTCTTCTAACTGATCACGCATGCCCCAGGACTGTAGCACGCGCGAACTGTTCGGCAAAACCTGAATACCTGCCCCGACTTCGCCAATTTCGGATGCTGCTTCCAAAATTCTGACATTGTGGCCTGCAAGGAGAAGCGCTATCGAGGCTCCTATTCCGCCAAGCCCAGCACCGACAACTATTATGTTGAGCTTGGTGGCCTCATCACGTTGCACTTTTTGTTTGGCCTTGATGGGTGACATCCTGGGTTCAAATTTCGCGCTTGAAAGAAGAATGCGAACTCTGAAGAGACTTTGAGGTAGTTCGCCTTCAGAGTCTGTAAATTGGCCCACCAGGTATGAGGATACTTCTAGCTTGCTCCAACAAGGCTGCCAGGGTAGATCATCCGATGGAATCGTCAGCGTGTTGTTTGGCGAACGTGAGGAACTCCTGGTGCCGGCCCCTTTGAAGCAAGTCCTGCCATAAGGGAATCTAGCGACAGTAATAATTGCAATTTGCACCTTGATATGAAATCTTGATCATATTAATCCTGTAATCATGTTTCACCAGAGATGCCGATAGGAGACACATAATTGAGTTGCCGGCTTCTGAATGCCGATTGACTTGGTTCATGCGAACGTTGCTTCCGATACAGAAATATTCGCTGGTATGCGGGTTTGTACGATGCTTACTAGACAACCAGCCGAATCCACGGCGATGCCCACCTTACACCGTGGCCTGGCAAGACCTCGTCAACTTCCAAGGATCACTCCGGAAAATGATGTCGATTCTCGTCTCGCGTCCACCTTTAGCTTCTCCTGATAAGAGACCAGTTCAAACCCGGTTGGTGGACCTTGAACCTTGTCTGCATCCCCAACTCTTCGTCGGCAATTTTATGCACTTGGAGAAGACTCAGCGAGTAGTGGAGGCGGATTTTACAGGGGGCCGGAGAGTTCCCGGTGGGTTGGAACTTCAAGAGTGGGGGATCTGGTCTGTGATTCCTCGGTCGTAACTTAGTACTTCGAAAGAATTAAGAATGGGGGGTTGGCCCAGGCCGCCTCGGACCTAGTACGTGTCATTACACGATACAATCAAACATTAGTGCGATGCCTCTGGCAGAATTTGTGGGCTCAGAACATTCCGCAGGGAGTCGGAAGCTCCCTTTTACCAGATTATCCTCGGGGTTTGTTATTACTAGTATTGCTATTCACTGAGTGAGAAGCCAAGGCGTTGGTGCATGGGTGCTGGATGGCCTCGAGCTTTTGGGACTGCAATTTTTATGGGTACAAGCGATTAAAAGGCTTTGTAGAGAAAAGTCTGTGAGCGTTATTAGTTGGGTACGTATCTCTGCAAAACCTCCTCTCGAGAAGCAGGAAGCAGAGCGCCTGCCGGAGCGGTGTTCTTGCTCTTAAAGTCATCACACATCTGCTCCATCGTAACCCACTCAACGCCTTCGTGCTTGTTAATGTGTTCGATGATCCTATGCAAGTTAGCCATTCTATGGTCATAAAGAAGGCTCGCGTCAGAGCTACTTACCTTTCATGCATGAGCAAGACGTGAGGTCTACCGCTCACGTCTGGATGAATGGTCATCGGAAAGATGAACTCGTCGAACTCGCGGTAGTAATAGTCAAAGTGGTCCTAGCAGAAGAATTAGCTGAGCGAGGCTATCGCCAAAAGGGGCAGTCCCTGTGGTTTACCTTCCAGATGTCTTCGATGTCTCTTGGATTGACCCACCCATGACTGTTGGCCGAGTTTTTCATGAACATCATAGGCGGCAAGTCATCGATGTACCAAGATCCGGGGATTTCAACTAATCCAGTCTCTTTCCCCCTAACTAGGGGCTTCATCCATTCAGCCGCCGTTTTCTTGTAGTCAATCTTGGTCCACGTGTCCCCAGTACGTAGCCAGTACATTTGGCAATCCTCATGACCCATGGAATGATCATATTCGATACCATAGCTCAAGAGAAGCTCGGTGCCCGCCTCGCTCACTTCCCACCACGGTGCAACACTCCCTCGAGGCGGCTTCCCGCAGAAATCAGTTAATAGCTTGAAGGTATAGTCGAGCACGTCCTTCTGCTGCTCAAATGTCATATCCGATGGGTTCTCGTGCGAATAGCCATGCAAGCCGATCTCATGACCTTCGTCACGCACCATGGCACATTCTTCAGGAAATGTCTCAAGCGAGTGGCCCGGAATGAACCAGGTTGCCTTGATGTTGTACTTGTCGAACAGTTTGAGGAGACGTCGAGTGCCATGTGTACCAGCGAAAATGCCTGTCTTAATGAGCTCTGACCTCATAATGGTATGCTGGTAGACTTTGATCCTTACCCCTGCTGATATCGCTCGTCGAATCTTCGCCGCCGTATGAGCCTAACCACCCAGCGACGGCATCGATGTCGACGCCATAACTCACGAGGACGCGTTTCTTGCCCATAGTAACGATTCTAATGCGGAACAATTGCTGGGGTATACTGGTAGGCCCAGAATCAAGAAAAAATCACCTGGAATGAGCCACGATTGAGTTTCGTAGAATGATCGTCGAAGAGCTTGCTAACAAAAAACGGGAAGGGCCTGAACAGGAAGCCTTCTAAGATGCTTACTAGATCCGGGTGCCCTTGGTGCTCTGGAACGCCTACCGCCATCCATGCGTTCCCCATATCTTACTTAGGTCAGTAGTCCTACCATCGCTTGATAAGAATAGGCTTTGGATTTGGAGCAATTTGGGGCATTTGCCTATGCATGGTACCCACCCACCCAGCACCGATAACATTAAAGAAGTACGAGCGGAGTTCTGCGTGGTCGAAAAGATTAGGGACGAGAGAGGGTCTCAATGCTTGGCGTTATGTCACGCCAATTAGTGGCATGGCGAAGTTGATCTGCTTCATTGTGCAAGTCATTTGCCGACACTGGAACCTCCGTGCGCTCCATGTATGCTTCACGGCGTTTGGGCGACAAAAATGGGGTTATTAAGATGGCGGGAGATGCTCAGCCCATTGCTCCAGTGGAGGCTCCAGATCCAGTTGCGACGCCATCACAACCGCTACAAACAATTGTACATTGAGCAATTGTTCGTGCTGCTAGTCGCCAGTGGTCTCCATCGAACTCGAACACGATCCTGTGCTGTGCTGCCATTTTCCCCTATTGCCATTCTACGAACCGCAACAACGCACATATCTGGCCCCTGACAATTTGCAGCCTTCCACGTGACCTACAATGAGCAAAGTATGCACTTTTCCTCCTCTTTGATGAAAAGCACGGTAAGAGGCAGAACAGATGCTCATGTGTTCTTAGTTCTCTTTGAAAGGCCGCACAGCACTCGTGACGGGTGGTGCACGGGGATGCGGTCTGGCGTTCGCTCAAGGTCTTGCTGAAGCTGGCGCAGACGTCGCCATTTTTGACGTCATCGACCCAGTGCAAGGCTTCCACGATATAGAGAAAGACTATGATGTGAAGACTAAACACTACCAGTAAGTATACGTTTACACTCTTTCCGTGTTCAATTATGTATGAAAGTTCTATTTCTGACGCTGATTTCGGAAGAGTTGATGTTGGAAGCATCGAAAGCCTCAACCAGGGGTTTGCATCCTTTCAAGCAGATTTTGAAGGAAAGCTAGACATCTGTGTCCCTTGTGCAGGAATTAACCGCAATCTGGCATTCCTAGATACTGCATTTGAGGAGCATCAAAAACTACTCTCCGTCAACGTCATGGGAGTTTACCATACCGCCCAACTTGCTGCAAAGCAGATGATACAGAACGGCACTAAGTGTGGCAGTATCATTCTTGTGGCTAGCATAGCAAGCTATATGGCCATTAGAAGCCAGATGAGTAGTGCTTACTGTGGTACGAAAGGTGCTGTGAGAGCAATGTGCCCGGCTATTGCAGCGGAACTCGTTCAATATGTAATTCCATGGAACTCAATTTCATCTAATGTGGTTGCTGATCCAGACCGCAGGGTATTCGTGTTAACACTATCTCTCCTGGATATGTGAGGACAGAAATGACCGCACCTGTAAGTCGATGTCAATGCCTTCCTTCTCCGGCTGAGCTAAGAATGCCCAGTTTCCTCATCTTCTGGAAAGCTGGAAAGATGAGATCATGAATCGTAGAGTTGCCATGCCCGAAGATATTAGAGGCGCTTGTGTCTTCCTTGCGAGTGATGCAAGTTTATATATGACAGGTCAAGATCTTTGTGTTGACGGTGGTGTTACAAAGTGGTAGAGATGATGTTGTCGCTGTTATGGTTCTATGATCGACTCCGATTTATATCGAGAACATAGTTTGATGCCTGAATACAGAATACATCTATTCTTAATCTATCGTGTCATCAATTTCTCAATGACTTTTGCAGCTCCCAGAACCTTCTCTTCCTCGAACCTGCGGCCAACTATCTGCAGCCCGACGGGATGGCCGTCCATTGTTTGTGGATCGTAAAGTTTCCAATTCCATGCGTCATACTCATTCCGAGGCTCGTAAGCCTCTGCAGGAAGAGCGTCTATTCCTTCCACCACTTTTCCGGCAGGAAAGGAAAGAGCGGTGTAGTCCAGAAAGTTCCAGATTTTAGTATACCCAACCCAACGACATGTCCGATGAGGGACCGCTGTATGTGGCATGGTAGGCATCAGAATCACATCAACTGGTCTCCCAGAAATAGGCCCTATAGTATCGTTCCATTTGTCGCTATATGCTCTTTGTGCAGCAATCTTTCTTTTATTGAGCTGCCAATAATCAAAGACCGAGATTGCCTTCCCACGGTTGATCAGGGTTTCGACATGAGGAATGTAAGGCTCGCCGCTGGCGGCCACCTCTTTTCTGATGTCTTCACCCCCATCCGCGGAATAGAACGAATCCTGAAAATATGTCAGCTGAAAATTTGTCGAAAGGGTCAATTCAGGTTGCTTACCATGATCTCAATGCACTCTCTTTGTCCGGAAGGATCCCACTGTATGATTTCATGGCCAGCACTTCTTAATGTTGCCTCTAGCTCTCTCAAAGCTCGCTCAATGGGTGGATGAACCTTGACGACTCCATCATCCGCCAAGATGCCGATCGTCAAAGGCCTAGACTGGATGTCTTCGTAAACCTGTTGGCGCCAAGGTATAGGAGTGACTCTTGGATCTAGATTCCATGATTGTGCATCGACCACAAGCTTCATAACGAATGTCAAGGATGATAAGGTCCTGGCTAGTGGGCCAACTGACGATGGCACGTGTTCTTGTCCTTCAGTTGAGACGGGCACACCTCGATATGGCAGTCGGCTGCTCTAAATGTCAAAAACTTGTCAATTATATCATTATATGCCAGAGGATCCTCGCATACTGTTGGCTTTAGGCCCCAAAGACCGTTGATATGAGAGGGAATGCGGATGGAACCCCCAATGTCCGTTCCCCATCCTATCATTGAGGCTTGGAGCGCGAGTAAGACCGCCTCACCACCAGTTGATCCCCCTGGCGTGAAGGCTGGATTTTTGGGATTGGTTGTCAGTCCCCATAATGGGCATTCCGTCTCACACCACTGGAAGGTATAAGTGTCTAGAAGATATTGCAGTGCGGAAGTGAGTGCTACACCATTATACTTTGTGGAAGATTTGTTTTGGCTAAGATAACCGCTCCGAAGCCTCTGAGTATCTTCACCAAGACCGCATCTTCCTCGGCTGGTTTAAATGCCCTGGAAACATAACCAATGCTCGAATCAACACCTTTGACATTGAATTGATCTTTGAGAGTCATGGGGATTCCGTGCAAAGGGCCAATCAATCTCCCAGTTGAAGCGAAGTACTTGTCCAGCTTTAATGCTTGCTCAACCGCATCCGCAAAGAGAACTTCTGTCAAGCAATTTGTCTAGGCAAGTTGTTAGTGAACCTCCATGGCAGGTGTGGAGACTAAGCCTACTTGCTGGTGTGCTCTCGCCGCACTGCCTCCAAGTCAGTCTCCGAGATGGTTGGCAGTAAACTCCTTTTCCTTACCTTCGTGCGTAATGACGGACAAGATCTTGCGATTTCAGCTCACCAGATGATAAAAGCCCGATCAAGGACTGGATATCCCCGTTTTGAAGTACAGCTTCAGAAGTAACGCGCTTTCCATTGATTGCGCTCTTGAACGGGGATACGAGGCTCTCACGCTGCGTACGCTTTGAGCTGATGATCTCTTCCCACGACTGCTTCGCAGTCCCCGTCATCATCGCTAAAGACCGGTCAGTATCGCTTGGTGAAAGCATTTGCTGAGAATCCACATGCGATGATTTCGAGTTGCACCAAAAAAAGCCTTTAGGAGACGTCTTAATGGTGGGTAAATCCGTCCCTGTTCTGGAAGGTTGGCGGGGAGGGGGGGTGGTTTCTGAAATTTCGGCGGCTGTACGGCTTGTACGAATTACTCAGCGTCCACACTCAAACTTCGACCACAAAGTTTAGCGGCAACTCCATTTTAATCTTCTTGCCGATGCCGACATGATTTCGGCCCATCCACTCGGTTGAACATCAACAGCAAGAGTGGGGTTCTCGTTATTCTTTCGCGTACGATGCCCAGAAGGCGAGATGTCTCAACAAGAAGGGCCTTCCCGGAGCTATTCACCCATATCACCTGATTTATCTGCAGCTTTGCCTGATGATCTGGGCGTCCAGCTATTGAAAGCCCCCTTTAAACGGACCTTGGACCATGTCGAAGCACAGCAAAAGTCGATGAAGCGTTCCAGAGCACAAGTTTCGCCAACAATGAGTCCAGGTATCAGCAACGAAGGCCTCGACGCCAATGGAGATCACCTTGCAGCCAGTGGTCTGCCTCCCGAGGTTGTGACCATTGTTGGCGCAGGCCCTGCTGGTCTGATGCTAGGGTACGGCCCGCTTACATGTCTACTCGCAGCACGTGATATTGACACATACAGTTCGAATTTGTCGATGTATGGCATAAAGGCAAAGATTATCGACGACAGGGACGACAAGACGAGCACAGGTCGTGCCGATGGATTACAGCCAAAAACAATTGAGACATTCAGACAATTACGGCTCGCCGATTCACTGCTTCGCAAAGGCGTCAGGATCTATGACATATGTTTTTGGGTATGTCATGCCTCAAAAACTCGTGGAAGAATTGGCCTAGCTTCCAGCAGAGATGAATTTAATTGTTCTCATTCAAGATATGAACCTGCAAGTGAACATACTGACTCCCGGATCAGAGCTCTACCATGACAACACCGCTGCATCGCACTGGCAGAGAAATTCACTATCCTTCGCAGGTCGATGTAAAAGATCCGTTCATACTCCTGGTTCACCAAGGAATGGTCGAAGACATCTTCATTGATGACATGAAGCAACGTGGTGTGGAAGTTACGAGGAGCTCCCCTTTCCTGAAGTACACTTCCAGCAGTCCTGGTGCGCCTATTGATGTCATTTTTGAAAACAAAAATGCCAAATCAGTGGAATCTTTTCAGACCAGATACTTAGTGGGCTGTGATGGAGCTCACTCCAATGTCCGCAAAAGTATTCCTGGTGCCCACATGGAAGGTGAAAATAGTAATTCGAAATGGGGTGTCTTGGATGGTGAGTTCTGCGAATATGTCTATCTAGCCAACGCTAAGACTTAGTAGGTGTGATTGAAACGGATTTTCCGGATCTCTGGAGCAAAGTTGTAATCCACTCGGAAACATCTGGCACAGTGTTGTGCATTCCCCGGGAACGAAACATGACAAGACTTTATATTGAACTTGACCGTTCTTTGCAAGATAGTGTACCTGTGGAGGCTACCCAAGACTATGTTATGAAGAAAGCACAGCAGATCATGGCTCCCTACACGTTAAGGTGGACAAGCGTTGGTAAGTGATCATTCTCCTTTCGACATTGCAGCGTCTAAGACATAACCTTCACTAGAATGGTTCAGCGTCTACAAAGTTGGCCAAAGGGTCGCCAGCACATTCACCGACTCAACTGAACGAGTTTTCATTACTGGAGATGTAAAATACCTAGTACCCCTTTGACCAGGGGAGTTAATTGCTGATCCCTAGCTATAGGCAGGCCATACTCACTCACCTAAGGCTGCACAAGGGATGAATACATCCATGCATGACACATTCAACTTATCTTGGAAGCTGAATCTCGCCATCAGGGGCTTAGCAAAACCGTCACTACTAGTTACGTACCAGCAGGAGCGCCGAAAGATTGCGCAAGACTTGATAAATTTCGACTTTGAACACGCCGCTGCGTTTGCGGACGGGGATTCTAAAGCCCTTGCCCAGAACTTTGCCACAAACGTCGGCTTCATTTCTGGTGTCGGCGCCCACTATGCCTCGAATGTACTAACAATTCCAGAGCAAGCTCCACGAGGGACCCTTCGAGCAGGTGAGCTCATGGTGCCGGCCACTGTGACCCGATATATAGATGCCAATCCGGTAGATATTCAACTCGATATTCCTATGCTTGGCCAGTTCAGGATCTACTTCTTCGTACCTGACATTCATCTTGCATCAGGCTTCCTACATGCAGTCTCTAGCCATGTCATGTCCACGGATTCAATCTTAGGTCGTGCTACCATAGCAGCTGCAAAGTCTTACGCTGTGATGAATTTGCCGACTGTTGAAGCCGACATTTTCATGCAACCAAGTCGATATACCGGTGCGTCTCGACTTTTCACTTTTGCAACTGTGACCACTATGGCCAAATCAGAAGTTGAGATATCAGACTTGTCGCCATTGTTGCAGAAAAGCAGATGGACATTCTACTTGGACGACACTAAGACCTCCAGCTCCGGTATGAGCTGCACAGAGAAATGGCTAGGACCCATGAGGGATGACGAGGTTGCGATTTTGAACATCAGGCCTGATGGTTACGTTGGTAGTCTCAAGCGCTTTAACCCTCAAACTGACAGTTCTATGGCTTGCGAGTGGTTAAATACTTATTATGGTGGTTTTTTGAATTAATAGACTGAACTAGAGAGCCAAGGTGGAATGAGCTAGATGCATGAGAGGCCTTTAATGCCGATACCATTTGTCTAGACTAAAGCACTTAAGCCACCCACAAGGCACTTGCGACACATTATAAGGTAGAACCCCATGAAGAATAGAAGATGTTTTCGCCCGACAACACCTGTCGACATGGAAAGTGATTTCTTTTTCTTGGCTTCTATTTAACATGAAACCTTTCAGCCTGTAGATATTTTTGTTTTTGAAATTAATGCTAAACCTTCGAAACACTCATCCCATGCTGACACTGCTGGTAATTATCTGGGGATATTATTTCCGGTTTTGCGGAGTTGTAGTCAAAGGTAGTCCTTATCTGCCGGGCCGAGTTTTTACAGTTCAGTGGAGTCCTAGGCTTCAAAGAGTGTGCGAAATACATTTACAGATATGGATTATCGATCGAACTTACTTACTCCGAGTAACTGAAAACCTACCTTGCCCACCGTGAGCGCATGATTACCCTTCTCAACTAAGAATGCTGAGAGTGATGCTACTTTGCCTCACAGCACTATCATTATTTTTCTTTTGTGCATTACCTAGATAGCCGCATGCTGTTGAGTCTCAAAAGGCAATCCAAAGGCGATGAGACCGACTGCCATCCACATCCCGGCTGAGACATAGATGGGGACAACCGTGAAATCTGAGTAGGTTCCAATTAGACTTGCACAAAGACCACCAAATCTCAACAGAGTTGCCGCGAAACCCGTTCCCAGTCCACGTTGAGGTGCCGAGTAACTTTCAGGTGTAAAAGCGTACATGACCGCATATTCTGTGCAAAGAATAGTCAGCAAAATAGAAATGGGATGGATGAAAGGACTAGATAGGGTATCTAACCGAAGTTACCCCATAAGCCACTGATACAAGTAAATGCAAGATTAGCACTGGGTGTCCGGGCTGCAGTGTAGGAAAACAGGAAGACACCAGTGATAATAGCAGAGATGCCCATCATGTAGCGACGACCAAGCTTAGTCTGTACCGCAAAGGCCGCAGCTATTGGGCCAACCACTCCCACAGTTGAGGCAATGCAGTAGTTCCTGTAAGTCTCATCAAAAGACGAGTTGTCGGTGAATTTTTGGGCCAGGTATGTGGGTAAGAAGTTGAAGTACAGGGGATATGCAATTCCGATGGTGAGCCAGATGAGCCAGATTATTGTAGTGTGCTGAGCCAGCTTACGTGTAGCAAACAAGTTCTTAAAGTTGGTTGACTTGAAATCCGCAAGATTCTCCTTCAGTATTTGAGTCCTGGTGAGACCTTGTCGGCCAGTTTCCTCTGGGTTGAGGACAATACCGAGATCGAGGTCAATCTGCTGAAACATTGCCAGAGTTAGAGGCTCAGGCTTTCCATTGCATCTTGCAACGTAGTTGACCGCCTCGACAGCTTCTGCATCTCTATTCTTCGAGAGAAGGTACCGTGGTGACTCAGGCATCTTGAAGATGAAAATTCGGATCATGGCGAAGCTAAGAGCCAAGGCACCCAACGTAAACATAACGTAACGCCTATAATAGTCAGGGGATTTGTAGCCAAGAAGGGTTAGTATGACTCACCATCCCATATTATCTGCCTTACGACATGTCTCTGGAGTAGAATCTGAGGGACATGTATAATTGGCAATGAATACCCAACCGATGAGAGACACGATGACTTGCCCAAAATTCCACCAGGCAGACAGCGCCGTCAAGAGATACTGGTGAGATCCGGGCACGAACTCCAGGAAAATCATTGAATCGACCGGGACATTACCCCCAGCAGCGGTGCCAATGATAGCCCAAAGGACGCAAAACCCAGGGAAGTTGTCGATGCCTCCAACAGCGAGAGCAAATATACCGCCAATGAAGAGAGTGATGTTGAAAGCAGGCTTTCGGCCAATCTGGTATGGAGTTAGAACATTGGGCCAGATGTATAGCTTCGCCAGTGCTAAGTGGCATGGTCAAACACAATAGTTCTGGTGGGTCAGTACTTACGAAGTCAGCCGAAATGCCCCAGAAGGATGCCCCGAAGATCAATCCGACATAGTAGGCGATCGAACTGAATGCAACTCTGGTAATATCATTGAATTCGAGTCTAACAGCCGGTTGGATTGTGCCGATTCCTTGGGACCAGCTGGGATGAATCGTTAACATGACTTTGTTCCCATTGCCTAAGACACTCACAAATTGTCCGTAATCCAACCAAACCCGGTAACAACAAAGAGCTCATACTGATACCGGCCAAAGCCGATTTCCTCCATGCATTTGTTAACAAGTTCGGACTTGAAACGATAAGAGTCGCTAATCGAGTTGCCATAGAATTCTTGATTTGCTGCATCGTCTGCGTCTTGCAACTTTTCGATTGTCCCCGCGGTCACTGAGTCAACCTTTGAAGGTACGGTTCCGATCTCCAACTCCTGCTTTTTCTCCACAGCTTCCATCGTCTTTCAGAGATTAACGAATGGATCGAGGTTTCAACAGTGCTTTGGCGAAGGGTTCTGGAAATTTTGGGCCTGCACGCGCCTTTATGGGCCAGATTGTCGGTAAGGGATAGCTCTCGTGAAATGAAACGAGGCTGGCTGGGAGAGGCCCAACTAGCTCATAGAGACATATCTCCACTAGAAGAGGATCTTAGTAGATTGGATGCCCCGGAACATCATGAGGGTGATCTAGGTTCGACGCCTATCCAGTCAGATGATGGCGCCAACACCACATGCGTATTGCAAGGACAGATATCGAGCACCGGAGCTATTCGAAAGTTCAACTAAGGAGTCATCACATAGATAGATAAGTGGAACTCTAAGTACGGACTGAAGGTGGGGGAAATGGGGGAGTTGGATAAGGGCCGAGCCCGCATTTACCAATCATTCTCGCGCCGGACCCCCTTGCAAAGACTCGGGTTTAGGGGAGAACTAGTCAAAGGTTAGTAAGGCCCCTGGTGGATCAGGGCCGCTCCTCGATTAATGAGGCTCAGAACAACGCCTTCTTCTGCTACAGCGCCTGGGACTTGAAATGACCTGCCCTGATAAGCATGTAGATTAAGCGCTGTATACTTTTCATTCACCAAGAATGTTACTACTAGGTATATCCTGCTCGCCACGCGGACCTAAGGAGCTACACAGGCACTCACACAAGTTTTGTGCTGACTAGTTCTACATCCAGTATACATGCATGGTATCCCCCGTTTGTCTAGGAGAAGAGTCTTGCATACGGTTCTGCTAGAAAGGTAAGTGAAGTACTAGGGGCCATTGCTGATTACAGGGATACCCGCGTTCTAGGAACGATGTTAGCTAAAGGTTCTAACTTAAGAGGTTTATATCGAATAAAAATTAAGGGGTGCTCTTGGAGGACGCTTCTTTCCACCACAGAGCCCCAACGGAAGAAGGTAATCTTCTTCTTAAACGAGGCATGTGAAAATACCCAGCATGCTATACACTTTAAAATTCCCCCCCCCGCCGATCTTGCTCGCCTTGTCTGCCACGTTAGACGCCTCTGATGCTTCAGGATCTGCCGCCTTGGTGTTGTTTTGCGCTGCCTCTAGAACAGAGACAAGCACCTTCAAACCAACAGGTAGCATTTGTTTGAGAAGAAGGGAGTACGTATCAGGAGGCTGCCTGCACTCGTCCACTGCATTCTCAGGGCTACGTGCACTAGGTTGGCTTCTGTGAATGGTTGACCTTAGCTTCAACTTTGCATTCAGACTTCAGCAGCTTCGTCACTTAGTCCAATATCGAATAGCTTACTTCGCTCTTCATAAGTCGCCTATCAAGTTGAACTTACAATTCCTCTCGTGTCTTTGAAACCAACTCGATCTATCAGACTTGAACGAACTGCCCTTCTTTCTCCTCAACCTTATTGAAAACCTTTCCAGCGAGCCCAACAACTGCTCGGCATGAGAAGGCGCTTTAACTTGGAATTACCTCAAGGTATTTCGATCACTTAGAAGGACTCTCTTCAGATCGACAGCCTCAAATCAAGAACACGATTGGCTTATACAAAACTCATGCTTTAATCGCTTGTGGGGCAGCGGAGATCGACGAGGCTGTCTTCTTGAACGCTTCCGCTGCGCCATAACTCTGCTTATAACTTCCTCCGACAGCTCCCTCAACTGTGATAGGAGGATATTTTGGCGGTTCACCCTCACTTCGACAATTTGGTAAACACTCAATCACATAATCTGGGTTGCCGCTGTAGAAGAAGGGGATTGAATAGCGCTCCTTGCCAGATTTGTTGATCACTCGGTGAAGGTTAGAGATATATTTATCGTTCGACCTATGTCATATCAATTAGAGAACTTCATAGGGGAAAGTTTAGGGGGTCAGCATACCATCTCATGAACATGTTCCCGAGATTAACGACATAAGCTCTCTTGACCGGAACGACCTAGTTTCCGTTATTAGTTGTCAGCCTGGAACATAGGAGATCCACGTACATCAAGCCATTCATTCGTACTTTTCTCATATACTTGGAGTCCATCAACTTCGTCTTGCATGAGTAGTGTCACGGAGCCGAAATCCGTGTGAGCCCCAATTCCTCTGGAGATCTTTTCGTCAGAGTCAGGGGCCTGCGGTGGATAATGCAAATATCTTAACGTGGCCACAGCATCAGTGGTGAATTTCTCGAAGTAGGTGGCATCTAGATCCAGCGTCTGGGCAATGACAACAAGAATGTCTCTCGCCAAGGCGTGCATTGCGTTGTAGTACCGCATTGAGACGGACTTGAATCTTTCAACATTCTCGACACTTTCCGGCCAGAAGTTTGGCCCGCTGTTGAGCTTCTTTTGTATGAAGTAGGGATGGTCTTTACTGATCTCCTCACCGATATAATAGCCTTCCTTTAGATCGGGATTTGTCCCGGCTTCTAGAATTTGTGATCCAATCCTCTCATAACCTCTATTCCACGTGTTTTTATCTGGAGTTGCGTCAATCCTCGAGCGAGATTTTAGTTCATGGCGAACGAAAGCTGTGCACACCTTTGAGGACTTTCTCCTTTTCTTGTTGTGGAAGAGCGAAGAATTCTTTCAGACAATCCAAAACTGACTCCTGTAGTTCTGCCGGCACTTTATGGCCAGTTATCTGAAAGAACCCATTATGCAAGCAGCATTTCCGCACATCCTCAACCAATCTCAATCTTGCGGCTTCATCACCAGTGTAGAAAGCTGGAACCCAATTTGTGAGCCTTCAAGTTGGGAATAAAACTGCAAAAGTTCAACTCACCGGAGAAATCTAAAATTGGCGGGGCACCTGCAATGGTCATGATGCAAATCAATTGTTGACTTTGGTGTTATGCCCTGATCAGGTAAAACAGATGATATCGATGTTCAGTTGGCATGCATGCCTCTTTGCAAAGACTTGTAACTATTTCAATTGAAAGCCGGGCCAAATTCTTGTACGTTTGTACGCTCGCCTTTCCCTTTGCACGATGAGCAGTGTACGCACGTCAAAGGATGGATCATTTCAATTCAGGTTAGCACCATCATTCAATCGCCAAAGACACTCCGCCTACACGTTACTGCGATGAGGTTTGAGCTAGCTGGGGAGCACATGGCTCCAGAGGCAACCGAACTACGAAAATGGATGATGGCGGTGTCATTGGTTGTACGAACCCACATCCCAAAGCGCACGCGCCAATGTCCCAAGAGTGGAGGGAGTAAACAAGGGTCTTGATAAAGAATTTGGGGTCAGACGACAATGATGGAGACACCCATTCCTCCTGTACCTAGTCAAAATCCAGTCGGATTCTCCAGACCAGAGCATCGGTTTCTTCGTGTCATGTTGGTCGTACCTGGGTCACTAATTCCTCTCGATTAGTATTGCCCTCCTAGGATCTTATCATCGATCGTCCTTCTTATCTCGTTATGGAAATGAGGCATTCTATTGGTTGATACCATGGATCGGCTGTGACATGATGGAGTGGCAGTGGACTATCAGGATGTTACTTGCCGTAGTATATAAGACAGCGAATCATTAGTTGTTAAGGGCGAGTATAGCCACTGGCGTTGGTTTGTATGTGGGCGTGTACATATGTGTGTAGTCTCCTGGTCGTGAGCATTCGCTCTAGATACTCTGTCTTGTGAAAAAGAAGGTTTTGGAACAGATTGAGTTGCCTTCAACACGGAAGAACTGGTATGGATACCACGAGAATGGGCAACATGGAGAAGGAGATGTTGTCAGCAACAAACACCAAGCAGAGCCTTGAAATTGGTGACATGATGCCACTCATCGATAAGGCTGCAGAAAGATCATATGGTAAGCTACGATTCTGAACTGGTTGTGTGTTTTTTCTACTAATGATATATAAATCCAAGTTCGCAAAATGGATTGCTACCTGCTTCCGTTCCTTTCCTTGATGTACTTCTTCATTCGGTGGATCGGTCAAATCTAGGTAATGCCAAAACAGATGGGATGGACAAAGATTTGCATTTCAAGGGCAATGAGTATTCGCTACTCATCCTGCTATTCTATGTCCCTTTCGGTCTTTGTGACCTGCCTTTGAACCTGCTTACCAAGCGCTTCTCTGGACAGGTGATGCTACCAACGCGTAAGAAACGATACTTCTTATGATGACAACCTGACTGACATGTAATTGAAAGTCATGCTTGGCTGGGGCGCGATGTCACTACTACAGTGCGCTACCAAAAACTTTGGAGGAATGCTCGCCGTAAGGCTCATTCTCGGAACATTTGAAGCCGGGTTCTTCGCTGGTGTTGTCTTCTACATGACTCTCTTTTATACAAGAGGTGAACTTGGCTTTCGGATTGCTCTATTCTTCGGCAGTGCACTTCTGGCGGCAGCATTCAGTGGTCTGATATCATACGCTGTTTTCCAAATCAAGCATGATTCCGTGAAAGGTTGGATGTGGCTCTTCATCATTGAAGGCGCTGCCACTGTGATCGTGGCTGCGATCGCTTTCTTCTGGCTTCCTGCTCGCCCAGACTCGGCTTGGTTTCTTAATGATTCTGAGAAGGCTGCAGCACGAGCGCGATCTCTACGGGATGCTTCTAAAACTGTCAACGCCGAATTCGACCTCAAGGCTTGCTTTGCGACATGGAAAGATTGGAAATTCGCACTCTGGGGAATCATTGCTTTCACCTATCCGGTCGCATTTGCCACAACATCAAATTTTCTGCCACAGGTCAGTTCACCAATTTCTAATCTCAAAGCCTACTACGAACATGCCTATACTGATTAACTGTAGATTGTTCAACGACTTGGATATTCTGTTGTGAAAACAAATTTGTGGACGGTCGCTCCTAATAGTGTTGGCTTTGTGATACTTTTATGTGTCACGAAATCTTCCGACTACTTCCGTGAGCGAACTTACCACATCGTCTTTGCATTGAGCGTATCCCTTACTGGCATGGTAATTCTTGCAGCGATTGATCCACTGCACAGTAAAGGAATTGCTTACTTCTCCTGTTTCCTCATGGCGGGAGGAGCCTATATCCCAAGCTGTCTTGTACACTCCTGGCATAACAACAACAATATGGAAGAGAATTCACGGGCCGCAACAACAGGCTTACTGGTTGGACTTGGCAATCTGGGAGGGATTCTGTCGGCGGCAACTTTCAGGGTTGAATATGCACCCGGGTATGTGCGCATTCCAGATTGCTGGCAATTATTGACTAATTGTAACCTAGCTATGTGCCAACTTTGATCGCAACAAGTGCCTGCAATGTCACATGCATCGCCTTCACTCTTTATTTGGGTCTGTACATGAAACGAGAGAATGCTAGACGGAATAAGGAACAAGGGGTTTCTATTCGCGCCGAGGATGTAAATACCAGCGAACTTGAAGATGGGCAACACTCGTATAATTGGAGATATTTCACCTAGGTCTTACTGGCCTAGACGATTCCGGATGGCGACGAACTATTCACCCTGTGGATCTTTTGCTCAGCAACGGATGGGAGGGCTTGGATGCTGAGAGGATGCTTTGCTCTCAGTCTTTTGATCCTCAGGGCTCGTGTCAACAGTGGACTTATTCAGGATGGAAATAGAACAATATGATGCTTACTCAAAACAAAAAGTTTGGCGCATACTCAAGAAAGCAGGGCAGTGGGTACTATTGAATGGTTTCGTGCAGGGCTATCATTCTCATCTCAAAAATGCCTCATACTCATTGATGGAGCGCTCAGGGACCAAACCCCTTAGGACTTTCATGCCTTCGTGTACAACAGCCCAACGAACATTGCTCAAATGTTTCGCCATGACCGCTGTCAACCCAGAGGTAGTGTATTTCCCTATCACCCGCCAGAGGTTCTCTGGAGTGCCACTTGTCATACTACTAACCAGGGCATTCATCTCTGACTTTGCATGCCATACAATTTGATCATCCGCTTCATTATCACTTCTCGAATTCGCACCGGCCCGGTGACCTGCACAGCTAGATGAATTCGTGTTTTCCTGCATCCCAGTCGAAGACGTCGCAAAGTGGAAAGCCCAGCATGTCAGGGTCGCGATATAGAGACACCAAGGATAGTGGAAAGCATTATTGACATCCCAGTTGTCCAGATTCAGGATGCCATCTCGCAGAAGATGAGCTGCATGCCACGCAGCCTTGGTTGCAGCGGTAGACCCGCCGGGTTTTGCCCAGTCTTTCACAATACGTCGTGACCTATCATAATCGGCCCTTGCGACTGGCCTTCCGATAATATGACGTGCACCGGCATATATTTGGAGGTCAAGGATTTCCACGTTAAGGGTAATGTGGGCGGCATGATATATTGCTGTGGTCGCGGTGCTAAAGCGAAGAAATTCAGCCTTTCTGGATGGAGTATCGAGAGAAAATGACATGTTCATGCAATATGTGTCGAAGTCTGCTTTCCATGCGTCGTAGGAGTGAGCTAAGCGATCCTGCCACTTAGCTTGAACAGCTCCGTTTGTACTCTCAAAACCTTTGATATTGGTCAGCCCATCTGGAACCTTAGTTCGATCATACTTGCTTACCAAGCGATGTCTGATCTCTGCGTCTCATATCCCATTGTATGGACATCAAGCCGTGCAAGACCAAGAGCCGGGACAAGGCATTCAGCTCTGGGATGCTTGCGCCAGTATCGGGATTCATGTAGGATTTCAAAACAGACAAGAATGGTATCTGGGGTTCCTTCTTGGCGTACTTCCACCAGTCCTCAGCTGAACGAGCTTCCCATGTGGCCTGATTGCAGGGCAATGTTGTGCGAAGCTCAAAGGAGGACATGCATAGCGATTGCGAGAAGAGCACGGCGTGTTGTGTATCCCAAAGAAAGCAAAGGAAGGCAAGCCTAGAAGGCAGTCAGCACCATTATGCTAGCTCTTTCATGGACCTGGTGGAACCTTTTGCGTAGTTCGAAATCTATCGCTTTTTTCCAGTCCGACTCAAGGTCTCCCGAGGCTTCGTTAGTTTTGGGTGCTCGGACTGTTTGACAGTCACTTCTCCGAATCAAGCTAAGACAACATCAGCAATGCAAGGATAAAAGGCCCAACGCACTGACTTTATCAACAAGCCATGAAATAAATGAGCCATATCATGCTGTTTCTGCCCAGCCCTGGATTTTCCAAAACATTCGACCAAAAGTATAGTTTGCAGCATCCACAGCTCGGGCACCGCGGAAAATGAGGAGTGTTGGAAAATTTGTCCTCTCAAGACATCATGGATACATACTGCCAATCTGTGGATTGATTTCTCGCTATACGTGGCACCCAGTAGTAATACTGCCAGGAGAAGCAGCGTCTCCGTTTTCGAAGGGTCAAAGGTTGCCTGATGTAAGAGCGGATAGGCGATATTGAAGCGAGAAAAAAACAAGTCGAGATAATTTTGCATGGCAGAGAGTGATAGCAGAGGATGCTCAGCAGTGATCTCGGTGCCCTCTGGTGTCTTGGGCTTCGCATTAACAATGAGCTTCAATATTTCGTTGCGAGATACCTCATCTATCGTGGGCATATATCTCGGCCGCGTTTGTGGCAAAGACATGTTATCAACAGACGAAGAAGATGACGTAGAACTTTGGCCTGGAAATTCGGAGATCGTAATTTGTGATCGAGGGTTGAAAGTTTCTAGCGATGTCAGTACAGACCCAGACTCTTCCTCGGACGGAGTTTGAATCGAGCCAGCCCTTGGTGAGCGTGGCGATAAAGAGAGTGTCTGTGGATCATTTGGATAGGATGAACGATCTAGCTGAGGCACGGCCGACTCACGAGAGTGTCTTTGTTCGGTAGTAGATGCTTCTGGTTGCAAGGCGGAAGTGTTGAAGTTTTCGTGAGGATCGACCGCCGCATGACGAGGCATATAGCCATACTCATTCGTCAATCCAATGTTCTGGTAAATTTCAGGTCGTATCGGAGCTGGCTCTGTGACGGCTGAATTTGACACATAGTTGAAGTCATGCGGGAGGTTATTGGGGGCTCTTGACATGTCACTGATGTCAAAGAGCCAGTTGTAGTTGTTCATAGTCGTGAAAGGCATATTGAATGAACTTGCTGCAGCACAACAGTAAGCATCCGATTCGGAAGACCACATTCCTTGAACTTGCCCGTATCTGGGTTGAATATGTCCTCGGAGGGCATGCCTCCTCCCACACAAACTGAAGAGGATGATGGGTTGCTGCCCCATGACGAATTCGCAAAAAAATCAAACATATCTGATCCATTTGTCGGCTCCGTAAAGGTGTGGTCGGGGTAAAACTCCACCATTGATGGAGGAGCGTCCAATGAATCTGTGCTCAACATGGACTTCGGAGGCGAAAGAGGTTCCGTAGGTAGGGTTTGAAAATTGTACACGTTTGATGCTGGTTGCTTGTCTTGGTGAGGCTGCTCGACAGCCTTTTTCTTTGCCAGAGGTCCATGACCATCAGCGTGAGCTGGTCTCTTGCTGACAATACTTCCATCGCTATCACGCCAAAGCTTCTTACGGCTTTCGATCACACCTAAGCCCTCACCGCCTGCTTCGGCATCCCTCTGTCGATGTCTTGCCATATGTCGATCTGGGACAATGTTAATATCTCTCTCCTTGCACAGCTATAATTACTTCCTAATCCGAGAGTTGGTCTCACCTAGAAGATCAGGCCTTTTGAAGTGCAAGCTACATCTTGAACAAGTACTTCCCCCAGAGCTATGATTTAGTATGTGTCGTTGGAGATGATCTGAGCGGGTGAATGACTTGTCGCAATCTTCCCAGGCGCAGCGATACTTCTTCGGCTTACTAGAAGCCGACATAAGTGGTATGGAAAAGAGAACAAATCTTTTCGGCTAGAACAGATTGTAAATATTGAATGCGATCAGTTTAGAGTAAATAGGAGTAAGTGGATTGATTGCACCGAATGACGTGGATGAGGTAGAATACCCAGGCTGATATGAGTGGAGGTGGAGAGATGGGCATTAGGAGGAAATCAATCTTAAAAAGGCTGCTCACCAGGGTCATACATATGTTCTTCGTTGGGGTTGATCTTAGGCTCTCAGACGCTGATTAGCGACTTGGTTATCTTAGCGTTCGGGTCATCTAACTCCATTTACAGAGAACTGCGGGCTGTCTGGGCGCTAAAGGACCACAATACCCCAGTGAAATAATTCACGGAGTTGCGCTGGCCCCCACAGAGGAGATGCCGTCAGTCCCCCCTAAACAACCCGGCCCTCGGGCTGTTAGGCGCCTGCTAAGACGTCCAGGTTGTATCCCAATTCCTCTAACTACCTATGTGGCTGACGTGGACCCTGGCTGCGCCTAGATTCCTAGATTGTACCTCATATCTTCCAATATCCGTACCATCATTTCTATCTTTAGTCTAACTGTCACTTCTACGCAACAGTGGCTACCGATTGATAAAAAGGGTAGTCCACGTACCCTTTGCTTGGTGGCGAAGCGCCGTAAAAGCTGCTGCGATCGTACGGATTGAGGGGCAGGCCTTCAGCGAGTCGTAGCGGTAGGTCCGGGTTAGCGATAAACCACCTGCCGAAGATGATAGCGTCTGCAGCATCTGATTCCAACTTAGGAGCGGCGTTGTCCTTGTCAAAATTTCCTGCTGCAAGGAATTTAACACCTCCATTCTTTAATATCTTCCTAAAAGGCACGAGCGAGAATTTACCCTCCGTCGAGCTCGAAGCGTCAGTGGTGTCTGCCAGCGAGGACATCTTAGCGGCCTCATCCAATTCCTCGTCAAACCTTGGCTCAACCATGTGAACGTATGCGATCCGGTGCTCTGTGGGGAGTTTCGCAATCTGCTCGCAGAGATACGCCCAGTGAGCATTAGGATTCGAATCGCGGGTGTCCTGGAAGTAGTTGTATGGACTGAGGCGGATGCCAGTCTTTTCAGCTCCAACCGCTTTGGTGACGGCCTCGATGACTTCGAGGACGAAACGGCTTCTCTTCTCGATGGAACCTCCATATGCATCATCTCGGACATTGACATTATCATGCAAGAACTGATCTAGGAGGTAACCATTTGCTCTAGTAACAATCAGTGCGAGTTCGAGTCACGAATACTGATGGCACATTACCCATGGATTTCAACGCCATCAAATCCAGCCTCTATTGCTCGCTTCGCCGCGGCTGCATATTCGGCGACGGTCTCTTGGATCTCTTGCACCGTCATTGGCCTGGGGGGTGTGGCCGCGTACTCCGTACCGTCCAAGGCTTTGCCAGATATCGGAATATTGCTGGAGCTGACGCAGTCTTTTCCATCAAGGAAGGATGGCACCGTGGCCCTCCCAACGTGCCAGAGTTGGCAGAAAATGAAGCCTCCTTTGGCATGTACCGCATTAGTCACCCGTCTCCAGCCAGCTATTTGCTCTGTCGTGAAAATACCCGGCACTCCAGGATACCCTGCCGCCTGAAATGATCAGCATTTTGTTCAGCCAAAGTCTTGGGCATATTTACATAACGGCTAATTGGGCACGCCTCGGTCAACTGGAAACCACCCTTGCTCGCTCTTTGTGAGTAGTATTCCACGTTAAGATCACCCGGCGCGTACACGCCATCCGAGATCTTGCTCCCACGCATTCGAGTTAGAGGAGCCATTAAAACTCGGTGCTCCAATTTCAGTCCACCAAGTTTCAGCGGTTGGAACAACAAGGTGTTTTCGAGTGGCTTGGAGCCATCTGGAGATGTTCTCGATGGCATGGTGGTGGTCAGTCGATTTCTGGACAATTGAAGATCGTGAAAATATGTCAGATTGTAGCAGCTGTGTTTCTTTTCGAGGTTCTACTTTTACACATTGCATTCCATCTGCTCTCGGAAGCCAAGGCTCGTCCAGTTCGGGAATTCAAGATCCACACATAGGGGTTCTAGAAGTGGGCAACGGATGTACGAACGGCTTGATGGACTGTTTCTCCATCAGACCGAATTGTATGAGGTCTTTCAAGTGATTTCCTTCAATCATTCCCACTAAGTTCAAAGTTCAAGGAGTTTATTTCGGTTTCAGTGATACATGCATCAATACGCCAGAAGCAAGAGTGGGGGACAGCGGATCAGGCCATGTACGAGATCTGCTATCGAGTCGTCACCCTTCGCTCATCTCCGCTAAACGTCCTAGCAAGCAGTTCCCCCAATTTTCCACAGCTAGAGTTTCACCATGCTCATCAAATCCACAGTTGCAACCACTGTGGTCATCAATTTTAGTAAGCAGGCGGTATTGAGGAATGATGCGTCCGTTGCCAACTGGCATAGGCAGCTCCGTATCATTACATGGTGCACGGCCAGTCTCTTGCTCATATGGATGTCAATGTGATCTGGGACGAGAAACCTGAAGCACCCACCACTTGACATCTTACTCACCCGTCATGGCTCTACCGTTTGTAGAACAGCGTCCGCCAGTCCCACAGCAGTTCCAAAACCTGAAATCACTGATTGAGTCTGAATTTCGCAGTGCAATCCTGCAGTTTTACATGAATGGCAAGGAAATCGAGCTAGAGAATCCAAATCCAGATTGGACACTTCTAGACTTCATCAGGTCTCGGCATAATTCTAAGGGCACGAAGTTGGGATGTGGTGAAGGTGGCTGTGGAGCGTGCACAGTTGTCCTACAAAGCGTGGATTCTAAGAACAAAAACAGACTAAAGCATCTCGCCGTGAATGCTTGCTTGTTTCCTTTGGTTGGAGGTGTGACAGTCTAATCATTCCGTGAAATTGCCGAGTTTCTCATATTGTTCTAGTTGTTGGTAAACACCTCATCACCATTGAGGGCCTCGGTGACTGCCATACTCAACATCCACTGCAAGAAAGAATAGCAAGGCTTCATGGATCGCAGTAAGCACTCTACAAATATTAGGAAAGCTGGTTGGACATAGCTGACCACGATTGACAGATGTGGTTTTTGCACACCTGGCATCGTTATGTCTCTCTACGCCATGATTAGGAATGCCTGGGACTCTGAGCTAAAGGCCTTCCGTTTGTCAGCGAGTACTATCGAATTGGAAGGACATCTCGACGGAAATCTATGTCGCTGCACTGGTTATAAGCCAATACTCGCTGCAGCAAAAACTTTCATTGTGGAAGATCTGAAAGGTAAGATCGTTCACGATGACACCGAGGCTTTGTCTCCTGCGGCCGGTGTCGATGACGAGTCCATACTGTCGGAACAAATGTCGCAGGCCACGAGAAGATCGCCCGGCTCATGCGGACGCCCTGGCGGATGTTGTAAGGACAGGCCCGAAGACCTTTCCAATACCGAGTTGCTCTGCAATGATACTTCTGAAGGGAGCCGTAGCAACTTGTCGTCCGAGGTCGATTCTGCGCAGGACTCCGGGGCATCGTCAACGAGTCTAAGGCCGTCAGATGAAACCAGCACCACAGCTGAAGCTCCTTACGGAGTGCCCATTAAAAACAGGGATCGTGAACCACCTCCTGGGGAAGAAGGAGAAGGGGTCAAGGCACCAACAGATGTGGATGCTAGGCCTGTAACAGCTGCTCCTGCTACCAGGCCTAACTCGGCTCTGAAGACGTATGTTCCAACCTCGGAATTAGTTTTTCCTTTCGCCTTGAGAAAATTCCAGCCTCAGCCAATATGTTACGGGAATTCCGAGAAAATTTGGCTGCGACCTACGTCTTTAGCTCAACTTCTGACCATCAAGTCCATGGAACCCACTGCGAAGCTAGTTGGAGGTTCTAGTGAAGTTCAAGTTGAGATCCGTTTCAAACACTCACATTTTGCTGTCATGGTTTATGTAGCAGAAATCCCGGATCTGCTTCAGGTTGAGCCTGTAGATGACGATCAAATTGAGACCATGAAGGAATTGAAATTTGGGGGAAATGTTACCCTCACAGACCTGGAGGTTATTTGCAAAAGACTATATCAGAAACTTGGACAAAGAGGCCTTGTTCTAGAAGCTTGCAGGAAGCAATTGAGATACTTTGCTGGTCGACAAATTCGAAATGCAGCATCTATTGCTGGAAACTTGGTCACTGCATCCCCGATCTCAGATATGAATCCTGTGTTAATGGCCGCAGGAGCAACAGTAATAGCGATCAGCAAGCAACGAGGCGAAACAGTTCTGCCTATGGAGAAATTCTTTCTTTCATATCGCAAAACAAGTCTCCCAGTTGATGGTATCATTGGGAGAATAAAGATTCCCATCCCTCCAGTTGGGGTATACGAAGTCATGAAAGCATACAAGCAAGCGAAAAGAAAAGACGACGACATTGCAATTGTGACTGCAGCTTTCAGAGTGAGACTTGGTGCGGACGGCAAAGTTGAGGAAGTCGCCTTGGCGTACGGTGGCATGGCGCCAACGAGTCTTCTTGCTGCTCAAACCCAACGTGAGCTCCATGGGCTGACGTGGTTTGACGCCCAAACACTCAAAAGGGGCCTCCAGTCTCTTCGTCGAGAACTCAACCTTGAATATGGTGTTCCGGGAGGGATGGCAACCTATCGAATTACTCTTGCTTTATCATTCTTCTTTCGTTTCTGGCACGAAGTAGTCGCAGAACTAAAGCTTGGCAACGTTGACGGAGAGCTGATTAACGAGATTCACAGAGGGATTTCGTCCGGCACCAGGGACGACTTCAATCCACACGAACAGCGAGTGGTAGGGAAGCAAATCCCTCATTTATCATCGGTGAAGCAGAGTACTGGAGAAGCGGAATATGTTGACGACATGCCGCGACAAGACCGTGAGCTACAAACAGCATTCGTGTTCTCCCAGCGAGCACATGCGAAGCTGTTAGAGATTGACTGGTCGCCAGCGATTGGCCCGGGCCTTGCACTTGGTTATGTGGACAAGCATGATCTCTCAAAAGAACAGAACATGTGGGGCTCTGTCAGGAGAGACGAGTCCATTTTTGCTGATGGTGTAGTTGAATCTCATGGCCAGGTCATTGGGATGGTATATGCCGAAACAGCGCTCCAGGCCCGGAAGGCTGCTAGATTGGTGAAGATTGTTTACGAAGATCTCCCTGTGATTCTAACCATTGACGAGGCAATTGCAGCTAAAAGTTTCTACGCTCACGGAAGACAGTTGAGGAAAGGTGCCGCCATTCGGTCAGATATGGGAGAGGCATTTGGAAAATGTGATTCTGTTTTTGAAGGAACCATTAGGATGGGAGGCCAAGAGCACTTCTATCTGGAGACCAACGCGGCTCTTGCTGTTCCGCACTCAGAGGACGGGACTATGGACATCTGGTCCTCAACCCAGAATACGTGAGTGTGATGACTGCATGAAGGCGTGCCTGAAGACTGACAGAAAACTAGGATGGAAACACAGGAGTTTGTAAGTCATGTCACTGGAGTCCCGAGCAACCGTATCAATGCCAGAGTTAAACGATTAGGCGGCGGATTTGGGGGAAAGGAGTCAAGGAGTGTTCCCATTGCTTGCGCGCTTGCAGTCGCCGCAAAAAAGGAGAAGCGCCCTATGCGATGCATGCTTGACAGGGACGAAGATATGATCACAAGTGGTCAGCGTCATCCGATACAAGCGCGTTGGAAGGTAGGTGCAATGAGGGATGGCACATTGATTGCCTTGGATATGGACATCTACAACAATGCAGGATATTCATATGACATGAGCGGTGCAGTCATGGTAAGTGTTTTGTCCTTCCACGTATACTCCCTGGTGGAGCTTCTACGGCCTAAAATCATTCTGACAATCAAACAAGGATCGATGCTGTACCCATGTCGACAGCTGCTACGAGATTCCAAATGTTCATATCCGTGGTCATGTATGCAAGACCAACACTCACAGCAACACAGCTTTCCGAGGATTTGGTGGACCCCAGGCCATGTTCATCACGGAAAGTTTCATGTCAGCTGTGGCAGAAGGTCTCGACATCTCTGTAGATGAGCTCAGGCTCAGAAACCTGTACAAGAACGACGATTACACGCCGTTTCTACAAAGAATTGACGAAGATTGGCATGTTCCCCAACTTCTTTCGGAAATTCGGAAGGAATGCAAGTACGATGAGAGAAAGTCTAACATTGAGAATTTCAACCAGCAAAATCGATGGAAGAAACGGGGGATCAGTTTGATACCATCGAAATTTGGTATAAGCTTTGCCACTGCGGTTCACCTCAACCAAGCCAGTGCGGTTGTGAAGGTCTTTGCAGATGGCAGTGTACTTTTGCATCACGGCGGCACAGAAATGGGACAAGGTTTGTACACCAAAATGTGTCAGGTGGCTGCCCAGGAGCTAGGTGTACCTCTTGATGCAGTCTATACTTCAGACACATCCTCATACTATACTGCGAATGTGTCTCCGACTGCAGCGTCATCTGGAAGCGATTTGAACGGTATGGCCATCAAGGACGCCTGTGACCAACTTAATGCTCGGCTGAAGCCTTACTGGGAAAAGTTTGGAAGCGACGCCGACATGAAAACTATTGCTCATGCGGCGTACATGGACCGTGTAAACCTTTCTGCGAGTGGGTTTTGGAAAATGCCAAAAGTTGGCTTCACGTGGGGTAACTACGATATTGAAACAGTGAGGCCGATGTACTATTACTTCACTCAGGTAAGCAAATCAGCCTCCCATTCATTAAATTACAATCAAGACTGATAGAGTCAAACAGGGCGTGGCGTGTAGCGAAGTAGAGATTGACCTGCTTACCGGCGATCATACAGTCCTACGAACTGACATCAAGATGGATGTCGGCCGCTCTATCAACCCTGCAATAGACTATGGACAGATAGAGGGCGCTTTTGTTCAAGGCCAGGGCTTGTTCACAATGGAGGAGTCGCTCTGGACACAGAACGGACAGCTTTTTACACGAGGCCCTGGTACCTACAAGATCCCTGGGTTCAGCGATATTCCCCAAGAATTCAATGTAAGCTTTTTGCAAGGAGTATCTTGGAGCAATCTCCGTACCATACAAAGCAGCAAAGGGATCGGCGAACCTCCCCTATTCCTTGGCGCATCGATTCTTTTCGCAATCAGGGATGCTTTGCAGAGTGCGAGGAAAGATAATAAAATCACAGAACAATTGATACTTGACAGCCCTGCAACTGCCGAGAAAATTCGGCTGGCTGTTGGAGACGATATCTTGAAGATGAGCACCGTCTCACGAAAGACCGGCGAGAGACCCTTCTTCATTACTGTCGCCTAGATGCTATCATCCCGGTGTTAATAGTGTTATATATACAGTTCTAGGACTGAAGACATTGTATGGATGTCTCCACCTTGAGCAACAATTCTGGAGTTGAGCTCGTATACGGCTCCTCCCCAAATGAGGTGATTAGCTGCCAGTGTGCTTATGCCTTGTTGATAGTGCGGTCTCAGAGTGGGACGGGTACTAGGCCACTATTTCCTCGGCAAGGAACCGTCTTGCACTGCCGGATGTATTTGCCACGTCCCGTACTCCGTACTCCGTGATATCTGGGGTTTCACGGCGTAATTGCGGGGGCAGTGGGTCGCCTGTAGAGCATTTGCTGAAAACAACTGATGTGCAATCCTCAGGCACTGCTTAGAAAGAACCTAGCACATGGCTTGTATGTTGTAGCACTATGTCTCAATGGTGCTAGAGGCCAACCGATTCGGGTAGTGAGCAAGCATTCTCTATAAAGTCAAACTCCCCGTGGAGTAATATTCTCCGTATGATAGCCCACGGCCACTACTAAAACCTCATATCTGTCTGGAGGACCATTCTTGGAAGGAAGCGACATGCAAGATCGATGTCTGAACGACTCACTGTACAGGGGTCGAGGGTCCACTCATCTTGGGGGACTTTTTCGCACTAATTACTGGTGTGAACGCCCACATCGGATTGCGTGGGCGAAGGGAGTGCCAAGCCAATGCGTTTTCTCAAAGCATGGCCTTCCCCTCATCGCTTCCAAGATCCCAAAAGACTGGGCCTTACCAACACGCCGTTCACGATATCCCTTTCTGTCAATAAGGAATACAAACAAGGAAGCTGAATAACCGGGCGCAGATTCGCCATCAGGATGCTGCCAGGTGCATCACGCCCTCGCGGTGATGTCATACAGGACCAAGGTCAATAATCCACCTGCTTTGATTGATATAGTCGTAGCTCATCGGCGACTTGCTCGTTTCACAACGATGAGGCTCACAACACGCAGGCAGCTATCCTCCGCCATACTTGAATACTCCTCTGCTTTGTCGAACAGTGTGCTCTCCACGCGCCGAAATGGGCTCCAGATTGGATAACCGAGCATCAAAATCCCCGGTACAACGTTACAAGCATAACCGACTAAGATATTAGACCAGGCCCGTTTCTGATAAGTGAAACCCCAGACAGGCCCTCTACAAGCATTCGCCTCGATACCGAGTGACAAATCACAAGATTTCAATCCCGCCGCTAGAAATGCTACATCGGCATTGATGGCCATGCCGCTACCACTTCATCCTTCTCGTGCCAAACTTTCCGGAATTCAGCCCTCGTGCAATATGTAATTCACTGTTACTACCAGAAAGGCCGTGTGAAGAATGGAGAATGGTCTTTATCAAGCTGAGATTCTGTGATAGTAAGCAGTCCTCCACATGAGGGACCCCGCGTTAACCACAAAATTATAAAGACGGTCACACTCCAGTTCCACAGACGTTCACTTCAGCTCAGAAATAATTCTTTTATACATTTTCAGGACTGCCGCAGAGGTGGCAGGAAGAGAAGTCAGCCACGTGATAGTGACCTTATCTCAACATGGCGGAAAAGGACCAGGAAATTCGCCACGTCGACGAGGCTGGCGGCGACTTCGTCCATGCTTTCAAGGACGAGAAATGGGCCAAAGAGAAGCTGACCATTACCGCACACGACATGGCAACTGAAGAAAAGGAGATGAGCATTTGGAGAGCCATTGTCTCTAGCAAAAAGGCGATATTGTGGAGTCTAGCGGTCTCTACGTGCGTGATCATGGAAGGATGTAAGTATCACACACCACCCCGGTGTCCACTCACAGAGAAACTTGACTATAAACCTGAGACTATATCACTGACTGTTTGAAGATGATACAAATCTACTCGGTAACTTCTATGCATACCGTAAATTGGCTGCTTCATTTTGATTTGGCCCTTGATCTAACTGAGATTCAGCATCCTTCCAGAGAAAATATGGTGAATTTGTTGGTGTTTCACGACAAGTACCAACAGGCTATTCTCTGACTGCAGCTTGGATGACTGGTCTTGGTCAGGCAGCTGGTGAATTCTTTAGGACCTCAGATATCTCCAGAGCCTATCATATCTAACCCGGAGACAGGATGTGGTTCTATCCTGGGCACTGTTTTGAACGGATGGATCGTTGCTGCATTTGGTCCCAGGAAAGTGCTACTGTACACATTGGCTGTTATGACGTGCTTCATCTTCATTGTGTTCTTCGCCCCCAACAAGCCCGTGCTTTTGGCGGGTGAGCTCCTCTGCGGATTCGAATGGGGCATTGTAAGTCCCAAACGAGAGGCCTTCCCCATGCTGCTGTTGACATGGTACAGTTTGCTACCACCGCTCCCGCATATGCTTCAGAGATATTGCCCCTGCAATTGCGAGTGTACTTCACCTCGTACACTAATATGTGTTTCATCATCGGTATGTGGAGTCGCCTTTCTCACATTTTCCTTCTTACCACGAGTATCTTGTCGCAGTTGCTTACTCGCCATACCTCTTAAGGGCAATTTATATCGGCCGGCGTTCTGAGAGGCCTTGTCCACCGCCAAGACCAATGGGGCTACCGCATTCCTTTTGCGCTCCAATGGTTCTGGCCCTTATTCCTCATCCCTCTACTATACTTTGTGCCAGAATCACCTTATCACCTAGTCCGTTGCGGCCAACTTGAAGAGGCTGGGCGATCTATTCGCCGACTCCAGGACCCAAGGTCGGGGATCGATTCAAAGAAGATCTTAGCACAAATCGTGTACACTAATAACCTGGAAGAACGTAAGTAGCCCTTCCCCCGGGTCCCTACAGCTACGGCTTCCACCCATCTGCGTGCTAAGAACACCTGCAGAGTTGAGCGTTGGCACAACCTACTGGGATTGCTTCAAGGGGTTTGAGCGACGCCGAACGGAGATCGCATGCGTAGTATTCGGCGGCCAACTCGTCTGTGGCCTATGCTTTGCCTACGCCAGTACTTATTGTGAGTTCTTCCTATCGGTTGTCTCGTTACTTCATACAATATGCTGAACATGCCCTACACACAGTCTTCCAACAAGTCGGGTTGGATGCAGATGCTGCATATTCCCTCGGACTGGGGGGGAATGCACTTGCCTTGTTCGCCTGTTTCTGCAATTGGTTTTTCCTCATGCCGTAAGCTCAGCTCAACATAACGAGATCAGAAGTGGCTGCTAAATTCGCCTGCAGACATTTTGGTCGCCGTACTGTCTATGTCTGGGGAATGGCTGCAATGGCGATTGAACTGTGCATTATCGGTATTTTGAACCCCTGGACGCACCGATCCTCCGTCGCATGGACGCAAGCCATCCTCACACTTGTTTGGACGTAAGTTTCAAATACTAAAGGTGAATGCAACTGCTAACTCGCTATACCAGTGCCACATTCCAGCTTTCTGCAGGCCAATTGGGTGATTTCTTCTCCCTACAGTGTTTTCAATATCAAAGCTGACAGAAGGAAATTAGGCTGGGCTCTTCCCGCAGAAATCGGGTCCACTCGATTGAGGTGAGCAGGAATTCTTGTTCGCCACGACAATGAACAGCCTAGCTAACAATAGACACTTCAGACAGAAAACAGTCTGCCTCGCACGGAATACATCCAATGTTCTGGGCGTCATCGGCGGGACTCTCGAGAACTATTTCATGAACCCCAACGCCTGGAATCTTCAGGGATACACAGGTTTTGTATGGGGCGGATGCGCCTGGATCATCTTTATCTGGGCCTACTTCCGGCTCCCCGAGACTAAAGTGAGCTCACCCAATCAGTTGCTTCAGTTGGATAATAGCGCATGATATCTGACTACTTGTACTTTCGACTATTAGGGAAGGACATTCCACGAGCTCGACATCCTCTTTGCGAAAGAAATTCCAGCCAGGAAATTCGCCACAACCAACATCGACGAGTTTGATGAGGTTGAGAATACCCAGTTGGCCTCCAAATATGCGGTCGAGAGCCATGCACCGCATCGTCCATCTTTTGTTCCCTCTGCCACAAACGCCTTGGGTGCTCATGGTCGTGCAGACGATGCAGATGTGGGCATCAAAGCCGTAGAAGCGAGTGGGCGTTAAACCACGTAACTACTAGATCTTGTGCCACCTGCCCTGCAGATGCTTAAAGAGATACAGGAATTCTTGACATGTGCGGCCATGCCTGATGTGATGGTTGGCCAGGCTTCATATGCTGCGGTTGCATCCCGACGTTTGAGAGGCCCTATTTGGAAATGATGGAGGATCACTAATGCGATAAGGTCTATGCATGGGTCGGATAGCAAGTCGGTACTATTGGAAAGACGAGTTTTGTTTCAAGATCTTATCAGGGGCTCGAATGTCAGATGTAAATAACCACTGTTTTCAGGAAGCACTCTTTTCCATAAAGCAAAAGGTACTTTTTAACGAAAATCAATAGTGTTGGACTCTAGAGATCATTCCAATTGGAACTTTGGGAACTGGAACACTGGCTGCTCTACCTTCCTACGGAGACACTCAATCAAAAAAGCGTCGAAGAAACTTAGACTTTGGTTTGATGTTATATGTCCTGGGGATCCTCGCTCTCGATGCGTCTCTAGTTCTTCGCGGCGTCCTGTATGTCATGACTACCTAGTACTTAATACTTATCGTACAACTCCTTAAACCTGCTCCCCGACGTGTTTAACAAGACCCTCGGGTCGTCCATTTCAGCAATCTCTCCATGGCTGAGTACCACCACCCGGTCGCCATCATCAATCGTATGAAGGCGATGCGCAACTGCGATAATGGTACAGCTATGGAAATGCTCCCTAATCACCTTTTGCATCAACTCATCTGTCTTGACATCCAAATTCGCGCTCACTTCATCCAGAATAAGGACCTTGCTCTCTCGTAACATTGCTCGAGCTAAGCAGAAAAGTTGTCGTTGGCCGTGGCTCAAGAAATCTGGACTCATGATGGCATCCAAACCGCCCTTTTTCTTCGATAACCTGCCATACCTGGCATCGAGATAGAGCTGAGATGAATACGTCATCTCGATTGGCAGATTTCGAAGTGTTGCAACCGTCTAAACTGTGTGTCCAAGGATCCATGTTGAAGCGTACGGATTCTGTCGTTAGCCACCAAGGCTCTTGTGGTATTACATTCAACCTTGAGCGCAACAGTTCCCGGGGAAGGGTTGCCACGTCCACTCCATCAACTATAATTAGACCACTGCGAAATTCAAGTAAATGGAAGAGGCTAGCGAGCATTGAGCTTTTCCCACTACCTGATCTTCCGCAGATCCCGATTCTTTCTGCCAATCTGACTTTGAGACTTATGTCTTTCAAGATCAAGTCTGAATCTTTAGAATAACTGGCGTTGAATGAGTGGAATTGAACCTCTCCATTTTCGGGCCAGTCACTGCGAACTGACGCGACCTCTTGAGGTTCATGTTCAGAATTCGTTGTCTGCAAAAATTCTCTCAGTCGACAGATTGCACCAATACTCGTCTCTAGGGCAGACCACATCCTGACCAAAGTCGTCAGGCTAGAACTGAGACCGACAGTGCTCAGTAAGCCAATACCTGCAAGCCCCGGCTCAATTGAAGATCGCTGCGAGATAATGACCACGACTAATACTGTCACAAGTATGACAACTATCATATCAAGGACAAGGGCCAGCCATCTCTGTATGCACATCATCAAATAGAATGGGCGCTGACTTCGATCAAGAAGAGTCAAATTCCTCTCCTCAAATTTCTCAGTCCACCCAAATGCTCTGATGGTAGGTACGCCTGCTGCGGTCTCTGCAAACATAGTGTAGAGAGGCGCCTTCTGCTCCAAATCTAGCAGTCTCATTTGCCGGCTAGTCCTTAGGTAGTACCGTTGAACCATGTATAGGACAAAAATCAATACTGGGATAATGGCTGCAAAATATCCAGAACCGGAGGATGACATAAGACCAAGACCGGCTATACATGAAACTAAGGACAGGACGAAATCTGCGTAAGAATAGGGCAACTCCGCGTCGATCAGACCCATATCCTGGCTGAAGCGGTTTGTAATGGTTCCAATATCAGTATGTGTGAAAAATGACAGTGGTGCATCCAGCACAGTCTGCAGTAAGTTTAGATGAAGGTTTCGAGAGCTGCGTGGTACCATGTCAAGAAATACTTGCCAGACTATAGCTATCAGGGACAGAGCAGCAACTGCCGTTGTCACTCCGAATACCGCAATGAATGTAGTTGATCGAGCAGACGATGCAGTCGTTTCTAGGCTGTTCCCGTTCGAAAAAATCTTGACAAGAATACCTGGTGTTTGGACGGCGCCCATCCACAGCGAAGCCTCAAGGAAGGATAGCGAGCTTGATATATAACCCGCTGACTGGAACCAGTATCTATAAGCACTCCAATCCCCTGTTCGGCGTAGGAGATCTTGCCTGTCTGCATCATCATCATTGCTCTGTGAATTTGCCACCTCCGATGCTGTGTTGACCTTTGGCGTGTGAACGTCTTCTGGGGTTGCAGCTTGTGTAGTGTCCTGCCTCTGCTCCTTGAGCTTGATGTCAAGGCTTTGAACATAACCACCAGTTCTTGTTAGGATGTTGTAGTTGCCTTGTTCTGCGACTCGCCCATTTCTATCCAAGCTGACGATAAGGTCAGCGTATGGTAGTCTATGAGTGGCATGAGTCACCACAACGACAGTAATGTTTTCACTTCGTACAAGGCCCGAGTGACCAAACAGCTGTCTGAAAATATGGTCTTCTGTGTCATTATCAAGTCCAGAAAATACGTCATCAAGCAAGAGCATTTCCGGCCTCGCGTAAAGTGCTCTTGCTAGGGCGATGCGTTGTTTTTGTCCACCACTTAGTGAGATTCCTTTTGATCCAATGAAAGTCAGATCGCCTTTAGCAAGGAACTTGAGATCTTCAAGCAACCCGCAGCCGGCAATGACTTTCTGATACCATTGATTATCAAGAGGTTGGTTTTCCCATGACTCTAGGCCTCGAATTGCATCTCTAATGGTGCCATTTTGTATCCAAGGTTCTTGGTCCGCAAATGCAATGGATTTGGTTCTGAGATAAAGGAAACCTTGTGACAGATGGGTTTCGCTTAAAATGCTCTTTATCAGTGTTGATTTGCCACAGCCGACCGGGCCAATAATCATGGCAATCCATCCGTCGCTCACTGAAATATCTATATCTCTTAGAATAATGTTGTCATCACTCCATTGAATGACAGTCCTTGAATACGAGAGCTTCCTTGGTAAGGGGGGGCCGCTCGCTGCCTAAAGCTCTTAGTTCAATGGACTGCCTTTCATTCATTGCCTTTGACCAAACTTCATCTGTACCCTTGGTGTGACTCAGTGATAGACGCGCATCACGCCACTGCTCCGCCATCAAGTACTGCTGTATCCGTTGGAAGCATGCTACTGAAGATGCTATATGAGGGGTGGAGTAACATAGGGTGTTCATTGGGGTTTCGACAAGGCGCAATATTGTAAGTATGCTGAATGAAGTTGCAAGATCCAGAGGTCGGTTAGACGCCCTCGCTTGAAGATAGTAGAGCAGAAATGTTGCAAAAGGAGCAAAGACACCACTCGAATTCTGAAAGACGATGATGAAATTGTTCATGGTTCTAAATTTTTTGCATGCCTCTATCTCGTCGGTTCGCAAGCGCTGTGTTCGCTCACTGATGATTGTTGACAGTCCTAAAAGTTTCACATTCTGGATCGAATGGAGTAAAGCAGAGGTAAAGCTGACACGAGTCTGAATGGCTTCCAGCCACCGTTTCTGGTATCGGGAAATGACCTTGGTGACCCATCCCGTCCCAAGGATCTGCAAAGCATACACAATCGCGGGCGCATAACACGCCGGGCCGAGTTCCAAGTACAACAGGAACATTGCTGTGCCAACCTCAAAGAACCCCAGCCAGGTATCATGAATAACTGTAGCGGTCTCAACCATCCTTTGAATATCTGATGACATCAAGGTCAAGGAAGCTGATGGGTCGGTTGAACCAATGCGGAGCTCTAGGGTCTTTTGATATATGAGAGAGACGAGTCCACCGCAAATTTTTGCAGCGCAACGATCGAGCAAATGTTGATAAGCGGCTGATGACAGGCCTTGGATCAAAAATACCAGAAAATAAGCACCCACTAACCCCCATCCCACAGAGATCTCTTGATCGTCACGCTTACTTATGTAGTTAATAGTTGTTCGATTCAAAAAGGGTTGAGAGAATCTCGCAGCTGATAGAACCAACCGAGGCAATGCAGCCACGACTAATGGCCATAGTAAGACACAAAAAGTTGTCAAGAGTAAGGTGTGTTGGCCACGGAACTTCGCGCGATGCCATTGTTGCCGAAATCTGGATGAGATATTTGCAGAAGCAAGTTCTTGATCGAGGTTGAAAAGGTCTTCGACGTCTAGATTCTTGCCAAACCCAATACTAAGAGGGTTAAGCCACCAAAGGACGGATTTATTGTAAACTCCACTAGTTGCCTCTGGAGGAAGATCCTTGTATGGGGCATGAAGGAGACTGCGCTTCTCGATAGCTTCAATCACTAATACCGTACACTTGACAAGGAGGGACAATGAAAGGAATGCAGCAATACTTGTCGAGCTATGCGACCTTATCAGGTAGTGCGTTCGTAGCCTCACAGCGTCAAAGGGGACCGAGATGACTAAATACAACCCTATTATTGTAGAAGGGGCCACGGAGCGAGTATGCTCGAAGCAAGAAAGAATGAACAAGACGCAGGCTGCAGTAAAGTCTAAGGTGGAAGCGGCGACTGAAGCTTTGCTTGTGATCTGTAAATTCGTTGCTCTCAAGATGAGAACTGCCTTTGCTTGTGATCTGTAAATTCGTTGCTCTCAAGATGAGAACTGCCAATTGCACAGTTGCGAAGGCAGACAACAGGACCTTTGGCTTATCAGCGGCAAAATCCTGTAGGTGATTAGTCTTGTACGCTCACAAGTTTGGTAAAGCGGCTAATCGATGTAGCCACTTTGTTTGGCCTGCCCACCAGCCATAGTAGTCTTGCGCCAGCAGCAACTAGGAAAAGGGTCGCAGGTACGATAGTGAGGATCGTATCCTCGAACAGTAGTGTGAAATCAAATGCACGGGAAACAGAAACGGGCCCAAACAACGACTTGAAGCTGTTAGTAGAAGTCATATTGCAGCAGAGCAGTATTCACACAACAATCCTCAGAATCAGGGTCGATGCTAGCAACTTGATGAATCTCATGGTACGATTTTGGTCATTGCTCTGCTTGAGTAAATATATGGTCTAGGAATGGTGGTTGCCTGAACGAGGGCCGAAGAGATGTTGATGTTGTATTATCATGTTCTGGGGAGTCCGCAAGCTATGAGTTGGCAAATCGAGGCGGGCCATAGGTCATCTCATTGATTATCCTTGGGACGAGCGAGAAGCCTCCAGTGAGAGCTCTGAGTGCGAAGGCAGCCGTCAAAGGCAGTGGAGGCCGGCGACCCTGATAGGATGAGTGAGGTTTGTCCCTTCCACAAAGACGCACCTAAGTGGATCTCCTAAGAAAGATCATCGGACGGGAATCGCGAATGCACTGAATGCTCAGGAAATCAGAGATTTGCTGATCAAGAGTGTGCGAAAATTCGTCCGGCCGCAGATGTGGATGTGCCCGCTCAGTAATTAAAAGGTAGCTGACGGTGTACTGAGTCTGGGTTCAGAACACGTCATTCTTGGCAATACGCCATGATTGGCCAACCTGTAACAGCATGATTTCTCGTCTCATACCGTAAGTACTGTACTAGTTTTCTTAACCATCATCTTTAGAAATGCCACCAAGGAGACGATGTCAATGTAAATATGCCTTTAATTGAGACATTACGGACGATTCATGAATATACTAGAGACCGGCAGAATGACTACCATGCCAACAACACGAAGTTGGTGGTGCGCCTCGCAGATGTTGTCTCGAGAACTTGGGATCTAGGTTTTACCGCTTTGGGGGGCCCTCTTGTACATTTTGGTATCCTCCATCAGCGATTTGTTGATAGACAGGGTGGGCGAACGCCTTGGATTGATGAGCAGACGGCATGCCTTCCGTTGCGCTTGTGGTCACTGTGATGCTTATGCACTCCAAATCTTAGTACCAGGAGTTGTTCGCTCTCTGCCAGAGCCTTCTCGGTCCGGCCAGCACAAAAATGCTATTCTGCATGACCATGATTCATGCTGGATGGATTCCTGCGATTTTGGTATTCCTGCTATGGAGGTGGGTGCTTTTGCTCCGTAATTCACTCCCTGTGACCTATACTGAAAGACGTGTAACTAGTCTACGTGGAGTTATTGGGATGTATGGCCTCTCACTGGGAGTCCAGAAGATCTCTAATCTCCTCCCGGGTGTGGTCTATGCCCTTTTGTCTGGTCTCAATGCTGCAACCGTCGGGCTTGTTGCTCCCGCAGCAGTAGAAGTGAGCGGATATTCTACCCAAATCAATTACTACAATATGCTCACCTAACAAGCTTGCAGAGAAAGCGATCAAAGACAGACTGTCGAGAATTCTTGGAATGCTTGGGGATTGCGCTGGAATGTGTTATAACGCAGTATGGTACTTTCCGGGTCTCATAGTCCTTGGCGGTATTGTCGCAGCAAGCTGGGACGTCCACCTTCGACAGCAAGTCCTCCAATTAAGACGAAGGATCCAACGGCACAGGGTCCCCTCGACCGAGGCAGCCGGGATCCCGACAATCAGGATATTCCTGTACAATCGGCAGGTGTATCGGTTCCGCCACAAGCTGCTTTCGTCAATTTGCAGCGCCGCACGGGAAGCGCCATAACGTCAATGATTGAAACAAGTCAATCCGAAGCCTCGATACACGAGGGCCCTTTTGCTGCTGACGGATCACCATCCGCTTCCACGGACATGCGTTCTCATGGAATTCCTGTGTGGGGTGGGATGGCTATTATTGCAGCGTTCTTTGGTATGCTGAAGGCATCCGTCCTCGATCTGCAGTGATTGATATTGTCACAGTCTCCTTGATTATCGTCATCGTAACCCGCGCCATGTTGGACACCCCACCTTTGGAGTACAATTTGTTCGCTAACATGTACCTGGCCGGCACAATTATCTTTGGCGGTGGTCCGGTGGTAATACCATTGCTCCACGAATATGTGGTACAGCCAGGGTGGGTGTCTTCGAGGGACTTTCTGGTTGGTCTTGCTATAATCCAGGCTTCCCCAGGACCAAACTTCAATTTCAGCGTATATCTGGGGGCCCTTGTAGTTCTAAGGACCAACCAACCTACCATCACCGGTGCATTTATAAGTTACATTGGTATTTTCTTTCCAGGCTTGAAGCTTGCCGTGGGCGCTCAGGGCATTTGGAGAGTTCTTCGAACCCGGCCTCTCGTTGTTAGCCTGCTCCGGGGGATCAATGCCACCGCAGTCGGATTGGTGTTTACAGCAGTATATCGGCTGTAGCAAATCGGATACTTAACTCCTACAGAGAATCAAGGCCAGAGCCTGCGGATAGAGCCGTGGTGGGTCGTTGTTGCGGTATTAACCTATTGTGAATGCGCATAGTTCAGAGCGGCAGCACCACTTGCAATTGCTTTTGGTGCTATTTTAGGGATAGCCTGGTATGGCGTTGCTGGTAGATGATGAGGCGATGGCAATAACAATAGCAATCAACAATAGGAGGCGAAGTCGGTGTATCAAAGTCGAAGTGGCCGAAAGGTAGGTTTTCCAGGCTAACCTTCTTTGGAAATTGGGGGTTGGACCCTCCGCTCTCACTAGATCATACTAGGCCTAGCTCTCGCCTGGCAACGAGGTCGAGGAAGGTGCAACCCCGCAGAAGTTCTAGAAGCTTAGTCCGACTTCCTCAAATCCATCGTTTCGGTGAAAATCAACCCTCACCGTCGCGCTGTAGCTTTCTTACCACACAAGCATCCAATCATTGGTTTCCCTTCGAGTGGCCGGTGGATCTAATGGAAATTCGATGCTGGCTCGCCGAGATCAGCCCTGAAAGCTTCCACAGATGAAGAACAAGTCCGGCGAAAAAGGAGGTGAACGGTCGGCAGCGTGCTTGCAATGTGGGAAGACTTTTGCCCGGTCTGACACCCTGCTTCGCCATGAGAAGAGTCACCATTCCACGGAAGATCGAGGACCTATCCATCGCGTCACTCATGGTACCTTTCGAGCGTGTCACGGATGCGCGTCGGCTCGATCGAGGTGCTCAGGTGGAACTCCTTGTGGGCGTTGCAGCGTTCGCAAGCTAGAATGCATCTATCCGAACAAGCGTCGCAGGGCGACTACTGCTGATGACCACATTAACTTCGGAAACGATGCCCAAAGTCTGCCTCTAGCTGGTCAGTTCGGTCAGCTGGTGTTTGCAACCACTGGAGATGGGCACTTCCCATCACAAGACAAGCTCGCCACAAGAAACACGTCAATCACTGAAACCTTTCATAATGATGGCATCCAATATAGCAACGCTGGTCGATACGACCAATCAACATCTTCCGTCAACTATTCCTCGAGTAACCGATCCCGGCCAAGTGTTGCCCCCGCAGTGGTAGATCTAGGTGCTCTAGATCCAGCTACGAACCAAATGGTGGGCCATGAAGATTTTACGAATGCGCAGATGTCGAATCAATATCCTGGTGATTTTACAGATCAAGCAGAATCCTATGACTATCCCACCTTCGATGAACCCTTGAACTGGATACCACCAAGTATCTATCCGTCCCCGTACGACGCTGAGCTTGAACAAGACTTTTCCTTCATTTTGCCAACCCTGAGCGACACGCCTGATCTTGGGCAGGATTTTACTTTGGCCTTGCCCATCGACGGAGGTGCACAATTTTACCATGTTGCTCCCAATGCGCCCCTCGAAACGGCGCGTTCTCATGAGCTTGTCCCCGCAGCTCTGGGCCCAGAGCAGAGTCCCGCTTCCTCCACGAGCGACAACGCAATGTTTGGGAACAAATCTACGCATTCAATCTCACATATTTCTGACCCTAAGCGAAAAAAGCGAAAGCCTTCATTGATCCCAGATATATTTTCTGCACCCCGGGTAAAGCGAACCACATACTCGTTTCCCGAGAATTCAGACGACCTTGGAGCGGCTTCTTCTTCTAGTTCTCCAGATTACTGCACTCAGGACATATACAAAACTATCGCGAGCTCCTTTCAAGCTCTTTGCCTGCAGGAGTCGTTCGCACACAGGGGCTTCGAGACATCGACATTTCCCAGCATTGGCGATCTCAATTACTGCCTTGCTCTTTATTTCGAGTATTTTCATCCCACTTACCCTTTAATTCACCTTGCAACTTTTGGATGGCAAACACATTGGCTCGTAATCCTTGCTGTCGCCACAATCGGCAGCAACTTTATCAAATCACAGCGTACTGTTGATCTCAGAGACGCATTCCAGGAGTTCTTACGCCGAGCGGTTTACCAACACGCTGAAAGTGCTCCGGATGGCTCAATAGACATTCCCTTGGCACAGGCTCGCATTCTGAATCTGATAGGTCTGATCCAAGCGGATCGAGAGCAATTGAGAGCCCTCGCACCTCGTTACCACGCAGATCTGTCGCGTTGGTGTCTCGAGTCAGGAGTTCTGCAAATGACGGAGAATTTTAACCTTCCTGATGCCATGATGGAGCCCAGTGAGCGAGAGAGTCCTACGGAGATATGGGAGAATTGGATAAGATTGGAGTCGCTTCGAAGGATAGGATATATGTCGTGGATGCTCGATTGCTGTCTTGGGTATATGGCGAATGCGAGACCGTTGTGCAATATGGATGATGCAAGAACACCAATGCCTTGTTCTGAAGTGCTTTGGGACGCCTTCACAGCAGATACTTGGTATGGAGTGTTCCAAAAGACTCCTCAAACACCAAGCCTCTGTGTAGGTCTTGAAACACTATACAGCAAGAAGAAAGTCGACCCAACTTACAGCGACCTCTCCCACATATTACTGATCCATACACTCTATCAGCGGACCTGGGAGGTTGGCACACACATAAAACAACCCTTGTCTGAATGGGTTCCAACTGGAAAAGCCAGAGGATTCCTCAATACGCCTACCAAAGATAACTTTTGGCTTCCTTTGTACCCGCTCTACGCAAATTGGCGCAACAGTGCTTGTGACTGTCTTGACGTCATACATTGGCAAGCATCCAGTACCGTCGCAAAGGCTTCCGGAATTGAGCATGGCGTGGTGTTGCACCTACACCTGGCACGGATTGTGCTTCTGACCCCTTTCCAGGAAATCCAGGATCTCCTGTTCTGCTTGATCGGCAAAGTCGACAACTCGTCCAAGGCGTCTTTCTACGTCCATGATGGCAGCTATCAGCCTCGCAATAGTACCAAATTGCCCCAGATTCGGAAGATCATTTGGCGGTGGCTACGTGAGGATCAGCACAAAGCACGCTTGGCGATGGTTCACGCAGGCTCAGTCTTTTGGTACGTTCGGCGATACTATTCGGCAAGCTTTTACGAACCCATTTCAGTCTACTTGGCGTCGTTGGTGCTTTGGACATACGGGTCATATCAAAACGCTGCTCTTGAGCGTGACGCAGCGATAGCCTTGCAACGACCAGAGGGAGGACCCAGCGGCCCAGATGCCGGGGCCACGGTGCAGTCCACTCGGATGGAGAGGAAGGAGCACCCTGTGAAATTCATCGCCAAAGCGGCTGCGAACGTTGAGAACCCTCCTGTTGCGGTAGACACCAACAGGACTACCTCTACAGATTCAATGGGAAAGGACAACCTGACGTCTCCAGGTGCTGCAGATCGAGATGCACGAGGTCCATCTCAATCTTCAGCACAGCAAGCAGCCGATTCCGATAGCGAAGACAACTTCTCGTCTTCTGATGAGCAACCCGAATTCATCCATCTAGATCGACCATGTGACGATGAGATAGTCCACCATTTTGTACGCAATGGTCATAACATGTCAGGGCATATGAGCAATGTTGGAGACATCTGCAAGGCACCCCACAAAGTTTTACTGGAAGGTGCTAAACTTTTGCGGACACGACTTCCATGCTGGGGTGTCAGCAGGGAATATTATGACATTCTGAACAAATTGGCCGAGTTGCGAAAAGCCGGCTGAATATTTCCTGAAATTCGGCTATTAACGTGCCCAGAATGGCATTGTGATTGGGTAGCCCAAGGGCGGTTGGGAGCTGTTTTCGTTTCTATTGGGCTAACAATACTACATGTAATATTGTGTTCAGTACCAGCCACACTAGGAGTCAGACGACATCAGGAGATATCAATGTAAATGCTCATAACTCCCGTATTTCTTCAAGAAAGATTGATGTCTGGTGGTCATCTGATCCTACATCATCTGCACCCAAACACATTCAAGTTCAAGATTATGACAAATAGAGGCGATCATGGTAGAAGAGGTAGTGGTAGTAGTATTGGTATCTCACTTCAATTGCAAGGAGTTTCGGTAGTAATCAAGGCACAAAGGGGGTAGCAATACGGTTCATCCCTGCTGAGAAGTCTTGCGGACATCACGCAGGGTGAAGGCAAGATGGAAGGAAAAGTAATGCTAACGAAGCACTTAGCATGCTAGCATTCAAACCACATCATTCACCACAGTCCCGCCTGGTACTGGACATCCTTTGTAGATAATGGAACATAGCACATCTGTCATACCACAATGTTGCCAATTTCACTCCACAGCCGAGGATGAAAGCCTCATGAGAACTTTACTCAACCCAGCTGAGTTTGGGTGCCGTCAGGGAACAATTTAGCTCGCAACCTTTTCCTCATGTGTGGTGCTTCCATGCTGCTTGACCTGCGCCTCGGCGGTGATCTCGTTCAGTCGGTTTTCCAGATCGTGGCTTGTGTAGCTGTCTTTGCTGGTGCCGATGACGATCCAGGGAGCGTTGTTGAAGAGGTAGTTCATCTCTTCCAAGGGTCGGCGCGCGGTTTCAGGGAGGGTCAGCCAGAAGAACAGTGCGTTCGTTAGGTTACAGACAATGAAGAGGTAGTAGAATTTGTAGCCGATGTTCGTCATTGCGATGGGTGTTACTTGACCCTGTGGCGACGAAGAGATGGAGAGTTAGCTTTTGGATAAGACATATTCGGGCCGTCGGGTATGGATTTCCAAGGGATTTGACTTACGATCATAGTGTTGAATGCAAAACTCGTCATGGTCGCAATGGACACGCCCTTGCTTCGGGTCCGGGTGTCGAAGACCTCGGACGGGATGATCCAGCTGAGAGGGCCGCAAGTGCAGGAGAACGAAAAGTTGTAGAGCCAAGTCATGATGATGAAGCCCCATTGAGCGCTGCGATTGTTCGAAGTTCCAGGCGGGAATGTCGCCAGCAGGATCGTAGCAATGATGAAAGTGACCATGTTTCCGAGATTGCCTAGAATCAACGGCCAGCGTCGGCCGGTTCGGTCGATGAACAGGATTGTGCAGAATTGTGCGATCAGTGCGATGATGCTGTTGATCCCCTGGTATTTCAGGGTGTCGTCGCCCGAGATGCCGATTTGGCCGTAGATGGTGACGGAATAATACTGGATGGCTGAGACACCTGTCATTTGCACGGAAGCCTGGAGTGCGCAGCAGATGAAGAGTCTTCGAAAGGCGGATCGTGACTTGAAAAGCTCAAAATATGACTTTGCTTCGTGTTGATGTTCGTAAGTGATCGATGCTTGAATCTGTTCGAATTCCGCCATCACCCAGGGATCTTGGGTGTTTCCATGAGAATGTAGCTTCGCGAGCGTTTCCAGTGCCTTTTCGGGCCGATCGTGGTCCATAAGCCACCTGCAAGATAAGTATGAGATTTGTTACCTTAAAACGATTGGAGGGAGCACTTACCTTGGCGATTCTGGAAAAAGGAAAATCAAGGCCGCCAAAAATACGGCAGGGACAATTTGCAATCCAAGGGGGACTCGCCACTGCGCGCTGTTGGTCTTGATGTTGACATAGGTTCCCCAAGAAATCCACGCGGCCACCAGCGCACCCACACCTAACATGAACTGCTGCAAAGCCGTAATGCGTCCTCTGATGCTTGGGTGGGCCAATTCAGCCTGGTAGAGCGGTATGATCATAACCAGAAAGCCGACGCCTAGTCCGGCAAGAAATCTTCCAGACCAGAGGTAGGCGATGGTTTCTGCGCCCGTCTGGAGGCCTCCACCAAGACAGAAAATGATGGCGCCGATGACAATAGTCCATCGGCGGCCAAGATAGTCACCGCTCGGGCCGGCGAACATCGCACCGAAGAAAGCTCCGGTCGTGAACATGGATACCACAAGACCAGACTCGGTGTCATTCGGGTGAAATTTGTCTTTGAACGTGTTGCTGGCGACAACCTCGGCGATGACACCCAAGTCGTAGCCAAAGAGGTAAGAGCCAAGAGAGGCAAAGACGCCGACTAAGAATTGATACCATTTCGGCGGAAGAGCCATATTGTTTATTGTCACCCTCCGCTTGTCGTAGTGCTTCCAAGATGAGGATTCTCGATTCAGTAGTATACGAGGCGCAAAATTAGCTTGTGCAAAGCATCGGATGCTGAAGATGCAAATCGAAGATATAGATATATCAGCAGAGCATCAGCCCTAATATGTGACAGCAAGACTCCCAACAGGTGCTAGGACCGGTGGATATTTAACGGCGGCTTCCTTGTTAGCTGCAGATTCATCCCGTGAATTTTCCCACACAAGACAAATCCCCGCAGACTCCGAGCATACTAGCATAAGGTGACCAAAGACCAATGGCTGTTCACCCCGTCACACGATCCGCAAAAGTTGCATTGTACTCCTGCTGGAGTGAGAAGCGGGCAAATGTAGAGGAAACGCCGGAGGAGGATGAAGGGAAATTAGCGCGATAATTTGAACCCTTGTGGATATCAAACTCCGGTGTAAGGTGGCATCGCCAAATCTGGAAGTTGTCCGGCGTTGCAACTCTGATCAGGTCATCACGATTGTCCCAGCCTCTGGTTGCATCTTGGTCCCTCTCGTCACTGTGAGTCGTGACTTCAACAGCTTCCAGTATTCTCCAATCCTAGCTGCGATCCACTGCGACAGGGTTACGGGGACAAGTCTCGGTGTCGTCTACCCCAGAGCGTCAGCCTCACAGATAAATGCGAATGGTTCGCAATTCTATTGACCGTGAGCCTTAGTAATTGTGTCCCACGCTCCTTGCCGTGGAATCTGGAATCGTGCGGAGTTGCCCAGATACGGCCACCGTGAATACTCCATGTTCTGGTATGAGGTACTGACTCGGACTTTATTAGAATTGAGGAGACTCGCCCGGCGGGACTTACACCGAGAATCGACTTCGAATTTAGGCAGATTTCCCGTAACGCCAAAACTAGTGATACCAAGAATGAGTCTCCAAATTCTAGGTATTTGAGACACTTTGTTGTCAAGCACTACGACCAACTTGGTAGAGAATTGCTATAAACTACAGACGTCAATCAGAGTGAACAGCCATAACTATCGACCTAGAAAGGCACACGAGTTTGTACAATCATGACAACCTACACCCAGACGTCGTTGGCCCCTTCAATTACAGTTTTTGCTTCTCACAAAGTTTCGAAGATAAATCGGAACATATACTCTGGGTTCACTGAGCATATGGGAAGATGCATCTACACCGGGCTTTTCGACCCGACTAACCCAAATAAAGACCTCATAGACTCGAATGGATTTCGAACCGATGTGCTGGAGGCATTGAAGCCATTAGACATTCCGATATTCAGATATCCCGGAGGCAACTTCTGCGCAACCTATCACTGGCAAGATGGGATCGGCCCCGTGGAGTCGAGACCAGCCAGAGCTGAACTGGCGTGGGAAACCGTCGAGACCAATCGCTTCGGTACTGACGAGTTCATGAAGTGGTGCAAGGCTGTCAACGCTGAGCCATATCTATGTCTCAACTTTGGTACCGGCACGCTCGACGAAGCCATGGCATGGGTTGAGTACTGCAACGGCACCAAAGACACCTACTATGCCAACCTCCGACGGAAGAACGGCCACGCTGAACCATATAATGTGAAGTGGTGGGCCCTCGGAAACGAAATGTGGGGTGACTGGCAGGTCAACCAGATGACTCAAGAAGCGTACTCAGAGCGTGCACACCAGTGGGCGAAAGCTCTAAAGCTCCTCGATCCCAGCATCCAGCTCATCCTCTGCGGCAGAGAAGGCGCTACGACGTGGGACTATACCACTTTGAAACGCAATATATTACCTGCTGGGATGAGTGATTTGGGGGAAGAGCGAGGGCCTCTCATTGACTTGCACAGTATCCATTTATACACAGCTAGTGAAGACCACTATGAGAATGTGACCGCACCGTTGGCAGCGGAACGTCACATCGAGGTGTGCTCTAGCCTGATCGACCTCGCGATCATTGAGAACAAAATCCCTCCAGGTCAGAAGAGACCCGGCATCACATTCGATGAATGGAACGTCTGGTCTCCTACGAGAGCACCAGGCAGCAAAGGCGGAGAAGAAAACTATACTTTGTCCGATGCTCTTGGAGTCGCAGTATGGCTGAACGTCTTCATCCGAAAGTCCAAGGACGTGGAGATGGCCTGCATCGCACAAAGTGTGAATGTCCTCAGCCCGCTCATGACGAACGAGAAAGGTATTGTCAAGCAGACGACATGGTGGCCGTACGAGCTGTTTTGCAAATACATGAAGGGTCACACCATTGCCGTCCATGTAGCGAGTGCGGCATACGAAGGTCCCACCAAGCCTGCATGGGTAAGAGCATTAAAGGATACTCCTTATCTAGATGTCAGTGCCACTTTGGATGATGAGGGCTGGGTCAATGTTGTTGTGGTCAATCTCCATCTTGAATCCGACTTGGAAACTTCGTTTAGCGGTCTTGCAGAGGGAGCGGTAGTGAGGGTGTACACGGTTACTGGATCACACGCGAAAATCACGAACATGGGAGGCAAAGAAGAGGTAAAAATAGAAGAATCGAACTGGGACGGGAAGAATGGGAAATTTGTGTTTCCAAAATTATCCATGACCTTGTTGAGATGGCAATCCTAGGCCATGCATAGGCTTAACAGCTAGCTAGAGTTTTAGACTTACACGAGCATCCCTATTGGAGCCCCCACGCTGAAGGCGATCATTTCCCTCCCCTTATTTCTCAAGCCCACTGTTTCACAGAGGCTTCCACGACCTCATCAAGAGTCAAGGGAGGCAATGTCAGATATTCATTCCCAAGACGGGTGACACCTTCCGTGACGAGATTACTTCCATACCCGTCAAGAAGGAATCCAGCTTGAACCAACTTTATCGCTGATGGCATGTCCTTGTTTTCAACCCAAGAGCTTTGCGAATTTTTGATGATTTCCCGTGAATCGACGTGGCCAATATCGTATGTGACATTTTGAAGCTTCTGTAACGCACTAATGATCTCTTTCTGGCTGGCTTCGAAGCCGTGGAGAGGAACAACTTTATTCGCAGTCAGCTCGCCGGCAAGGAGAATTTGTGCGATGCCTTCCGCAGCCCAGGGAAGTGTTGACCATGAAAGCTTGTGGGTTCCATTATTCCAGAGCTTAGCCGTTCGAGTTTTAATGTTGATATCAGCAAACGAAATATCTGGTTCCAGGGTCCTTTGCAAGACACTTAGTGATAACCAATGCGAAGAAAAGAGATAGATCTACCAATCGAGCCACAGCCCTGTGGCCACTGAAGTCCACGATAACCCGGTCGACTCCTTCGATTGCAGGTACTCGATGAAGCCGCCCTTAGCATCAAAGACAGGCGAGAGCGCCCGAGCAGTAGGGGCTGTGTTATTAACACCATACTCTGAAGGAATGAAGCGCTTGACCTTGGCCTCGATAGCCGCTTCAATGAGTGCGTTTTGGACAGAGATCGACCCGAATCCAATAGCGGAGATCAAGACATCTTGTCCGACCAGTATCTTCACTAATTGATCATGAGGTGTGTCATTGTTGACATAATGAACCTTGACCCCTTCGGGGAAACTTGACTTGGAAGACGTTCTTGCAATGATATCAACTGTAAATTGAGATGGCTTTGCTGCTAGACGTTTGACAATATGGTGCCCAATATTTGTACCGCCGGCCTAGATGTGTCAGTCTCTGCACAGTCTTCTTCATGTTTGATTGGTTTCTTTACGCCAAATACTGTCACTCTCCTCAATTCTGAACCTGCTGCTGGCATTTTGATGGGTGTTAGTTTGCAAATATTCCCCGAGGGCGAGACACTATGTTTCCGGTTAATGCGACTTTCAATGTTGACTGGAAGTTCTGACAGAATGCAATCATCCGCAGATCGCTTTACATGTTATATACAATATCTGACGATTCTCTCTAAGGCCTTACCTCATGCTGTTTTTGCATGGAAGATGCTAGACTGTCGCATGCCTCCTGGTAATTCGTAAGCATTGCATCAATCATTGTTTGCAGGGGCACACTTGAGAATTTTACTTGTTTCAGCTCGATTGGTTTGGATGAAGCCTCGAAAAGATTGATTGCAAAGTGGCGGGGCAGATTCCTGAATTCAGGTCACCCACAAATACACCTTATCGCGATTAGTCAGTGACCAAGGGGGAGGATCACCAGTTAAAGGTGTCACAGTTTGACCTGATGCCATGGAAGGGCTTTGAGGGATTACGGATGCGAAAGTATTAAGCTGTGCCTGTCTAGCCGCTGAGTTAGCAATATTGTCGCCATAAGTGCGGGTAATCGCGCATATAAATAAATTACCCAATCGAGAAATACGTCTAAACTTCTTGGCACATCCATGACGACACAGGTGGCTACGTATATGATTTGTAGAACCGTACAGGCGCCAGCAACACAGGAGGACAAATGTTCTCGGATTCTCAAACTTCCGAATCACGGTCATTATGATTGTTTTGGTTGTTCCAAAAATGTGGGGGGTGCATCGGTGGATTTTGCCTTGTCTCGAGTAACTCATCTGCTACCCGATCATATCAATCGGAGCAAAACCCCCTTCGAACCGCAATAACCTTCAACGTGTTTCTTGCACAAGACATAAATCGGGCATATGGTAATCGAACATATTCAGATACCTCTCATTGGCTTACTTCTGCCATCTTGGGACGACCGAAGCATACGCATCATCCAGGGGCTTGACAACTTTCTTCCAGGCAGGGCGAGCACTGACATTGCTCCACCATTTCTGCAAGTTTGGCCTGCCCCCCAAAACATCCATACATTGGTGGACGACGTGGATAGTTGGCATATAATTTATATCAACCAGACTGTACTCTTCCCCACCGAGGTAAGACATCTTCGACAAAGCCTTGTCCAATACATCCAAGCAATTTGCAAGGCGCGGCTTATGTCTCCCTAAAACCGCCTCATCTACTGGTCGACCCATAGCTCTTCGCTCGAATTAGTAACTAGTGCCCTCAATCCTTTTGCCGAATCACTTACGGTGCGACGAGGCTTTCAGCAATGATTGGGACCGCGTGAACATTGAATTCCTCGACTTCCAGAATCATCCACATGCCGAAGGTTCCATTTATCTTGGGATCATTGACAGCGGGCATTAACTTCGGACCCGTGTTTAAGTATTTCATAGCCAAGTATCGTGCGATCGCTCGAGATTCAAAAAGAATGAAATCTCCATCCTCCATCAGAGGGACTCTGCCAAACAGGGACTTTTCCCAGAACTCCGGGGTCTGGAGACAAGTCAACTTCAACTTCTCTTGAGGACAGTCAGTGATTCACCTTGTGGTTACCCGTAATGATATCCGCAGGCACTGTCTCAAAATCTTCAATTCCTTTCTCAGCCAGGACCAGCTCCGGGCGCAAACTATTGTATGAAAGCGGAGTTGTCCACAGCTTGAGGGACATCTTGGTCTTGGCCTATCCGTTGGTCAAGGAGCAATTGAAAGCCAATGGAATCAATATTCACTCAGACAGGTACTATGTAATTTGATGTCTGGGTAAGGTGAGTCAAACTCCTCTCTTTATGTGCCCCGAGTGCTATTTTGGGCATCTCGTATTACATTGAGAATATACGATCATCCTGCACTTAACGTTATCTATCCCAAAAGTCGGATCCTTCCATTTGACGTGTCCGTGCAATACCAGGGCGTTTCGTGTCTGTCGCACTTCGAGCTGAATGTCAAGGCTTATTTTGCGACCACTGACAGGCCTCTACCACCAAACATAGAGTTGCGGTCTCGTATTCCTGCAAGATGCCAAGGCTACCCCCCTTCACAAGGTGGGATGTCATGTCACCGTACCGAGTTCAAACGGGCATGAACATCAGCCTCACCGTCATGAAATTCATCCGTGGGAAATGAGGAGAAGAAGTCGTCAACGTAGTTTCTCATCTCCAATCTGCATATACAACGTTTCCTGCGATTCTCCGCCTCTATCTATGCCAGCCGATTCGCATGACATTGCAGCACTCATTCGTTGTGATGACATAGCGCCACTTTATTTCCTATGCATGAGCATTCAACATCGACCATGAAGGTTGAAAGTTCATACTGAGAGCGCCTAACTTGACTCAGTGATACCTGTCGTCTGTCATTAGCAGTTCGATTTCCCAGTTGGAAAGCTTTTCATTTTCGGGATGACTTGAGTATAGCCAAACTCAACGTTGGCATAGTTGATAAGAGAACAATGCTACGAGGGGTAGATCCGCTTGCACTCATGTTTACCGCTTGATGGTCAGTACCCATCGACAGGAAAACAGGTTTAACCGAACCAGTCACACTGGTTGCCTCTCAACTTGTGTCCCAAATCACGCTCTTCCAACCTGTCCATTGGCAAGATGGCCATCGTACTCTTTCTTTTTCCCCTTGCCCCTTGCCCCTTGTCGTAGTGGTGAAGGCTTGTAGAAGACTCCCAGCCTTCCGTTTCGCAAGCGATCATATAGGTGGTCCAAGGTCGTGCGGTTTCGAGTCAAGCAATTCCCGCGGAAGCTTTTCGTGTGGTTCAACCTCTACCCTTAATCACTTCCTCCTAAGATGAAATTCCTCTGAAGGCCCAAGCTGGTGATTGCTTCAGAATCCGCGAATACCTTAGGTCTTGCCGCTAGCTATGGCAGAGAGGCGGTGCTGCAATTGAGAACTGAGAACGGTTTGGTAACGATGACGTCGGCGCGCAGATCAAGGACATCTGGTGATCTTCGTGAAATGCGATTTTGCCCATGACCAACGCATAACCGAAGTGACTGTTGGTCGCATAGCCGGCCCCCGAATAATGGTTATACTACTTGGCTGCACGCGTTGTTCAGTCGCCAAATGCACATGTGAGTTTGCAATTTGGGCTCAGGCTCAAACCTCTTTTCAATGTCGATTCTGTCAATGTCGATTCTGTCAATCTCAAGCTCGGTCTCTGACGATTCACAGCCGACAAGCAGTGATCTTCAGGGTGGCACAAGGTTTCAGTCTGAGAAATGCACCTGCACTGCCCCCATGAAAAGTGCAGCTACCATACGAGACCGGGCGAGATTCAACTTGAACAGGGGAGGATCCCGACTTGTTTATTTCGCGGCATCCAGAGGAGTCGGGGTCCCAGATAGTCCCACAAATTCTCAGATTTTTAGGAGGGGCCGACTTGACAATCCTCGCTCCTCTCCCGCCAGTATATGAGGTGACAGGGGCTTTGACTTTCTTGCGGACAACAAAGGGGCAATAGGCACAGAGAATAGAAGCGACATGGTAAGCGTAAAAGGCTCCAGATAGCGCCAGATCGGCGCTGACATAAACCTGCGTCCGCATTTTTCGAGAGTCATTCATCCATCCCGCAACGTTGGTCGTGTTCGCTGCCCTAGTACATAACCATGGACTTATTCTGCAAATCCAGCGCGACACTAAATTCCTTCGGGCACTGGAGACCATAAACGACTTTCCACATTCAGGCCTTATGTCGAATCCATGAATCGTTGTCAATGGAGCAAGGTTTTGCCAATCATAGAATGATTGTGGCCATATTGGTATTACGCTACATCCAGATATTAATCCTGCAGATGAGGCTAACCAATGATGTTCCCCGGGGGGGGGGGGGGGTGGTACTTCACCTTTTGGCCTGGTGTTTCTCAATATCTCGATTGCGACGTTTTGAAGGATCATAATGTTGCAGCTTTAGGGCTGTCCTTAGTTGATCCAGTGAATCCACAGGAACTACTCACATTCTCATGATGCGAAGGCCCAGGTGGCGACCAGAAGCACCCGAGATGAGCAGCAACCCAAGAGCGATTTGAGAATGCTTATGCGCAGATTACCGTACAGCATGAGCAGGCACGGTTCAAATATTTGATCCGCGGAGTTGCTCTTAGATTCAGATCATGTTTGAGCCTTGTAGTGACGGAATTCATAGGCCCTCCCCATTGTGGTTTTAGCTGACTGAAAGCCCACGGAATCTTGTGAGGACGCTGAACATTATCTTATAGGACGCAAACTTGAAACCCTCGAGACAGTCCAGAGGCGGGCGCCTTGAGCTATAGACATACCGCTGAGAGAAGATCAATCGCCGTCTTTTGATCCATGAAGAGCATATGCAGCTTTGGTCTCTCTAGCGGTCGAGTGGACAGCTGCGGAATGAAGATTCGTTCTATACACGAGCAACATCGTCCCGTGCGCCTTCAGGGACATAGACAAGCACAACAAACTGAGCGGTAGGTGCAGAGAGTAGATCTGCTCCAAAGCCCTACAAGGTACGGGTGCAGGTCAGTACCGAGCATCTCGTATTGCTCCTCGGAAACGGTTCCCAACCCTGGAATTTTAGGGATGTCGCTTAGTCCCGCATGCGAATCCTTCTGTCAAGGTCCCTAGAACTTTCCATCAACGCATTCCAATCGAAATATTTCGATGGACTTGTAGTGGGTCGCCTCACAGGCACGTTCCGTCGTGAATAGTGGCTGAATCTGATATGGGTTATCGCATCTCTCCCTATGGTAGAGGGCATTTACTGTATAATTCATGCGTCAATTAATATTCCATTGCTCTAAAATTGGGGGCGATGCCAAGACTGCGCTACGGGGATCTCGGCAAACTTGCCTATCATGACACCAACACACGCCTCAGCTCGGCGAGTATCTACAATCTGTCTTGCCATCGCTCTATCTACCCACTTATTATTCAGCATACTAGCGACTCGTGACCTTGGATGGGATTTCCCGGGTTCTTTTTCAAAAGCTATGGTACCGGTGCCTTGACGAGACTACAGAATCCTTCCAGCATCGCGCCGCCGAGGCTTCAGCGGAGTTACTCAGAATTGCGGCTGTGATCAGACGATCGTATTTTCAACCGGAAGTCCGTATGTCATTGATGGGACGCCCCTTCACCTGATTGATATTTGAGTCAAGCCCACGGAACCGAAGACGTCCTGTGGATCCCACATCACTATAACAAAGTATAACATCAGTTTTATTCACCATGCCCGCTAAGACTGGAGAGCAGGACCAGTCAAACACTGTCGCCACGCCTTCGAAAGGCCGGGCGAAACCTCCAAGTTTACTCGCCTGCATCCCCTGCAGGAAAAGCCATCTCAAATGCGATGGCAAGAAACCCCAGTGCAGCAGATGCTCAGACCGAAGCGGAGCATGCTTCTGGGTCGATTCCAAGAGAGGATATCGAGAATTCCGTAAAGGTTACCACTCGACAAGCGACGTCAAATCACGGAATGACGCCAATGTTAGCGAGTCAAAGCCGGGGATCTCGTTAGAGGAGTACAACTCCAACGTAGATCCGACCCAGGTCCGACAGATAACCTATGAGGAGATATTCCAATCAAATGACCCAGCATTCACCGGTCTTCCCCTCGAATTTCAGCCTGTTCAAATGATAACGAACTTGGCAAGCGGCAGTCCAAGCAGTCGCAGCGACTCGACACTCTCCATTACACGCGAGATCAACCCAATCGTACAGAGTGAACATAAGAGGCCTACTGACCTCATCGAACTCTTCTACAAGCACCTATACCCGCCACATCCATTCATCATCCCCTGGAAATTCTATCTCCAAAACCCTTCTTTCCTACCCACTCCCTTGAAATCGGTTTTGAGATTCGCCGCGAGCCATTATGTGCCCCACGGTAATCCATCTCTTCTCCAGGCTGCTGCAAACGAAATCCTATCAGATGATGTGCCGGACGATGGCTTCAAAGTCCAGGGTCTCATTCTTTATGCTTTCGTTTCTCATGCCCGCATGGACGAGGACTCAGGTGCGACTGCTCTCATGAAGGCAGTCGGTATCGCCCTGCAAATTGGTATGAATCGAGAGACATTCGCCATCCAGCATGGTCAAGACAATCCTATTCTCCAAGAATGCTGGCGCCGAACATGGTGGATGTTGATGATTCTAGAAGGCCTCGTAACCGTTATCGGGGGCCAAGGCACGCCGTATACAACATATGCGACCTTCACCGACGTCGCTTTACCTGGTCATGATGAAGACTACAACGAACTTCGTGTCTCGTCGCAACCGCGCACTGTCGCAGATCTACGGAATCGGATCCTCCTCGAAGATCCCTTTTCCTACTCATCATTCGCCTACGGAATTGAAGCTTCGTATATTCTTGGTGCAGTCCTGAGCCTCGGACCTGACAGCTTCGCAGTGACAGACCCGCAGATTGAAGCCCTTGATGCCAGTATCTCCAATTATTTCCTGTCCTTGCCGCTGGACAAACGGGATCCGACTCTCCCCGACGGCTCAGTCGATGAGTCACTTCTTAATGCTCACCTTGCCATCAACTGGGCTGCCATCGCCCTTCACCGACCTCGTTCCACCTTGACATTCATACGGAACCACTACCGGACAACATGCACACGAGCTGAAGCTGCAGGCCTCCCTGCCTTAGCCTATTCATGTCACACAGCAAAAGCATTGCGTGCTGCCAATGCAATGATCAGTCTAGCTTCTATACAACGACCCCTGTCATATTGCACCCCGGCGTTAATGTGTGGAATCACAACTGCTGCCACAGTCCATCTACCCGCATATGCAATCGTTGATCGACCTGATCAAGCAATCGCCATCAAGGAGCGGCTGCAGCTTGGTATCTCTGCATTAGCATCGTTTGGTGAGATTTGGCCCCGCGCAAGCATCGCGAAGGGCCAGGTAGCAAGATTTGCACGAGAGATACTGTTGAAGCCGAATGTTCTTGTTGACAGTACGGGTCCAGAACAAATGCCCCGTCTCGTGGAACCAACGAATTTTGCGCAGATCCAACATGACGCGCCTTTCAATAACGACGTCTGGATGGAGAACTTGCTACAAGCTGAAGAAGAGGATGACCCTGCAATGTGTCCTGTTTTCAACACGGCTTACGCTGTATCAAATGTGCATGGTTCTTGAGTCTGCCTTTTTGATGCTAAATGTTGCCATGGAATATCCACCTGCTGTGGAACGATGATGTTACACCTTTTCGATTTCATGTTCTTTACAGCCAGCTGTCACAATAACGTCACTTTGTGCAGTTTACGACCAAAAAGGAAATATCCGGGCTTCTCTTTTGCCAGTCTTGTGGGGTTGTCATTTGGATAAACTAGGTTGGATCTATCAGGCTAGATGGGGGCTCCCTGGTGGACCAAGTTTCCACGATGTATCCCAAAACGTATGTGTGGTCCGAAGTGAGCCACATTCTTCCGCTTTTTCATCCTTTGATATTCTAGCAAGGCTTCGCTTCAATGTATAACAATTATCTGTACACCAGGCCACTACTCATCGAGGCCAACATCAGTGAAGTCATTATCTCTCCACTCTCGGTTTGCAGCGATTTGCGCTCAGGAGACATCCAATGGTGCGTTAGTCGCCTCGATCTTGTGAAGCCACTCTTCAGCTTGACTTGAATACGAACGAAGTCTTGGCCATCTGAACGCGGGGCATATCCACGCTACTAGCAACCTTTCAGCTCGAGACAAGACTTGATGAATCTCAAGCGGAATATGACTACTCTGCCTTCCTTAGTTTCTAGGACTGGGCCTTCGTTGCCAAATTCACCAATATTGGCGGCAAGTGCCAACGATTGGGTCCAAGGAAACTCGAGAGCCCCTGCCACTCGACGATATTCAGGAAACGCCAAGCTATGGCACTGTGCCGTCTGTCAATATTCACATGAAGCAAGCAGCATCATGCTAGCTGCCTTGGTGTCGTCGTCACCTGGCTGTTGCCTATGCTCATTCTTGCTGGATCTTATCGCCGATTTCCGTCCCGAAACTGTACTAGATTCAACAGTGGGAGACGCTGACGCGATCGTGGACATCACTTGGAATTGCAATGTTAATATGCCGGGCGATCTCACGTACTATCCGGTCAAGCTCGAATGCCCACATCTTTGGCTACGACTGGAAATCTGTGAATCACCTTGTAAGTGTGAGACCGGCCATCCCTTAGCTTAGATGGAGATATGTGGGCCTTCAAACTGGTCACAGCTCATCGTCGGATGCTGCTTACCCTTTCAAGCCTATCCAGGTGACAGAACACCAGACTTGGGAAATCGAATCAGTGGAGACACAAGCTCGGATTCATCCTCCTTCAGAGCTAGCCAATGGTTGTTAGACTGTCTTGCAAATCACGATCAGTGTGGACCTGGAAATTCTAATAAGGCACGTCCATCGAGACTGCTTCACGTCGGCAAAACGTGGTATGGCCAGGGCGACTTGGAGGTGAAGCTGCTAGATTACCCGAACATCACAGACCGCGTCACCCCCCGCGACCCAGAGTATGCTTGTCTGAGCTATTGCTGGGGTGGAATCTCGGACATGACCACGACGAGAGCGAATCTTTACAAAAGGACGCTGGGTATCGACTGGGAGAGTCTACCGAAGACATTTCAACACGCTATTGAATTCACTAGGCGCATGCAAATCAACTATCTTTGGATAGATGCCTTGTGCATCATTCAAGATGACCCAGAGGACTGGCAGAGGGAAGCAGCACGTATGGGAGACATATATTCCAATGCGTTCTTCACGATATCCGCAATGACGGGTTCCAATAGCAGAGCGGGATTATTCTCCAAATCGTCCTCTGGCAGAGCTCCCGTCAGACCGTTTTATATCCCAGCCGAAGGACCAGCACATGTTCTATTCCGTGTTCGAGAAATCCTTCCCCACCGTGGAATGTACTTCGACGACTCGAATGGCTATTCCAGCTGGACCGGGGATTATCAAGACGGTCTCTTCCCGCTGTTGCGCCGGGCATGGGTGTATCAGGAACGGCTCCTTTCGCGGCGTATCGTGCACTTCACACCTCATGAGCTCGTCTGGGAGTGCAAAGGAAATGCGCATTGTGAATGCGGCCAAATTAAGCAAGGAGACAACGCGAACAGCGAGGGCCTCCTGAGTGCATCCAGGATCGACGCCCAGAAGTACAGCGTCATCAAGTCCAACATGAGATGGTGGCACAGTAAAGTCGAAGTCTACTCGAAACTGGACCTGACGTACGCAAGCGACAAGCTCCCCGCGCTGTCGGGTATCGCTGCTATGGTGCAACAACGCGTCGGCGGGCAGTACCTAGCGGGATTGTTCGCGGTGGATCTGTGGAACGAGCTACTATGGCGCATCGATGACCTCGACGGAGGAGAAGACAGGTGGTTTGGCAAGTCACGACGAACCCGAAGGGCCCCGGAATACCAAGGCCCATCATGGTCCTGGATCTCTCTATCCGGCGGCTTCGATGGGCTATATTTCCCACACGACTCTGACTCGCGCGCCCTCGAGACCGACGGCCGCTACGTCCAGATCCTAGAGATTAAATATACGCCCGTCGGGCTCGACCCGTGCGGCCAGGTGTCCAGCACACACATGGTCCTGGCGGGCTTTCTCGCGCCATGCCTGCTCCGCTATCCCCTCGAGCGAGCAGACCCAGAGGGCGGAAGAAACAAGTCAAGCCTGCACTACCTCTACTATGTGCAATTCAAGAAATACGAGCTGCTCATCTTCGCAGACTACCCGTTCGACGAGCCCGGCCCGCATCATATCCCCGAGCGGACGCGCCTGTACTGCCTGCGCATTGGGAAGGCGAAGTGGGAGCAGAGAGACAAGTCTCGCGATTACGGCGGCCGCAAGCCCCCGCGTGTGCCTGTCTGGAAGACCGCTGATCTGCTTGTTCTGCGTCGGACAGGGGCGGACACGGACGCAGACACTGCTGTCGACGGGCAGATAGCTCGGCAATTCCCCCGGAGGTGGCGCAGCGAGGAGATGTGCACGTACGAGCGCGTCGGCTTGCTCTCGGGCTTCTCGACGCTGCTGCAGGGCTCGGCGCCCGGGCAGCTCGCGATGATGAACGAGGAGGCGGATGAGGAGATCTTTGATCAGGTGGAGAGGTCTGTGTTTAGACTAATTTGAAAGGAGATACTTACGGCTGGGTTGTTGGAGCTGTGGACTTAGGGTTATTTTAGAAGCGCGATTTGAGACTGGACAAGAGTCGGTAGTCGCAACGATCTGCACCATGATTTAGAGAGACGAGCCACAGTTTCGCATTGTTTTACTGTCTTCACTAGTTGAAATAGTTATGTCATTACATCGTTTCAAGTTCAGCACTGGCTCTGCCTCCATCTCCATGCTCAAAGCACGAGGAATAGCAGCAGTAGCCGGGAAGGCGGCGTGCATGTTCTTCAAAAGTTCTATCCTCGGTCGTGGCTCGCTGTCGTTCAGTGTATGTTTAGGTTCCATAATTCGATAGAAGACCTGCTTCTCCACATCCTCACAGTTAGACAGTGTGTCAAAATGTTCTTGTGTGCCCCAATAATCCCGCTCGTTCAACCTCCAATATGAAGCCCCTGCGACGCCGCGCTCGGAAAAGAAAGCAAAGAAAAGAAACGTGAAGTACATGAAAGGGTACGTTCGACGCCTTTCCAGTCATCGTCGTCGGCAGCGACTAGTCCCGCATCGTGCCAAGCGTTAGAAGCATGGCAATGTCATCATCAATATCATTCATTCATCGACATCCATTGCTGTCCTCTCATCCCGCATCCTTTTTACCGCTGTTTTCTTGCACCCTCCACAGTACACAACCCCACAGTACAAACACTCGAAAGCACACTTGGACTTGTTGACCTTCTTCTCGAGCAGGTTCTGCTTTGGAGAAGATTTTGGCTCGCTGTCTTCCTTGTCGTCTTTCGTGCCTTCTGTCGTTTCTTCTGCCGTTTCCGTCGGTTGCTTGGTTTCCCACACTTTGGCACCCTCGAAACATGATAAGCAACCTACTTCCAGATCACCAAGCTGCTTTGGATCGACACCCACTAGCCAGAAATCTGGGATGTGTTGCTTCTCAAAGTCCCGGAACTGGTGTCGACAGCCCCAAATATCCCACGACTCATCACTGGGCTCCTCTCCAAAATCATCCGAATGATTTTCCCAGTCCTGTGCATCGGGGTCATCCAAATTCTCGAGTTCTGTAGCTGCGGCATCGGTGTTGGCTGCAGCTTGGTCTTCGGTGGGACCTTCTCCAATCACCTGCTGTTGGATGGTTCTTTCGGCAAGTGTAGAGGGGATTTGGGTTGCTTCGGCTGTATTGGTTTCCGCCACCATTTCTGGTACTACAATGTTCTCGGTAACAGGAGCAGATTCCTCAAATGTTACGTTGTCGGTTTCCGTTGTTGCCATTGGCTGCTCGGCCTGCACCATCTGATCAGGCACTGAAGTGTCAGGCTCATCTTCAGACTCAGAATCATTTGCATCAGGTTCCGACTCTTGCCCATCTTCTCTTGCCACACGACAAGGCTTCCTATAGCAAGCGTTGATAGGTCTTCGACAGTCCCAGCACCAATGAGCGCCGCATTGGCATCTGACGTGAGGACAGCCATACATTTTCATTACACCGGTGCCACATTTGGGACAAATCTTGTAGTGGAACTTATCCAAGATAATTTCACGCTGTCCCCCTTTGCCACAGGCGTGGTTCTTGCCAGCTTGCTCTTTGCATATGGTACAAACCATGGCAAGGCATGTGGGACAGATAACTTTGGTTGCGCCTTTGGCTATCAGACGAGGAGGAAGAAAGGTTGAACACCTAGGCACGGGGCAGTAGAGAGGATTTGGGGTGTTGTTTTCGTCGAATTTCAACTTGTAGGTGTCAATTTCTTCCATTGATAAGATTTTATTGGCGACATCGTGATGAACAACCATAGCACAGCACGTGACTGGCATTCTCTCCAGATCCGTCAACGCAACTTTGAACTCGGTCTTGAGACAATCATAGCAACGCGGGGAATTGCATTTGCGACACGGAGTAGAATAAGGGCCATCGAGTTCAACGTAGCAAACCTTGCACTGAGGCTTCGGTGGCTTAGGGGGATCCTTCCGAAGGCGTTTCCGAGGACGCCGTCTCGCATCAGGCTGTGAGCCTACCAGTTGCTGTGGCTGTTCCGATTCATCGTCTGCAGGGTTATCGATACCTGCGCTATCCATGTTGTTATGGGAGAATGGGTTGACCGAGAAAGTCTGGCCGTTAGTGATAAGCTCTGGGTGAGCAGCGAGGGCTCTGGCCGCCTCGGAGGAGTTGCGGAAGGAGATGATGCATTGGCGGATACACAAATCTTCACCGACGTTCTCTGTGTCGGTGGTGATATCCACATATCCCTCCAAATCCTGGAAGGCGCGAGTGACATCGGCGAGTGTCAAGTGAGGGAGGAGGCCAGGGTTGCTAATGATAAGTGAAGCAAAACCTGGTTGAGCCATTTGCTGCGAGTCATCAAACGGACCAGCGAGGGCAGTGACAGTGTCGGATGTGAAATCTGTTGGTAGTGTTGGTACTGTCGGCACCAATAGAGGACTGAGAGGGCGAAGAGAACGAATGCCAAGATTTATCAGAAGGGAGGACGTTGCGGCAGAGCTGGCGGCAGGATTGGCAGCAGCAGGGGTGGCTGTCGAGGCTGTCGAGGCTGTCGAACGCCGCCGGTGAAAAAGGCGGGTCAAGAAAGAGCAGGCCATCGTGTGAACAAAATGGGTGTCAAAACAAAAAAGATGTGAGGCTTCAAGTAGATTCTTTGATAGCTGATACAACAGCCTACATGGGTTAGACTGGGTGGGACTGGGCTGGATTGGGCTGGATCGCGCAGGCAGCAAGGCGCCAGGTACAAGACAATTTGATAGAGCAAAATACTCGGTAGATGGGACAAATTACCAAGCAACAGGCTTGAAGTAGCAAAGAGAGATGGTCAGGCAGATCTAAGGGAGCAAAGAACAAAGTGCAGAGAAGGATGCCTTATAAGCCAGTTCGCACGGTGGGCCACAAGGCTGCACATTTTGAGTCACATATCGGTATGCTAGGTTGACAGAGCAGGCAGACCGCAGCACTGCCTGCAATTGGTGGACCTGATCCAGGCTGTACCACCGGACCAGAATCTGCCTAGAACTATAAGCTGATCCTTGAATCCTTCGAGGGCACAGCCATTGGCCGGCGAGATGACTGCGTATGACTCCAAGTCCATTGAGAGCCCCGGCACTGCTGAGTATCGATGAGTTCGACCGAATCGCACAGGAGAGAAAGTCAATCTGAACCATTCTTCTAGACGGCCACATGCAGCAGATGATGAGATGATGTCAAAATCAACACCGGAGAATTGTTGAGGGATCCTCCAACAGGCATAGCCTCCGGAAAAACAGTCTATCCGGCATCGCCAAGATATCAATTATGCCCAGACGCGTTCCCTCCCGCTGCAGTGACTGGCTGGTTGACGCGTGACTTCCTGATGACCCTCAGCTCTGAGACGCACCGCAAGGTGCACTGCCATTTCTCCAGCATTGACTCGTTATCACCGCCAGCCCTCCCCCTATATCCACTACCAATGGCCCGACTCAAGCGTCGAGCGGACGCGATCTCTCGTGACCCTTCCGAATCCGATCCTGAATCAGACGAACCTCAACCACACCGCCGTCGCCGCTCGACTTCCGAATCGTCGAACCAATCCAACCCCTCCTCGGTGGCCTCCGATCACGATGAGCCCACCGGCCAGAACCAAGAGCAAACCCTCGTCAAGAAACTTGTCCGTCTAGCCCTGGCAACAGAATACTCTCGCACCCCGCTTCGACGGAGCGACATTTCGACCAAACTCTTCAAGGACAGTTATCTACCCTCACGGAATTTTCGCACGGTTTTCGATGGCGCTCAGAAGATTTTGAAAGATACCTTTGGCATGGAACTGTTCGAGCTACCATCCAGAGAAAAGATCAATCTCAAGGATCGTCGGTTGCAAGCCACCCAGACAAAGACTTCCAATTCCTCGACCAAAAGCTGGATTCTCGTTTCGACCCTCCCACCAGGCTACAAGACCAACCCGGCCATAATCCAGCCCACGAAAGCCCCAGATGTCGGCACCGAGGCCGGATACACCGCTCTATACACCCTTGTCATTTCCCTGATCTACCTAAACAACAACTCTCTTGCAGAACAGAAATTATCCCGCTACCTGCGTCGGCTGAACGCCGACACCAACACCCCTTTTGGCATGCTCGACAAAGTCCTCCAGCGGATGCAGAAAGAAGGATATATCGATAAGCGAAGGGACACCGTGATGGGGGAAGAAGTGACGGAATGGTTCGTGGGTCCGCGTGGAAAAGTCGAAGTCGGGATTCGAGGCGTCACCGGGCTTGTGAAAAGCGTCTACGGCCATGGCGCAGTATCACTGTTTAAGAGACAGCTAGACGATGACGAGGAGGCAAATAACTTGGCCAAGGTCGAAGGGGAGGAACTCAATGCTAAGCTGTCACGCAGTCTAGGCGTCAAGATCACCAGCGACACACGTGCTGCCCAACAAGAGGACGGGGCAAGTGAAGATGAATTGGCAGATGTCTCCGGAAGTGCTGACCCTGAAGAGGCAGGTCCTTCAAGACGGCGGCAACAGAAACAACCAGCCCGGGGAGGGAAGAGGCGGCAGGCAGTGCAGGATGATAATGACGACGACGACGACGACTAACAAGCGTCCATTGTACGAGAACAGGCCTGTACAATTTCTACGAGCGTGAATATCTATTCTCACTCACGAGAAACAGCCTCAAGGAGTTACTTGTCCGGGGACAATATGAAAGCCTAACCTGGAAGAATTGATGTTTCTACCAAAAGCTTCGTCCATATCTATGTGTCTATCAGTAATACCCAAGGAGAAATGAGAGAACGAAGTCGCCGTACTCAATCCGCACCACCGTATGGGAGAAAACACCGGTCGCTATGACCATGACCATGACCATGACCATGCCCAACCCTGACGATGCAATGTTCCTCTCGTGCCGCCGCCGCGGGAACCACTCCCAGAAAGTGTCAGTCTAGAATCGGTGGGTTGCCATACTGTGTCGCCAGTGGTGCGGAGTGAGGTGTGATGATCGGTAGGTTGATAGATTGCCGGGATGCACACACTGATCAGGCAACTATCTGTCTAGTTGGTTAGGAGCGATCACTGGGATGCTCGCTATTGTGAGGCGCGGATAGCTTCTCCAGCTCGACTCTCTGGAAGAGTTTCGACCTGCTTCGCTGGGCGGGCTGTCGGTGTCGGCGGCGTGTCCCCTTTAAATCATCGCATCCACGGTCCTCCCAAAACCATCAAAGAATGCACACTTGGACCAAGGAGATTGTCCTGCTTCTGCTAATACTGCGGTTGGAACTCTCGCGTCAATGCCGGCGCGTCTGACTTACTACTAGAAGCGTGTCGTCCAGATGTTTCTGGATTTTTTTTTGGTTGGCGTTCTGTGACCCCAGTATCGGAGCAACTCGTTCTAAAACTCCCAGGCAATGAATGTATGCTGGTCGGTATGACTGACTGAGCCTATTTTCTATTGTGCCCATTAAAGGCCGTTTATCCTTCGAGGCTCTCATCTGCGTCTAGCCAAAGCTGTCCATCATGGCTTCATCCCTCGGCTCGTCAGATGTTGGTAGCGGCTCGGTGTGATCTCCTTTCGAATCGGAAGGCCATCAGCCTCTTGATAATGTCGGTATCCAAAATCGACAATGACTCCGACATCGAGCATATTTTGACTCGCAACAACTTCTGCTGCAATTACCCCATTCCGTCTCCTGCGCTCTCTCCTCTATCTCCTTCTTTCTGCCTCCATGGTCTCTGTGAGATATTAAAGTCTTCCAGGTAGCGTGATGATAAACAGATTTAGCCAAAAGGCGAAAAACCACCCCTAGGAGGACCACCGCCACCAGCGAATCGAAACCCACCTCCTCCACCAGCACCACTACCTCCTCCTCCCATACCATTCATCATATTGAACAACATTTCTGGGTCGATCTGAACGCCGCCTCCACCAAACCCACCCATACCACCCATGCCGCCGGGGAAGCCTCCGCCCATGCCGCCCATGCCAGGCTCCATCAGGTCGGCACCGGAATCATACATGTGCCGCTTCTGAGGATCAAGTAACGTCTCCTTTGCCTCGAGGCAATCTTTGAACTCTTCTTCTTTCTTCTTGTCGCCCATCGTCTTGTCTGGATGCAAGACGGCTGCTTTACGCTTGTACGCCCTCTCGATATCTTTGTCACCGGCGTCCTTGTCGATGCCGAGAATCTTGTAGTAGTCCTTGCGCTTGGACTTTTTCAGTTCGAGTTCTGCGTTTCGTAGTTCTTTGTTGAGTTCAGCGTCAGACGGATTTTCCTCCGCCATCGCCTTGAGGTCTTTCACAGCCTGTTCCCAATCCCCAGACTCGCCGGTGGCTTTTGCTCGAGTTCGCTTGGCCTTGGAGTAAGTTGGGTCAAGTTTAAGGGCCAAATCGCAGTCAGATCGGGCTTCATCAAACTCCTTGATCTTGATCCTCGCTAGTGCCCGGTTCCCCAGGAGTTTGGCATTGGTGACCTTATTTGACGGATCGATCGTCAGGGACTCCGTATATGCCACCACCGCGTCCGAGTATTTACCGCGCTTGAACATTTCATTGGCCGACGTTCTGGCCCGGTCGAGTTTTTTCATGGTACGCAGAGAATTTCGTGCATCGGTATTGTCTGGATCCAGGTTAAGTCCCTGGCGGAAGTAGTCTTCTGCACGCTCGTAGTCACTCTTGCCTTGCCGAGGCTTGTCGTCTTTCAGATAGAACGCTCGACCTGCAAGGACAATGGCTTCGGCGTCCATGGGATTTTCCCGCATCAAACTCTGGGCAATTGCTTGCACCTCACCGAGAGCATTGGCAGAGCCAATTTTCAAATTCGCCTTGGCTCGCAAAATTTGCCATCGTCGCGGAGTGGGTGTTCCTGCGCCGAGGGTCTGCTTCGCCTGATCGATGCTCCAAAGTGCCATATTACCATTACCCTCTTCAGAATTGATCTGGTTCTCAGCAACCTCTATTGAAGACAACACTTTACAAGCAGCGGCAGTATCTGTGGTGGAGGCATTAGGGATCTTCGCATATGTATCCAGTGCGTCCTGTGGCCGACCGAGTGACGTATAGATACGGGCGAGTCGATGTAAGATTTTGTCATTTTTGGGATCTAATCTGCTTGCTTGTAGAGAATCCCCCAGTGCCTGACTGTATTTATTGGCTGAAATGTAGGCTGCGGCTCTGTTGGAAAGATACGTAGGATTTGAGGGTTCTGCATCGACCGCTGTGCATATTTGTCAGCCTCGGTTTTACCGAGAAGGGGGAAAAGGTGAGAAGGGCAGCGTCCAACAAAATGGAATTTTGCGAATGTGCCATACCTTTTGTATATTCAGCTATTGCCCGGTCGTAATCCTTGGCCTTGAAGAATTTGTTACCGGCAGCTTTGCATGCTTCAGGATCGACTTTATGAGGGGTGACTCTGTGCGGAGGGGGCGTAGGGCTTCTCTCGTCCGAAGCATTACTGGTTCCGTTTGTGCTGTGATCGCTAGGATGTTCAGGGAATGCGCCAGGAGCCTCTTTTGAGGGAGTGACGGGGGGCGAAGAACCATTGACAAAATTCTGTTCTGAAGCCTCGGGAGTGTCTCTGTCCATAGACATGGATGAGCGGTTGGCCTCAGCCTCTTGACGAGCCATCTGAGCCGTGAACAGTTGACGCAGTTGATCAGGAGGCAAATTCAAAGGATGAGTGTTTGGATCGTGTTTGGCCTTCCTCTTCTCCTTGTCTCGATCTTTGTCGTGTTTCTTGGGAGACTTGGACTTCCGCATGCCAGTGGTAAAAGTCGGATTATGACTAGCCCGAGTGGGAGCCGCAGGCGCAGGCGCAGGTGCAGGTGCAGGGCCTGACGCAGGCGGCCGCGAGACAGTTGGTGGGGACGCGGCAAGGCCTTCACCAAAGCCAAAACTCGGACGATTACTTGTTGAAGGCGAAGAATCCAACGACCGCAGATGGGACCGAAGATTCTGTTCCGTTAAGGGAGCCGCCTTTCCCGACTTAAGCTTTGACTCGTCGGCTTGAAAAAGCGGGAGGGGAGAGGTGTAGGATGTGGAACGGGCTTTGGAGGTCAGTTTGCCGGCTGCAGGATGGCGAGAGGGAGAGAGAGAGGGAAGTCGGGAGGTGGCAGAGGACAGCTGACGGGACTCTTGCTGGGATGTGGCTGTGGCAGTGACCGTGAAAGCATACGATGTCTGTCTCTCTCTGTGAATCGTTTCCTGAGTCGATCTGGGATTTCGTGTTTGAGTCTGAGTCTGAGTCTGATTCTTTTCCTGGCTTTGCTGCGGTGAAAATTTGTGCTGCTTATCTTGGGCAGGTGCAGGGCTGCGGTGGTCATGGTGCTGGTCACGGTTCTTGCCATCGAACTCTCTAGAACTTCGGGGATTTTTGGCGCCGTTAGGGGCTCTAGGGGCTTGTTTGGCGTGGTGACCCCCGCTGGAGCTGGCCCCTCGGGCGTCGCTGCAGGCGCTGTCATGGGTGCTCGATAGGCCATTCAGGCTTGCTAGGCCTTCTAGCCCCTGTCCTCGCCTCGGCGCGCGCTCACCCGTCCCCTTGACTGGCTTCCGGATGTTCATAGGCATGTTGCTAGTCTGGCTAACGGTCGCTTGTTCTCTCGCTTCTGCACCTGTTGGCTCCTCCTGGGTTGCCCAAGGCGAATGATCGGACGAAAGGCTTCTCCGTCTCTTGCGTGGATTCATTCTGTTGATCGTCCTATTGATTCACTGGCCAGTCTATTCGTTGCAACCAATGACTGGCTGCGCACAAACCTATTGTTATGTGACGAGGGGAACGAGAGGATGAGGCCAAACCGACAAACGCAATCGGGTGCCATGATTGTCACGTTCTAAATTACTACAACAGGCAGCAGTGGCATGGGTATTGAATCACATCACTGTTTAACAAGGCGCTAAATGTGACCACCCTTCACGATCTGTTAGTATTGAAGATATAGTACGCAGTAAACAATTAGGACGCAGGAAAAAGAAGATGTACACAAAAACCATTATCACCCTCAGCCGTCTCATTCTGCATTACTCTTACAAGTCCAACTGTTCCCACTTTTATCATTGTGGATCGCATACCCCGAGGCATAGAGGCCGATACCACAGCTCGCAAGACCCAGCAAGAAGAGCCCCGCATTAACAGCAGTCAGGCACATCTTCCGCCAGTTCTTGAAGCACTGACCGTGGTTGAGAAAGACCCAGAAAATACCGGAGACACCATAGGTAAACCAAGACGCAAAAAGACTTGAAATCAATGCCAATAAGTCGTTGAAATTGGGAATCGATTCGGCTATGATCCAGGCGATCACCCACAGTGTAAGTGTGATTCCAAGCCAACTTCCGACCGCGAGGGAGGTTCTCTTCGACATGTGTCTCGTACCTCGGAAGAGTCGAACATAGATGTATTTGGAGGCGACATGGCCATAGATGACGCCTGCAATGATGATAGTGGGAATGGCCAGCCCCCATGCGACTTTGCCCAATGTGCTCCCAGCAGACCCCAGTGCAGGCGAATCGACGTCGTCACCTCCATACGCATACACAACCATAGCAACAAGGAAGTACATGCCGGTATCGGTGACCTGCAGCAACACCAGCGCTTTAGGAAAGTCCTTTGGATTCTTCATTTCCGAGATGAAGCTGAAGAAGGCCACGTGGCCTGCATAGGCGAAGATGATATTGCTGACACTGAGGAACGCGCTTGCGAACGGGACAGCCTGGGTCGCTCGAAAGTGGCCTTCAGCTGGGTTCTTCTCACCTACTCCAGCCATGGTGACGACCACAGCGGTGACGATGCTGAGGAAGCTGGCACACGACAGCCAAGATACTTTCAACAGAGTCCGCGGAATGTCGAAGATCCAGAAGAGTACCAAGCCAACCACGCCCCATGCTATCGTACAAGTGGCGCCGTTGGTCAAAGTGCTCAAGCAGATGGTCCAGGTGAGAATATGACTCGCCATGCTGAAGATCAGGAAGATGGTCTGGGCGGCGCCGAGGAACTCTCGACCGAACACAGCCCAGCGAGGTCCCAATGGTTCGAAGAGTATGTGTCCAGCATCGGCCATATTATGAACCTGGAGATATCGCTGTCAGTACAAGAGAGCATTGAGTGTCTATATGAGCCTGCATCCTACTCACCCATGGATAAGCATTCTTGAATTGCCCGATGACATAACCAGAGTAAGTGGCCACAATTCCCAAGCCTAAAATCAGGATCGCTCCGGGCACCATACCAATCGTCGCTAAGACCGACGGCAGGGACAGAATCCCGAGGGAGATGGTTTCCGCAATCATGACTAGAAAAGAAAGGATATTGTCAGTTAAGGGAGGCGACACCATCGACCACGATGAACATACTCATACTACATTGCCTATCGTAATACGTTAGTTAGCACAGAGTTTGACTAGAACGCTTTGCGACTGACTCACCACCACTCCAGAGTACGGTATTTGACATCATCTTCATCGCCTTCGTCTGCAAAGGGATCTACGTTCTGGTACTCGCTGCGACGTCGCCATGCCTCCTTGAGGGATGAACGCCGTCGCTCTGAATGATCGTATATGGCTTGTTGCCCTGCAACATCGTCGCGTGCCTTTTCCGCATCAGTGCCGAAGGGGTCCGTCGAGGCGCGCAAAGTGGGTGATCGAGATCCAGGAGCCATCTTGTAATTAAGCCCCCAAAGGGCCAGCCTGCACGCTCTGAAAGAAAAGGCACAATCCTGTCTGGTAAGGGATATTTCACTCAAATATTTAGCAATCAATATTCTCACGCGAGCAGGATCTAGCGGCAAGAAATCAGCAGACAATAAAAAGCATAACCGCCAACCGTCATATCTCTCGAACACGAGTCCTGCCCACAACGCATATCTGCATGATGCCATCGTCGGAATCCCGATACCTCCACAAACGTCACGCTTTTCATTCCCGCTGTGACGTCCTGGAGGAGTGGATGGAAGGGGAGATCCGAAAAGTGGAGTACACAATGCCAGCCTTCTCATGGCATTCGCAGAATTATGCTGTCAGAAGATGATGACGAATCGTGGATCCCCGTGGCTGCTCGGCCGAGTTCCGGATAAGCACCGCTTTTATGCGTGGCTCTGGAGCTTGGACTTGCTTGATAGCAACTTGGCATACTGGGCTAGTGGGTGGCAGAACGTCATTGCTGGCCTCCCTACAAAGGTACGGCCCAGGATGGCCAGGGCACAATGCACAATGACGAACGGAGCTTGCTTGTCTCCGATAGAACGCTCTGCACCTATGTTGGTATCAATGAGGTAGATCTATCGGTCTAAGTAGTGGTTTGTTGAAACTAAAAGTACTACTGCTCGAGGTGCGGCAACTCCATGCCCATGCTCCTCAGATCGTGAGATAGGGGCTTTAAATTATGCCGCCACACCCACGCCCCTCTTGTTATACGACTGGGACATTCAGGGCTCACTCAGACCCTGTCCTGAATGGGACGACTCTACATGTTGAATATGCAGTGCACTACTACAAAATCAGCCATGACCTAATCTATCTGATTGTTCCTTGAAGCTTTTCGCTTACTTGACAATCTCATGAAGATGCAGAAATAATGGAGTAATGACGGGTGCTTTCGTCGCACTTCGTTCCTTAGTTCTGACACGGTACCGTAGGTTCATTTGCGAAACCAACCCTCCCCTATTTACTTAGCCTTCCATAATAGATTTCTGCTGAAGATCCCGAAGATCCTCCTCGGTCGAGTGAAATATCGCCGTACATCAATAAGCATAAAAGACCTGATGCTCATCCTCGCTCCTCCGAATCTTCCTATTGATAGCCATGAGCCAGACTCTCATAGCCCAGGCACAGATGATGCTGCCGACGGAGAAAGCGAGCATGGCAGCGAAGCCAGTTAAGTACCTAGGAGAGTCGGAGCTGGGCCACAGGTAAGCCGTGTAGACGTACGATAGGTTAGCGAAGCTGTTGACGATGCCGTAGCTGACAGATTTCTTCTCCGGCGTCTGGGACAGTGTTCGACACCCAGCCGAGAATGACGGAGCCGACCGAGTACGCGCCCGTAGCGTAGAGGAAGGTCGATGCGTAGCGCACCGAGGTAGTCATAGTCGAGCACGACATGGTGAAGCCCACGACGGCCAGTCCGAGACCCGCGGTGATGTGCCATGTGCGCTCGTTGAACTTCCCCGATGACCATGCAAATGGGATGCCCAGCAAGCCCGCGACGAAGTATGGAGGGGCCGTGAGGAGCAAAGCGGCGAGTTTGCTCTTGAAGCCCAAGGATGCGATAATTGTGGGAAAGAAGTTGTTGAACGAGCAGGCTGAAAGATGGAGGTTCTGCATCGCGACGAACAGCCACATTTTGGGATCGGTACAGGCTTGACGGAGACCCGACCAGACGGAAGCGCGACCTTGGTTGCCGACGGTGTCTTTCTTGATGCGAGCGACGGCCAGAGAGCGTTCTTCCTCTGTGAGCCATTTGGTCTCAGAGGGGTCGTCGCAGAGGAGGAATGCCCCAAGAACGGCTACTCCAAAGGTCACAACACCTTCAATGATGAATCTGGTCGCCTGTCAGTGATTGTAGCTAGACTCAGTCTGGGGTGAACTGACAGCCAGCGCCAGCCAGCGATGCCGTGGACGCCATCAAGCGTGGAGAAGCACGCCGCAGCTATCAAACCAGAGCAGCCCGTGGAGAGCACCTGCCCGGTATATAACAGGGAGATACGTGTGGCAAGCTCCTTGCGCGTATAGAAGATCGAGAGCAGATACAAGGCCCCGGGATAGTAGGGTGCCTCCACAAACCCTTTAGCAGGGTCAGTGTAAAAGCAACGGTGCTAAAGATTGAATCGAGGCTTACCGAGAAGAAACCGGCAGGCGACTAAGCCTTGGTAATTCTGTACAACTGCAGTGCATGCAGACACCGTGGCCCAACCCATCATGCAGACAGAGAGGTAGATGCGCGGTTTAGTCTTGGTAAGGAACATGTTGCTAGGGACTAAGTGGCAGCGTCAGCATGTTGAACGCCGTAAGGGGGGGATTTTAGGTACCCTGCATGAGGATGTACCCAACAAAGAGAATTGAAATAGCTGTATTATATTCCACGCCTTTCAAGTTTAAGTCTGCTTCCAGAGTGTTGAGTCGAGCTTGCGGCAAAGTGTTTCTGTCTAGGTAGTTGAGGAAGTACATCGCCCAGAGAATCGGCTGTATCTATCATCAGTGGCTGTAAGTATCAAGAGGAGAATTGCCCACAAGAATGCGACGATCAAGCTTGCGAACTAGCCGAATCTCGACTGGATCTGTTTTCTGCGTGGCCCCAGAGTAGTCACCCTTGGGCTCAACATATTCCATTGTGTTCTTGGATGCAATGGAGAACTCGACATGGTCTTTCTCCAAGGGACCGGCCTTATCCATCTCGTTTGCAGTCATGGTCGTGCTGAGATCTCTGTTACCACTCCAATAATATCTTTAAAAGGAGAAAAGTGAACGGCATAGGTTCGATCTGACATCCTGCTCGCTTTTATAGCTAGCGGTTATCTCGGTAGGCGGGGCCCCCAGGTAGTCAGTAGACATAGTGTGCAAATTCCAATCCATAGACATTGCAATATCCTGAACAAAGATACTGGGACTGATGACCAAGTGTGACCACCAAGCAGTGCAACATGGCATTCGTAAGGCTGGCTCTCAGAGGGGTTCGGCTTCACAATCCACCGTATCCACTTCCCCTACTTCAAGAACAGCTAGACACGCACATTGCGGCCATTTTTTGTACCGCATCTCAGGACTCAATCGTACAGTCGTCTTGGTATAGGTTGCGACTGTAGCAATTTATGCTGATGCCATCAGCTAGGACGCGGGACGAAAAAGGGCCGCAAAATGCTTCTTCGACATCTCTTGCAGGTTATCAGCGTTATGTGCACGATACACAGTTCTTAGCTGGATGCTGAGTGGGGAGGAGGTGGAGGAAGAGGAAAGGGGTAGAAATGAAATTAGACGTTTAATACTAAGGCTGGCTTGCCGCCTCACTTGGCAGTTACGGGTCATCCATGCAAATAGGTAGTCAAGAGTGGCCCAACGCTTGTTATGTCCTATGTGTGTTGATATCCAGGACATCTCTACATGAGATCGTGCTCCTCGAAAGTGTAGAAGGGGTTACAACTAACTAGCGTAACTTATGGTTTTGGTTAAATAGCCTAGAAGCCAACTGTACTAATGTGACCCGGCCTACCAACGTCCGGCTTCGATTATGGAATCTTTTGAAGAAGCTCTTGGAAAGAACGTCAAGTTTCTAGTTTTTGTTTTAAACATAACGGATTTAGTCTGGCTCATGCTCGGCCTGAAACACCAATGAAACTCGTCTGAATGTTAAGTACAGAAGCAGGGTAAAAAGCAATACTTCTTGGTTGATAAGAATGCGTAACCAAAAAGCCTGATCCCGGTGGCCCCTTTCTTGGGAAACTCCCCGATCTTTCTGGCCCAGTTAGTAGAATCATTAGCAAACATGACGGTCGACTTCAACATCACCAACGCCTGGCTGGATAAAAGCAATTCATTCTCCATGCTCGCTTACAGGAAAACTAAGGTGTTCATTCCATTTCAATTGGCGTGTTGACGCGATTAGAGGTGTGTCGGCCTTGAACAGCTCCAGCATCTTTCTCGACTGGTCCAGGCTGCCCAGGCTTACAATTCGGGCCAGAGTCATTGTCCCTGGCTGAGAGCTCAGCGGCATGAGGCGTGCCAAGTAATTCGGCACTGCCCAAGAATGCAGCCGTGCTGTAGTCGGGCAAGCCATCTTTCTCAATCAGTAGTTCTTGGTGTTGCTGCTGGTTCCTGCGGCGAGATCGAAGGAAGAAGAAGATACTTCCACCAATCAATGCGATGAGTGCAACACCACCAATGGCGATGCCTGCTATTGCGCCAACAGATATGCTCTTAGTGGTCTCTGCTGAATCGTTCGAACTTGAAGAACTAGTTGGCGACGATATTGTTGAAGTTGTTGCACTAGGGGGTTCACTGGGATCGGATGTAACAGTCCTGATTGTGAATACTGTCGCGAGGGCGTCCTCAGCCCAGCCAGCACTAGGCTTGATCATGCTAGCATTACCTTCCGGACTATTTCCGCCAGTTAGCATGATATAGGTGATGACGAGGGGATGAGAAACTCACCTTCCACCAATAACCTTGACCACGGCATCTGGGACTTGATAAGGCGGAGCATTGGCATCATAGATGCTCCCCCATCCTATTGTACTCAGGTCAAGCACCGCTAAACTCTTTTGTTCCCAATCGCAGTCGGCCGATATATTACTTGATTTGCCACCACCACCAATGGTGATCATCTGTCGGGGAGGCACAAAGTGGCAGGTAACTGACCAGCGGGCATCTTCACCGACGAAGACTTTAACCCAGGTGAAGGAAGGAATGCTCAGGACGTATATATCGTCGAAGATGACACCATCGCTCCGACCACCATACATGTAGATGCTTGTGCTGCTGTTGTCTTGTGATGGTGCAGCGACTAAGCAAAAATCGCTGCGAGCACTGGGAATAGAGCCGGTTGCGTTTTGTTGATACCATTTGTTCTTCTCCCCAGAGGCATCGTCACTTAGGTCCGTTGTCTTGACGTCAAAAATTGAAATCTCGTCCATCGGGAGGTATCCATCGAAATCAGATTTTCCGCCCAGCAAGATAAGAACCCCCGCGTCACCAAAGTTGTTCACGTAGACCATACTGGCACCTTTCCTGTTGCTCTTGATTGTGTCTTCCACGGTCACATTTTTCGTCACAGATGAGGTTGTATCTAGCACAACCATCCCACCAAGGCCGACAGTATCCTCGCCCAGATACTGGGTGGTGTTTGCTGTTCCGCCATCAATCTGACCTCCCAAGTAGAATGCCAGGCCTTGATCAGTTGTTTCGCTGCTGGCTCCCCAAGAAGGAATGGTTATGCCTGAACTAGAAGTGTCAAAAGGTGTCCACAGGTCGCCTGGGATGTCGTATGTCCACAATGCGTACTGCTCAGTAGGAGGAATGAGGAAATATGGGAAAGATTGGTTGAAGGACATTGTTGTTCCGCCAAACATGTACAATGTATCAGAGATGTCGGTTCCGCCAAACAAGGCACCATCGTGGACGTTTACAGGCCAGCTCATGCCTTCAACAGAGCCACTTTCATGCCTCGCCCTTTGTGAAATTGAAACATTAGTCTTCCAATTCCATGAACTACCCATGTCGACTGTGATGAGGTTTAGATCTAGAGAAGATCTGGTCAGTGTCCCGATATTACGACAATACTAGGATTGTCTTACTAATGCCGGATGTAATTGTGTTGTAATCTTGCTGACCATCTGCTCCGAAATCGACAAAGGTTTCAAGACCACCGCTGATATAGAGCGTATTGTTTTTGAAAATAGCTAGAACCTATTAGACAAGAGTCCAAGTCGGGGAGTTTGGACAAACTGACAGCTGTGCCCTATTCTCCGGCAAAAGTTCTTCACCGGATCTATCGACACACCAGCATGAGCGAGATTTAGATTGTTTAATATCAGAAGAGACCCAAGGAGGGCGCGATGGCTGTTGGAAAGAAGAGCAGACATGATGACAGCCTGCTGTCTTCACAATCAAGTGGAATCCAAAACTATACAAATGTAGCAATGATATGTAAAGAGACATGAAACGAGCGAAGATCACCGTAGGAAAGACTGAGAGACTGAGATGCGCAATGGAACGGGTCGAAGAAAGGAATTTGATGAGTGACGGGATGGCCACGAGGACTCCGTACCATAGGGCGGTCGTGTCTCGCACGAGCTTGAATTCGTGAAGGAATCCTTCATTCTCCCGCAACCAGTCTGCCCATGATTGGCAAGGCTAAGTTCAAAGGTGATACGCCAGACTATGCCCTATTAGAGGGTAGGATCTGATTGATGCTTTGGCTCAAGTGGAACTGCAGGAGCATGGAAAGTTGAGAAGCCAATCCCATGAGAATATTCTAGTGCCTAGATGCGTTAGTCATCGCCGCTTCCGGCTAATGGTCAGCAAAGGACATGGTGAGGCTCCATCTGAGGGGCCAGGGGCTAGGAACAAGGGACAACGAAGGGCAACAGGGTGCCGTGTGCTGAGCACCAATTCGGGATTCCGTCGACTATGTATGAATCGTAACGAACGACAGTGCAAAGGTATAGATAGTCTCAATGATTTCTCCAAGGTAGGCGCCAAAGCATTGCCACCTTGTCGACGTTCTGAAACAGCGCAAGGATGAGAGGAAAAGGTGAGCAGTTAGGATCCCAAAGACGTCCGTACATTGCCGCCCTTCTCTTCAAGAACCCGCGAGTCTGAGTTTGTACAGTAATCAAGAAGTCGTTGCGTTTGAAACGCAAAGGAGATATGTCAAAGAAGACAAGGATTGAAAAGAAGCTTTTAAACAATGTTGCGCTGGCTAAGCATGGTCATCGGCCAGCCGTTTCACATGGAGACTTGGACACGGAAGGCAATTAGTGTCTCCGAGTACAGTAATCCGTAATTACTTCTCGACTTCGGCTGTAGAATAGTCACGTGATGGCGCGTCTGTTGCCAAGACGGCTAGAGTAAATTAGGACTAAGCAATGTTTACTGCCTGACGTAGCTCGAGAACATCCACAAACAGCCTGAGGTGCAACCGCCAGGCTTCAATCAAATCAACACTGTCATACTCAGGTACCGTGTTGGCCAATCCCCTTCTCTACAGTCTTCCACGGGCCACTCTCTTAAAACAACTCCCATCGTTCTACTAAGCTAGATTGTGTGAATATCTGCAAGCATTGCCACAGCTGTCGGCCATGGCTCGTCGCTCCGCTCGGTTGAGCAAAGCTGCTCAACAGCAGGATCAGGTAATGTTTATCGCCCAGAGCAAGCAGTTCTGTCTGATTCCAATCGCAATGCCCTTGTTTGCTTCTAAGACTAACAATTGTTTTAACTCCGTAGCCTGCCTCTGCTCGCAGAACTCCTTCAACCATCCGACTCGAATCCTTGGTCGAACGAGACGAGACCCCAGATGATAGAGAACCACTATCAATCGACAATGTATTGGCAACTCCAGCCTCTGCGGCAACTGTCAAATCTCAACTCTCAAGGCTATCAGGTCTCAAAACCCCCAAGACCGAACCCAGAGTCGATCGTGCGGAGATGCATCCTGGACTGGTGCATCAATCAACTGCGAAAGCTCCAGATTCCGGATTGAAACTCGGCTTTGTTGATATTCCTGCCCAGCCGCCCCACTCTCTCGCAAGTGCCCAGAATACTCCCTCCAAGGCTCAATCCAGTACACCGGCACACCTCTCTGCCAAAACCTTCGATTTCAAGTTTGGTTCAGACTCACAACTGAGTACGGAAGCACAAAAGCTCATGGACAATGTGCGAGAAGAGGCAGCCAGAATCAAGGCACAGATGTTGGCAGAGAAGAAAGCCCAGCTAGAGAAAGATGCTGCAGCTGAGACTGCCTTTGATGGAATACATGCATCAGGCAGGAAGATTGCCAAACCAAGGGGCCAGGCTGGCCGGTTCAGCGATGTCCACATTGCACAGTTCAAGAAGATGGACTCTATAGCCAATCATCCCTCTGCATTCAGATCTCGTCCTGGGTTTGCCCAACCTACAACACAGTCGCTGAAGAGAAGCCCTTCTAAAGCGGGGTTAGATGAGCCTGATCGACCTCGGACTGCTGGGAAGGGCACCCCCGGCAGACAACCACCTCCTTTCCTCGGTCGACCAACGTCAGTGAGCCCGTTCAAATCCATCCCGGCACAAACAACTTCTGTCAAGCGTGCAAGACAGTCAGAGATGCCTGATGTCTCCGCTGGTAGACAATCTGAGGACCAAATGACAGCGTCGACGCTTCCGAAATTGGCTGCGAGCAGTCTTTTATCACCCACAAAATCCTCTTTGGCCAAGGCTGCATCAAGTCATATCCCTGTGGCCTCTCCCATAAAGCAACTATCCCTTTCTCGAACAACAAGTATGAGATCACTCAAGGCTGTATCAACTGCCCCGATTGCGAGACCTTCAACTTCGAATGGAGTCGTGAGATTCAAGCCGCCCGGACCACCATCGATTTCTCAGCCCCCTCACTCACAAGAACCACCACGGTCAGGACTAAAAGGCCTAAGCGGCATCGGTTTCACTTCTCAACCAGGAACACTTCAGCGTGCTAAATCAATCACGGATCTTGGCACCGCTGCTGAGCGTACTGGCTTCGCCTCCAAACTTCCAACATTTTCTGGATTGAAGTCCATACTAAGGCCAGGCCATAGATCCAATGCCATGACATCGATCGAGGAGAGACCAGGAACTCCGAAGAGGCCTAATACTGCGACTTCCATCCCTGGTTCCGCTAAGAAAGTGGATTTTACCCCGAGGGTCAAGTCGAGATATGCAGTCAAGTTGGCTGCTGGTAGCCCCAGTCCTGCAAAGCTGCCACATTTGACCCCTGCAAAGCCTCAAGGACCTGTCGTGCCGTACGACCCTGCTGCATACATGTTGCATAATGACAAAGTCGAAGATGAATGGGAGGATGCTGAAAGTGAGATTGAGTATCCTGTGTTACCCACTGCATCTTCGAGTCCTGCTACGGCGATTATGGAAACCTCCTTCAAGGACAAAGCGAGAAACCACAACCGTCGAGAGTCTAAAGAGTTCAAGTCGATTTTCACCACCCTTCATCATCCTTCTCGTTCCAACGAATCCTCAACGTTAACTTCAGTCAACACTGTCGTCAATCAGACCAACCCTACCATTCATGCCAATAAGGTCATGACATCTCCCCATAACGTCAACTTGTCGAAACCATCTCCGAATACGATTCGCCGGGTCCGCACCTCAGGCGTCTCTGAACTAGTTCAGCCTTTCGAGGATTCCGAGGTCAAAACTGTTCCCCATGGTCTGCCAGGAAAGAAACGCCGCCGTGAGTCAACAATGTCCGGTGCTCAAGAGGCTCAAGCGGATGCTGGAAAGGAGAACCGAAGAGTTTCAGTCCTGCCTTCCATTCCTGGTGGATGGCAAGATACGCCAAAGCTTGAGGAGGTTGAAGATGAGGGCATGAAGAGAGGAGGAAAGCGCGCGCGGGTTGCGACCGGTGACGATTTAAGTGGCAAAGAGGCGACCATGGACAAGGCTCCGTCTGGTGTGAAGAAGCTTCGTCCAAATTCTGCCCGTGAAATGGCAAAGAACAACGCAAAGGAGAGGAAGGGCATTCTGAGCCTGAGTCGATTGAACATGCTCAGCAGACCAAAGCAGCGAGGTTGAAGTTTTCTCACAGATTTTGGAATGATCAATTACGTTTTGGCGGAAGGGAGATATTGTCAAGATCTCCACTTGGAGTTGACATTTGTTGGGTTCTCGAGGGTTGGGTTAACAATGATGTGCATTCCGGGCCCATCTATTGGGGCTCCTGCGATTTTCTTACTGGGGAGGAGTCTGCTGAACGGTTCTGGATACGCGGTGAGGCTTTGGGTATGTCTCTGGGATATTCACAGGCTTTGGAGCGCTGGGTATGGATTCGGCGTAAATGTGTTCTCGAGTCTGGTCAACGGTACAAACAGACACAGGGCTCTCATCTCGGGTCACAACTTTCAGGGACAGGGAGAGAGGAACGGGGGTCTGTCTCTACCTGTTTTTCTCATCTCATCTTGAGGTTCACCCAAAAAAGTTTCTTCATAGGGTCGGCTGTTTGGTCGAAATCAGGCATTGTCGAGCAATCTCGCTCTTCTCCAATCGAATTGCAGTTGAAATCAAACCCTGCGCGCGCTATGGCTTAAATACCAACACACATCGAGATGGGAAACGTCTATCCTAGCGTGAGAGAGTGCGTAGATTATCCTACCCACGGTGTGGAGTATTTTTTTCAGATTAGGGACTACTATGCTGATATTTATTCACAGCGAGTGAAGCAAACAATAGGGCGAGGTCGGTTCGAGACGACCCCGTTGGTCTTTTCTTTATGTCGTCGTTCAGCGCATGCTTCGTTGGCGCGTGCGCCTCTCCTATGAGGCTAGCACCGTATTGACCATCACTGCTATGTAGTTCGCAGGGATGTACTCCAACATGACTCCTGACTGATTGCCTGGTCTAATGACTCGATAGACCCGCCGCAACGGCAAACGCCAGACCACATACGATTGTAATTTACTGTACAAGTACCCACACAAGGCGACCCTCCTAGTTTTGATGTTCACTCGTACACACTGTGGCCGCGCCCCCTTTCCTTGCGTTCCCTTTGATTTTTTGATAGACATAGGGACATGGCGAACCAATAATGTGGCAATAGCTCACTCTCCGAATACAAAGCTCTAGCCAACTGGGTAGGTCTCAGGGAAAAAAAGCACATAAGGTATGAGAACAGTTAAGTTCGTGAGTGAGAATTTTCTGCTCTCCATTGACCCACTGACCGACTGGCCGAATCGCTAAATCCGATTCCATGTGCACCGTGCCGCCACGCCCTACCCCATTTGTTTTCAAATTGCTCAGACTTGCGGTAGATCGGAGACACTCTAGTCGAAATCAAACAATTGGACTGGCGTGTTGCACACTCGTATGCGCTGAGATATTCGATCGCTGAAGAGACTGATGATTTATGATCCGGTAAATGCGAGAGGCTGGGTTTGCGAAAATTAATAGACGGCTTCAAGCAAGTAGATGACGCCAAACACCAGAAAGGCAATTGCACCGCCCATCGTTACTATGATAGAATGTTAGCCAAACGCTCAAAGCCATTGCACCTGAAGATTGCCCGTGAAGCTCGTGAGTGGTGTAACATACCTGTTCTTAGACTGACCTTCCCAGCGATAGCCTTTCCACCCAACACTGCGGCGGCGGTACAAATGGCATGGCCGCCCAGGGCCCCGGCAGTTACCCACCAATAGTCCTGACCGGCGGCCATAGCAATGGTGGCAATCTGGGAGCGATCGCCCCATTCGCCCAGGAAAGTCATGACGAAGGTCTGCACCCACGCTGGGCTCAATAGCAAGGAGAACAGGTTGTTGATACCGGTTACGGCGTTCTTCAGAGCAGATTGCCGCGTCGGCGAGGCTTCTCGAGAACTTCCAGGACTCTCTGGGGGAGATGGCAGGCGGCTGTTGGTGTGTTTTCTGTTGAGACCTGCACGGCCGGATTCAAGGGCGTAGGGTGAGATGGAAGATCGGCGTCTTGACATGCGCCTCTGTTGGTGTTCCTTCTCTTCGAGTTCCATTTCTACTTCCTTCATCTCTTCGCTGACACCCTCGTCAGGGCTGATTCCGCGAGCTTCAATCAACATTTTTACGCCAAACACCAGAAAGAGACCGGCGGCGGCAAAGTTGGTAAGTTGTTTAGAAATGAGAGTTGGAACAGCATGGCCCAGGACGGCAGAAAGGACAGTCATGGTGACCAGGGCGGAATATGCTGAGGAGAAGACGACAACTCGCGGGTGTCGCATAGCCATCAACGCCGCGACTAGGAAAGTCTTGTCGCCAATCTCAGAGAAGAGGATCATGGTGAAGGAGAGGAGAAGAGAGTGAAGGGGCTGAATGACGGCTGGCTCATGATCGTCAGATTTCGCGCCTTTGCTGGTGTCCTTGAGAATGGTGGCGTCTTTAGGTGAAGAGGGGTTTTCGGGATATGGAATGTCATGCGGTTTTTCTGGTAGATCGGTAGGGATCTGCGCAATTGTTAGAAATGGTGCAGTGGGTATTTTATACTGGATGCTTTTCACCTTGAGAATCTTCTTAGGGTCCTCTTCCGCCGGCTGCGATTCTTTTTTCTCCCCGTCCTGGATTTTATCCAATTCACTGTGAGGAATCGGCCTGGCGTCTTTGGGCGCGTCGGGCTTCTTATCCGACGACTTTCCATCTTTTCCCTTCTCTGAAATGCCGCCTTCTGTCCCTCTGGTCCCTTCGGCTGGATTAGACCTAATTCGATCGTCCATGACAGCATCGTTTGACTTGGGGATTTCGACGTCGGAATATTGTTTCTTGGTGGTCTTATCCATGACAATCTCCTCGTCATCGGCTAGTTGGTTCTTTCGCGTCCTCTCGGCACCGGTCTCAACAAATGGGCCCTCATGGGGCATTCCATCTCTACCATCGACAGGAGCGTGTTCAGTGCCAACAAGAGCTAGTTTCACATTCCCACCAGCGCCAGGAACAACCTCCGTAATCGATCTTGCTGCTTGAACGCTTCCGGCTGGATTCAAGCCATTGGAAAGGGGGCCATCAGAGGCATTGGATGTCATGAGAGAGGAAACAAGGAACACCAGAATTGGCGTGTGACGGGCGGCGATCCTCATGGTCGCGTGCGAGCCCTTTGAGGGGATAAGGTGGCCAAATGGGCTGCGCTGGTGGAATTATAGCGACGGCAACGGAGTAAGAAAGAAAGAAGTCGCGCGGAAAATCTATGTAGAAATGACGCTGAGAATAAGTGCAAAAGGGAGAGATGTGGCATATGCCACGAACGAAATGGTGAGTGAGTAAGATCTGTACTCTGTACGGCGTCCCCTTGGATATGGAGAAAGTAATCCTGGCCCGTCAATGCATGTCCACTTGTCCCTTGTCCCTTGTCCCTTTCCAGCTGCGGCCCCTTCGATCTCGACTTTCGGGGGTGGTGCTTCTCCAGCCAATCAGCGTCGCCCAACAGACTTCGCCTTGGCAATATTGGCACTCCCCTTTTGTCTTCTTTGGTGAGGCTCAAATTGTCTCAATCTTAACGGAATTTCCCTCCATTCATGTTGAAAGCAAAAACTCCGTGTCTACGAATAGCTAATCTATCAATAATTCACCTATTCAATCATCAAGCACTTATTCCCTCCATCATGCCCAAAGACAAGAAACGCAAGAGAACTCTTGGTGATAGCAAATCTGACCAGCCTCAGCAAGTTGACACGTCAAAGCCCACTGCCATCTTCCGTCCAGCTGGAGGCCGTGCACATACTCTGAGTGTCGCTCTTCCTGGCAGTATCATTGCAAATGCAAAGTCTCATGACCAGAAAACTTATTTGGCTGGGCAAGTCGCAAGAGCGCTTGCTGTCTTCTGTGTCGACGAGGTTGTTGTATTCGACGATGAAGACAAATCCACCCAGGAATCACGTCCTGATATAGGTGAGAATGAATACACTGCCTTTTCTCACCCTTGCCACTTTCTGGCTCACCTGCTCTCTTACCTTGAGACCCCTCCTCATCTGCGCAAAACCGTATTTCCTATGCATCCCAATCTACGTACTGCCGGCACTTTACCAAGTCTTGATATGCCCCATCATCTACGCGCCAACGAGTGGTGTGAATACAGGGAAGGCGTTGCCTTGAACTCGGATGCAAATGGAACCTTGGTAGATGTTGGGCTCTCTGAACCTCAACTGGTTCAGGGCGCCGAAATACCACAAGGCACTCGCGTCACTCTTCACCTGGATGATTCATCTTCAACTGGAGCAGAAGCTGTCGCACCTAGCACACCGAGAGAGAAGACAGGCTACTACTGGGGGTTTAATGTTCGCTCATGCAATAGCCTGTCCAACGTGTTTACCGAATGTCCATTTAATGGTGGCTACGACGTATCATTCGGCACTTCAGAGAGAGGCGACGCCCTGTCTACTATTCTTGCCCGACCAAGTCTTAGCCAATCTGAGTCTCGCAACTATCAACATGCTCTGGTGGTCTTTGGAGGGGTCGCTGGTCTCGAAGTTGCTGGCAAAAATGATGCCGACTTGAGCCAAATGGGGGTATCTGGAATGAACGTACACGAGCTATTCGACCACTGGGTCAATGTACTTCCTAATCAGGGCAGTCGAACCATAAGAACTGAAGAGGCTGTTTGGCTAGGGCTTATGGGATTGAGAGGTTTTATGGAGAATATCGGTGGCTGAAGAGCCTGAATGTACTCCTGTTACTTCGGTGCATTGTGTGCGGATGCCCCCGAGCAGTGCCGTTGAGAGCCGGTGCTGTGAGCAGCATCTGTCACGGCAAGATTGGAAGTCCTACCAACGATATCCGCAACTATGGCTGTCGAATGGCTTGGTACGCAACGGTCGAAAGCTCTGGCAGGGAGGTGAGACATTGAGAAGCAACAAACCCATTCAACTCCTCAGTCTGAAATTTTAACACGGTTGAAGGTCGAGGCCGGGAATCTATCGCCAGACAATGTCCGAGAACAGCCAGCTTCCAGAATGGCACCAACTTGTAGCTGATCATTCCAGGATATCAGACCACACCTCTCAAGGACCGCATCTTGATCTATGACCACTGAGAGCATTTTCACAGACTCCTAGGAGAGAGTAGTATGATGGTCGAGATCAAGGCTGTGAGGAATCCAGCCGAGATTCGGCGGCATGGTGCAAAGAAACTCATAGTAATAAGCATGCTCTAAAGATTAGTCAATAGCACATGAAAAAACGCCCTTTCTGCTGGAGGAGTGAGAACAAAGGTAAAGGTCATCTAATGTTCCTGCGGATCTCTTAGGTAAGTCAATTCTGACAATAGGGTCTTATGGGTGCCTGATGCAAGGCCATTTACCCGCTCGGCGAAGATAGGGTGGCAGTCTGTAGCTTAACCGCGGCTCCCTGTGAACTCCTGAGAGATTCGGTTAGCGCGGGGCTGTCAGGCTGCCCCTCGGCCTTAACTCTCCTAAGTTGAGGCAACCCCCCAAATAGTACTTAATGGAGACGGGGATGGGGATGGGGAGAGCAATCATCAGGAGAATCGCCGAGGTGTATGTGCACGGTGTCCCCTCGGCCGGCAACTTAACACAAGCCCGAAAAAATAAAATCAAAAAGATGGATTAACAAATACAACGTTCATTTACGACGGGACATGGCCTGACTCTATGTTGCAGTTGTGCTGATTATTATTCCTACACCCTGTCTGTCAGAGGACCCCATACCGACTTACCAAGTTACCACTTATCGGCCAGACGGGCCAGCAATGACTAATCTGTATCATTCAATCTGGTGAATGCAGGGCTCAATAATTTCTGATTAATTCCCCCGCGTTTCCTCACAGTCGGTCACACGACGCAAGCGTTTCCTCAAAGTCCTGGGCTGCAAGACATCGCATGGCCTATTCACGGATTTCTATCGTCGTCCTCCACCATGACAACGCTGGAGAAGGATGCCATCCACGTTGACAGTCGTGACCATGATCATGAACACGAACATGACACATCTGCCATCATGGATGGTGATGCTCCCGATCGACCGGTTCGCCAACCACCGAGCGCTGCTGCCGTAAAGATCAATGTGGAGGGTGCCTTTATCGTGGATGACGAGCTTAGTGACCGGAATGGCGTTGGAGGTGAACATGTGCACTGGGAACATAAAGACATTCGGCTGCCTCATCACACAGATGTAGTCAGTCATGTCGCAGTCGATGTTGGTTCTCCTACTTCCTCTCTTATCGCATACCACGACCAGATTTAATGTTGACATGATCTTTGCAGATCGGTGGCTCTCTAGCCAAACTCGTCTACTTCTCCCGCGAGCCAGGTTCTACAGACGGAGGCCGACTCAACTTCCTGAATTTCGAGACCGACCGTATCGACGTCTGCATTGACTTTATCAACGAGCTGAAGATCAAGCAGTCGAAGCTCAATGGATCCACGCCACAGCAACTGTGCGTTATGGCGACCGGTGGAGGAGCATTCAAATTCTACAACCGCATGAAGGAGGTGCTACACGTGGATGTTGTGCAAGAGGATGAGATGGAATGTCTTATTATCGGTAGGAAGGCTCCAGGGGTGAACTTTGAATGGAGCTGACCCCGTTCTTTGACCAGGCCTTGACTTCTTCATAACCGAGATCCCACAGGAAGTGTTTACATATAGCGAAGAAGAGCCCATGCAATTTGCCGAAGCACGCCCGGACATCTATCCTTACCTCCTTGTCAACATCGGTTCGGGCGTCTCTATGGTCAAGGTTTCAGGACCTCGAGAGTTTCAGCGAGTGGGTGGTACCTCTCTGGGAGGAGGCACGTTCTGGGGGATCTTATCCCTCCTCACGGGAGCCCGGACATTCGATGAGATGCTGGCTTTGGCCGAACGAGGGGACAACAGTGGCGTTGACATGCTTGTTGGGGATATCTATGGCACCGGGTACGGCAAAATCGGGTTGAAGAGCACCACGATTGCCAGCACATTTGGAAAGGTGTTTAGGATGAAGAGAATGGCCGAGAGGAACGCGGAGGATGGTGAGGGATTGTTCCATCGAGACCCGCGCGACGACGGCGACGAACAAGTGGAGGGATTCAAGATCCAAGATATGGCACGAAGTCTGTTATATGCCATTTCCAACAATATCGGACAAATTGCTTACCTGCAGTCGGAAAAGCACGACCTGCAGCATATCTACTTTGGAGGCTCATTTATTCGAGGCCATACACAGACGATGAACACGTTGTCGTACGCCATCAAATTCTGGTCCAATGGCCAGAAGCAAGCATATTTTCTACGACACGAGGGCTATCTTGGATCAGTAGGTGCTTTTCTCAAGCGACAGCCAAAGAACTGGGGTCGGCGGAATAGTCTGGAGGATACCACGAGTACGAGGCTGGGCAAGGTCTTGACCAAGGATCAGCCATGATCAAGACTCAAGGACTACGCCAGGAAGTCTCAAGGACTACGCCAGGAAGTTGGTGGATTGAGCCTCACACTGATGATCAAGGTGGCTTCAAGTGGACCAGGAACAAAATGCCGACTTTCGAGCGGGAAGACGGAACCGCGCGAAGACGTGTATAGGTCCCAGGAAAGATAATCCGAGACATGAGCATTGGACGGAGTGGCTCCTTGGACAGGTCCCAATGATGCTATCTATCCGGGACGGACTGAGGATTTTGCAAGTTAGTGACATGACATCGCGGAACTTCAGGTACAGGCGGAGAACAACTCCGTAGTGACATATTGGAGCATGCTAACTAACATTTTTTCCTAAGGAAATCAGTAGTACCTAGGTATACATACCAGAAACAGAGAACCTGTCTGAAAGAACCCTACGTGCACCTTGGGAGCTACCTTTCCATAATAAATTGGCAATAATAATGACGAGTTGCAAGAACGTCGATGAGACGGGGTGCTTAGAGACCGCCGAATAGTGCATTAACAACCTATTCCTGCTATTAGTCTACTATGGTAGCAGGCCTCGGTGTTACTTTCTACCGCATACTGTACGCATCTCGTTCTGGAAGGGACGCCCGAGGCAGCTCTGACGTCAAAACCTCAATGGGCCCCTTCCCTGCAAACTTGTTCTTCTTCCCGCCTCACTCGGTGCTCGTACTGTATTTACGAGGTGCCGGGCCTACCCTTTCAGTAGACCGCCCAATGCCGAGCACCCAGCCAGGGCATCCCTCTTGTATGATTGTATCATTATTACGTCTAGCCCCCTTCATCCTCAATTACTCCGTACAAGCTTCCTAACCAGGCACTCCCATTTGATCTCTTCTCTCCCGCTCGCATTCTCACTCTTGTTCACTGTTCCGAGTGTCTCGAGTCATGTCTCACCTTTCAAACACCTGATCTTGCTCGCTTTAGAGCCTCCCAGTCACTCGAGCGTTGTGGCTGTCCCTCCCTTCCGCCGCGCAACCCGAGCAGACCAGCCCATCTCCCAAAGCGGCTGTCTTCCGTGAAACACTGGCACCTCGCCTCGCTACGCTACGCAGCGCTGGCAGCGCACGCGAATCTAACTGCCTTTTGCGCTCGCACTTTCTACCCTCCACTTGCACATTTGCGACCTCTTCACTACCGTCGCATTGGCTTCTGCGGTCTCTGTGTTATGATACATACAAAAGAAAGATCTATGACTTGAAAAATGGTATGCGCCGTAGTCTGCTTTGGCCGGACCTCACCCTTGCACCACCCGTCCTTCCCACACTTGACTGCACCCAACTCCGAAGATATTCACTGACAGAACTCGAATCTCTAGGCCCCTACACTTGCATCACTACTCCTCCCCGCGACGCCAGCATTACTTGTCCCCCGCCAAGCGACCACAACTATCGTTCAGGCTCCCAATGCGCCATCATGTTCAGGACAGTACTCGGGTGGTACCCTAGCTGGAGCGATCCTCGGAACGTTCTTCGGCACCCTCCTCATCATCTACCTATTTAACTCGATAAATAACAACCAGAGCAGAATCGGTGCGCAGGAAGTCGTCGTCGAGCGGAAGGTGCGCAGTAACGGCAGTCGACGGCGACGGAGGAGTAGGAGCGGTAGCCTGTCCAGCGTCCGGCGACCCAGTAGGGTCTACTCGGTACATGACTGACACAGGGGACGGGGAATACGGGGAGCATAGGTTTATTAAGGGGATTCTACGTGCAAGTTCAACTAACGCCATTGACGGTGCGACGGTGTGACGATGGGCACGGGGCTAGCCCGAGGCTTGGGATTGGGATCATTTTGACTGTCCAGCGATGAGATCTATGAGAGCGTGACTGTTTTTTCTTTCCTTCTTTCTTCTTGGAAATGACCATCGATGTGTGGGGACTGAAGGCTCTCTCTACACGCTCCTGCGCCGATTGGCAGAGAGATGAGCGTAGGGGACTCTGGTCTGTATATTGCCTTGCAGCATCTATGCACTGTGGGATGTCTCTGTATCGATAGCACGGACAGCACGGCATTGCATTGGAATTACTGTGCCCGGACGGATGACACATTCATCTTTTCCGACCTTTGTTAAGAAAACAGAATGGAATTCATCATGATTGCAATCTCTTAATCTACGGTAGCAGTCAATTGCGCTGTCAGTAGAGAACTATCTCTCGCAATTATCCAGACTGATGTACTTTGTTTATGTGGGTACAATGTCCGGGGGCTCCACCTGCGTTGTCAGGCAACGGCCAGTGGAGGTGCAGGTGCAGGTGCAGGTGCCGGTGTAGGTGGTCACCCGCGCCTGCCCTGTTTCTTTGTGAACCTACTGTACCCCGGCACCTACAGTAGTACCTCGAACTCCCTCCCTTCTTGCATTCTTCTCTTCTTCCCGGCTTCCCTGTCTAGTGCTGTCCGTCCAGTCCTCTCGGACCCCCACTTTCTCCGATCCGACAGATAACGCACCTCGTTCCTGCTGAGCATGCTACTGCCTGCGCTGTACCTCGCGCATCTCCATATCAAACAACCATCTCACTATCTCCTCCCAACGACTATCTAAATCAGTCTTGCCTCCGTTCTTCAAAGTCCCATACCCTTCACTGTTGTATCCCATCTACTCTGCTATCCAAGTCAGCCTGCTGAGCGGATATACAGATATACCTCCCCGCAACCCTCCGCCAACCTCTCTTCCGCGCTCACCTGTCCCACACGTGCCTTCGCCTCGCCTCGCTTCACGATGGCAGTTGCAGCAATAATCCCTTTCTTGGTGGGCATGATGTTACTGACGGGGTGTGCCAATACAATCCTCACAAAGTACCAAGATCAGCAATGTGTTCGAAATTGTCATGACCTTGATCCAACGAAACGTTACAATTTTGAGCAGCCCGTCATCCAGACGTGAGCCGAGTAATTCTATCCTGCTTCGCTGTGCTGACCTAGTGCAGAGTTCAGATGTTCATTGGCGAGATGGGTAGCTGGCTCGTCCTTGGAGGTGTCTTCCTCTACCGATACTTTTGCCTCCGATCCAAAGATGCCCCTCTCCTCTACCAGCCGGTCAACACTGAGGAGCCGGAGGATGATGAGCCTTTGCGACCTACCAGATCCCGGGACGCTGCTAGTCCTGCATTGAAGCCTCTTGTTCCGAATGCCGAAGATCGAACCCCTCTGACAGGCTACAAGATCACTTTACTTGCTCTTCCCGCTTGTTGTGATATTACCGGAACCACGCTCATGAATGTCGGTCTCCTTTTTGTCGCGGCATCCATATATCAGATGACTCGGGGTGCTTTGGTCCTATTCGTCGGTCTGTTCAGTGTCTTATTCCTCAAGAGAAGATTGTTCCTATACCACTGGCTCTCACTCTTTATCGTCGTCTTGGGCGTTGCCTTGGTTGGCCTCGCAGGCGCCATATACTCGGGGGATAAAAATTCCCCCTCCAAAGTTGACCAACCAGAGCTCTTGCATACCTCACTGCATGCCATCCGAACTGTGGTTGTTCAAGCATCCGAAACCCCTGTTCTCAGAACCATCCTAGGCATCTTTCTCATTGCATTTGCTCAAATCTTTACTGCCACCCAATTTTGCCTGGAAGAATGGATCCTTGAAAACTATGCTTTGGAACCCCTCAAGGTTGTTGCTTGGGAAGGTCTTTTTGGCTTCATGGTCACGATATTGTTGCAAATCATTTTGCACTTCACGATTGGCGTTTCAGCAAAGGGCAAATATGGCTTTTTCGATGCCGAAGAAGGCTATCGCCAAATGTTCACAAACCGAACGATTGGCATCACCAGTTTGGCAATCATGGTTTCCATTGGTGGCTTCAACTTTTTCGGCCTCTCCGTCACAAGAAGCATTTCGGCAACTTCAAGATCTATCATTGACACTTGCCGAACTCTGTTCATTTGGATTGTCTCTCTTGGCCTTGGCTGGGAGACGTTCAAATGGCTACAGGTGGCCGGCTTTGCTTTAGTAAGTTCTAACCATGTATTCGACGAATCAATCTATACTAACATCCACCATAGCTGGTCTATGGAACGTTCATGTTCAACGATCTCGTTAGGCCTCCCATTAAAGCACTCCTACCCCGAAGGGAAGAGCTGGAGGAACGCCGAGATCTTCTCCCCGAAGACCCCATTGAGCATATGTAGACTTTTATGTTTTATTGATAATCACATCGGAAAGGCACCAGCCAGATAGAAGCCAACGCTGGCCACAAGACCATACATTCAGACATTCTGCTATCCGTGCTTGTCGTTTCATTCTCTGCACGTCGTGCACCGAGCAGAGGGCAGCCGCTCCTGCTAATGTCCACTTATGGGGAAGTGGACCTTCCTGTCCGATGGCACCACACAATGGCGCACCCTTTACGTTCAGAGGACCATAAGAGTCCTCCATACACCTGTTATATACTCTGCCGATGCTAGAGGCGCCATCCTGGTATGACTTTGGTCGTCATTCTGCCTACTGGAAATTTCCTCCTGGGAGTGGCAATTTCAATATGACAAGGCTTGGCACCACCCTGGTGTGACTGTGTATCACAATCTTTAAAGCCTTTGTCTATTTCTGCAAGGCATGACAATTAAAAGGATGCATGCCTCCTTTCAAATTTCGGCCTTGACGGCAAGGTGCATCTGGTCGGCTTGTCTTGAAGCTTCTTCATCGTTTTTGTCTTGTCGTGGAGAAGCCCTTCCGATGCAAGGGATGAATTTCCTTTCTTTCGCAACCCTCGTGGTGGCTGGACCAACCTCTCTACCCGTGGTGGGTAACCATTGAGACAGCTCATGCAAGGGCAATGTCCATTTTGTACGCCAAAGCGCGGCTGTCCAACATTCGATTTGGCCAACGCCACTATGGTTGGATTTGCAACACGCGGATGCGCGCCCAATAACGAATTGATCGGCCCCCCTACGGATATATGTCTCATTTATTCCATGTTGGAGACTTTGGGATCTGGTTCTTTACTTATAACACATCCCTAAGGTTGAAAATATACAAGCCATCATGGAGTCAGAGTCCTCAAGCTCTCCCATCAATGCTGAGATTGACCGTCTGCCCGTCCCTACGCCATTTCGTTTGACTCACTGCGTGAATGAAGGCCAGATGACACCACCCGCATCTCCTTCTCTACAGGCTCGTCATGGGCCAAAGCTGCAGCTTTCAAAGTTCTTTCGGAGGTCCAAGTCCATCAGATCGAAGCCTACTGGGTTCCACGATATGCTTCGAACCACGACTGTTCGACCATCTGTGGTGGAGATGAAGACTCCTTTCCCGCTTCTACTCCCCGAGTCTCCATCGGTAACTGAGAATAGTCCCTCGATCCCAAGTCTATCCCCTGGACTACGAAGGATGTCGGCTAGTTATCATGATCTACGAGCTGTTGCTCAACGACAGGCGAATTCAAGTCCTCAAACACCACTTCTTCCCAGTCCGATATCGCGAGAGCCTGAATTACAGGACCTCGGCTATTTCCATTTCGGAAAACCTTGCAGGCAGCGCGATTCTTTGACAGATACCAACTCGATTGACAGTGAAGATATCTTAACGTACTACTGCGACGGTCGACGTAAATGCAAGGAGCAGCCCAGAGGGTATCGAAGAGATTCATGGACTACGGATGACACAGAGATCGAAGATGAAGAACAGAGTACTGCGTCTGAATCAATGCCTGTGACACCATCGGAACAGGAATATTGCCAAACAATCCATTCGGATGAATCGGGGTGGTTAGCTAATACCACGTCCCACGAAGAGAGGATGCGCAAATTCAAGACCAGATTCTATCAGGTCGTTCAACGTCCTTGGACCAGTGCTTTTCAGGGTGCCGGCGAAGACGAAGTGGTATAGTAGCCCAACTTTGCTGATGATCGGGATCCCAATTGACATGTCCTGCACAGATGATTGCAACGGTTCTTGTTGGTCCTGGCAAAGCTAAAATTGTCCAAATCCAAAGACCACCGTCGAGCCAAGCATCGCAAGAAGCGGAAATTGCACATGCTGTATGTGAACACGGAAATGGTGAGGAGTCCGTACATGAGCCTACGACCACATTGGACTCCCGGCCACACACGCCAACTCAAAGGACAATGGAAGTCTCTGCATTCAGCCCGTATGATACGCCAGGTGCCGAGGACACTACACTCCAATATATCAGTATCGAATCATGCATTTCCGATACCCCTATTACTGGGCCTCGAATTGCAGAAAATTGTGGGATTGCATCGCCATCCTCAGAAAAGCTCGTACCCGCACCGCTGAAGTTGCCATCACGGACAAGAACCAGTCGCTCGGACAGCAGTATTTTCAGCAGTACATTACAACAACTTCAAGACCTTGCTGATCCATTCGGCACATCCTCCACAACTGCATTTCAAAGCTCAGCACGGAAAAGACTGAAAAAGTCGAAGAGTAGCCACCATAATGGACATTCGTCAAAGAATTTCTCTTCCCATCACTCACAATCCTGGCCAATTGAAGATTTTCCACAACGGAAGAAGGAAAATTGCCACCCACAGAAATCATCTCTCCAAGAGTCACCTACACTCCGATCCACAACTCTGACTCGGCTGAGAAGGCTCCACAAACTAAACCGTATTCTGTGTGCCGTAACACACGCTATCGATCACTTCCCGTCCAATCTACTGTACCTTTCCTCACCTGTCGTGCTTGAACTACGGCCATCAAAAGTCTCAGATCAAATGTACGTTGACGCGTTGGCAAGAGTCTTCCCGGGTGCATGCAGCACCTTGCTCGAAAGCCTCACAGCGTGGATCCTCATTGACTTGTTCTTTGAGAAAGTCAGGAATGAGGCGAGGGGAGGGGGCGTTCTTGCTCAGTTTGATTCAAACCTTCATGCTGGATCTCTATACTTGGGAGGGAGTGACCATCGTTATAGTTACGACTCAACCAGGACCGCCAACAATGCCAGTGGCTACAGCTCCTACTATCCCCAACGCCAGCATTATCAGTATCACGAGCACCTCACACAATCCCCGGGGCAGCATTACCAACGACGACCCCGCCGGGACCGCAACATCCCGAGCAAAGCGCACGAAATGCTCGGCATCGGCGCCCCTGATGTGACATCGATCCGTCTCTCGGAATTCGCGCTCAAATGGCGCGCTGAGTCAGTAGCCGTCAGCGTCGCTGTCGTCGGGCACCGCCTCGTCGAAGCTATACGTGGCTCCGCCGGCTGGGACGAAGACGTTTGGCGTTCTCTGCGGGTTCTTGTTGATGTTATCGGCGTTAGTGCCGCCAGTGCACGTGTGGGTGACAATGGTGCTGTTGCTGGACGTGTAGATGGAGATGGAGATGGAGCTGTAGATAAGGAACAGCAAGGTTGGAGTGGTGGACTCTCAAACAGTCGTGATGATATAGGCAGTGATGATGGTCGGTCAGGGAATGTTGCGAGAGTGCAAAAGAAAGGCAATAGGGGCAGGCCAAGCGGCAGAGAAGGCAGTGACTGGGTCTAGTATGTACTATTAGTCGCTACGCTTGTCCATCAGTTGCTCAACTAGCTTTACTCCTTTTTTAATTTTTCATTGTTATTCCATTTCATCTAATGTCTTGTCTTTCTCATATAAAACGACAAGGAAAGCGCGATATGCTCTAAATTCTATCTATGCTTGCCGTTGCCGTTGCACTTCAATTGTTCCTGGCCTCTTGACCACACAAGTCTGACATAGCATGATGTGACATGACTACGGCTATATTAGCATCGCCTCACAGTTGGTCAGCCCGTACATATCCGTGTACTAGTACATGGTATCTTCATGCCCGACGTCCTCGTCCTCCCGAGCCTCTTTCTCATTTTCCAAGCTGTTCGGAACCAACATTGACAAAGCAGTACATACATCGATAGGACTGATTAGTATGCGACCTTGACTGGCATTCATATAGTTGCAGCGTCTAGTACATAGTAGCCTCTCGAACTTTGATGTCTTTTCATTTCTTTCTTGCTCGAGGCACGCCTATTTTTTTGGGCTCTTGAATGCATGCGTCGCGTCGAGTCGCGTCGCATCGCCAATGCGTCAATTCTGTCGTTTTATTTAATTATATACTTGATGTTCTTGGTCTTGGTCTTGGCCTTGGCCGGCGAGCATTGGGAATGAAGAGGATCCGGGTTCAAGGGATCCCCCTTGAACTCAGGTGCTGGAGGAGCTGGCGCGTGGTTTTCAGACGGCGCACTGCGGTGTTGAGTGGTGGATAGATTGGTTAACTCGCTGGTGCCGGTGGCTCGGTACATATAGCTAGCCTCTGGAAACTTCGAAGCCCCTTTTCGCAATTCCTTCGTAAAGCATATTCCATATCATGGATATATGTTCTTTCGTCCCCGAGCATTCTAGGCAAATCTTCAGAATTCGGCTCAACGAACCTTCAACCTAACGAGCAACCCCGTCTGGTTCAGCGCCCAGGCATTGCTCACGACCCACTCTCGGGCCGGATCGTCCAGCTCGACGTCAAACTTCAAGAACAGCGCGGCCACGACCTTGTGCAACTCCAGCATCGCTATGTTCTTCCCGAGGCAAGACCTCTTGCCCGCCCCGAACGCCAGCAGCGCGTGCTCCATGGTCTTCGTCTTCTGCTCGTGCTCTGTCAGCCAACGCTCTGGGCTCCACTCTTCAGCGTCAGGCCCGAAGATCCCCGGCGAGCGGTGCAGGACCCACGGGTTGATGCCGACGATGGTCCCGGCGGGCAGGAATGTGGTCGCGCCGTCCTCGTGGCTGAGCTGGAGGCCGTCTTGTGGAACGACGCGCTCCAGTGGGAGCGAGAGTGCGGGATTCAGCCGCAGACCTTCTTTGATCACCGCGCAGAGGTAGGGGAGTTGCTGTTGTGTTTCGTTCCATGTCGGACACGGCGCCGAAATCTTGCTCCCCGCCGCGGCGCTCGCCAGCTCGGTGATTAGTCTCTCCTGCGACGCCTGGTTTCTCAGTAGGTGGTAAAGAATCGCTCTCAAGGTCGACGCCAGAGTGTCGCTGCCGGCATTTATATTCGCAAAGAGGTACGAAAGTATGCGCAGATCATTCATCGCTTCTGCCCCGTCGACCTCCTCCTGCCTGACCTTCAGGAAGCGGCTGAGGAAATCGGGCCTGTCCAAGGAGTTCTTCTCGTCGCCGCGACCTTCCTCGATATCACGTAACCGTTCTTTCAAGCGCGCCTGTGCAAATTGTAGGATGGGTGAGCTGACACTCTTGCGGAAGTACCTGACGTAGAGCGGGTTCTTGCCGAGGAGGGCCTCGTCGAGCCACGGAATCTGGCCCAGCACGCTGAAGTACTCGAAGTTGGCACCGATGGCGGCGATGATTGAGTCGACGTCCGCCCCGGACTCAATGAAGCCCAGGCGGCGGGAGAAGGTCAGTTCGCCGATCACGTCGAAGGCGAAGAATTGGAGATAGCGGCCAAGGTCGAGGACAGGCACGGGAGCGGGCGTGGAAGACGTGTCGTTGTCCTTGGTCGCGGTGGTGGTGAATTGATCCTCAAGCGTCGTCAGAAATACATCGACCGTCTGATCGACGAGGCCCTCGTACTCGACGAGCGTGCTGAGGCTGTACGCGTGCGCGACCAGCCGCTTCGACTTGGCGTGCTCCGTCTCATCCGTGATGGCGACGAGGCTCGCGGCTCGGCGCCCGTTGACGATGTTCTGGAAACAGCTGTAGAAATCAGATTTGACCAGCCCCTTCCCGATCCCGTAGATCTGCGCGATATACCGCGCTGAGCCGGATACGGAGACCACGTTGGGCCCGAGCCGAACTAGGGGGCCGTGTTGTTTGTGTAGTTGTAGGTGGACTTCGTGCGGGGATCGCTGGTAGACGAGGAATGCGCGGTAGAGGTTCGTGAAGCGCGCGATGAGTGGTCCGGGGATTGTCGAGGGGAGGAGAGACTGGTTCTTGAAGAGGATGATGAGCAGGAAGAAGGGGAGTGAGTAGATTAGTAGTGGGAGAATCATCTCTGCTCTTCTTTTCTGTATCCGTTCTGTCTTGGCGATTTTGGTGATATAACGGTGATGTCGTGGTCTCGCCTGGCTCTAAGCTTAAATCAACAAGCGGATTCCACGAGAGGAGGTGACACAAAATGAAATGTAACCAGATACAGGCAGTCTTAAGATAATATCACCGCGGTGAAGTAGAGGTTGGCTCGTGGTTACTGGCCTGGTAGTTGCATAACTACCGAAGAAATATATAACTGTAATTGATGTAGAGAATATATGAGCAGTGTAGCGCACTTTCGCTCTTCAGCTTTTTCGAGACATGGAAGTCCAGAGATCAAGCAGTTGTCAGCAAATAGACTACCTGATTGGGCGGATTTAGGGAAAACAATTATCGATGAGAGCGGGTAGGCAATAATTCCTTAAAGAGCAACCCTCGTTTGCCTTCGTTCGCATTTTAAGACGGAGACATAATGAGAGGGGCGGTCGGGCGACTTCCGCGCAGAATGTCCCGCCCAATGGTACGACGTGCAATTGATGGATACATATTTGGTGTGGGATGAGTGAGGGAACGAGAATGGAAGCTGGTGAAGTCTGGTGGGCGGAAGACTTTCCGCAAGTTCGGCTGGCGGCGGCAATGAAGGGGACTTGAAAGATTAGATCAAGGACCCGGAAATGCAACACACCGAGCGATCGCCGAGAGTCCGGATAGAATAGGGGAGGCTGTTTTCCGGGGGGCACCAGGCGATAGATGTTACGGTGGCAGGCTGCCAGTAAGCCAAATGTGGCCATTAACCATCTCCTGTACTTGAGATGCGTGTAGATGGCATCTTTAAAGATGAAAGTTGGGAGGCCTTCGTTTAGATCTCATCTTGATTGTTCGACTTAGGAGGGAACGTCATTTGTCTTTTCTACATGCATCTGAATATGAGGGCAGTCGTAGAGGCGCTCGTGCTTTGTACGCATTTTCAGTGTTGGACCGCTAGGGATATCGCTTGCTTTGAAGCCCATGCAACAATTTGAAATCTGTTGACAGTCTCATCAGGGTTCGGTCCAATCTACTTGATCCGTTACCATAGCTCCACCGTCCTTTGCATATGAGACCTTCAGTCTTAGTCTCAGCTTCGCAGGAAGGGCCTATGTGTGTGTTAGCTTCCATTTGATCTGGATCTGGAGATCTATCACTTACTCCTGATGCAGCGACAATACGCATTCCTTGAGTTGCTTCGTCGCCACCATCCAAAGTACTTTTATTAATGGCCTGTAGGGTCAATTTCTGGCTTTTTGGGACTGCGGCCTGCAACCCAACACCAGTGAATTGCTCGAATGCACCACTGTTCTTGAATCGAGCTAATACTTGAGCGCCGGCCCCGCTCCTTGATATTTGAATCGTGACGGACAAGCCATTTTTGTTGTATGCTGGGTGAGCTTGTGGACCGGTAGGAACTGGAGTGTTTGCTTTCGCACTTGCATTGCCGAACAAATCCATGATAGAATCGGTGTTGGACGTGGGTACTGGACTCCTGGTTTGAGCTGGTGGACTTGAAATTGAACTCCCACCGCCTAGAATGTCTGCAAGAAGGTCTGCCGTTTGCTGTTGGCCATTCAATGTCGCACTAGCGTCCACAGCTGGAACATCTGAGCCACCCATGAGATCGAGAAGCATGTCCGACTCTGTATTTTTGACAACCGATGTTTTCGACTTGGCTTTCAACGCCTTCTTCTTGTTCTTGGCTGGTGTGCTTGCTTCACCCAGTACTCTTTGCTCTTCTTTGATCTCTGGTGGAGGCATTTTCTCCAACACTCCTCTTCGTATCGAATCGTAACCAAACATATTTCCATACTCGACAGCCCTTTGCTGAATCTCAACGCTAAGATCAGAGGATCTAGATTGCATCAGGCGCCTGATCTTCTCTATCTGAGCTTGATCGGTCATTCTCGTGGTCAGTTTCATGGCTGAAGTTATGATGAATTCGGTAACAACCTGGTTTGCATATGTCGAGTTGAGGATCGTGGTGTATAAGTCGACGATATCGCTCTCTTTAACTTCTTTCACAAGCTCTTCCTCTTCATATTGACCCCCACGAATCAAGGCGTCACCAAACTCACCAATTACCCACACCCCAGCTAGTGTAAGAGCCTCCTGAGTGATGTCAGCCTTCAAGGCTGAATATAATTTCTGGACAGAATATGTCTGCTGATCAGGTGACGTTGCAATGAGACGAACGAATGACGACAAAATCTGCTCCTTGACGTAGTTTCCCGCAAGCTTGATAACCCTCAACATGGTGTCAATATGCCACCTCTTGTTTGGTGCATATCGATCTGCTGCTATCCCGATTTGAGTTGTCATCACAGACTTGAACTCATTATCAGCAACTTCCAGGAAGGCAAGGAGTTCTCGAATCAAAACGCGCACGTTGTCTTCTCGGATGAGCGTGAAGCTCAAGTCGAGTGCTCGCCGGCGGATTGAAATATCGGGATCTCTCAGACACTCAAGAATTGTGTTTCGGTGCCTTTGTACAGCATTTGGTTCAATGGCCACAACTTTGACGAGTGTGTTGAGTGCCACATATCGGATGTTGTTGTCCTTGTTGGCCAAGAATTTACCTAGTATGTTCACTCCAAGCACACGTAGTCCTGAATCTGCTTCGATATCTAGAATGGTCAGAACTGCCTCATACAGAATCGAGTTGCCGACATTCTTGGTGGCTTCTGTATTGGTAGCGACCTGTGCTAATATGTCGTTGATCTGTTCACTAGTCGTAGGATCTCCTCTGCCCAGGACCCTGAACAACCTTAGGATCTTGACCTGGAGGAAAGGGTCTGTAATTCCAGAAACATCATGTTCAGGTGTATACCCTGAACTGGTAAGGCTCTTCAAAGTGCGGACAAGATGAGGAACGACAGGTCTAAACATATCGACAATTCCTTCTTCGCCGCCCTCGGCTTCGTCCGCTTCGCACATGCTGGTGATCAGGGTCAGCCCACAGAGAAGTACTCCATGATTTCTATCTTGTAGTAACAGTTTGGCCTTCTCGAGGAAATGTTCTTGTAGATCTGGAACCTTCCGACATATTCGCATCGCGCAAAGGGCAGCCTTCCGACGTATGTAAGGGTTGGCGGTAGAAATGAGATTTTCGACTTCTGGGAAGAGATCTCGAGACATCTCTATCGATGCAATGTTGCCCAGAGTGCAGAGGGCGAGGCCCGCAACATATTGGTTGGAATGACCAAGGTCACTGTTGAAATCAGTACGGAGGATCTTATTTAGATGGAAAGGTTCCTACTTCTTCAGCGAATTCGTGACAAGAGTGAGGACTTCTTGGTTCTCGTCTAGCAGGAGCATGGTTCCCAAGTATCCCAGCCGCTTGTCTGCGAATCGCGGTGAGGCCAGGAGTTTGAGACATTCTATCTGACCGAAATGAGTCCGTTCTCCTAGGGTGAAAAGATAGAGGAGTTTTGCAACGTTGTTCCGCCTGGGTCTGTTTAGATGTGTTTGCTTCCGGGCGGGATATTTTGGACTACCTTATGTTTGAATCTCCGCTCTCTTCACGAAAACTGGCACGGATTGCAGCACTCTCTTTCTGGACAACAGCGCGTTCATCGGCGATAGTCTTGGAGGCTCGAACGTTGCGAATGAATTGTTTGACTTGAGACTTGTCAGTGGTGCAGAAGACAACTGGCGGAGGCAGGAGTCATTACGGGAAGTCATGGTAACAAGCTGACCCTAGGGGGGTCATGGAATTTTTGGGTCAGGATGTCATGAAGAAGATTTATCGGTCTGTAGTGTATAGTCCTCTATTGCCATTACAGCATGGTCATTTCAACGTGGGGGAGGAGAGACGGTGGCTCAATAATGATAGGAGGGGATGGCGACGAGGGGGGATGGACTGCACGAACATGAATGTCAATCAAACTGGTGGCAGCAGAAGTGTCCTATGATCTCACTGGCCAATGGGAGCACAACTCATGCCAAGACTTACATTGCTTTATTTGAGGTCAATATCATGCCACTTTGAGAATATCGCACCGATAGGGTCGCGGCATCTTGCCATTTTAAGGCGCTGTATGCGTTGGTCTTCCTGCATGTACTACTCCGTACCTAGTAGGTACGGAGTATTGCCAGCTAAGTACCTTCCCAAATGGTGATAATGGCGATAATCAACTCTCTCGAGCTATGTATCTTACTGTAGATAGGACACAAATATTCAATAAATCGGGTGCATACATTACTCTCCTTCAATTCTGCGAGAACGCTTGACGTATTCGAAAAGATGCACGTCCTGATTGTAATCTCCCATCCAAATGAGAAATCACTCACCCACTCCCTCGCCCAGAGAGTCACTGATGGGGCTGAAAGCAAAGGCCACACTGTCGAGCTACTTGATCTCTACAAAGACGGCTTCAATCCAATTTTCTCGACACGTGATTTTGAGCAATTTGAAGGCGTTCCTATGACGGAGGATGTGTTACGACATCAGAGGCTAGTCGAGAAGGCAGATGCCATCTTCTTGATCTTTCCAGTATGGTGGTATGGTCTACCGGCGATGATCAAGGGGTGGCTTGACCGTGTCTTCTCAGCAGGGTGGGCATACAAAGTAGAAGTCGACCCTGAAGGGACACTATTGGCCCATCGTCCTTGCACCATTTTGGCACCAGCAGGGGCCTCTGCGAACCAATTGAACCGCTGGGGATACGACAAGCAAATTCAGCATCTGTGGAGGTACGGAGTATTCGGATACTGCGGGTTCGAACCACTCAGGATCACCATTCTGGAGGATTCTGAATGGGCGGAGAGAGGAAAAGTAATTGGGCACCTGGAAACGGCATTTAAAGCAGGTCAATTGATTGGTGAAGATCCAGAAGCTCTGCCTGGCATCAAACGCTATCTCGACTATGGGCTTGACATTCGAGGTGAGAAATATACAGGGAATGGGACTCCGAGCCAGGCACAGTGAATTAAATTCCAGTACATGAACATGCGGCGGATATGGAAAGTTCCAACGAGCTGATGACGAGTCAGTTCGGGGCCCGAAGTGAGCGCGAATGTTGTGTCTAGCTGCTTATGCTCGAAGCGATGAGCAAATGATTTTGGTGTTGGCTGTACGCTTGCTATGCGCTTGATATAGAACAGTACCAGCTTCAGCTCAATGAGATTAGCTTTTGCTGTTGAGCCTTTCATGAAGACATCGGAAGATTTTGGTGATACTCAAGCGGGATCGTGTGGATATGAGATCACGTGATACCACGTGACTCGTAAAGTCCCTGCTTAACCGCTGACCACCACCAGTACGAGTAATCCACATCCAACCGTATCTCGTATTGATCCTGGTTGAATAGGCTGATCCTAATGAAAACCCGCGCCGGCTGACGTCGCCAAAGTCGAGTTCCAAGTAGTATTAGCATCGCAATCCTCGCAGGTCTATCCTATTTTGGGGTCCCAAGTTTGCGAAAGAGACAAACAAATTCGGAATACAGGAAAGCCGGTCTCCTCCCCCCTCCACCACCCACCCACCTTGTTCAATCCTTCTGTCCAGGCTGGCTTCTAGCTAGATATTTAGAAATGGGCATTTACTTGTTTCTAGACATGCTCACTATTGTTTCTACGGTGTCTCGTATTGTTTATTAGTTTCTTGCGTCAAGATGAAGGCCGGTCGACGTCCCAGTCCAGATGGGAATCTCCTGCGCCCTCGGCCTCTGAGAGCATTGCCCGAGGCCTTGCGCGCCAATGGTCATGGCCTCAATGGTTTCGCAGAGGTTCCCTCTGGAGTGTCTAGGTGTGTTTCTCATTTCGTCTGGCTTGACTTCGCCTGCGTAATTTGGTCTGACAATTCTCAACAGTGGACGCTCGACGCCTATCCCTCACGATGCACCACCCTCGGCTCAGTCCATATCTACCGCCCGAAAACAGGCTCGCGCTCAGGCGAAGCATCGCATGTTCCATACCATCAACTACGTGCCTCGAGTCTCTCACTTTGATCCGAGAAGCGAATACCGAGACTTCCGGGGATTCTTTGTGCTCTTTTGGATCAGTTTGACCATCATGGTCCTCACGACCTGCTTAAGGAACATCAAAGAGACCGGGTTACCTTTGAGAGTCAATGTTTATAAAATTCTATCCCGGAATGTCATCTCCCTCGGCTTGAGTGACGCTGCGATGGTTGTGAGCACTGCTCTGAGTCTTCCGCTCCAGAAAATTACGCGTGGACAAATAGGCCTACTCCGGTGGCGTAGAGCCGGAATCTGGTTGCAGAGTATCTTCCAGGCGGCCTGGCTGTTTTTCTGGGTTCAATTACCCTTCTTGTTGGGGTGGACTTGGACTGCCCAGGTCTATTTTGCCCTCCACACCCTGACGTTTCTCATGAAGATGCATTCCTACGCCTTTTACAATGGGCACCTGAGCGAGGCGGAGAGACGCCTGCATGAGCTGGACCAGCCAGAAACGGCGGACCTAGCAGAGGCGGTCAAGTATCCCAGCTCTCCGTCGAGGCTGCAAGACGTTGACTCAGACCATTCTCCTGAACAAAAGGAGTCTCTGGAACAACTCACACAGTTGCGGCAGGATCTTGCCACGGAGCTCACTTCTCCCCTCGGTCAGGTCACCTATCCACAAAATCTTACCCTGTACAATTATGTCGATTACATTCTTTGCCCGACGCTCTGCTACGAACTCGAATACCCCCGAACCACCCACATTCGCTGGTTGGAAGTGTTTTACAAAACCCTTGCCGTTTTCGGTTGTATATTTTTAATGATCACGATCAGCGAAGAATTCATTACCCCAGTCCTGGCTGAATCCGCCATCCGCCTCAAGACTGTTTTCACGTTTTCCGATATGGCATTGATTCTCGCCGAGACCATGAGCCTCCTCCTGTTTCCCTTCATGATTATGTTCCTGCTCGTCTTCCTTGTCATCTGGGAATACATTCTGGGAGCTTTCGCCGAGATCACCTGTTTCGCCGACCGCCACTTCTACTCAGACTGGTGGAACAGCAGCGACTGGTTGGAATTCTCGAGGGAGTGGAACATTCCCGTGTACCACTTCCTCCGAAGGCACGTTTTTTTCTCTTCCAAAACGTACTTTTCCACCTCCATGGCCATGGCGATCACTTTCTTGGTCAGCGCGCTAGGCCATGAATTGATCATGGGATGCATCACAAAGAAACTCCGAGGTTATGGTTTTGTAGCCATGATGCTGCAGCTGCCAATCGTTGCTCTGCAAAGGAGCCCTCTCATCCGGGGCCGATGGGTGTTCAATAACGCCGCGTTTTGGAGCAGTATGATTTTAGGATTGAGCGCCATGTGTAGTCTCTATGTGCTGGTCTGAAAAGAAGTGGGTATCGTGCTCTTCGTGGGTCTCGACGCTGAAAGAGTTGTCATAATTTGGAGATTTGATCTCAAGATACATAAACTCTGCTCACCTCGGCCGACGCCCAAGTTCCACGCCTTTTCTATTGCACAACCCCTGTCATCAATATTCACTTCATCAGGAGGAAGAATTACAGAAAGAGAATACCTAACCCAGACACAAGCCAGACAGAATCAGGACATCGACACCTCAACTTCGCAAAGAATCTATTCTGCTTATTGGCTCAAAGCAAAACACTTACCTATATATACCTCTCACCTGTATCTCAGCTTCTTTTGCGCTGAAGATCATCTACTGCATTCACTGCTGCATTTGGTCTAGTAAGAGGTACCGAAGCATGATACCAGGGCTAGTTCCTTGGCATATCAACCCGATACTTATTCTCTAGGGGGTGAATGTATGTATATAGTATGTAATACCAAACTACAGTACGTAGTATCTCATCCAGGCCCTTTAGGTCTCAGCCCGCGTCAGCCAGTCACTCAGGCAAACACACGCCCGACCCGCCACTCCTGGCACAGCCGCTGGGACACGGATAATCGGGGTTGTACTGCCAGAGGAAATACGGGTCCGTCTCGTTCGTGAGCACCTCGCCCATCAGGCGCGATGAGTAAGTAAGGTCGAAGCTCTGCGCGAATACTTCAATGCTGGGGATCCGGATCTGGCCCCATCCATGCGCGATCAGCGTGTCGATGCTCGTCCCGTAGATATATTCTTTGAACCCGGACCAGCGGATTGCCGACGCGCACTGTGTAGATGTTAATTATTGGGTAAGGGGTTATGGGGTATGTATGGTTGATGGTGGGCAGGACGCTGCATTTAGTAGGTAGTAGTAGCTTACCATTGGACAACTCTCTGCATTTGTGTAGAGCGAGAGGGATGAGAATGCCCTTTGTGCCTGTGAGGTGGTCAAGTTGTATGGCCCCGTGGGGTCCGTGAGGATCGCCGAGCAGTTGTTGATGGCTGCTATCTCGCCTTTTCACCCCGAGAGCATTAGCTTCTATCTATCCTATTGATCGGTTCCAACAGGAGAGGTGCTGAGCATCAACAGCTAGAAGCTACATGGGGGTGCTGTTGGTGGCAGTCTTTACCATGTAAGGTTGGGTTCCCCGTCATCGAGATGTTGTTTGCTCCCATGCAGACCAACTCACCCATGCCATCCGCCCCGAGTGCTGTGTGGTTTACGATCACTGTCCCGAAAGCGCCAAACGGACATGGCGACACTAACTGTGACAACGCCGCGTTGGCTTGTCGCATCCAGTACGCCCGTGTGCTGAAGGGGATGCTGTTGATCGAGAGTGTCGGTTTGCCGATCGTGGCTTGTTGGGCAGCGGTTCCAGATAGTATGCTGCAAAGCGAGATTTCTAGGGATACAAGGAGTGGTGTGAAGAGCTTCATGATTTCCCTGATTTTGTTTCTCGGTGACTATGCCAAAGATCCTGGTAACTTCAATCGTGTAAGTGATGTGTACTAGTACTACTTGTATTCGGTTGGAATTGCTTGGACGCGGTACTCAACCCGAATATAAAGTTGGATAAATGGGACAACCGAGCGTTATATGTACAAATTACTAAAGTACCTCGTATTTTAACCCGTATCAATTAGAAGAGCCCGGATCGCGCTCTGGCACGTTAGCCGGATCTGTACGACAGCCAGCCAGCCACCACGCTATCTAATCTGTTCTGTGGCCGGCATATTGGTCATGCAAAGGTGGTTGGTTGGTTTGTGTAGATAGTAAGAAGAACTATGTACCTAGTATTCGGCGCTGATAGGATATCTCCGATGGTTCGGTTGGTTCGTCATTCGTCAACACATTGCTTTTATTTAGCCATGAATCTTTTTCTGCACTTTGAGGCTTACTATGTATATGTGACCATAGGTCTATCACCTCAACGCATAAGGTGCGCCCTATAGAGGCACCCAGAGAAGTTGTGCTGGTGGAGATTACGTAGTAAGTGCAATAATGATAGATGTGCTGAAGAGCCGAGTTTGGCGAGGCTGTCCATTTTGGGTTCAATGTTTCTTAGATAGGTGCCTCGGCCGACGTTCGGCCGAGGCTTCAGACCTCGAAAATATTGATAATACTTCCTGTACCCTGGTAATTGATATCAAACATTCATTCAGAAGGCCCGATTACTTGTACTTGGTTAGTTGAGCACCATATAAATAAGCGAAGAACTTATCCTCTATCTTCTCTTTATACTAGTAATTAGCCGCTCACCGCTTTACTCACTCTCTCCTCACCTACTTCTTCCTGAGCGCTCCCTGAGCCTTGCCCAAGCCATTTAGTCTTTTTTCTTCCTCTTCATTTACGACACCAATTTTTGCTACTTCAGACGATGGAGCCCGTCTGGGATGCTAGGGTTCCTAGTTCGGGCCCTTTCAATACACTCGAACCGCTCTTGGTGTTTCTAGTGTTTCTAGCGCAGATAGCATTGAACACCAGCAACCTACTCTAGATACACTATGGGATTGATTCATGGGTACTACTACGCCATCATCTACAGAACGGCTGCTATTGCGGGTCGGCTCAGAGAAATCCGTCAACTCAAATCCACTCCCTTCACTTTCCACTTCTCCGTCGTACCGAATTCCAGTCGTCCCTCCCTGAAACGCCATGGATCAATGTAGATTCTGACACCAATATTGTCGCTAAGCAGGTTGTACACGCGTACGATACAGTAGACTTGGTTTCTATTGCCATCCTCCTGGGTTCCAAGTTTTCTCATCTATAGAACCGCAGTTAGTCTCAATTTCTTGTGGGTCGTCACCGTTGACTCCAGCACGTGCGCCACGGTAGCATTCATGCATTTCATTTACCATATCATATTGATTCGGGCTCATCAAGAACTCAGTCTTACATGGCCCAAGGGTAGCCTTGACCTCAAAGTTCCATTCAAGAGGTGTCTTGGCCCTGTCAGCGTACTATAGAGATATGAGAGGCACACACTGGATAACATTACCTGCGGCCGATTGTCTGGATCTTGGTACCACTGAGGATACCAGTCCTGGAATACATCGCTCACTGTGTTCAGCCAGTGTGAGAATTGAAACTCGAGATTCTTGCTCTGGCCGCAAAACACAATATCGGCCGTCTCTCGTGCACTTCGCCGAGTGTCTGGTGCACCCCACTGAGTGACGTGTCGGTAGGATTTATGTGCTTGCACAAGATGTCGAATGTTGCTTTTCCAATTTGGCAGTCCGAACTCATCGCCCAGCATGTGCTCGAGGACTTCGTATACCTGCAATATTTAGGTTAACGGCCGGGTTGTGCATGGAAGGGAGGAGATTCTAACTCACAAAAAGCTCACCGGCCGCGCCCAATCTGTATTTGCTCAGCCCATCATTACCAAATAGTTTTGGATAGTCGTTACGGCCGAGCATGGTGTGGTCAAGCACAAGACCAGCGAATTCTGCTGTCAAATCGTCAAAGTTGCCCACCTCGACATTGCGCCGATGAAGCCTATTTCCAATTTTCGACGCTTGTTTGTGGACATGCTCGATCACCTTCCAGTAATCCGGTGCATCGATCTCATGCTTGATCTCTTTGGGTAAATCTCGATAAGACTGTCGGTCGTTTATTCGAATGGAGATAGGGGTGTTGTTTGGTTCGTCATCGGCCAAGTCTGAGGTCTGTGGAGCTGGAAGCGGTGGGTCAGGTGCTGGACGATGTGTTTTTGGTAGCCATTTCACTTGTGAGATACCCTCCTCAAACAGAATATCGTCTGTGCCAGTCTCTAGCTCATTGAGGATTCGATATATTTGCTTCTCCGCCCTAGAGTCAAAGATGTCGAGGAGCTTTGTAGCGATATAGCCCGGGACTTGCGAGCGCATGCACTGCCTATTGGTTCTTTCTTCAGCCGGAAGGGTGATTTCAAGCCGATTTTGTTCGTATTTCGTGATTAGAGATGGTCTGGAAGTGTGGACCTTCACCGGATGTTCGTCTTGCGTGACGACAAGGTAGGTAAACATCTCAGAGGAGGTGTGAATGATCGCCGTTGCCAGGGCGTCATATAGAACTCTGCTTTTATCTGAGAATAGTGCACTCCGGTGTGATATGGCGCAGCTGCAGTAGCATGATCAGCTCCTGTTCCGGCCACGAGAATTAAGGATCATTACCATGAAATAGGATACGCGCATTCATGAAACTGAGCCATGAGGGTATGTTCCTGTGTCGAAGCGCGGGCAGAGGTCTCGAATTGCACGTGCTGTGCGAGATAGTGGTCGTCTAGACCAAGAAGCCGAATCAGCTTGTGTAACGAGTTCACTTCTTCGTAGGTGAAATCGAGCATGACCAGCTGGCTTCCAAACTCATTAGCGTAATTTTCATTGTCAAGAATGAAAAATGATTGGGACTTCGAACGGAATTCGGTAGCCCCAGCGATTGATCTGCAAGGCAAGTAAGCACATTCGTCGAGTACTTCCATGCTGCTCTTGAATTGTGATCTACTGCTGCTAGTGTCCAGCAATTCTGAAACAGCTAGCATAAGCCTTTTAATGTTGTCGACCATCTTTGCCTTGCTTTTGGCAGCTGCAGCGAGCTGTTTCATCATGAACATTGGAGTGACGGTCTCGACGCCAAGGACTCCTACAAAGAACTCTTGCAAATCTGAATACGTTGCGGCAATTGGAACATGGTTGCTGATGTCCATGGTAGAATGCCAAATGCAAGATTTCGATTGTAACCAGTCATTGCTGCGAGGATTATAGATCAGATTCTTTCCCTTGAATGAACACCTGCAATTTGTCAGCACGTGCATCCCTCTTGGTGGGGGACTCGACCAACCTGATAATCTCCTCCTGCTCCACAGTCGCATTCATACCGGCGAGATGAGTGTACACCTTCGAAATAGTGGTCTGAAACTCCGCATTAGTCTCAGGCCGATGTGAGTCCCTCAAATACTCAAGCTCCTCCACCAAACATTCGATCGACACGCTTGGGACCTGGAGATGTATTGCAAATAAGCCAGAGACCGTGGCCTTCTCATATACAGAAGTTATTATAAACCTGCGATGGAGTGTAATATCGCTCTCCCATACACACTGATCCATGGTTCGCCACACGTTGCCCGCTGGATCCCAAATGAGAGATTGATTCTTAAAATCGTCCTGGCGGTTGTTAGGAAGAGTATCAGTCAAATCACCATGACGAACCTGAATATTCCATCGGTCCTCTAGAGTTAGTCGATCAGCGATATCTCTGTAAAGACATCCAAGCTTCAATGAGCTGACTATCGGTGGTTGTCCTGTTGCAGAGAGTAGTGAAATCGCTTGGCGATAAAACCATAACTGAAGGCTGTGACGCATACCCAAGTCTCTCAAGGCTGGCCAGTCGGAGATCAGATGTTCCTGAGTAGCATCGGGCAATGCCAGAATCGGTATTCGGTTTTCAACGCCATATTTCCGCGCCGCGTCCAGAATTTTGCTAGTTGGAAACCAGCATTTTGAAAGCTCTTGGGTTCCGCCGTGTTTACAAAGCACTTGGCACTTCTGGAGCACTTCGGCCAGTTCTGGTTTGGCCCGACATGTACTACTGTACTCTTGTGCCCAATACGTTTGGATCACAGATAAGAACAGGATTGAGTCCCGGCGATGAACGAAATCGAGCATCCAGTGTAACATCTTGGGACTTGAGAGATCTGCAAGAGGTGGGTACCAACGTACACCGGCAACCTCAGTCAGCCACTGTCTCCAGGTCTTGCCACCACGTGATCTGCTTGCGACCTGGGAAGATTGATAACTTTCGTCCAGAAAGTGCTTGCCATAGTCCGGATTTTCATCAAGGCGTACCAGACATTCTGCATGATACTGCTCTCGTGAACGCATAAACAACAGTTTTGTATGATCATCGATGTCTCCAGACGTCCAGGCTTTGAGCTCGTCTCGAGAACCCAAAGGCAGGTTAAACCAAAATAGGAGTTCCGCCGAACGCAGTAAGTCAAAGCGACACCCGCCAGCGGACTTTGTCATTAATTTGGTGATAGCAGTGCGGATGTGCAAAGTAGAGGCCTGCTGGACTCCTAGGGCTAGATACAAGTCACGTCGTCTGGGCGCTGTAGCTGCGTCCGGTTGAAGGACCACAATATCAATATTAATGGGCATCTCGATGAGGATACATTCAGGACCAGTGCCTTCGTTGACCGCGTGGGGCAAGAAGATGTCTGGTCCGGGGCGGTGCCATTCCAACGTCCTGTTAGCCCGGACAGGGATGATACACATGCCGCGGATTCCTTCCCTGTAATCAGCATTGTTGCGGGCTAGCAAGTCATTGATGAATGTTGTAAATGTGTCATGCCAGGAATCGCGCAGTGGTCGAGTGCGCAAACGCGACTTACGGCGTTGGAGGTCATCTTTAATAAGGTCTAGAGCTTCATTGACGACCAATATCGAAGCGCCAAGCTTAAGCAACGCTGGGTAATGGGATGATGTGTATTCCTTTGACAAGAAACACCAGGCTTTTCCGGAACCCGACACGAGGGGTTCAGACTCATGTGTGAAATCGGAAGGCAGTATACGAAGTTGGCCCGGCTTGTGCAAGGAACCATCCATCGAAAGGAACAACTCTTGCTCTGACAAGATCTGCCGTATGGACTCTAAGAGAGGCTGCAAAAACCCGGACATGGGCTGAAGCGGAATAAAAGCAAGCCACTCATGAGACATCTTACTTTTTTTCAAGAGCCAATCTATTTGCAAGCGTGCAGAATAGGGCCGCAATCTTGTTCCTTAAAGCTTTATTCCACGCGTTGTCCGAAATGGCTTGCCTACTATCCGTCAGGATAAAGTCTGCATGCACCAGAAAAGGGAGCTCTCTTATCTGCACGATAGGCAGAAATGCAAAGACAAATTGACCTGTTTCACTGAGGAGCGGGGAGCCATCGTTTTGGGCTGAGATTGGCAGACCAATTGTGACATTAGAGGTTGTCTCGGTGCGCTCGACGTGTCGGGGCATGTCCGACGCTTCTTCGTTGAAGACCCGGTAGAAGTGCTTCTCGGCTTGTGCATCCTTTCGGGAAACGATCGTCATAATATCTCCGTCCATATCGACAGACTTTTCGAAAGAGAGCGTCCCGTTTCCGGCCGGACCAAGCTCGAAGCGGACTGAAAGCTTCTTGATTCGGCGCAAAGCAAACATAATACTTGGCTGCAAATGTCTCATCTGGGCGCAAAGAGTCTCCAGTCCGTCATTTTCGCTGAACGAAAGTCGAAGGCGGAATCGGGTACGAACATCTTCTGGCAGTTGTTCGCCAGGCTCCCAGTAGGGCTGAATCATGCCGATTCCATCCTCCTCCCGTTGATGCTGGAAGCGAAAAGACCACATTCCTGAGGTAATGTGCACTTTGTCTGTGACTCCAAAAATAGATTTGAAACCAAAACCCTTGTCTCCAGTGGAGTTCTGATCAAGTGTCTTGGAGCTTTCACCAATGCTACAGATTGCGAGCACGTCCAACAAGGAGAAGCCGTCTTCGTTGAGGTCGACAATAAGTTCTGTTTGAGAGACGATAAACTTAATGGTAGGGTCATCGACACATTGAACGTAGCGGGCGTCGTCCGCATTCTGAAGGAGCTCATAGAAGAATCGAAAAGGGTTGTCATAAAGCTTGCTGGAGATCGTAAAAGTAACAATAAGAATGACGCCTTCCAGCCCAAGGATTTGCCTACATCTTGGTCAACACAGCCAAACTATTGCGTGAATTGCGTGCCATGATACCAAATGTCATTCGGATTTTTTCCAAGCCCGCTTCCCGTAGTTGATCGTCATCTCCATCGTCAGGAATTCCGCGCCCGACTCTAATGCAAGTGAGGATATTCTCGACATCCTGTGCGTCATCCGGCTCGGTCAATGGACGACCATACAGCGCCTCGTAGAATTCTGAAAGGAGTGCATCAATCATGTTGGAGGCGAGGTGGACGTTGTCGTTGACAGAATTGGAAGCAATAAGACGACGGCAAGGTGGCTCTCGAATGTAAACTGAAGATCTAAAGAAGACAAGGCAGCTTATGAAGGAGGCAGAGGGCTGGGGCTAAAGTAGGCCCCGGTTGGAGAAATGGCTGCGGGCGCATGTCGAGGCAGATAGCAAGGCAGTATCCAAGAAGTTGAAGGAGCAGAGGCGACGCACGGTTTGCCAATGCCACATGCACGGCACCTTGTCAACAGGCCCTTCAATGGCTTCTGTGGCTTTTCCAAGGGGCGGTCCGTTGTGTCTGCGCTTGGGTCTTTTGCAGTCCAGCCTTGATGGGCTAACGACTAGATGACTCGAGAGCGCGATAGTGAGAACGAAGTTGTCTCGAGTCATGATATGCCGATGCTGGGTAGGAGGACGGTGATGGATCGATGTCCAGGGAGTTTGGGGGTATCGGCACTCAAGAGTGAACCTTCGGCTGACGCCTGTCGATGCCGTCGCGAGGAAGCTGAGCCGTTCGCGTCGGAGCTGGCGGGTCATGCGGCCCTGTTGGTGGCTGGTTCACGAACCACGGCCCCTGCAGAAGTCTGCATTAGCCGTTTTGGCAGTGCATTAAGCGCTGTTCACTGATGAGTGAACATCGTGTCAAGAGCATGTTGCGGGGCGGGCGAAACTTGCGAAGATTGTGTACTCCACGCAATACCTACAGGCGGTTATGCTGGTAGTGGGGAAGTCGTGGGATGAGGTTGTGCCTGGTTCAGCCAGCACCGAAGGCGTCTCTTACCTTCGCTACTCCAGACTTCGCCATTCAAGGGGGTGGCGTGGGTGGGTGTGAGGACGAAAATCAACGGCTGCATGACCAAAGAGGAGCGGCGCCGTGTACATGACCGCGCCAGAAGCATTGTTGAACCCCAGTAGACCAAAGCTAATGTGTTCGAGCGTTGGACTTTGCTCTGTTGCTCTCTGGGGAAGTTCTGGACGTTCGAATGCACCGGCACCAAGACCTGAGGCGGAGCCCATTGATGTGCGAGGGGATGTCTCTCTTGAGCTCTTTAGAGGTCGTATATTCCTTAGGGTCAACGTGGAGGATACTGTTGCTGGACTGTGCTATGACATGGAATCGCTTGTCAACATCTGGCAGACCCTTTATGCTCGGCAAGATGGACTTATCGGGCGGTATCACGGGATCCAATGCGTCACCGATCTTTGTACTCCGCAGTACTCGTATCTATGGCCACGCAAGCTTAGGCTGAGCCGTAAGGGGGTCGGGAACCTAGCAGCACTCTGATGCCTGCAAGAAACAGACACCTGGCCGAGAGGCAAGATAGCCGAGTGCACGGGGCCAGATTACTCGCAACGCCTGGTGTGTTCACTCAGGGAGTATTCAGGGCACGCTCAGCGGTGCTCAGCCAAAGCGCAGGTTCACGCAACCTTCGCCCCCCTCCGTGATCAAATGGTGAATGGTCATTAGGATTTTCGTTCTCGAGTAATCTAGGTACTTATTGCCCTTCGCAGTGGGCGCGAACGTTGAATTTACAACTCCTGGCTAAAAGTCCGGTCTTTGACGGACCACACTCAGCTTCTTGACTCCGGATTAATGGATGGACGCTGCATCATGATGAACCTATTGAGTCGTGCTCAAGCCTGCCTTGTCATGGACTGCCAGCTTCAGCTTCAAGAAGCTGGAGCTGTCTGGACGGTAAACACTCCGAGGTGGACATTGTGCGTTGACTCAGGATGCCAACGCGAAAGAAACAGTTGTTCTTTGCTCGGCAAAGCCAAGGGCATCTTCAAACCTGTCTGGAAATTCATTCTTGCTGGGCTGTCAAGATGATGCTCGTTCAGCCTGGCAAAGAAGCACGCTTGATCAACTCGGCCTGCGCTTTATTCTATTCAGGCCGCCCCTACTCGAACATATACTACGCTTCCAGTGAGAGCTGACTCGTTCTTGGACTCTTGAGCCACTGATTCATAGCAGGCAAGAGCGATATTGAATCTTGGAGTGACACAGAAAGACCTCGCTGGTCACTCTGTCCGGGACTCTTCGTCTCGTTTTCGAGTTGACTGGAGTATTCAGGCATCTAAGGAAATCGCGCATTCATTCCTTCATTCAAAAGGCATATTTAAATCATTCTGGCAGGGGCTGAACATTCAGATCCCTCTCTCCTTCCCAACTACAGTGTTCTACTGGATAGAAGGATCAAACAAAAAGGCATATAAACAGCCTATCTCTGTGGTGGCTTATTCATCGCGTCAGAGGCGTCAACACTCCTTTCCATGGCGTGGCCTTCTGGTCCCCTTGTCCTCGGGCTCTTCTGGTGATTTCCCCAACACTCGGACTTCCCTACCACAGCGGACCCTTGTCACATACTAACCTTACAGCTCGTGGGACCTCTACGAATACTGGCGCGCACATCGTTGTAAGAAACGCTGGCGCAATTTCCCTATTCCATCGGCTGATAACCGCCGCCACGACAGCCGCCACGTAAGCATCGTCGTTCCGACCGTCGATCCTGAGACTGGCTTTGCTACCTGCCTCTGCAGCTTCCTCAAGAACAAACCCACGCGAAGTGATCATCGTTACCACGGGAAAAGAAGTGGAAGCCATAAAAAGACTGGTAGACAGTCCATCCGTCAAGGCTGCGCGTGGGGAGGTTGATCTCAAAATCCTGTCAATCTCTCGCGCCAACAAGAGAGATCAATTGGTCCTGGGAATTAATGCGGGCAGCGGAGATGTGATAGCCTTAGTTGATGATGATGCTTATTGGGAAACCAACACTGTCTTGGGCTATCTACTTGCACCTTTTCAACATCAGGATATCGGCCTCGTTGGCGGTGCCGTCACGTGAGTTACATCGAAGCCCTTCAATACCTCAGCCATGCCTTCCCATGATTGACCTGTAGACAAACTCATTATTTGCAGTTCATACATACCACCGGAGAGGAAAATACCCGAAGTCGTGACACCGTGGGAAGTGGCCGCCATTCGACTTCGCAGTAAGCGTTACAACAGTGTGAAAAGCGCTCATTCTGCAGATGGAGGAATCAATTTCTGCGTCTCTGGCGCCACGATGATCCTCCGTGCAGAGATCCTCCGTGATTCTGCATTTCAATATGCGTTCACCCACGATTTCTGGATGGGACAAAGGCAAAACACGGGTGACGACAATTTCATTACACGCTGGGTATTATTTGGTCACCTTTTCGAGAATTCCCAGCCGGAAAGCAACGCATCTCGGCGGAAATGGAAAATTGGAATTCAGCTTACACGGGAAGCGCAAGTCAGTACTTCGATCATGCCTGACTCCCGGTTTGCTGGACAAATGAAGAGGTGGTGCCGGTCTGGACTTCGACACAGACTGATGTGCCTCCTATATGAGCCCGGAATTCGTGGCATGTGGCGCACATGTCCTTTCATGACAAGGAAAATGGTGGAGGCAATGCTCAATCCGATCCTGGTATGGATTCGAATCTATTACTGGTTCAAGACCGCCGCGGTCTATCCTCGATTAGCGTCAGTTCCTCCCCCGACCTCACTTCCCCGGGCTCCCAATCTTTCAATGTGGTGCATTGATGAGATGAAGGTAGCTAACAATATTCAAGGTGTTTAATCGTCGGATATAAAATCTACAAACAAGCCATTACGCTGCGTCGTTTCAAGAAGGAATATCCATGGATCAGGAAGCACCTGTGGGCGGCTTTGCTCGTTGACAGATTGAACTACATTTCAGATTGGTATTGCTGGATGACACTCGGGAATGATGCTTGGGTGACCAGGGCAACGATTGATGAGTGAAGATACAACCTTTGCTGTCGAGGAGAACATTCAGAGAATGAATGGTGGAAATTGGCAGATTGTAGCATGTTGGATGTCTTGATCAGTTTGAAATGCCACCAAGGTTCTGACTTGACAACGTTGTACCGTCAGGGAGCCACGAATTCTACCCATGTTATCCTGCAAAACATCTACATTGACATTACTAAGTAGCTTCGAGGGCGACATGAACCCACCTCCACATTTTGAAGAGCATCAAATGGCGGGAGCGTATGACACTCGCCAAGAGTTCACCCGGTAACAAAACCTTGGCGGCGTTGTGGTGAGTGTCCCGAAGGTCCCTCGGGCTGCCGAAGACCGCAGGTACAAGCGAGTTTAGGGGTCGCCCCAGTGGCAGTGCTGCCGAGGGTACCGCTTAACTTTAACTATAACTCGGGGTGCTTGGCGCCTCGGAATGTTTCTACTCCCAAGCCTCAATCACCACATCTCACGTTCACTATCGAGAGCAAGCTCAACGTACGCAAGCCAGAATTCTTCGTTGGAAAGAACCACAACCGCGTGCTATAAAATGCATTATACACCAGATATGACATAAGCCTGCTCAGACTGATAGGCGAATCCCTTGCGACGCCCTCCATGCTTCAATTTCCACCCGAAAGATCCATCCACCGAATTCCGACATTGATGCCACCATCCATGGCCGTCAACAACCCAGCACACACTTTGTCCCCGTGCTTTCATCTCAACTAGATTGTGTTCCTGTAGTCTAGGGACCAAGTCTCTGGGCTTCTCCATACCCCGGGCTGAGGTTCAATATGTCTCATCCTCATCTGACTTCGCCGCATCTAGTCTTGGCCCAACGGAGGAGACCATGTGATCGCTGTCACAGCATCAAGGAGAGGTGTCGTTGGCAACCGGGAGATGCCAGCAATTGCGAAAGATGTTCACGCTTGAACTTCAGCTGTCGAAGTGATCGTCGCTTCGCAAAGAAGGGGAGGAAAGCGAGACTTGCGACTGGAAATCGACTTGTGCTGCGAAGGACGGAAATTGATATACCCTACGAAACGCCTCAATTAAGCTCGCCGATATCCTCGACAGAGTCTCTTGTTACCTCCACGTCCAGCAGCGCTGCCTTTTCGCCTGGCGTCGATTTCGAGACCTCGGACAATGAATATGCAATCGAGATTGATCGAGGCATCTCCATTTTCCCCGACCTGACCGGCTTCGAGTTCCGCCTCCTGGACACTATGCTGCACAGACAAATTGACGTTGATAAATATCTCATCGGCCCAAGTTTCCGGGAACAACACTGTCAAACATTTATTGATCACCTCAGGATCGGGATGCCCCTTGTCAAAGACGCATTCATTGCGTGTGCAACTTTACTTGTGAGCAAAGAGGATTCACAGCTGGTACCATATCGAGGCATTGGCTATAGAAGGGCTGCAGCAGCTGTTGCTTCCCTCCGAGAGCTTCAAATCTATGATTCTCGGGATGTTTCAATTGTATTAATCTTTGGTATGGCGATGGTGACTTTTGCCTTGCATCATTTGGGTGGCGAGGCATCCGTTTGCCGGCATGTCCTGGGGCTTGTAAAACCATTATATGAAAGCGACTTCTCCTTGATGAAAAGACTCGGCTCAGATGGAACTTCCTTTCTCATTTGCCTTCTGGGTACTGAGACGACCATTTGCCTACTTCAATGCCAAGTCCCCTCCATTCGACTTCGAGAGGATGATTTCGAGCAGCTTGTGGACCGGTTCATTGGAGTATCTGTGTCGATGCTTACTTACATGTATGATATTTGTCAGCTAGCTCATTTGATACGCCAGTCGCAATGCAGGCTAGGCAATCTTCTTATGGATGAGGGTATTCACAGGGCACTAGCAAAGACTGAAATTGCAGTCGAGGAGTGGCAACCGAGTGTGCCCAAAGACTTCCTTGATGGCCGTTTCACACCAGCTGAGGTGGTCTTGATGCTCACGCAAGCCAAAGTGCTTCGCCTGACTACATCACTCATCATTCACCGGCTACGTTACGCTTTTGGTACATACGGGGGCAAAGCCAAGGCCATATCTCGGGCCATTCTCGACGAGCTTACTTTGGTGCTCCGTTTGACAGGGAGGTCAATGCCTTTCGCTGACATCACATTCTTCGTTGCATGCCTTGAAATCACGAATTCTGAAGAACGAGCAGCCGCTTTGATGAGATCGCGCCGCATCGTGGATTTCTCGGATCGAACCCATGATGAGATCGAGTCTTGGTTGATCTCATTCTGGAACATCATGGATAATGAGAACTGTCCTGCCATTTACTGGGACGGCATTGGACCAATTATTTTCGGAGGAGCCCAGAAGCTTTGAGGATTGGCGATGATTTCCGAGACTACTGTCAACTAAAGCACTCACCTGAACCCCCGCGTGCAACTGACATCAAGACGGAATCAGAGAGGAGACATCTACGTCACACACAGCGCTGGAGGCTCGGTCACCCACTCGGTCAATGTTCGACAGGCGGACATAATTGGGGTCAAAAACGCTATATACTATGAATAGAATTGCGGCTCGGCTATCTCGCAAGGTGAAAATCTCTCTGGATATCTACCTAATAGGTAATCATAGCTACATCGGTCACAGGTCCCGGTGAGTTGGTTGCCGGAGTGCCATTGATTTGTACCTTCTTGCTGAGGAGATTCTGAAATTCTTGCCCCAGACCAACAGGGGCACGGGAAGGAGCAGAATCACAAGGCAAATAACCGCTATAAGGATATGCATGTTTTGCAGGCCCATGCCATTAACCCATGGGGTAAGGGCGAAGAGTACAATCACTGAGAAAACATTCCGCGAAAACACAATGCCCACGAGCGCGTTGCCAATAAGCTACAATAGTGAAACTAGTCAGCACCGAGTCGTGGATCTCGAGGGGAGATGGTAAGGACAGGTTGACGTCCTCAGGGCTCCTTCAGCCTTGGGAAGGCACTTACATCCTGATAGCAGTCCATGGTATAAGAGAGTGCTACATCAGTGGCGGCGCCAAATCCGAAACCCCATAGACCGTACCCGACTGCAATTAGGGGCCACGCGGCGCCCTAGAGATCGGTTGTTAGCATGAGGAGGAAATTCAATTAAACATTGCCACAACAACTTACAGCGTTGAGACCTAAGCCAAACATCAAAATCCCAGCCGGAGTTAAGAGGGCTGAAGGCAAGGCTAGCCAGAGACGCATTTCGGGTTCATAAATGCCATTGTTGCGCTTCGATAGCCACATAATCGACTTGTCGTTCAGCCACCCACCCACCAGCGTACCTGGAATGGTTCCGACGAATGGAGCAAGGTTCATCAACCCAACACCAACCGCGGTGAAGTTGTATGGTGGAGAGAAGAGATAGGTGGCTTGAATAGAAGTCATGACTGCGAACCAAGCCAACAAGCTGCCGTAGGTAATTGCGCAGAATGAAATGGCTGGGAAGGTGAACAATAACTCGACGGGTTGATAGAAGTCGTGGAAGACCGAGCCATTTGTCGGCGTTAAAAGCGCCAGACGTTCGCGGTATGACTTCTTCGGGATGGAGGGGTCGATAAAGGTCTCGCTCCGAGTCCGCTCCAGGGACTGACTTGGATCAGCTTGCTTGGCGGTATCATCTGCTCTGCGGCAAATAGTCTCGTGTTCAGTGGTGGCAGTTTCGCCAGACGTGGGTTCTGCATTGTTTGCCGGTTGATTCCTGCTATGCCCGATGAGGACACCGACGTATTTCGATTCCTCAAAGAAGAAAATGACGACAATTAGATTGATAGAGAAGAAGATGACACACCACCAGAACATCCACCTCCATCCTTGACTGATGACGATGTATCCAGAAGCCACCGGCCCAAGAAAAGCGCCGGCGGAAGTGGCAATGAGATACCAACCATTCATTTGCGCGTGCTGGTGGACGAAGAATATGTCTGCAATCGTGATTTGTGCGATGGTCTCACTGATTGCACCGCCCAGCCCAGAGATAAGATTGCTGCCGATGAGGTCTCCTTTGGTGTATGTCTTTGCAAACCAGACGACAGACGCTAGTTGAACGGCTGTGCTAAACAGATACAGTGGCCGACGGCCATACTTGTGAACGAGAGGAATGAAGAAGATGCAGCCAATAGCCAGCCCAGCATAGTTGACTGCCGCTCCACTGTTCAAGAGGTCGACAGTAAAGCCCAACTCGGTCTGATAATCTTCCCAGGCCACGAATCCAATGTCGAGCTCGACGAAGGTCATGAGCACATAGAAGCAGACTATCGAGTAATTGAGGGCCTTGCGCCATTTAGCCCAATTCAAAGGGTCATTGGGATCTGACGTGGGGACGGGATGCAGGATTATCTTGTCACGTCCTCGCTGTACTGTGGCATTGGTGATGAGTTAGCGCATGTCCGGAGTATCTTTGGCTTGAGATGAACCTCACAGTCTTCTAAAGTCAGGGTACCAGGGGCCCAGAATGAAGGGTCACCCTCATGCTCACGGTGTATCTCTTCCATTGTCTTTGCACTTCGCTAGAAGAATCACTTTGCCAGCCTAGGTCAACAATACTGAGAAAGTGAGAGCAAAATGCGAAAGAACAAAGTGAGTTTGCTGGCGGCGCTCTCAAGAAACATATAAGATACTTGAGGCTACTTCTTGAGCCGGCGCTGAGGAGCCCCGTCCGGGTATTGTGTATGTCTCATGGCACGGAGTACTCTAATCAAACGGCAACGTACTGCCGACATCCTCTGCCTTCAATCTGATTTTATTATCAATTGTGGGCAACATCACTCATGAGCTGCAAGTTAGCCAACCATGACCCATTGCGCCGATGGTCCTCGACGGAGAAGAACGTTCGCGTGGCGCCTCGGTACCAAAGCTTGATTGTCGCTGCATATTGACCAATCGAAGACTTCCAAATGCACCGGCTTGGCTCGAGGGTCCAACACCCTCTAGATCTTTATTGAGAGTAATTCGCTGGGACTGGTGTCCAGGGGCCAAACCCATTCAGTCCAGTCCACCCTCTCTTAGGATTGGTTAGCTCAGCTTCATGAAAGAAAGGGCGGCGCCCTCGGACCACGAAAGAATCGTTACCCATAACAAAACTATCGATGTCTATAAAATCTTGAATCCGTGATGTCCGGACATGCCCATTCTGCTCGTAACGCCCAACAGGACTGATACATTTGTTTCCTTAACCTGGATCACGCACTCTTTCCATGGGAGCCTCGTGAGCAGTCGAAGGAGTCAATAATAATTCGCTACCAGTATTCGATACCATGATTGCAGAAAATCCGGAAGAACGAAGGCTGTCCAACTTCATTCCAGGGCTGGAAGCTCAACTATGTGCTGACCCACAGCTCCCACGACCCAACCCTACAGAATCCTTCTGGCAACTACCGCCTCACGCAACACTATCGGAGGCCCAGTCTGAGACACTGTCTGAAACCATAGACATTGCAATCATTGGTTCTGGTGTTACAGGATGCAGTGTAGCCAAGAACCTTCTTGACCTCACGGCCTCTTCCTCTCAATCATTTTCTATCACCGTCTTCGAAGCTCGTACACTGACAAGTGGTGCAACTGGTCGGAATGGCGGATTATTATCGAGCTTCGTCCCTGGGGACTACTCAACTCTGAGCGAGAATTTCGGCCACGAGCAGGCCATCAAGATCGCAAGGTATGCCAATAGGACGCTCGATAAGATGTATGAGCTCGGAAGATCGTCGGAAGAAGCCAAGAAACTTAGTGAAGTCAGGAATCTTGTAGATGTCATCGGCTTCGAAGATGAGGGGTCTTTCAATGGAGCCTTGGAATCTTTGCGGCTCTACGAGGAACATGTCCCCGAAGGTCGAGGCCAAGCTCGAATCTTGAACGCTCAAGAAGTTGAATCGGTACGTGGTGGAAATCCTTCGTCCTTGACGTCAGGCTAACAAAACCTCAATAGGAGTACAATATGAGGGCTGCCGCTGGAGCGATTGTGTGTCCGAACGGCGCCTTCTGGCCGTATCGGCTGATAACTCACACCTGGGAGCAACTGTGCTCTCAATACAAATCCCGACTCTCCATCGAAACACGAACACCCGTAACGAAAATCATGTACGACGTCGACACGGATCCCATCCACCCGTATGCCCTTCACACCTCACGAGGCATGGTACGCGCTTCCAAAATCGTCCATGCCACCAACGGATACACTGGGCATTTGTTGCCTCAACTTCGGGGAAAGATCTACCCTCTGCGTGGCACGATGTCAACGCAGAAATCTACGCCTGCCTTTGGCCACCACGGCCACGCCCTCTCTTGGAGTATGATTAATAGCGGCCATTTCGATAGCACGACTGGCATCGTAGAAGCAGGACTGTATTACTCGAATCAGAATCCCCACACGAACGATATATTCATCGGCGGTGAGAAAACAAAGATCGATGAGCTGTTCATCAGCGATGACACCGAAGTAGGTGGCTCTTGCATAGAAAATATATCAGGGCTGCTCCCCCGATTCTTCACCAAAGGCTGGAACGCCGACGAACAGCCCGAGGTGATCAAAGTGTGGTCTGGCATCATGGGCTTCACCGCTGATCATCTGCCATTGATCGGACAATTGCCAAAGAGCATTACAAATCGGGGTGAAGAAGGCAACGGCGGCGAATATATTGCGGCTGGGTTCAATGGCTACGGCATGCCGCTGTGTTGGTCATCTGGCGAAGCAGTCGCCAAGATGCTTCTCGGTATTGATGTCAGTGACTTTTTGCCTGAGGTGTTTCTCGTGGACGAGCAACGGTTGCAGGATCCTCAACGGATGTCCACAAAGGCTGCTTTGACAATTGCATTCGGGAGGTAGCTTAAATGAGATTGATTGGTTCTTCTCTGAGCGCCTTCTCTGTCAGGAACAGTCGGTTCGAAGGTAATATAGGCAGTTTTTCCTAGTACAAACTATCGACGTGCTTCCTGGACTCACTACGAAGGCAGATATCCGGGCATCCTTAGAGTGATTGACCACTGTAAATTCATTCACCTCAAAGGCCCATGACGTCAACAGCAGTGCAGAGATTCAATGAACACGCATCTCATACATAGATTTGTCTGCCCTCAGTTGGACTCTTGAGCCCTACTCGCGCCGCCCGGGCACACCTGGAGACTTCCTCCTAAGCTCCCCCCCAAGGCGCAACTTGCAAGCTAATACTGTCACCAACATCTTATCCTAAAGCAGGATATCCAAATACCCTGCTGTAAGCCTGGGTCCTGAAAGGGGCAAGACCTTCCCTCCGCCTTTCCATTGTATGGTATCGCTTTATCCTTGTTTTGCAACACGTGATCGGGCTGGGCTCCTGTCTGCTCCCCATTTTTCTTTCCTCACGCACCACATGGGAACAACAGATTTGCTCCTTTTCCTCCTCACCGAATTTGCTCTCTTTTGGAGACATCACTCCAGAGCTGAGATTTCAGTGATTCTGCTCATGCCTGATCGGGATTAAGACGTCTTCCTGAGATGAGCGCTCGTCCGTCGTATTTCTCTCGTTTCTCGTATCTGTTGTCCCTTGTGGGCGACGATCTCGTCTCATGGTCCACGTTTGCGACTTCGAGGAAGAGATCTCGTGGATCCATCGGACGCTTAACCACGATTGCTCATGCTTGCCTGATACTAGGATTTTCACATCTCGTGCTTCTTTCCCTATTAGGCAGACAATTTCGGCCCCACATTTTCCAACTCAAACAATAATGGCAATCTGCTGGTGAGAATTACTTGATCGAGAAAAAGGATCTTGGTTTCCAATGTGTTTTGCAACGCAATTTGTTGAGAAAGGAGTTTGTCCGGACTGATCTTTAAAATTATACGCGTGGCAGTGGGTCTAGATCTGGCCGTTGGACGATCGTCGATCGAGATCCACTCTTCGATACTGGCAAGTTTGGTACGTCTATTTGATAGGTGGAATGCGCCATGTTCTTTTGGCTTCAGTCTAGTATGATCAGACAGTATCTGGCACTATGAGTCAGAGCTGTGTGCTGAAGATTGGTTGAGATCTGACCTTTGACGATGGGCTCCACAGCGTAATGCTGGCGAACGTGTGGTACGTATCTCTGATAGGCAGGACATGCTATTCTCTATCATTGGCGCCTACGGATGTAGCACCATACTTTGAATAGATGTAGTTCAACGATGTCAACATTGGTCTGAAGGCCTGTGATTGGACGACCTTTGAATACCTTTCAACAACACACTTGCGTTGGACAGCGGTTCTGAAGTCTCAGTACCTTCTCAAGCAATGATCAACGAATGATTGAGTTTTTCTTCTGGATCACAGAGCGCTGTGAGTCACAGAGTCACAGAGGAAAGGTCAGAGTTGATCAACCAGCAGGGAGATACGCAGAATAAATACCTACTTCAGCCCCTCCTCCTCCTGTTCCTTTTTTTCTTTCTCTGTCTTCCGTTCATGTGATTTCAAAGCATCAGATCAGTTGACCTGAGTTCGAAGTGACCCAAGCTGAAGCAAGTCTTCCCTCAGCGAATTGTCTATTACACGGTGGAGTGCAAGCGAGTACAGAACCTTTCTCAAAAACCCCGCTCCCCCCAAACAATTTCTTCTTTCCTCTACGACAGGCTCTCTGTACAAACTTGCTACATTGTTCAACGTTTTCCAGTTCGTCCCCCTGGATATCGGTTGACGATGGGCTGCTGTGGTAGCAAGGCTGCTGCTGGTGTGGAGGAGTCGATGCCGGCACCTAGGCTCGTGAAGAAAGTCCCTTTAACGCGTCGCAATCTTGACGGCTCGGAAAGCTCGAGCGATAGCACGGCTTGGAACCCGGACATGGTCCTTCCTAAGCCTCTCACGAGGCGAAGAAGAAGACAGCTCCGGAAAGGGGACGTCTTGAGGGCCTCTGACCTTGGGCTCTCCCATTGTTCATACTCTCATGGCTGAACTGATTAGAAAGGTCATGTTATTAAGCGAGATGCTTGCAGGGGTCTTGTATTGTGTTGTTCTGTTTTCTTGTTAGGCATTCAGTTTCCCTTGTTTTGTTTTGATATTAGGCATTGAGTTTCCCCCATCATCCTTCAAGCTTTATGCTTGGATTTGGAGGTGGACAGCGATAATCTGAGTGAGCTCTAAAAGATTTATTTATTGCAGTCACGGTCGCTTCTGTCGCGTGTTTCTGCCTCTTTGTTCGTCACAAGGATTAATATAACGTCCAAGCACTGAACAAGGATATATGCAACAGCGCACTCATGACGACGACGGAAACGAAACGGGAGACATACCGGAAAGAAATCCGAATTGCAACCTCACCGAACATCTTCGTTTTATCGTGAGCAAGGCAAAAAAGTCCACACACGCTATATCTCAATCTCTCTCTTAGTGTGGATGGTATTGAACGTCCTTTGACCGCCTGTGTAGAAAGTGTTGGTCGTCCCAAAGCTATCCTCCAAGAACTGTAAGAAGATGATCCTCCCATCCCGGACCTTACACCACATTGCGAACGGGCTTGTGGACGCCTTCCCCAGCGTTTTTGACCGATAGGTGAATTTGCCAAACACAGCGACATCCTCATCCACGCAGAAGCACGTTAAGATTTCGAAAAGTTCGTTCTGCCAATGCTGTTCAACACCCCCGAATGCCTTGATGATAGCGGCTGCACCGCCAGTTGGCGATGTTCCTGCCCATGGAAGGATTTTGGTCAACTCGGGGTTGTCATATGTCAAAGAGATGTATGTTGCATCGGGTGCCACGAGTTCTCCGAGGACATCCTCGTTCAAGGTATTGGCTAGGAGCTTGCGGACTATGTCTGTTGGGCTCAAACATGGATTGTGCTGGGCCATTTGGCTGGGAAGGACTTGGTGGTCAGTCGAAAAGAAAGGCTGAGGTCTTGTTAGGAGACTTGAATCACGTGGAAGAAGGTGGACTCTGGTTGTTGGGGATTGAGCAGCTCTATTTCACGAAATGATTCTCGGGATCTTATGAATTCGAAAACACCGAAATCGCCGAAGAAGCGCCGCGCTGATTATCATCTAACCAAATCCAAAGCTTGGTAAAGATGAGTTCAGGCTTCTGCTCCCGGCGCTTACCCGACGGTAGTGAGAAACATAGAATACTCCAAGGTACCATGAGATGCTGGGATAGGCATTTGAACACTATGAGGTGGGATTGCATATGTGTTGCATAAACTCAAACCCATTGAATGGCATTACGAAAACAGGTGCAGTATCGGATCAGCATGAATACGTAGGATCACTCACTAGTCAACAGCAGCTTCATCTTGCTCCTACTACAACACGATCGGGAAAAACTACAGCCCATAGGATGGAACTACTGCTTCCTGTTTCAGTCGGGCTGCAATCTGTCCAAAGAGGGATCAATCGCCGTCCACGTGGAACAGGAAATCGCGAAACCCGACCTTGCAAAAGTTATGGGTTTGTGATTTCAGCCTGAATGGTTCTTCTCTGATGTAGACCATCACTTTCTTTGGCCGTTTTTGGCTTTGTGCGAGCGGTATGGGAGGGACGATTATCACTTCCAATTCGAAGAGCGAGAGCCTTGCAGAACGACATCTTCTGTGCTGCTTCCGCCTGTTGCTTTGATAGTAATCGAAGGTGAAACCTTGGGTCAACCCTATGCTCACATTTATGCTCGCCTCCCTAGATAGGTACAAGGTATAGTGTCAGTTTAACGAGATGGGAACCAAACATCTCCACCCCGAAGGGTACGTTTGCTCTCAAAGACATTTCAACAAATGTTCCTGCAGTGCCGATTCCCATCCCCACTATGGGATTCCTGAATTAAATCTCTCTTGTTGCCCTTGCTATCAGAACAATTGTTTCTGGAAAGTTGACCAGAGTCTTCGAGCTGGTCTGTCATATAGTATAGGGCCATAAATCGGAATTCATCGAGGTGCCTCAGGAGACTGATTCCGAGTCCTTTACCAGAATGACAATTTTCAACGTGGATTAACGGTTCAACAGGTCTCACGATACCAAGACAGTGTGGCAAGAGCTTTGTATTCTTCGCTAGTTTGGGAGTTGAGCTGGAATCCGCATAAACTCCGGAAAGATTCCTCCATTCAACCGGAATTATGTGCGCCTCTCTGCAGCTGTTGTTCCAGTGCAGGCCGCTCTTGTGAGGAAATGTGCGAAGTCTAGTCGATGCAGGTGTAAATAAACTATCCGGGATGATGTGCGGAGTTGGTCTTCGCATATGCACTTGCTGGATAAATTCCCGGGCCTCGAAATGTCACATATATTATCTGTCTTCCCCTGAATTTCAACTCAAGATCTATTAAAATAATTGAATTCGTTGCACTTCATCAATCTCACGTGACACAAAGAAAAAGTGCAGAAAGTGGAAGAAACTTCAAAGGCTTTCCAGGTCAATTCTTCTGCGAGTGTGCGACTGTCAGCTCAGAGATTTGAGCGTTCACTCAAATAAGCGACGTTCCGACAAGAAGCAGTTCTTCCGGTTCATTCAGCGCAGTATCGACCCTGAAGTCAGAAGAAGACCAAACATCCCCAACCATGGCGGCCTCACAACCCTCAGCCAATACAATCCCTCCCTTCGCCAGACCAAAACATGCTCCCAACTTGTAGTAAGAAGCAAACCCTTCCTTATGCTGGCTGGCGAATTGCACAACTCCTCGCTTTCCTCTGCCGCATACATATCGACGGTCTGGCCTACAATGAAAGCAATGAACGTGAACACATTACTTGGCGCTGTGACTTGGGAAATGATCGAGCCTGTCGAGGGCAAATTTGACTTCAGCGAGTTGGACAAGGTCGTTCTTGGTGCACGGAGAGAAGGACTGCATCTGGTTCTGCTGTGGTTCGGGAGCTTCAAGAACGCACTTTCAACTTATGCTCCAGGCTGGTTGAAGAAAGACGTTATCCGCTTTCCCCGCGTGCACATTAAGGATGAAAATGGTCGGCTCAAGACTATCGAGCTTGTCTCTCCATTCAATCAGAATGCATGGGCGGCTGATTCTAAAGCGTTTGCGACACTCATGCGTCATTTTGAGGGAAACTGATTCTGCTCACCCGACCGTGCTGATGGTGCAAGTCGACAATGAAATGGGCCTACTCGGTGACAGTCGCGATCGTTCCAGTGGAGCGACGAAAGCATTCAATTCGCCCGTCCCTGATGACCTTCTCTCATACCTCCGCAGCCAGGAGAAACTGCATCCAATGTTCACCAAACCGTGGCCGAGTTTCCAAGACGCTTCATCCCAGCGACAGAACACCAGTTGGGAGTCAGTATTTGGCACGGGAATCGCTGCTGAGGAGATTTTCATGGTCAATGCCTTCTCCAGTTGCATCAGTCGCGTCGCGGCTGCTGGGAGGGCAGAACCTGGGATCCCTTTGTACACCAAGACATGGCTCAAATTTGATGATCCATGCGTCCTTGAAATCGCTGGAATCCAGCTGGGTAATGGTAAGCCAGCTGTCGCAGGTAGTGGTGCTAAAGCAGGCGTCTATTCTTCTGGTGGTCCAGTGCCACATGCTTTAGACATCTGGAACTTCCACACAGTCCAAAGTGGCACCCTTGATTACATAAGCCCCGATCTCTACCTTCATAATTATGACTGGGTATGCTGCCAGTATCGCTACAAGAACAATCCACTCTTCATTCCGGAGCAGAAGGCGGATCTAGCCGGAGCAAGACGAATATGGCTGGCATATGGCTCACATGGAGCGATTGGATGTAGTATTCACGGTATTGATACCGTGAATATGGATGCGAAGGGACAGGAGGCGTGGACGAGAAGTTATGTCTTGCTGAACAGTATGAGTTGCTACATACCTGAGGTTCAAGCTGAGCGACCGGATTCCATGTTTGGATTTTTCTTTGTGAGTATGACGCTAGCAAGCCAGCGGATCAGGACAAATAGTGTAAGACGTTCAACAACGGTGAGATGGAAGTTATTGTCGAGAGGTCCTTCGTGTTTGGCAACCCTGCACCTGGTTACGGTATCGTCATTTATCAGGGTGAACATAGGTTTCTGTTGATAAGCGCGGGCTATCAAATCACATTTTGGAGCACCAAGCCGACATCAACGTTTACCGGCACCTTGAGCGCTGAGGAGAAAATTGGGGATGAAGAAGGGAACCTCTCTACTTTGCGAGTGATGAATAGCGACGAAACGAGAAGTAGAGCCTTTATTATGATGCCAACAGAAGAGCCGGACTATGGCGGGTTTCCATCAGGGTGACAATTCCTGCAAGGACATATAGGTGCCGAAGTCATAGCATACAGTATCGAGGAAAGCGCTGAGCAGTTTTAAATTCTCAAAGCAGGACTGCCTTCTGCGGTCGACTCTAAGTCGCCTTATGGTAGACCATATGGGTTTGTCATTGAAAGAACAGGACTTGTTGAGTCGATCTGAGATCCTGGCTGGACGTCAAGTCTGTCAAGCTTGAACAATAATCGGTCTAGGTTCAGGAATGAGGTTTCCGGGTTTGTTTTCTCGTTGAGTAAGGAGATGCCAAAGTCACGGAGCTTGGATATCAGGCTGTTACCATTAGCCTCTAAGGCATCCTCAGGCATCTGATACACAATCGCAAGCATGTCGTTGTCCAGGTTCTGGCGAGCAGTCATTACTTCTGCCAATGTTGTAGCATCGTTATGTTGTTCCGCTATGCGTTACATCTGATCCAATAAAAAGGATTGAATGTGAATTTGTGTGATATAAAGATTGACCATTTGCACATCAGTGCCGAAATTGCTTTTCGGCGGTCTTGAAAGGCCGCCGCGCCACCTGAGAGATGGAGGTCAGGCTACCGACTCTACCCGTTGCGATCTGGAGACACTGCTGATTTTTTCCAGCAATTGGCAACACTTTCGTGCTCTTGGGAGCTCTACTACAAGCGTTCCCTCCAGCAGGTAGCCCAAAGGGCACGGTAGCTTGGCGGCCGCTTCTTCATTGGCTTCGGGGGCAATATCACCACTGGAACATGCCCTTTGCTCATTACAGAGATATCGCACCTAGACTCAGAGGACGAATCACCACCATCTATAACACTTTGTGGTACTTGGGAGCTATTTTAGCAGCGTGGACTACGTTCGGTACGCTTGTCTCCATTAACACCAATCTACAATGGCGCCTTCCCACGGGATTGCATTGTGCTATGCCCGGCATTCAATTGCTGGCTTTATATTTTATTCCTGAGTCACCAAGATACAACATTGCTCGAGGCGACGAAGAAAAGGCTCGCCAAATGCTCATCGAGTATCACGGAAATGGCATAGAGACGTCTTTCGTCAAATGGGAATATGAAGAAATCGGGAACACTGTTCGTCTAGAAAGAGAAGCAGCCGACGAGTCTGGGTGGAAAGAAATGGTCCGCACTCCAGGAAATCGCAAAAGGTGCATTCTGATCATCGCATCGGCAGTCTTTAGTCAGTGCTCTGGTAGCAACTTGAATGTACTAGTTGGATGAGTTGGAAAGTGTAGACCTTGTATCGATGGAGGATTGAGAACATCTCCCGGATGGGGAGATGTGCTCCTACTAATACTAATCTCCTACAAAGGGCCATCATACAGCATAGCAATGATGGAAACAACAAACTAATAAAGGGCTTAGATCTCAATGACATTAATATAACAGCCTGGTGACTTATTATCTTGTTCAAATTTTGAGGAGCATTGGCATTGCAGACCCCAGGAAGCAAGCCCTCTTCGACGGCTTGACTATTTGGTGTTTCCTCGTTGCACTTGCATTTGCGTTCACGGTCGACAAGTTTGGGAGGCGCACTCTCTTCCTTACTGCAGCCGTTGGCATGTTGATTTCCTTCACTATCCGGATAGCATGCCCAGCGATGTACGAAAAACCGGCCATCAAGACTACGGTAATGCCGTTCTTGGAATGATCTTTTGCTTCTACACCGTTGTAGGTCTTGCCGGGCCAGGACTTACGGTCAGCTACACGGTCAAGATTCTGCCATATAAGATCTGCGCGAAGGGATTGACACTCTGCTTCTGCTTCACTGCACTTTCTGGCGTCTTCAACCAATACGCCAACCCTATTAGCTTCAAGAACTTGACGTGGAGGTTGTACTTTGTCTACATCGCCGTCCTTGTGATCCAGTGCATAATGCTCTACTTCTACTACGTGGAAACGCGAGGCTTACCATTGGAGGAGATCGCACGAGTATCTGATGGGGAGCGGCCGCAGCGCTCGTTGCAGACGGATTGGCGGAACGAAATCGCAGGGAGTCTAAGCAGCCGGTTGAGGAAAAGATGGTGTGATAGTTGGCAATATTGATGCAACCAGGAGCTGCAGCGCTAATAGCTTGAAAATTCCTCTGCTTGCTGAGTATATAAACTTGGAAGGAGAGAAGAGTGGGTATTGTACATCTGTCACTCTGCTCCACTTTCTTTAGACGAAGCCCGTAAATAATGGCATGTGATACCTAAGTAATACCAAGGATATATGTGGAACTAAACACCAAAGGCACATATTGAAAACAGTCAGAGTGGGAGCCCCATCTGAGCGAGGGTTGGCCGAGATTGGGCCGTGAGTGGGCTTGGCACATAACCGGTTATCGTTGATATAGTGTTGCCGACACTTACGCGAGACATGCATAACCCAAATATTTTTATTGTGTAGTATTTAAGTGGGTTGTTGCGATCGCAAGCCATTGACCTGATATACCTCCTTCACTGAACTGCTCCCTCCCTCCGGTCACCGTCATCATTTATACACCCAGCAAGGGTACGAACGAGCCGTACCATCCATCGCACCACAGAGCAATTCTGCTTGTCACTAAGCAAAACGAAGCGACGGACACCATCATGGGATCAATCGCCCAAATCCCAATTTCTTCGCAAGTCGACATGTCCCCAACTACAGTTCTGCTTCGATTCTATGAAGCGGAACGCCGATACATGAAAGCAGGGGGGAAAGCAGGTGGGGCAAACTTCGATGAATTCGCCGCTACGATGTCGGAAAAAGTGGAATTGCATCAAACTCCTGACTTACCATGGGGCGGAGAGTATCTCGGGTTGGAAAGATATGCAGATTGGGCAGCGCACATGAGCTCGGTTTTTTCCATGGTTGATGTCCAGGATGCCGAGATGGTTGAAATGGGAAACAAGGTTGTCATTATGTGCAACCTCGTGACAGAGTCAATGCAGACAAAGGAGATTATGCGACGTCCTATGGTGCAGATAGTGACGGTGGAAGATGGGAAGATCGTTGATTTCAGGCCATTCTACTGGCATGTTCCCGATTATGTTGCGGCGGCTGAGGGCCGACTCAGCAGCACTGCGTAGGGCTTCTACACTGCACTGAATAATGTATATTTGACACTTCAATGATGGGCGAATGTCCAACTTATGCTGCACTCTGATGTCGGACTTAGCAATGTTTGGGCTTCGTTCAATCCAGACTCCTCAGTTTTTATCGACTCTTCGAGGAACGGCTCCTCGACCGTCGTGTGCGATTAACTACCCAAATAAAATATTGTAGCTTCTTTCTTTGCGATTGAATATCTAAGGCTGGGGACTTCAGGACCGACAGATTGCCAGGATGTCGCTCATGCTCTTTGAAAGTACCATGGCATCCATTAGGACAGAAGGTGCAAGGCTGCCAGCCAAATGGTTCTCGGCTCGTGGGAGAGCTGGATCATGCCTGTTCCGGGAACAAATTCTATCTTGGCTGATTAATCCTGTGCGTTCCCGATCGGTTGTGTTGCTGTGTGCAGTTAAAACAACTCATAATGCAGGTGATTCCTGTCAATTGATTCAGGTGTGGAGATGATCTCTGAAACGCCGAACACGAAGTGGCTCGCCGGGATGAAAAGACCGAGGCGTTTCCCCATGAATCGCGACGCTTACCCAGAAGTACCAGTGTATCCCGCATTGTGGAAAACTAGCTCTGTGGCATCTACTGGAGGATTTGGACCTTTGATTCCTATTTCCACCCGAGATGGCTCAATGTCTTCGCTAAACCGCAGCATATAAGGCTCAAGCTCATCATGTGTTCAGTCATCAAGTATTGGCAGATTCAACTCACAGTACGCTTGCACAATGGCGACTAAGATGCTATCCTGGAACGACACCAACAAAGGGGATATCCCCACAGAACACGCAGAGGTTGCTGGTAAGGAAGAAGATTTGATCAAACAAGCATACCCCGGAGTGAATATCGGTGCTCAGGAGGTTCAAATCACCGCTTCTCACAAAGAATACTTGACCCGACGCCATGGCACTTGTGAGCTTGACCCACTACCTTCCGAAGATCCTGCTGATCCCTACAACTGGCCGCGGTGGAGGGTAAGAACTTTCTAAACATCCGATTGTACTAGCCCAAGTTTTACTAAAATATGGCCAGGTCAATGTCAATCTTGTGCTTATTTCATTCCATGCACTTATGATCGGATTTATGACAGGCGGTCTCATCCCTGCGTTTGGAGCGCTGGCCGAAGAGTTCGACGTTTCCTTGAATGCTGCGGTTTATACCACCTCAACACAGGTGAGGAACCCGCCTGCGCGACCACTTGTGACGCTTGTGATGCAAGGTCTAAACAGTATGCTAATTATGCCTTAAGATCCTCTTTCTTGGAATCGCACCACTTTTCTGGGGTCCACTTGCGGAACGATACGGACGTCGACCAGTCTGGCTTATCTCTACCTTGCTCTCCATGGCATGCAACCTGGGTTGTGCTCTTGCGAAAACTTACCCTCAACTGCTGGTTGCTCGCATCTTCCAGTCTATTTTCAACTCGCCTGCTGGGGCTATTGGAGGGGCGGTAGTAGTAGACTTATTTTTTGCCCATGAAAGGGCTCGGAAGATGGGCATATGGACCTTGATGGTCACAATCGGCAATCCCCTCGGCCCATTTTTGATGGGATTTGTGGCAACAAGAGCTGGGTGGCGTTGGATATTCTGGATTTTCACAGTGGTCAGTCGTCCCAGTTCTACTACCAGCTGAGACTCATTACTGACGAATGCCAATGACAGATAAATGGGATTCAGTTCCTCTGCTACTTTTTCTTCTCACCCGAGACAAAGTATATTCGCGAGTACGACAACGCTGCTGCTACTCCTGTTACTACAGATAAGACAATCACGGGTCGATATATGAGCTTTGGGAAAATTGAGGGGACAACACCTCTTCGACACCAAGACTTTTACAGACCTCTGACAATCCTCAGCTGCCTCTCGGTCGCTATACCGACGCTAGCTCACAGTGTGATGTTCTGCTTCTGCAGCGTCTTGATCTGTGTGGAAATCCCTGGGCTTCTGGGAGTGAAATTCAATTTGAATTTCGAGAGCATTGGGCTGAACTTCATGAGCAACATTATTGGGTATGCGCGCAACGAATTTTGTTTGAATGATTTGAAAACCATCAAAAACTAACTAGTCATGTTTAGTGGTGTGATTGGTGAGCTTGCGGGCGGACCGCTTCTCGACTATTTCCGCAATCGTCGAGGACGGAGCGGCAAGACGGCAAGATCTATGGCACCAGAGCACCATCTTCACCTATCTTACCCTGCTTATGCACTCTGCATCGCAGGATTTGTAGTCTTTCTTGTTACCCTCGATCAAGCTGACGTGGGGCGGTGGAACATCAGACCAGATGTTGGGCTTGCTGTCTGTGCAGCAGGAAACCAGATGATGACTACAGTCTTATTCACATGTGAGTCGGATTCTCGGAAAGGATTTCCTGATGGCTCTTCTAATATAGATCCAGATGCCATCGAGCGGAATCTAGACAATGCTAGCAATGTGGGTGTTGCTCTTATCATGGTCAGACAAATCTGGAGTTTTGTAAGTCCTGAAAATCAGACCTTGCATTGACATCAAAAAGTATGCTGATAATCCGCCAGATTGGCCCGTTCTGGTTCCCGTACATGTTCGATTCAACCGGCCTCCGTGGAGCAGCTGCCCTTTGCTCGGGGATCATGCTCGCATTTGCAGTTGCCCCAACTGCACTGCAACAAATCTGGATTGGACCAAGATATGCCTGATAATCCATTGCTGATGTCATTGGCAACTACTAACTTGCTAGACAACAGCTTCTGGCCTTGAAATTGCACTGACCCGGTTCGATCAGGAAGCCAGACGGGAAAAGGCCATTATTTCTAGGTCCTCTCATATCGACACGTCAAGACAACAACGAAGTGCTGGATATAGAGCATCGACATGGATAGTCATCCTATATATCAATATCCACCCTGCCAAGTCAGGGAGCAGGATTTCTAGCAGTCTAAGCACATTGTCTCAATCTCAGAGCTTCTGGCATCATATCCTGCCTCAATATAATACGCCCAGTCTAGTAATAGTACCGTAGCTTAATAGTACTAGAGAAACCCGATGAATAGTCATGTCCATTCACCTCTGTGCTTACTATTAACGTTAAAGCCTCCTTCTTTTCCACAGTTTGGAAACATCCGCATATCAAATTGTGTTATACTTGATCTCCAGTCTTCAGGTTCTGTCATCATCTTGAGACAGTGCTCTGTATGTGCATATTGAAGGACGTATCCGTCGATCTTTTTGCCAAACGCCGCGGCACGGTGAAGCTTTCGGAATGCGAATGAGCAGTGTCTCACATGGTGGTCCCACGGAACAAACCATCCGATAGATTCGCCTGTCTTGACCTCACGCAATGATACCTCGTCCGTCAGGTTTACGTCGCGATAATACTTGAGGCCTGGTTGTTGGAGATATATTGTTTCGAGCTCGAAATCGTAGCATTCTGGAGGAACCCAAAGAGAGAGAGTGGTTTCGAAGATGCAGCCACGATCTTTGGCCTCAGCGGGTGTGCTTCCGCACTGTTCGAAAGTGGACTTCGTAAGGGTCTCCCTCACGGCGTATTTGTATGTGACGAATGTGACAGAAGCGAGGACCAACAACCCAAGCAGACTTGAAACCAACAAGGTCAACCAAAGGCTTTTGGGTGACCTCTTCCGATATGTTAATGGAGCTCCTTCAACGTTCTCATCAATAGACGCTTCTGAACTTCCATCTGCGGCTTGCTTGTCTTCGATATTCTGTAAAAGATTATATTTCTGCCTTTGCCAGGGCATCGTTATCTTGAGATAAGGCTTGGTGAACGCCATTATGTTTCCTTTGAAGCTGTTGGCGGCCATCAACCCAAAAATCACATAACGATCTAGCTCATAAAAAGCGCAAACACAATAGGACTTTCGACACGTCCTTTCCAGGGAAATGGAGGGGAAAGAGGGACAGTAAAATGCTGGTGGATTGAAGGACGCTGACGAAGGATTTGGTATGCAGATACGACTTCGGTCTTCTAGGTGTCCACAATATAGCCCCCCTATGAGTAAGTTCCTCCACGTCGTAGGAGCCTCCACTGAAGCGGATGGAAACATATCTGCCAATCTATGACAAGTATCCGATACTATCCGATGCAGTAATTCATGCATATGGCAGCATTTTACTGGGCACTATACGAGAACAAGCAGTTGCAGGCGATGTTTCCATCGGAAAAGCTTGGTAGTCGGCCGCCTTACCACTTAGGAACCGGTAGCATGAACGGGGCAACTTCTGAGATGTGGGGTACCAGGCCCTTATCTGGCTGATGGGATGCATCGCGAGCAACTGTAAGTTTCTTGTAAGGTTAATCGGTGTAAGGAAAACCCACTCTTGCATATTAATGTAACACAATGCTATGCTTTAGCTCTATTTCAGGTAATCTAGCTACCCCGACTAGGCAGGTTAATAGATAACTGTCATTGAGAAGTCCCAGATTGCTCCACTATATGATCTGCGATGCAAGCCATTAGACCTTCTCTTTGTTGTGACCCACAGTCTTAGCTGCAAGGAGGAATAGCCCAGCTGCAAGGATCCCCGCTTAGATGCGGCAATGCAACTCCACTGCTGCCAGATTGCAGCACATAACGCATGCTAACTTGCTAAGCGTACAGCACATCCATGACGTTGGGGCTCACGTAATATATTCCTTCAGAGGTAAGTACTAAGTTATTGCAGAAGAAAACTCGCATTAACTTCAAAGCTTGTGAGGAATATGGTGCCATCTCGTAAGGCCTCAAACCAGGATCACCCCACTAACGCACAAGGTTATCCATACAGTCTAACCCCAAGATCGGCCCGAACCTGTATACCTTTGCCCGTCAGGCCTCGCAAGAATCACCGAAGAGGCTCAAGTACATAGTATTGCTTTCATTCCAACTGGATCCAGACACCCCTACCTTCGACCAGCGACCAATATCTTGAGAGGAGGGTTACAGCACATATCATAGTTTATCACCAAGGACGAGTAGCAGCATGATATAAGACCTTAGTTTTTATCCCCACAGCACTACTTAACGACACATGATGGAAACATTCTTTTTACTGTTGTACTTGCAATCATGGACGTTTTCTTGGAAAAAAATGGCTCTCTGAGATTTGTCATGCAACCGCTCAAATCGCTAATAATGAAGCTTGATCGCATGAGGAACAGGAACTTCATTTCCCCTTGAGGGCCATGAAGGTTGTTGCTACGGGCGTTGTGGTTGGATACTGGTGCTGTACAGTGCTACATTTCCCAGAGTGTGGATTCTCTTTCGACCAATCTTAATGTCCCGCAAATCCTCTCTTTTCTAGAGGGTCGCCCAATTGAGCTTAGAGGTATCAAAAGCTGCATCCAACTCCGCGTCTCTCTCCTTGAGGATAGACCACAGTCTGGTAGCAAGGCCAGAGTCAACGCTCACATCGTCACGTTTGTCGAGATTCGCCTCCCTCTCCTTCAGGATGGACCAAAGTCTTGTGGCAAGACCAGCATCAACGCTTACTTCCTCACGCTTTAAGACCTTGGCCTCCCTCTCCTTGAGAATCGACCAAAGTTTGGTAGCAAGACCTGAATCAACACTCATATCCTCTGGATCAGCTTCTCGTTCCTTGAGAATCGACCAAAGTCTGGTAGCAAGGCCGGCATCGACGCTTTCCTCGCGCTTAAGGATGGACCAAAGCTTGGTAGCAAGACCAGAATCAACGGTCACATCTTCACGTTTCTCAGGGCTCGCTTCTCGCGCCTTGAGGATCGACCACAGTTTAGTAGCAAGACCAGCATCGACACTGGCTTCTTCGCGGATCGCTAGATTGGCGGCCTTGATGTTGGCCAAGTGAGTCAGTAGAATTCTCGTACAACCATAAAGCTGTTGAAGTACTCACAGGAGCCAAAGGTGCAGCAGACACTTTGGAAGCCGCTAGAACGAACAGAGCGACAGAGTAGAACTTCATGATGAAGATGCAGAGATATATCACCCTTATATACCGTTAATCAGTTTGAAAGAAGTTACTTGTCTGAGAAATGGAGGAGATCTAAAGAGTCTCAAAGGCGAGGGCGAATTCTTATAGTTTTGCCAAGCTATAATACAAAACGGATTGAGGCCGTCATAACTCCAGAGGACTGGAATCTTGGAGCTAGTAGTCGTAGCATCCGTCAAGAATGAGGGGCTTAGTATCAAGGTCGAAACAGAGTTGAGATCCGATCCTACCAATGAAAGAGATGGCTCTGCCACACTCTGAGCTTGGAAGCAGTATGCTGCGTGGTGAGGCCTTGTCTCCTCCCGCACCACTAATTCGTTGGGATTGGTGACAGACATTCCGTCTTGGGAGGGATCCACGACGACAATGCACTCTCAGTCCCAGGGTTGCAATCGGCTGCATTAGGGTACGCGGGAAAAGTGTCGTTTACTGGAGCAGAGTTGAAAGATTCTGCTTGTCCATCCTGTTTGTCCCTGTGCGGATATACGAGGATTCGGTCTTGGAATAGTAGTGAAAGGATTCCATGAATGCTTGCCACAGTTAGTTGGAGATAAGGGCAAGGTAACATTGCATGTAGCTGCTTACCCTAAGATCAGGTCCACATTGTACTATTCAGTCTTTGTGCCCACCGAGGAAGATTCGGATTACTCCAGAAATCTTCTCATCTACTTTTCATATTATGGTTTGGTGTCAAATACCTGGACCTAGAAATTCAGGACGCTTGCTTCACTTGTCCAACATTAGTGAACTCTACCGAAAGCTTTCATAATGGCATTTAATTATTACAGGGCACCCTACGACAGCCTCTCAGCTGAAGAAGAACAGCTTGTAGTGGATAAAGATGACTACACCACGAGGCTTCCAGTACAAGCAAAGAAACACTTCCCGCTGGTCTCCTGGCTATTGCGGCTTGCACTTGTCTTATCCATAGGGGTAAATGTGTATCTATGGATCAAAACGCGAACACGAGAGGATTTTGTACACCAAATGTTCTGTAAGCATTGACTGCACCGAGAGCGAGTCTTCATTGTTGCCTTTTGCTGACGCTGAAATCATCAGCTCCTGCAATTCCTGCAATTGCATATGAGGACGTAGTTACGACAAGCGGATTCGGACATGATAAATCCCCCTACATGGGGAAGCCTACACCAGAGAAGGATGAAATCTGGCGTGATCTTTATAATTGTAGGATTGACTCAATTGCTCACAATTTAAGGTCGGTTTCAAACCGATGCTGACACCAAAACAGTTGGTGTTAGTAGAATTCCGATGGCAGACGCTGCAAAGTTAGCCAACAGAACCGTTCCGATTGGAAACGATCCCGGATACTACGCTGTAACCTTGGATGTCTTCCATGAGCTACATTGTCTGGTGCGTAAAGCTTCATTCTAATCAAATACGAGCCTGAGTTGTTGAGTGCCAATTAATCACATTCTTAGAACGCCGTTCGACGACGTCTGTGGTGGGATGGCGTACCAGATCCCGAGGAGCCATTGATGGACATGCCGCATCTCGATCACTGCATTGATATGATTCGTCAGAATATTATGTGCTCGTCAGATATCACTCCCCTCCCATGGGTTTGGGACAGAACGCAGAAGAAAGCGCTGGCGGTAGGGAAGGTGATTCGTACGTGTCGCAACTTTGATATGATCAGGCAATGGGGGATTGACAACAAGGTTCGGGAGTTCAATACTTCCATTTATGTAGAAGATCCATTGGGGAATATGGAAATCAATTGATACCATATGGGGCTAAGAGCAATAGAGTCAGTGTGGTTAGCATGTGTAATGATAAACGTGTATACGGGAGGATGATAGACCCTCGAAGGCTGAATTCCGGGGTGGACGAGCGCTGAGAAAGTCCTATTCACTATAAGGATAGACTTGATATTGCGATCCAAGTCAACAATGCGCGCCTCTTTGGATCCAACTGAGCCATAGAAGCTCGCTCTGTCTGTCAGTAATCCGGCTCTTAAATTTGGTCGTAAAGCAAGGAGGACGATGTGGCCATGTGCTCGGCTGGGTATCTCTTAAGGTTGTCTATTTCACCTGAATCATAACAATAGATTTTTGAACACATTGCTAGATTTTCCTCGCAGATCTTTGCAACGATGCTGGACTACATGAGGCGAGAAACAAAGGGGCTTTTGACCATCACTTTCATGCCCCGGTGTACCCTAGGTGCTCCGACCTCAAAAATATTGGAACAACCGTACAAACCAAGCACTCACCCAGTATCTCAGTAATCATCTCTGGTTAAGTTAAGTTAGTGATATCTCGAAAGAAGTAATCAAGAGTATTGTTTGGTGAGCGCAGGGAGTGTGGTTAGACGGAGACACTGGGCTATTATTGGGTGAGCTGGGCTAGACCCACTGATATTACCACGTGATGAGCTGACTTGCCGAGATTTATCCATAGCAGCTAATTCCATCCGAAGATCATCGCACGAACGACCTTCACTTTATTCCTCGCACAAACGAGTACTTCCCATGAATGCGAGTCAATCCAAGTGGGATCGCTATCATGTCGTCCTATCGGTCGCGTGGTGGCCATCACCAACAGTCTTACCGACCACAGCAATCTCACCAACGCGACGATTTCTACGACGATCGCCCCCCGTCTCAATCTCCCAACCGTAGATACAGTTCCCCTCATTCCAGACGAAGTCCTCCGCATGGTAATCCATAGTTCAGAAAGAGGTGCTGTACGAGTGAGCATGTACTGATGTGATCTGCAAAGATATTTCTGGTCCTCGGAATGGTCCTACCCGCAAAGAATTTCACATCCGCGGCCGCGCCTCAAGTCCTGGTCGACATCTCGACTACAGTCGCGAGAGACGCGACCAAAGATATGAAACTCACAGAGACGACCACGGGTCTCCTTCACCTCACCTGGCTCGACAATATTATGATCGAGATGACCCACAGCCTCGACGAGATTACCGCAGCCGCAGCCGCAGCCGCAGCCGGAGTCGGAGTCGGAGCTGGAGCCGCGGTCGAGGCCGTTCGCCTTCAGAAGAGAGACCTCCAAGTCGTGGCAAGCCTAGCAAGGAGATCATAATGGAGGGCCTGGCTGCACACCTGACTGAGAACGATGTTCGATCAATCCTGTCTGATGTTTCTTGACAAGCACTGCTGGTGGTTTTACTTGGTGCTTGTTAAATTTGTGACAAATGGCTAAGAGTTTGGGCTTGTTGGACAGATCGCCTCCGAGTTAAAACAACACTATCGTGTCGAAGAACTAGATGATATCCGTATCATTCGAGACCGCCAATCCAGTAAGTCCGAAACACCATAGGTTTGGGGGCAGGTTTCTAACGCATGCAGGACAATCGCGAGGGTTTGGCTTTCTTCGCTTTCCTACCCTACAAGATGCCGAGGAATTCATGGACAAAAATCATCCTATGGTTTATCTCTACGGTGATATCAAGTCAAGTAGAGATGCTTCCAGAGTGCGTATAGCGTTTAGTCGGGAGAGAAAAGAAGCCGGTCGGAGCGATGATGCAGATTGGATCTGTCCTTCTGTGAGTCCGGAATTTCTCTGTCACGTATTCTTACTGACTCTGCAGTGCCGAATCAATAACTTCGCCACCCGAAACCGTTGCTTCAGATGTCAAACTCCTAAACCAGGTATGCAGATATTGCGATTTGGAGGAAAGCCCTTTTTGATGCTAACGTTCTCAGATGTTGACTTGGAAGTCGTAGAAAAAGCTGGAAACGTGGGAGATAATGATGCGTCTCCAGATAACACACCATCTCAGTTTCTCCTTCTTCGTGGGCTCGAGTCCTCTGTCAGCGAGGAATTGCTGGCTAAAGGCGTCGCCAAATTAAATAAACCAGTTGCACCTTCAACTCAACCAGACCAGACATCCGCCAAGAAAGGTGCAAAAGTAGCCTCAACTACGGGAAACGCAAACCTTGGAGCTAAAGAGGGTACGCTAAGAAGAGTCTTACTAGTTCGAGATCGAAGCAGCAACGATAGTTGGCGATATGGGTTCGCAGAGTATGCTTCTATTGAAGATGCACAAGCTGCATTGATCAGGTACAACTCCTTCGAACGCTTCACTATTGCCTCGAAGCAGGTTCTGGTCAGCTACATTCATGCTGGTGTCTTCGTACCAGTTCCCAACCCAACCACAGGCACTGAACGTTTCACCTTCAGTCCGGCTGGTAATTCGTCATTCAAGCTCGCGTACTGGGACGAAAATGCATATGTGGCGGAGTTGCCTATAAATATGTCCAAGTCAAAGGTATCAGATCCGATTGTTTCTTCTACCCATCCCACGGTGGGGACTAGTGCCAAATCTGGTAAAGATGCAGAAAAGAACAAGAAAAGAAAAGCCCAGATTGAACCTGATGCTGCAGGCACGAAGAAACCTGCACCATCTCACCTACAATTCTGGAGTAATCGACACGCCGAGCTTCATGGGATTGGACACAAGGCCGCGAGGGATAACGACACAAGCTCAGAAACAAGCTCTGCTCCCCCATCTCAATCTTTTGCCGATCCCGAGAGACAATGCTGTTACTTGTGCATGCGGCAATTCTCCACGGCTGCAGAGGTCAACAGACACGAGCGCTTGAGCGAGCTTCACCGACAAAACTTGCAGGACGAGGCAAAGGTTGTCAAAGCAAATTACAAACTAGCAAAACACAACCTGAAAAAGCAGACCACTGCAATAGGTCCACAATACCGCGACCGCGCCAAGGAAAGACGCAAGATCTATGGCGTTGTCAACAAGAGAGGGGAGCAAGTTGGAGGAAACAATGCTGCCAAGTCTTCTAAAGCCTCATCAGAAGATGAATCCACGCCACCTGTACAGTCGAAGGGCGCATCATTGCTTAGCAAAATGGGTTATACCGCTGGGCAGGGCCTAGGCGTTTCAGGAGAAGGCATGAAGGCACCCATCAGCCAAGATGTGTATGTCGCAGGCGTTGGTCTCGGGGCGGAAGGTGGTAAACTGGGTGATGCGGTGTCTGAAGCGGAGAGAAACACGAGGGGCGACTATTCTGCATTCCTTGATCGAACAAGAGAGGGTGCAAGAGAGCGGTTTTCGAGGCTTGAATGACATGGCACACCGAATATCTACCGTATTCAGGTTTTTATGTCTACTAGTCCAGAACAATATCTGCGAGAATGCGTAGGGACGATCTGTACTCGCCATGAAGCTTTTGGAAGTGCATACAGAGCCGGCCGATACCTAACGAAATGCACGCATCCTGAAAAGCCCAACTTCTAGCACTAACTCGAGCACGGCTTTCATCCTTTTCCCATTTTCTTTGGCTGAATGGGGGAATCCTACCATCGCCAAGAGAGCGTTCGCGGTGTCGATCTGCGGAACAGCGTTAATAGTGAGCTGACCTCGCTGCCGCGGCACGCAGTGCTTTGTCAGCCACAGCTCTGAAGCGATGCCCGCATTACTTCGATGGCTTCTGGGCAGCTATTGTTAAAGCAATAGCTGCTCATGCGTAATAAGATCCGCAAGAAAATTGTGTTTCCATGCGGCCTAGCCTACGCCATTAAAATTTGATAGAGACCAAATTTCCCAGCTCACTGGTGGCCCCAGACTGTACAGCGAGCGCTGTAGTGCCTTCTTGCTCCACCGCCTTGCTTTCCACAGGCGCTGCTGAGACATCGTCCAACGATGACAGCGGCTCAAATGCACCATTCAGCACGATCCTCTCCCAATGCGATACCACGCCGTCAATTGCTGGGGGCAAAGGGTCTCCCGGCTCCAGCTTCGCAACCTTCTCATCGTCTAAAACCTTCATCAACTCCGAGATCCTCAGCTCTGCCTGCGCCCGTGCGTAAAGCGAGGTCAAGAACGAGCGCAATTCATCACCTCTTGGAGTTGAAGGCTTCGGGGCCGCTATTGTGGTTGTTGTGGAGGGGGTTGGGGCTACCACTGCAGGTGATTTTCCTGACGACGAGGACGGTCGTCGGCCTCTCTTGGCTGCAGCTGGACCTTGACCTGCGGCACAGGCCTTCTTCAGCGCGGCAAGTGCACCTTCGAGCACGCCGAGCACAGCTCCGATACGAAGCCCTAGATCGACACCAAACGGATAGCCTTCGTCGAACCCGCGCTGCATGACTTGAGCCTTCCCAATGGCTAGACCCTCGCGATACCCGGAGGTCATGTGCTGCCGGCGCAACGTTGGAAGTTCCGAGAGAATCAGGTCTGGCCCTCTTTGAGACAGACCTTGCCGGTCGGGATAGTTTTCTTGGTCAACGACGGCGTTGTTATCGTTGCTGCCATAGTGGGGAGGCTGATGGTCAGATGATGTGTCCCAGATATCATCGTCGGCGCCAGGTGACTGATCTGGAGTGGTGACAGTAGTTGATGGCGATGATGGTGCGTTGTGTTCGGACGATCTGCTTGGAGAGTGCGAGTGGGAATGCGCGAGTGGTGCCATTCTGGCCGCTCTCGTCGTGTACTATTCTTTCGTGGTTCCGGGGGCGATTATTAAGATATTCTTTCAAATCCCCGCCCAGGGCTAGCATCTGGAGATGGTAGGCGACCCTTTGTTCACCAGAAGTTCCTGGTTTGGACAGAACCTTCGTCCATCAAGGGAAATAGCCCAATTTAGTCCTGAGAATAGCCTGGGTTGTAGGTCTTCTAATCCTTGCTCGGGGGCTCTAGCGGGATGCTGAGCTTTTAACTTTTGGATACGGGTGTCGCTTTGCACCTGGGAACTGGTGGCAACTGGAAATTATTTGTAATCCTGGAACATTTGTTGATGATGCACATAGATATGTGCCTGTTGGAAGGAAACCCCGCGAGAGGGACAGAATTTTGCCCAGCCTTGGCACAAAGTGTATTGTCACGTGCAAGGCTGTGCCCCTTGACATTTCATGGGAATGCAGAAGAAGGTATATCCCGTAATCGAAAAAGGCTTGTGTTCCATAGTAGGGTCATTCTAACAGCTACCTCGCTATAGATCTTTTCAAGGCTAGAGTCCAATACTCGAGTGGCCAATGGCCCTTCTCGTATTTCACTAGCCTCAATCAAGTACTAGTCATGTATTCAGCACTTAAGACAAAGTTTTAGCAATACATTCCTCCATCAACGTTGTAAACAGCGCCCGTCACGAAACTGGCGTCATCTGAGAGCAAAAAGGCTATCGTATTGGCGATCTCTTTAGGGTTGGCCTGCCTGTCCATGCATTGCATTGTCGTGATCTGAGGGCCTCCTTGCTTCTCTTCGACCTCTTTAACCATGGGGGTGGCGACGATCCCTTTGTTTGGGTAAGCCATGGCCCCCATTGAGCTCATACTGTCACACCTGGGGCCTCACCTGGTGCAACTGCGTTAATTCTGAGTTCTGGGTGCTCCCTCGCTGCTGTCCTGGTCAAGCTAACGACTGCATGCTTATTCGCAACGTAGCTTCCTATTCCGGCTGCCCCGACCTGACCTGCAACGCTGGCGACATTGACCTATTGGACTTTCTGTCAGTTACACTCTCAGGTAAGAAGGAGCTAATAGAATGAATACTCATAATACCTCCCCCTTTCGACAGTACTCGGAGTTGCCCTCTCAAACAGTAGAAAAAGCCCTGTAGCATTGACATCCTTGTGGAAGCCGAAGCCTTCGTCCGTTTCGTCGACGAGTCGCTGATTATTGCGGTACACACCCACTACGTTTACTGCAGCATCAAGGCAACCATAATTGGCGATAATTTGCGCTATCCAAGCATCGACTTCTTTGCTGTTGCGCACGTCTACAACAGCACTCGTGTGCTTACGATCTCTACTTGCCCCAAGTATCTTGATGGCTTCATTGAGACCCGCCTGGTTTGTGTCCGCCAACGCAAGCGTCGCACCTCCTGATGCAAAAAGCTGAGCTGCTGCAAGAGCAATTCCTCTCGCAGCACCTGTTATTGCTATCTATATTCAGAAATAATTATTAGTCTTCTTAACAAGCAACTGCCAGAAGCTGGGGCTAGTATTTTTGCGATTTCACCTGAGACCTAATTGAGGTGGCAATAGGCCGCGAACAGTATTTTCTGAAGTCGGAAATGCTTACCACTTTGCCCTCTAGATGCGCCATTTTCGTTCCCTCTGCGATGAACTCAAACAATGAATGATACAACTATGCAATGCTCATATCACCATATGTCTATTTTTATCGTTACAACTTTGGAAATTAGCAATCTTCTTAAAGTCGACCTGAATATTGATTGAAGACTTGAAATTGCCGTGACAAAAGGATTTGAGCCAGATGTTCTAACTTGTGGTTGATCAGAAAACTCTCTTTCCCCGAAGCTCATGAATTTCTATCTAAATCGGGAGCCGATCGTACGCCGAGGCAGAATGAAGTCAAGGGCCAGCAAACACGGCACACGGTACTACCAAGATACTTATTAGCTTAGATGAGGGCTAAGCTTTCGGCCTCACAATCTAGCCATAGCATCTGTGCCAGTCTACATGAGAAACCAGGAAGATTAAGCTGCATCTGATTAAGGTCGATTAAAGTACGGCGACTAGATTGGAGTTAACGTTTAAGAGCCAATATCTTTTCGCGATCTTGATGAATTCCAACTGCGGCTGATATTATCTCGATCGGATAGTTCATGGCTCAAATTCTCTCTGCTTCCTCTCCCCATATTTATTAGATCAGGAAGCGTAGTGAGCCTTCAAAATGTTCTCAAGCATGAAGATGGCAAACTTTCAGAGGGATAGGCTTATACTACACAAGATCTGGAGATTGCATCAGAGTTGAAACCTTGTCGGTGTACTAGAAACTAGTAAATCCTCTCACTAAACCAAAGGCACTAGCTTCTCAATTCCCTCTTTTGCCTGAAGCTTCTCAACTGGCGCATCCACGTGTTAAGTCATGATCTGCTTGAGGTCGACGATGAACCAAGACGACACTGCTGCCAGGAGCGCAAATGGAGCCGCAATTATGAGCGGGTATCGAAGGACATCAGCATAAGCTTGCCACAGACTTTGAACCCCAGCTTGTATGACCGAGTCCGACACACCAGGGATACCAACCAGCTGGTCAGATGCGTTGCTAGTAAGAGCCAATGTGAAGGCTGGGATCGAGTCAGTGGGGAGGCCAGCGTTGGTGACTGCTGTTGCAATGTACTTTGGAATATATGAGTCCAATTTCTCGCCCACCACAGCAGAATATATTGACGTGAAGGCAGTCGAAGAAATTGCTCGGGAGGTGACGGCCACGGCGGTTGCGGTGGCTAAATGTTTATGTGGTGATACTAGCTGCGCGCCAGCAATTGCCAGGCTGAGAACCGAGGCGGTGCAAAAGCCCGCAAATGAAACAAAGACCAGGGAATTTGTACTGTGACTCGGTTGAATCGTGGCCATACCTACCGTGCCAATGAAAGCTATGAAAAACCCGGCTGCGAGCGCCTCACGAAGTGACCGTAGCTTGACTCCAACATAGCCAAAACAAATCTTACCAATAGCGACGCTTCCGTAGAATGCTGAGATGCGTGCAGATGCAAGGACCAGATCTGTCTCGAAAAGGGGCTTGCGTCCTGCGTTGATATCGGTAGCATGTGAGTTTCATCGTGGAGAGTGAGGCAACCTTACAAGACTGGATAAAAGACAATGAACGCATATACCAAGATTCCTTCAGCGAACATAAGCCAGAGGCAGATCGCAAATGTCCGAACTAGTTTCCCATTGTGATTGAACAGCTCATGATGCAAGATGCCCGTCTTTGTTCCTTTCCACTCGTACAAGCAGAAAACAAGCAGTCCAAGTAGCCCGAGGAGAAGGATGACCAACGTTGGTGCTGAGGCCCAGGCATAGAGACCACCGCCGATCTAATCGAGATCACCAGTCAGTAATTTGCTCAAGCAAGTGCCGGTAATTGGCCAGGCCCAATCGAAGATTTAGTCAAGTACAGTAGCTGAGATGAGGGACGTAAAGATATCAGATAGCTTGGGAGAATGAAACTCACATTGAGACCTGTCAAGAATAAGCTCAGTCCTATTGCTATCATTAGAGCCACAGTCAGATCAAGCTGCTTGATTTTCTGCCAGCTGCTAAGGTGATCAAAGCGGGTGTGTCTCTTTGGCGGCCTATAGCCAATGAAGAGTAACAGAGCAGAGGCACCCTATAGTGCCATCTCAATCCACTACGGACGACTTAGTTTTCCGATTGGTTCTTCAAGGACTCGATTAGAAAGCTCACGTAAAAGGTCCTCCAGCCCTGATGCAAGTCACGCTTGGAGAGTGCCCCCATAATAAGTGGCGCCGAAATCATCCCAAGGGATCCACCTGTATTGATCGCTGCTTGGGCCACTGTGATCATCGCGTTAGCTGCTGATATGTTTCTATTTCTAATCTGATATAGAATGCATACTTGGACGCCATTTGGTAGGTACAATTTCGCTAGGTACTGCGAAGGTGAGAGGGATAATGGCAAGAGCAAATCCAATAAGTATGTGAGCGGCGATGAGCCGGCCAATACTTTGGGATCCTGGCGCAATTGCAGCACCAACAAAGGCAACCGTCGCGCAAACAACCAGCAGGGCCTTTCGTGCCTGGAAAAGCTCTGATGCTGACGATAGGATGTTGCAGATGATTGCCTGCACAAGGACTAGGCAATTTGGCACCCAACTTGCCGTAGCAACCCCACCAAGGTCTTGCGCAATGGAATTGAGCTGTGTTCATGTCAGTGCATTCGGAGTGAAGAAGTCTTTTTAGAGTAGCATACACATACAATAGTAGGGCACCCCATCAAGGCAAACAGTTGGCAAAAGCTTTGCACACATAAGGCTGCAAGAGCAATCCAGGTGCGCGCATGAAGCTTTGGCTCGTGCTCATCATCCGTGTATGTCATGTCGTCTTCCGGTTGAGCTTGTTTGGAAGCCCCTTCAATGTGAATAGAGTTGTTTTTTGATTCTACCCCCACGGGTTCCACATGTCCCTGAATCCGGGGCTTTGACGTAGGCTCCATTGAAACGCGAATGAGTGCATATACTTTAGAGATTGGTATAGCTAGAGCCCCGAGGGAAAAATAGATGAGAGCGGAAGATTTCAAAAGTTTCAAAGTATAGACAAACACTTAAATACTCCATGAAAGGGCCAATCTAGATATTTGATTCCCAGTAAATGCTAAAGACAGGAACCTTGAAGCGACTCGGCGTTTCGCGAAGTTTTCGCGTTTCCTCCTTTCGATACACTTACAATAACGAAGAAGTGTCCCACAAGAATTTCTTGATATTGCTTGGGTGTTCAGAGCAGACCGAGACCCGCGACTGGAAAGCATCTTGCGCTAAGGTCCCGAGTTCCGAACAATACTGCCGCTCCCTATCCAATGAAATCTGTCTCTTCATTGAAGAGAAGCGACGGCTTCCACAACGCGAACGAGTTTAGCCAAAGGAACCGAATCATAATTGGCTCATGGCTGGCACGCCCGCTTCCATTCTAAATATTACACGAAGATTACCGTCCCCACTTTACTGGTAGCGGAGGCTTTGTACCCCACGGAGAACAGCAAAAATGCGGGAATCACAGCCTCGTGTGCCTTCAGGCTGGGTCCGGAGGGAATCCAGAACTACTTAAATTTCCGTACGATACCGCCGGTTTTGGATACCTGTAAAATAATTGCCGATTATATGACCCACCCCAACTGTAAGAGAATAGCAGACTTCAAGATGAAGCTGTGCGTGTTACTAGCCTCGGCTCCCCTCCATAGAAGCCAACCGATTACGATTCGAGAAAACTGATGCCACTAGTGTGATTTTGACGCCGTTGCACATGATCAATAGTCTCTTTCTAAAGAGAAGCTTCGGCCTAATCACTCTTTCAAGTACTTAGTCAACCTAACTATCACACTTATAAGTGTGGATATGAGCTTACCACGCTGAACAAGACCTAATAGTTCAGTCTACAGACTTAAAACAATGTCTCGGTTTCTAGATAAAGTCGTGTTTGTGACGGACGGCACCAGTGGGCTAGGTGCTGCTACCTGCCAACTCTTCATCAATGAGGGAGCCAGAGTGTTCGTGACAGATGAGATTCGCGTCAATGTAATATGCCCAGGGCTGATGGACACTCCTATGGTCAACCATCTCACCAAGGAGGCGGCCGTCGTGCAAAAAACCAGGATACCATTCCTTTGGGTAGACCTGCTGATCCGGCGGAGGTAGCAAAAGCAGTTCTGTTTTTAGCATTTGATGACGGTTCATACATTATTGGTCATGGTATGTTCATCTCTGAAAGCAGATGTCAAACCGGGTCCAAAATGATTTCTAGCTCTTACGGTCGACGGCGGTTCAACGGGGCTAAAAGTGGTGATGCTGATTTCAGGCCTTTCATACAGAAGAGTTGAGTCTATGTGCCTAATAATAAGGTCCCCACTGGAACCAGTGATTTCCATTTGAATCATAGCCGATATTCGGAATTTCGAACTAAGAAAACGTGATCGAGAAAGCTCAAGGCTTCTTGTCAGTCATTGATAACCGCCCTTAAAGCTCTCCCAATGGCTTCCTTTCACCTAAGGTGTGACAGACCAGTTGATCTTGATTTCCTCAGCTGTCGTAGGAATACTCCTGGCGAGCATAAACGACGACACCTACGCAAAGGCAGATTAGCCATAGATCGCCGTCTTGGCCAGGGACTCTTCCCTCAATCGAAGCGAAGGAAGCTGTATTCTCGACCAAACCCCGAGCCCAAAACTGCTAACCAGAATGTATCAGCAGCAAACCAAGATCGTTAAACGAGAGGAGAATACGAAATCATGCAACCAATATCGTGTTCTCGGCCGAAATGCTGCAATTCACGGGAATGCAAACAGAAAATCCCATCATGACCGCCTCCCCCGGAGCTGGCCTAAGGCTTTTGGCTGGTGCAAAATCCACGCTAAAAGTTACTTCATCGCGATGGTTCCAGAGTCAGGATCATTATCCCAAGCATAGAGATTAAAGCATGGCAGTGAATGACAATTACAGACTTGACAACCAGGCGGCCATCCCTTCACCTTTCAATGAGACCCTTCCGGCTTTCTTCCGGGCATGGGATAACCCAGAGTCAAAGGATGAAGACTGGCTACATTTCTTTTCGCCCGAGTGTGCAGTCAAATTTGGAGGGCATGCCATGAGAGCTGGATTCATTAATGCAGTCAAGGGCCCAGTTGTAGATCTACAGCATAATTTGAAGACGTGCTGGATGCCGGCTGGTGGATTGGATGGCGGAACCGAAGCATTTATCATCCAGAGCTCTATCTGGTATCGGCTGATCGATGGTCGGAAGATAGATGCTGATTGCACTTCTTATATCAAGTTGACGCCGAAAGGTCAGGGATCATGGGTTGCAATAGAGCATGAAGTGTTCATGTCCTCATTTCACATCATGGATGCGGTCAATGGCTTGACCGCTGGCGGCACCAAGGATTGATATGAGCGTAGCTGTCGAAGTTTGCCAATGGTAGATTCGCAGCATTGGAAGTTGCTTCATCGGAACAAACACGTCCAAGTTATTATGGATGAACAACCGCTGTGTGTAGGCTAGTGTAGCATACCTTGACTAAGAGCTTATATCACACCAGCCGACTGTCGTAGTTCGAATGACAGGTCGTTGGGATGTTGGAAAAGCAATCAGGGAGAGAATATATCGAGGTGATCGGAGGGCAAGGAGGAACGGCCCCATGGGCCATGGTTTGTCAGAGCTCATGTCATAGGCTCCCAGCTCGGTCATCAGCACTATTGAGTCACAATGATCAGTGGATAGTGTTTAGTTCTACTCTACCTTGGTTATACATGTGCTTCGACGCTAACGAAATCTATCATTTTCTTCCAGTCACCAAGCATCCACCTCAACCAGTCGAGACACGATGATACGAATGATCCCCTTGCACACGCCACGCCCTCAGCGGCAATGCCTGCAATGCGAGGGCCTTCCGTTCTATAAACGTCCAAAACAAGACGGCCCCAAGGACAACGAATATGATATTAGTGAAGTAGTAGCCGTCACGCTGCATGAGGCATGTGCCACCGCCTTTCAGACAATGGTTCTTGTCACCCTCAAGAGCACAGCTAAAAGGCGATGAGATAGGTGTTACATCAGGATGAGCCTTTTGAAACCCACTCGGATCAGTGGGCGGCAGACAGGTTGCTTTGGTGAAGACATCGACAAACTTGAGGATGAAGAATTTGGGAAACGTCCCTCCGAGATTCGAGACCCTGGGGAGACAGTCAGCAAAGTACTACTGCATCATGAGATAGAATGATACTCACGTAGCCAAGAGCGTCATGTATGTACCACCGATGGCCGGATCTGCAATTCTGGCATGGAAAGCGGCCGATGCAACAAACATGATTGTACTCATAAACGTCGAGTAGATGTGTGAGGCGATAACTACCAGCAGATACCATAAAGGAACAGCCTCGCCAACCTCGGTGGGATAGATCATAATCGTGAATTGAGCAAAGACTGCAGCAAATAATCGGGCCACAAACGCCCAACACCATAACTTCAATGGCGTATACTCAGTGGACCACTTGCCGGCGTAATATCCAAGGCTGAGCTCGAAAGGAAAGTCGATTAGAACCACCAAGGCGAGATTGGCCTGGCCGAAGCCCTTGTCCAGAAGCTTCAAGTTCGTCACGGCCTCGTTGGTAACAAAACCAAGCTTCGACACTAGGTGGATTGCAATGATTATGAGGATATTTGGAAGCTTCAACACAGCCCACATGCTGCGATAGACTTCCATAATTCCGTCACGTTCATTGGTCTTGTCCTCCTTTTTCAAGAAAGCTAGCCCAACAGTCACAATCAAATACATCCAGCCCCAGAATGTCATATAGCCGCCTAGAGTAAGCAGTCCATATTCTTTCGGCACGGCTCTGAACCAAGCATTAGCAAAATCAGGAGCCTGTAATGCAAGAAAGACTGTGTGAGATAGAAACGAGCCAGCTGTCAGGCCGACTGTCTGAGCCGTGGAGGCGTAAGACATATTCTGCATCGACAGCAGTGATATCGCCCACCCATCCACGGCAATGTCCTGAGTGGCACAGAGAAAAACAAGGAGGAACCACCATCCTGTGAAGCCCCACACACCACCCCCATCGTTCTCACCCGCCTTTTTCATCATTTCATCAATGCCCCCTCCCAAATAAATCATCGAAAGTCCTGATACGGTTTGAATAGGGGTAATCCAGCTTTTCCTCCTACCAAAGCGTCGACTCCACACCGCGTCGACAATTGGACTCCACAGTAATTTGAGGGAGTATGGATATGCAGCGAGGGAGAATATACCGATTTGTCCATACGACAAGTAGCTCTTGAGGAGAAAGGGGACAGATCCCGAGGCAAGGCCCATCGGGATTCCCTGCAAAAAGTACAGAAGAACTAGTAAAAGGAAATTGCGCTTGTCGGTAGGTGGGAGATTGTTGAAGCTGGTATTGACCATGCCAGGAGTTTGGGGTGTCGGTGGAGGAGGTTCGTTGTCCAAGGAAAAGTCGTCCCTGCTCATGACACGAGTGACATTAGATGCAGGGTCATTGCTCGAGACGTGCTTGCGCCTGAGCTCGATATGTGAGTCCATGGTACCGTTGGCGTTCCCATTCGCATGCCCGTTCGCATGACCGTTCTGAGAAGTGTCTATGCGCAAATCTGAGCGAGAGGGCGATCGTTTCTGCTTGTTCTTTTTGGATCTTGAGCGCCTCATCTGGGAATTCTGATGCTCGCCAACTAAGAGGTCGCGCTCAGATTCGTCCGTGTCCAAATCCTGCTCCTCTTCCTCTCCGCTTTCACTTTCACTGGTAGGGTCTATAGTGTAGCTTCTGTGGGCTGAATGTGCTGGAATATTGCTCAGTTCAATGGCTGTGTCCGCTTGCTGCTGCGACTGGTTGTAGGGAGGAGTAGATAGTTGGGTAGAGGATGAGCGGATGTGGTAGCGAGGAATTGTAAAGGGCTCGGAGATGGAGTCAGGCATCCATGCGGCTAAAAGTCATGTGGAAGGAGGCGAGCGGAAGGCAAAAGTGAAAAGGACTCTGTGTCCTCTGCTAGTGGATCAGGGACAGGAATTGGAAACGTTTGGGATTGGCCTTTTCGAAGTCATCGATCGACCGGCAAATGATGGTGAAGGAGGGGCGGCATTCCAATGTGTCCTCAAATCCCCCTCCTTCTAGAATTTCCAACGCGAATCATGGAGGAGAAGAGATCCAATAAGTACTACGGAGGGCTTTGCCAAAGTAGATGCTGCGAAGTCCCCTGCACGGCTATTGCCCAAGACACGTCGATGGGGACAAAAACCCCAGATCTGGCCTCTCCGGACTCTGGCCAATCAGAGAAGCCAATAAAAACTGGCCACACGTGATCCGCGATAAGATGTGACGCGTCTCTTATCGCTTCGACGCGTCGCAGGCCTCGGGCCTTTAGTCACGACTCACTAGCTAGGACAACTGCGTGGATGGCAACAGAGTCATGTCACCCAGATAATTGATTCGAAGATGCAAGTTCATTTTTGATATAGCATTGCCCTCCTTCTACGATGTCTATTGCCGCATCTCCACCTCAAACTACCGACCTGCATGATACCTCGAGTGAGGCTGTGGATGACGAGATCGCTCGAGTGCGAGCTGAAAGTATGCTATTTCCTGGGATCCTTCTACATGATGTCTAAAAGATTCTGTTGACAAACTATCTACAGTCCAGGCTCTCACTCAGCGCCGCATTTTACTTTCATCATCGCTTTTGTCCTCAACCAGGGTCCAAGCACGGCTTCTCGAGCGTCAAGCAAACCCATCAAGAGCTGAAGTCATCCAGGATGATCTCCCGCTTTTATTGACGTCCTCAAATCAAATTGGCGAATCGAATACTCATCGTCTTGCTCTGGGAGTGACTGCATTCCCGTTCACGGACCCGAGTCCTGAGTGCCAATCTTTCAATCCTCTTCTAGGGATTCGCTTCGATGTGTGTGATCGAACCGGTCGCTTTCCAAAACAGTATCATATATTTTGCCGACGAGCTTCTCCTTCCAGCCAGGAATTGCGTATTCATCGACACACGATCCCCTCACTCGTTCCGCTCTCCGACTATGAAAACCAGTACCTTCAACTAACCGATGAGGGTTATGAAGGATCTGATGATTCATGCCTTTCGAATAACGATCATCCGAAAACCCAGGATCTGCACGCTTTAGTAGCGCGCGTGCGAAAGGACCTAGTGTCGTGGAGGTTGAGATTTGATGCAATTGACTTCTTGCGAGAGTGCTTGGACCTCCCTCCACCCAAATCCAGGAGTGGCACTGGGCTAGGTGATGAAATCGACGACGAAGACGAAAACATGTCCGACGACGAATTCGAATCGTGGGGCAAGTACGGTGTACGGCAACTCGAAATATGCAGTCCAGATGCATCTCAAGCTCGGATCTTGTGGTCTGATGACAGAGTAGGAAGGATCAAACTCTCTTCAGAGGGCAACATTGTGAAAGCTGCGGTGGTTGCTGGCGGTACCCGGTTGGTGGACCAAGAGAGAATCCTTTCTTCTGGCTCAACCACAATCTATAGCTTCCACCAGACGCTGGAGAGACTGCACCAGACATTGCAGCAGAGGCAATGAGAGAACTAATGATCTCTTGATTAGGGAGGGTTTCAGGTTCATCAAAAAGTAAATCTCACGATAGTTCTGTTTTGTCTATCAAAAATCCATCAACCTCGGCGCCTAACGCTTCTTGGGACCAAAAATCGAGGCCCTTTTATTGCAACCAGACACCATCTTGGTTACTTTACAAGATTCGTGCAAGGCATGACCTTCATTGTCTATTTTACCATTTCCTCCTTCTTTTTCGTCTCTGAAAATCGCTCACAAAAGCCTCTCCCTGGGATATAACAACTAGGTGTGGACGAATGGTATACATGAGGTGTGCCGCCGGAGTCGCACTTCGAGGAGAACAATTGCGCCCACATCAAAGTCGTCTACTATGATCGTCTTCGTCGCAAGGGACAATAGTCTGCGCGGCTGTCTCGAGCGGCCTGGTCTGCTACCACTGTGGTTTCTGTGGATGCTCAGATGACACCGTCGCAAATGAGCTTGCGTCAACATTTCCATTGCGATGGTCGTTTCGTTCAGTCTCCACCAATTCCATCACCGAGTCACTGTCCTTTGGCACGTCGGTAACGGTGGTGGTGATGGTCTTGGTAATGCTTTTTTGCTGTGCCGCGTGGCTGTTCGTGTGGCGGAAGGTTCGAGTACGGCTGCGCGATCCCGTGTGTGGGTGCAGATACGAGCTCTGTTCCACCGTGCTTCCGAAAATGCGAGGTGCGACACGTCGTAGAAGCAATTGCATTGCAGGCATGCAGGCACACATGATTCCCACGTCAACTTCGAGCATTGACATGTAGCTGACGCCGACATAGTCCCCTGTTCAGGATGTGGTCAGCCCGGGGTGTTACACATCAGAGCGCGGTTCGAAGAGGACTGTGCAAGACCTACAAGTAAAATTGTTCGTTGCACGGAATTGAACCAGAGTCTGGAGGCGTACCGCGCTGGCAAGTGTAATGCTGTGACACGAATGTTAGTAGGAATCAAGGATCTAAGACATGGGGAAACTTACAACAACCCAACACAGAACATGGACACGATCTGAAACTTCTTCTTTCGTGACAGCGTCAACTTCAGAAGGTGGGGAATCGGAAGCAGGATGATGAGAACGTCTAGAAGGATGTTGATCGACGATGCGATCCAGGTCAAGACAAAAACATCAATGCAATGTCCTTCGGTTTCACCAGTCCAGCTAGTCCAAACGTACGAAACAGGCGTGCATTGCCAGATCGTGGCAATGATGGTCGCGAAGAGATATGCAGTGCACACACCCATCAAACCATAAGTCATCCTTTTAAATGTTCGGTCGGTAAAGATTCGGAGGTAGAACGCTAGGATCGAGAGCTTGGTCACCGAGATACAGAAATCATACATGGATTCCCCGGCGTAAAACCACTGCCAAGTGTCAACGGGTAAACCGGGGAACAAGGAACAGTTAATGCTCACCTTGAGAATTGGCGTGATATTGTCTGGTGGGATGGTGTATATGTCCCTTCCGTAGCCAAGGTTCGTGCCTTTACATATATGTCAGTCAAGTGTTAGAGAAGGAGGGGCTATGGAGGGGCTTACTAGCGAACTGAGCGGCGGTGACGAATATCATGACGACCTATTCACAATTAGTCGGAGGGCAAGGGGAACATTGGGCAAAGCATACTGTCACTGCAAGGATCAGGCCATCATCCCATCCAAATCTGGCCTTGAACGGGCTCACGCGTGTGAACATCCGTAGGACGACGAATACAAAAGCCAGACCGCCGAAGACACCACTGACGACCTCTATAACCAAGGAATTATCTCTTACTGGAACATCACAATAGGACAGGGTCCCGTTTTGCGTGGCTAGGTGTCTCACATCAGACCTTCAAGAGCGACTTGGGAGACTGACGGGGAGGAAAACTTACACAATAAGTTGCTGACTGTGCATGTGGCCATCGAACATCCAACCACGCCTTGCATGAGGGCTTGAGGATCTGTGCAAAGACAGAGCTTGTCTGTGGCGGAGCATGATAATTGCTCGAGTACTTGTCGAGAGCAGTTTTGCTGTGTGTAGATGTCAGCGGGATTCGACTACAGCACTCGCTTGACTGAACATACAGCACATGACGGTAATTGTTGCAGCAAATCTTGTGACTGTACTGCCAGTGCAAAAACAAACAGAAATGATAATGGAATAAGCATGGCCATGTTCAGGCAATTTCAGGATGGAAGAATGGTGTGGTGGTCTTCGGTGGATTAAGACGGCTTCGTCACTGATATAGATACCTTTGCTAGCAAACGTCGAGATTCCATGGCCAAGTACGGCGAAATGGGTGAAATGAGTTGAAAGGGGATAGAGCTCCGAACAACCCCCGTAGCAACATCGTATAGATTAGGAAGCTAGTGGCAGTGCACCAAGGCTGTTCCACGAGCCGTGTATTCTGCGTTAGGCTGATGATCGTCCTCTCTAGACTGAGTCTAAAGCAGGCTGTACCACTGCTAACACTGTTTGAGGCGCTGCTAAAGGCAAGAATGAAGGGGAATGCCAAATCCGGTTCCTGAATTAGTGTAGTCCTGGCCATATGGCCATGCCATGCATTCGTCACCAGCCATCACACTTACATGGGCGGGCAGAGGTGAAAAGTGGCCCAGCTAACGGGAGCTGCTGCAGCCAGGCAGATCGTGGTGCCTTGTGGGTATCACTCCAGCTTTTTTTTACTGACCCAGTCTTGCGTCGTGGTGGACTGACATGAGATGCTGCAGCACCCGCAACTCCACTGGCACTTAACTTCCGCGATTGGACAACTTTGCCTAGTGTACCTTGGGGTTACCGAGGACCAACAATCCTTCTGGAAATTTGTGTAGGACGATAAGCTACAACAGACCCCGAATATCATTACATGGGACGGGAAACGGGTGCTAGGTTGACTGAAAGGCTGCTTCCTAATCGTCATTGGGATATCAAAACATAGCCGAGGAAGCAAATAATGGACATCAAGCTCCGAAGACCCCTTTCTCATATTTCTGGGACAGACACGAGAATTTGAGGTTGGGCCAGACTTTCCTGCACGAAAAACGCCAGGCTTGTCAGAGCCACCCAGAATCCTGGGGTCGGAAGCGAGGTGGGGACCTCGGCGTACGGGAAGCGGCCCACATGTGTTTCTTCATCGATTTCAAGAAGCGAAAGTAGATCAACAGTGTAGGGCGCTCTGATCACTCTGGGCAGGGGGCTTGCTTGGGCTGCAATGCAGACCACCAAGTGATTCGCGGGGATGGTGGAGGTGTTGAGGAAACGCCTTCTAATCCAATTCTTCCCCTAGATGCGGCCTCGGGTTGTTGGTGCTTGTCTAGTTCCACCCTGTTGGTTTAGTGGCTGCGATGCATGATTGAGAAGACTCGTCGTCAGGCACACCCCTGATTGCCAAAGCTCAACGGGCAGCCTCGACTGTGGCCTAAGCACACCTGTGCATGGATCTGGCGTTGACTATTCTATGATGGTAGTCGGGGAAGCTCCCTTGGTGCCCGCAGCTTTAGCGTCTGAAGTTGTTCGAGTCCCAGGCGAAGGGAAGGGGCGAAACTGGCTTGGCTATTATTCCACCATTCCTGTCGCTGAAAGATAAGGTTTACAGCGAGATGCCGTGTGTGTTTGGGCTGCAACAGCAGGAAGAGTCGCTTAGCGATCAAGTTGACTTTTCTCACGGGGCTTCGACAATCCAAGTACCAAGGATACATCTACCCCGTACGGCTCCTGTTACGAAGCTCAGACTTCGATTGTCAGGCATGTTTGGAGGCAGGAAATTGTTGATCATCTCCAGGGTCTAGCTACCAATGGGCGCAGCTTCGATTCAGCTTGGGAACATTGGTCTCTCGCGCAATTCGAAGTTATTCCCCTTTCCCAGTTCACATAATTACAGAACACGAACGCATCACTTGGCAAGCCCGAGAATCACGAGCGGGTGCATTCGAGATCCATAGCCAAGGGCGGTATAGTGTGAGTGTAATGGTGCATTGCATGGTCGTCAACCATGCTTGGGCTCCCAGGGACTCAAGGCCGCTGTCATCCTCAGTCATAGACCAGAAATTCGATGACACAATTTAGGGATGCGTGAAGGTTTCTGAGAGAAAGTGGATGTGCAACGATACGCAAAAAAGGCTCCCAACACAGGAGGCCCAAGAACGCGAGAATACGTCTCTGCAAGTCCTTAGCTTTGAGGCCCGAACACGAGGCACCCATTCCGCTCCCACGCCAACTTTGGTGTTCAAGTAGGTTAAACTTTGACGGCCGTTTTCATCCTTGACCGGAATACCCCGTTGACAGGCGATTCATGGCGCAAGTCGATGCCCCATACTTCTCGTTCCATGTGGAATTACTCGTACAGTAAATTGCCATCAAACCGTCGATCAGCCCAAGTTGTTGGTACGTTCTTTCAGTTGCGTCGCGAGCTCGCAGGCTTGGCTGCGATATCGTTGTAGCTTCGGATTAGAATCTCACAAATGAGCCCCTCGGTCCATCGGGATGAGCAAAAAGATGGGTTGTATATGCTCATAGCCTGGCGCCGAGCTCTTTCCCTGGCCCTCGTCTTCCGAGATCTGAGAGTTGATCGGAGTTTTCCGAAGGTAGGTCACCCAAAGAGAGTCGACGCTATCTACACTTTCTTTGACATAAGCCATTGAAGTGAAGCTCTCAATGTGCTTGGGATTTCGGCCTTGCTTGTCTTCCTGTCGCGGCGAAGGGGGACGAGCAGGTCTCGCTGGATTTCGCCTATTAGTCTTCTGTCCAACAGAACCTTTGTCCCATGGGTGTTGGAGCGAAGTCCTCGGATAGTACGGAGTATAAAAACAAGCTGAAATTGAAGGCTAGACTTCCCACGAAGTTACTTTTCGATAATGAGTGAGGGTATGGCAGGGTGGCCCTGCGAACCTGCCTGTATGCTCCGCCGGACTCTTCTACGGTTGTGCATTTTGAAGCACTAATGAAGATTACCTCCCCCATTCCAGTTCAGGAATCAGGCCTTCATTTTGTCATCACTAATATGATGAGGTAAGGACGCTTCCAATTTACCGCCAGCTTACCTAACAATTCAATTGCACGAGCCATGCCGGGCACAGATCCACGTCCACCATCTCAGTTTCATTCTTACCCGTCGTGTTGAATCCCCTCCTCAGTCGTCATTACTTCTCCGCCCGGGAAGGACAAAGCACATTTCTTGAAGCACCACGAGGTAGTTTCAATCGGGGATCGGGCTCCTTGACTCCTTGTTTCCGCCTACTTGGTGCTTAAATTTGTGCCCAAGATCGCAAGCAGTCGGTACTGATATAAATGCAATGCCACATCCAGGCCCTTCACCACTGCATCCATTCGCTGAGCTGGTGAGTACTCCAGCTACGGGCAGAAGGCTAGCTGTCGATCTCCTGAGGTGAGGAAATGTCTAAACCCTTACGTGGCTCACCATTTCATGGTCCCTGCACCAGTGAAATTCACGAGACAACACTGTTTGCACGCGTGTGGCGGGAACATAAGCCGCCACAAATAAAGATAAACTCCATATATATTATCAGACGCTGTTTGCATTTTAGGGGCACAAAATCTCAAACAGATTTCCTAATGCTGGCTGTTCACAACAACGTAAAGATAGAGTGTCCTAGCATTATGAACGAACTCCTGCTGAATCCGGTATCATGACCGCTGAGTCAATGGCTTACATGAGCGTGCTTTCAGTGGTCCCATGGTTTCACAACACTCAGTCTTTCCGTAAAGGGTCACTCGCTTTCGAGGGCAATTGCGACGGGCATTAACAATTCTTTTGTTTTCTCACCTGATGTTTTCTCTTTTTCTATGTTATTTGCTTGTTGTCAGTAGAACCGTGATCTGTACCCTGTTATCTACAGTGCTACAAGTTCTATTGATTTTTATGTCAGGTTGAGCTTTTAATTACAACGCGTGACGCACCAGCGCGTTCGTGCAGGTTTCGTTTACTCAATAGCTCTCATCCAGCTGGAACTGCTCCTCACACGATGGCGAAGCCACAGCAACCTTCTGGGGTGAAGAAAATCCTTGACTCTTTAGGATTGAAGCTCAATCTTCCTATCATTCTAGTGATGTTCAAGTACGTATGAACCTTGTCCCTGGCTGTTTAGGAGTTCCGGGCCTGCTTCAACTGTTGAATGACAATGTTGACAGTAAGTGTATAATGGTGGGCTCGATGCTGACAACTTTTAGAGGAGCTGTTGCACCGACTATCGGCCTAGCAATGTCTGCAATCCTCATTCTGACCAGTTCCAACGCTTACCATCAGCAGATATCAAAATGCAAGTGTTGCCGAACACTACTCAACCATTGGTTACCTTATCCCGATCATGTCGTTGCTGGTCGTTCCTATCCTTCCCAGAGCCAGATTCGTTTCAGGATTGTTGATCACTGGTGTATGTACAATGATGCCTCCCTTCCCTCGCTCTGGGCTATATCTAATTCGACCCCTTGTAGTTCCTGACCTGCCTCGCTGCGGCCATATCACTCCTCTTTATGTGGATATCCACAAAGGCCAGGCAGAATACGACTCATATTGAACAAGAAGCGATGAGCCAGGGTCCGGTCCCAAAAACCATGGTTGTACCATACAATGCAGCGGCCAGTGCAAATCAAGCAGTTTGGTTTTTCTTTCTATTATGGGCATACAACACGTAGGTCAAAAAAGGTCATCGCACACCTTGTACGCATTAACTAGAACAGTTTTCGTGCATTCCGACCGCAATACTTCCTGCCGCTGATAGTGTTTGGGATTTTTATAAACGTCACCGCAACATATGGCTGCATCTTACCGACCATAGAGCATGTGGAGTCACTCAGTAAGGTTCACCAACGTCTAGACGTAATTAGACTAACACAAAGTCTAGTAAGACGACTTCTCGACACCTTTTTCGTCGGCTTCGGGCTTGCCTTCGCTGTTCACTTTTTGGTACTACCAGTTACCACAAGGGATCTGGTAACAATAATATTGAATGAGTATCTTCATCACCTTAAGTCTGTTCTGGATGCCCAACGGGATTTCATCATCTCGCTACACGCCCGTGATTGGGACAGGCGTGAGACATCTAGCTGTAGCGATACCCAGATTGAGAGCAGTGGAGGTAAAAAGGCATCATGGCCAGAAGCAGAAGCATGGAAATCTGCAACCGCGGAGGCAACAGAGGATCAGGTCAAGATACACTCACAGATTCGCTACGTGAAGCGCGAGTTCACATGGTCAAAGTTGAGAGCAGATGATTTCGTATCCATTATGAAACTCATGAAAAATATCCTTGCACCCGTTGCCGGAATGGAGACAGCAGTCCAACTAGCTGTCAGAGTTGAGAAATCAGGCGGCTGGAGCTCGATGGAAGCAAGTACGGTGGCGCTAGGCCCTGAAGCCACTTCTGATGGCACGCCCATCAGAAGTGAAGAGGAACTCTGGAAACAACTTTTCGAAAAGCTGCAAAATTCAGCATTCGGGTTGTGGGACGCTATGCTCCAAGGGCTAGACTATGCGTTCTTTACTCTTCAGATAACGCGAAAGCCAGCATTCTTCACCAAGGAAGAACTTCTCGCGAGGGCTTCGTCACAAGGAGGGCTTGCAGGCTTCTTGGAGCAGACAATTCAGGACTTTCTGACCGCTAGGGAAGAGCCATTGAAACAGTGGTGTCGCCTAACCGGACAAGAGGACGTACTGGGCGCAACATCAAAGGACCCTCTGAGCCAACGGCACCAGTCTCAGCTCTACTTGATTCTAAACGTAAGGGAAAGACCATTGCATTTACGACAGGCAATTACTAACCCGTATACAGGTTGAGTTCTGTCTCGTGACTACAGCTAAAGCCATCCTTGACTTGGTACGATTTGCCGATCTAAAAATTAACGACGGAACGATGTCCAAGAAACGACTTATACTTCCAACAAGGAAGCAGCTCAAGAAATGGGGGAAATCATTATTCACTCGCGAAGACAGTAATCTAGATTATCAAACGTACAGCTATCGTAGCGGAACTCCGACTGTGCACTTGGGAGACGCACTAGGCGTCACGAGAGATCCCGAACATCTGCCACCTGTCAATCTCTACGAGCGGGTGACCGATAAATTCCGTTTTATTCCAAAGGTCGTTGGATCCACTGAGTCGTGGTTCGGCTTCAAGGTGGCTTCGGGAACTATGTTCATTGCCATTACTTGCTATCTCAGGAACTCACAAGAATTCTACATCAAGCAACGCATCATATGGGGCGCGGTCATGGTTGCCATCAGCATGACCCAAACAGCTGGATCTGGCCTCTATGGCCAGTTTGTCCGACTATTTGGAACTTTCCTGGCCATGGTATTCTCCTATGTCGATTGGTACATTGTTGACGGTCATACGGCTGGAGTCATCGTCTTTGTTGGTATCAGTATGTTTTTCTATCACTACTTGTTGGTGACGAAGCCAGACGACCCGGTGATACCGATGATCGGGATGATCACTATTATGCTAATCATTGGGTACGAACTCCAGGTGAAGCAAGTGGGAATAGCTCTCTCGGTGTCCAATGGACAAGTCTTCCATCCAGTTTACGAGCTAGCCCCGTACAGATTGGCTGCTGTTCTCGGAGGTGTAGGAATCGCCTCATTTCTAAGCTATTTCCCAACGGTGTCTACTGCGCGAGCCGAGATGAGGAAAGATCTTGGGAAAACCGAATACTTGCTTGGCCACTATTACAGTTCCACGCACAAAGCAGTTTCACTACGTCTGAAAGACTTGGGAGGAGACCACAAAAACAAGAATAGCCCCCTTAGGAAAATTGAAAAGGCACGGAGCAAACTTTTCGCGAAGCAGCTTATCCTCATTCAGGGCATGAAGAATCATCTGCAGTTTATGCGATGGGAACCAACGTTTGGAGGAAAATTCCCGAGGGCTACATATGAACGACTCCTCGACCGGACCCAGAAGTGAGTCTACCACAAAATGTGTAACTTTTTATCGGTTCACTGAATCTTTCTAGTATACTCCGTTTCACTGCAATGATTGCCTTTGCCACTAAGACTTTCAAGGAACTTCCGGAAGATACACACGCGGATAGTATAGTTGCGACCACCCTCTCTAATGAAAGCACCTGGGCCAAAGATTTTGGAGAGACCATGTCCACACTTGAGCTTACATCTCACGGCGTTACATCTCTCCTTGCGATACTCTCTGGAGCAATAACATCTGGGCGCCCTGTTCCCCCATATCTTCGAGTACCAGATCCTTACCACCTCGGGGAAGCCTTGAACGGCGTCGATACCGACATTCTAAACACCAAGCATGTCTGTGAACCAGGATACTCTGCCTTTGCAGTCATGCAACTGAGCACGACGATGCTGGCATTGGACCTGGCAGCGCTTCTAGAGGACACGAAGCTCCTCGTTGGCGAGGCCGAATTCAACCTTGATATCGTACAAGAAGACTACGAGAAGCATGTCGGCTCAAATTCGGTACCTTCAGCCATCCGCGCGTCCAAAAAGGAGGAGTGATTATAATTTGCGCATGAGCAATAAGCCTGTTGGCTTAACCGCGACCCGAGCCGATGGACGGCGGGAAGCGAGTTATGTTTAACCTTGATAGAAATAACTTATCATCACTAACATTGAGGCTTCGAAATGTCACTTCTTGAAGATCCGAGGGAGTCTTGGGGGGAGGCGCAGAATCAGCGGTGCGTGCCTCGAACTGGCTGTCTTTCATGGTTGTCAAATCATTCTATCCAACATAACCTCATGTGGCCACCTTGTTGCGGGGTCATTGTTTATTCCAAGTCATGTTTCTCGAGCCGGATTCAAAAAGAAAAATCACTCACTGGCTCTCCCTCCTTATCGCATGGTGCCTCACCCCGTCCCATCTAGACAGTAAATAAACAGGGGCCTTTCGGAGCCCCACAGATATCGCAGCCCGAGCTCATGAGCTTGCGGAGCCGGAGTTCCGATCTCTAAGCAAAGCTTCTGGGCTGGTATAAGGGGATCCACCGACCACCGATTAGACGTCTTGCCACCAATCGAAGATTTGACAATGCACATAATAGTTCTGGACAGTCACAACCTGCTTATGCGCAATGCTGAATGTATTTCCAACACGAAAGGCTTCGTCAAGTAGGTACAGCCTTCCCAATACTGTTAGGTCTTCAGCTGGAGAATATCTGCTTACTACAGTACTATTTGCGGAGAATGAGCAGAGCACAACAAATGTAGGTCGTCAGACTTAAAACGGCGAGGAACCAGTAATGGTGAGTGATGTTGATTTAAGCTACCGTTCAAGCCTTACTCAGGTCGCTGGCCAAGAATGTTCGGTACGCCAACCTGCAGTCCTCCATGGGTACAGTCATCCCGGCCGTAATCAATATATGGCAGTAATCAGTAATGCTGGAGAATTGGCCATTGCCACGTATTGGGTATGGCCTGTGCTTCTGGGCTAGAACCATACCAAATGCTGAGTACAGCCTTGCGCTTGTGTATCTACCATGGGTGGAGAGTTCGAAACGTTTGGACAAGGTTTGCCATGCTGACTCCGTACGGAGCACTTAGTAGTAAGGCAGCGTCCAGGCTCTGATACAGACTAGGTGGGCTGCATGAGAAACTTCAACTGAGGTTCGCACTTCCGACTTAAAAGAACTATTAACAGTACTGGACGGCTACGGTGGGTGTTCAGGACAAGCCTACAAACGAAAAGCCGTCAGTAATTGTATCGAGCATTCGTTTTACGTTACCTACTTGCCCTACAGCCGGCCCCTTTGACCCCCACCGCCTCGGACCTCGCTGTTCGGATTGTAAATTTGTGGGAATGAGCAGCATTTCCTTCAACGCCAGCACCGATGCTTCCGTCAGACCATCTGACTCTCGCTTTAGCTTTGCCCCTTCTGAAAGTATTTGGATTGTCACCGACTCAATAACAGCCTCGCCCCTGACAGGGGTTGCCTATTGGTAAGCTCGAAGCAGAAAACATGACTCTAGACGGGACAAGCGGCCCTCAGAGGGTGAGACGGCTATTGTATAAAATGGCAAGATTTCCCTGGCGTTAGGGACTCCTTCAACTTCAAGCTGACACTCACTCTACCAGCCGACCTCTTATAGCGTCTGTATCAGACTCTCTCAAGACCCCGCTACATTCGTTCTTTTGTGACGTGTACCCAATTCATAGCAAGCCCCAAGAAACCTTCATCAACATGCTTTTTTCAAGTATTTTGGCTCCCGCTGCCCTCCTCTCTCTTGCCTCCGCCAGCACTCTTCCTCTGGCCAAGAAGGATGACTGCATTCCCGCCGTGACAGCACACAAGATCGTGGACGACTTCATTCTCACCCTGACTAACTTCACCGGAGACAATGCCAAAAATCTCCTCACCGACGCCCATTTCAGCGATACGTCATCCTCCATCAATTTCTTCACAGGAGCGCCTCTTGATGGCTTCACCTTCGCTGATAAGACGGCTTTCATCTCCGGTCAGGGTGCTCAGCCACCCGTCAATGTCACACTTATCAAGATTGACTCGGTTACCTGCGATGGCATCATTACCTTCAGATGGCAGGCAACATTCCCGAGAACCATCGCGAAGGGCATCAATGTTCTCTATACCGCCAAGACCGGCTCGGATGCAAATGTCGTTGGGCCAAAGGGCTACCAGATCCAGACCATCTTCAGCGAGTTTAATTCTGCGACCTGGGACCTCGGATTTGGAGGTGCTTGTACTCCTCCCAAGACTTCCTAATGCTCACCTACAACTTGAGAACATTGGTGGGTAAAAGGAACCGTGCAGTCAAATAAGGAGACTGGCACTACAGCAACTTTGGCGTTAAGCTTCAGCCTGCCGAATATGTCGGACTGTCTTCTCAACGTCCTAGCGATGCATAACCTGACCGTTGCCTGACCTATATAACAACAGAGCATGTTAGATAGAATTAAGTCCTACTATTCATAGACAATTCTGACCATCTACCGATCGTTCGCATTTAATTTGCCAGTAGCCAGCTTAGCCTGAGCATTTCGCCCACATGTCTCCACCCAATAAGGCTGATTGCTGTGCCGCCAACCACCAAGTCATCTCACGAGTCCTAAAGGTTAGCAGGGACTCAAGTCGTTTACTATATCTAGCCTATTAGTCTCGCTTATAGTCGATAGGCTTAGAAGGGTTTCTAAGCTCCGTTTCCTCTGTCTTTCACTATTTTACCATTGAATTACACAGAAGACCGTAAAAAGGAGCACTTCTAATCGCCTGATCTAGTTATCTAAACTTACCTTACCCTATTAATAATGTCGTCCTACAGCATGCCTTTCTTTAATATCGAGAATATCGATATCGATATTGACTCCTTATTCACTGCTGTCCTGCTTGGTTCTACACCGGCGCCTATGTCTCTGCCGTTGAGTAAACGATGCAAGAATCGCCAAGTTGCTGGATGTTTATGGCTCCTGCTACCTCCCCTAGCTAACCAATATGCAGGATCTACCACCTCGCAACTAGGAGAATGGCGTGGATTACGCTTGCATCAGTATTTCAGAACAAGAAGAATCCTTAGATAATATAGGGACCACTTGAAGCGCTGCTCAACGAGGCTTAAACTAGAGGACAATTCGCTAGTATGGTGCACTATAGATAGCTAGGACTCGGAGTCGGATCAGGACTGGAATTCGAGTCCTGCGATAACGCCACAGACTCGGACTCGGGGACTCGATGACTTGGGAGTTGGCGGCGCTGGCAGACTGTGGTTTGCAACAATGCATTAAAGTTGTCGCTGTCTGTTTATCTACGTCTTTCGTATTCACACTCGTTTTTGAGGATTTGTGGGAGCTGCTGACGAAGAGGTGCTACAAGCTCTCATGATTTTTGAGTTGAATGAGACCTTCTGGTGGGTTTCGAGCAATGCGGAATTCTGGCAACGTTTCATTGGGCGGTTGCTAAGTACTGCGAGCCATGTATGTTTCAGAGGCCACTGAACAACTTATACCTGTCACTCGCAATATCAAGGACCAAGCGTGAGGAGGTAGGTAGCGAACTTATACTACCCTTGGTGATCGCGTTGCAGAGTGGACTCCTTGGAGCCAAGGAAAGGTGAAAGGGACACGAAGCATGCAATAGAAATTGCGTTTCCACGCGGAAGTACAAATAGTAGTGGTTTCAAGCCTAGTTTTCTTCTTTACTACTTCATTTAGGCTCCTGTAGGGTGTAGCGGCACTGAAAAGCTGTCTAGAACATTGAGTGGTAGGCGGGAAGTATGCAAGCGAGCCAGATGAGCATGATACCTGGACCATTGCACTGGAGTATTCTGCCTCCAAAAACATCAGAGTTTTCTACCTATTCCACAGCAGGTGTTCACCTCGTTGTCATGGTTAAAGACCAGCGGATTAGCGGAAGCTGAGTGTCTCCAAGCAGCAGGGCGAACCTGATGTTTTGAAGTTGCATCTGAGCGACTGTCGAAATGTGGTAATTTACAAACTACGATTAGTCTTCAAAAAAGACGGCCCCTTTCAATTGCAAGCCGTTTACCAGAGGACGTAGTGGGACTCTGCTCTCGGCATGGACGCCGCGTAATCAACCCGCGGGGTTCGACTCACCGCGCATAGCTACATACAAAGTCAGTCAGTCTCAGTGGGTTTGACCGTTGCTTGTCAACAGACATTGCCTCTTTCTACCGTTGTGTCTCAGATCCTCGGTTGAGAATCCGGTTTCCTTCGACTAGTTTTAGTAATCTGGCAGCTGGCCGGCTCCATTCTTGATGAAAATCTTCAATTGGCGGAGGCCAGGACAGCGTATCACGGAGTCGTCCAAGTGGAGAAGAAGGGCTTGCTATCGATGCATCAACCAGCAATCCGTCTAAGGACTTACGAGTCCAAGGAGGAGGGCCAGGCTAGATACTAGCAATTTCCTCCAGTGTCTGCTCTCCAACAGGTGCTCGGTGCTCGGTGCTCAGGCGAAGCCGCTAGTAACCACAGATCATGATAGGCTTTCCACGAAGCTGGACGTGAAATCGATTGAAGTGACGGAGAGAGTGTTAGAATTGAAATTGTATCACATTTGGCAAGACTGAACACCAATCAGAAGATACTTACCTTTTCTGTATTGGATCAAACCTTGCTCAAACTCAGTTTGCTGGTCGAGAATCGAGATACATTCCGACCTCCTCAGTTTCTGACTGAATTAAGGGTATTCTGGGAGGGCAAATTTGCAGCTCCATGTTTTCATAATTTCCTCGTCATGGCATCCCCAGTTTTAGTTCTTCTTAGCATAGTCAGACAACCATACGGCGGTGTTTCCCAGGACTCAGATCAAGCTCGATGAGTGGAGCCGAGCCCAAAAATAGCAAGCGATTAGCGTTAGATGTACCTTTAATTTTCCGGCACCCGACCACAATGCAAGAGTGGGACAAGGTACGGATACCTCGTTCTCCCCATCGATACAGTGGACGTTTAGCAGAACACCGCCGATGCATCTTGAGCCAGATGGCATTATAAAATACTAGTCAGGAATGCCTAAGCTCTAGTACTAAGACGTTTTCTTGAAATCCTACCCGATCACGAGAAAGCCACCCCTTTATCTCGTATGGAGTGCAAGAGCTGATGCCTGGGTTCGTTGGACCTTCACTGGGAACCAGCATAGATCTATCCTTAGCAGAAGGCGTCGCAACTTTGCTTTTGGTCTTTGGCCTCTTAACAAATTGTTTCGTCATAGCTCCGCGATAGCCTGGGTTGACATCAGTGGAGCGAGAAAGCGATCCTCCCGATGAGGAAACTGGTCAAATCCAAGGGATCCAAAGTGTGAAGACTATGTCTCAGACTTACAGCGTTGGCTTAGCAACTAGAGCAAAAGAAGCCAATAACACACCACTACTTAACGAGAAATATCACGTAGCCTCCAGAATGCTTGGTGCCTATTTCTCGTAAATAAGGACGGTGTAACTCGTATCAAGTATTAAATAACCCCTACCTACATTAGATAACATCCACGGCTACTGCTGCTGATTCATCGCCCACAACGCCTCACTCTCTACACCACCAACAATTGCAGCTTCGGATTTACATACCATGGCTTCTCGAACAAGATTCCCGATGCTCGTTGCAGCGACAGCCGTAATATTTGGCGCCATCGCTGCCGCGTCGGACAGTACGGCCGCCATCATAACTTCTACCCTTGTCTCCAGCGCTCAGAGTTCGACGGCCACTACAGGCTCTTATACGCTTTGCCAGTTCTACTCCAGTATTCCCGGAGCCACAGGAGGGTCGAGTGCGACAGTCACCACGCTTACTCTTCCTCCTTGCCCATCTAGCATCATAACGTTCTCGTACACAGATCTCCTTCCAACGGCCACGACCGATGCGATCACACTCACCAGCACATTCCCCTCCGCCAGTGCTTCCTCATACACTTTATGCCAGTTCTATTCAAGTATTCCGGGCGCGACTTCAGGTGCCAGCACAATGACACTACCATCTTGTCCTTCAGATCTCCAGACCTTCACGTACACGCTTCCATCCACTACGGCTGAGACGGTAGCTTCAACTCTAGCAGGATCTTCCACTGTCGTTTCTGGAAGTGGGCTTGCATCGTCCTTTCCTGGCGTGGCCGCTCCCACAGCCGCTGTTGACAAGATCGTTGTCGCCGGCGTCGGAGCTCTTGTTGTGGCGGCAGGATTGATCTAATCAAATTTACAATGTGATGACAAGGGAAGCTCGCAAGTACTGCTAATGTTGTGGGGGGGAAATACCACGAATGTGTGGTTTGATGGTAGCCAGTGTTGTTATTGTCTCATGTATACCCAAGTAACAGGTGCACAATCCTTGTGTCAGAGTCTCTCTCCTTCGAAGAGAGAACCAAATCAAGTTCAGGTTGCAAGAACCACTCCTTAGCCTTCACTATGCTCCCTACATTTAAGCTCCTAATCTTCTTCTTGAGCGGACTATGTCGAGCCTCTCTTCGTCAACCTCCTTGGAACCGATTCTCGTGGTCATAACTGAAGATTTTCAGTCGTGTGGAAGAACAATGGCACTGAAGGATCCTGAAAGACTCTGTTTTTCTAAGATCACACCAAAGAGACCGAGTGACCACGTTTGAGTTTCTGATCGAAGCATTCAAAATGTTAACACAATTGTCCTTGGTAGATTTAAACGTTCTATAGACTGAATTCTCTCGGGACAGATCAGCTCCTGGTCTTTCCAAGTAAGGACCAGAGTAAGGCTGTCCTGCCCATTGGCAAGGGCGTAAAATGCAAATCTACTGATCGGGCTCAAATGAGGATGTTAATTACAGAATTAGAACACGGCAAATACAGCCTTAGCATGAACAATTGAATTGAACACCCTTGCATCGCCAAGACAAATAGCATGAGAGATAATGCTGGCTGTCTTTGCAAGCACAAATAAGGCCAAACGTTTCCCTCTCCCGTGACTTCACGGCCAGAACTTACTCTCTCCAACAGACGGCTGTGGGGGAATACCCACAGTGCACCGTGTGTTGGCTGAAGAATTTTCCTGCAGTCTTCGCAAAAGGAAAGCCATAAATCGTTGGCGAATCCCCCGTGTCAAGGACTTGATAGAGAGTGAAATAGCGACACTAGGGTCATCATACACTTTGAATACTAGGGGTAGGTATACAAGGCTGGAAGGTGTGCACATTTTTTACCGCCACTTCAGAACCAGCAGCAGTAGCATAAGAACATGAAGATCTGAATCTTTCAGAGTCAAGTGTCGTTTATATCAATCTTGACCACTTCTTCCATCTTGAACATTTTGTCATATCATTGCCCACATTAGTTCAATGCAACCCAATTCATCTGCAAGGCTACCGCACCTATCAGAACATGGAGCTCAAATGGAGTCGCGGCGACATATTATCGCTCCTCCAACTACTCACCATGATCCTCCTTCCACGCCCTATTGGTCTTCACCTAGCAGACCCTTATCAGCATGCCTCTGATCCGGAATTAGCCAACGAGACTAATAAAATGGGTGCAGAGTGGACACCGCAACGCAACTCAGCAGCATTTTGCGGTTGATAAGGTCGGGAAAGAAAGGAGACAAGAGCAGGGACAGGAAACAAACATAGTGAAATATCAAAGAGTCATTGTATTCATTCTCAATTCTCATATGTCAAGGTTCGTTCATCATCTCGTAATGCAATAGCGAGGGCTCGCAAACGAAACAGTTTTGGCCAGCCCAAAAACCCGTCCGGATATGACAGTGTGGGGAAAATAAAAACGATCCTCGCAACAAACCATAAATCAGCTCCCAGATCTTTTCAACAGCTTGACATAGAATTAAATCCCGCTCGGACGAGCAAAATGTCTGGTGTTGTCAATCATCGGCGATATCCCAGTCTGTGCATGTTTTAAGCAATACACCGAGGAGAACTTCATAAAAAAGAGTAGTTCGAAAAACGCCGCTGGCGCCCCGCCGTCACATGCCGTAGAATCTGAGTCCTCATCAGAATAGTAGTGATGGGCGCCCCAATCTTCCCAACTCTCCCATCTGCTGTTTTCTTGTGTTTATTCAAGTCTGTTCGTCTTGCCTTTGAAGTATCCAATTGTTTTTGCGTTGGAGATCATACCAACATCCGCATCATGGCTATGCAAAAATGATGATTCGTGCAGTCGAGAATAGTCGCTTCCTCCTTCTCAAGATATCAATTGCCTCAACTCCGTCCATCCCGTGGTTGGAAGATAGGTCGAAAAGTGCAACCTAATACTGTACCGTGACCATGATTCAACCAAATGATTAGTTGAACTAACACGTTCGAATTCAAAAATAATGTCTTCAAAACAATATTCCAAGGTCTTTCCGATCCATTGGCACTGCACATCAAAGGTATACATTTAGAAAGGTTTAGGTGAATGGGTCATCTCTCATTTGCGGCGTGGGCAGTGGTGGACGTGGATAGCGACCTGGATGAAAAGTATGAAACATGGCCAGTCTTTCTCCAATGCTAATACTGCTATTGTGACCGTGGCCGTGACTGGGTGTAGTGGCAAATGCACTTGTGTTGATAAATGGATCACTCAAGCTTGGCACATGTCGTGGGTTTTTGGCTCGGTAGCTTCGTTTGTTCGGATCCAGTTCGAAGGGGCTTCCGAGACGCTTCTGGGCAGGATCAATTTCCGGTGGAGCAAGAGCAGAGGATGTTGATACTGAGGTACTGGCGGCCAAAGCAGCGAGAGAAGGTGGTAAAGCTGCAACTGGGGGAATGCCATCCAAAGTGGGTGCGTGGATGGTTGGGGGAGTGAAAAGTCTTTCAATGTGCTCCCGATTGTTGACCGCACCCAAAGTCGCGCCTCGGTTCCTCAGGCGTATCCGCCGTTGATTCAAATCACCAATGCCAGTGAAGACCAACTCAGGTCGAAGCTCCGGAGCGGGCTCAAACGTAGCCTGTGTAGGAATCTCCAAGCTCAAGGTCGAAATTGGTTTGTCGATGTTGCTTCCACTTGGACTCAGCTCATCTTCCAAGTTATTCTGTGCACGTCGCTTGTTAACATTGAGTGAGACATCTGGCTCCGGCTTAAATGGAGAGAGCAATCTTGTCCCAGTAGCGTGGATAGTGTCAAACTGATTGTGGCTGCTGCGTCTGCTGTCGTATTGGCCAGATGTGCTTGAGCCATTCCAGGTACTGTAGGTGAATGGAGAAGCAAGTCGTGGTATACTGCTGGCAACATGGAGTTTGTCAGTATCTGTACAAATGCCGAGTCCTGCGGGTGTGGAAATGGACATGGCATCGCAATCCTTGATAATGGGCGTATTAAACCAGTTATCAGACATTTGCTGGATCGGTGGGGAGTCGCCAGTGACTAATTGTGCAAGTGGAGCCGTGGCGCCACTCGCAACTAGTGAAATACCAAGCTCTCTAGTTGTGTAGGCGGTGGATGCTTCTGAATCGGCCGGGCGAGACCCGGCGCGACTCAGACGAGAGGATGGACGTTTCAAGAACTGGTCATGGAATGGAGAAGGACTTCTGGATTCGCGTAGTCGTTGGTAGTGTGCCGTAATGGTGAATTTTTCTTTGCACAATTGCTTCAGTCGCTTTCGGGTAGCCGACTCAGAAGGCCAAGCTCCTCTCACATCCGCATTGTCGGTCTTGAGAAAGTCATTTGGTTCAGGTGTTCTGTCTCTGGCCAAATTCCGATATTCCATCACGTTCCGCATCCTGTATCGCTTGACGATCGGTTTGGAGAATCTACTGGCTCTTGGCCAGGTTTCCTTGGCTCGTCGAGCGACACGATGACAAACTCCCGTGGGTGGAATGCTTCCTGGAACAGTCTTAAAGGGTGTGACTGTCGGATCTGCCAGGTACATTTGGTAGACGTTGAACAAATGATTGTCCATCTCAATGCTCCATTGAACATTGGCCTTTGAAATAAAGGCGTGGACTCGCAGCTTCTTACTCCTCCGTGATGGAGTGTCTGGGATGATGTTGACCTTGCCTGGAGAGAAAGGATCATGGGAGTCTAGATCAGGACTTGTTGCACTACCGTCAAACGATGTAGGTCGAGTTGTGAAAGCTTCAGCTGAAGAATAGGACGACTCAGAGTGAATGGAGCACTCTGAAGATGATCGATGCATGTCCCAGGCGTTCGTTTTGTAATCGGCAGGTACGCCTTTTGTCTGGGCCAACGGGGTCCGTGGGAGCGGTTGGTCTCTGGATGAGGACAACTTCAGTCTCTCGCTCGGTGAGGGTTCTGTAAGAGAATGTACGAAGGTCGGCCGAGATTGATCAAGCGGAATCTCCACGGACGGAAGGGCCATGTCGGGCTCCAAACCAAATTCTGTGCGGGCTGATTGAGGACTGGAAGGCACTGGGATCTCAGAGGCAAATAAGGTCGAAGGGAGTGCATTATTACGCGCTTGGAAGTTGTCCATGTTGACTCGTGAACGACGGACGCGACAGGTCGAGTGCTGGGGCGGAGGAGGCAGCTTAAGCTCAGCGAAGGTCTGATCTGGTGTCTTGGGGTCATCGCCGCCATCAAGTCGAAAAGGAGCAAAGTTCCGAGGAAGGGTGATAGACATCTGAGGTTTTCGCTGGGCAGAAGATGCCAGGAGGGTTGGAGAGAGTTCGTGGGCTGCCATGGCGGTGCCAGAGAGCGAAGGTACCGGGTTGGATGATTTGAGACAATGACGCGACGATCGATATAGGCGCAGAGACCCAAAGGATGCAGGCCAGTTGAAGATTGGAGCGCTTCAAGGGTTCATGCTGTGTACGCGTGTGGACTCGGGTATGCGGTCGACCGGGTGGGAATCGATGTGACTTGGGTGCCGACTGCAAGGTCGTAAGATCGAAACAGCAAAATGTAGCAGGTCTGCGAGAGCCAACACACGGCCAGATAGAGGCGCGTCTCATACAAGGTGGAAGTCGAGCAAAATGGAATGCTCAGTTGCGACAATGGTGAACGTGTCCGGTGCGGTGCGCGAAAGAATAGACTGCGGCAAGTCGCAGGGAGGAAAGTCGTCGGGAAAATGCTGGTGGCTGGGAGCGAAGAGGCGATTGCAGGCGACTGCAGGGGGATAAATTGGGGGACCAGGGTACGATTTAGCGAAATGCCCGTGGGGAGGATGGGCGAACCATGAAGATTGGGTGTAAAAGAGATGGTGGGAGAGGAGGATAGATAGATGGTTGTTTACAGAAGGTGGTTTGGAGTTAACATAAGGCGAGACAAAGGAATGAGAGAAGAGACCTTTTCTTGGGCGGAAGAGGATTGGAATGTTGGCTTGGTTTGGTGCGTGGTGGTGAAAAAGTGGGTGGAGGGCGCGAGCGGGAGGCGAAAAGGTGGAAGTGAAGTCAGCGTGAGGTGCGAGTGAAGTTGAAGCCGACTGCCACGCCAGAGTGCCCAGAGACAGAAGCACCCAAGCACCCAAGCATCCAAAGACCCGAGGAGAGGGGGCGGCCAGAACAAGAGATCTGCTCGCCTATTGTGCAAGCCCACCCAGCGACTCCCCACTTACCACTAACCACTGGGGCAGCCAGGCACTCCGTAGTCCTTCTTTCGCGCTCCGTGGGTTGGTAAACTATAGCGGGCAGCAAGCATTAGGCGTTGGGCGTTGGACTTTGGGCATGGGTCCCTTCGGACAAAACAGCTGGGCTTGCTCGGGCCCCTAACGCCCGCAGGTGGAGCTCAGGTTAGGGGTGACGTGCCTACAACCCGAGTCGCGAGGCGCCTAAGGTACAGCGGTGTGTCGGAAGATCCGCTGGGGCTTGGGTGACAGGCGGAGTCACAACAAACAGTGACATCTACACGCGCCGTGCGAGAAGTGTCGATACAACAAACAGATGGGAGCATCGATTGGAAAAGAATTCGAGGCAGAGTGAAAGAAGAGGGAGAGATTGATCGGCTCCTCGCATCATCGACTTATATTAATGACATGCACGGAGGACATTAGCAGGACTGTGAGTGTTCATACTCATCGCCAGTGGTGTCACCGCCGCACGGCATTAGTATTGCACGAGGAGGGGGAGCTTGGGCTATCGATGATCCAAGAGTCCTCCATCATACGCCAAACCCACTCAACCGTTGAAAGACGAGACTAACACCAGGGATCCTGAACCACACTGCACATACGGAGTAACTGACTTCCTTGTCTCACCTGCATACTGCAATCAAGTGGGGAGAAGCTGATAGATAGTAGCTATCCCACCTCATCGGCAATGCACTTCCTTCTCAATCGATACTAGCAACGGCCTAGGTATTTGCTCCTGCATACTCATCTTCAAGCCGCTGCTGCTCCTCCTCGAGTCCTCATCAACACTGTGAAAGCACAGTCCTCTCGCGGCCAATGCTCTCCCATAATACCCTCGGTAAATTCTAGTGCAGGCTCACAATGGAGATGCCCATCGACAGACTATGTATGCACTCCAGCTCCGGCTCCATGCAAACGATGACACGACAAAGCAAGCACAGACTGGCGCGTTCTTTGTTCTGCAGCTGTCAGAAGGACACATGTTCTGACCTGAGCGTCATGGCCCACCGGGAAATCCTCTACTGAACCCTTCTTGAAATGTCTTAACCTTGAATCCGTACGAATGCACCAAATCCCAAGGTCAGAAGCGTGCATCGATCGTGTGTCCTCTCGACAGCGCGTCAAGCTTCAAACGCGAAGACCACGCGCTCTGAAGGCGCCTGATTTCCGATTGGGTGAACCCCAGCTAGCGTCTTTTCCCCGAGTCGCGTTCACTCCCACCAGTGGAAGGCTCCGTGCACCTGCCCTCTCCAGAAAGCCACAAGGGTAAAAAGCCACACTCAATCGACAGTCCAGCTGGGATCACTTGTTTCAACATCCTCAACATCCATCTTCCGTTAAACCTCTCAGTCACTCCACACAAACCATCTTTTATGAACACATCCACTGTCTCCAAATATTGCCCACATTACTCCGAATACACGCATTTGAAATTGTCCCCCGATACATGAAACACCCCAGTGCGGTTGTTGTCGTGGAAGTATCAAAACAAACAAACAGTCAAACAACAAGCACTGCCACGTTCTATGTAAGGAGACTCCACCTCACCTTCATCCTCCTTACTTGCAAATCAAACGAACAATTCAATTGTTCCCTGTGTCTGAGTATCCTTACATCGAGTCTTGCTTTCCCGAGCCGGTTTTGTGGACCTTGAATCCGGGCCATGGACATGGCCCTAGCACTGGCTGGGGAAGGGGGTCAATGCGATTTGACCGATTTCGCTTATCTGAACACCCCATCTCCATATCCAAGCTTGTGTATCGATTAGCCCAGATCGGAGTATAGTCCAAGCGTCGATATTGGAAACCTATGGATTACATGCAGCGGAGAAACACAGGACCCTCACATGTCAAGCCAAGTTCTGGGAATTAATAACTATCTGAAACCCATACTCTGCCAATACTCGCTCATACCAACCTACCTAGTCCCGAGCACCCGTCTATTTACACCTGGAGAGCCAGGTCACATTCCGGGTACGCCTCCCAAAACAATGGAGCTCAACCCATGGCATACATCGTGAACCAGCCAAGGCTTCGCTCCGTGAATTTGCTCCCGCCACCCAAAGACATGTGCAAAGACGATTGTCTTCCAGGGATCTTCGCTCGAAAGCTCGTGGGGTCAGATTGGCATCTCAGATGATGCTTGACCTCAGCATTCGAAATCTGGAATGTAAAGACAATGAACTCAGGCCCATGAACACTAGGCTAGCTGCTACGGGTGGTTACCTACGCTACTGGTAGAGATAGACCTTCCACGCGCGAGCACAGTCTAGCGAGCTTGAGCAGCGCATCATTGAACCCATGGTTATGGACACGTGCGGGACCTAGGTACCTATATACTCAGCTCAGATACCTCCTCCGCGGACGGTGGGCGATGCATTCTACTCCCCTTTGGCCGTTAAGTTTGTTGATCCTCTCACACCGCAAATCGAGAGGAGCTGGGGATCAGAGGCGAGAGATGGGAGGTCGTTTGACCATCTCACTAGAGATATTCTGGACCACAGCGCCCATACTAGCCGTTCGCGCCTGTGTGTCAGTGTGTGTGCCGTCCCTATCTTTAACAGGTGATAATATCGGGAGAAAATGCGCACGCATCATCCGCCGGGTAGGGAGGCAGGAGTCTCAACCCGTAAACAAGGCTCGCGTGTGTAGTACTTTGTTTCTGAAATTGGACTGTGGGACCTAGCCTGTTTCTATATAGCTGATGGGTTCGAACACGCCCATGCTAATCGTAGCCACGCAATTTACGTAACCTGACCATCAATGATCATGCAAATGTAAATACAAGTGCATCCTGCATCCTGCATCTTCACTAGAGCAATCCATCCATCCAACCATTCAGGCCGGCCACTCGTATGTAACATCTAATGTCAGCCATGTCATTTCATTTCCAGACCATATCCTTTCCCATCCACAGTCTCCCGCGTTCATCACCGCCACCACTGCTCCATCAACAGACTCATCACAATACAATCCCAATCAACTCCGCCACTTGACCCTTCCTAGGTCCTCGATCCCAACACCGACACCATTCATGAGGGTGACCTCACCCCTGACGACCGCCACGGTCGGCGCGGCATCAACCTCCGCTTCGATCGCGGCAGGGGTCGCGGTCGCGGTCGCGGTCTCAGTCCCAGTGTCAATCTCGGAATTCTGACTCGTGAACTTCCTCGCATCATCCCTCAGCGGCGCGGAAAGCTGCACTGCGAGCTTCGCTTTACGATCCCGTCGGTACCCGTCTTCCCAGCTGGCGACGAGCGCGAGGATCGCTTCCTCTGCGATCATGGCTCCGCGTTTGACGTCCTCCACGCCCGTCCAGCCGGGTACGTGTAGGAATGCGACTTTTCCGAGCCGGTCGAGTGCCAAGTCACGGCGGCGGCGGCGGTGATGATGGTGGGGCGTTGTGCGCTCGCTCGAGTCTTGTGCTTCTTCCTCGCTCGCGACGGAAGATGGAGCAGTTCCACCGGATTCTGTGGGCGGTGCACTCGAAGTGGGCGACTGTGGCGGGGCTGCGTCGGTGGTAACAGGGCGTTGATAGCGCATCGCATCCGCCCACCTGCAACTCAGGCTCTCAAACAGGGCGAACTCGCAGAGAAAGCGGCCAGCATCGCGGGAGAGCTTGACAACGCCTTTCTTCTTGTTCTCCTCAGCACGGGACGGCGCATGCTGCGTATTGACTGTTCCCCAGATTGATTTGATCGGGCCTGTGGGTCCCTTTGAAGATGCAACTGCACCTGCTGGCACGGGGCCACTGGTTAGAAAGCCGCGCTCCACCAGGCCTCGTTCGACCCCCTGCTCCCACCGGCGCAGCACATCGTCCTCATCCCAATGCACAAGTAGGCAGTCCGGGACGCCCTCGCGCTTCCAGACGAGCTCACCGCATGAGAAGCCGTCGCTGTCATCGACATCTTTGATCCGGTATCCGTCGCGATGTGCACGGGTTTCTAGTGAGTAGCAATCGCGGCCTCCTGCCATGCCGATGTGCAGGACGAAGTCTGGGTCATGTTGGGCGAGAAGGTCCGGGAATGTGGAGCTGACGGTGTTGTATGCGACTCGAACGGGCGACGGGTTGATAACTATTTGGATCTTGTAGGAAGTGATCAACGGGTCGGTCGAGGAGGAACTGTGTGGGTAGATCTCTTCCGGGAGCGCCGACGTTATGAGCCAGGAGGGGTTGATTAGAAACGATTTGAAGGGCTAGAAGGTTGAGAATGTCAGGTCAGTATAGTGTCGCACAATATTTCTTCTCCACTCCGGAGTGATGCTGCATCTTCAGAATGAGAGACACGAGTGCCCCGGGAACATGAGATTGTCACCCCCGAGTGGCCCGATGATTGTTTCGATCTGAGCGAAGAGCAAATCGCCTGTGACACAGCAGCTGGCAGCGCGTGGCCTCGTCCAACATCGGGAGGCTCTAGGTGAATAACAAGAGCCTGGCTTGCTCCTCCTCTGCGCAGCCAGCGGGTGCACATACAATCCCACCTCCAACTGACATTTCCACTGATTGAAATAACAAAGATAACGAAGCAGCACAACACGCAGAAATAACCAAATTCTTCAGAGAACAGAATGGACCTACCCCGAATCCCGTAACAAGCACCTTGATTTCCCGCAAGGACGAACTATGCGTCTCATCGATATCACCCAACCCTCCAGCATCTGGTGCCAAGACCGGTGGAGGGGTTGGTGGTCCAGCGTCGCCCATATCTTGTTTGGCTCGATCGTTAGATGTATTTGGGTATGTACAAGCGGTATTATATTATGTGCATGCGTTAAAATGTCCTCGCTAAACTTTGTAATCGGCGACGACTGAAAGGTCTGGTACGGTGCTGACTACGTACACGTGTAGTTGTGGAGAGGGTGGGCCGTGTGAATTAGGATGACGATGACGGCGGAGAAAGATAGCTGTCGATAAGGAAGTGGGTACTGAGACCACTTGCTTTTGAACCACTACCTCGGTGGCGATGGACTATTGGCGATGTCTACCCAGGAAATAAATGGCTCGTCAGCGGCAGAGTCGTAAGAGGACAGATTCGTTGTCGTCTGCAAGAGTGGTGTGAAACCGGGTGTGTGTGAAGAGTGTGGTTGTAGAGACAGTGGCAGGGCAACCCACTCCTCGTCTGCCACCGACTTCCTCTTCCTCCGACTTCCTCTTCCTCGGTCGGTTATCGGTAAATGAACCACACAGGCAAAAGTCCGGGAGAGAGGCGGGCAGACTTGGTCCAGATTTGAAGAGAACAGATCGAATGGAGAAATACAGTGTGAATGTCACCAGCGACAACAATTGACGATAGATGCAGCACACATCTTCAGAGAGTCTGCGACAGAATGGGTGGTAGGAGACGTTGGACGGTTGAGTAATGGTAACTGGAAATAATAAAATAAGGATGCGATGGTAGAGTTTGGGGAAACTATTGACTATTACGCCATCGGATCGGTAACGGTTGGAAGCTGACATAGCCAGAGCTGTATCTGTGGTCGTGGTGGTTAAGCCGCACTTGGCCGCAGAATCGATGCACCAAGATGGATATTGCCGCTGCAAGTACGTACACAACGTCAAAGTGGCTGACTTAGTCTCGTTGAGGAGGATACCATTCCATCCCATTCATGATTTGTTCGATCTGTGTCTCTGTCCAAGATTCAATATCTATCCAACAACACCAGCCTGGTACTGCTTTTCTCCTGGTAGTGGGCACGTCAAGACCGAGAAGATTATCAAGGATGTCCAACGCCACCCAGCGCCCTGCTAGCAAACATAAATCACAATCATCCAGAGCCACGGTATTATTTGACAAGAACCAGTCGCTCCATCTTCCGTAGACTTCCTCTCAGATCTCTTCCACCACGCTCCCCCTCTTCATGAAGCCACTTCTCCAGCTTCGTCCGGATACTCTTCAAGCTGTTCTGGATTGGCATTTCCTCTCCAGAGGCAATGCCCGGATTCAGCAACATCGTAAACAGCTCGGTCCACAGGTCCTTCTCCCAGTATCGTTTGACATTGTCCTTGAGCTTCCATTCCTTCTTTTGCCCCAGTCCACCGCCAGCAGCCGGGACGGTTTCAATGTATTTTCCGAATAGCAAGCTGTGGATGACACCTGCCGCACCATGATAGTCGATCTGGTATTTCCAAGGTCGACATTCTCGAATCTCGGCACAGTCTTGAGGAGTTGACGCCCAATCGGCGATGAATTGAGCTTGAGGCTTGAACATTCGAACATCAATACCTCGGCCAAAGTCAATCAACGTCAGTCCTTTGGCGCTCCAGCCGTCTTTGCCTTCAGCATCGAACACTCCCTCAATCTCGACATTTGGCTCGAATCTGACAAGACAGTTGTCACCCTTTAGGTCACCGTGTAGAATCCCAACACGATGCAAATCCTCTAATGTCCTGAGCAGCTCAATACTGAAGAACATGGCAAGGACTTCATCAAGTCCTTCAGCAATCTTTCCCGCTTTGATATTCTCATTCCTAGCCAGGTTGACCAAGTCAAGCAGTGTGCCTTGAGGACTGTAAGACAGAACAAGGTAGGCTTCATCGCGATACAGATGGCATTCGTGGGCCAGGATGATGGACTGCATGGTTCGCGAGGCTGGGCCAAGCCGTTGCCGCAGAAGACGCAAGATGTGAAACTCCCACACAAGCGTTCCGGGAGGTGCTTCAGTCTTGACTGCCTCCAGGTCACCGCGGCCAGATGGTTGAGAAGGGCCCGGGGTGACATTCTCCTTGTCATCATCAGCACCAGCTGTCTCGCCTGAGTTGCAGCTTTCGACAAGATAAACTGGAGCAAAGGCACCCTCTCCCAGCTGTCGCCTCACGGCATACACCTGGGCTGTACCCTGAAGTCTAAGAACTGGTGCTCCTACTTTGTTAGGTGTCTTGTCACCCTGATTCTTTCTTGGACTTCCTTTGGTCTTATGCTTGGCTGTCTTCTCCGCATAAGTCTTCAGCGCCTGGTATTGACTGTTCATCTGCTCCGAGTAGTCATTGTAGCCAGTATAGGAGGACAGCGGCGGGTAAATTGTGGACAGGATCTGCTGCCGGACTGCATCATCGCAAGGATTACACTGCAAGTCCAACACCACTGGCCCTTTGTGGATTTTGGTTTGTTGGAGAGCACCACGTTTCTTTGTTTCAGTTGGCAATATTGGGCTCTTGAGGCCGGCCGCTACCTTCACTGGACTGAGTCTAGATGATTGAAGATCAAGGTCAGAATCGGCGTCAGTTGCCGCCCGCAATAGGGGCCCTTTCTTCCTCGGGGAACCATTGAACTCCTCATCGGCACCAGCATTGTTCAGACTGATCTGTCTCTTAGCTGAAGATCGAGGGCTGCCATGCGGTTGTGCGGGACTGCTCAGCAGCAAGTTTTCGACATGAGGCCTGGACGGGCTGTCATAGAGGTCGCGGGCTGAACGGCTTGGTGTCTTTGAGTCGAAATAGTCTGGATCATTGAAAACTGTTGACGGCGCAAATGAGCTTTCTGTCCTCTCTACTATCGGGGTCATGAAAGGGAGCTTGTTCTGGGCCACGAGGTTCGGATCGCGGTATGAACGCATCGGCATTGGGTCATAGTCGACGGGTGGGATGGGAACAAATCGCGGCGGGTTCTGGATTTCATAGCGCTCAGCTAAATCTTCGTCAACAGGTGTGAAGACAGCGTCTTTGGAGGACGAGGTATCAGCGTCATCTCCCTGATTCTGTGTTTCCAAGGCAGTCTGCGAGGGGATGCCTGCAGTCTCAGGTGGGTTGGCGACCTCATCGGTGGGGCCGGTCTCAACTTCATCCTCAAAAACGTCTCCTGCAAGCAAAGCAATGGCCTTTGTGTCCATGTCTTCAAAGTCTGCGTTGGCGATGGCGGCAATAGCCTGAGTGTCAAAACCACCTAAGCCCGATGTTTGCGTGGGATTTTGACTTGAAGAATCCATGCTCTCAGCCATGTCATCACTGATGGAACGCGGCGGTTTGCGAGAAGTCTTACTTCGTGGATGTTTTCTGGACGCCTTCTTTCCGGAACCATCTATCGGAAGAGAAGGCACATGCTTGCTGGCAGTGAAGTCAGACCAGGGTGACACACTTTCAGGCTGAGTGTGGGATTGGCTGTCGCGTTGAAGAGAAGAGAGCGTGTCGTCGCCATATTCACTTCCATGAATAGACGCTCTGCCCGTACCGGTGCTCTCACCATCACCCGCAGTACTATAGCCATCATCCAAGTCACCCTCAGTGAAGTCACCATCGTCTCCACTTTGAGTATCATCTCTTGCTCCGTCTTGTATACGAAGAGGTTGGTTGAACATATCGTATATCTCGTTCGTCGCCGCTTTCGAGTGGAATGTCATGGTTGGCTCAGCGGCAGCCGAGTTCTTCCTTGTCATCTTCTTGCTCTTTGTTGGAGACTCGAGGCGGGTCTTGACTGTTTGGGTCTCTTGTTTTACCTCTCTGACCTTCAGTTTCTTTTCTTTCTGCTTCGGGGTCTGAGACCTGGGATGAGGATTCTGCGTTGGTTCCGGCATTCCCACCATTGATTGGGTCGACACATCATGGATGCTGATATTCGTGGCGTCTTGACTGGTCAAATCTTCCTGTTGAGGAGATTGGCTCCGATTTTCAATGTCTTCCGTTTCCGTGGACTTAGGGGCTGGTGACTCTGCAATAGTCAGATTCCGCATCGATTCTTTTAAGGGCTCCATGTGCTTTGATGAGGGCCGTGGTCGGTCCCTCCAGGATTTCTGAAACCATCCTCGTGAAATGGCGCGGAGCTCTTCGAAACTGAACTCGGTGTTGCTATCGGCCGGATAAACCGCATCGATATCCACGAATACTTGTTCTGAACGTCCCGTACGAGGATTAATTGTCGCGGTACCCTGTCTAGAATCTTTCGGAACAGCTTGGGAGGGGTTTCTTCTCGAATGTGATTCATTCTTGCCTCGCGATGACTAAATACAGGAACATCCAGCATCATTAGTCGAGCACATCCCAGATGGAAACCAAAACAAAATGGAAAGCAACGCTGCAGACCATAGCAATATAGAATATCATACCGGATCTTTGAAAATATCCATCTTTGCTGCTGCGCCCACCTTCTTGCCAGCCTTCAGTGTCTCTCCTGCCCAAGGCCGCGCTTCAACAGTGTTTTCTTTCTTCCGCTCCTTCATCGAGCCGATTGAGTCCCAGCCTTTGGTGGTTCTAGAGGTTGATGGTGCAGCAGCCGATGCCGCACTATCAGCATCTGAAAAGATTGCCATTTTAGGCTTGCCTGATCGCGAGGATGCACCAGTTCCGCTTGCCCCACTTTGCTGACGTTGTGCGTGAGGCTCTTCGTCCCGATGTGCAGATGCGAATGGATCAATTTTAGCTGCCAGAGCTGGACGGACCGTTGGAAGCGCTGGAGAGCTTGGTTCATCCGCTGAATGAGGACGCGTCTCATATCTCTGTTGGAACTGATTGTACTTTCGCAGTAACCGCTCTGCAGGTCTGGCTTCTCGTTGAATGCCCAACTTGTAGACTTCGTCCGCTTGAAGCCATCTGTCGGCGCCTTCTAGCCAGGAGGCAAACTCTTCATAGAATAGACCAAGTCCTTCGCCGATGCTATGTCGAGCAAGAAATGCAAAAGTCTCTCTAGGAGTGTCGGAGAATAGTCGAATGTAGTGCAACCAAAGCTTCAGATATCGGGGATCGTTCTTGTAATGTGAGGAGGTGAGAAATGCTTTCGTCGCACGCTCGAGTAGAGGAAGTAATTGCGACTGCGGTGTTGCTTGGGCGGAAGGATATGCATTGAGTGTCCATTTGACGTATCGATCGTAGATGTCTAGAGGGTCATCGGAGTCTGCTATTGATTGCAGCTCAACTTCGTACTCCTGTCGAATGGCGTCGTTCAGAGTCTTTGTCTCATCCAAAGTTGGAGCATTCTTCAACTTCAAGCTGCCAGCCGTGCTTCCGGAAGACAAAGGTGACAGAATGGATGCTAGTTGTCGTGCTGATCGTCCACCGGGCAGCGATTGGATGTTTTCTTTGTGTATCTCTATGATGTCGAAGTTTATGAGGTCATTATCTGCAGAAGATGCAGCCATACTGAATTACAGACTGCTGCCACTATCCCTGTGTCGTTAAAATGCGAAAGGAGGTCTGCGACAAGTAAGCAAGAAGTGCATAGAACAAACATGGGTTGGCGTTGGGCACATCTGGAAATGGCAATGTCAACAAACAGATCGCTTGGCACCGGAGCATTGTTTTGCCGAAGCGTTCCTGCCATGAACAGGCGAATAGACAGACCATGCATACTAATTCCTCCGAGCCAGAAGAGGGGAGACCTCTCTCAATTGTATCAGCTTCGGCTGCTGACCTTAAAACAGAGACATCTTACTGCATATCTATAAGAGCATCCGTAATCCTCAGACCGCTCATTGAGATAGACATTAGCCATCTGCCAATCAGTCAAACACTAAATATTGTTCACGGGAAAGAACAGATATTGCTACATCGTTCGCGAACACCATGGCATATACGGCCCTCCCAACATGGCCGCTCATTCTCTTCGGCATCTTGGAACCAGTGGCTCTGTAAGACTATTCTATGATGTACAAACGCGTCCATCTTTAATTATGGCTGACATATCTATTCAACCAGCATTTGGGGATATTCTGTAACTCTTCTCAACCCTGAGAGTTATTTCCTGGACCAAGTTCCCAATACTACGCTCGCGAGCGTTGCTGGGCATCTCGTCCCTGTGCATGGACTCGCCCTTACATATCAACTTGGCAACGTCTTCATCGTGCTGGCTGCCGTTGCCATCATTTGTACACATACCACCCACACCGATATCATCAAAAAGTATCTGCTTGCGATCGCTTTGGGAGACTTGGGTCATATATACGCGTGTTATCGCACCCTGGAAACTAACATCTTCTGGGATATCACACAATGGAACGATATGGCTTGGGGAAATATTTTCGTTAGTGCATTTCTCCATGTAAACAGGCTGGCCACGGTTGCAGGTCTCTTTGGAAAGGTTGTCTCTAATGCGAATGTGACGAAGAAGAATAAATAGTACGAGAGAACGTGTATGCTGGAGGCGGAAGGAAATGGTTGAATTTGCATGGGATTTTTGGGTATCTCATCTTTCCACTAATTCTTGTTGTGGAGGAGTTTTGAGTCTTCTCTCCCTCTGCAATTTGAGAGCCCTCGAGGTCTGAATCACCATATTACTTGACTATGGAATCTTTTATCAGCTAGAGGCTTGCTCAAATATGTCATCCCCGGAAGTGATGAAACTGCTGTCATGCCAGGTTCATTTATTTGCTTCACGATTGTCCGGCAAGGGCAACAGCACGACGACGATCTCTCTCTTCGGCAATGGACAACTGAAAGGTTTGTTAGTATGTATAGGAGTGAGAAATGAGGGATGACACGTACTTTGACACCTTTGCCCTTGGGCAGACTGATCCATGGTTTCTCCTTTCCGATGACGAAGACGTTGGATTCTCGGGTAGCGAATGAGTTGTCAATTGCATCTTTGATGTGTATGATATTGAAACCACCATCGTGGCGCTCGCGGTGAGTAACAACACCAACACGACCCATGTTACGACCACCAGTAACCATGGCGATCACACCAGTGTCGAACTTGATAAATTCGGTGACTTTTCCGGTGCTGAGGTCGATTTTAACGGTGTCGTTGACTTTGATAGCGGGATCGGGGTATCGGATACTATAATCCCATCAGTATTCTACAATGTTTCCAACCACAGCTTGATCCAACGGCTGATAGGTGCAGGCGACTTACGTGCGAGCATCATGCGTAACCAAGTATGGGATTCCACCCTTGCCAACCTGAACTCTCTTGACCTTGCCAAGTTTGTATTCTGCCTCAGCTTGTTCAATGCGGTGCACTGCGAAGCGACCTTTTGTATCGTAGATCAGACGGAAGTGCTCGCCAGTCTTCTCAATAGAGATGACATCCATGAAGCCAGCGGGATAGGTATGGTCAGTTCGAACCTTGCCGTCGACTTTGATGAGGCGCTGCATAAGAATGGCAGTGGTCTCGCGGCCGTTCAGGGCATACTTGAGGCGGTTACGAATGAAGACAATCAGAGGCAAGCTGTCACGGCCTTTCTATTGTCGCATTAGCATTGACGGAGCGTTCAACATTGGGATCGAGACGAACGTGAGGACCCGGGGATGCCTTTGGGGCATAGGCACCCGAGAGCTTGTCCAACAGCCAGTGTGACGGTGCGCTGAGGCGCTTCTGATGTTTCTTCGGGCCTCTACCCATCTTGAATTGTGGTTGAGAGAAGTTGATCTGGTGGACGAAATTCGAGTTGGAGACGATAATTTTGAGAAAGTGCAAAGGTGCGGTTATGCCAAGAGCCTGGCTGAGCCAGGCTTGGCGTACGGTTGTGGCCCAGTCAAGTTAGAGAGCGAACTACAAGGGTCCACTCTACTGGCACAAACCAACCCCCGTTTGACTGCTTCAATTATCATAATCGGCAAATATGCTTTTGTGGTGCTGTTTAATCTATCCAATGTCTATTCAAGTTTGGGTGATCCAGATCATCATAGGAGGCCTTGAATGATAGCCGCCTCCGCATTCAGTATAGATGATCCAGCCGCCCCAATGACCGTGTTGTGGCTTAATGCAGCGAATCTGATATCGAAATGTGATCCTTTTGCCGCCTCTCGAACTCGACCAACACTCACGGCATAGCCGCCCGAAATATCTCGATCTAGTCTTGGCTGTGGCCTGTCTGGCTCGTCAAATACAACGATGGCCTTCTCCGGAGCGGAAGGGCACCCCAGCTTCTGCGCCTCAGCGACATATTCTCGCATTGCTTGTTTGACTTGGTCTGCACTCGGGGGGGGCCTCTGCTTGAATCTGAGAGAGACGAAGGCCATATGCCCATCAGTGACGCCCACTCTGGTGCAGGTAGCGCCAACTGTAAGCCCCGATTGTTCTTCGAATGCCGTGGCGTCCGAGTTCATAGCTCCCAGGATCTTTTGTGCCTCTGTCTCGAGCTTGTCCTCTTCACCAGCGATGTATGGAATAACATTATCCATGATATCCATGCTCGACACTCCTGGATATCCAGCACCCGACACTGCTTGCTCCGTGAAGACCTCGACGTCCTCCACCGGTCCAAACTTGACTTGCAACGCTGCAAAGGGAATAACAATACCGATGACAGCGCAATTTGAATTACAAACCAGAAATCCTTTTTTGAGACCGAAGTGTTTCCGTTGGTGTGGGATCAGACCTAGATGTGAGATATTGACCGTAGGGACCACCAAAGGGACGACTGGATCTCTCCTGTAGTTCTTTGCATTTGAGAAAACGGGAATTTCTGCTTTTAGGAATTCCATTTCTGTAGCCTCATTAGCAGGGACCGGAGCCGCTCAGAGGATCGTTATCCTACCAACGTCCCCCGCCACATCACTATCTAGACCCGAGAAGACGAGATCAACATCTGGAAAATTGCTCGCTTTGCACTCCCTGACCTCAAGATTCGCCAGTTGCTCTGACATTGGCCTGGCCTGCTTCCAACGAACAGCATCTTTGTATAGTTTGCCTGCCGATCTGGAAGAAGCCCCCACTGCTTGCAGATGTAGCAATGGATGATCAGCAAGAAGCAGAATAAAGCGTTGACCGACGGATCCTGAATCCATGCTTAGTCATGTCAGAGCATTTGTATTGGAGCATTCTACCTGTAGCCCCAAGCACCGCCACCTTCTTCTTTTCTTGTGAGGTTGCTGGCGCCATTAGGAAAAAGGTATTCAAGCGGTTTTCACGCTCCAAGGCAATTTGATGGTCTCTACTTGCAGCGAGTAGTTTTAGACTTGAGAAGAGGTCATCGATCTTGAGCTCATGCAGACGTAGCTTGGTTATGAATACTGTCAAGAATTTGGTAGCTCAGCCGATCGTCTTTCCTTTTGAGTCACCACCTGTGGCCAGATGCACTCTAGAGTGGATGCCAAGGTCTGCACCGGAAAAACTTTGTCGGAAAAATCATTCCTCCCAACTTAAGCCCCCCGGTCTGCTGCTAGACCAATGAGTGTGTGCAAATGAATATGTGATGCAAGTGAGACATCGGTCTCAGGGCGAAGCATTCAGAGTAATTTACAATAGCAGGTTTGATCATGTGCGAATACTTCTTCCGATACCCTGTGTCGTCTATTCTTGCTAGATACCATCTATCGAGCACCATGTTGGGCAGCTCCACGCACTCCAGCCCCACTCGAGCCTTCCTTCCCCTCCTCTTACTACAACTCAATACGTATTAATACATTCAGGATAGTAGTCAGCTACATGATAGATGCATTGATCAGTTTCAGATAATTCCACCAGAGATTCCGACAAGTTATCCACATTCTCCCTCCCTGACAGAACGATATGTCAAGCACAATTCCTACCAGTACGGCGCAAAACGAGTCGGAAAATCCACGACCCGTGTGTGTTACCCGTGCGGCTGACGTCAAGGAGGGCGGCGGTGGTGAGACGACTGGGTTGATTAGACAGGTGAGTCAGATTAGATTGATACTGGCAATCAGTGAGGCGTTTAGGTTCTGCAAGTCTGATTTTGGTTTTGATTTATGCGTGTTGAGGTGAGCGATGAAAATGGAGTATCAGTCTGCAGCGGATTGTTTCTATGTGGGATTTTCAAGGAATGCCTGTTTTCCTGGTCCATCGCATTGGTGGTGGTGTTCTATTTTCCATTTTCAAGAAGGGAGCCCCTTCGCCCGTCATTCCTCGTGCCTCGCCTCTGACACCCCACATTCTTAAAACTGCACTCACCACCACAGGCCGCGATCGTCAACCTCTCCCCGTCCCTCTGCGGGATTCTCGCACGCGCCGGGCCCGGCACGGCCTCGGCGGTACACCACCACGGCGGGCAGGACACGATCGTGTACGCGGTGTCGGGCCACGGGTCGCTGGTGAGTTCGACTTCGCCAGCGCCGGAACACCGCGGTGATACAAAGGTCACGCTGCAGCCGGGCGACTGGGCGTTGATTCCCGCGTATCGTGAGCACCAGGAGGTCAACGATGGCGAGGATGAGTTGGTTTGGGTCATTGTGCGGGCCCCTGGCGGAGCGCCCGAGACAGTTAATTTGGAGGGCTGGGGTGGAAAGGTGGTGTGAGTTGAGCAAAGAAGCTTAGAGTAAAGGCGGAGAGGAGTAGGAGGAGATCAGGGAGAGTGGAGGACCGGGAGGAACGGGGGGCGGGCAGGACCGAAGGAAGAGGAAATGGTGATGGAAGGTTCGCTTTGACAGAATGCGACCGAATCCTTCGCGAGGACCGCCATTTTGGATCCAAATATTTCATCATTGCCGTCACTTCTCATCGTCAGCCAGCTCCTCTTCTTCCGAGCCCTGCTCCCCTTCATCATCGTCATCATCTTCGTCATCGTCGTGGCTCTGGTCCCCCAATTCGTCTTCATCCTCATCCACCCCGTCCCCATCATTAGCGAAAGCATCCTCAGCCAGCTCCACTTCACCTTTGATATCCCACCGATCGCCCTTCGCCGCGTGGCTGACGTACTTGACGAATCGAAGCGTACCCTGATCTCTCAGGACAATGGAGAAACGGTTCCATGCGGGGCAATTTGCAAACAAAATCCCGTCGTCTTCGTCCTCTGCGCCGTTGGATGATTTGTACACGGCCGGATCGGCCTTTCTACCCACATTGGGAAGGGATTTCGAGTGCACCGACACGTTGTCGTCATCGTCGTCGTCGCCCGCCATGTACGCCTCCTCACCGCCGAATTCGATCTCGGCGGGTTGTGTTACTTGTACCTGCTCGGTTTCTCTGGCTTTGCCCTTGCCCTTGCCCAGATCACCGTTGACGACCTCCTTTGCATGCATGCCGTTCGAGGTGGGGATGTTTGTCTGACGATCTGCATCAGCATCGTCCTCTCGTGGCTCCCAGCCCTCGGTAGGGGTGATTGAGATTGTGAATTCCAATTGCGGTTGTCCACCCTGGAAAGGGCTGGCAAGGGCATAATCCTTCCCTCTGCGAAATCTCCTTGCAATCGCGTTCTGTCGAACCAAGCTCTTGGTGCCAAGCCCAGTCACCAGAGCCAGCCATTTTTTGAAGGCGTGTGAATGGAGCAGATCGGTAAGGATTCGTGAGATTGGTGTGCCGTCGTCGTGTAGCTCCTCTGATCCCTGGAGATATGTGAAACGCTGTTTTTGCGGTGGGCGGGCAACCTTCCAATTCGAAGGATGTGCAAGTAACTCGGCAGGTGCCTCCTCCAGCCCATCTGCCGCGGATACATAGTCTTTCAACTCGGCGGCAAATTTTGCGTTAAAAAAATGTTCCAACTGCAGACTAGATGTATTCTCAAAGAACGACCGGAAGTCGTCAATCATGTCCGGTGTGAGATAGCTGGGGGCAAGGTAATGCAGAAGGAAAGTCAGATCTTGTTCAGTGAGCACATTGTCCTCGGTATCTTGGTCGTCGCCTGGGTCGATTTCACGCTTCGAGGCATTGCTACCCATGACGCTCCGCGGCTCGTCAAAATGACGGAATACCAATTGGGGCTCGTCAAACTCATTTGCGGCGCCCTTGAGTTGTGCAAGACTCGACCTTTGAGCTTGCGCCTGTTCAATGCCTTCCTCAAAGCCGTCCTCACCTTCTTGCGGAATATGGAACCACCCACTGATTGCCATTCGGATTCTCCCTCCATCTGCATCGGGGTCATTCCCATGATATACTTCCTGTACATCGTGATAGCTCTCGCCAGGGCGAACGGCGAAGAAGCTGAGTTGGCCAAACGAGGGAGGGATGTTCAGACTGTGCTCGGGCAACGGAACCTTGATGTCCTCGCCGGCTTTGTTCGTCTTAACCTCGGTGGGGAAAAGCCGCAGTCCACCACCCCATTCAGCTTGCCACGGGTGATCAGGATCAGTCAAATACAGAATATAGCTGACCCTTCTACTGCCAATGACATCGTCGTGACATAGCAAGTAGCTGCCGGGTGTGTAGACATTGACCGCCATGTCTGTCTTCTTGCCCGAGACCTTGCCTGCGCCTGTGACGAAGGAGACCCATTCTCGGAACTCTGTGCTGTAGAGTGCATCTCGCAGCTCAACCAGGCTCGGTAGATGTTTCAAAGCCTCGGCAGGGAGGTTCGATAGGTTCGCAAGGTCGCCCGACTGATGAATGCGGTAGATGTCCGTCTCTTTCGGTGTGAAGTGGACATGGCTAGTGACTTCGCGTCTGACGGATCGCAGCAACTGCTCCTGAATGAGGGACGGTACTACCGCATGAGGATATGGGCCCGATTGCTCGTAGGATTTGCGGAACGAGTCTCGGGTTGCGTCTTCGAAGAGATCACTGCGAAAGGCGGTTCCTTGATTCCCTGCCTGTGCATCTGGTGACAAATTACGTTTTTTGGGAGGAGGTTCTTCTCCTTCTAAAAAATGACGCTTCATGGTGGGGAGTTCGAAGAATGTAAAATGATCTGACAGGAAGCTTGGTAGTAGGCCATTGAACTGGATTTTATTCTCGTCTCAAATACAAGATGCGGAGTTGAGGCAGAAATTGGGCCCAAAAAAAGTCGACTCGGTGGAGTGTCGATTTTGCCAGATTACAGGGATCACACCACTCATGGTACTGCTCACACAACCCACTAAAAAAAGGACAGCAATAGTGGAGTGTAGAGTATGGAGTACGAATCACCTCCAGTGTGTATATGTATATTCTGATTGTAGTGGACTATTTTTCTCGCCTATATACCATTTGTGCAATGCCGATATCTCTTCGAGGCAGCTTTCGCCTCAGGGGTATTTACGATTAGGCACGGTGCCAAACCCAAACCTGCTCTAAACCTCTCATAACTACTGAAAGCCTGTGTGAATATCCTTGCGCCATGCTAAATGTGGAATGTCGCTTAACGTCTGGACAGTTGCAAAATGTGACAAGCGCTAAAGTCAGTGAGAAATCGATAGGACGCTTACGAATGTTGAGTGATGTCGTCAAGGTCTATCTTTGTCCTTATTGAACAGACCGAAACCAGTGGAGAACTTTGTACGTGGGCTAGAGACAAGCCGGGGACTGGTAGGTGTTCTTGGTGATTTGGGACTTGGGAGTGCTGGCGCGTCCTGCTCCATGCGCTCCCATGGATTTTCATCATCTCTGAGAAGTATACTTGCACGAAGACCAAGCCGCGCTCGAGAACTGTCTGGGCGCCTTTCCAGGTCTTGCTGGACTCGAGAATGGGTCGAGGAAGATGTGCCTGCGGTCATGCGGCCAGATTCCCAGCTTCGTAAAGGCAAGTCTGCGCTCGATTGGCCTTCCGTATCGTTGGGAAGAACCAGTTCTTGAGCTTCTCCGGCAAGAAAGCCAGGAGTCATGATTGGTGGGGGCTTCTTCTTCGGAATGGTAGTTGTTGTTATAATATCAGGACCAGGTCCTGTCGACAGCGATGATGGTATTTCGGTGGTTGGGCTTCTGGTTTGGAATACGTATTCATCGCTTGGACGAAGAGGGGAAGGCGTAGCAGGAACAACGTCGCGGGGAGATGGCAGGGGTGATGCAGAATGTGTTGGGACGTCTTCAATACTAGGCGCTTGCTCAACCTTACGGGCTGGCGTTTGATCGCTTGCCGACCGAATATTTATCACAGGTGGTGGCGGGTTCTCATCAGGGACGTTCTGATTGCGAGGGCCGGCCATGTGTCCAGGTCCCGCAATGGCTCCTCGTAAATAGCGAGGAAATTCTGGAATGGCCTCTGTAACATTGTCAGGCAGGCTTGACGTAGACGTCGCACGGGCGTGTCCGTGTGTGACTGGTGGTCTTTGGGAGTCTGGGCGTTGTTGGGAAGCAAGATCTCCGGATGAGTTGACTGACTGGGCGTAAAAGCGCCCTCGCGCCGACGTTCCGTTCGAGGCTACAGATCGTCCATGACTGCTGAAGGATCCAGTCGTTGAACTCGAATTTCTGCTGTTTAGTCTCCTCCTACTATCCTCGCCGGTCCCACTGCTCAGGGAGCGGGACGCATTGACAGAAAATAACTCTTTCTTCGGTGTTTTGGCGGCCTCTCTTTCGTGCTTCTCTCTTTGCTTGACACTATCAGGGACTCCATCCCACTTGGAGTTGACCTTGGGAACGTGTTCCGGCATCTTCTCTAGTCGGACATTGGGGACTTTTGCGGGGCTGATGGAGCCATGCTGAGCGATCATTTGGGCGGCAACCTGATTTAAGGCTACTTGCGTAGGCTCTTTCATTTGGAAGAGTCCTCCAAATAAAGACGTTTTTTTCTTCTGTGGAACGGGCATAGCCATATTGACAAACTCGGGCTTCTTCTTTTTGGTGGCATTTTGATTGGCATTGTTCTGAGCTGCTTCCTGGGCTGCTTCTCGTAACTGCTTAATGGATAGCGGCGGCTTCTGTTCCTGTTGACTGGTGGAAGCATTCAAGTTACTTAACTCCCCTAACGGAGTATGCTCCTTTGCTTGAATGGCTCTGCTGGACTCTGGTTGTACATTGGGCCGTTCAAGGGTCCCGTTTGGTGCGGGCATCTCGAGAATTATTCCGGTTCTTGTCAGAAGGGAACAGAACTGATGACTTAACGGTTCATCGTGGCAGATGTAATGGATCTAAAGAAAGGGTTGCTGGTTCGGCGCGCGAACAGAGTCGATGCTGTCGAATATGAATCTTCAGAATTGGGTTTTGCAGCGGACAAGATGTAGGCTATGACTGACGGACTGAGAGGAGCAATCGTCACTGTTCGCGCATCATCTGGGATAGTTCATTGCTAGCTCACAGCGAGATGCAAAAGAGTTGGTGGCTTGCAGTGAGGATGTGTATGTGCTGGCGACATGCGAAGAAGGTTCGAGCAGGTGTTGATAGAGCGCGCACATGGCCATGGGAAGTCGTGCTGTCATATTAGGTTGAACTGGAGAGTGATTGTGAGCCCGGGACGATCGCTGATTGCTTGCATGGCCTTTCGTGTCAATGACACGTCCAGAAATTGGGTAGATCGGCCCTTGCAAGGTTCGAAGCCAGTCCGAAAGGGGAGGGGCATGCAGGATTCCAGTTGCTGTTGGACAACTAGAGTAGAGGCTGAGCAGATAGCTAACCTGGGTCTGTCCTCGGGCTGGGAGACTTTAGGTTTGCGAACTACGGAGTACGGAGTGCGGGAGATGGGTGTGATTCTGAATAATCTGTAGCGGTTGATCGACCAGATCAGGGCGTTGGAAGCTTGGGAGCTGGAATGCCTGAGTAGGGGAGGTGAGATGTCTGGCGGCTTGGAGAGTGGTACCTGTGGTGTGTCTGGCGGCATTGTGCGCTCGGGATTGGCCGGAACATACGTAAAAGAAAGCTATCAGCAGCAAACGCCTCAACGCCAAAAGTGAAGGTAGTCAGGGCCTGACAGCCATGGTGGGCGGGTCAGTGGTGACACTGAGTGGTGACCAAGAGATGGAGGCTCTCAAGGATCCCTGCCACACAGCCAGGATGAGCGCGTTTCCACTCCTCACATTCGCGATCCGCACGGACCATTTCCGCCACGACAAATTTGACATTGGGCAACACAAGAATCTTGACCCTTGACTGATGTACTGTACGAGTAGAACTGCGTTCAGAGAACTAGCACAGGGCATGAAGTACCTCGGACAGAGTATTCCATATAGCAACAGGAATCTGCCCGGAGAAATCATCAAGCCATACAACCATCTGGCAATACTGACCAGCATTTCCGTGTCGCGGTCGTGATGTGGACAAAGCCGCGTCCGGTGACGGGGAAGGGTGCAGTGGCGCAGGTTAATGTTAATTTCCTATCGATTGTCCGGCACCGATTCGATTGCGTTGGAAAAAGCCGCTTGCACGAACCCCATACTCCGTACTCTTTTTTAGTGGGAGTTTATGACCTTAGTTCGAAATTCGGCTAGGGAAGCACAGCTGTCCAACGAAGTCTTCGACAGCGAGGGTTTGACGAGAGTTTGTTCTGTATCCGTCCTCGGTGCCCCGTGTGCGGTGGGCTGCTATGGAACTCTGCCTATTCGCTAGATTGGTAGTACTCCGTACTCATAGTTCCTGACGAGGTTGAAAGTGCTCGCAACCGAGCACGTGGTGAGCCTGTTGCGATAAACACACTAGGGGTGCACAAACGCCCTTTTCCAGTAGGTTCATATCTTGACTCGTCCTCCGGCCCTCGCGCGGAGGAAATCCATGCCATCGATCACATTATGGCAGTCCAAAGGGTAGTTGTGCGCCGTCAACACGAGCAGGACGCGCCGATTGACGCTCGATGGTCGCGAACCGCGATTGGAGATACATCTCCTTAAGGGTTGACTGCGGACCCGACGGTGGTACCTCGACCTGGAGGGGAGCACGCGGGACGGATACAGTGTGCTCTGCACTGTTGGAGCCTCCTGCAGATGAGCAAACGAGACCAGATAGACAGCCATACTCCGTACCTAGGTATCCATATTCCAGGTATCAGGGAGTCAGGGACCGCGCATGTAGGACGTCGGATGCACCTACTTTGTGCCGATTCTTGTGTGATGGCAGTAACTTGATCTAGCAAATGTTACTGATGCAGATGCACACTGGATGTACAAGGAATGTTGGCCCAACTGGGAGATGCAGTGTACATAATTACTATAGGGCGGTTCGGTGTGTTCGGGAGTACGGAGTAGCTGAAGCGCGATCAATAATTACTCGGTCGTACGACTACTGTACGGATACAGACTGACGCGTACAGCCACTATCCGAGGTCCTTGTGGTTGCATTGTCGGCTTCGGGCGTTTGCTGCCACCACATCGGACTAGGCCATGCCTAAGACCCCTACAACTCTACGACTGCGAGTAACTAAGCCCTGGGCCCCTCTCAACCCGTCCCCTAGGCGCCCCTCGGTCCTTGGTCCTCAGCCCAGCGTTGGCCAGAGGCGCTTGGACTGCCTTGTGTCTGGCTGACCCAGGCCCTCGCTCCCTAGATCGGCAGCGTAGCCGTATTGACTGGCAGGCGCCTTTCCGAGATTTCGAACCACCTCCATTTTCGACTACCCGACTCGAACAATGGCATTCCTTTGATTTCTTGTTTCAGCATAACCCTTTCTTAGTTCCCCATCACATCCGCCCTATTGATGCCGGCCGGAGACTCAATTGACCAGCTTGAAGCTCCCATCCAGTCCGCAGTGCGACTGAAGTTAGCCATGCCTGACGACGACAGGGCCAATTCATACGACGAGCAATCCCAGCACCCTCCCAATCTACCACAACCACGCGACTCACTTTCGCTTTCACTTTCTCACTCTCAGGAATCCACCGGTAGCCCACAGCGACCTTCGTATTCACCTGTCACCCCGACCTTGTCACAGGCCAGTTTGGGTGCTCAAGACGATGCTCCGGTAGGATTGCCACCATCTCAATGGATGGAAGAACCGGATCCCTTGCCTCTCAGTCTGGACGAGAACCCGGACGCCATTGCCCTACGGGCAGCCCTTTCAATTCTGCAAATCCAACGCCAGCAGGCTTTGCGCGATATGAGAGACTTGGATAAGATGAAAGAAGCCGCCTTGAACGATCCAGAGCAATTCGTCAAGGACCTAGAACATGGCAAACTCTCGCACTCTTCACGTACTGGCATCGAGAACCCTGATTCAGCCTCTCCAGAAATCGTGCCAAGTCATCAAGACCCCTCAAAGTTCGGAACTTTCCCAGCCGCACAGAGTGTAGTTCGTGCTCCCCCTGTCGAGTGGGCCAAATATCACATTGTTGGCGAACCGCTAGATCGACTTCACGAAGTTCAGCAGCACTATCCGGGCTTCACGGAAAGTTCACACACACCAGTGGATGCACACCAGCCTCACGAAATCGCAGCTCCATATCGGCCATTCATAGATCGCATTGATCAGAGTCAGTCTAGCTCCAAAAGGCCAGCGTCCTGAGTCAAGATGGAACTCCAATTGAACTGGAAGCACCTCGACTGAGCTCACTCTATCTAGATGTCTCGACTCTGCCAGCCAGCTTCTCCACCCCCAGATCATCAGAAGCCTATCAGAAGGTCATCGCCCTTCCAAACCCACAAGCTCCATCATGGCCTTCGTCGCGGTCAATGCTGCGACAGCACTACTCCTCAGGAGGACTTGCGAGGAATAAACCAGGCTACTTCAAGTTGAGTTGACGGCCAAGTGCGACGTACTTCTTCCACTCTTGCTTGTGCTGTGCCATGGCGATATGTTCACGCCGGACACAGAGCGGGCATCGAGGACCCTTCTCAATAGCTGTCTTGGTTGCCAACCCTTTCTCCACCAATCGCTTGTCTCCTCCCCATTGACCCCCCATCCTATTAGTCTTCTTGATATCGAGATAGATGCCGCAAGAGTAACAGAGGCGGTATTTCCTTGGCATCCAGTCCCGGAGGCGCACTAGGACTTTGAGTCGAGCAGGTTTACTGATTTGGAGTGGGCGCGGAAGACGAGGACGAACGGTGCCAGCTTGTTTGACTTTCTTGTCTTTGAGTTCCTCATACGTGGCCGCATGACTCTTACAAGTCAGTGCAAGGGCTGCACGGTCTGTCGGGTCGATAAGTTTCCAGATCATCTCCTGAATTTCCGATGGAAGTTGTGAGATACCATCAGAACCTCGGGTGATGGTCGATAGCATCTTGCACCATGTTAATCATCCTGTCCCACGCCGCGGAGTTGCACAAACCTCGTCGGGAATTTGGGTCTCTTTCAAAGCAACTCTGCGACCATGTTGAATGATCCCATGTTCACGAATTGTCTCCATGGCAGTGCAAAGGCTGGCCACCTCTTTCTTGAGGACAGCTTCAGCCGCAAGGGTTCTGACCCTAAGTCAGCTAACATTCTCCGAAACGAGTGACAGACTTCCTCTGCTGGCGACGGCATCTCTCCTTAGCTGGGCACTATACGTGCGAGTGCGGATACGCGGTCAGGATATCGGACTCTCCTTGTCGAAGATGTAATTGGTACGCGAACCAGAAGATGAAAAGAAAAATGAAATCGAAAGAGCAACGATGAACGATGAATAATGAACGATGAACAACGAACGCAGAGATGATATTCCTTACGCGCTCCACGGTGAAGAGCAGAACTGAATGGCACATCTAAGGGTCCAGGATATCATCTTTCACCTTCCTCTCACTTGGGAGTCTGGGTCGTGGTTGTGACTGAATCCGCTGGATGGCGATTGAGGTCTTGACGACTTCGGCGTCGACAGGCGATCTCTGAACTGGAGTATGTGGTATTTGCAACCATATCTTCTCCATCCAATTGTTCATGGGAATGTACGTCTGCTTAGGGGTTACGATAGTGAGTATATTGCCCAAGGTTACGATAGTCTTTCCTCTATACATGTCTAATCACGTGCAAGGCTTGCGATTGCACGTGCTTCTAACGGGCGTTTTGGTGCTCGATATCGACAATGACGTCACAAATTTTCTTTCAAGCCACCACCTGCCAAATTTAAGAGGTGACGATGATCGCGACCAGAACAATCAAGCTGCCTTAGGTATGACAGCATACAATACTTGTGACACAAAATGATTCGTACAACGGTTGCTATCTTTCGACGTTTGGCCCCATCTCAGAGCATATCTATGTATTCCCTTGCAAGACTTCCTTTCACGGTATCCTTTTCTACTCCCTCCGTAAACGTCACGGACTAGACCTTGTGCACCTGCTCGGTTGAATCTCTACAGACAGCTTACACAGGCAAAAGAGTTCTCTCAGTTCCCTCCAACCTCGGATCCTGCGAACATTACCCTCCTTGTTCTGCCGATTTTAGCAACCGATCTTGATCCTCATCCAAGACCACTGATACATTAAAAATGTCCGCACTCGACCCCACAGCACCCTCGCAGCCTGGCCAACAGACGGGTCTGAATCAATTGCAGAACCCGGCATCCAAGACTGACAAGGAAGAGACCACCGCCCGGGACACATCCAATACTTCCTCTACAACCATGGACCACCGAAGCCCGCACGATATCCCCTCACAGCATGGCGAGACCGCGAGACCATCAGCCCTTGGCGCAGGCGACACGGGCCCGCTGGAAGAGAAGCGGATACCCGAATCCGATGCTCAGAACTACTCCAAGGGCGACAGCAACTTGGAGGGCGAGCAGATGCGCATGGCAGGCGAGGGTGAAGTGGCGCGAGCGGTACGTTCAGGCGGGGGCGGCGGCCACGCGGAAGAAGGGAGTTTGACGGGAGATATCAACCGGCAGGAGAAGGAACATGCCCAGGCGCTGCACGAGCGTGGAGAGCCGACGGGCAAGGAGTTGGATGAGGAAGAACACGAAGACTGGACAGGCAAGAAGGCTGATATCGCGGAGGCGCTAGGCCAGGAAGACCACCAGCGCCCTCCTGTCGTTCTCGCTGCTGAGGAGTAAGCATTAACTCGAACTGATTTGTTTGGGTTGGCAGCTGAGGACGATGGTTGATGGGACTGGATTGCCGTATCTAGGAAGCTGGAGTTTGAAGAGAGAGCGATGGGTCATCTGGGGCTAGAGGACATGCCACGCGTCGGCCCTCCCAGGAGTCGTGCCCAGATATTAGAATGGGTCGCTCTCTATCTATTTTACCGATGTAAAATCAATTCACAGACTCATAAACTCCCGGCACGTAGTTGCAGGGCCGACGATGGCCGACACTGGGTCGATTCGAAGCAGAGCTTATCGTTATGTGAATTTCTGAGAAAGCTGCGTCTCCTCCGTTGTGCTGGTTACGAACACCTCGAGCAAGGGTCTACATGAAATTGTACGGATGCATATCATCCGTTCACCTTGAAGTGAATTCGCGAACACTCTTCGGCCCCAAATCAAGGCCTATGCGTAACTAGCCACTCGCTAAAGAAATAGCATTTGCGTATCTCACTCCACCACGTGAGACCCCCGGTCATCAGTCCCTTTGGCTTGTCAGCGTCGTCAGAGGGAAAGAGAGCGTGACAAGGAGTGCAAATGCATTGAGGGGTTTTCCGTGCCCTACTAAAAGCTTCACAGTCGTTTCTTTGTTCGCTGGTTGCAGGCTTCGTTGCCGTCACAACAATGGACACAATGTCGCTGATGCCCATTTGTCAAATAAGTCTCTGAGGTGAACAATGCAGGGCCCGAATGAGCAAAGGAAAGGAAAGGTGATGTCGAGTGTTACAAAATCCCTGCTTTCTTGACCTCGATCTCGGCCTCGGCCTCGGTCAACTTTGTTTCGACGAAGCTGCAAAGATATCGTCCAGTCTAAGCAACACTTGGATTTTCCGGATTGGGGGCTTGCGGCATTTCAAGCGTTGAATAAAGATAGGCAGAAACCCATCCCCCAGAACACGGCAGGTATGTGCTACTACACCGCGTATCTGTACACAGTGTGCGGACATGTTTCAATATCCGAATTTCCGGTACACAACTCACTATGTCGGAAGAGAGTGTTGATTCACGGGTGCAGCCCCCAGCGACGACCGAAATCTCTCCCTCCTCCGAATGAGACAGAGAGATACGTGCCGGAGTCGACAGCTGAGCGACCACTCTCAACCACTCCTGATTTGGTAGAGCCATTCCGACTCCTATCATCCGAGGCTGAAGCAGCACAGTCCGGATGCAAGGAGAAGCTCGTGCACGCAATGCACACGCTGAGCATCGAAGATCTCTGCACGGAGTGCAGAGACGATCGCGAGGCGCGGCAGAGATCATTTCAAGAGCGGATGCGCAATGATATGAGTCGCCGGATGAGCTCGAGGCTGACCAGCTTCAATCACGTCCAGGGCTGGAGAGGGCGCCAGTTTCGAGCCACCAGTGCGTCTCCTCCGAGACCGATGGATATTACGGGTGAATCGAGCGGTCCATGTGAAACGGGTGACGATGAAGCTGCGCCTTCGCCCACGGCTCCGGGTGCGAAGACTCGAAGACCTGGCAGTGCCGAGAGCGATATGGCGGATGTCAGCGTTGCGGCCAGCAGTGCCGTTTCGGTGCAAGATGCAGTGGGACACTTCATGCGAGGCGTCAAGGGAGGATGGTCATTCTTATCCTCCTTGTCCTCCTCGTCGACTCGCCCGTCGTTCTCTGCGCCTCAGGTTTCACCGAGATCCAGAGCTCCAGTCGCAATCACAGCTGTACAGCCGATGGATTTACAGAGCTCACCTCCCACCTCGCTCGACAAGCGAGTCATGCTGTCGTTTGCTGGGTTGGGTGAATGATAACCTCAAAAGGAATCGAGTTTGCCAGATCTCGACACAGTTACAGATCATGAAGTGTAAATCGTGTCTAGAGACAGAAATATATATCTCAAGGCATTTTCAATTATTATTTTTAGTTGGACTATGAACAATGCGCAATCATCTGTCCGATGGTCCTAGTCTTGGAGGGAATTCTGCTCGTCAGGGTGAGTCCCTTGATTGACAGTCTGCTAATCAAGGAGAATAGAGCGATTTAATCAAGCTTGAATCATGTCGTGTTGACGAAGGAATGAATTGTAGGTGAATCTTAAGCGTTCGAGGAAGTTGGGGAGCGACCCTCCTGAGAATTCCGGGGCTTTTCAGGCCATATTGTCAAAACACTTCCGTCAGACAAAGCTGTTGAACGATGTGACTTGAGAAACCCCAACAATTGTGCTGTTAAGCTGGGCCATTGACGAAGGTATCAGACCAGTGCGTCAAACAGGCAAATTGTCAAACAGCCTTCAGGACAAGTGATAATTAAACCTCACTGTCAGACATGGTCGTCAGACAGTCCTTTGCTTGTATTCATATGCAGCTCCATTCTCCTCATCTCGTGTGGTACAACGGCTGAAAGCTCTTCGACTCCTCTTTGACTGGAACTTTCTCTCTCCCCGATTCAGGAATTGGCATGATACCTTGTATATTGATATCGATATGAACCGAGGCCTATTGTGGCGAACGGCTTGCCAAGTCTACGAGCACCCATTCTGACCTTCCCGCACATCCACCGAGCAAGGACGTGGAACCCCCGGGTCGGAGCCGGCTCAACATCTAGCAGCCCAATCGATTGCTGTGATGATCGTTTTAATCAATCACCTCAGAGCATGTTGATGCCACCGCGCAGTCGCAGTCGGCGCACCTTGAAGAAAGTCGGTGAGCGCAACAACGCTTCTGATGTTCCCAACCTCAAGCGTTCACGTGGGCGACCCATGAAAAGGGCATCTGAGCTCAAGCCCCATTCGAGCATTCAGAGACAGCAGGAAAAGCTCATACGAGAGAATATGATGGCCGAGATGGCTGATACTCGACAGCCATACCAGCTCTCGGACCTGGAAGCCCTGCCCGTGGAGTTGCTTCAACAGATCTTTTTCTGGTCTTTGGAGGTGAACATGCCGCGAGCTTCACCACACATCGCCAACGTCCTATCAAATCCATCCATCTACTCGGCTTTGGTTTCATTCGCTTACTTTGACCCTGACGGTGAGAGTCCGGTCGAGATGCAGCTTTTCCTACCTGCTCAGTACTGGCAAGTCAACCTGGAGGACAAGATCCGCCTACAGCAGGGTGTGTTGAGCTGTCGGTGGTGCACGCTCGCCTTTCTGAAATCATCCATGCGAACCCTCAGCCACCTCCAGATGACGCAGGCCTGGCACCGTGAGAAAAAAGCAGAAGCAGAGCTCAACATCCCCGAACAGCCCAAGGAACGACGCATTCCACAAGTTGCAAACCCAACCCTCCTCAGCCTCGCCCCACTACCCCAGTCTGCCGCCAACACAGAGGAACTCGAAAGCCACTTCTTGGCCAAACTCCAGCCCCCGGCCAACGGCGATCTTCTTTCGATCGGTGTCGACCTGCTAGCGATCGACCAGAACCCGCGTCGGAGCACCAACATCATCGGGCCAACGGGCGATGGAAACTATCTTCCCCGCATCATGCAATGGAACAGCGTCGTGGACAAGAACAAACAGCTACACAAGACTGTCCATCGCGGCGTGAGTATCCTCGCGACACGGGCCCTACCAGATCACATCCTGGAGGGCAAGCCAACGTGGACGGAATCGCAACTGGAGCTCCTGATGCTGCTGCGCCAAGGCGCCCGCTTCGTCAGCACGGGGGAAGGAAGGCTGGAGTTCTCGGCGGACGTGCTCTACGAGGGGATGGCATCGGCTATCAAGACGCAGAATTCAAAAGCATTGCTCGTCCTGCTCGAGCTCCACTTCGCCAGCATGCAAGCCTCGGACCGCACGCTGATGATGCAGCCACCTCCGCCCGCGCACACCCCGGCACAGCGATATCTCGCGCGCCCATTCACGAGCCCGATCCCGCTCAGTCTGTTCCACCTGGCATGCGCACAGCCGTATCCGGCCTCTTCGCAGCTGATGTCTCTCTTGATCCGAGAAGGCATCGACAGTATCCCGCTCGACGACGTGGTCTTGACGACGTGGGCGGTGCGCAACAACGCCGACGAGGTCGCCCGCTTCTTGCTCCAGCATATGGAAGGGTCGCATGACTACGGGCTCGCACGAGGCCTCACGTTATTCGTTAATGGGATGCTGAGCTGGCGCCGCCGCGGCGAATACCCTTTCCCCGAGATGACGTTCACGAATCAAATTGGTTATGTCTTCGAAGGCTCGGGTGTGAGAGCTTGAAGTCTTTTCACGCGCAGCAACTGGTCTCTAGGAGCTTCGCACGAAGTGTGGGTGACATGGCCGTGGTGGTACTTACTGCATATTCGTTTACAAGCCATCGATTGCATGTTTGGTGAACAGCATCTTAAGAGAAGTGGAGCGAGTACCAACAGGGCTAACAATAACAATAACAATAATAGTTTCCTATGAGCCTAGAGGTTTCTTCTAATTGGATTTGGCGTGAATCCTTTATCATTTCACTCATTTTTTAAATCGCCTTTTCCACTTCGCATTGACACATGTGATATTCCTAGCGTCCGTGCTACAGGCAGCCACGCTGTGGAATGCTTTAGCTTCCAACTCACCAAACCTCCTCGGGTGATCGAGAAGGACATGAACCATTATCATGTTCATGTCTTTCGCCTTTCCAGTCCTAAACTACTGCTCAAGGCTCTCCAGGCCAGATACTGTCTGCAAGTTTCCTCACCAGCTTCAACTTATTGATCATGTCATCATGCTTGACTGCATTCCCACTGCTATGGCTGGCAAAGCCACACTGAGGACTGACACCGCACCGCTTCAAAGCCTCCTCTTCAGATTCCCCAGTCCCCTTGGCCATCCATTTCGCTGCCTCCTTGACTCGTCCAACCATCTCAGCCTCATCCTCCATTTTGGGGAACTTGCTGGTCACGACGCCCAGGATCACATTCTTATCCTTAGGAAGATATTGCAATGGCTCAAAGCCGCCGGCCCGAGCGGTGTCGTACTCGAGATAGTAGGTGTGCATGTTGAGTTTCTGGAAGAGGATGGTCGCAATCCGGTCGTAGCCGCCTTCGGAGAAATGTCGTGAGTTGACGAAATTGCCTCGACAGAGGTGGACGCCAACGTGCATGTTAGCGGGGATCTTGGCCACGCAAGCGTTGTAAAGATCAATGTATTTAACTAGGAGCTCGTCGGTCGAGTATTTGTTCAACGGGTCCTTCTCCCAACCGGTGATCATTGCCTCTGAGCAGAAGTCTAGACGGTGAGAGATATGATTAGCTTGAGGGATCTGAATCGCTGGCTATCAGGAAAGGGAGGGCTTTTTCTTAAGTGTAACTAACACGCAAGGTTGGGATCATCAAATTGCACGTTTCTCAATCCGTGCTCGTATAGAATTTTCAATTCCTCCTGGTATGCCTTTGCAATGTCGGCAAAGTATTCATCGTCGTTCTTATAAACATCCTTGGGATATGCCTTGCCCTCCTTGTATCTAAGATGGTACCAGTTCGGGGCCGCAAGCGTCAACTTTAAGTCCTTCCACTTGGACTCGGGTACTAAGCCCTTTAGGTAGTCGAATTGATCAGTATATGTGCTGCCCTTGTGCTTGATCTTGCCGGTGCACAGAACCGTCTCGCCAGGCTTATAGCCCTCTTCCGTGAATGCAGCGATATCTGGGATGTACATCCTGAACAGATCTGGATCTGGGGTCGCAATCTCAGTCATGCCTTCGAGACCGGGCCAGAAGGAGCCCCAGAACATATGGCGACGGTACTCGCCATCGGTAATGCCGTGGAAGCCCAAGTCTAGCTGTGTCTTCACAATGTCCTGCACGTCCGTGTCTTCGACCTTCCTGAGACCCTCTTCTGTTTCCTTACCTGCTTCCCACGCATGACGCGTGTCGAGTAATTTCGAGGTGCGCAGGAGTGAGCCCAGGTGCTCAGCGCGGAAAGGGGGCTGACAGTGACGAGGCGACATGCTGGAGTAGTGTTTCACGAAGTGCGACAATCCGGGCAACAGGAGGGGGTCGATGTGCTTCAGACCGAGAAATAGAGCTGTCCAACCTTCTTGTCCACGGTCAAGGAGATCAAGGAGACAGCTGAGCAGTTATGGGGAAGGACAAGAAATACACTCGTAGAACATATGCAAGTGCCCGTACCCCTCGTTTTGCAAATTTGCACTCGATCTCCACAGCATTGACGAGGCCATGTGGACTGAAACTTAAACGGACGCTACAGAGCGATGCCAGTGTACAAGGGCACTCATAAGTCTGCCAATTCATGACTGGAGCTACTGCTTTCTGCAGGGCTTCGTGCGCAGTGGGAGGAATGCGTTGATAGGGTGGTGTGTGCTTGCAGCGGCAGAAGCTCGTCTTGGGAGCGGGCGTCAAAGAGGGGTAATTCCGTAGACGCGACTCGGACGCCACCCATCGCTGTTGCCTCGGTCCAATGAGGACAGCACAACTGCGTTTTACCCCGCCATCCCGCGCCCCGTCCCTCGTGGGTGCGAACGTTCTGAGACATTTTGTGGCGATGCTAGGCATCCCAGTGGCAGCCTCAGCCATAGACTCTCATTTCTGAATCTCGGAGGCAGTTCACTCAGACATAAGTGATTCGACGGACTGCATGACGTTTTGACTACCCTCATACAAAGGACCAAACGACCTCGCGCAAGTCTCTCTAGACATAAAATTCATCTTCGAATCGTGACCCTTTCGACATGTATACCACTTTCTCGATCCTCCCAGATAGCCTACATTGAACCGCTTGATAAACAAGAAACAACAAGTTTCAGAAGCGGACTTGCAGCCCATCGCCAGTTCTGGTTCAACATGGAGTTTCTCGAACTCCCAAACGAGGTTCTGTCGCGAATCATCTCATTTCTTGATACTCCCAGTCCCTTCGATGACAACTTACTCCAGAAGCCTGTCTTGGAGCGGCCAAAAGATGAATTTCAGATGCAATTTTCAGAGACCGAACCGCGGAGAACGGCACTTAAGAGTCTCTCGTCTTTGAGCCGGTTACTCCGTTCCCTCACATTGCCCTTTTTGTTCAAACACGTTATCTTGGATCCTGTCAGCCTGAGCGACTTTATAACCTTCCTGGGGCAGAATGACCTGCAACAGCGAGTATCTAGTATCGTGGCCGTGGTTTCAGGCCACTATAACCACGTTCACCCTGCATGGTGGGCTCGACTGCTCAATGAGGTGCCCACCACTCGCTTGAGCATAATTGCTGCACCACATATACTCGCCGAACTTACTGCGGTCTCTGCATGGAGCACAGATGCCTGGGCTTTTGACATACCATATCAGATTCTTTGTTTTGATCAGTCGCCCGAATCTACGAGGGATAAAATCGACTATGAAGATCTCCCCAACTTTCTCGATGCTCGTCCATGGACAAGCTTGACTGTCAACGAAGGATCGAGTGTACTGGCATACACCACGTACGAGTACTTTTTCAGAAGAACTCCATCCTTGCTTTCTGCACTGTCCCCAAGCGGCTCGACTTCAGGGGATTCATTGTTCGCAAGCTTGACAGCTTTCCAATATGTGGCGATATTCCCTTTTTATAATCACGTCGATGAGGTTCTCAAATGCATACAAAAAATGACCCGTCTTCAAAAGTTGTCACTCAAACTATGCCCAGATGCCGGCAGTACAATCTTGCATGACGAGATCATAGCTGCAGGTAGTCACCTCGATATTAACGATCCTTGGAATGAATGTGAAACCTCGTGGAGACTAATCGCCCACCATGTTGCAGCATTGACTAGTGTGGGTGTCCTCCGAGAACTGCACATGAAAGATGTGCAGATAGAAGGAGTCCGCGAATCCTTGGAATTCACGCTGAACAGAATCCTCAAGGGATACTGGACATACAGTGGCGAACGCACCGGATTGTGGCTCCGCAATCCGGATCAACTACCGCCAAAAGGCCCTTTAACGACATAGGTGGCGATGAAAGAGTCCCCTCTGCCCTCTTATTCCCCGACATCTTAGTGATTCGATATGCGCGAGATTGGGGGCCGGTCCCAAAGATCTATTTCAGTTGATGACGTGTTGATGGCTTCTACTAGATGATCATGTATCTGACAACAAAGACCGTTACATACGATGTTATCGCAGTCTGGCTCTGGTTAAAGGCGCAAATCCTAAATACAGCATTTGAGATTCCGGTGGACTGCTGCCCCGAGCCAAGTGGGCCCCGTTGGCGAACGCTGCTAGTTATGTCTTCATGCCTCTATGTATGGAAGCACACGGTGATATTTGCAATACTATCGAATAGCCATACTGTAATGCATATTGGAATGTCCGGGAGCGAGTCTTAAGCGAGGACTTGACAGCGAGATGAGCCCAATTGTTAAGAGTATCTGGGAACAGTCGTTGATTGCACGACAGACTGTATTGGCAGGTCTTCCATGCTTCCCACAAGTGGATTGCACATCATCGCTCAGGATATTCTGTGATTTTTGTGACAAAGAAATCGTAGGGCACATGTGGGCAAAGTCGACGAAGGCTCGCCAATCAACTGATGAGGAAAACTGTTCCGCTCTTGCTGGGGTCTCGACAACCATCAATCTTGGGATATGCTTCGGATCAACCAATCAGAGTGCACCGGAGATCTGTTCCTCTAGTTGGTTCTGGGAGCCACGGCCTCAGCGGAGGGGCATAAGTAAGGCCATCTGAGTGAGTCTCAAATCTCGAGTCTCGTCTCCCAAGTCCCACCCCAGGTTGGTTCCCCCTCCCATGCCTCGCACTCAGCGGCGTGCGTTCTTTACACTTCAGGTGGATGGCTTTCCAGACAAGCACTTCCTTTATCCTCCACATACTTCTCTCATGCCCATCGAGTCGCCGACTCACGCCACACTCAAACAAGCACCCCAGACAGTTTAAACGTGTGTAATTGATATTTGTAGCGTTCCATGGCTACATGACTTTTTAGTAAAATGCCACCAAGGCTGCAAAAATGCCGTCGTCTGGGAAAAGTCGGCCGATTAAGCCGGTCGAAGAGGGGCAACCATCCAAAGCCTCGACCACGCGAAAACGGCAGTCCAGTGCTCGAATATCAGCAGCATGTGAGGCATGCAAGAAGCGCAAAACAAAATGTACTGGAGGACCTCCTCCTTGCCAACTTTGCCAATCACTTGGAACCGAATGTGTGATAGACCTGACGCTTGATATGCGGCGGCGCGCAGCTCTTCAACGGACAGTCGACGAGTCCAAGTCATTCCAGGAAACCCTGGACAAATTGATCGATTGCATCCGCGACGAATCATCACTCCGATTCGAAACTCTTCTTGAATATGTTCGAAGTGGAGCATCCAATCAAGATGTCATCGATGCAGTGCAACATTGGCCTGGAAATCTCGAAGATGACAGCGACAACATGTCAATCTTGCACAATAGTACACAGGAAATGCCGTCACCGCCGAGTGAACCGGTAGATGGCTCAAGCGGAGTGCAAAGCCAGACCGCTAGAGATGTATTCCCTGACGGCAGTGAAAATCATGTGAGCGAACAAGATGTTTCGGGTAGTGGAGGTTCCTCCTGGTTTGGAAAAAGCCAGGGGTTGGAGTCAGCAGGAGAGATATCAGCTCTCGTATCCAAGCTAAAGGTCTTGCCCCAATCCGATGGTGAGCAGCTACTTCACCAAGTCTTGGCATCAAACGATGGCAGAGCCCACTATGATGCCGGCTATGCTGCTGCGCAGTATTCACTTGATGGCTTTGGTCGAGGTGTGGTTGCTGCGTCAAATGCGGAGCGCTCAATATGGCACCCCGCCTTACATGTCCGTTCAGAGTCGGCCTGGTCTCTAGAACAACAACAGGTATGTCTAGGCCTCATGGCACTGACACAGGGTTTCTCAGCTGAGCAGTGAACATATCCTCGTACTGGATGGGAGCTGCTAACGCGTCCGGAACTTCCACTTGCTTGATTACTTGCGTAAACGAAGAGATTGGGTATTGGCTGACGCGTCTACTATTAGAACGCACACAATGGTCCTTTTCAACGACGCTCTGTCGTTGGCAGCACAGATTTCTTGTCCTGGGCCAGTTCCTCGGGATTCCAATCACCAGCATCTCACACTGGACCTCTTCCATCACTGAAGGCATCGCACCCGTGGCCACCATCTTTACAATCTCCTATCACACCCTATGTTGACTTTACTGGCATACCACCGTCGAAACCTCCAGTGGCCTACGTCTGGGACTTGAGTGTCGCCCAGGAAGCTCAAATGACCAGACTTAGGATACCGATTCATCTCGTTCTTCCATTAATTATTCCCGATGATTCACTGCTCAGTAATATGTATAGCAATTACGTCGAGGGCGCAAGACACATGCTAGCGACAGGACACACCCCCTCGGAGGTCCTGGGAACTGGCGGCGACTTCTCTTTGGAATTGTTCTTCCGGGCCCGTGCTGAGACCGATAAGTTCGACTGCGCTTCTTGGGCATGTGAAGTTTGTCGAGCTCTTGCAGTATTGGATGATTCTGTACGTATTGCGACGGCATACTTGCTCACATGCATGATGCGGGTAAGCTAGATTGTATTCTTACTAGGAAAGGTAGTGAATGCGGACTGACCTCGTCTTCAAAAAGTGGCTATTAGCGCCCACGCAAGAGAATTATGCAAAACTGCCAGACATCATGAAGCCGACACCTTCTCAACGGATGATTCCTCATATTGGCGCAATTGAAATGCTGCCCTTGTAAGTTTCCCCCACCGCCGAACTCAGTTGGTAGAATTACGATTCAGTTCTGATCAAACCTGACTAGGGGTCCTCTACGAGATGCCCTAATATACCACATGCGTGACTGGCTATCATTTGTCAGAAAGGACACGTGGTCGGTCAACTGGCCATTCGACCAGAACGCCGCCATCGAGCAAGATCCCGTGACGAACACCAGAAAGCTAGCGGCCAAGTTCATCGAGCATATCAGTGACTACGGAAACTGGAGCGTCAGTCGCCAATTTCTGCACGCTTTTCCCGAACTCACTGGGCGAATCCGGGTCCACGATTGATGCTTTCAAATCAGAATGGCGAAGAGAAGGAAAGCCACCACGCCTGTCCGAGATTGTTCGATTAACGACCATACCAGCTTGAAACCAAGGGAAACGGAGCGTGTCTCACAAATAACATGTTTAGATGGAAAGGGAACAAGTCACTGACACGGGCCCAATGAAGCGACCACGAGAGAAAGGAAAGCTGCTCCGAGTTGGCAACCCAGCACCCTCTTCCTCTTCTGCGCTGAGAGAGACAGAGTACACCATCTGGCACGCACAGCCACAAATTCACAATCGCCATGGCCCAACAAAGGGTCAGAAGATGGTCGCGTGAGCCTCCTGCTGGGCGATTTACGAGGAAAGGCGTCCGGCGCTCAGGCAAGGCCATCCAGCCATTTCGATGAGTCGCGGTGACTGGCACGAGCACGGAATGGCAATGTGAAACTTTGAGGAAACACGGGCAGCAGAGATGTTTACGCACGCCTACTGTAAACGCCAGAAAGGCAAGGGCAGCATATACTCGTAAAGATTGGTTGTACATTGCAGCACCATGTAAGGGGCCTCCCGCTTGCTGCGCCTTGCCTTAGCAAGAAGGTCGTCACATGACAATGCAAAACGCGTCATTTTGGCCAAGTTACGAGGATTTATCCACGCCAAGCCGGATAGAGAGAGTTGGGGATCTCGGACCTTCCAGACGCAACGATTGGGTGGCGAAAACCACCACCCCCGAGGGGAGCCTTCTCACACTTTATTCGCCGCAGGCGGCGAGAAGGTACATACCTCGTGAGGTGAGGTAGCCATCGAATGGGCCAACGAGGGATACGGAGTACGCGTACGTGGGTATTATGTACAAGCGATGTCTTGATTTCTCCCGCTCTTTACACGCAAAACCCGCAGCCGGTGCGCTTGAATCTCGCCTCTCCCTCGTATACTTGACCCAAAGCGGCCCGATTGCCACCTTGGTCTGAAACTCTTTTTCCTCCTCGTCCTATCTCCGTCATCGCAATCGGCTGTAGGCACACCTCTCTAAGTACAACGAGTCAAAGAATTCTTGCTGCCTGTCTGCCTGTGCCTGTGCCTGTGCCTGTGCGTCGCAAAGGAAGCGAGAACGAGGCAAGGAAAACGAAACAAGCGATCAAGGAGTCATAATTGTCTTTGCGTCCTGCCCGGCAATTGGCCCGCGGCAGTCTTGTCATGATACTATAGTGGAGTTCCTTCCTCCGCCTCCTGTCCTTTCTTGACACAGTATCAGGTACATACAAGTTTGTTCCTTTGCCATTTAGATGAATGAGTAAGTGAGTGATCGATTCTTAAGTACATGGGTGGTAAACGTAGGAGAATTGTCATGAATAGCAGCCTGTTGTTGTTGTTGTTGTTGTTGTTGATGTCGTGACTTGGCGCCCGCGCTGAAAACCCCCTCCCCCTGCCTGTTCCCGGCCCTGCCTGACTCCCATGGTCATAATAATAATAATAATAATAAAAACAAATTCATCAAGACATAAGAAAACACTGAGAGAGGGGAGTGGGGTTGATAGATGGAGAGCGGCGGGAATTGCTGTCGCATCGCTTCGGGTCCGGTTCAAGTTCTGTCCAGTCTTAACGCCGCGCGCCTATGTCTAAAAATGACGCCATGCATCCGTATCATGTCGTTTAAGTCATTGGCTTTACTTCCTTGCGTGGTTTGTTTTGGTTGTTCGTATTTCTCTTGTTTTCTGGTTGTCTCGTTTAGCTCCAACTTTCATCCAGTGCCTCCTCCAGACTGCAGCCTCGGTTGCATGACGTTGACACCGTAGACGGTCTGGGGTGGCAAGGCGCGGAGGAGGTTCTGCAGCCTGTGCAGCTCTGTGGCGTGGCGGACGATGATTTCATCTTTGCGCTGGATCTCTGCTCGGAGCCACCGCACCAGTTCGCTCTCGGGTAGCACGGCCACAGGTCCAGACGCATCCATCGCCACCGAGGAGCCAGAGGGAATCGAATTGATGGCCGTCCCAGTAGCGGTGTTTCCAGGCTCCAGCCGGCGATGGTGATGAGCACGATACTGGGGAGGGTCGTCTATCGTCGCCGTCGAGGAGATTCGTCTTCGTTTGAACTGCGGCTCTCCCTCCCCTGCCTGCTGGTGCTGACTCAAGAGCGTGGCTGGAGGAGGATTTGAGGAGCCTCGACGTGACGACGAGGCTCGATCCGACATCTCCTCCAGGTGGCGACGACGCTTATGCTCCTCAAGATTCTCCTTCCTCGTAAACCCCGTTCCGGAACTCCGGTTGCAATTGGGGAAGGGGCAGTATAATGGCTGCTTCGTCGACAGGTGCATCTTGTGCACCTCGCGCTGATGCCTGAGGAGGCCGCCTGAGTAGGTAAACCCTGGGTTGAGCTCACAGCCGGCTTCGCGACACTTGTACGGCCGCTCGTGGCGGTCCATATGCTTGTTCCATTCGCAGACTCGCTTGAATGTCTGGTTCTTTCCCGTGCAGTTGACATGGTCGCAGTACATTTGATTGTGTTCGTTGCGGGGAGGCGAACGGGCCCGTCGCACGGCACTTTGCACTCGGTTGAATTTCGTATTGATCAGTGATGGCGCGTCCTCGTCGTCCGCCATGGTGATATGCGACGTCTTGGTCTCTGGCGATGCGTGTGTAGATGCTAGATCACTTTCACTGGGTGGTGAAAATGGATAGTCGTTGTTCCGTACGATCATTGTAGTGGTAGATATTGGGATGGATGATGAGGGGGCGGCCGCTCTGAATTCGAGCCGAGTCACCGATGGGACTGGGACCGATATACGAGGTTAAGGCTTTCTAGTATGTTGAAGGGAGAGAGTAGAATAGAGACACTTCTTTTCCTGGGGCAGGCAGGTGGATATTTAGTCAGGTGCTGGTCTACAGGGATGCCTGAACTAAGGCAAGGCTGTGTAAGAGCAGGTCTTCACTGTTGACGGAGAAAGACTCATCAGACCGGCTGGGCAGCCTCCCAGTCGAAGATAAGCCACAGAAGATGATAGCCAGATCGTAGTCGAGCACGAGCAGGCAGTCACGACGCCACATGAGGCGAGTCAAAACGCCAGAAGGTCGAGCACATATCCATTGCCATTGAGTGCTAGTCTAGATGGATATATACTTTGGGAATGACGGACCGACGGGGGCCTTCTGCCTGACACCAAACAGGAAGTGAGTTGGAAGCCTACATGACTCTAGGGAGGTACCCAATTGACTTGGTCCGAGCATGGACAAGAACCAAGTGTCTAGCAGGTCGAGAGGACCTCGTGCTGGATGAGCCCTCTTCTCGTGCGCTTCCGCCAAGGCACACATGATCAGCGCCTGCCGCGTCCTCTAGGCCACAAGACCCCCATGAGCCCGTGAGTCACTCGACACTTATTGGGTGGACAGGGTCGCTCCTCGCCTAGAAAAGATATGGGGCCACGTCCGTGGATGGATGGCACGACCGGTTTTGCGGGTTTCCAAAGCCACCAAAAGGAACGCATCCTTCAGTTTGTACTAAGTGAAAATGAGCAGAAGTGCCACCAGGGTTCCGGTGTAAGGTTGGGCCTTGGCTTGCGATTTCTTAATGCACCGCAGCGCCGCAGCATCAGCGAGCCAACGGACCCATAGAGCCATAGGCACTTCAGCACCAACAACGTGCATTGTGCCTGATCAACCCCTGCTTGTGTTTCATGTTATTATCTTCCTCCGAAGCTGATTTGGGTCTGGATACTAGTCCTCCAGGAATACGATCCGCAGCTCAGCTTAGGTTGGCTGGAAATTCAGGCATCAACCAGGCGGGACGGCGGAAAAGGAACATCCCTCTAGCCCCCATCATCGGGTGCGAAGTACCACCCAAGAATAGCTAGGACATGGATTCCGCCACGTCGAGATGCCTCGCGCGAGTACACCGAGGCGTAATCAAGATGGGAAGTCTTACAGATGACGTTCCAGCTATTTGTGGTCGACTCGGCAGAGCTCTGGGATTTGGAATGCAGCACCTAAGAACTTAGAGCCCCTCTTGTCAGAGGAAATGAGGCGCAGTTCGTCCGCAGGCGGGTGTTCACCAATACCTGGGGACATCCTGAGGACGTCGTAAACACGGGGAATATGTACTCCATCAGGATCGGAACGCTGATGTTCCGCACATCAGCAACGTTTCAAAGCATTGAGCCATAGTCACCCAGCTTCATCGTCTGATGTCGAGGACGTTCGGTCGTGGTCGTACAGTTGTGGAAGATATGCAGCCACTTCCGACAATCCTTGCTTACATATCTTAGCTGCATGTTTGCGACGCCCCAGTCGCCACGCTGCGGCTATCACGGAGCTGCTCTGCACAATAAATGCAATAAATGTTCGACAAAGCGGTCTACAATATGTATAAAGCAATATGCCAATTACTGTATTACGTAGCCAGACTGCATCATCGTTGCGAAGTGTTCACATCGGGCATTTGATGGTGAGCTTGTTGGGGGTGGCTGACGCCAGATCCCAGTCCAGGGCCAGAACGCGTTACATTGTCCGAGCGATACTTAGTGAGTCTAACTGGAACTAGTGACGTATACAAGCATACAAGCACACAAGCACACAAGCATACATAGCCTTTTCTGCTCTTGTAAAACAATTCGAGGGGTAACTTGTTGCAGCGGATTCATCCTCTGCTCGAGGCATTGGCTGTGGAGGATGTCATACACAATACTCACCATCTCATAATTTGAACGTCAGAAAAGACATTGTTTTGGTTGGAAGAACTCCCTAGTTTGATGACTACGCCTCATTTCACGGCCCAAGATCATGCGTTCAATGGGTGTTAAGGCGGGTGTTGACGCGGCTGTATGGGGATGATCACTGATCAGGAAGCGAATTTCTCCACATGAAAGGCGGGAGAGAGGAAGCTGACGACGTGCTCGTTGCATACTGCGTTGTGGCTTTGGTGCGAGTTGCCATGCTATCTGTAAACTTTCCCTCCGGACAGCTCTTTCAAGATATTCGGCAAAATGACTGGATTACGCCATAGGGTCTCCGGACTGCTCGCTTGGGCAGAGGTACCTCCAGAAAGATCCTTGCAGTTGCGAAGGTAAAGCGCAGGCGCATGTAATTCCCAGTCATATGCACTGCTGCTGGAAAGAATGGGTTTAAACAGGTGTCAGCTAGCCATGGGCCGTCGAGGATAGTTTGCGACTTCATTGGGTCATAGGCACCATTTGCGCCTTCCAGCTCAGCGACATGTTCAAAACAGCTGTGCAATGATGTGCAAAGATCCGCTTGAGGAAGATCTCGGGATATGCTAAGTGGCTGATTTGTTGACATTTGGCACTTACTTATCGGACGCTAGGCGGCATCTTGATCTAACCCTTTGTCTGGCCGTGCGGGCAAGGCTTCAGGCTTCAGGCTTCAGGCTTCCAGAGTGCCGCCCTAGACAATCAAGGAAAAGAACAGCGCTGAGCGGGATCGCCGGCGCAAAGTACCCATGAGCTTTGGACATACCCCAGGATCAGGCAGTTTTGCCCCGATGTCTTGACGGCCATGATGAGGCAACGAACGGCCTTTCGGGAAAGAGGTGCACTCACACGTAGCTTCGGTTGCCACTCGGAGTCCCAAGATCCATCGCAGGCACCAGGGATACTGGTTGAAACTCTCGAAGCCAGCACATGGTTGAACAATAGACATTGGCTTGGTGTTGTCGAGCTCTGTCCGCCTGACCATTCAGGATCTGGGCAGGGCCGGTGGTTCGATAGGCGGTACTGAGTCTGAATATCTACGTAACGACACAACACGTCACAGACATGTGCAATCTGTCGGAATCTTCGCAGTCAGTCCGTGTCCTACCCAGACCCTTCCGGACGGACCCGTGATCAAAAGCTGCCCAAAATGCCAGGCAATGGTCCGACCTTGCGATGGTCAATCATCTCGACGCCTCAAAGGACACGAGATTGTGATTGGAATTGGTGCCGTCTCAATCATTGCAGACGAGAGCTAAGGCACCTGCTACTTCGCAAAACAGGTGGTGGTTGAGATGGAGTGCCACGTGATGAGTAGCGGTCTGGACGCCTGCAGTCACTGGTGAGGCCTGGCAGGGCTCCCCACCCAATGAGTCATAGTGCACGCCGAGAGTGGACGGGGTGGTGGACGGAGTGTGCGTGGAAAGTTCGCATGCCGACTTATGAGAGAGGCCACATTTTCAAGGCTTGAAAAGCTTGGAAACATTCACTAAAGGTTGGATGAAAAGTGTCTATACAAAAGAAGAATATTTGCGCTAACCCCAAATCAAGGCGCCACAGCCCCGCGACGGTCTCGTAAAACGACCTACCATCAACAGGGACGGACAGCCGAGTCCTGTAGTAGATCCAACCAAACCAGCAAAATGATAGTACGACAATACTCGGTCCTAGGCCGTTTGGATCATTTGCTGAACTCGAGGATACACATGCACCAATCGATCAAAGAATTCAGGATGATCAGTCATGAGGACCTGAGGATCCCAGGCCATGGCGACGAAGATCGTCTCGACCCCTGACAGAACGGGCGTCATGAACACCTTGCAGATTTGAAGGCCAATCAGGAAGGCGAACGCCATAATGACTGGTGTGAATGTCCGGCCATCATTGTATGCCGGCTTGGTGAATTCCAGATACAGGTATGCCAGTAAGGCAGTGAGGTAGGCAACGAACAATGCACCCATCGAAATGACGGGACCAACCAAGCAATCAGTAGCCATTGCATCGAAACCTCGATCCTTCATCATCTTCCACGTATCTTTTGCGGCAGCAATGTATGCCTTTCCATAGAGTGCAATATGACAGAATGCATACCGGTTAATGAATTCGACTAACCATTGCAGCATTGAGATGAGGCATCCCAGGACACAAAACATGATGGTGCCAATGATGTTGCCGTCTGTAGATTCTTGTTGTTGAGCAATGCTGCAGGCTTGACGAAGCATGTTGATCAATGCAACCAGAAGGCTGCCGAGTGAAAGGGACCCAAATGAGTAGGTTGTCGCACGCCTTAGAGCTCCGGCTGTGGCACCTCTGGGAATGCCCCCCGGTTTCCTCGCGCAGAAATACCAACTTCCATATGTGCCGGCAACAGTTGTATGGATAGTGGCTTTGAGCCATTCTGAGATCCAGTATCCAGCGAACGTCACAAACACGACTATCCCGATGACTTTCCCGCTCGAACAGCCGCCGCTTGCACAGGCCGGATTTGCATTGCTATCGGAGTTGCCTGGCATGTAGGAAACATAGACGGCGACTAGGGTGATTGAGAACCAAGCGCTTAACGCGACGCTGATGATGCCGCCGATCAGACTGATGAGAAAGACATGTACTTTCTTCATGCGAGCAATGTCCATGGTTTGTTGCATCATGACGACAGTGAAAGGGATCCTGGGGATCCAGCTGATGAAGCAGAAGATGGCGAAGATGGCAAAGATGGCAAAGACTATTCCAGCAGCCCAAAGTCGAAGATACAAGTAATAGGCAGCTGTTCCGACTGCCAGGACACAGTTGAGAATTCCAGTTATCCACACGAATTGCTTTGTGAAGGCGCGGCATGCTAGGAAATATGCCCACGACACAACGAAGCCGACCGCTATCACGAAGATGAACAGGACTACAGTGTTTGTGTCCAAGGAGAAGTCATTCCTCGAATCATATATTCCTCCACCATTGAACGAGTGGTACCTGGAATACCGGTAAAGCGTGAGACCTGAGACCGCGACAAATCCAAGGAAGGTTGCGATGAACTATAGTGGGTTAATCCAGAGCGCCCGCGGAACACAACACACGGATACATGCGCTTGTTGCTTACCAGTAGACCTGCCCATATATCGTTGTATTTGGGCTTTTGGATCTTGAAAGTTTCCTGAAAGGTCTGCTTATTATCCCGAGGTGGAGTGAAGTTCTGACCATAGGTCGGAGGTTGCTGGTTATACTTGGGTTCGTTCGGTTGCTGATATTGATATGGCTGCGGCGGCGGCGGTTGATGCTGCTGATACTGCTGGGGAGGCGGCGCGGTTGATGGAGGAGGATAGGATTGATAGCCAGCCTGCTCAGATGGAACACCACCCATATTCTGGTGTTGGTAATTAGTACTGTAATAGTCAGCGGCTTGACCTTGATGCGCCATGGCTGAAGACACCGCAAGGGACACGGGTATCGCGTCGCTCCGCGTCACAGAACCAAGAGTATGATTGTCGCTGCTGGCAATACTGCCGAAGCTCAAGGAGTGAACGAGATGATGGATGCGCAGTTACCGAAAGGAAAAACGATGATATCAGGGACAACAGTAAAAAGCCTGAGCCGGGTGGGTACAGATGTCAAACAGTAATTCCTGGGCAACCTGGTGATTCTTGCGCGTCGCTCAGCTGGGCACGGTTTCTCGAAGGCGGCAGACACCATCACCATTGGAGGGACTTGGTGGACCTGGGAGGACCTGGAGGAAGTTTCGAGGCACAGACAATCAAATTCGGGATGGTCTTCCCGCTTGACGAGCAGCTGAGAAGCGCCACTAAATGCTTAAAACGTTAGTATCGCCTTGCGCTCCAGTTAAAAGCCGTGGGCAGAACACTAACCGAGAAGCCGCCGAGTAGAACTCAGATCTTGGGAAGGAGCCTCCAAGCGACGAACCGCCTGTACCAATTGACACTCGGGTCTGACCTCGTCATTGTTGGTCTTAATATGGGCCTCCAGCACCTTCCTTGGTCCTCCGTACTCCGTACTGTGAACCGTGATGCCAGTGACTTCCCTGCACTGCATACGGTACACTCCAAACGTCATCGCTGGAAAGAGGCACACATTATATATTTGTTCTTTTCAGTGACTGATCATCGCACTTTCACTGAGCTGGGTGCCTGGGTAGTTTCACCATGGACGAGTAAATCAAACATGCTCTGCTGACATTCGCGTTCTATTCACCCATTCTGATAGAAGAAATCACCCGGGCCATAATTGCTGTTTCTTCAACATGATACCTGCCATGATTGTGCGCAATGTCACCAAGAATCTTGTCCTTGTGGCCATAATTATCTCATTTGCACCCATCTCAACATTTCTCCTAGCCGCCAATTATTTCTATCTTTGTTGCTTTCCCCGTTCTTCTGTTCGCCGCCGTCTGAGAAAGACCCCAGGGTTTGAACCCAAAACCATCCTGCTAAGCGGTATCAACACTCCCCAAGGTTTATGTTTGGCAAGGGCCTTTTATGACACCGGCCACAATGTTATAGGCGTGGACGGTGAACCTGGCGGTATTCCCGTTCCTCCTCGCTTCTCCAAGACCGTACACAAATTTTACGTGCTGAACATGACTTTGGCCGATGGGATGACAAATGAGTATGTCAGACGCTTGACGGAAACCATCGAAAACGAGGGCGTGGACTTGTGGGTAAACTGTGCCACTGGTGCCAACCCCTCCCTCGAAGCCCAAGTCAAGGCAAAAATTGAGCAAACAACAAAGTGCCGTTGTTTTGCTCTCAGCCCTGATAACGCTTCTCGCTTTACCACTCGTGAGACCTTCCTCTCGTACATGCACAGCCTTGGGCTCCCAGTCCCAGAAGTGCACCAGGTCAGATCACGGGATGAACTGCACAAAGTGCTAAACAAATCCCTTGGTCGACGAAAGTACTTACTTCATGCTCCGAAAGAACCAAATCATTGCCGGGCGAGGACTCCTTTACCAAGGCGTACGCTCAGCCAGACTTACAACTTGGTATCACGGATTGATATCAGTCAGAGCTCACCTTGGAGACTGGAGCAAGACACTGGAGAATTGGAGAAATACTCAACCTTTGGAATCATCGTCCATGGACAAGTCAAAGCCTTCGCAGCCAGCTTCTCAACCGCGGACTCATCCATCCACCTGCTTGATCCGCAATCGGCCTTGAGCCAATCCATGCTTCGGTTCGTTTCTTCATTCGCAGAGAGCCAGGGCTCCGGCTTCAGCATTCATCTCGGCATTGATTTCTGCGTTGAGGATTGGGTGACGGTAACTGGGGTTGTGAAAACAATTCTACCAGTAGAGATTTCTAACCAGGCCCACAAAAACACCTTACTATTTCAAGGTATGTCGGGATCGGTTCAACTGACACGGGCATATCTTGCATGTCTGCAGCCAGTCGGTTCGCTAGGCAAGAAGGAGGAAGGCCTCACGTCATTACATCCACACCACGATGCACTGGAGGATCCATTCATGCCAGAGTCCAAGATTGTCAGCGTGTACAACTTCGGCGAACTGGTGTCTCGATTGGCAGTTGGGCCTCTAACAGGACTGCTCACGTTGAGGAATACGCCGAAGGCCTTTTCGAGGAATTTAGTCCTGCTGGTCAATCGTCTCTTTCTTTGGACAGATGACTCATACAGCATAAACGATCCTGTGCCTTTCTGGTGGCACTACCAGGTGTATGTCCCATTTGGAATCATCAAGAACATCGTCAGGGGACAACTTGCCTCTTGCCGTCTTGATGGCTAGCAGTTGATGAGCCAATGACGGGGAGATTTTCGCCGAGCAAGCCTGTGGCCGGATTGATGCTGATTGTTGAGCAGTTGACATGAATGCAAGATATCGTGGCATGTCCATCGCTCTTCGTTAGCACATTTCAAGTTCTTCTGAGATGCTGAAGTAGGTCTTGGCCACGAGGATCATTGCCAGTAAGACGATCTCTACGTTGTCGTTCTTTCAATGGAGGCCGTAGAAACCATCTTGGCGCAGCTGCCGAGTCACTCACTTCGGGCGAGGAACCATGGGAGCAGCGCTTTGTGACTAGCCCTCCAATAGATATCATCAGTCGACATAAGTCGACGAAACAATGCATGGTGAAGAACGGTGGTCAACATCCGACTCATGGACTCGCCTGAGCCTCGGTATTGATGCCTAAATCTAAGCCTTGATCAACAAAGACTCTACATGCCAAACGTCATTTCTCTAGATCAAAAGTGCAGGGACGGACCCAATCCCACTGTTATCAAGTCAGGCAAACGGGGTGCGACCGGGCAAGGCTCTGCGAGATCGGTTCAAGCACCCAGAGATTACGACTAAGACGGGGGTTAGATTGACGTGAAACTGTGGGGAAACCAGGCTGAGGGCTGGTCGGAGTGGGTGTTTGGTTGACGCATTGAAGATATAGGCGAATTTCACCCGGTTGTTGGTGAAGGATTTGACGAGCTCCTACATAGGCGTTGCAAAGCGTGCGGTCTAGAGGCTCGCTCGTGAACGAAATGAAGCCTGGCGTGTCCGGCGAGGGTGTGCCTCGTACGTGACCACCATACTGCGTATACAGCCACTACACCCTCTCATTTCTTTTTTGTCAATCCAGATCCCGCCAAAGCAGCACGAGACTTACCGTGTTTGAACCATCCGAGCTGAATCAAGGTAGTCTGAGGGGGTTCTTTCTGCCTTTTCGTGGCTTCTTCTAACGCCTTTATGGCATAGTGTGGGGTCTCAAAATGACTAGCCCACGGCATCGCGATCGCAAAGTGCAGAGGACAGCAGCAGCAGCAAACGCATTGGGAATGGCGTTTTGCCATTCGCGTCGGTGGGGTGGCAGACTAGCCTGGGTGAAGACCCAAGAGGCTATGGCCATATCTGGTCGGCTGAACCGAATTCGCGCTGGAAATGGGGTTCGAATTAATTGTATGGAGCAAGAACCTCACTAATCACGCCCAGATCGCATCCCTGCTAGGTTGGTATGCATCGCACACTCTTTGATTGACTAAATCTGAACGACAGTCGAGGGTTGAGAAGAGCAGCGTGTGCTATCTGCGGAGCAAGCGCCATGGCCATCAGATGCAATCTCGATGCGCTGCAACTCCAGAATCTAGAGTTGGCGACAGTCCAGCTGGAACCGTGAGCCTAATATGTAGAATGGTGCGAGAATGCGAGAACACTCGGTTGGCATTCAGAGTCCAGCCAACCACCATCAATCCAGGAGCTGTGGCGGACGAACCGCTCAGAACTGTGCACCCAGACGCAATCGTATTGATGTCGGCCGGTCCGAAGTTCCATGCAACCGCTCACTCAAGCAGCAGCAAAAGAAAAGGAGGGCGTCCTTGTTCGAAGAACCGGACCTTAGGAATGTCCGACCCAGCCAGGAGGAGTTTAATCTGCTGGGCCGACCTCGCTCCTTGTTTGAATCGGCCACACGGGCGACATGAAATAGGTAGAGTACCTCGCATGGTGCATGATGGCCACTAGCTACAGTGAGTTGTAGTGGTCGGTAGCTACGGGTACTTAAAAAAAGGATTCCTCGGAGTCCTCCTCTGCCGTGAGGGAAGAGCCAAGGATAAGATTGACATGGAACACCCCATTGCCTGCATGGTACGGAGGAGAACACAACTAGCAGATCGCGAACAACAGGGGAAACCTGTAAGCACTCTGAGGAGCTGCATCCAACCCCGCTTAGCGAAACGCAACCCCAGAAAAAGCCCCCGCCGAACACATCAAACCAGTGGTTTAGGGGGAAAGAAAGCCGGGCGTTGACTGCTCCGGTCTCCATCGTCCATCCCCAGAGCGTGCAAGATCGTCAGAAAAGAGGGAGTTCAATCGGATCGCTTCGGCACTAGCCTACGAGTAGGTATTGTAATTCATCTTCTGGCTTGGGGCCACCAAAGAACGGATACCCTTAGGTAAACACATGTTTTTTTGGCGCAGTCTAATTGAACCAACTCGAGTCCTTTCGCAGTGAGCACGGAGTTCGGATAGTCTAGTGGGAGGGCTTCTGGGGTAATGACAGGGTAGACACACACGCACACACACATACGCAAACAAAGGGTCTTGGCCGTTTACCCTGATGTGCAAGTCGACAGCGGTCAGATGAGCCTCCATCTCAAAATCGGGTCGCGGGTCACCTTGGGGGCTCTGGCGCTTTCAATACCAGCCTAAACACACGGTGGCTTTTCTTGAAAAGTGAGTGACACCAAGTCCTCCGTACCCCGCATGGGTTGGCAAGGTGTCACAAGAGGCCACATGGTTTTGTCTCCAGCCGAGACACCTTAGACAGGCTCCAGGTAGGAAACCCTGGAGTGAACCAGAGGATGGGCGCTTACCGCCTGGGCCATCTGGGAAATTATGTCAGGGGAAAAGCCGAGGATCTGGGAGAAAAGATCGCTCTTCAGCCTGACAGAAAGGATGACCTGCAGCGGGGGCAAGCCGGTGCCTATCCAGAATCCATTGGCGTGAGGTGAAATTCGACTGCGGCGTGACCAACTCCCTCGAGCACCCCCTCTAAGAAGAGCAAGCAGGCGTCAGGAGTAGTTGCATGGCTCCCTTCAACACGGTAGGAGGAATGAGGTACCTTTGTGCCGCTGTCCTGTCGAGCCCTTTGCTTGCGCCTTGCCTCCCTCCCTCCTGGCAGCCTGGTCACATGAGGGTGGTTGGGATTGAGAACCAGTCTACCCGATTTCGTCCCACCTAGTGCCAAGGTTGCGAAGAGACACATGAGTGCCGTGTGGGCAACAAGAAATCGCATACGCAATATAATTACCTGGTCCATCTCGGATGGGAAGTTCTGCAGCTGTCATGCGGTTGATTAGGTATTCAACGCGAGCGTATTCGCGTTCTGGCGGCTTTGACAAGTCACCTGATGTCCAATCCCACCCTCATGACTGCGCCTGGGTACTTGGTAGGAAGGCCTCCTGTTAACCCTATAGAAGCGAGTCGAAAGTACCCTGTTTTCCTTGTCCATCCGTCCCGGCACGAGACACAGATAAAGCCAGACGGATGTACGGTAACCCCTGGACCTTGCTTACCACACTGCACACAGGAGGGAGGTGGATGGAGTTTTATCTCTGCCCTCCTTGATCACCGGTGGTGTGGTACAAAGACCTCCTTATAAGGCGCAAGGCGTCCCATGATGCACACATACCCACGAGCTCGGGCTCTACCGACTTTCGAACGGAGCTTGTATCTCGATTCGAGGTGCAAGGCCTCACGTCAGCACGCACTTTCGGTAGGCCACCTGTACTTTTTGGACGAGGTCAGCTTGCGCCGCAGGGAGCGATGATGGCATACTGAGGCAGAAAGAGCCGAAACCTGTAAACAATCAGGGCAAAGGTCCCTTGGGGACTAATTGCCAATGCTAATCCCGGACTTCCAGCGGTCGCAACGCAACGTCCAAGTACGACTATGGAGTTTACAACCTTGACCAATATCAAGACACTCGGCACGCCCTTAGATCATGTTAAGCTTACTACGAGCACTTAGTAATTAGCAATAGGATCGCAAGAGAGCCATCCGACGGCGGCTGCCGTGGTCCTCCGTAGAAAGCGTCTCTTGACCTCTACCTCTTCTCCCCTGGGCCCCAGAATCCCAGGCGGAGTTCAGTTCAGATCGAATCACAATTCCGTCGTGCTAGCGCTGGACTCTGGATGATGCTTTTTGCGCCCATGGGTTTTTCTTTGATACAGAGTACGGATACTCCGTACAGACTGGTGAATGGCAGAAGGTGGCCCAAGCACACGGGACACAATGGGCGCTAAGAAGGAATCATCTTGGGGGAGCCCGGAGCACTGATCCTGACCCAACCTGCGGCCACCGTGGAATGTATAATGTATGCAAGCATGTAGTGGGACGGGCAGGGTTTCACCAGTGTCCCGTGCCTGCCGAAGCCATGCTTTTGTGCATTTCGATGGATGCACCAGCACAGCAGAGGACGGACATGTATCGTAAGCGTCGGATCTGAAGAGATGCTGCAGCACGTCTCATCCACACATTCTGTGCCTGCTGCCCGCGAGAAGCCCTTGGAGCTCTTGAGTTTGTGCCTAGATAAATTATGTACTCCGTTCTCCGTAATACTGAGTCGTACCCGTGCTCAAGCTCAGGGAGTTGGCCGTGGAAAAAAGTGGATTTTCCTGGGGAAAAAGTGACACTCGACTAACATGATGACCTCCCTCCCTCGGTGCCTCAGAACTAATGACATCCCCCTCCCCCCCCCCCCAAAAGCCTGTATATCAAAGTACCGAATACTGAGCGCGCGTAATAGATTCTAGATCCCGTCCTGTACCTTGTACCTGAGATTGTTGTATCTTAGTAAGTAGTTCTATGGGAGCTGGAGAGCGAAAAAGAACAAGAAATTCAAATACATCATGACTTTGTATCTGTGTACTCCGTATCTGTGGCCTTCCACAGGCTAGTCCGGATCTACCTGGAGTCTAAAGGAAAATGATACTGGGGCTCGTGAATGGGGCACCCTGTAGATGCAAAACAAAGAAGAAAAAAGCAACGACTTGTGGAGAAACTTTAGTAGTAAAGTGGAGGTACGAAGTACGGGGTAGCCAGCACTGTACCCTGTACTGTTACTTTGTTCTGCCTCTACGACTCGAAGATCGGTGGACAGAGTGGAACGACAAGAGAATAGTGATTCCGAATCCACAGGCAATAAACTTGTATTGTAATCCTGTATGAATTGACATGTTTCAGTCAAAGTGGTATCGTGATGAGATAGCCTCGATGCTATTGATGGATGAGATGACACCCGCCTTGACGGATCAAGAGGTTGATGACGAAAGCCAAACAAAACGAAAGAAGACGTGTAATAATGAGTAGTGCTGTTCTGTTGTCCCGATCCCATCGTGGAGAGTATTCCCACACCTTCCCATAATCCCGTAATCCGTGTCTGGTATTCACCCAAGAATTTCCAATATCGCTCGCTGGCTTGCTCAACTCGCTCATTCATTGCTCCATACCCAAATAAGTTGCAACACCAAATAGTCCCAGTATCATAATGTCACATGGTGGTATAGCAGCAATGACCCGGTCACTCGTCAACACCACGATGCACGGCCAAGTGAGGCTCATCTTTCCCATCGGGCTCATGCTTCGACAAATATGCCCGACTCTCCAAGCACATGCTTCCATAGGCCCGCCGTCTTTTGTAGCTGTCTGTCCATAGAAAGAGTACGCCCCCAATGCTTTTTGGTGACCCTCAAGGCTATGCAATGTAGATAAAAAACAATTAAAAGACTAAAATCGGTGATTTTTGAAAGGTCATAGTCCGGTACGAAACAATGGCTCAAGCTTTGGATGAGGTCTTGGTGTCCTCGCTGCTTTGCATCGAGACTCTTCGTCGTAAAGTTCGGGTTTGGTCAAAGGAGCCCACATAGTCTTTGAGATCATTCTGGGCCTGTTCAGACAATTTTGGACTGTGAGGCCTTGAGGTCAAAGACATGGAGAGAGAATTCGATGAGGGTGTCCGGTGGATAGAGAAGTCGTACGCTGGGGGCAGGTAGAAGCCTGGGGACACGGACAGGGAAGGGCGCTGTGTGACCGAAGAATAGGACCGGGTGTCACTGAACGACGATGGGGTGGATTCAGAGCCCAGAGTGAAGTGGTCGAGTTGTGTAAGACGGCATGCCGAAGAACAGAAGGCTGTGCCGTTGGTTTGTCTGTCGCAGGACAAGCAGAAGTCTCCGAGAAGGAAATCCATGTTTGTATCACAGCCGATGGAGTGAAGTAGGCTGCAAACGAGGAAGGACGAGCAGGTGTTTGTGGGTGCCACTTTATAGATCCTGGGAAAGAAGGCGGCAGTGTGACCTGCTTTGCAAGATATGTAGTGTGGCAGTGACGGGAACGTCGAGTTAATGGGTGGTCACGCAGGCAGGCCTGTCTCTCATCCTCGGACAGGGCTGACGTCTGGTATGAAGAGAGAGGGTGTGCAGGTGGAGTAAGGACAGAGTAGTGGTAAGAAGAGAAGTACGACTAAGTGATGATGGATGGAAGTAGTCGGTGGTGGCTCGAGAGGACGTATGAGTGTGGTCATGGGGGAGGAGGCATGTTAGATAAAGAAAATTGAGTGGAATGGCATTGGCATTGGCATTGGGACAAGATGAAGATGAAGATGGTGGAGAGGCAAAGATGGGCAGCGATGAACCAAGCACCATCCGCAAGAGGAAAGGTGCCGTACGAGCAGGGTAGGCCGCCAGAAGGAACAGGCAGGCATGGACAAGGGCCAAAGACAGAACAGGACGTGACCAGCGCCAGGGCAGCAAGGGACCTCCTCCAGGGGACGCAGTGCTATGAGGGGCGCCCAGGGTGTGGGCGACAATTGGAAAAGTGGCTGCAGCTGCACGACGAGCAGAACAGCCAGAAAAGAGGGGAAGCACGGCGTGGTGGTGGCCATTCAAGCTGCAAGCTGGGTGTTGGCTGATGCAATGCAAGCCTGAGAAGAAGAGGGTTGACCCACCCACGGTTAGGTGTTGCACGGCCTGTGACTTGCGACCTAACAGTTAAGCAGGGTAATGAGTCCCCACTCCTCCACACTTGCTAATGTTAGGTGCTGGGGACTCACACAGTGCTACTCCGTCCAAGCCTACGAGGATGTGCCAGGGGGAGCAGGGCCTAAAGACGCCCCCCGTCCGCCCTTGGCATCAGGTGTCAATTGATGCAGCACTTCCTCGTAGGCCGTAACTGAGAGCAGTTGGGGGTGTCGCTCCACTGAGGGAAATCTCTCCCCCAGGCGCTCATGGGATTTGGCACCACTTTCGCTCTTACGAGTCCCTATGGAGGCACCGTGCTCCGTACAAATCCGCACTCACTTTCTCTTACTCATACACCACAGAACGCAACAGAGCGCCAAGTCACTCCTCCAACGAAAGGCCTGTCTTTCAAAATTCTCGCTTCGCGGTCCCTCCCACGCAATCAAGGCACCATCCAATCCGGCTCATCCTATCCATGTGCACCATTCCTGTCTGAAAGTCCAATTGTCAAAAACCTTGACTGCTATCTGGCCACTGGCGCTCACTATTGGTCGTACTAGTCATCGGTCATGCCTAAGGCACGATCCCTCCTCCCGGCGAGGCACTCTTACGCTGCACGGGAACGGGCCAGGCGGTACAAGAACCGCCTTGACCAGACCCTCGTTACAACCATCTTACAGAGTACGGAGGACCGTGTAGCGTAATTCCATATACTTGGGTGTCCAGGTAGATAACCTTCTTGGTCTGAGCATCTAAGAAGTCGAACAAACAGTACTCCGCGCTCTACGAGGTACTCGTTTAGAGCTGATCAGCGATAACGAGAACCATTCATACTCGCCACGAGACATCCTAACGACCCCAGCCCGCCAGTAACCCGTTAGGTATTATTGTTGTGATGATCCCTCGCCATCTCGCTGACCACGTCTTATAGGCAACTCTCCGATTACTCTTCTCTGAGCTGATTTTGCAATGACTTTGGTCTGTAATCCATGCTGTACTCGTGTGGAGAGTCTTCCTACTGTATCATCTGGTTCTCGATGGCCACCAAGGCTGCATCTACATCCCTCTTTAATCTCCTGTGGCCGAGCTTCAGACTCTCATGCTGTACGAGCAGCTGACATGGTTGCGTAGCCAGCCCAGGCAAAGCACTGGCTTGTACGTACGTGCTACCTGTCCACTACTGCATGCACGCCCACACCAGCAAATTTTACCTTCAGGGCTTGCAGGTCTTGAGCATGGTCTTGCCGCTAGCCCTGATCAATCGCTGAAGCTGCGTGGGATGTTTGCTGATTCTGTATGGCTCAGGCCAGACTCACAGGCTCACTGCACTACACGGGACTGCTCAGAGCTCCCATTTCCCATTTCCCATTTCCCAATCATAGTTTCTCCGTTCCGGGACACACGACGCTTGCCCATTCTTGCACATTGCCCTCTTCCCGCCCTCCTCCTTCTCTCACACAGAGAGAAAAACGCACAGGTCAGAAGATGTCTGTCCACTTCGTGGAGCGTTCGCTTTCTTCACGACGCAAGTTGATCATCAATCTTGTCCGGGTGGCAATTTTCGTTCGCCAATTTCGCTCGCCAAAAACAATTATCACACGTTTTCGAAGGGACTTTCTGGAATGCTGACACCCGTTCAATCATGCAAGGGATCAGTTTCTCCCAACTCTCGATCCTTGACCACGACGTCAGCCTGCCGAACCCTTTTCTTTCAAGAATTGCCATGGAGACTTAGCCCTCTAGCCTGCGTTAAACAACCTCGCTTTGCCTTCCTGTACCTAGTCAGGATGTTGCTATTTCACGACGAATGATCGCCCGCTATCACAAGGAAAGGGCCGCCTGGCGACTCGCTTTGCTGCATAGCGCCACGTTCCTTGCGCATTGTCAGTGGGGTAGCGTCTCCAGCTCCACCACTGGGCTCCATCCAGCTTGGAGGGTGGAGGTTTGTGTGCCTCGGGCACCGACCAACTACGAGTAAGCCGAGAATCTTGACTCTTGACTCTTGCCTGATGATCGCTCCCATATCTGCAGGCCTGCCAAGTATTCATAAGTGTTGAGTCTTTGACAGATCCTCGCTGTCGCCATTGATCAATTGACTGCACCCTTCAACCACGCCGACGATACAGCAACCCCCTGTCCAGGATCAGCTCAGGGCCTTGGTTTCTTTGGGTTAGTTGACGCATTTCTTTTTTCCCCAGTCATGGCGGTTGACAGACTCGATAGGCTCGACTACTTTGTGTTCCTCATAACTATCCTGCTTCTCGCCACGCAGTATGTCGTTGACAGTGCCCACTTTTACTTGATGCAAACACTTACGATGCAAATCTCGCTAGTCTCCTAGGCCATCTGAATGGTCAAACTGCATACGCAATAATCAGGTCTTCCAATCACAACCACGACAAAAGAGAGGGCATGTCGTGCTAGGCTTGACTCTGGAGTGAGCTATTGGACAAGCTAACTTGCAACCCCGCGTAACTATCATTACACAAAGTGGTCAGTGCTGGTGCGATTCCTCCTTCGTGCCGCTCTCGATAATGCAATGTTTCAGGTGTCAAGAGTCAAGACTGGCCCGTGCCAGCCTGATCGGTGACACGGGGGTACGACTAACCCCGAATGGTTAGCTCTCATCCAGCATCTCCAAATACCCCGCTTTAATCAAACAAATTATGGCCCTAGATTGCACCCCAACTTCCTACGGAAACGGGGCCCAACTGCTCGACGCGAAGAATCGAAGAGACCACGAGGGACGACGGTACGGAGTACATACTCGTATGTCGACGAGGAATCAGTCTGGTTGTGGAAATACACTAACCAACTCCTCGATAGTGCCTAGGTAAGCAGGTCGACCAACGGGCATCAGCCACAATAGGCGCATCTCAGACAGGCACGCTATTCCAAGTTTGCGATGTTGCATGTTTGCACCTGATCGCTCTGTTATCCGTGCCATTTCAACCCACCATAACGGCATCAATGGACGTCGTGCCTTTTTCATGAGCGTGTTCCCTCAATGTGATACAGCGTACGGGCAGCTGCTTAGTGTTTCTTCAGAGATGCCTTGCTCTGGGTCGACTGGCAACTTTGAATAATGATGCCGCCCTACCCGATATCAGCTCCATTCCTTTCAGCAGAGCAGCCCAGGATTGCTTAGCGTCAGCGTCGTTATCTATGCAACACCCCCACGCGACCAGTCCTCCGTACTGGTCATTGTCAGCAGGTCAACCGTGCCAACCGTGCCAAACGAGCAGACTACTACTAGTACTCCGTCCTCTGTCATAGTATCCAGACCTCCCGCGTTCATCGGCAGCGGGATGAGAATTGGAACCTTGTGATCAAGTTTGGACTTCTTGGTCCTCGTTATCTGTCGCCATGAGCTACCTGTCATGTCCTGATTGTTACTGGCCCTTGTTTGACGACGCCAATTTCACACGCAGACAGGATCGCACCTGGCACCCTGCCGAGGACAGTCCCTCGGCCAAGGATTTTCGAATGGAAGTAATTACGGATAGTTTGCGAGTGCTTTCAGTCATCCCGTATCATCGGCGACCTCTTCTACCTCTAAAATGTGACAGGAATGAAATTAATCCAATCATGATTGTGACCAACAGCGAGTTGTATGTAGATCCCCAAGAAAAACGGGGTTTATACTTCCCGCATAGGCTTGTGGGCTGATGGTCAGGATCGGCTACGGCGCGAAGGGCTTGCAAGCGGGCCAAGCCGAAAGATTAATTATTACGAAAAAATTTGCCACCTTTTTCTGTGTGGAGACGAAAGAGGTTTGGCCTCCTCACACCAAAGATGTACGAGTACATACTAGTGTCACTCACCAAAAAAAAAAGGCAGGGCCCAAGCAGAACTCCAAAATACGCGCGACTTTCTAATATCAACGACCATGTGTCAGTTTACTTTCTTGAACAGTACCGCTAAACGTAGAAAGGGAAGCACGAAGAGAGCCATCATTCTAGACAAAGAATCCAGAGTCAAGGTATGCAGCCAGTGAACGAACTGATTCGCCTCTTCAAGGCTGGACTGGGTACCCGCTATCTAGTACATACAGACGAAGCTTTCGGCATACACAGGATTTCGGTGGGAGTCGCTGCGGATGTCCTGCGAATCCATAGTGTTTAACAAGCTACTGTGACATAACGAACCTCGAGGTACATGATATTCAGGGACCTAGTAGCCATGAGGTATCTTCAGCCCACTCGGCTCGCCATTACCATTGTCGCTTTTCGATCAAAGAATCTCGTCCTTCGTTGACTACATGTACACTACGCGGTCCTCGGTCTTTTCAGATAGAAAAGGTTGAGCCCCGCCATTTCGGGATAGTCCCAAGCCGAGCCAGGACGATCAGATCCCTGATGCGTAGCAAGCCTTGCGCGTCTCTCTGCCTTGGAGGCTCTGAATCATACCGGGGTCGTGCAACGGTCACTATCTGGCCACCGAGGAGGAAGGGAAGAAACCGAGACAAGTTACTATCATCCATCACTCCTCTCCCGACAGTAGTGCTTTCCATCAACACCCTGAATGAAATCATCTTGTCGCACTTACGGCGTACGGTCAGACACTTTGAGTGGATAGAAGGGGGGCCCGCCTAAGCGAGATTCTTTTGGTCCCCTTTTGCTATTATCGATAATACCTCACAAGGAGCGTCGATCATCCGGAGAATTTGCCTTCTGGAGTATCCATGCTCCGTCCTTCTGTACAGAAGACCCTGCCCTCCGTGTGGACGCGACGGCGGGCGTTCAACCATGTTTCATTCGTGACCTGGACCTTTACTGACAAGGACGGGGATGGGGATGGGGCTCATTTACGTGCCTCTTCTAATCTAGTCTGACTCTCCCTTCTAGTATGGAGTAAATCCGACGGCTGCTTTTTGACAGGGCTGGGTGAGATCCTTTTTAGTGTAAGTACCGGGGCTACCTCGTTCCTCCAGATCGCAGTCGATGGAACAGGTGAGGCACTTGGTGCATCTGCCGAACACTAGCTTGATCGTCGTCGCAGTCGGCCAGGTTGCTCACTTGTTTCCTCCTCGGTGCGTTGGGGAGGGGGCGACTCACTCACCAAGTTACGAGATTATTTTGGAATCGCTTCCCCCGCAAGATCCGTCGGTACAGATAGTCCAGCGACAGCAACAGGAACAGGAACAGGGACACTGTACGAGCTTCCTTGTACCGAACACCTACCAATGCTGGTCGCTTCCTCGAAACCCATCTTCATAAAGGGATACCCGCCCTTTCAGCCGAATAACCTTTGAATATTTTCCTATACCCGACAAAGCCCATCGCTCCAACGAGAGATCGCTTAAGTCTTGTCCCTATAAGGACACCATGGGGGAATTGGACAGTCGACCCCTGCAGCCGCGTAGCCTTTGTCGCTTCCAAAGGCCCATGTCAGCGCAGAAACCTGAATCCTCGCATACAGCTCATAACGAATAAGGCGAGTTTGTTGCTTATTCTTCCAACAAGGAGGACCAAAAGTGTCCTTCTTGCCTGTTTGTTCTTCGGATCCAGCATGCTCCAGGCAGATCCTTGTGTAAACATGACAGGCAGGCCATGGGGTAGACTGTCAACGTAATTTTCCATCGATGATTGACCATGTATCACTTGTGACGACCCCCTTTGTTGTACATTTGGGCGCCGCCGATACTGAGTTTCAGACAGCTATCGCTCGGGTTTATTGGCATGATTTGGTGAGGCAGAGTCCTAATCTTCTCGATAAGGGCATTGATTCAGAGTACGGAGTTGCTCTCTGCAGGCACAGATGGTTCAAGAAATGACCTCAACGGCCCTGCTACCGAGACTCTTAGGAACCGCTCATGATCCAAAGTTATGGATCCCCGGGATTTCGTCTTGGCCTCCAGTCCGTGTCTGCTTGCACGGAAGATTCTGGGGCTGGGACTGAGTGGCGGACGGCATACAGAAGGCGATGATCCGAGCCACTGGCTAGCAGCAAGCCTGCATGAAAGCATACTAGGTAGGTAGGACATGTTAATAAAGCTCCCTGGCGGGTGCTTGCTTAGCTTGCTTGGGTGCCCGTCAAACCCCAACAGCATCGAGCACCTGGCACAACAACACTCGTGACCAGTACCATAATTCACTGCCTCGCCCTATAGCGCCTACCACCGGGTATCCAAGGTCCCTTAGGCCCTTCAAAAAGACACGTTAATATATTGCAATGCCCGAATTGCTCTCAACATCCGTCGGAAGCGATTCTCAAGGCCCTGGCAGAACAACCTGTCGTATGGCGGATAGTTACAGCAGTGGTTGGTTGGCGGGCCCGGCCCGCCTTGAATATATTTTAAGTCAGGGTTGTTCACATATATTCCGAATGTGATGAGCATTCAAGAAAAAAGGCCGGTATGATGGGGGGTTCGAGCCCCCTCAGAAGCCTATCTATCACTCATTGCTTTTTTTTTGTTTTCGTGGGAGCGGGCAAGGCTCTGCGTTACTACCCAACTGTGCCGTCTTCGACGAAGCTGAATACGCGCCAAGGCAACAGACCTAGGGTATCGTTCGCTGTAAAGGTGGTGCTATGTTGTTTCGAAGTACCGAGGTATTCGAGTTTCAATACTTTATCATTTGTCGCTGACCGGCCGGATTGCCTGCACTGCAATCCCAGCAAGGCGCCCATTCCTTGCTAGCCTCGACCAGGAAAGCTTTCGTAGACGCTGGGCATGGGGATTGGTGGTCGCCCTTCGTCTTTCCTTCGCGGACTTCTCGGTAGCTAGCTTAGGTATACTCGTGCCCTGTCAAGTTACTGGACTAAGACGGTGAGTGGTCCGTCACCTTTTCATTCAAAGATAAGACCGATGATCAAGGCTTCCTGCCAGAAGTGGCCTTCAATTTGCGATTGGACCAGCCTCGTCGCACGTGAGGGAGCCACTCAGGCTACAGCGACGACAGTAGGCTGGCTAGGCAGACATGTCTGCAAGTACTGGGCACAAGGGAAGGAGATTTGAGCAGACGATCAACGTAGGTATGCTTGATAGTGTTCCGCGGAGCTATCCCGCGTGGCTAGATGCCTGTCGTCAACTCAAACATTCCTGCTCTCCTCACGCCCTTCCACAGCTGATACAGCGCGGGCTGCAAGCAGAAGCTGCCTTTGAGACTCCACTCACTCTGTGAACAGACCCAGGTATTCAGCGCATGCAGACAGTGGTGGGGCAATAGGATTTTGTCTTTTCGAAGCCTCAGTCAAGGATTGGTGGATGTCTTTACTGTGTTATGTGCAGCAGTGCTGTGCCATTTTTACTTTTTCTCCGGAAAATACCCCGGCTGCCTGACTAGGCGCTGAGTTCGTGGGGAGTGCCTACCTTTCCAAGTTCCCATCATACTATTCCTTTGGCAAATGCACACTTGTGACTTGACGGGGCCGGATATCCGATATGCGAAGGTCTGGCAGAGAGAAAAGAGGCACTCCAGTCACCCAAGGGTTCATGCGAGGTGCAGTATGACATCTACGTCTTGCATTCTGGTGTTCTGGTGGAGAGCTCATCCTCTCTTCCCTAGCCGTGGGGGGGGCACGGTGACGGCGAAGTGAAACAATAGGGAGAAATGTCAAAACTATTCATGGGAGTGGGAGAGGTCAAGACATGTCATTGTTAAAGCGATCTAAAAATAGTACATATTGATAGATCATGGCAGTACGTTGGTGTTAAGACAGGTGAGCGGAAATCTCAGGCTTCTTTCGAAATTTGAGGTGAAAAGATTGGAAGATGATTCAGTCTGGCTTCTGATGGACAGGTTGTCAATACCAAGCTCGGCTTCGGCTAGAAAAGAAATAGGTGGATGCTTGTCTGTCGTCAATCTGGCGATGATTCATGAGATAGAATGCTAGGAGAAATACGAGCATGGATAAAATTAGAACCATCTCGACTGGCTAGTTGCTTCGCTTGGACTCGTGAAGAGGCAGCGAGTCGAATCGGGCTTAGGCCGAAATAGTCGTGCATGCTGATGGACCACAGTGGGAGCTGGCCGAGCGACAGTGTCCTGCAATTGTGACGCACTCTGATGGTCGCAGTACAGTTTATTACTGTTCACTTTCGTCTGTACTTATACCGTATCGAACGATTGGTTATGGGATCTGCATCGAGCGCCGAGTGAGCAGCAGCGCTACTTCTCCGTTGGGGCTCACTCAGGCCCCAGATGACCAAGAGCGAACGAGCCATTCTCGGAATCCTTCGGGGCGAAAACTGACCAACTGGTTGAGATTCGTGTTGACAAAGTCAAAACGCCCTTCAGCTGTAGCGATGAGATGATGCATGCGTATTTCCCTTGATTGATCGCCCACTGCACGAGCATACGTCAAGGCATCTTGCAACGAACTTCGAGTATGCCCAGAAATCTCGAAGGCTCTGCCTGCAGCTCTATTAGATGAGAGAATCTGCAGGAGCAGATACATAACAGCAGCATGGGTCAAAGAAATCAACTTACCTCGGACTTGCTCTGCAATAGCAATGACTTCTCTAACATTCATTCGTTCTCCACGCAGCCTAAACTCTCTCGGCCACGAAGGAAGGTCCAAAGCTTCAACGAGAAACCTAGCGACATCTCGGGCAGAGGTCATGCAGATAGATGCAGGTGTTGTTGAAGTGGTCTGGAAGGGAATCTGTGCTCTTCCGTTCCGAAAATCCATCAAGTAGTCTCCTTCTCGACCAACAGGGCTGTGCAGTCCAATCTGTGAGCTTGCCATTCCGCCAGGGGCAAATCGTTCGTAGAAGATCCCACAGCTGAAAACGGTAAATCTCATGCCCGTAGATTCAAGTTGGTGAAGTCTCAGAATGGCTGCGCGTCTTCCATTGTCCAGGATGTCATTGGGGGGGCGCAAGGATGGGGGGCCACTGAATTCAGAAGGCACGAAACGACGAACATGAGCGCTAGCAGCCGCGTCGATGAGAGCTATCTGTGGATTTCCGCTTATTGTTGAAATCACAGTATCAACACCAGCGAGTTTGAAGCGGAGGTCTGATGCGTTCGAGTAGTCTACCTGGTAAAGATGCAGGTTAGTCAAGATCCCGGTATTGGTGAGGACGAGGGCTTGTATAGGGGAGTCTAATGGTGGTGGCACCCGGAATGACAGACAGACAAGATGAACAGCACGACTCACCTGCATAACTTGCCAACCTCTTGCTTGAAGACCTGGACTAGGCTGTAGTCTTGTCAGCCTCTAGTTGTTACAAAAGTAACTCAACATACACGTCTGGACAGCATCACAAACTGATGAGAGGTGGTAGTGGCAATGCTATTTGCAATGTATTGGGCAAGCCCGTTGGTTCCAACTATTGCGACCTTGATCATTGTTGCAGGTTGGTCCCGAACGGAACGGCTTCTATCGAACATGCTTGGTATTATACCTATCAAGAACTGTCATCGTGCAAGAATCACACACTTTACATGAGTCAACAATATCGTGGCAGCGTCACCACCTTGCAGACAAGCGAGAGAGAAGAATAGGTTCATGCTGCGTGACCTGCCTGTCCATGGCTAGATATGATGAATTGCATTCCATTTGAACCGGCCATCTTTCATGGGATAGGGTTGAAGGAGATCTTTAGTTTGGTCTTGTGGGCCTGGAAAGCGTAGAAATTGACGAATGGGACCTGGACTTTTGAATGTTGATAATAGGTTTGCAACACGAGGCGGGAGGAACGCAAGCTCCCGACTCTTGATTGCCAATTACATTGACCCTGCTCTGCTTGATGTTAGGCAGCACGCAACTCGAATGCTTGGTTCTGTGAGTCGAACCCGCAATCAGCAGCGATCCGGTACTGACTACCGACTGATTCATGCCCTGGCAGATTCTGGTTGGATACAATAACGAAACCGGTGTCGGGGACAGAACGATTTTCTGAGAACGGGGAAATATGTGGCAGGAGATTTGAGAGCGCGAGCAAATCTCCAAAGAAAGGAAGGTCTTTGCGGGACATTCGGTTGGAATAGCCACGAGAGGTCGATCGGTGGTACTTTGAAGGGAGTTTGGAGATTGAACGACTGGAGTCAGATGCTGCACCAAGGGTACTTTGACTGATCGAGTGTGACGATACGACCGCCCCTAGTGGTACAGAGGTGTACAAGTTCAAGGAACAACGATGTTAGTGGTCAGCCCTATTAGGCGGCCAGTGGAAAAAATCCATGGCGCAATGGAAAAGCCTCGTGGCGACTGTGACTTGTTGACTCGTACCTCTGAAGAACAGGGATCGTGCTGCCTGGATGTATTCCGTAGTGGAGCCTAACTAGGGAGCCTCGCACGGCACTTTGGAACGTTGGGGCCGCCGAGAGCCACAACGTCTCTCCCGACAGTACGGAGTACCGGGACAGTCATGAAACGTGTTTGTCCGAGACTGCGGTCCTGGAAAGGAACCCGTAGGTTCGGTCACAGACTCACAGGGATTTCGCTGTTCTTGTTTTCGCCACATCTCAACGCATTATTCGGTACTGGGGCTGTTTTCTAGTGCCAATATGTGGTGTGTGCATACTGTATGTGCTTGAGATAATGTCGACGAAGGACGTGACGCTTTCGAGTCACGTGCTGGCGCGTTGATGTCGCGCGGGCGCGGGTGCAAATGCAAATTACTCAGCCGGCTTCGTCCGGCGGATTGCTTACGTATAATTTATGTACCATGCCCAAAGTCTCCGAAACGCAAACAGCATTGTCCGAGGATCTATCCTCCGTCGATTCCTGCACAGTTGTCCCATATCCCAAAATGACATTTTGTCCAGCTGAAGGTCATCTGGATGGTGATCTGGCCAACAGAGCCGACATATGTTAGATATGGATATGTAAAAGTGGGTGGATAATGATTTCATGGAGACGGTACCCTGCTTTATGAGGAATGGCCTGAACAGGGATACCATGTACGATCCCGAGTTCTGGACCCAAGTACTTTCGGTGCCCCTCCGTAAGACTGTCCTTCTGTGGTCTCTGGAGTCGGCCCTGCTTCGGGGTGGTGGCTCATCCCACAAGGTTTCACCTATTGACCACCGGTCATACTCCGCAGCACGGAGTATGGGCATTACGTTGGATGGCTTTGCCATGTAAGGCCGTCACCATCGACTGCGCAAGGGTAGGCAAGTGCCGGGTTACAACTTATCATATCTAGCTGTTATCAAAGAACATTGCCGAGTTGCACCATCCTATCGAACTCAGCAAACGACGAAGTCCGCGAAAATAAGACCACACGGTGGTGGAACAAGAGCCTCAACGGCAATTTTTCCAATGCAGAGTCAAAAAAAGAGTGACGTTCCAAGATCATCTCGGCCAGACACGTAGATGGACTATCTGAAATTCGATCACAACATGGTGAGTGCAAAGCAGCATGCCAAGCCCTACTGGCGTGGAATCAATCTGTCGGCGCACGTGACAATGACACGACGCGTTTTTTTGGTGCGGTAAATGGGGAGTTTGGGGCGCACGCGTTGTGATCTTGCCCGTGATCGTGACTGTGATGGTCCCCTCCAGAGTCCAGGCTTGACACCTCAGCTTCACCTCCTCTATTTCACATTGCCCCAGCTTCTTCTCCCTCGTCACCATTTCTTCGCATATTCTTAGCAAAGATGGCTGCCAACAGTCCAGACGCAACTGAGCCTGATCAGTTCCACGGCCATCTATGTACACAATATTCCTTTCAGCTCCTCCCACCTGCTACCCCGGCATCGGACTCCGCGTCTCTGAATAAGGGCAGGCGACGACGAACAAGGTACGAATAATTTCAGTCAGACAGTACAACAGATTACTGAGTCTCCCGCAGCCCTAAAGATAATGCCATCCTTGCAGCTGCCTACCAGAAGAATTCCAAACCAGACAAGGCTGAACGAGCTTTGATCGTCAGTCAAGTTGATCTAGGCGAGAAAGAAGTACAAGTCAGTGCCCCCGAAATGCGCTGGTCTTGAAAGCACACACATATTGACTGTTGATCCTCATAGATCTGGTTCCAGAACAGGCGCCAGAATGATCGTCGCAAGTCAAAGCCCTTGCAACCTCACGAACTCGTCGCACATCTGCGCACTCATTCCTCAAGTCCCAACCTGCATTATTTGCCTTCATCGTCCCCAAGGGATGCACTGTCTAGTCAACAAATAGGCACAGTTCAATCGCTCGCTCCAGTTGAGACTCCAAACCGTCCTGCTTCTCGAGCCTCGAGCATCCACGGCCTACTCAACCCTTCTTCGTCAGCGGAAACGGTTGCCAGCACTGACTCCTCGCAAGTAGCAGGTGCTCCGCTGACACCACCTTCAACCTTTGAGGGCGAGGTCAAGGTAGCTACGTCACTTGGGATCAAGGAGGGAGTAGTTGAGTCCGATGGCAATGAAAGTACGAGTGAGCAGAGCAGTGCGAGAAAGAGAGGTCATGATGAGATGTCTGGAATGAAGGACAGTGCCCCCGCCACTTCGGTCAGTGAATTGGCTCGGGAGGAGCCCCGAGCAAAGGAGCCCCTTGCCCGCACCTCGAGCATGGTTCGGTTGGCCATGACTGTTGACGGGGCTGTCAAAATCCGAACCGACAATGAACCGACACCCTCGCCAGAAAAGGCACGAGTACCACCGCCCCCCACGTCCCAAGCACCAATGAGAGCAAATCTCTCTCGAAGCCAAAGTGCTACGACTGATGCTGAAGCCTTTCGTCAATCCGCACAAGGACAATCGAAAGCCGTCAGTGCAGGATTTGGTCGTTCTCGTGATTCTAGAACCTGGGAGTTCTACTGTGACAGTACTGCTAAAGACGCTTTGTCAATTCAAGCAGAGGCGGAAAATGCTGGATCTGCTGTTAGTGCTATCAACCTTGTGAGGTCAAATAGCTTTAAATCGCGTACCCAAGCATTGAGCCCTGCTTTGTCCAAGAGTAATGTGCGCACTGCACTGGCTTCGAAGAATGGCAAGTCAAAATTGTCAAGAACAAAATCCTCGATGGGACGTCTGCAAGGATTTGACAGTGGATTGGAAAACCAAGCTGGTGGGTCCAGATCTCATCATGTTCGATCACCATCTGGAGATTCAGACAAGGAGAATTGGGCGCCAGGAACTCGAGCTTCTATTAATCCCCTGCGACGAACCGAACCGAGCATCAATGCCCGTTCAGTTCTTCAAGCGAACGAAAGTGTGATCTTCCGTGATGCAACCCCGGTTAACCAACTATCACACCTGCGCGGCAAACGGGCCGGAAGCGCTCAACCCTCACCAAGCAAAGAGAAGGCCAAGGGTGAGGAATTTGATTGCGTTCAAGGTTTGCTCTCCCTCAGCCAAGGAGCATGGAGATGAATTTCACAATATCAGTTGCTGCAATAGTCTAAGATGACGGAAAGCTAAAGAACAGGATACCCCCTTGTGCCCGACCTGTATCATTAAATTAAACTGCCACGAACTGACAGTACGCATCCGAATTGTTCCCATGAGATGTCTGCGACCTGTACGCCTCCACAACTGATCCCAGTCAGTCGAGAGGAAAGCATGTCCACATTTAATAAATAAGAAATGTTGAATGACTTTGTGAACATGTATTCAAAGGATATTCCTGATTCCTCGTCTATGTTTTCTTAACCTTACATATCAATTTCGGAGCCCACATCTCTCCGGTGCTCTGAATAAGAACGTTTCCATTTGAAGCTCAGACACGCCAAAGTTTGATGTCTCTAGCCTAGACTCGAGATGCCGAAAAGGCTAAAATCCTCGAACCACCCTCCGCCGAAATCTGGAGATCGAACTTCCTTGCTTTGAACTTGCAAGCTTGATCATAAAGTCACAGCATTGGGAAATGAGGATAAACATCATGCATTTCTTGCGTTAACTGTTTTGGAGCCTACATTAAGCGCTGCGAGCCATTTGGCAGTAGTTCGTATTCACGTTGGCAAGCGGCGTCCCCCGGGTTCAGCACTTCTGTTCATCAAAGCCCACCAGGAGCCAGGGAGTTAGAAACGCATACTGCATCAGTCTGTGAGTGTTTTTCCATGTCCAACAAAACCTCCAACATAGCCGAGGACCCGGCCAGCCAACCGGGACAAAGGTACGATAGGTACGATGCAACAAGTCTGCTTAATCAAATCTACCAACGGCAACAGCTGACCAGTCGAATGCAATCCTCTCAGGCGATACGCAGGCAGGGGCTCGTCGTCGTCATCGTCGTCGTCAATGTCACCGCCGCATATAATACCGCATGTCGCCGTGATCGGCGCCGGAATGGCGGGTCTGCGCTGCTCGACAGTGCTCGCACGCAGCGGATTTAAGGTCACCATCCTGGAGGCGCGCAACCGCATCGGCGGGCGTGTCCACCAGCAGAGCTCAGGAGGGCATCTGGTTGACATGGGACCAAACTGGATCCACGGCACTAAGGGCAATCCGATCCTGACGCTGGCGGAGAAGACGCACACGGCTGTCCTGGAGCCCGAGGAGGACAGCGCGCTGTTTGGCTCGGATGGGCTGAGGCGTCCAGAGGCCGAAGCCAAGGCACTATCCGCGAAAATTTGGGGGTTGATTGCCGATGCGTTCAAGTACTCGGATGAGAACTGGCTCGATCCGCAAATGAGCCTGTTTGACTATATCAAGGCGAGGCTGGACGAGGATGACAAGCTGGAGACAAGAAACCGCGTCAACAGGCTGAAGCTCGACAGGAGAGATCTCCTCCGTCATGCGGAGATGTGGGGCCCGTTCATCGGCGACCCGATCCAGACCCAGAGCATGAGGTTCTTCTGGCTCGAGCAGTGCATCGAGGGCGAGAATGTCATTGTGGCGGGCACCTATCGCAATATCCTCGCCGAGGTCGCGAGGCTGGCGCTCGAGCACGAGCAGCGGGACAACGTGGACCTGAGGCTCGACACCGAAGCCGTGCATTTCGAACTGGCTCGCGACGGTACCGACCGTAATGACGAGGACAAAGTCACAGTTACCACGGCGGCTGGGGACAAGCTGTCCTTCAACGACATCGTTCTCACGGCGCCGCTGGGGTGGCTGAAGAGAAACAAAGATTCGGCATTTACACCGGCCCTCCCGTCGGGGCTGTCCCAGGCGATCGATAACATCAACTACGGTCGCCTTGAGAAGCTGTACGTCACATTTCCATCCGCGTTCTGGCTCGGTGAGGGTGGGCGCGACACATCACGTCACCCTATCTTCACGCAGTTTCACAGCCCGAACTACGTAGAGCACCCAGAAGGTGCGTCATGGAACCAAGAGATTGTGTCACTTGCTCATCTGCCCGGTCCCAACGCGCATCCGACGCTGTTGTTTTATATCTACGGGCCTTGCGCGACATGGGTGGTCGAGCAGGTCACGAATCTCACGCCGCATTCTGACACCTACAATGCTGTGCTTGCGAAGTTCGCGGAACCATTCTACAGTCGTTTGCCGAATTACTCTCCCAGCACGAATGCGGCGTGCATACCGAAATCGTTCCTGATGACGCAGTGGCAGAACGACAAATTCGCGGGGAACGGCAGCTACTGTAACTTCCAAGTCGATCTGGAACATGGGGATAAAGATATATTGGCGATGCGGTGGTCATGTGGAATGGGCGCTGAAAAGGGCCTGTGGTTGGCAGGCGAGCATACGGCGCCGTTCATTGCGTTGGGGACAACGACCGGTGCGTATTGGAGTGGCGAGGGAGTTGCTACTGACATTTGTGAACGCTACGGGATTGCGAAGGCAGAGGACTCTTGTGAGGTTGAGCAACAGGGGCAAAAGAAGGATGTTACTTCAGCGAAGGAGAACGGAGATGCAGCAAACTTGAACGGTTTAGCTCTCTGAGATGCTCATCTACGTGGCTCTTTTAGAAGGATTTGGACTAGCGATGTGGGAGGACTGTGCAAGGTACTATCCAGTCAACGACCCCGAAGCTAACAGCCATCGTCCTTCCAGTTGGGCTGGGTGCTATCGGACGGATGATTGATGCAATGCGCCTGTCGTCTGCTCAGGGACGATTGGTGTCGACCTTCACATGATGGGAGGTATAAGAAATTGTGGACAGTGCCGAATGGATGGTGGCCCTGACCCTGATGAATAGACGTGAAAAATTCAACTAGATCTTTTCTTCCAATTCTGTAAACGCCACGACGGTCAGTTCATTTGAATGCCAAATATTCGACTCCGGTGATCTTGGCAACTTCCCCACACGGTCAGGTATAATTGATCACAAATACATACCTTTGATGATAGCTTCCATTTTCTTTGCATGACTTGATTTCTTTCCGAGGCCTGTCCATCTAGTCTTCTCTGCTTCTTCCAGTTGTCTACGAATGAAGCGTGATTGCTGAGACTGAGAGTCTTGCATGACTGGCCTTATTCCTTCTCCTACATGTTGAGGGTTTTGATTGGTCAAATGCATCAATGTAAATTTCCCACATATCATGAACCTACCGCCAACCCGTTTCGTAACCACACACCGCCTCATGTTCGCTCGCAGAGACTTTTCCAGAGACTTGTCCACTCTGAGCACGTTAGAGATTTCGTTGGCAACTCCATCTCTTGCTAGTTTGGCTCGACACAGTTTCTCTTCTTGTCGGAGAGCCTTCTTCTGCTTGCCAGAGAGGGTCTCGATAAGTGGCCGTCCTCGACCATGACCACGGCGACCACGAAGCGCAAGCTGGAGTTCCGGTAATGGGCCGTCAGGATTTAGCTTCCATGGCATGCTGGACGGGGTTCGGTGTCCTCTTTGACCTGTTCTTCTGCTAGATCATTGATCAGCTGTCCCAAGGGAAGAAAGGCTTCATCAGGCTCGGGCTGAGATTTTGCTTCAATCTTACGCTGCCATGTCCCTTCTGCTGCTCTGGCCTTGAAGTGGGTGATAAGAGCATCTACTGGATGTATCCGGAACCTCATATTCTCTTGGGGTGTGGTCAGATTTGTCTTCATCAAGGATGGAAGTGGTGAATGCTTACCATAAACTCCTAGCTCTGTACCCATCAGAAAGAGTGAGCTGTGGGTTTGCTCTGCGGTCGGTAAAGTGACTTCTATGGCATTCAAGTTGACTCCAGTGTTTTTAATTTGTCTGAGAGCAAACACCTTAATTTTGTCCATAGAATGATTATCAGCAGAAACGGTGACTCCTTTTTTGGCAGTCACAATGACTTTGATCCGACCAGTGATGGTCGCTTTAGCATCGGCACCGTTGACAGATTCTGAAGTAGCCCTTGGGTCTTTTCGAGATAGACTGGTCGTCCGCCGAGGGTAACTGTCATAATCTTGAGCGTCGAAGGCTACTGTTGTGTTGCCGGCCTGGGACGATGTACTCGAAGGGGCTTTGTCCAATACCATCTGCGCAGTTCCATGGTTGTTGTCAGTGTCTGTGGTGTCTTGTTGCATGATTGCTTCGTTAGATTATGAGACCTAGGTAAGCATGGAACTTCTTGAAGAAAATAGGATACGGCATAAGAGTCCGAGGTCAAAGTGGTTGAAGGATGAAGGAAGACAGTTGAAGTGAAACTAGAGCCTGAGTAATAGTATGGCTGCAGGTGATACTTCCTGACTGCCTCTCCAAGAGTGAACAAGCAGACATGTGGCGCCACCTTTTCTTCATGCTGAACATGGCCTCTTCACCCTGAGCTTCCAGGGTATTGTCATTACTAGGAAGCATGTGCTTCCTCTCAAACATCCGATCAATAGTCATCTTGACTCTGAGAATGTCACAAGGGTACTCCCAATCCAGGCTGAGAGGATGTTCAGATAAGTTTGGAAATTCACATGTGGCTTCTGAAGAGGAATAGAAGGTGCGATCATGTCGAGGTCGGTCACATACTGTAAATGCTCAGTGGTTCCTTCCCTCGAGGCTGGCGGGGTCAATGCTTTCCCATGTTTATTTTGACGTCATCCCCTGAACGTGGTGCAAAATCCGGAAGCGGAACAATAATCACGCGTCAGATGTCGCAGTTGACGGGTCTGATATCAGATTCACATCCGCGTCGAAACTTCACTCCAGTCAACCAGTTCTCGCCTTGTCGGTTTTCCGATGTGGGCAAAATGCCTCCCAAACCTTCGGTCCGTGGAGAGTATATTGAGACGGTTTGATTAGATCCGCCCTTTTCATGACTTCGATCCTCGAAATAGCTAACTTGTTTGTCCTAGGAAACGGGAAATAAAATCAGTCGCCGTGCCGCCATTCTCGGTCCCAAGCATATCATTTTGGCAGGGAAATGTGTGATTCAACAAGACGTTGTCATCCATGGTGATCTTGTCCGGCCACCCCAAGTAAAGTCCCCCGCGCAATCAACAGATCCGAAGCCTGCAAACCAAGAGCATACCTCCATCCACCTTGGCCGTTATGTCTTCATTAGTCCTGGCGCCACGCTTCATCCGCCCTCGCGATTAACCACGGTTGCAGACCCAAATGGCGGGCAACCAAAACAAATCATGACCTATTTTGTGCTTAGAATATCGGACTATGTCTATATCGGTCCCAACACCCATGTGAGAGCGGCAGAGATCAAGAGCAATGTCTATATTGGGGCCAATTGCACCATAGGGAATATGGTTATGATCAAGGACAACGTTAAGATCTTGGATGGAACCGTCCTACCAGCAAATACGGTTTGGGCTGGAGGGTCCGTTATTGCCGGCCGGCCAGGAAGGGTCATAGGCGAGGTGGGCGAAGCATGGGCGAGCACAGGGACAAGTGGCTCAACCGTGGATGAAGGGGTTGGTGTGAGAAGCCGCGAACGGTGGGCTGCAGTTGGCAACAAGAGATGAGGATGCAACCACAAGTCTTAAGCCCCAACTGTTCACTTGGGACGAATTCCACCATCATGCGTCGGCGCACCGAGAGTCTTATTCGTTGCTGGACGGCCCTGCCAGCCATGAGAGCTTGAAAGATTCTCTTTGAGCCATTCCGTGATTGTGAAGAAGGTATGGACCAGCGCACCTGCTGATCCTTTCACATCCCACACTTCGGTCTTAGTCGGCCGTACACGCCATATTAGAATTACACAGGCTGTGTCAACTATCAGAGAATCTTCTCTCGATCCCCGTTACATGATGGCGGCTCATATTCGCGCAAATGACACGTTGCTGAGGTAACCAGAATATGATCCCAGCGATCTACATCAACCAATATGTCCAGGACAATCGTCGCTTCTGCTGAAAATTGCTTAAAGTTGGGTTCAATTAAATCTCTCCCTCTACGGCACAGATTATTACGAGCGGCAGAATCCAAGCTAAAAAAAAACAGAGACAACCGCCCAATCTCGCTCCAAGCCAGCGCCTTCTCGAGCTCTTCCAATACAGTGAAGAGCAAGTGCCTCTCGCTTTCCCAAATTCTGCAGGTGCTCGTTGACTCTGACGAAGACTTAAGACGACTCAACACAAGGCAAGGCCGTATTGCCTGAGATTAATGATTAGATTACGCAATTCAATAATTGGACAAATGCTGGCCGTTGAGAAGCTGCGACTTTCACTCTTCCTCATTCAGTCTCCGTTGTGCCCTTAGGCGACTCAACCCTCACCATGGTGAACGCATTGAGGCTAAATCGTCCCGGACTCGCCCGATGGCTACGTTGTTGGTCGTCTGTGCGACTTGGTATTTTTCCTTGCTGCCCTCCGGTAGTCGGTAAAGACGAGGAACGGGAATGAATTGGTGCCGATTGGAGGGAGTCCAACTGCCTTTCTTTTCCTTGCTGGAATTGGGCATGGTGGGTGCCTCGCTCCTGGTTTTCGATGCTCAGCTGAGGACTGTACGCTCGATATTGGTGCTGAGTACCCGTGCGCGGAGGGTCCGAACAGACACTCACTGATTGCAAAGGACTCTCGAGTTCCTGAATCGTCGATTTTTCTTCCTCAGCATTACCACTACTTTGGATTGCTTGAAGTGATGTTGAAAAGGCTCTCAATAGCAGCGGGTCACCTTGATGATCCCGTGGCCGATGGACAACCGGAGGCGGTGAGGCTATCTCTACAGAGGAATGCCCAGAGTGTATGCTTACTGGGCCTTCTGTTCTCTGAACTTCATACTGCATCGAGCGCCCGAGGTGGAATTGATCTGGGATGTGGAATGCAGATACGGGAGAAGGACTTCGAGATGCTGCTATCGGTGATGGTCGGAGGAAGCCAGAGCTCTCGTGCTGCGCTGGAGCTTGATGGTGGAACTGCTCGGGCACTGCCGATTGACCTTGCTTGGTATCTGGGGTGCCGTTGGCACAGCTAGTCCAGTTTTCACCTGACCACTGCTGGACTTGGGGTCTACTGGATGCCACAGCAAAGTCCTTCATCTGAACCATCTCCTGTGATACCACTTCAAGACCTTCATAACCACTCCCGGGCCTTCTTTCTGCGTTGGCACTCCAAGCAGATGGCAGACTCAACTCAAGCCTTCTCTCTGGCTGGTCTCCACTCTGTTCATTCCCCGGCCGACTCAAAGCTTCTTCCCGTCCTCCATTGTTTTCCAGATCTAGCGTCGTGCTGGCAGTCCTGACACTATTCCTCAAGCCATCGTTCATGCGCTGCTTCTTTCGCTGTGCGTACAGATGCCACATTATGCAGCACTGGGCCACTGCAATCAAGATCAAGACCGATTCCAGCGTCCAGAATGCAATTGTGCCTGGGGAGTACATGTTGTGCAAGTTTGCTGCAAATGGCGACAGACACAAGTCGCGACTTGAGAACTATGGTGTAATGGGGGTCTCAAAAGAAAAGTCTCTGTTGAAGCCTGACTTTTCTCTGCAGATGAACGTGAAACTATTGGACGATCAAGAAGCTAGCACCCTGAGAGCGAGAGCAAGAGCAAGAGAGGTGTGTGGAATCCGAAGCAATAATAAACTAGATACAAAATAAACTACTTTCCCGAACACCCAATTCCCCCACCATCCACCCAAAATGAAATCTGTTTATTTCTCTTGTATTCCAATCTCCGCAAATTGAAAACAGTCCATTCAGGATCTCGTACAAGCACACGACAAGCACGGGAATCAATACTCCAGCCCAATTTGCCAGACTGGATGGGAATGTACACCTGATACATTGAGCCAGGAGGTTTCAGCCTTGTCTCGGAGGTGGGGAGGCGCGAACATGAGGTTTTGATAAGAGAGTCTGACTACATGCTTGGCGTGGAGCAGTTGTTTCGGTGGAGTGGTGTGTTCCGTGATTTTAGTTGGGACATGTTCATCTATGTAGGTAATTGGTATGTAGGTACGGCTGCGTCCTATGGTGATAGATGTTGGGCGATGAAGGAGAACCGGGTTGGGAGCTGCATACCCATCAGCCAGTCCAGTACCTTAAGGGGTTGGGAGGGGGAACGAGATCGTGTACTCACGGGATTGCCCCTACTCACACAAAGGGCACATTTCACACCAAGAAGATAGAAAATCAAGCTGAATGAGGATTGGAATGGAATGGAACCCAAAGTAGACGCAACACATAAAATTATCCAAAGGGCTGCGCTATCTCTCTACCCGCAACATCTGCCGAGACCAAGATGGGAATAGTCGAGCAATCCATACTGTTGCATGTCGAAATCGATGTCGAAGTTCCCTCGCTTGCACGACTCAAGACTTACGGGTCAGAAGGCCATGGTCCAGACCCTCCTGCCGCTGCAGCCGCTGTCTCTCTCCACCCGGACGGAATCACTTCCTCCTCATCACCACCACGCGCAAGAACGGCCTCTTCCTGCTGCGCACCTCGAGTACGTACTATCCGCCTGCCAACCCAACCGACCATGGTCCCAAGGATCGAGGTGGCGACCGTGCCCTGTCCCTGCTCCTCCTCGGATGTGTTCCAATTTCCACCCTGTGCGAGATAGTCATAGGCTGGCGGCGGCCCCTCGCCTTCAGTGCTGTAGCCGTACGGGGGAGGCAGAGGATAGGCGTCCTCCTCGTCGGCCGCAAGCAACGACATATATGTCCTGGCACGCAGGTGCACGGGAAGCAGGACCTCTAGGGACGTTCTTGGTTCGTGCATTGTTTGGACGTGGCCGTTGGCGTAGGCCTCTTCGTCTTCGAGCGTGTATCGTGGTGGTGGAGGTTGCGATCGCTCAGGACGAGTAATCGGACAATACGAAGGAGGATCTGACTCGAGCGCCGGCGGGGTTATTGTGATTGATGGCGGCATTATCGCGGGTGGTCGCTCGGTCTGTTGCTGTTGTTCTTCGACTAAGGCAGGAGGAGCGACAGGAAGAACGCCCCGGATCTCGCGTGCCCGCGGTCGTGTTCTGTCCTGACTCGCTCTCTGTCTCCACCGTCTCCCCTCTCCCTCATTTGCTCTAATGGCCTGTTGCATGCAGTACCGATACGGTGCGGCATTACTGATTCTCACTCGCCGCGACATGCTGCGACACTGCGCCCGCATCTTGAACAATGACCAGATGTACCCGATGATAATCCCTAGGGCAAGTACGAGCCCCAATACCAGGGCGAGAACATCGCCGCCCCTCATCCTCTCTTTTTTTGGGCACGTAAGGCGGTGCTGATACTAGGAATGGCGATGCTAGGTAGACTGTGAAGAAGAAACGGGGGTTGATCAAATGCCTGTTAGTATTTCAGAGGACACTGAAGATTTGAAAAGAGAGCAATAAGAAGCTCCTTCTTGAATTGCTGGAGACAGCAGATTTCCTTCCAGCAGGGAAACAAAGACCAGAACAGCAAATGGCGAACCCACCTATTGATCAATCACCAGGACTTCGAATTTGTGCGTTGCGACCACTCGAAAACAGAGAGCGCGAGAGGTCTAAAAGACCAATTTCAAATAACAAACTATCGGTCAGGCATCCTCGAGCCTCGATATTCTTTGTTCCTGTGTCTGTCCCTCAAACTTACCATACCAGTGGTATCGACGAGGAGCCCTGATTGGACTCGGACCTCAATCAGGCTCGGAGCCTTGTGGGGTCAAACTCTCATGTCGCACGGAGGAGGGGCGCAGGTTTCCTATAGGTTTTTCTTAAGCTTTAGGCGGAGTTTCTTGCGTGAACAGAACAGAACACCGCAGCGCGACTAGAGTATCCTCCTCAGAGAAGTCTGAGCGACGGATGCGGATGGCATGCTACAAGAATTATGTAAATGCCTGAGGTTGAGTTACGAACCAGGTAAGACAATTGACCCTTTGGGAAGCAAGACAGAGTGGATGTGCGCCAAGACCATGAGGATGATTCGGTGCACGGGCAAAGGCGCTGTGGAGGAGCCCCTCAGGGGATAAAATATCTTATAATTTGTATGAGATAGCATTTAATGGGCTCAAAATAGAGAAGATGGCCTTCTTTGATTGATGGATCGTATGGTTCATCTCATCATTAATATATCCAACCCCGTAGAATAACACTAGGTATTTGCAGGTCTCACAGTTCACTGTGAAAGTGGTGCTTTTCCACCCCAGGATCCCCTGTGTCTAATTCTCGTCGTCTATAATCGTATCACACAACTCCATGGCCTCAAATCTCCACGATGAGATCGCAAATAAAAGTCCCATTGTCCAATAATTCCGAAGCTGCTGCACTAGCCACTTTGGATGGTTCCCAATAACACTGTAAAAAGAATAACTCTTGCCTAGCTGCGCGATAATACATCAGGCTTATTTATTGGGCCTTTCTGGCAGAGGATGCTTGCTCGCCAAGCCTTCTCAGCTCCCAATCCTCGCTGTGCGAGGCCGCTGGCGCCAACGCGGCACCGTGTTCCTCTGGTATAGATGATGTGAAAGAGTCGAGGCGAACAGCTTCGCTAGACACTTGCCCCGTTCTAGCGTCAATTGGACCGTGGTTGCCTTCTTCGGCATCTCGTGCTCGGTCCAAGCTCTGATTACCACGCGTCCAGCCCATGAATCGATTACGGTGCGTTCCGACACTGCTGACGCTGTTTCGATGTGAATTGAACGGCTCTGTCGATCGACGCATGAAGCCACTGCTCATGTGATGATGAGAACCAGACCCCGATCGGTCTCGGCGAGACGCCGAGCGGCCAGAAGCGCGGACAGCTTCTGCAGAGTCTCTTCCTTGTTCACTCGAACGGCGCTCCTCGTCGATTCTGTTGCTCTCGCGGATGACGTTGCGGTATTGTGCTTGTGATGGTGATCTGTCTTCATATGGATCTGCCATTGAACCGGCGTCTCTCATGCCGAGGGAGAAGTCGACCCGTTTGGCCATGGAAGAGATTGATTCCGCTCGAGGGCGGCCAAGTTGACCGGTGCTGGGTCTTCTTCGAAGAATTGACGGGTTTGCACGCACAGGAGCTTCTCCAGCAGCGGCAGGACCTGAAGCTCCAATGTCGTTGTCGCTCGTACGGAGGTCTTGTGAAGGAAGAGCCCCAGGTGGGTAATTGAGATGTAGAGGAATATCATCTCTCCAGCCTGCTTGATTGCGGCGTGGGCCCTCAATGCCGTGCTGTTGCATGGCTAACATCAGCGCAGAAATAAACTTATTCCGCCTCGTCAATCGAACCAACTCGTTCTGCCAATTAGTTTTGTAAAAGAAGACCACGTTGAGCGTTAATGAATATGCCTCTGTTACTTCCCGGAGTTCCGTGAGGATGTTAGATTGATATTCACGCTTCTGGTCGCGGACGAACTCAAGTAGCGAACTCCTTAGAGCATCGATTTGATCGATTGTCGTTCCAAAGCGAATGACGATCGGCACGGCCTCGGCCAAACCTCCAGACCGGCGCATGTTGAGAATGAACAAGGTATTAAGGTAGGAATTAGGCGCCTGAACGATTTGACCTTCCATTTTCTTGAATTCGGTGTACAGCAAGGCGATCTCTTTGACAAAGTAGTCATCACCCTTCAGCTGTGCTCCAGTGTTACCATAGATCGATACTCGATCACCAACATCAAACGGATGTTTGACGAAGACGAAGACAACTGATTGGAGGAACTCTTGCGCTGTTGCGGAGAACAACCATGACAAAGCGAGCACGGCAGAACCGGCAGACGTCAGCACACCGGCCGCAGATGTCGAGAGAAGTGAGATCAGGACTAGGACGACGATGATGAATACCACAAACGAGAGGACATCATCGAGTTTGCTGACGACGGAGTCCAAATCCTTCAAGGAAGCTGTGATGGACTTCCTTTCCCTGCCGATTTCCACGCAGACAGCTTCGAGTTCTTCCATGGAGATATCGCCATTCATGTCCTTATCGAACATGCTGAATGCCGCTTCGGCCTCGTCGTTGTTGTCGAAAGCCACCTTGAGTTCCTCAGAAGAGACGGTTTCCTCTCCCTCTCTCGCAAAAGTCCTGTAGAGTCGTCGGGCCAAAACCTGGGATCCAGCTGTCGATCTGAGAAGCTCTAGAATGACCTGAGCAGGCGAACCGCTCCTGGCAACTTCTTGGCCAGTAAAGTCACCTGCGACGGCTCCGGCAACATCGCCAACTTTTGCCATGGCCTTGTTGACTGCATGACTGGCTATTCCGACGTAGGCAGCTGGAGTGCGAGCACCAGAGGGAGGACCACTTGCCTTCTCTTTGAATTCACGATCATCCATATGTATCTTGGCTTTGGAAAAGATGTAGAGCTTGGTCAAGCTCCCAATCTGAAATTTGTTGAGCTCGATTCGGTCGGCGTAGGTTCGAAGATGGAAGGATATGGCAATGAGTTGAATAATGATCTTTTCGCCGAGATTCAGAGAAGTCCCAACAAAGACAGCGATAATAACTTTGTTCATGGTTCGCATCCACGAAGTCGTGCCAGATTCACCGTTGATGCGGCGGTTGGACATGATTGGGAGGAATGAGATCTCGATGGCCAGCCACCAGAGGAACAGAGTGAGGGGAACCTCGAGCTGCTTGCCAAAATCGCGCCATTTCTTCGAATTGTTTGTGAACAGACTGGAGACAAGACCGAGGGGCCAAGGGAGGCATTTGGCCACAATACGACCAGCCCAGAGGGTCAACCAGACGATCTCTAGCCAGACACCGAACCATAACAATTTGACACTGCCAACGTTGGCATTCTGACCCGGGGCAGTCAAGGCACCAATGAGGATTGGTGTGAGGAGGATTACGGTAACGGGGACGATGTAGGTAAAATATCGAACGAGCCAACTTGACTCGTGGACATACTTGAAGAACTTTGCAACTTTTGTGGTGGGGTTCTCGGGAGGCTTGTAGACGGCAGTCCGCTCGTGGAGAGGATTGGTGGCAGCGTCGAAGTCGTCGATGGGCTCGGGGACTCTCGATCTCGAGCGATGTATAGTGGTAGAATTGCGGCCTTCAACTTCCGAAGCAGTGGTTACGAGACGTTCTGCTCTCTGCAGGGCGATTTCATCGGTGAGACGGTTGGCTTCCTCACGACCACGCGATGGGGAAAGCAGCTGATCCTCGTGGCGAGTAGGAGAAGACTCTCTGAGGGCTTCCACGTGCAGTCTCTCCTTCAGCGCCTTGCTGTCGACAGGAGCATTGCCGTTGAGATGGTCATTCTGGCCGATGACGGTTTGCTCCTCATCAGATGAACGCATAGTCGGTGCGTCGAATTCGAAACGCGGGATTTCCTTCACCGGGGTCGCCATGATGAAGAGGAAGTGATACAACCGGGGAGAAGAACAGTGCCCACTCAGGGACAGCTGCTGGGAATATAAAAGATGCAGTCCGGAGTAGGGATACTGACCAAATGTGGATTTGGGGTGGGGTTTCTGATGGACGCAGAGGACCAGGGGTGGCTTGAGGCATGGATCGGAGTGGGGCGAATGGAGATGGGTGAAAGGCGCCGATAGGCACCACTGCGGGTTTTTTAATCGGGGCGAGCGTCGGTTAAGAACCGCTGGGCCCGTTAAACTGTAGCGCCTGTTTGGGCGCTGCAGGTGGCCCTGGCCCGTCTATTGGCATCGGAGGCTTAACCGGGAGTCTCAAATTCTCAACATTCACGTTGGAGGCACGAGAGGCCCGGGAGCCCCAAACCGCTGGGTGGGTTCCGGTGACGCACTAGGCGGTTCCTCTTCTATTTCTCGGCGCCCGATTGCCTGCATCTGGTGAGACGCTTATCCAGAGCTGCCAACCTATGAGTACCAAGACAGAAGACTTATGCACGAGTCCACAATTTGGGCAATTACTCTTACTCGTACAATAGGTAATTACGGGGTGCTACATACGTCTTGCCCGTTCAACAACAGACGTCCTCCAAAAAAACTCTGATGGATTGTCGTCGTGTGCAGTGCAAGGCTCGTGTCTTGTATGACAGATCCAGTTCCTGACTCGTAGATCAAGGTACCCGCAGTCACATCATGAGCCGAGGGGGACTCCGTCTTTTTCTTGATGCCACGCACAAGGAAATTGTGCCTGGCTGGCCACACACCATGCTGAGTGCCATGATTCTGATCGTTTGATTACGGATACACAGTCTCTCGTATAAGATTGGACAACTAATAAGCGGTCGCTGGCGGGCTGGCTATCTCTGGTCATTCTCCCTGCACCAGGCTGCAAGCCTGCAACCCTTGAGCCGTGCCCCTGAGTCCAAACCTTTTCACATGTTATCTTGGGTCTGAGGCACACAGCACTTTCTATGCCCACTGCCAAGTATGCGAGACCCGCTTACCACGTCGTTTCTCTTCGCCTTGTTTCACAAATTCTGGAGGCGTCTGCGTCCATGGACCTGTGCACATTCACTGGCCTCCAGGACATGCAATTTTGAGACAAGCAGGGCATGGTGCAGTGCTAGCCGGCAGATCGACATCACTGTTGTCAGCTAACAAGCCACCTGCTCAAACCTCCTGGCTGAAACGGTATTATTCCGATGCCGATGGTGTTCATGGTACTTCTCGCCTGCCATTCATCACTAGGATTGACTACACATGAATGCCTCCATGATAAGTTGAGACTCCGATGTGCAGGGTTCGTTGCTGTATGCAAGACGAAGGAAATCTCAATCTGCAGGCCTTGTTCAGCTCAGTCAAGTTGGACAGCTCGTTTTGCCAATTGTCACTATTTCGGACTCCGTACTGGCTTTGATAAGCAATAGCTGGAAAATGGCTACTATGAAATGATCTAGCCGGCCTTTGGTGCAAGGCCAATCAAATATCAATCCCACCAGGCGCAACCTGCAGCACGGCTAAGCACCATCTAGTGTTCATTCTACGCCAGTACTGTCTTAATTGTATGTCCAAAGGGGTCTCGAGCTCATCAATATCGTAGAAATGGATCAAGACCGTAAGTTTCACCAGTCTCGACAGTAAAAGGCGTGGGATGAACCCAATGTCTACACATTTTAAATCAGTGTCTGACAACTAGAGCTGAGTAAGTTGACAATAGTGCCCAAGTCTTTGGTCCTTCATCTGACTCGCGTCTGACGCCGTCTTTTCTTTCCACCCAACCGTGTCGCCAAGCCTGCGGTAAATGTCTTCGAAGTTGGATGTCAGGACTCAGGACTCAGGACCTGGTTGACAGACGAAGTGTCGGTAGCACAACCAACAATCGCTCTCCCGCTTGCCGACTCACCTGGCATTATTTACAGCTGTTTGTCAAGCCATAGTCGCTCCAATTCTACCTTCAAGATGTGTCGCATCTGTGGCCGCATGGTAAAATGCATCTTTGACTCAATGCCGTCGAGAGTCCCATCACAAGTCACCAGGCAGTGAGTATGGCATTTCCAAGTCCTCGATCGAACACTAACCTGCTACGCTTCACAGAACTCTGCGGCACCGATCGCAGACCAGATCGCATCATGTTTCAGCGCAGTCACTCGTCCACAGGGCCTTGAACATTTCAAAACCGGCGTCTCAACCACCAACCTTCCTCCTCCCCTTCCGTGCAAAGCTACATCAAGCCAGCAGCCAGCCAGCAAGGAGCTCGCATGTCGACTTTGAAGACGCCAACCTAGAGATTCCGCCGACCCTTCTGCAACCAGCCGGTGAATCTTCACCCGCGACCACCAACCCCGAATCATCCCAAAGCACGACCATGAGCAAATCATCATCCCAAAGCACCTCCCGGCCGCTCGTCCTGTCCAAATCACTACAAGAGCTGCTACCCAAGCTCCACGCCCAGAAGCCACACTACATCACCGCACACGTGCATCGGTTCCCGTACCTGCTGACGGAAGGAGACATTCTTCGGCTCCCATTCCACATGAAAGACGTGCATCCAGGCGACGTCCTGCGGTTGAACCGGGCCAGCATCATCGGGTCGCGAGACTACACGCTGAAGGCCGGCCTGAGCAGCACCGAGTCATACGACACCAAGCGCACGGGCGAACCCAACTACCTCGACGAGCGACTCTTCGAGCTGCGCCTGCGCGTCATGGGTCTCGAGACCGGCCCGATGATGGAGATGGAGAAGAAAAAGCGCAGGAACAGGCACCGCAAAGTCGTCCACAGTAAACACAAATACACCATGCTGCGCGTCATGCAGATCAAAGTCAAGTCGCTCGACGAGTTGAGGAGCGAGAAGGGCACCTTGTTGTTGGAGTCCTAACTAGCTTGTATTTTATTTTATGTTCAAGGGCTTTTTTGTCTTTGTAGCCCCTTGCAAAAACATGCATCTTCCATTTGGAGAAAACAGGAGGTCTGAGGTCTGGGGACGATTCTGGATGACGGGGGGTGCCAGAATCTCTGCCGTGGTATGAGATCTCTTGTCCCTCTAATCCGACCCACTTACTACCCTCCAGAGTGTAATTTAAATGGGAAAAATATATAAATCTACTGTCTTATTCCCTCCTCTAATGCTCGCGTAATGCTCTTTGGATCAACCCAGCGGTACGAGTCGCACGCAAGGCCGAGCTGCACATTGAGGCCTCGAAATGGCCTCGGCCAGGAGCGGGCATGCTAGGACAGTGGTCGTACCCACAGGTAGTGTCTGGAAGTGTCTTTTGTAGAATCGATCGATCCACCCTCTGGGTTGCTCTGCTCTGCTCGGTGGTCGTGTGTAAGCGTCGCTGTATGTACATCCGGGAAGAATGCTCGACAAGAACCTACGTTATCAAAGAAAACGCTACCCGCAAAGAGCAAAGAATGCGTCGTCATGTAGCAATCTGAAATGGGTTTCCCATGAGAGCTTACACGTATATGGCAATTTCGAAAAGCCTCACTGGGCTCGCAGGGTAGACCATCGAAGCTTCGTTTCTCTCTGTGTGTGGGTTACTAGGTAGTAGAAGTCATGATAGAAAATACAGGTCACCTCCAATTTTCCCCAAACCCGTAGACCAAGAAATGTTCAGAACAATCGTCGACAAAGGCCAAAAAAGGCCAGGTAGAATCCTGCGCCCACGCTCCTTCCGACATGCATTCAAATATCTGGTACCGTTCGTTCCTCCTCATTCTTCTTGCTTCATGCGTCATTTTCGTCAGGACTGCTGTGTAGGAGGGCGTTTCATGGGGAAAACGGTTCGAGAATCATGTGTATGGTCGCTGTTTATGGGTAGTGCCTGGAGCTTGTGATCTGATCGATAGTGCTCCTCGGAGCGGGGCGTTCACCTCATCTCGAAAGCCGGGAACATCATTCGATCGCGGAGGTTGATGTGGAACTCGAAAATGCCTGCCTCGGTGCCAGCATAGCTGGAAGATTTACACGTCAGTACAATCATTTCGCTGTTTTCTTGCCCATTCGCATTGGGAGCGTGATCTCCGAGGGGTCCCACTTACAGATATCGACCGTCAGGACTGAAGCCGATGCCTGCAGTCCCGAGTCCCATCTCTCTAACTACATCGACCGTGCTGGAGGCTGTGTTTCCACTTGTACTACCAGGCCCTACATTGCCTGTAGACAATGCTGAGCCACCAGCAAGTAGCCGATGGACGGAGGAACCTGGTAACCAGTTGCCATTGGCATCGAGTCCACGATTACCAGAATTGCTCGAGATGAACATCATCCGCGCCAATCGCAGATCTGCATCTTGGACAATACGAGCGGTATTTGCAGTGGAGGCGGTGAGATCGTTAACCCGCCCAACCAGAGCTGCACGAGCATCCCTCGAGGCACGAACATCGTCCATGGATATTGAAGGGCGCCGTCGTGTTGCTGAACGCGGTGTCGTTCCCACTCCTCTGGTCGAAGGGTTGCCCGCACCGCTCACCGGCCTGCTAGATTGACTTTCATCGAAGTAGCGCCTGCGAGGCCTTGACCCCACTGCATCATCGACAGCAGTTTCGCGGCGTACGATAGTTTCGAGAGTCTGAATGTCAGACGTGGCCTGTGCAATACGGGTCTCCGCCTGGCGGACTTGACGTTGCAGGTTATCAACGTGTGCTCGTCTTTGAGTCCGAGTTTCAGAATAGTTTTCGAGAATGTTTGCGGGGTTCTCACGAGACTGTGAAGATCGCACATTTGTGGTCGGTAGTGCTGAAGTCTGGGCGGAACTGGCATGATCGTCTGCTTGACTACTTGCCCTCGAGCTTTCCGCTTGCGGTGGTTCCCCGGTCAGAATCCTAGCTCTTTCTGTTTCAAGTCGACGTGCAAGATCAGTCCCGAGTCTCCGCTCTGCTTGGAGCTCCTGTGATCTCTGTTGAAGAAAGAGTTCTTCATTAGCAAGCTGACGGTGTAGAACCCTCTCGAATGAAGCATTGACTCGAGAATTCGCATCTCCTGCGGCTGCTCGCAGTTGATCTAGCTCAGATGAATTTTCAGCGAGGAGGCGTTGTTGGGAGTCAAGCTGTTCGCGAAGAAGTGTGGCAAGTTGCCTCTCCTCGCTTAGTTGACGTTCCAGTTGATGGGCCAACTGGCGTTCATCATCCAAGGCTGCCTCTATGCGTGCTAGCTGAGCTCTATTGCCTTCATCGGACTCTCTTGCGGATTCCAGAGCGGCTTGTATCACGTGCCACGGATCCGAAGGTGGTATACGAGATGGCCTTAGTTGATTGTTAGATCTGGAGGCAGATGGTGTCAGGTCATTAGTTGACATGATTGGGATGTCCTCATCATCACTAATTCGTCCTGGCGAGGCCGAGATTCTGGCCCTTTGTCCGTCAGGGGGACTGAGATAAAGATCCGCGGCCGCAGTTGACTCTGACAAAATTACTGAAGATCTTCTCCGAGGCTGATGATGGCCTGCCCTTGTTGGCCTTGTGTTAGAGTCTGGCAATTGCATGCCGTATTCCCTTCCAGGCTCCGATGCTAGCAGTGACGATCGCAAGCGTGGCGACGAAGTGTAGTTAATGCTGAAGGGGCGAGGGCTACTCTGCTCGACGTTATCCATCGTGGTCTCGAGCGCTTCAACGACCGACCTTTCACGGGCATCAAGATCTAACCCCTGATGATATGAGAGTAGATCCTGTCTAGAATGACGCTGTCTGCCAGTTTCGGTGGGAGTGTCTTCCATGCTAATGTCTAGGTCTTGATCTCTACTCGATCGTCGCCTTAAGGCCCGGAGTCTTGCAACATGTTGCTGTTTCAATCTTTCTTTGACACCGAGGTTACGGTAGGCGACAGGGGTGCCGTCTTCTAGCTCTATAATCTGAGCTTTCCGACGATCAAGCTCCAATATTTGTCGCCTTATGAAATGTCTTCTGACATCAGCCAGCCCTACCCTACCGTGGTCTTCAGCCCATGCCAATATATCCCACGGAGCGGGTGAGAATGCCATAGCCCTGACACATCCAAGCAGCGTAGGTCTCGACGAGCGGAACGTGCATATTATGGAGGACTCAGGATGTCGATCCAGTTGATTCATATCGAAAACCGATATCGACCCGCCTTGTGCTGAAGCGGCACATAAATGCCCAGTGGGAGAGAATGTAACGGCAAAACTATAGTCGTCGAAAACAGGATCTCCTGTCGGAACAGTTGGACGGGCGAAAGGGATCCAATCATACTTGAGGAATTTTCCTGGCAGTTCGTTGTTCGGATCAGAAGTCTCATCCACTTTGCGGCGATAGAAATAGACTTTGTCAGAATCTCCCACAGCTGCAAGTATGGTGGAATCCGGTGACATGGCAGAAAAGTTCATCGGGACTGGGTGCACCAACGTGTTGAGAACCTGACGTTGGGCTAAGGAGTAGACCTTGACAGTCTTGTCGTTGTTGGAGATCAGCACAACGGGTTCGTCTGGAGCCTGACCTTCGCCCATCATGTTATGTATGTTCATGGAATTCACGATTTCCCCACCCAGTAAATCCACCACGAGATCGTGGCCGAAGCATTTAGGATGCCCATGTTCATCCTTCTCGATCTTGACAAAAGCACAATCTCCATTGACTTCTCCACCGACCCCCACCCATCCGAGATCAGCCGCTAGACATCTTGCTTCAAAGGGAATGGTGGCTAGAAGCGAGTTCTGCTGGGTTTGAAGGTCAAGAACGCAGATGTCGTAGTGAGAGACGTAGTATATAAACTCTCCCTCTTGCGTGCTGATATGGTGCCTTAATTGATGGTGTGAGACTGGAATCTTAGCAGGGTAGAATTTATGATGATTTGCAAGTCCTTGTGTGGGAGTAAGGCATATTTCTCTGTCGGTCCTGGTCATGTCGGGGAGAGTGAGGATTTGACGAACGAGCGAGGCTCATCTCCCGGATGAAGGCTGTCCGGAATGCAAGGAGTGCTAGTAAGGGATGAGGGAAAGTGAGGTCATGAGCCTGCAGAGGCAGACTTGGATCGATGCCAAAAGAGATATTGTGTTGGAAAAATAGGTGTACTTCGTTGACAATGCTCACACTGCGCATCAAAGAAACAATGGCGGAGCAGGGCGAGCGGTAGCCAGGTTGCTTGACGTCAATTGGGTGAGCAAGCCACAGGAGTGAGGCTGATATCGGCTACTTGGATGCGCGTGCCTCTCAGCTGGAGCGAGGATGTCTGGTTGGATGGTGTGGCAGATGGTGGAGCAGTTGGTATTATGGGGATTCCTGAGTCGAACAATTCCAGGCCTGTTTGAAATGACGGGTGGCTTAGCTGTATCCATGCGAGATTTGTCCTGTGCGCATTGAAATACGTCTGTTATGACACAGGCTCGCGTAGCTCCTTCAGGAAAGAATCGCGCGGAAGCCCATAGGCCAGGCCTAAGACGCTAACGAGTTGCCGCTAACAACTCTCGGACAAGCTTCCTTCCCTTTTTTTCCGTTCCCTTCTTCGGAGGCAGGAAAGCACTGAGGATTTTTCTCTCGACGTATACATTTCTGTTCTTGAGCTCAACTCTTCGACTCTTTACATCACCACCCTCCATCAATCTCTGCGCCTCGCTGCAGTCTTCTTAATCTCCACCTACTTCTTCTTGTCTTTTATTTGCTGTACCATTACTATTTTCCTCACCATGATTGCCTCACGGTTGTCTAGAGCTGTAAGTTGCATCCTTTCTCCGGTCATCTGAATGCACCTTCTAACCAACAACAGCTTCCACGCTCATCTCCCATCTCCCGTTTCTCTCAAATTCGAGCTCCTCGCTCGTCAATAATCTCCAGATATGCTTCCACCGACGCTCCCGAGAGTACCGAGAAGGTCAAGGGTCAGGTCATCGGCATTGATTTGGGAACCACAAATTCCGCCGTTGCCATCATGGAAGGCAAGCAGCCTCGTATAATAGAAAACTCGGAGGGTACTCGAACGACGCCTTCGGTTGTTGCCTTCACTGAGAGTGGCGAACGACTCGTCGGTGTCTCTGCTAAGCGTCAAGCGGTGGTCAACCCTGAGAATACCCTATTTGCGACCAAGCGTCTGATCGGCCGCAAATTCTCCGACCCTGAATGCCAAAGAGATATCAAAGAAGTTCCTTATAAGATTGTACAACACACCAACGGCGACGCTTGGCTAGAAGCCCGTGGCCAAAAGTACTCGCCATCGCAAATCGGTGGTATGGTTCTGCAAAAGATGAAAGAAACGGCTGAAGCGTACCTCGGCAAGCCTATCAAGAACGGTGTCGTCACTGTTCCTGCCTATTTCAATGATATGCAGCGACAAGCCACCAAGGATGCCGGTCAGATCGCCGGTCTTAACGTTCTCCGTGTCGTCAACGAGCCTACCGCAGCTGCGCTGGCCTATGGTCTAGAGAAGGAAGCTGATCGCGTGATCGCAGTCTATGATCTTGGTGGTGGTACATTCGATATCTCTATCCTGGAAATTCAAAAGGGTGTGTTCGAAGTCAAATCAACCAATGGCGATACTCACTTGGGTGGTGAGGATTTCGACATTACCCTTGTCCGACACCTTGTCCAACAGTTCAAGAAGGAGTCCGGTATTGATCTATCTAACGACCGCATGGCCATTCAGCGAATCCGTGAAGCAGCTGAGAAGGCCAAGATTGAATTGTCCTCTTCGCTGCAGACCGATATCAACCTGCCTTTCATCACTGCCGATGCCTCTGGTCCTAAACACATCAACTCCAAAATGACACGTGCTCAACTCGAGACCCTCGTTGACCCCCTAATCACCAGGACTATCGACCCAGTACGAAAGGCCTTGAAGGACGCAAACCTACAGGCCAAAGATATCCAAGAAGTCATCCTCGTCGGTGGCATGACCCGTATGCCCAAGGTCACTGAATCTGTCAAGAGCATCTTCGGTCGCGACCCTGCCAAGGCTGTCAACCCAGATGAAGCCGTTGCTATTGGTGCCGCCATCCAGGGTGCTGTTCTTGCTGGTGAAGTCATGGACGTCTTGCTCCTTGATGTTACTCCCCTATCCCTCGGTATCGAGACTCTCGGCGGTGTCTTCACTCGATTGATCAACCGCAACACCACTATTCCTACAAAGAAATCACAAATTTTCTCTACTGCCGCTGATTTCCAAACCGCCGTCGAAATCAAGGTCTACCAAGGCGAGCGTGAACTGGTCCGAGACAATAAGCTGTTGGGCAACTTCCAGCTTGTCGGAATTCCCCCTGCTCACCGTGGTGTCCCTCAAATTGAGGTCACCTTCGACATTGATGCCGATTCTATCGTCCACGTTCACGCCAAGGACAAGTCTACCAACAAAGACCAGTCAATCACTATTGCCTCTGGATCCGGTCTATCTGACAACGAGATCCAGAACATGGTTGATGATGCTGAGAAGTATGGTGCGCAGGACAAGGAGCGCAAGGCTGCAATCGAAGCTGCCAACAGGGCTGACAGTGTTCTCAATGACACTGAGAAGGCACTGAAAGAGTTCGAAGACAAGCTCGACAAGACCGAAGCTGACACTATCAAGGAGAAGATTGCTACTCTCAGAGAATTTGTTGCCAAGAACCAATCTGGCGAAGGCTCGGCAACTGCGGAGGAACTCAAGGCCAAGATCGACGAGCTACAGACCAGTGCTCTGACCCTCTTTGACAAGATGCACAAGGCTCGCGAGGAATCCTCCCAATCAACCCCTCCACCAGGTGGTGACGCTGGCGCCCAACAAGGTGGTGAGCAGAAGCCCTGAGAGGATGTAATAAGGCAGACGGTGACAAGAGGGCACCATTGTATTTTAATGATATCCCACCTGTACTCGACCCATTTCTTTTTATCGTCTTGAATCTCCTCCAAATATGGCGGCCCAGGCACATGCAGCCTTTTGATCACACAACAGATTCCTCAAAAGTCAATGTATGGTTCACGGAGCCTTGCTACGTCGGAACATCGACGAGATGCCTCGGAAGCGTCTTTGACCCGGCACGTTTCTTGCTGTCACTGGCCGCACAACTTCTTTCATGTGTGCAGAGCTAGTTTGGACTGCTCTAGTTTGCTGGGTTACGAACTCCAACCATGACTCTAATTAATCACAACGAACACTTGTTTTCTTTTACCTTGTTCTTGTTATGCATGTTAGGCGATATTGAAAGTGTAAGATTGCACGTGGATGTCTGAAATCAAAAGTTGGTGCTGATGGGATCAGGAGGAAAGGGGGGAATGGACTCGGGTAACCCGTTGTGAACAGGAAGGACTGCAATTATGGCGAGCTGGAGAGCAAGCAAGAGAAGTGTACCGCAACAACGTTCTCAATCCTGCTCTCATTCTCAATGGTCATGGATTACCTGCAAAAAGGTCCTTGATCACAGATGGGGTGTCCTTCGTGAGGTGCATCAAGAAGAATAAATAGAAAACAACCAAGCACAATCTCCTCTCTCATCTGATTTCCATTCTCTTCGCGTTCCATTGTGCTTCTGTCTGTGTCTGTCTGTCTGTCTGTCCAGCGCCGTCGACGCCCTTGCCTACCTGGCTCGGCAGCTAGGGACTGAGGTACCTCATCCGTCTACGAGGCTAGCTGGTGCGTTGGAGTTTCAATACGCAAGAGCGACTAAGGAACCGGTCAAACGTGCAGCGTACGTAATACCTCGTCTGTCTCCCTCCCTGAGGATGGATGTCTGGATAGTGGTTAGCTCATACGTGGCTGAGCCATCCATTTATAGACATCGATCCATCTGTCGTCAGGCGAGCGTATAGGGCTGACGATCTCGGGTCGTCCCCACCGCCCCCGGTTTCCCGATTCCCTCGCGTTCATGCTGGAGGGAACGAGATTCTCCCAGTCTTGGAATGTGCAAGTATTGGCAGGAACAGAGTGCAGTGTGCTCCGTGATCCGGACGCCGGTATGGCTCGCTCTCATATCGGGGGTGTGTATAGGTGGACCTTTGGCTGAGGCCTGCGACTACCTGTTCCGGCTATGGAGACGGAAATTCGAGGGATGCAAGGGGGCCTGCTGCAGGTGAGACGCGACGCGATGCGATGCGACGGCGGTGTTAAGAATCATTCGGACTCTATCTAGCCTTAGGCGTACCATTTTCTCGAACATTGGATAGGAGGGAATGCTCCGCACTTACTGTATGTAGATCTTCTTAATGTGACTAGAGCGCATTTCATTTAACCTTGCGTAGGCGACTAGATAGGTTGATTGTAGGGATACATCCAGGCCACCTAGCTAGCTAGAGTGGTGAATAGTGTTGGGCGGCGCTGGGTGGTGTGCTTTTCCCAGTCCAGTCTAACCATATCGAGTATGCTCATCTCGAGAAAGGCATGGTCGATGCAAGCATGAATCATTTTTGGGGATGCCCGGGATAGTAGTCGTTGATACTTTGTTGCGTTTGGAATACCTCGTTCTTCACCGCTTATCCTTTCCCCTGAGACGGTTGCACTTTTGGGGGCCGGCGGAGCTATCTTATCCTTCGTATGGACCGAAATAGAATAAGGTCAAAGGGGCTGGCGAGTCGGCATTAGGTATGTCCCCTTCATTTTCTTCTGGCACTGGGATGTCTCTGTATCGTTGCTCCTGCCACCTAGGCTGTACCGGGGAGTTCCCTAGCGTGTTTACAGCGACATACATGATTGAGCATCTCATACGATTAAGAGTCAGTGAAAGAAAGCGTCAGGCCTGACCTCGTCGTGGTTCGCGCTTCGTCTGACTGTGCCAGTCGGATGGTTCGGACTCATGCTGAGATTCTCAAAGGGGACCGAGTACATGTGTACAAGTTCTTCCTGATGGTGTGTATGCTGGTGAGCGGGGCAGGATCCTACCGGCCGATTGGTTTCCAGGTTTCAAGGCTTCTAATGGATAGTAGCCAGAAGTCCAGTAAGTACATTACCTCATAGTGCTATCTGTCCAGCTAATGCCCAGGCATGGAGCCAATCTAGGTGATATTAATAGTGAGTCGATCAGGTACCCAGCCGTGGGACGAAGCGATGTGATCACACAACAAACTGTGGGGCGGAAAATGCCTGTTGGGGTATGAAGCGAAAATTATACTGGGCGATAGTGTAGGCTGGACCGGGGCCTCAGATAGTGTTAGTGGCATGATGGGCGGCTGCTCATGAAGTCTGAGAGCAAGATGTAGGCTTTGTACTTCAGGCTTTGAAGTTATATCGTGAATGGATTCTAGGCGATCTAGTGCCACGAGACATGGAAGGAATAATTATTGAACACATGGAGAGGAAGAAACAGCCGCTACTGTTGGGTTGGAGCTTGTTCCTTCGTACCACACGGAGAGTGCTTCACGAAAGTGATTACCGGATACGTCAGTACATAGAAGCTGAATTATTGATGCAGCCAGACCGTCTATGTTAGCATAATCTAGCCTGGGCGTAGTGTGAACAAAACAGGTGACAGTGCGCCACTAATATGACACGGACGTCGTAGGGTTGCACCCGAATCAGTCTGTAGGGTTTAGGGTTCAGTATTCATATACGGAGTATCGCTTATACCAAGGCCCCGTGGAGTTAGTGGAAGGATGACGCGACAGTACTGATTAATTAGTTGAATGCTCGGAGTATCAGTCAGCGTACCAGAATGGCGCATATGGCTGTGGCTCTCATTACAATGTCACAACCCCCCCGGCAGTGCGATGTTTCAATTTGCCCTTGGCCTTGTCGAGGCTAAGCAAGTGCAAGTCAGTATCCGCATATTTTACTGGATGCAGACAAATCTTCCTTCCGGTGTGGATTGCTACTCGTAAGGTGTCGTGATCACTCAAGTGAGTTCACATGAGTTATGTTCGATACCAGTACCTGGAGATCGGCCGACCGGGATCGGTTGGAAGAGGATGCAGATGGAGCGTTTGACGATTCGATGCGAATGCGACATGTTGCCAAATTAATTGTGGGATCGCGCAGGATGGGGATGGAATCAGGTCGTTGGATTAGTGGCTTTTTGGGGGTTGAGAAATTGATCGTCCATGCAAAAAGGAGGCTGACGTTTTCTGGAACGGATAGCGGGAATGGGAACACGGCTATACCGTATGGAAGTACTACGAGTGCTACCCAGGGTGCCTCGGGAGTTAGCTCGTATGGATGTGCACACAATGGCTGCGTGTGCAGCCCCTCTGTGGATACAGATAATGCAACACGGCGCCAGTGAGCATCATGGATGATTTGCAAATTGGTAGCACCCGCTGGCGCGGATCCTTCTGTCATCATGTATACTCGAACATTACTGTCCGCGTTGAGATATAGCTCCGGGCAAGGATCGGTATGAACAAGTGGCAGTGGATTTGTGGTACGTGGGCAGAACCGATCAACCCGGGTCCGGGAGTATACGAGTTTGCCACTTGTCAGAGGTCTACACCAAGAGACGAAAGTAGTGGGTTGAAGTGATGATGTGTGCATCTTGGTGGCTGAACTAGAGAAATAAGAGGGTTTGCCATTCGCACACGGGGAACGAGAGGTGGGTGTGCGAGTGCACGGTTGTCGGAAGGAGCACATAGTAGCACCGAAAATGAGGGCAATTGATTGAGGATGACTCGTAGCATTGCTAGATAACGGAACGAAATTAATCGATGTGTCATCCGAGTCCCGGGGGGAATAGTGTGCCGACCAGTTTCAGCATATGTTACAGTACATACAGTAGGCGAGCAGAGGATCGAGTGACTGCCCCATATGGATAGACGTGAAGAGGTAAAACTCCGTGGTCAATACGTTAACAGAATGCGAGATGGTGGGGACGGCGCTGTGGCGAAAAACCATCAGACCCAATCAGCCGGCTCGTTGGGACCGTTCAGTTTCGATTCGTAAGGGCGTTCGAATTCAATCGAGATTGTCTAATGGCGTTGCGACCGCCAATGAGAGATTTAAGGAGGAGTGATAATATTTGGTTGTGTAATCGGCACGGCGAGGAAGTTGCTTTACCCTTTACGGTGCTAGCTGGGGGGGGGCCCAGGGCGAGGGAGGCTACTTATCGCGTGGAAGACAGGGGAGGGCAGGATGCGAGGGTCGGGAAAATAGCTTGGAGCCGCGGATCTGAGGGAATCGTTTGGGTTAGAATGGAATGCATTATGCGAGCTGGCGGCAGAGGCGGCGCATGCAAGGAGTTTGGGAGATTATGTTGACGAAAGTTCAAGCTTGGGACGCCAGTGGACAGAGCTAGAACAGCTATGTAGATGGCCAGATAGGAGACGTAGACGCAGATGCAGATGCAGATGTCGACCCAAGAATTAAGATTCAGATTCAGACGACGCCCGAGTCAAGAGTTGGACCAGGTGGGCCAAGAGCATAAGCTGTTTTGGTGACGGTCCCAGAGCCCAATTGATGAGGGACTTAGTGGGCAGCCGCTGAGCCAGACATGAGACAACGAGGAGCTTGGATCCAAGTACTCGGACGAGTATCAAGAGGGTGAAAAAGTATGACAGGGTGGAGCTTCGGGACGACTTATGCTTGCTAGCGTGCGAGGATATGAGGGTACCAAGCATCAACAAGCGAGAAGTGACAGACCGAAATGCACCAAGCAGCCAACGGAGACGCACAGAGGGCGATTGTGGAGCGGGAATGAGGATGAGGACGAGATGGCGATGGCGATGGCGATGGCGATGGCGATGGCCGATCCAAGACAGAACCTCGTGCCATCGCTGCCATCACTACTAGTAGTTAGTAGGAGTAGCAACTGCCATCACGAGACCGACCAATATTGAGTTGGGGCTCAGCGTTGAGACTCAATACTCAAGGCTCAAGACTCTAGGACCACTGGCCAGTGGCCACCCACAGGCGAGGCCCAGCGGCCCCGCGTTATGCGCGAGGAAACACCATCTAGAGAAACCGAAAAGGGTCACTCTCTCGTCCCTCGTCCCTCGTCCCTCCCCCGTTACCTTGGGTGCTCACTGCTCACTGCTAAGCGCAGCAGGGTGGAACGAGTGATCTTTCTCGGTAGCCCATCAGATCGAACCAGGACTGCAAAGGAGGAGAAGGAGCAAGATACGGATACCAGGCTTGCGCTCTTGCGGGCTTGCGGGCTTGCGGGCTCCTTGGGTACCTCGTCGGCTTCGTCTGCTGCTTCCTCGTGTTTGGACTCGTATGGGCTCCAAGCTCCAGGCTCCAGGCTCAGCCCGTCTCAGATTGGGGGTGCCCGCAGCCTATCAGCGTAGACAGTGTAAAATAGTCCCTAGCCCCAAGTACGTACTCCGTATACCAAAAGCCAATGGTCAAGGCTTTTGATTGCGTCGGCAAAGATCTGGTCAATGGTTTCAAGCGTTGACGTAAACAGGGTTAGTTGGGGCCAATTCCATTCTACGCACCATCATGATGACGAAGATTCTTGCCACGCACGCCCGCTCCAGTTGCAATCTTTACGCGTTTACGGGATGGATGAGCTGGAGCTGAGGCACATGGCCGCCAATATCTGCCCTGGCTAGGTACTGGACGGTCCCCTCACAGACCTATAGCTGCCTTAGGGTTCAGTCCTTCAAGCTTAATATCGGGCACAGTACCAGCCCCAGTCCCAGTCCCAGTCCCAGCACTCAGCCCCTACCAGGCTGAACCATTGGATTTGGTCATGGAAACACCTGAAACAACAAACAAGGGGCCTACGGACTCTCGTCACAGCCCTTCCCTGGGTCATCAATGGCCTACCAGTGCTCCGTAACTGGGGCTACGACAGCACCTACTACAGTAGTATGTAGTAGTCACTAGTATACGCAGTACTTGAATCAATCTCAATCTCCATTGTGCGGCGATCCACGCGGACCTTCCACAACAGGGTACTGCTCCTCAGCGTTACAGGTCCCATATGGCTCCTGGGGTTCGGAGATGTGCCATATACAGGCAATTGATGTACTGTAGGTCATACTCCGTACACAGAGATCTTGCGTCAGGCCCCTTTCCTAAACGTTAGGGGTCCGGTCACTGTTACTTTTTAACACCATCACTGAGCCACATTGACAATCCTACGTGGATGCCTGAGATTGGGATTGGGATTGAGGGTGCAGGTGTACCGAGTGGACTAGCTGGTGCATTATCACCCACTGCATCTGTATCATGGTATGCACTGTACGGCGTATGAACTGTAATACCGATATACTACGAGGTGTGCCTGGCGCGGAGTCCTGATACGCCCAGCACCCACGGTCGCTGCGGCACTAATCCGACTAAGCAGACCGTGCGTTTAGGGCTCGGCTGTCCTCCGGGCGCCTCTTTCACTACTGGTGTTTGGTGTATGCTGTACGGGGTACGGAGTACGGAGGACTGTCACTCTGCTGTTAAACTTACGAGTGCTCCGTACCACTCACCTGTACAGTACTCGTAATGCTCAAGCCGCCTTCACTATTCAAAGCTAAAATACCGACAATCATTTCGGTTCTGCTTATCACGATTGGCCACTGCAGGCCTCCATCAATCGGGTCGTCCAAGTGTGCCACAATCAAGCGAGCACCCGCAGCGGCTGTTTCTATTCGATCGTGTTCCGCTTTTCCCTTTTCGCTTTTAGTTTTTAGTTTTTCCCTTTTTTTAGGCCAATGTATTCAAGCCGCACAGTAGGAGGCCGTTGGTCGTCGGTCGTACTCGTCGGTCGTAGGTCGTAGTGAATGGCAGTCGCTTCCTCAGTCTTTCGTCTCAGGCTCTCAGCCAATTTGACTTTCACTTTTCCTAATCCATCTCCATCCACCACGTATCCATTTTCCATTCAGCATCATTTGACACTCGCACCGCACCGCACAACTCTATCGCTTGTACGGTGGCTTTTTTGAGGTGCTTCTCGTTCTCGTTCTCGTTTTCATTCTCGTCCTTATTCTCCCTTTCGTCTATTCATCCATACACACTTTCCCTTTCTTTCTTTCTCTCCCTCGCCCTCCTTCCTTGCTTAATTTGTCTTCCATTTTCTGGCATCTTGGTTGACTCCCCCCTTCGACACTATTTTGTACCACACACACTTCACACTCCCTCTCTCTAGCCACCACATACCCGCGCTTTATCTCACACTGCGCTGTGTGTTGCATTCCACCCGTCATACCTGCAACCTGCGTATAAGGACTACACCTGCTGGCTTGATCGCCATCTCTCGCTATGTATTCCCGGACATCTTCCGACCTCCGGAAGGTGTCTGACATAGCTTCTGCAGAGGTGAGTTACTATCCTTTTTTTGGTTTTGTCTTCAGCTCGTGTGTTCCCCCTCGTGTTTGCTTTTTGCGGCCACAACCTGACCGCCGGACATCGGGCACCGGCCAACTTGGATACCAAACCATGTCTATTCAACCGTCATGCGAGGCAAAGTGTCATCTGTGTCGTAGCATGATGACACTGCACTTGGAATCAACTGCCACCAGAGCCCATCACCGCCGAGCATGGAGGCCAGACCAATGCCTCGCCCTCGGCAGCCGACACCTGCGCCAAAGTGCTGGACTGGATCGCAATCCGGATAAACCCTGGCCAGAATCCAATCTTCGCTTGACCGCGTGTTGGTCTCATGCAGTGGCTTCGATCTTAGGCTCCTTTGGGCTCCCTTGGGCTCCCTTGGGGGCTCCTTGGGCCTCCTTGGGTCCCCTTGGTCCATTGGACTCCCTTTGGCATCCCTCGGATTGACCTGACCCAAGACTTAGAACTGGGTCCCGCCACGAAACACCACTCCATTGCCGTCTCCACCATCCGCAACACCATCAACAATCCACAATTGGCGAACCTCGAGCCTCTTTCTTCCTTATCTTGGCGCCGCTCTTTCAAGTTCTCAACCCTATCGCCACTAGCCACCTTGTCGCCTGCACCAATCGCACCAGCCGACTTTCTGCAACCCCCTCTATTCTATTCACCACTCCCACTTCCGAACTATTGGCCTCATGCGTCTATTTCCCTATTGCCCCTTTGGTCCGATTCCAACTATGATCCAAGCGCACCCGTCACTCACATTTCCTGGTCACAACTCACAACCCACAACCTGCGCCTGAACTTGGCTTTACGGCCCCTCCCATTGCACAGTTGCGCTGCGCCACAACATCGGCTGCTCCCTCACAGCTGATGACCATCTTCGGACCACCACTTCCCCCACCTGGGCACCTGGACACCTGGACACCTGACCCCTGCTCTCTACTTTCCCTCGGTCTCCACTAGCCACCAATAACTTTTGGCCCCCCTTTTCTTGCCCTCGTATCACCTACCCTTGCCCCTTGGTTTAACCTCTCCAGCCTTGATTCGTCCATGTTTCATCCTGACCTTCCCACTGACCAACCCTTGCTAGCGATCTCGGTCAACATGGGAGTCTTCATTCACAGCACCGATGCGTAGCTATCAACCACAGCCTCATCGCTCGCCAGTAGTTACCAGAGATCCCATGGATCCGGAATCTTCAGATAGCGATGTTTCTGTCGGAGGCGGCGATGAGTATAGATTTGCAAGTCCATTGACCGCTCCGGTGCCGTTGCCAGCTCCACCGTCAAAGCACGCTCTTGAATCCTCCGACGCCGTCTCTGCTCGTCTAGACGAGTTGTTGCGAGTCGAGGAACATAACATCAAGAAATATGATCTTCTCAAAGCAAAGCGGAATCGGAAAGACGACAAGATCCGGCGAAAACGAGAAGCTCAGGATAAGAAAATGGCTGCTATCATGGAAGGCCGACAACGGCGCGATGCTAGAATCGAGGCTCGGCGCAAGCGAGAGGATGCCGCATTCGCTTCATTTGATCATGAGCTTGAGGAGGAAGAACACGTAAGTAGCGCTTCCCGCCAGCTACACTCGCATTCCCCCACTAACGAGTACCAGAATCTTCGCCGTCGTTTGAAGAGACTCAAACGTGGATTGCCACCTGACGAGTCACCTCGGCCTGGTGCTGCTCGAATATCTTCTGCATCCATGTCTCCCCCAGTGCCAGGACTGTCCACAATCCCTCCACCGCCCAAGCGTCACCAAGTTGGGCCTCCAGGCCAACCAGACGCCGTCAATCCTGCACAATCACGACCTGTCGAACAGCGGCCTGTGCCACCCGCCAAAACCACCGAACCACCATATTCGTTTTACCGTAGTATGAACTCTACCTACAATAGACCTTATCATCAAGGACCCTATTCAACATCCCCCAACACCGCTTCGCCGGTGGCCAATACGAATGGATTGAATCACCCTTCCCAGCCTCCACCGGATCGGTCCTCTCTCAATCCTTTGGGACATCCGGGTTCGCCACGTTCCAGACCTCCGTCAAGTGCTCACTCTCCGGCCACGCCCGTGACCCATGCAAACCCTCCTCCACGCGTTACTTCGTCAAGTTACGACACGAGACCCCCTCCGACAACCACTTCCTCCGGGTTCGCATCCGTCAATGCCCCAGTGACCACTGGGTTCGCTCCAATCAATCCCCGTAGTGCCGCCACTCCTCCAGCAGCTCACACTGGCCTAGCCCGCCCGCTGCAGGATTCGGATCACAAGACTCCAAATCAGCCAGTTGGTAGTAATGGCATGGATAGCACGCGATTCCATTCCTACACAAGTACACCTTCCACCACCCCAACACTGGCTGCCAACACAGCAAGCAAGAGAACGCCCTCCACGACCCACCCATATCAAATGTCCGAGGCATTCGCCAACAGACATCATCATTGTGAGCGCGTTGATGGTCTGAATCGTGGTATCTGGACATCTTATGGCGTCGGAGGAACTCAAGAGAATCCCACTGGTCCAGCAACCGAGATGTATCTTCGATGCAACCACGATGGTTGTTCCCGCATTGATTGGCGTACCGTTCATGGGCTGCAATGCCACATTGTCAAGAATCATGAGCAACCGAAGGGAACCATTGGAAGCCTGGATAAAGCCCTGGAAAAGTACGGTGTGCCAGTCAAGGACGTTGAAGATTACGAACGTGAGCATGGACGAGGCTCTGCAGGTACAGTGGCCGATCCAAAGAATCACAAAATCAAGGTGAAGACGAAAGAAGCCTTGACCGCCAGACCCTACGCCCGTACAGGGACTCCGGGTTCTTATGGAGTCGATCCTCAAGCACGGCCTGCAGGGTATAGACCAAGCCTAACACCGACCAGCGATAGCCCAACCCTGTCCGACGAACTCAAACGTAGCCCGGTAACTGGGTTGACGAATGGAGCTCCAAAAGATGCCCCAATCAATCAGCCTCCGATTCGACCAACTCAAGGCCCTCCAACCGTTACAGGTCCATCGAGTATGACCTCCTTTTCTTCCGTCCCTGCTCCGCAAATGAGGTCCGATTACCGACCGGACTGGATCGGCCGTCCCATTCAAATGCAGACACCTTCGAGACTGGAGCCCGATCAAAAGAAGCTGCAAGGAGATTTCGGCGCATCGAGTTTGCCATCTCCGACCCATCCGAATGGCCCCTCTACTACTCGACCTGGACCAGTGGATAGACCAGCGCTGTCTACTCGGTCCCCTGTAGTGCATGCTGCCATTCCAGCCACAATACCTGCAACTCCGACTGCCCCTGAACCGCCAAAACCCGCTGTAGCAGAGGCCAAAATTGCACCAGCCACTGTCCCAGTGGCTGGTATTCCCGTTACTGCACCCCTGGCTCCTGATGCTCCATTGGTTACAAGCGAGACGAAACAAATTCAACCCAAATATGAACAAGAAGAGTCGAATGGTATTAAGCAGAATGAAGCTCCGGCGCAGGAAGCGGATAAAGACACGCCTATGACCGGCACAGATCACCGCCAGGCTGATAAGCCAAACTCTGTGCCGAATGGAGATGGAAAAACCGCACAAACCTCATCAAATCCAACATCTAATACACCAGAAGACAACGGCGAAGACCAGTCGGAGACGATTGTCATCGATGGTGAAACAGGCAAGGCAAACAACGAGACTTCTGGGACCAAGAAATCTAATCTTCAGTCACCGACGATAATGGCCAAGGCTCTTCCAGCGAGTGCCCCTGGTAGTGCAAGACGCCCGAGTAGACGCCTTAGTGTGGCTCGAAAATCGGTCGACGGTGACGGGGACCCTGCTTATGCAAAGGAAAACCGAGTCACGACAAGCACTAATGGAGAAACCGATGACAAGGATGACAAGGATAGCAAGGACGAGAGAGAAAAGACTCCACAGCGTCGCTTTGCAAGTGGTCGCGTTTTGAGGCGTGGCCGAGTCTAGAGGTCCGAGCCGAGAGATGTCCAGTGACCTGGAGCAGATTGAAAGGCAGAAGGGACCTGGGAGGAAATCGCCGGATTCATGATACCACACGACATACTATGGGAAATTCTACTCAAGATGGTTCTTTTCTGGCTTCGAGTATCTCTGTCAGATGGTTGGAAGTCGGTTGTGCAATCGCAATGGTGAGCAGGGGTTGCACATACACACGATCGATTTTATTGTGCATTGCGAGATCTGAGACCAAGGTGAGGTCAATCGGTGGTATCCTCGACTTCAGGTAATACCGCAATGGGCTTGGGTTCGGGCTCTCTCGGGATTGATCGGAATGCCTACTTTTAATTTGACAGCATGTTGAGTACAGACTATTACATTGGGAGGGATGATGAGTTTATTTCTGTATGATTGGTTTCCCGGCACAAATGGCTTATTACCCATGGATCAGCAGTTGTTTCAAACAGGGTAAACAAAAGGACAACAGGAGCTTATGAGCATCCATCGTAGTTATCACTCACTATCCAGTCCGCACTAACTAATTCATCAATATTAATTGCCCTTTTCTTTTCCGTGGATATTCTCTCTCTGAGCACGGGCGGCTTTGAGACTTTAACCTCGTCTAGTCAGTGATTTTATGAATCGCGGTTTCGTGCAGGTGTGCTGTTGTCTGACTGTCGCGCCGGCGCCTTATCTATCATGGACCTCTGAGATTCATCCGATACCTCTAGTTACTGTGAGTGTCATTCCCACGCGGTAGAACTTTCGAGCACTTTCGATACACACCATCTTGAGACCCATGCAGCCCATCGTCGCCCACACATTCAGTTCCTACGTGCACGGCATTCACGCCTCCCCTCAGCACAGCACCGCGGACGCCCCTGGCACGATCGAGATTCCAACGAAGGCTTGGACGGCTGCGGCCCACCTCCGGTCCACCTCCACCGTCTGTTGCTGTTCACAGAGCGTTCCTTCCGTCCATCGGTGTCGATGGGAAGCACTCACCACCACCAGTCTAGACGAGAAGGCGGTCGACCAAGAAGCAGTATTTCTCTGCTTCCATCGAGCCCACGCCGTGAATCTCCCAGCAGCGACAATTACTGCACAGCTATCCATTCCATAAAAGCCATTCTCCAAACCGTCCGTTGGTTCTCTCATACCAAGACTCTATGCTGCCCCAGATGTAAGTGCGCCCGCGCCCCGCGACCCACTTGCGAATGAGAAAATCTCACGAGGAGGATTGATTTACACAGTGAGATCCATGTCGCCCCATCCAGACATTACATTGCAACACTCGTCAAAATTGAGCTCCTGCGGGTCCTGTACGAGGATAAAAAGCGTTCTGACACACCCACTAGGGGTCCTCCCTGCGACAGGTATGAAAGCTCAAGTCCAGCTTCGAGACAATCTCGCTGCACGTCCAAAACTCTTTCCGCGGGGGATAACGAATGGACTGGGTTTTTGGAAATGTAGCAATAGTCTGCGAACTGGCAACGGCATGCTGAAGCGCAACGTGGCTGCACTTCCTTCGTAACAAACGAGCTCAACTCATGAAGGTGTTTCCTGTGCTGGACCACGAACTCAACAATATCCCGACAGTAGTCTTCGTCTCAGTCCAACTGCTCTCGAGCGACTTCCACGTGCAACTCCTGAAGATTTGGTGGCATCCATTTGGCGAAGCTTCGACCGTGCAATCGGTCATCTGCCGGAGCACTGTCAGGATGTAGCGCGGGGCAGACTCGAGTGCCTGAAATCATCGATGCACTAATCTTCAGCTCCGTCAGACTTTCAAAATCCCGCAATGATTGCATGCGCGATGGCTCGAGATCGTGAGGAGAAACGTGGTGACAATGTGTCACAACAAAAGCTTCCAAGGAGTGTGCAATGAGACCGAGTACGTCAGTGATTTCGTTACTCCAAGGGCCGGGAAGAATCTTTCTGCAACGGCATACTGGTACCTCCGCAACGCTGTGTTGCGGGCATGGCCTCAGAGTTCGCTTCAATTCAAGGGACCTCAGATTCTTTGCCAGCTGGGACAAAAGTCCTTAGCTCGTTTTGTGCATAAATGCACAGACGCAATTGCTGGAGTCTCGTCGTCGTCATAGCTGAGGTATGGTAGCCGCAGTCCTACGAGACCCCAGCATCGACTCCTAGGTCGGCCCTCCAGGTCCGCATTCACTGTTCCAGGTGCTGAAGGCATAGCCTCGAGTTTTGAAAAGGAGCGGACTCTGAGTATATCTAGGTCGTATTGGCCAAGCATCCCGATACCAAGTGCTGGGAATGTATAATCTGGTTGAGTCAGACTGTTGACGTGGCACTGCTTGAGTAGTTTCGCTGCGTACGCTCTGTATCTTGGGTGGGTTTTCCCGAGCAGATGTCTGAGACAGCTCTGCAAGCTCGGGTGGCAGTCTGTCTGCTCTAACACGAAGTTCAGACATCCGACCAGACGCAACGAACCCTTTGAGCACGGATCGACGTGCAAGAACACCCAGAGGAAACTCCAGAAGCCTTATCGACGAGTTTTGTAATAATTCCTCGAGCTTCTGCTGGGCCCTGTGCTAGCAGGCGTGCCATATGCGGGTGGTCCTCGATTTTATGTTCGACGTAGTTCTTGATATCTGTTCTGGTGAGGACTTTAAGCTTAAGCATTGGGCAGCCGCAAAAGCCATCGGCGAAACCAGGTTCTGGCCTAGTGGACGCGAGAGTTTTCACATTCGGAAGCTTTGACAGCAACTCGATGAACTGAACCGCTGCCTGGTAGCGCCCAGAGTACTCAACCAGTCCATCGACATAAAAACAATATTTGGAAGACTGGAATGCATCGGCAGGGTCACAGAAGAGATCAAATACCTTGGGCATTTGGGCGGGTGATGGGATGGGGTAAGCTGCTGCCTCTGAGCGGTACAAGTGGCGCCACATATCTGGCAAAATTCTTTTGATGAGGGGACGATTGACTTGCAGAATCTGGTACAGTAACGCTGTGCAGAGGCCGCCCTGGGACATTTGCTCGTCGGTACCGAGATGCCAGAAGAAGAAGTTTGGCGCGTGCAGAATGAGATTTCCCGCCCATTCCTGCAGTAGATCATGCGTTCGCCGATGTACATAGATGGCCTCTATGAGGGTTGGTTTTCCAGAACTTGCCTTCCAGAGATCCAATATGGACCCTGGCCTTGACACGGCCATTGTGAGAGACCATCCCAATTGTCATCTCGCGAAGGTGGCTCCAGAATCTGTCCATAGGTTCCATTCTCGGGCGCATTGATGAGTTCTTTTCTCTCGTCCATCGTCCTAAACCACATGAGGTCTACAATCCTCTCCTGGCATCTCTCATTCGGAAACGACTTCGCAAATGTATACATTCTGCTGTTCATGTGTTCTGAGGCCTCGCAAATAGTACCAACATGAAGCGCTCCCAAGCTAGTGAAATTCTCGTGCGTCATCCCCTCGAGAACCCCTTCGGAGCTCGGGAGGAGATCATTGAGCTTTGCAACCAAACTAACCAATTTCTGTACGAATTCCTCGAGTCTAGCTTTGTCCCTAGCCACCCAGCGAGCCTTCTTGGCCGTGGTCAGCCCGACCTGTACACGCTTGGAGCGGATCTGAAGAGTTTGATATTCATCAAGGAAATCACTCATGCGGTGGCTGCTGAGAAGGGAAGACTGCGGCCGAGGAGCGTCATCCTCCGATACCTGCCGCAAACCATACCGCCGGCTGAGGGGAGATGCTTCGCCGAGAAGTGTTGCTATGCTGGCAAGTGCGCGGAAAATTGTTTTCCACAGCGATGAGTCCTTGAGCCGGTCATCATAACCTTCTTGCAGAACGCGCACTCTTTGGCACCACTGTAGGAGAAGAGTCTTCTCAATGTCTAGCTGGGCGTCCAGAAGTACCGCATCATGCCCAAGCTCACGGGCTGCTGAAATATACTCGAACAGTTCGATGCAGTCCTTGACATGGAGACAAGCGCAGTACTTCGTAGTGCGAGACCAGCAATCTCCATAGCGGATATGGCCAGCTGAACTTGTCGGAAACAATTTACAGGACGACCTCACGAGATGAGTTTGCCTTCGAACGAGAAGATGCCTCACATCATAGAAATACTTGGAACGTACTCGTAGTGGCACGTCTCCATATTCCTGCACTGACAACAAAGTGAGCGGCAATGCGTGGGGTGAAGAGATTGCCAAAAAGGTTGCCCTGGTCAGCGGGCAAGGTAATTAAGAAAGTTGCCTGAGACACAGCCTGAGGATCAGCCACAGTCAGAGGCACAGTGAGATTGGTGCATTCTTGGCATTGACTTGACTCTGGCGGCTGGCCTATGTTGAATTTCTCTCGACAATGTAGGTGCATCTCCGGCTGCTACAGGGCACAATAGGCCGTTGGTATCAACATTCGCACGGATCACATACGTTAATCTTCAGAGACCTTTTGTCAAGTAGTGAGCAGAAGAAGGGTTGCGGGCATGAATGAGCGAGGGGTCAAAAGAATTTCCATTTGATGATGTACTCGATATGGACGTAGAGTATTGATTGGCCTTTCCTCGTGCTCTAAATCAGGTCCTTGAAGCCGCACCATCTATCTATAGAGCACTTGGATGAATTCATGTAAAGGACTAGTATACAGTCGTGCTCTCAAGCAACCCATACTCTGTAGGCTCACAGCATGTATTTGTAATCAGGATGTGAATCACCAAGTTTGCTCAGTTGCTGGTCAAAGCTAAGGCCTTCGAGCCCTCTCAATCTCTTCTCTCTGATCGTTGGGTCGGCCTTCTGTTTATTGCCGCGAGCATACAACCACATCGCAAGGCTTGTCGACACAATTCCCACCACGGTTAAACTCAGCATTGCTCTTGCCGCCGGCAGGTAGTACGGGGCATCTTTGGTCGGGTAGATCCAGGTACTGATGATACCACCAACATTATTGACAATGCATGTCATAGCAATGGCAGTTGCTCGACGTGAGTGCCCTGCTGTATTGTTTGGTATCCATGCGACTAGGCAAGGAACATTAGCATAGACGCCTCCAAGTAGAATAAACAGTCCAGTATAGCGGACAGGAACAGATCGGCCGACATAGAATATAATGCTTCCAACAAGGGAGAGGAAATAGGTCACGATCATGGCAAACCCTCTGGCGTTGTATTTATCCGAGAGATAGGCTGTGCACAATGTTGTGACTACAGCCACCGCGAACGGAGGCACACTCATGAGTTGTGTGCGGATCGGGCTGTACCCCATGCCCCGGACGATGGAAGGCGTGAAATAGGCGAGGCCAAAGATGATAACCCCCGAGGCTAAAGATGCGGTCCAGACAAGGACAATTCGAGGATCCACAAATACGGACAGGACCTGTCGGACAGTGATCTTGTCGTGGTCCATGATGCTCGAATCAAGCTTCAGTCTCTCAACACAGCGGGTTGCTTGAGCTGGCGTCAAGAACCTAACGTGTGATGGATCGTTGGGAAGAAGAATGAAGACCAAGACTGCGAAAAGGACGGTGAAGATTCCTTCAAGGCAGAAGATCCATCGCCAGCCTCGAAGGCCGCCAACGCCGTCCATGTTCCCAATCGCAGCCGCCAAGAGGCCGGAAAATGCCCCGCTCAAGGAAGCAGCAGACCAGAACATGGCAATGCGAAGGGACAATTGCTTTCGGCGGTAGAAGTTACTGAGATAGAGTATAATTCCTGGAAAGAGACCGCCTTCGGCGAGACCAAGAAAGAACCGGCAAGCTAGGAGCCCTGGGTACCCCTGTATCAAACATTGGAGAGTAGAGACAACGCCCCAGACGAAGCACAGAGCTGGGATGTAAAAACGTGGACCGATTTTCTTGATGACCAGGTTGGAAGGGATTTCTGCCAGCACATAGGGAATATATGTGACCGTGATAGCTATACATTGTTAGAAATGGTCTCACAGAGGAAGACTCTGGATCGGTACTTACCAATCTGGTATTGGTGGTCGGTCAATCGCAAATCTGTTTGCAGTCCAGCCTGAAAATGAAAATTAGCATCTCATGGCCTATAACCACAGCCTCCAAGTGCGTACCACACGAGCATTCCCAATATTAGCCCTGTCAAGGAACGCTAACAAGTAAACCATTGTGACGAGGGGAACGACGAGACAGTCGAGTTTGAAGTCGAGCTTCTTATCAAAGGAAGCCCATTCTGTATCGGATTGTTCGTCTGGAATATCGGCGTTGTGTTCTGACCCTTCTATCTCAGAGAGATTAACCTTCTCTTCTTTCACGGTGTTGGTGTTGCCCATGATGGGTGCTTTTAGTCGATTCACGGTTAATGTACTGGTTGAAAAGAGCGAGTGCAGACTTTGGCGAATTTGTTCCCTTTATATAAAAACAGCTCGCCACGTTTGGATCTCGGATGATTATTCCTGTAATCCTATTTCTGAAGCGGGATCTCGATCAAGCTGTCAGGGGCCACATCCTACAGAGCGCTATTTCCTGGGGGGGGGGGAGCTAGCTGGTCTAGAATCATCATATCTAAGTGTATTGCGTTCCATTGTCCCCGCCTTTTTCCTGCCAAACATACGCAAAATTCTCGAGCCCGGGACGAGACTCATTTGAACTTGCTCTCAATAAATACGGCAAATCATGTCATTGGTGGAGAATTCTTGAGCAGCAATCTTGGCCTTCCAGCGCTTCCAACCATTCATGGGCCTCCCTCCTACTGGCCAGTTCTTACTCTTTGCTTGTCTAGGACACTCATTTTCGGACGCTGGACCATTGCTCGTCCATGGGGCTAATTAAGGCTAGAATACTGCTTCTGGGTAGTAGGTGGCAAAAGGCCAGGAAACGGCTGGTTCAAGTAGGTAGTGGATGCTTGTAGCACAGCATAATGGTGGCAAGTGGATCCCGGAAGCTCGTCTTAGTATTTAAGCAGTCCTTGTAAGGCCGAGTTGTGTGTACTGAGGTTGCCTTTGTTCTGTCACACCTGCCTGTTTGGCCCCAAACGAAACTGTTCCATTTGTACTTCGCTATTCCCAATTAATCTATGTTCTTGCAAATTCCGAACCTCTGAATTTAGAGTAACTATGGCGGTATCAAGTACTACTCCGAGTGAAGCTTCACTCTCTGATTTCGGAGGACCACGACGCCTGATCACTTCGCATAACGATGCTGGAAATGCAGTGGTCGTCTCTGCCGATGACTTGCAATGGCAGTCAATGCGAGAAGGCGCCATCTGCATGAGCCTCATATACACGACATCTGAGCCCACGCCAAACTTGAATCAAGATCTCGATATTAAGAAACACGAGGAGAAGGTGACAGGGGGTCGAATTGGTCTCGTCTCACCTGGAGGTAGCGTTTGCCGAATGTGCGACTTTTCACCAAGTAATGACCCACAAATGCATCGGACGAAGAGCTTAGACTATGGGGTTGTCATAGAGGGGGAGATGGAGCTTATTCTTGATTCTGGCGAGGTGCACCTCATGAAAAAAGGCGATGTCGCTATACAGCGAGGAACAATGCACGCATGGAGGAATCCTAGCTCGACTCAATGGACCAGGATGTTGTTTGTATTGTTAGATTGTCAAGCCTTGGACGTCGGAGGACAAAAGCTTGGAGAGTCTTTGGCACCTGGACAGCACGAAATGGTTGCGAGTTCAATCGACTGAGCCGGTGAATCCCCAGGATATATGTAGCCCATAGACAAAGAAATGGCTCATTAACTTGTGGGTTGATTCTCTTTACTCTGCTCTTCGATTATTCCAAGCAAGTCTCTCGACAATCAGAGAAGAGGAGCAGGACACGCTCATTCGGCTGAGACCACGACACATAATCGTTTCGATAGAGTTGTCGTTTCTGTATGGTGAAGTCCTCCAGCCCAGTTTTCGTGATGGTGTGCCAGTGGCGTCTTTTGACGTGGAGCAGATGGGATATCACCACTCCCACTAGGTCTCGCCAATGGGTCTCTTCTCCAAGAATTTGTTCCTCAAGTTTGCCGTTACCACAGCTCCTTGAAGATTATGCGGTTGTGGAGAAGCTTGTGACTAGGATCCAGAGGCACAAGACCCCGCAAAAAAATGAGGGCCCAGTTGAAAAACCCTGATATTGTTGTCGTACGGAAAATACTCTCCATTTTCCGGACTCCAAGCAAGGCTCTTTAGCGGGACGTGCAGGTGATGGCCTTGGCTGTTGGCAAGACAACTTCACGCCGGCTCATGTCCAATACCATGAGACTTTTTACATCCCAGGTTAGAAGGATACGATTCAATAAGAAGCACTAGAATCGAATCGAATCGAATGATAGTTTGAGCCTGGCACATATTGTACAATCCTTTACACCATCGATATTGAGCGAAATGGCAGGCAATAGTCACCTAATCCAAAATGCCACCGTTGTGTCTGTCGATGACAAAGTCGGCGTCCGCTATGGATGTGACATCCTCGTTGAGGACGGTGTCATCACGGCAATAGATAGTGATCTCAAACCGCCATCAGGAGTCCCAATCATCGATGCGAGCGAGTGCATTGTTTCTCCCGGGTTCGTTGATACGCATCGCCATACGTGGGAGTCGCAGCTCAAGAACGTTACGTCAGATTCTCAACTGTGCGACTATGTTCTTTGGATACGCAATGTTTATGGTTCTTGCTACACCTCAAAGGACGTTTATTTAGGAAACCTAGCTGGCGCATTGGAATCCATTGACTCTGGAATCACCTGTCTGGTTGACCATTCCCACATCATGAACACCCCGGCACATGCTGATGCAGCTGTCGAAGGACTTCAAGCGGCAAAAATACGCGGCGTCTTTTGTTACGGTTTGTATAAGAATAAAATGTGGCCTGGTGTACCTCCCGATGCAGTACAAGAGGAGACAGAACCAGATTGGCGACTGGCAGATGCGCAGCGCATCCGGCAAAAGTACTTTTCTACTGCAAATGTCCCTTCCGACTTACTACGTTTCGGCTTCGCTCCGGCTGAGATTGAACGGTCGACTGTGAAGGAGGCAATCGACCAAGTTGAGTTCGGGCGCGAGATCGGTGCAGCCATCATTACGGGCCATATATCTATGGGTGAAAAGTTGGATCGTGGCATGCACTTCATTCGACACCTCCAGCAGAACAGTCTACTTGGCCCAGATCTTCTCTTTAGTCACTGCGGTGCATTATGTGAGGACGAACTACAGGCTATGCACGAGCATAATGTTGGCATCTCTTGCACTCCGGATACTGAACTGCAGATGGCTATGGGTCCCTTGATCGCATTTCGTGGTGCCGAGCATGGGTGCAAAATGAGCTTGGGGATTGACGTTGCATGTAACAATGCTGTTGACATGTTTCAGCAGATGCGCTTACTGCTACAAAACCAGCGAAACATTGACAACTTGGCGATGCAAGGGCCTCCTAATACGATCTCGCGGAAATGCGAGGAGGTGTTGAGGTTTGCAACTCTCGGCGGTGCTGAATGTATGGGTTTGAAGGACGTGGTTGGGAGCATTTCGGTTGGAAAGAAGGCAGATCTTCTCCTGACCAAATGCACATCACCAAGATTGACACCAATCCATGATCCGGTGGCAGCATTGGTTCTCTACGCAAACGCTTCAGACATCGACACAGTTTTGATCGATGGGGTCATTGTGAAGCAGGGCGGCAAACTCGTCGTTGCCGACTGGTCAACTGTGAGGAAGGAGGTGTTGCAATCGTCGAACAACATCAAGGAACGAGGGGCAGTGGCGCCGGTGTCCAAGATCAACGAAACTATTCTAAGCCTCAGTCAGCTTCAAAAGAAGCATGGTTGATCCTCCTGCCATTATAGGACATAGGGGAAAATGAACATGACAATACTACAATCTCTGGTTCCTAGTCATCCCTCTCGTATTGGATGTGTAACCATTAACCACAAAGGCAGGTTGATATGTACAATAATTTGGATCTCAATGATGCCATGATGCCCATGTTGAATATGGTTAGCTTGAAACCACGACAAGAAAGGACTACTTTGGTCTTTGATATGTCTGCTACCACTTGGGATGTCAAAAAAGTCTCACTGCACGAATGCTACGCTCTCCTTTCCATTTAGTTTACGACTGAGTACTTCTTTAGATCGCATCTCAGACATCTAGGATATCGTGCAGATGATTTTCCCTTTGGTCGTGTTGGATGCCAACAATTCTTGAGCCTTTTGAACGTCCTCCCAGTGAAATATCTTCTCGACAATAACCTTGAATGAGCCGTCGATAAATCTGGGCATGGCCATGGCTACGAGACGGTCTCGTAGCTTTCCCTGGTAGTCTTCGTTGCGGGCTCTCAAGGTAGTGCCTTCATATCTAACTCGCTTTTTCAAGATTCGTCCAAGATCAACTGGTTCTTGGACCACTCCTCCTCCCATTGTTCCTAGGCTAATGACACATCCATCCACAGCCACAGCGTCGATATTCTGATTAAAGTGAGCCGCACCGACAAAATCGAGGATGATATCCACCCCTTGGCCTTGAGTGTACGCTAGGACCGAGTCTGCCCATCTGCCTAATTTGTAATTAAACCCCTCGGTCGCACCAATTGACTTGCAGAAATCGATCTTCTCCTGGGTACTGGTTGTGACATATACTTCTCTTGCACCTGCAGCCATCGCCAGCTGAATACCGGCGAGAGAAACACTACTGGCCCCTGCGTGCCAGAGGACACTTTGACCAGTTCGGTAGCCTCCGACCACAAATAGTGCTTTGATAGCAGTGAGCCATGTTTCTGGAATGCCAGCAGCTTCCTCCCAACTAAGCTCATCCGGCTTGCGGATCAACATTCGTATACTTACGGCGACATATTCTGCGTAAGCGCCGCTATATGCTAGTCCGAAGACTTTGTCCCCGATTTCGAATTCAGATTCGGCCGATTCATCCCCAAATGACTCAATCGTACCTGAGAATTCCACTCCGAGGATCGGTCCGGCTTGAGGTGGCATTGGGTACCTTCCTTCCCGTTGCACAAGATCCATCCGATTGAGACCAAAAGCTTTGATCTTGACGAGTGCTTCCCCGACTCCAGGAATTGGTCGCGGGATGTTGGTAAAGAAAAGGGCTGATATTGGGCCTTTGCCACCTTTGATATCTACCGCCTGCATTGTGCGCAGTCTGATGCGGTTGGAGGAGGTAGTTGGTAACCTTCAAGGACTGGTTTGCTTATGTAGTATTGGCTTACCTATGGTTGACACCGTCTTGGCTATACATGTTTCCGGCTCTCCAGGGCATGAAATCGCTTCCACACTCGGTCATCGGGGTGCGAGATCTCCTAGGGTCGTTTTGATTTTTGAGACAGTCATTCAGACTACTGGAACAAAGAATCTGACAAACATCAATCATGAATAAGCATGAGCTTAGGCTATGACAGAAAAAGCCTTGACAATCTTCTAATAAGAAGAGCAGGCAAAGGTCAATCGAACGTGTTGCGCATTTAGAGTCGGGATCCGCATAGCTGATTACAATTCTCCGGTATCTGAACAAGGAAAATTGGAAAACGGAGGTTGGGCTACATTGGTGGATCAGACAACCTCACATTTGGCGCCTGTGGAGCCTAGTAAGCTTGTGGATACTACTATACACTCGTACACCACAGCCGTAGTCGCGTGGATTGCGATATTGTTTCCTGCCCGATTTTCAGTAGGCGCGTGATAATATATCTGATATTCAACAACTACCACGGTGACCAGATCGCGGGATGATGAGAGACTTTTCCGCTGCCATAGCGTCGTTGTAAAGAGGTTCTATAGTACACAAATCCATTTTGATCTCAGGAACCCAATAAATAGCCCCAAAAGCGCTTGTCCACTTGCATCTCTTGCGACTAAATATGGTTGATCTACATTTTCCTCCTCAGAGTCCCGGTTAATTGATTTTGGTCTCTCTGCCAGGCTTAGATGACGCACGAGGATGTCACCCATGTATCGGATTCGACTATCATGGCTTACACAATGGCTAAGTTCTGGTCAGAAATGGAGCACCAAGATCAAATGACGTATCATCCAAATTTAAATTTTGAGTGTGGAATGTTGGGTTCATCAGCGGTGGATCTTCGAAGAAGGTCAAATCTTCCGAAGCGAACATTTCGGATGATATCAATAACGGCTGAAACAAGTCGGAGGTTTCCTGACCACTGATGTCAGACACTCCAGGAATATTGGGAGCCCATGAATTATACAATGGGTTGTAGTGGTTGAGGGAGGGTTGGCCTGTACACCATGTTAGGGTTTGGCCGGTTAAGTGGGCATACGGAGTTCCCGAAGTCTCACCTTGATTTTGTTCGGCAAATGATCCATAGCTGAGTACCTCAGATGGAAACTGTTGCTCTGGAGACTCATTACTATCACATGGTCCAATGTCCGCAACTTCATCGCCTTCTACCGTATACCCATCATCCTTCCAGAGAATGGTATTGAGGCTCAAGATTGAGGCTCTTGCTCTTGATGCATTCATGCGAAATCCGGTAAGTTTTCCAGGATCAAGGCCTTTTGGCTCGTCTTCCAGGTTGAGATCATTCTGGAGATGTGTCTTTGTGAGGTAGCTTGCATATCTCTCCTGTGTATCATTAGCTTGCATAGATGTTTGGAAGGATTCAGACCTACGACTAAAGTCATAAACCTCCAGTATTCGCTCAAGCCTCTGATAACGCGAAGATTGATGGCAGTGTTTCTTTTCGCTCTTTCCTTGACAGTCGGGTTCAGGCATTTGATAAAAGGCACTTGAATGGCAAAACTGCAATAAGCAGCAAAACCGATGTAACTGGAAATTCCTGCCATATCAGTTGAATATTCAAGATACATTCCGAGAAGTTCTGAGAGCAGGCACGCGTTATGGTACGCGACCTGGGCTGAGAAGTGTTGAGCCATTTCCGAGGTCAAATTGGATGGTCCCCAGGAAAACAGCGGTACAATTGAAGAATGTAAGGCGCATAGAGACTGCAGGTAAATGGTATTGATCATGACAATTTTCATGAGATCCACACGATCAAATGTTGCCAAGTTCGTAGGTGCTGTAGGTGTGAGGCGAAAACTATCAGGAACTCCTCTCCACCACTTCTTTACAGCCGTGTCATGCTCATATATCGCGGCTTGTCTGTTCTCCTGGCTCAATGTGGATGACTTGATCAAAGTATTTACGGAAGACCTAGGCAGTGTTAAGGTGGGTATTCGTCCACTGATGATTCTCACTTACCAGATTGTCATTCCCTTGATCAACTCGCTGTATATTCCACCATTGGTGCTATCCGAATCAAGATATACGGGTTGATCTTCGGATTTCCCACAATCAAAATGGCTGTCGCACCAGGGAAGTGGCAGGGCCGCAATTTTGTCCGGCGGATTGATCGCAAACATCGACTCTGAGCTGTGACAGTTGATAAGATGGCAAGCCCAGAAACGGCGACGAGAGAGTTCTGCCTCTAAAGGATTGCCCTTCGCTTTGTTGTGGCTACCAAGATTTAGGATGTGTGCAATCTGCATCGCATTTCCTGCATTTACAACTCGACCGTCAGCCAGGCAACAATATAATTGAAATTCACATTATGTGTGACAGTGAGTGATATGGGTTTTAACCTTTGTATATATAAGACCTTCTCCAGAAACCTTGCGTGTACCAGAAGAGACTAAGGGTCGCGAATGTAACCAGGTTTTCCTCGTGTGGCGTTTCAGCAGCGAGTAATGCGAGCTTACCCGCATGATCAGCCCAGGCATGAGTGAACCCATGCTCTTTGAGCAGCATTTGGCTGTTCGAAGACTTGTGAAAGCTTCTCGAGTCAATGCAAGTTAGTGTGTAGAGAAGCTGGGGGACTTACACTGAGCCGAATGCACAGATGCTCAACAATAAGGACGGTTTTAACGTCCCTGCTGCCATCATTTGGAGGAATTGACCTTTGTGGAGGAAGAGTTGAGCATTGTATACGTGTGAAAAGTATATTTCGACCAAGGTAGATACTAGAGACTGAGGTATACCCAGGTAGCTTTCTGACAATGCACTGGGGCTAATTTGCGGCAGCAATGGATGTAAATTCACGGACCCAGAGTATGGCACATCTTCTGCACTTGAGCCTCGTTGTCCTTGTGGCTTTGAGCGATGGGAATTTGCAGTGGCTACACCCTCTTGATATGTGCATGGATTGTTCAAACGTACGCAACGCTGACACTTCGGCACGTCTCCAGAACAACGTATCTGGATATTGTACCATCAGTGGATAGCATCAAGTCCGAGATGGAAAGTACTTCACCTTCAGCCGCTTACACTGCTGACAGGCAGTGCGCGGCCGACCTGCGCTTATTGGGGGCACCATTTCTCCGTCAATGTAGGAGAGTGTCGGTTCAACAATAATGCAAGCAGCTGCAATGTCAACCTGAGCGTGACTATGCCAAAGCCTCGCTCGTAGCAGCGCTTGTCACCTGACACGGGAGGGGGCATTTCCGCACCCACGAGTAATTATGATACAGCCTGCCCCAGCTTTGCATATCTCCACCAGGTACGGCACCTTATCGTGTTCTCGGTAAATTGCCTCATTTTCCGACTTGGCGGTCAACTTTGTCAATGCTTTTAAAATAACTTGTCGACTACTCCGAGGCGAGGCCGTCATTGACAAGCTGGAGCCCGTGACTGCTGCTACTGTGCTAAGGCGGGCTGTACATCGTGTTTACTAATGCTCGAGAGCGCCTGAGGAGATTCTCCACAGAAGCTGGGATAATGTTAAATCGGCAACATCTGGGGAGATGCAGGCTGGCGACTCCAGTCTTAATGTACGGAGTACAAGAACATGTGTGTTTCCTTACTCAATTTGCCCACAGACGACGAAATAGGATCTTCGATCCTACTCACAGACCGCTTCTTCTGCTTGAGCGATGGCTTCCTGGGTTGAAACCAGCGAGCAGCCGGAGTTCTCTCTGACCAACCTTCCATTCGGTGTGTTCAGCACAAAAAGTGATTCCATTCCCCGGATTGGCGTTGCGATTGGCAGCTATGTCCTCGACTTGAAACTCCTTGCCCAAAGACGGGTCTTTGCAGGTCTCGATTTCAACACCGACACTCTGCAAGCAACCACGCTGAATACCTATGCAGCGCTGGGGAGGCATATTCACCGTAGAGTCAGGGCCTATCTACAGAAAGTCTTAGCCCACGATGCCTCTGTGAGGCATGTCCTTCGCGACAATGTGGAATTACGAGAAGCATCGCTAATCGATATGAGAATCGTCCAAATGCATCTCCCCATGGACATTGGCGACTACACAGACTTTTTCACAAGCCCATATCATGCACAGAATGTGTGTATCAGTACCCGATCCCACAATTGCTCATCTTGATTCTTGAACATTGTATTGACGGTCGCTGGCCAACAGTGTACAGATATCGTCAGACCAGGGACACAGCTCCCTTCCAACTTCTGGGACTTCCCATTGGGTTATCATGGGCGAGCATCATCAATTGTCGTGTCCGGCACCCAGATCCGCCGACCACGAGGCCACAGGGTCGTAAATGGGGCAATGACATTTGGGCCATGCCGGAAACTTGACTTTGAGGTGGAACTCGCAGCATTCATAGGAGAAGGAAATGCGCTAGGGAAGTCAATCGGCGTGGACGAGGCAGAAAAGCATATATTTGGCTTCGTACTGTTGAATGACTGGTCCGCCCGAGACATCCAGAGAGCCGAAGCAGGCCTCATGGGTCCTCTTAACGGGAAGAACTTCGCCACGACGATATCCCCTTGGGTTGTTTCGCCGGATGCGCTTGAGAATTATCGAGCAGAACCTCTCGACAATGTCAGTACCTAACTCCTATTTGCCCAATGCTATTGACCAAAGCATTCTAGCATCCACCACAGCCACATTTGCAGTCTGGGCAAAAAAACTCAGTCTTCGATATAAACATCGATGTACTTATTGAACGGAGGTCTGAAATGTGCCTTCACTTGAATTGAGAAACTAACATGCTGCTAGTTGATTCCAAACAGCATCTGATTGCACAGTGTAACACCAAGAACGTTCTTTTTTCATTCCCTCAGATGATTGCACATCATACCGCCAGTGGATGTCCCATGCGAACAGGGGATCTCATTGCCACTGGTACTGTATCAGGGCCTGAAAATACCCAACTGGGCTGTCTGCTGGAGCTGACAAGGGACGGCACCGTGCCATTTCAGAAACCCTCAGGAATTGATAACACTGCCACCATTCATCGCGAGTGGCTGAAAGACGGTGACAGGATTATCTTTAGAGTTAGCAAAGACAATCAGGGCAAAGCGGCCGACGTTGGGTTCGGATCCTGTGAAGGAACAATAGCGATCTGAAGCTGGAGACCTGCTTGGTGGCTGGATTATGAAATGCAGATGAACCATGACTGGGAAAGTATTGCACCCTAAACTAGACTGTTGCCTAAGTCCATGGAGTACCAAGCCATCTTCGTGTTGGACCGACGGTATGGGTGCACTTGTGGCGCATTCCATGTATCAAACTATCATTAATAGCTTGACAAGGTAGAGAGATTAACCGACCGGCGCTGAGGAGAGATTCGAAATTGAGATACCATGTATTCCTATCGTAGTCCCTTGGAAGCTTCCCAATCGACCGACCTGCGCGTGTTTGATGGTGTTGGCGCGACTACCTCACCACATTGGGTAGTGATGAGAAGTGATTATCAAGGATAACAAGAGCTCAAGATATACGGGTCAGAATGAACACCCAATGGCAACATTAAATCTCAAGGACGTTTTGTCATAGTGATTTGATGACCGAATAGAGATTAGTGCCAGGGTGATTGAGACTCTTTAGCTCCTCAGCCTTGTCCGAGTCACCGCACTTCAGGTTAGGCAGACGAGGACTGCACATCTACGCCTAGCGAAGCTTTTCAATCTAGCGAGGTATTCAGCTACCACCATCGGAATAGACGTCCCGCCTGCCCTTTGCCCGTCGTCTACTTCCCACAGAGGAAGCACTCGTTGGCATTCACACGTCATTGCTTCTAGCAATGGCAGCGCATTGAGAAGGTAATGGGCTCTCGCCAGCCGCCAATTTGTACACAGCGGATTGACTCGGACTTGGTAGAGCGATCATAGATGTATAAGACACTGGGCGCAGGAGGTGCAAGAGGAGTTGTAGGAATTCTCAGATGTTGAATGACTCGGAGACCCGGAGCGCTTGGGTTCTAGCATGACCGGAACTTTATCGAGTGACCTTTTAGTTCACCGGTAAATCTCCAATTCTCAACCCAATTCGAACATGATATTGCAACATGGCGTCACCTTATAACACCACCGACACCGGCCCACCCAAGCACGAAGCCGCTCAGCGCCTCTGTGAAGAGGCCGCCTCCAAACCAGATTTCCTGCCAGGCACCAGCTCCTGGATTGCGGCCCTGCTTATCGATTCCCCTTGTTCCAGATGAGCCAGCGAAGTATCTCTGGGGATCGGCACCAGCCAGGACGAAGTAGAAGAGTGTAGATAGGAGCAAATTTGCGGCGAGGTAGAACGCAAAGCCATAGAGGGATTCAAGGCCTAGGATGCCCGCTGCAACGCCCAAGAGGAGGCCAGAGATGGAGCGAATGTTGGAGATCGTCTGTTCGTGTCGAACTCTGTCAGTGAAAAGAGGAGAGGTCAATTGCATGCGGCATGGCTTACCCTGCTGTTATGCATGAGAGACTCCGGCACCAATGGGTTCAACAGCAGAGACAATTCGGCCGGGGAGGGAGCCATCTTGAACCTGTATACTGTTCTTGTGACTGTCAAGAGGCTGGAGGTTTCTGGTGAGTGATATTTAGGATTTCTAGAGCGAAATGGATGGTCCAGCCCAAGGCGCAACTGGAGGCGTATGCTCATATCAATTACGCGGGCTGAGAGAAAGGCTTGGCAGGAAACACCGGACACCCAGGACTAACTTTGATCCGTTCCGTATCATCGACTTCAGATTAGGTTTGGTCATTGGCCACTTGGCTACCTGGATTACTCGAGATAAATTTTGCTGGATTCCGTTTGATCCTATGAGGGCAAGAGAGGGTCGCTTTAGACTGAGATTTAACTGAGCCTCACTACTGAGGCACCTTAGCAGCTCACTAATTCAGCTACCAGGAGGGCCCAATCTGGCTTCCCCAGCGGTTCGCTAAACCTACCTCTCTCAGCTCGACATGCGTTTCAGCTGGCTGCTCAGTGAATCTCGTAGGTCCCTGGCCGTACACTGCTGCCTAAAATTCCTCATGCATGGCGCCTGAGGGTTCTATCGCTGGCAATACGCGAGACTTGATCGCCTCGAAGAGCTGCTTGTAGATTTAGCTGACGGCGTCTCGGGGTTGGGGTGCGACCTACCGGGCTTAACTTCGGCTCAGTCCTAGCAAGAAGCGCACAGGCTAACTGCCCCACTACTCAGCCATGCTCAGCCTTATTGTCGGTCTCTTGCTCTCATTGGGCACTTGCGTATTGGGCTGTTGTGTCTGGTGTGTCTCTCCTCGAGGAATATGGCATCATTATATGACTCTAGGAGTGACCACTTTGAGGCCTTTAAAGGTCCCAGAACTGGGCCTTGCAAAGCCGCTGTGTCAAACGTTAAGCTTCGCCTAGTTACTAGGGCGTTGATGGCCCTAATTCAAATGAATGGAAAATTCTATTCTAATGTAACTAGCACAACCAGTAGCACCCTTTTTAGCGATATCTAATGGTTGTAAAGATAGCATCCTGTCAGTGTTGTTCATCATGTCTATCCTATGCCTATATCATTTGTGGGAGCCAAGGTATCGCTAGTTGCCAAGTGCCTTTTAGCGCCGTAATTGAATCAATTGTAGTCTCTGGTCCCGCGTCATTGGTCCCGCCAATGAGCTGTATACATGGATATCAAATTCGTAGCTGAGGCCTCCAGATTATTCCTGTCGCGGGTATCTTACCATGGCCTCCCCTGGCTGTTCTCATCCTGGTTATCCTTTCCTGACTTCTCCTGGTTGTTCACTATCTGTATGGGCGGTGTGCTGGCGGCTTTCACGCGTGTTGGCGACCTCGTCAATCAGATCGATATGTCTGATAGTCCCCGCTAGGCTTAGCGGCCTGTCGATTGCCTACCATAGGACTTATTGAACAAGCAGAGACGGGGCTTGCACTAATATCATACTGTCGCACCTCAGCCGCTTGGGGATCCTCTTTTGCGCCATCTTGGTCCAAAGCGGTATCACCGAATGTGAGGAAGATGCTTGTCTTGTCGTTCTTGTTCGATATAGTCCAACGAACGTCCAGCTTGAAGCCACATTTATCTACTAGCCTGAAGTCAACCGGGAATGACTGGCGGTTGACATGAAAGATGCAGCCTTGTTCCGTGAGCCTCGACAGTAGAGTCCGATGGTATTTCAGCTCGAGGCGACATAGAATGCTGCACCTGGTATTATATATACTCTTAGAAAGTTTATAGGCTCTGATATTGACAGGGTAGAATAGCAAGGCGAGAAGGTTTTCCGCTGTACGCTTCAGCTTGACTCTAGCTTCACCCTCTTGAAAAAACTATTTAGTCTCACGGACCAAATTTTCTAGCTTGGTTGTATCTACCAAGGTAGGTAGAGTTCCATTAATTGGACGTCAAGCCGATGGTGTTTTTGCCTTAGATCTTCGTCCAAACTGCTAAAGTACTTTGTCCATAGTTTGGCTGCATCTAGGTTGTTTTCGAATGTGTCGGTGCACCTTCTAAGCCAACCGTGACTAAAGTGGGAGAATATAAAGCTCTGCTTTGCGACCCGGTCATTTGACCATCCAGAGCCTACACTGACGGCGATGTCGATATCACGACCGCTATCCCAAGCACGACGTGCTTCTACAACGGCTAGATTAATCGGGTTATTATGTTTCAATGCTCCATCCTGGAAGAACATTCCGTTGGGTGCCTCATACATGGGAAATATCCCTGGGGCTGCAGATGTGCATCGGGTCCGGGAAAAGCATGGGTTAGAGATAATTTATACCATTAGATAGATTTCTGCTAATAAATAGGGCTTGCTTACGCTTCCCACACGGTAATTTCCATGTCCGGATCGTCTGATCGATATATCTGTACATCTGTTCTAGTCAGCGTTGAGCCTAGACGAAGATATATATCTTCTCGTAGTTACCGTCTTCTGTACCATCCATACTAAACCTCTCTCTATTATAATTTGCCATTAAGTACGTCTTTTGGGTTCCTTCGGTTACCGCTGTAACCCCAACTTTTAGATCCCTGAATTTGGCATTGGTGTGCCAGCATCCCTGATACCTGGCAGAAGCGGATTGTGAAACAGATGCTCGTCTTGAACGAGGGCCGAAAATGCTTCCTGTAACTGCTTTTCCATAGCATCTAGATTATACGCACTTTACCACATGCAATGAAAGAGCTCACCAACGACTAGGATTCGGGTACTAGGATATTAGTAGAAAGCGTCTTTTGCAAAAGTCTTAAACTTATCAGTACCAGTCCTCGCGGACCAAGACTTCACTCCTAGTCCTAAAGTGATGATACCACCTATAAATTTGTTATTAGTGGGCCATAAACCTGCTTTCTTGGTTGAGGTAATCTACCTAAGCTTGTTCCGAGGAGAAGATCAAAGACGTGTAATATTGGAAGATTGTCACCGCTATCATCCGAGCACTTGACGCCAATCTCGTCTTCCAAGAGTTGAAGCATACGAATTGAAGCCATGCCTCTGACACCGCCGCCATCGACAGCGAGGACACGAGGGCCAGCCTCAACAGGCTTCAATAAAATATCCATACTCACACCATCACCGAGCCTTTTGCCGCCACAAAGATAGCATTTGTTCACTTGAAAACTGTTAGGTTGCAGGTTTGGCTTACCTATAATCCTAATGCAAGGTAAGTATATTGCGTGTCCGAAGGAGCAAGGCATCTTGAAATCAGGCTGCTGACTTAGACACACACAATAAGTACTAATCGAGCTGGTATACTTCCAGAATTCTCGCTTACTTTCTAGTATATTCAAGTGCTGCCTTACAATCGACGTCTTAAAGTCAGTAGCGTCGTTCTCAATGTCCTCAATTATGCGTAGGGAGTGGTCCCTAGTTCTCACAATAAACTTCTGGAAAGAATCTCGATTGCGATATGTGAGGAAATCGCCTATGCCAATAATACTACCCCATTTGTCCTGGTGACCTTTGGCATAATGCTCCGCAATATTGTTACATCTCCAGCCACCGAGAGACATTTTCGTGAAAGTATTTATATGCTTCGCCATAGGCGTTGACAAGGCCCCGTGCCAAAAACTTTGCTAAGAGAGAGGAAGAGCTATTAGCAGTATTCTCTTATACTTCTTTTTTCTTTGGAATCAGAACTGAATCAGAGCTAAATGTGACCCGTATTAACTTACCTTAGATTTCCAGATGCGAAAGAGTATTGAAAGCAATGTAAGATGCGATAAGGTTGGAAAGTCGGTTATCCATTACTTGTGGATCGTCCTCAGTTTCCCCCATCCTTTGCATTGGAAAGTTTACATGCTTAGAAACTCTTTCCAGCAGTGGCCTTCCCCGCAGCATATGCTTGAGGAAATCAAATGGCTCATCGAGGTTTAACATAAAGTGGTCAATAGAGGCATTGAAGTAAACTCCTAATTGGTCTACATCGATCTCCGAGCGAATTCGACGTCGTTCCTCGTGGATGGACATTGCCATGCCTTTGACTATGTCGCGAAGAAGTCTTAGTTGCGTATGGATTCTCGCCCTATTAAGATCGTATTACGGGATATAGACGACTGAAATCTCTTTGAAATATCGTAAGAACAAGTCCTTTACTGATAGGATCTGTTGATTCTCAGGAAGAATTTCGTTCTATTTTACAGCAATTCTGGCTACATCCTTATTCACTAAGGCCCATTTTTGCATAAGGACTAAGACGGTCTTTGTAGCTTCTTCCTTCGAGAGCCATAAACGGTTTGTAGTGATCACATTATTCAGAAGGATGATTGTGCGAGGGAGAGCTGACTGATTGAGAGATTTATGGTGAGCATTGTCAGCACATTGGATCATTCTTGTTATAAAATCCTAGAGAGCGCTGGGACTCTATTGCACCACAAAGCAATGATGTCACTTATCGAATATAGAATACGCGGATATATCTGCTCCACGCAGACTTTTCGACTCAGATCTTTGTTCATCGGTTTGAAGATATAGTTAGGTAAGCTCCTAATACGATGTCAGAGGTCTAGCCGTTCTGAATACTACTCAGGGAGAAGACTGTACTTTAGAATTGCTAGAGCTTTTCCAGTGAGAAACTTAGGGTTATTTTCCTCTCCCGCAAAGCCCTCACAGTCGGCAAAGAGTAAAGGTCGAGATGTGTTCAATGTACCTGGGTCAGAGAATAAGTGGACATTAGAGCTGGTTGGTCCTTGCGAGTTTCTGTTGGCTGATACAGGGGCTGCGACACCGTTGTCCCATTGACTTTAACTTTCGAGGCCAATCAACCCCTTCTGTATTAAACGGTTAGTTCCGTAAGCTTCCCAGGATACTAGACGGCTAGAAACAACCAAACGCTGATGTAGAATTAAGGGTCCAAAAAGGGAATTACTGACTTACGATGATGGTTGACTTCCCTGCCCCTGTAGTACCAACGAATGAGACCAAGGACGGGTATACAGTTGAGTTCGGCTGAAAATTGGGTTCGCAGATGAGTTTCATGTAGAGGCTGCGGTTTATCGCACCATTGCCATCCTTCTCATCCACCCCAAACCAATGATTCTGTGTCTCTTTGACATGAAGATCTTCCAACAAATCCTCATCGAGCCCACGAATCAATGTTTTAACCTAATTCTGCACATGCGGCTGGGTTTTAATGTGTCCATTCCCAATGCGAAGGTTGTACCTGTGAATGCTTGAAGCTTCCCAGTGCGAATCACAATAGTATGCTGTGCAAAAAGCGCAGCACGAGATTTCATCGACATTGTAAACTCCTTCTCTACATTCGAAGCATGGAGGAAGCTTTGGCGATTGTTCCATAAGAGGACTCCTATTGTGGATCGAATTAGCAGCTAATCCAGCCAAGTTGCTACATGGAGGTTTAACCTCGTCTTCCAGTGAAAAGAAATATTTCTGTCTGCTCCAAGGACTGAGAATTTAGTACCCAGGCAGAAGCCAAAATCGACTCAGAGGCGGTCGTCAAAATAACTAGAGGAACTAGAGCAAATAGGGCTTCACTAACGGGTGATGAAAAGGCTGTGAGAAGCGCAGGCGGCAGCTGAAAGGATATATAGCACATGGACGAATTTCCCATTTCCTAGCGAACGTCTTCCGGCATTCTCATGCGCAGTCAGGCGACTTTGGGCGTCGAAGAATAAATACTGTCTAATTCAGTTCACGACAGCTATTGCGAACTTCGCGAAAGGGAAAGGAAGAGCTAATCACATCCGATAGCCTGCAAGTCGTCGGTTCTTTGCGCGCGGCACTCTGAAACAGGGGAGCGCGAGGACCCTAATTGAGGATGAAGCGAGGACATGTCGAGAAAGTCGAAATGGTTACTGAAGTAACAGTTAACTGAGCGGTTGCTTTCGCGAGTGAGGGTATTCAATATCCCTGTGAATTTGTAAAAGTACGCTTTGTGCGGGTTAGGCAGTTAGACATGGTGCCCACCAGAAATTGGTTGGGCCGGCAGACCAGGCGGCTGTTGCATTGATTTGATGTAGGCTAGCCCCCAACTGAAAGCCACACGCCCAGAAATACGATTGGACTCTTTGACGCCTCGTGAAGCCAAAATCTGTGGTCGAATCAATGAAAACAGCTAGCGGAACCTGGAACACTGAAGGACACAGGACCGAGCATGAGAGATTCTGCAGCGGCGTGCGCAATGGATAAACTGGAGCGACCGATGGATATTATGAAACGTTTAATGAAGGTACAACCAATGGGGGCCGGCGGCTATCCTGTGATGGGAAGGGGATATGGTCATTCCTAACACGGTCTGGGGGCTCGTCAGACTATACAGTATCCTAAGTACGTACTATACTAGCGCCTAGGCGCTCTCGGGTCCGCTTCGGATAGAGTTAGAATAGCTCTCGGAGCTAGTTCGGATGCGTCGAAGCGATATAGTAGAACACGCTCTTTACAATCGCTTGGCATCGCTAATCACAATCCCATGAGCCGCCGAACTGAGTATGAACACAGGCATAATTAGGGGTGTTTCCCGTCCCCAAACGCTCGAATTAGACCAAATTTTACTTGGCGCCCAAAAGACAAGGATAATCAACGCCAAATGTGCCAAAGCGCTCACTCCAATTGCGCCGCTTTTAAAGAAGATCCTTACTCCAGAAGAACCTGAAGGGAAAAGCGCAGATTTCGATCCAAACTAACATCTACCATGGCATGGATCAAACAACGTTCGCAATCCTGGTCAATTTTGGCATGGTTCCTTGAGAGTAAGAGTCGGTGAGCCATGTTCGCTCAACATCAAGGTCTTTGCGCAGAAACGGAAGCCTTCCAATGCGGATGATCTGCAATCCTCAATTACGATAGCTCGGTCGAGGAAAATAGTTCCTTGTCGTTGGATACGGAGTGACGCGCTGTCGTATATCACTGTATGCGAATATCCGCAATGAGTATTAGTGTCTGGTGACACTGTTGCCTCTTCCGACTCAGAAAAAAAATATGGTCTTCCATTCCGGACTGACTGTCAGTCTCGTCAGGAGGATCTTCTGATGTCTCTATAGACCCATGGCGAAGTGAATAATAGGGGTCGTTACGAATTGGTGCTTGGCCCGAGCAGACAACGTGGTCGACCAGATCAAGTGTTCCGTCGTTGCGGATTATTGCAATGTATTGGTGTGGTTAGATATCGTCTTCTCCAATTTTTCGATCGCCTCCTCTTATGCTGGATTCTGCTCTTAAGCCGACATGTAGACCCGCTTCAGTGTCTACAGAGGCGCTCACATCAGCCACTGCTAATGATCCCTGGGACGTGTTGACATTATGCCCCGGCTGTCTTTTATCTTCAACGCGCTCAGGAGAGTGCCTAAGGTATACCACCAGGGTCATCACGCGTTTACAAGCTCCCCTAGCTCTTGAAGAGACTTCATATGTTTAATTCATGGTCCTTCTGAACAGCGGGTTTCATGTCTGTGTGGCATTTAAAACTAGTCAGCTATTTGATCTCTGCTAATGGATTCAGGTTGACTTGCTTAAGGTCGTGCTTAAGATCGTGCTGCATACATAGCACTACCGATAGACCCATTTGCAACGACGATTACGATGATTCAAAATGGTTTTCTTCCTGGATCAGGTTCGTGATATGCTCCTCGTTTAGGTAAATGCATATGGCACGGCTACCTTTCTTAACGCGCAACCTCAATCTTTGCATGAATTTGAGTTCTGTCGCGCTTTCTGCCTCTTTAACGTTGTTTATTAGTTGATTCAAATCCTCGAGTATAACGTTCATATTATTTGAGTAGGACTTGACGAGGTTCATTTCTTGAGCGTCTCTCATCACAGTCAAAAGTGGTCCAGTTCAGAACGCTTCGTAAGGGAGTTTAAGTAAGCCATTGACTGACAAGACCGGCAATTAGACTCTAGGTTAAGCAGTTAAAAGTCTCATCTAACCTGCTCGATGCTTGTAAGCGTCCCCTGATATATTCTTAAATGTTCTCGACAATTTCTGCAAACATCCAAACATCTTTTCAGACTCTTTGCACAGCCTGCAAGCATGAAGATGCTTGCTGCTACCGCGGTAACCTCTACCATGAATTTCAACATAGATGTGAGGCTCTTTGTGCTAGTACTGTTCAGTGGCACGGGGTCAAAACATCCGATGCGCTTGCATATATTCGTAGATGGGAGTTCACAACCTATTGAGGCCCTCTCATATCCATACACCATTTTCACAGCTTATTCACCTTGCCATGGCTGGGCATAAAGCCGGTCCTACTGAGAGGTGGCTGTGGTGACCGGTAAGCCTCAAAGTGACCAATAGTTGTGGAGAAGCTTTTCGTCGAAGGCACATAGAATTCCTGCAACCTTGGCCCCTTTTCTGCAAAGAGCTGATCACGGCCAACTAAGCCAAATGCACAGCAAAGTGTCTAGGGTTGAATTTTCCGTCAACGCTTGCCATATCCGATTAGATGGTAGCGCTTCGTGCAGGAGGTTAGCGAGACCTGCAGAGTGAAACTGTCGGGCGGTTCAACGGAGGATGCGGTATCTAGTCTGTGCATATGCATCTTCGCGCGCCTGGAGGAAAAGTGATATGACCTATTGAAGCAGCGGACACACCATGCTCCAGAACAATCTGTGGTCGAAGTGCTGGGGTTGTCTTGGGTCAGCTCAGGCGAGCGCAGAATTGCACAGCCATAGCTCTGTAAAAGTGTCTGCCAGCGTTGGTGTCGGATATGAGCCCACCATATTCAGCGGCACATCCTCCCACTTCGGTAGGACATTGTCTACATGGTTAACATTGCTAGGTGCAGCTACCGGCTCTTTCGCGTGGTATTGTCACCAAGACTGACATTCCTACGTGTCCATCAACGCGAGTTGGGCTCTACAGCCCAAAGATCACGAGTTTACACAGGAGATCATGTGGATATCATTACCTCAAGCGGACCTTACATGACACGGAAACCCGACAACGCGCATGACCAGGGCTGCTGAAGGGTGCCTTGATGCCTCGATGGCTTTGAAAGAAGCTGGGAAAGACTCTGTAGACCTGTACCCAAAACTGGCCCTGGGCGAATTTTGTAATCAATACGGTCAATCCTTCGTACGCTTGCGCTTCTACTTTTCTACTCTTAAAATGAACAAAGATGTTGTCGGCTGGTAAGTTTATCCTCTCTTTGTCATCCCGCCTTCTCTTTTGTCTACCTGTCGGACACAGTCTGATTTAGTACCGCAACATTTCTTTCAAAGGGTTAGGCTCGGCCCCAATTTCCCCTCAAATTCGCCTTGGTGAAGACCGAGATCGGAATTTGGGTACATTTACCATAACATCTCAGTCATCGCGCTCTGTATATCCATTGCACAACAGGATCAGCCACAGCAGCACATCTTCAGAAGAACCACTCTTCTCCGCTTTTGTATTTCTCACCGCCAGCATCGAAACTGAAGAGTACCAAGACGATGCGCGCTTCAACACACTTAGCCGGTACCGACACAAAGACATCGGTGTGCTCAACAAGCATCAGCACATAATAGGTTACGGCAGCTCCTTCTACGTAACATGCAGCGGAAACAAGCAGGACTCGGCTGTCCCAGACTCTGACGTCCTGGTGTTCAAGCGCACGATCCCCACAGTAGAAAAGGAAGATGCACTCAAGGACCGCAAGCGTGTCGATGCTCTGATGCGCGAGTTGCGTGTCTTGACCCACGATCCCATCAGGAAACCCATCAGGAAACACGAAAACATCGTCGAGCTTCTCGGAATCGCATGGGAGACGGACCCGTTCGATATTACGCAGAAGTGGCCTGTAATTCTCATGGAGCGTGCTTCGCACGGCAGTTGGCCGACTATTTTGAATACAACTATAGCAACATCCCTTTGCAGCAAAAAGTATCCCTGGCGCTCGACATTGTACTGGGCTTGAAAGCGATGCATATCTGCGGTGTTCTCCATGGCGACGTAAAGGCCGAAAATGCGCTTGTTTTTGCCAACCACAACGTCGAGAGCAAGGAGCAAAGATCTACCATCATCAAGCTTGCAGACTTCGGCGGCGTGCTGTTCGACATACCGGAACGGTCGACCCTGCCGTCAGGAACACGTCCTTGGAATGCTCCGGAATGGCAGACTCCGCTACCTCCGGCGAATCTGCTCAAAACCGATATTTACTCACTTGGCTTCCTCGTGTACAGGGTCCTGGCTGACGGGAAACATCCTTTCAAAGGCTCCGCGGCGTGGAGTGACGACGTGGGATGGAGCAAAGTCGAGGCGATGAAAGCGAACGATGATCAGATGTTAGAGTACATGTGCTCGATCAACGGGCTGGCCGGAAACAAGAATCAACCTGAGCGCATCCGATCTGGCCTGAAGTGGCTTAAACTTGCGGCCGTTGCTGGAAACGACGGGGCTCAAGCCGTATACTCTCGAGTCTGTGCAACAATCAACGAGCAGAACCCCCTTGATGACGCCAGTATTGTCCAATCGTGGCTATATAACACCGCAAGCCGAGGGTTTTTTGTTGCCTAGGAGGAGTTGTCTGATGTAGTCCTCCACGATGTATTGACTGCCGCCCAGAGAAAACTAAGCACCAGGTACGGAGGCACCGGCGTCGACAGGTTCCCAGAGACCAGATTCACGATTGGTGATGTCTCCATCGACGACAAAAAGGAGTTTGACCAGAGGCTTGCTAAGGCTATCAGCGGGTTGAGGGGTTTGCAAAGTTCCCAACCTTTAAGTACGGCCGGGGACCATATGTTACACTTTATCTCATGCTGTGGCTTGGTTAAGAGTTTGGAGGTATTGCTGAAGAACACTAACGCCTCAGAGGTAAATGCTAGGAATATCCGCAGTGAAACTCCCCTGCTATTGGCTTGCCGATCCGGCCACTACAAAACAACAATGATGCTTTCTGAGGCCGGGGGTGATCCCCGAATCACCAACCTGTACGGCGACACGCCTTTGCACTGGCTACCGTCCTTCCCTGACAGGTGCGTCCCGGAGCTGACCGGCAAGTTTGTGCGCAGTGGCTCCAACATTGACGGGGTGGCTCAGAGTTTTTCGTACCTGTATTGTGGGGAGAATACATACGTGCAAGGCACGCCTCTTATGCGGGCTATATCGCGAAATCGACTTGTGATAGTGGATGTGCTGCTCGAGCACGGCGCAGATCCGAATTTCTCGCACAATCAGGACTCCCCCATCAAGCTTGCAACGAGGCTGCATTACCGGGAAATCTTATCGAAGCTTTCGAAAAGTCGAGGGATGCTCCCAAGATGGTGGATCCGAGGAGTGGAATCAGTTATCTTCTGTCCGCCTTCATGGGCGGAAGCCTAGAAAGCCCGGGGAGCTTCTTCGGGCGAATTCGACGGCACGGCTATCGTTGGAAAGCCAGAGCCCGAGAGACGCTGCAGGTGATTCTCCAGCATGGTGCGAGAGACTACCTCCACGACGTTCCCGGCATTCCGGGGGGCACGGCCATCTTCAACGCAACACAGATGGCCGAACCTGACATATTGGCCTATCTGCTGATCTCGACAACGATCCTGATTTCCAAGGGGTGCAGAGATACCCAATTTCCGCGGCCATCAGCTCACGAAGGCTGGAGTCTCTGCAATTGCTGCTCCAGCACGGCGCGGATGCAAGCGTGCGAGAGGAGATTCCCACGATTGCAGAGCCTGTGACCATGCTCTACCTGTGTGCTTGGGGGGCGAATGACGATCCGGCCTTTGCGGAGTTGCTAATTGCCAAGGGGCTCGACGCCAACGTCGATGATGGCCCGGTGGACTACGAGACGCCCTTCGCATGTGCGGTACGGAACCGTTGCTTCAGACTGGCGGAGCTTCTATGGCGGAACGGAGCAGACCCGAACGCTGAGTTCAACGAGGGACTTTGGTTCTCGCAGACCACCAAAATGACTCTCCTTGGGCATTTGGTCTCAGAATGCTCTATTAGCACCTTGGCCCCGTTGTCGTTCCTGATGAACCTTGTCTCGCGAGTGCCGCCCGTCGCTCAAAGCCACCTTGAACCAGCGTTTGTCGTCAACCAGTCGAGCGGCAAAACGGTCCTGCACGTCATGGCGAACAATGTCTTTGTACGTCAAGATAGCCGTGCTGAAGAAGCCCTACTCCGGCGGATAACAGAGTATTTCAAGCCTGACGCCTCGATGCTCAGGCGGCGAGACTCGGCGACAAATTACACGGCGCTTGAACAAGCAATCATTCGCGGAAACGCGAGGGTCGTACGACATTTGCTTGACCAGAATGTCTCACTGAGGTCTATGAACGGTGAAGGGGAAACGCCGCTAGATATCGCGCAGAAGTGGTTGGAGTTTTTCCCCCATGAAACACCCATTTCTGATGAGATCGAATTTACCTTATCTGAAAAACAAAAGGTCCGATTGCGGAACAACAGAGGGCAAATCGTCAGAACGATAGAGCGGTACATCGAATCAGTGAGAGATGACTCGGAACAGGATGGAACGGTACCAAAATAGCTGTCCTCTATAATTTCTTTGCGAAGTCGATGTGTAGTCGTGACACCGACAGTGACGGTATAAGTACCTTCAAGCACTTCCAGAGGAAAATGCCTAGAATCATCAATACCAAGTCTACCTTTAGTCTCGAAGTACGCCAATACCCTGAATTGGTACTCTGCATCTGCTGCCTGCACGAGGGAGACAAACAGTATCTTCCTTCTGCCTCGAGTTGGTCGGCCTCGGTTTCCCGTTGGATGTATTGATATTCAAAGACCCTATCGGTGCGTCCTCGCATGTCTGCAGTCGTCTTTTCCTGGCCAGCTCCGAACTCCAGCAGATGGCGAACAACTTCCGAGGCATCTTTTCTTCTCTGTGCAAGATGTAAAGGAGTCCTGCCTTTCTCATATACAGCGTGCAAATCATGTATTGCACCGAGCTTCAACAGCCCCTCAAGCGAGCCCACATGGCGTTGCATCACAGCGTGGTGCAGCGGAGTTCTGCCTAGTGAATCTGCGGTATGGATGGACACTCCCTTTTCCGCGAGCAGAGTGATCACGCCACTTCTTTTGCTTTCCAGTGCATAATGCATTGCGGTCCTCCCCATCAAATCTGCTTGCATAAGTTCGATCTTCTTGGAAACCATGATCTCTAACATATACGCTACGAGAGGAATATTACCCCTTTGAGCTACTAGGTGGAGGGGGATGCGACCTGCGCGGTCCCTGGCCGAGAGTAGGGCACCACCAGCTCCGTGTTCAACATAGAGACGTGCGATTTTAGTGGAGCTTCTGCTAGACCATGCCATGTAATGGAAGAACGTCAAACCGTGTTCGTCTTCTGCCTCGATATCGATGTACTCAGGATGAAATCTCAAAATGGACTCGATGGCTGGACTGTAGAAATTATGCGAAGGTGTTGCTCCAGATACCGACTGCACCATGACATCAGCGCCGTGCGAAATGAGAAACCGTGAGGTTTTCGTAGCGTTAAAACCGTCAAACGTGCACGCAAGCTGCACGTGAAGAGGTGTTCTGCGCACAGCCAGGTTAGATAACCCCATGTGTCACAGTTTGGATCCCTGCAGAAGTGGACATACTCGCCGTCGTCATCAAAGGCGTTGATTTCAGCTCCATTGTGGAGCAAAAATCCGATCAATTCAATGTTGTGGGCCTTTGCGGCAAACTTCTCCCATATAATGTAGTTAGTTCCACAGTTTCTTGCGTCCCGAAAATTGTTAGAATGGGAAAGAACGTACGTGAAGCAACCCTCTCCCATTTTCCAACACGTCCGACGGTCTCGCCTTGCCTAGAATGAACAACTCTTTCAGACTCTCCAAATCGCCAAGCCGAGCGAGCCGCATGACTGTCGAATCCTGAGACACGACTGTTGGGAAGCTGAGGCTCCAGCCGATCGTCATGGCCGGGTCCCGAAGTTGTCGCAACATCCGCAAGAAGTGCAGGGACAAATAAACCCTTCCAAGGAAGGTTGTCACCATCAATGAGAATTTGTAGCCAGATTTCGTTTTCGTCAATGGGGAAGGGCTCAGCTCGTCACTTCTCGTAAGATTCTGGAGTCGCAAAGGCCCATGTGATACGTGGAGTTTTATGCTGCTGAGCTGTGAAACAAGGTGACGACCGACATACCGGGTTGATCCCACTGGGAATTCTTTGAGCATGTCACTTCCGTAAGGTGAAGTCAGTGGACTTTTGATGCTTCGCAAGTTTTGACAAGACGGTAAGTCGGAGTCAGTAGTGGTGTTTGGGGATGAGGTGGGAGATACCAGGATAGCTTCCGAGTCATACCAGCAAGGATCAAAGGAACAGCCGGAATTGTAGGTGGTCATGCGAGATGGTCGGCTTCCGCTGATGTGTGGTGCGAAGAGTATGGATGTGTGAAGGTCACATCGAGCATTGAGGCAAGTTCCAGTTGAGACATTGGCAGAGTGTGGAACCGGAGAAGGCGAACGAGCGTAGATCCGGGGGCTCAGAGGAACATTTACCTTAGCATTGTCCGATGCCCAAAGACCCAATTTTCTGGATTTCACAATTAATTATCTCTGACCTGAGTACTGAAATAGCAGAGATGGGCAGAAGCCCGGGGTGGAGGCGAAGGAGCGAGAGCGGAACCCACATATTCACCGTCAACAGGTCCAGCGCAAACGTCGCCTGATACATCTGTACTCGCGCAAAGAAGCGTTGCCAGTAGTGGTCATCAGCAGCCCACTTGATCTTCGCCCACGTTTCCTCAGTCCTCCTTTCTCGAGACGGCCGTGTAACTTCTTCAATTTAGATTCGGCATTGTGGAAGTCCTCAGTGCAGGCCGTCAATCGGCCCCGGAAATCGCTTGTCCAGGTGTGTTCCGGGGGCAGAAGCGGTCCTAAGGCTTGTATCGAAGCAAAAATAGAGCACAGAGTCCGCAGGGTAATTATTTGGTGTTCGATCTCCTTTGGAGCTCCCGAGACTGCACGAAAAAATTCAAACAAAAACTTGCTTGACTCCCCTGCAAAACTCACCACGGCGAAGGTGTTGGCGGTAACAGACAATGCACCCGCCATCTCCTCGTACCCGCACTTTGCACTCGTCTTCTGGGATGCTGTTGATGTATTATTCTCTTTGATCCTCTTTCGACATCTGAGAAATCACCAAAAGGGCCAGGTCACAGGACTGGGTGTTTTGAGCCGGTTTTTCGCAGCGCCCGTTGGCCATGCGCCCGTCTGCTCGAAAAACTGCAGCCCATGCAGAAAATCATGCGACGGGGCTGTGCTAGAGCCGGGTACTGGCACTGCCACCTGGTTCTTTACGTGTACTCACGTGTAAAGGGTGGTGGCTGTGCTACAGGCAGAATACCACCCATGACTCGTAGGGTTTGTGTAAGAGACAGGACGTGACATGTCTTGTTATTTATGCTAGAATGACAGCGTTTTGTCATTTATTGCTTGGAGCTTAAGTTTATAGGTCCGCCTTAGTGAACATAGCTATAACATATTAAGGTACCTATACTAGAGTGGTCTACTAGTAAGCTTTAGTATAAAATAACTTAGCGCTAAATCTCTATTGCCTAGCGTAGTACCCAGCCTCTAAAACTGGTTATTGTTATGACGACTGTTATATATTACTTGTGAGTCATTTACTACTATTTGACAATCATTTAACTCGAATCATACCCCTGAGGCTGTGCTTCGCCACACCTTGTCCCCCGCACTGCTCGAAGGGACTTTCTTCCCAAGCTCAGAGTCCGTACGATCTAGATAGATAATCGTCTTAATCGCAACGACGAGTAACGTCGGAAGTCGGCTTCCTGGGCAATTTTTGCACCTAACGCTATGTCGAGTCCTGTAGCACCCCCAAGCAATAGCAAGCAAAATCCGTCGTACGAAAACGAAGCGTCCGTCTATTTCTTTCGCAACGGTAGGTATGGCCTGCCTGCCACCTAGTCTTGCATGCTCATCGGCTTGTGTTGACCGCAGGGAGATGGAGACCTGGGAAGATAGTCGGCGTGGGAGGCAGCAGCGAAGATGCGAATCGCTACATCGTACGTCTCCCACAGTGCCACAGTCGCACAATCATAGGTGTACCACTATATGACCAGCTAACTAGAAATATTGTCGTGCAACAGGTCAAAGACCTCGAGAAGGATGATGTCTACCAGATCTCAAGCTATAACATACGACTGCGCCTGTGATGAGTGATGAGTGATGAGTGGAGTTGGGCGTAAAAGCTACTTGCAGCGATCGGGCGGGCCGGGCAGAGGCTTTCCACATTAGCGCCACGCAAAACGGTGGGCAACCTTGACAAGGCAGCATTATCCGTACTTGCTCGTCACAAATTCCAGAACCAAAAAACAAGGTTGTTGTACTGTGCTGTAGAGACTGTTCTGGCCCCGCACTCCCTAAAGTGCTTTCACTCCTCAATTCCATAGTTTGCGCCTTGTGGGAAGCCCGTAGAACTTGATAGCAGCCTCACCGTTGTAACGGGTCCACTGTGAGTCGGGTGATACCGCGCTGAGCTTCCTCCTTGCACAGCAATGCAGAAGATCTTACTCCGATCGGTCCTCAATAAAGAACTCACCAACCGCTATGAGAGTTCACCGTCGACCACTACGCGTCGTTTTACCCTCTACAGAGACCAATATGTCCTGATCGATCCAAAGACATACGGGCAAGATCCTGAGGACGAATCGGGCGAACTCGTCGAGCCGCGGGTGGAGGAGTTGGCGACGAGGCTTTCGACGAGGCAGTTCGACGAAACTCTGACTCTGCAATGCAAAGGGTACTTCGAAGTGCCCCCGCAGTTCTGCTTCGTGTACAACCTTCCACCTCACTGTCCGACCCCAGAGTCGCCGAATCCGCCGTCGTCGCTCTTTGAACACCTCAGCAAGAACTTCAGGACAGTCTGATCAGAAATCTCAAGGTCGGCTCCGCTATCGAAAGCAGGGGGGAACTGATGTTGAGTGCGCATAAAATCTGCTTTAGAATACTCGGGCCAATGACTAGGCATATCCTCATGTCGGAGAGGAAGGTTTGTATCCAGTAATTCCAGGTTCAGAAACTCCTCGATGCTGTGGAGTTGCTCCGCTAGGACAAGGATGGCAAAGATTCTCGGTACCCGCAAAACGATCAGATCAATCCGTTCCGATGTGAGACCGATACCACATGAGGCCAGGGCTCTTGCAACTGTTTCAGGAGTGATAATAGCAAAAATAGACTTAGCCGAGACAAAGTTTTGTTTCTTGTAGTTGACCGTGGAGTTGAGTGCTTCGCGTAAGCTTCGACGTATTTCCATATTGAGTATTCAAGATGCATCTGAAGCTCAAATTGTTCAGCAAGCCCACAGGATATGGAGAATATCATACAATTCTGAATGAACTACCTCACCGTGACCGCGCGATGAGGGAGGAAGAAGGCAATAAATAGTATTTCTCAGGCGTGGATGAGCCGCAGGTGAAGGTCGCAAGCATCTCCTGGATTTGTGGCCGGGCATTTTCAGCCTGATCAAACTGTGGATAGAAGGTTCCTACCCACTCTATTTCACCTTTCCTGCGTAGATTGAAAAAAATTCAAGTGCACCTAGTTTCTTGATTCAAACCAAGTTGTCCACGACAAGAAAGCATGCAATGCTACTACAGAGGATTAGTTCCCAAGTAGCCAACGGAATAGGCAGAGTTTGCAATCATCGCCACTAAAGAGGCTAGCAGTGTGATTTTTCATGTCTTTTCTTTCTAATCGCGCCTAGCCTCGGCGTACTACGAATACCTTCGATAACACCTTGGCGTTACTCGTAACGCAAGGCTGGTCCCGACTCGTATATACAGATTACGATAGATTTCGTAGCATTTAGGATAACCACTTACTTTCTCTTGACCTTGCGCAGTACAGTCACAAGGGTAGAGGCGGTGCGGGGGGTCCCACTGCCTTTACACGCCCACTTAGGCTTTCGTTTCTTTTACATAGCAACCTCTCTCTTTCTCTTTTAGTTAATGATAACAATCTTTAGTTCAGAGGCCCCTGCGGGAAACACCGGTGTAGTCGCCCAGGCCGATGCTTCTACTAATGATAGTGATCAAGTCACTGCCCCCCGTCGAAGAGGATGATTGGGAGACAGAGGGTTGAACTCTTAGACACTCCTTTGGAGACATAACAATTTAGTCGAAGTATATTTGGTGACTTATGGGAGCGTCTGTATGTCTAACGTCAGTTTAAACTAAGCCTCTAAGCCTACGGTGAGTGTAGCTGAGCGGCTCCCTGAGACTCCCTGAGTCGAGCTTGCGGAGCCTAATCTAGTTCCTTTCGCCTAATTACCTAGGCAAGTACCGACACAGGTAGATGTCAAATGTGTAGGATATCAGAGGAAAAGCGCGTTGTGCACGATTTCCAGCCGAGCCATCATGTAAATGTGGCACTGTTCAGTAGGGTCTGCAGAACTTGAACTACCCACTAATACTTCAATCTCAACAAAATTTCGAAGAGGTTGTGCATTTGAATTCACATAGAAAACTCGTATGAGGAAATGCCGTTATGCTATGGAAGTGTTTCCCATGCCACCGATCAAACTGCGAATGCATAATTTATCATTGCAGCGATCAAGCTGGTATTGAATCAATGGAGATTGCAAGGTGGTGAATATGTATTTCTTTGTTGGCAAATATCCGAGGGGGAATCCTTTTGAAGCGTCATTCTTCGAGTCATCGTCGAGAAGGAAGTTCCAGCTTCATTCTTCCATTTCTCATTCTTGATCATCACGAACCATCACTCAATCCAGGCCGTCCTTTTTCACTCTTGCGCTTACAGAAGCCGTCGATGGCAAGGCTCTCACTCAAAGTCACCCATCAGTAACAGTGGCTTCAGCTCGAAAGATGATTAATTCCCTCACAGCTTGCCCCCTTCTCGAGCTTCTTTGACTTGTTCAAAAACCTTAATCGGATTAGTCACGTTCAGAGTTGATTTGGGGAGTCAAGCATCTTACCTTGAGCATTTTGTTCCGGGCTCCCAGTGCATTGACCCCTCTTGCATCCAGCCCCTTATCATCTAGCTCGATTAGTTCTTCCCACTTCAACTCTTTCAGATTGTCCGTGTATTTGTGCAATCTCAAAGATCGAAGCCATGCCGGAATATCTTGAAGCAAGGTTGGATCAGTGGGATCCTCCGGGGGCTTGCTACTCCCACGGCGACCACGAGGGGACCTTCCACGATTGATATCAGAGTGGTCAGATAGGTAACCCTCGCTACCCATCACTGGTGGAATGAAACCTGGGACACCCGCGCCCATCATGAGGGGTGCACCGTCATAGGCCGCCAAGAAGCCATTGTGCTGAGGAGATGCAAAACTTGTCTGCCCCAATGGCGTTTGCAGTGGCAGTCCCGGGGAATTGGGACGAGACCGCCGACCCTGCGCGGCGGCGATTTGGTGGGCTTGGATAGCTGCAACCTGCTGAACATTCAGAATTTGACCGTGGTCATTAACCATGATTGTGTTGATTCCTGGAATACCAGATGCAGTCAATCCGGGGGTCAAAGGTGGTTGGCCTTGTGGTTGTGGCTCATTAGACCTGGCCCGGCGGTACTTCTTGACATCATCCAATGCGATACGGTTGTTGACAGTCGACAAGGCCGCAAGTTTCATGGCGGTCGCATTGGCTACCATATCACTGTGGGCTGCGTTTTGACCAAAATTAGGAACCATTGGGGTGTTGCTCATCGAAGCCCAGCTCTGATTGCCTACATTATAGGGAGAGAGAACTGGGTGGTCACTAGAGAGATGGTCAGGAGCTGTCAAAGTCGTATTTTGAATACCAGCAGATGGGGGACCCATGGGCCTTGGAGAACGTAGACCAGCGGATAGAGGTGGTTGGCTGAACTGGCCCATTGGTGCCTGCCCTGGTTGCTGTTGCCCACCCGAAGACGACTTAGGTCGTGAAATGGGAGGCTGATGTGAATCTGGCCCTTGTCGCCAACTCAAAGCATCCGACTTGTTCTCCCTAGGAGCAGCAATTGTGGGAGCGGCCAACGACGTGCGGTCTCCAACCGTGCTATTCCTGTTCGATGGTGGCAGGTTGCCCGTCTGTTGAGCATATTCAGCCTTCTGCTGCTGAATAGCAGCAACAGCGTCAGGAAACATGGCGTGAATTGTAGATTGATCGAGGCCTGAATTACGTTTGTTCCCCGCTGGAGAGACAGGAGGACGGCCGACAGATGTCCTTCGATCTTCCACGTTGAGTTTTGACATTGCGTCACTCAGGCGGCTCGACATAGCATCCTTTTCTCCAAAGTTGGCAGGTGACAAGACGCCAGAGATAGGATGACTCTTGGACATCTGATTGAGGACCTGAGCAAAGAAGCGTTGTTGCATCTGAGTAGTTTGTTGAATCAAGGCATATGTAGCAGCGGTACGCTCGGCCTCGCTCAAGACACGGAACCACTGTTCAATCGCACTCAACTCATCCTTGAAATCCTGATCCAAGGTCGCCGCAGCCATCTCTTCCAGCATTGTCTCGTACTGTTCAATGTCTTGAATCCATTGCTCGCCTAGCTTGCTCGAGTCGTCCAAGCTTCCTTGTTGGGACTGCTGATTATAAAGAACCTCGGAGGCAGGACGGAGGCGTGCAGACAAGGGAGAAGTGAAGGACATGTCGGCTGAAGAACGAACCTGCTGATTGTGGGTACCCGAAGGACCGACAGTTCTGGAGGAGGGAGGGCGCAGGGTAGTCTTTGAGGCTTCGGGAGTACTATTCCTGTTCCCCGAGATATTGCTGGCCATGGTGGGTGACAGACAAGCTGATGTTGCACGGATCGAAGCGGCGTGGGGGACTCGGCTTAGTGAAAGAAGGAGAGGCAAAGGGATTGCGAAAGTCAGGCTGGTAACACAGACAGATCTAGCAAATCATGAAGGCAGACCCGGGTCGCTCGGTGGTAGCAATGTGTACAAGTCAGCCAATTGGAGCCAGCCCAATGGCCGCAGTGAGTAAAAGGACGGTCTCGAGTGAAATGGCAGTACTGTATATCGACCAGGGAGGAAAGTTCGAGTTGGACTGGTCGACTCCGAAGGCGAAGCACCGGTGGTAGGTCAGTGGGAATTAATGGAGGTGGCGGTATGGATACAACAGGTGTCTCAGACACGCTCGGAACCGGATAGACAGAACACGCGCGGCAAAGGCACAAAGAAGTGGTGGTGATGGAGTTTGGTGGGTTGATGGGAGTATTAGGAGAGGGAGAAAAAAGCTGAAGAGGAAAGGGAAAAAGAGAATAGAGGCTGTTAGTTGGCTGGCAGGCGCAGGTGCAGGTAGGTGCGGGCAAGTGCAGGTAGGTGCAGGCACAGAAGTGCAGGTGCGATGGAAACAAACGGGCGAATCACTCCTTCCTCCGGACGTACCTGCCTGGGCCTCTATCCGTACTAGATACTAATAGACTAATAGACTAGTAGACTAATAGTATTGCTCAATAGGGATAAGAACATCTGAGCAGCAATTAACACTAGCATTGGGCACTGTGGTTGCAGCTGAAAACATGTAAGACATAACGAGGTTGAAGTGGACCTGGCGAGTCGCGACTTGTAATTCTCAGTTAGAAGCGGGTGACCTTGTGGGGGATCCGAAACAACCTTGGCCTGAATGAGATTGTGACGAGTAGGTTTGGTGGTTCCTAGCAGCCATTGTACATGTAGCACCTCGTACGGAGTATCCCTGCCTGGAACCATCATTCTAGGCTTCCAGGTGCAACTTCTGGCCTTGTGCCTTATCGATGCCTGGCTCGCCGAGGGTCGAGGGCGGCGTTGGGCCCTGACAAGTCACGAGTGCGTGCGCCTTAAGCGAGGCGTCTGCCAAGCCTTTTCGAAACGGGGCACAAGCTCACAAACTGCCACAAACTCGTCAGGACTTCACTCTCATTGCTCAGCTTGGTTTCTTACATCTGACTCTGTGACTGTACGAGTCTCCATATTCTAGTTGATACGGCAGACATGAGCCACACCTGACAGGTTTTGGTTTTACTGGCCTGGCCACTGATCATCCGGGGCTTATATCCCACCACAAGTTCGGGCCAAAGTTTCTTCATCTTTGCCCGTACGCCACAGTGTGGCGTATGTAGAAGACACTACTGTTAAGTTCTAACCCGTCTCATTGGCTCGGGCCACACCTCAGTCATCAGCTGGAAACCAAGAAGTCACATGCCAAGCGGCAATCCTCTGGGATCTTCAGAAAAGGTTCCAAGCAAAGGAGAGAGTTGGGAAGGAAATTTCTCATTCTTGAAGTTTACGAGGCATTGTTCTCTGGCAGCCGAGGACGGCCCTCCCAGTGAAGGCAGATCATCAGCAAGGATGAGCAAAGCTTTGCCTGTCAATCGTGAAAGGAATTAACGCCAGCTGATATCATGCAAGATGGAGCATACTGCTCCCGACCCCATCCAACCTCATCTGCCCTATTCTTGGTTGGCTCACATCCCGCCCATCACTACTGAGGAACTTCGAACGTCACAAGAACGTCAGCCAGTGATTCACGAAGGTTATATTCCGAGCTCTCTACCCAACGCGTCCTTGAATGGTGCGTATCTCAGTGTCAGCGGCAATGCCACATATCATTTGCAGGACATATTAGCGGGCCAAGCGTTCGATTACTCGTCCAATGTCCGCCTTACCAGACCTCAGTCTTCAACACCAAGAATTACTCCAAGTTCTGAGAATGATTCTCGGGCCTTTGGCTTCCGAGGAGCGCACTACACACCATATGCTGCTGCCATTCACCCTCCCCCAGTCCACTCAGGCTACGTACCTGATTCTTCAGCAGCGTCTTATCACTATCCTGAAATCTCGCCCAGCCATGGCAGTCAAGACCCGGGGAGTGCTCACTTTGCCGACATCAGACCCCATGGAATCCTTCAGGGTCATGATCAAACATCTGCGTTTGAGCGCACACGCCTCTCATCCTATGATGTCCCCGAATATTCCCAGGCCGAGTCTACGGACGAGGGTGAAATGACAATGGATGAAGGTGAAAGCCTGGCAGTTACCCACGCCTTGATTGCAGGCGGTATGAATGCCGGCTCTACATCGGGAAAACGTGGCCCTGAACCAGAAATTCTACCAGGACAATCATCTAGAAAGCGTCGAAAGAGAGGCAAGGGTAGGAGAGGTGGTTGGAGCAAAGGTCTAAAAATAGGCCCACGCCCTGCCATCGAACCAAGCCCTGAATTCAATGAGCTCCACCAGCAAGCCTTGAATGCATTTATTGATGAGCAGGACACGGAGAAAGCGCGTGACCTGATATTGCAGGCAATCGCGCTAAATCCTGAAATATACGCTGCTCATGCCCTCCTATCCGAGATCTACTTCGCAAGAGGTGAGGACGAAAAGGCGATTGCCGCTCTTTTCAGCGGCGCCCACAGTGCTGCAAGGGATGCGGAGGTTTGGCGTCTAGTAGCAAGTGTGTGCTTACAACATTCCGCCAACAACCGCCACCGTGCACTTCAACAAGCCAGCTATTGTTACGCCCGTATCATCCATAACGACCGTCAAGATTATGATGCTCGTCTTGAACGAGCTGCGATCAGCAAGGAGCTCGGAAACTATGGTAAAGCAATAAAGGACTTGGAAGCAGTACTAGAGGGAATGCCTCGCAACGCCAATGTAATGAAACAGATAGCCGAAGTTGGTATTGAAACTAAAAGTCTGGGACGGGCTATGTCGCTTTATGAGGACCTCCTCACGTATTCCAGAAGCCCTGGCCTGGAAGGCGAAGATACATTTACTTGGGCCCATGCGGTCACCTATATCGAGCTGCTCTCCCACAACGGTCCACCCGATGAGGCAAGATCAAATGCCATAGTAGTGCTACGGCAACTATGTCGCTGGTTGCTGGGACGCGAGGAGGACTTTTTCTGGGACAATTTCGATGATGACCGGGAGTGGGATGTTGAAGATGAGCCACGGAGAATTATGGTCCCACAGCACGTTCCAGATATATTTCCCTCCGAATCATACGGATTGGGGCTTCCGCTTGAATTGAGAGTTCAACTCGGTATACTTCGACTCAAACAAGGCTCAGATCATTTTGATGAAGCACTTGACCACTTGGAATGGTTGGAACCTGAAGCACGGGATGAGCAGGCACACATCTACGAATTCCCAGATCTCTTTCTCGAGGCTGCCAATGCTCTATACGTCCATAAAGAACATGAGCAGGCTCTGAGATATTTTGAGGCACTGCGAGACGTCAATGCGTATTCAGATGTCGACTTTTGGCTCGCGATTGCCACATGCTACTACGTTACAGGTGACAAGTTGCAAGCTGTCGATTGTTACGAGGCTGCGAAAGAGGCGGATATTGAATGTGGAGAAGCCAGGATCCAACTAGCGAAATTATACACAGATCTTGAGGAGAAAGAAAAAGCAATGGTTAATGCTCGAGAGGCCATCCGAATTGCCGAACAGGCAACGCCTCAAACGGACAAACGCCGATATGAAAGGAAAGAACAGCGCTTGGCCCGTAAGGCTGCAGAAAATGCTCTAAAGGAAGCATACCGACTCAGAGGCCCACTGGCTCAGGGCGATGCTATTGACAGGATCGAAGCACGGCTCCAGAGAGGGAACGCCAAAGAAGATGTTGTGTCCTTCAGAAAGCCACGCCAGAGGAAGGAGAAACCTGCACCACAACCCCGTTCCATACCAAACACCCGTCCGCCCCCCCTGAAGAAACCGATGACTCCAGCAGAAAAAGATGCGTATCGTACGGATGCCGTCACACGCTTGTATACCAATCTTCTCGAGAATGCAGAAGGAATGAGAGAAGGGGACGAGCTGGCAATCGAGACCTGGACAAACTGTGCAACATCCCTGATCATGGATTTCCGAAGTAATCGCTTTTTCTACCCCTACGAACGAAGCCTGCCATTCATGGGCTACCACAGCCGCCACAAGATCATGCAACAAACTCAGGCGGAGGATCCATCCCAAGGATTCTCATATCTCAACGCCAGGGACATCCCCACAGCCTATCGCGAGATACCCTTCACGGCCTGGCTCGATATCTTCCTCGAATATGCCCTGGTCCTCGCCAGCAAGGGCAATAAAACCCGCTGTTACAACACCATCATAGCGAGCCTCGATTGTGCGGTGTGGTATCATGACCCGAATGCCCAGCTACTCATCCACACCACTTACCTGGCATGCTGTATCTCACTACGCGACCAAGCGACACTGGTCAACGTGGTGCTTCGTTGGTTCTTGCGCACTTATCAATTCTGCACAGACGCATATCGACTTTTCGCGGCGATGAACCTAGTCTTTCCCTATACCAACGAAAAAAATGGAAAAGAGGGTGTCAATGCGAACCTGGTCTTTCGCAGCGGTCCAAGTCAGAAGTTTATGTTCAGGCAGATCATGAGCATGGATCTGAACCTGCCCACGGATTATTATGCCGAAGGATTCGGCCCCGTACCGGACTTCATGAGACGGACACGCGACCAGATCCAGAAGGACGACGGAAAATCGACCACCGAGAACCCAGTCACTGGTGGTGGCAATACTGCAGCTGGTGATGCAGCTCTCGAACCTCCCGCAACCGCAGGCCCAACCGAAGGCATCACTCTACAGGAGATGGACGTCGTGCTCTTGACGCTATACGGCCACCTCCTGTACGCGGGCGGCAGCTTCCCGTCCGCGCTGTCATACTTCTTCCGCGCGCTGAGCCTCGACCCTCAGAATCCGGTGATCCTGCTGACCATCTCGCTCAGCTACATCCACGAGATGATGAAGCGACAGAACGAGAATCGCCATCTGTATCTGCTGCAGGCATGGTCGTTCTTCGAGGAGTACGCCGATGCCAGGAGAGCATCGGCGCAGAGCACGGAGGATGACAACGCCGACAACAACAAGAACATCGACAACTTTACGGTCGCCGATAGCGGCGCCGATGTCGGTGGCGTCGTCCCGGATAAAGCGGGACGAGCAGCCCCGACGACAGCGATGATCGAGGCTGAAATCGAGTTCAACCGCGCCAGGTGCTGGCACATGCTGGGGATGGCTGATCTAGCGGTGCGGGCGTACGGAAAGGTTTTGACGCTGCAACGAGACATCCAGCTGCGCGATAGAGGTAGTGCTGTCAGCCCCAGTGACGAGGCTAGCAATACGAGTGCTACCCGTGATGACGGTGGCCATGGTAATCAAGCAGCGGAGGAGTACGAGAAACCAGATTTCTCCGCGCCCCCAGGAGAGTACACTATGGAGGCTGCATATGCGATTCAGACCATGTATGCTCTGAGTGGGAACGCTGCGATGGCCAGGTCCGTGGCGGAAAGATATCTTGTTGTTTAGTTAGATCCTGATCGAATTGGCCTTTCGTTGCTGTAGTAATTAGTGATGAATTGTAAAACCATGAGATCAAGAAGCGCGGGTTTTTGAGAGTTGTTACACAAAAGGGATTTTTGATGCTCAATTGATGCGAGTGGCATTCGAGAGCCGGGCCAATCGAACGATGATGGACGGAATGGCCCTTTCTTTTTTTATGTACAACAAGTGTGAACAACCTTCGGCACGTCCGATAACCCCAATGCGACTTTCTCAGTCCACCTCCTCCAGCACCCTGCTCCACGTCTATCTATCGTGCTCGCTTTCAACCGAGAAAGCCTTTCCCTCACAAACCCGTGTTGTTTAACATAACCAAGCTGAGAGAGGTCTACTGGGCCTTGCTCGCGACCAACTTCTCGACGTCGGCAACGCTCTGAGTCAGGATTTGTTGCAAGACCTTGGGGTTCTCGAGCTCTTTGGTGACCTTGGCGATGATGCTGTCGGCGAGTTCTTTCTGCTGGCGCTGCTTGACTTGGCCTTCGTAGCGGACCCACGAGTCAAGTACAGTCTTCGCCTCAGCGGCTAGGAGCGTCTTTTGCTCTAGTTCAAAGGCCTGGGCTTCGAGGTGCGCGGTTTCCTAAAGTAAGATAAAAGAACTCGAGTTAGAAAAAGATGATCTTCCTAGCTAGTTGAACTCGCATGGATGGGAAGCGGGAAGATATGGGTAGGGCTATACGTACTTTTGAGACCTCAAACAACTGCTGGGTGATCTGGACAACGTTGCTGAGAGGCTTGACATCTTCGATTCTCGTCTTGACGGCCTCGACGTGACCTTCTCGGGCCGAGTTCAAAATCTCCTTATACTTGCCGATGGTGCTGTCGGCCCACTCCTTGTACATGGGGCCGCCATACTTGAAGATTCCGTAAAAGACGCTCAACAAGCAGAAGGCAACGACGGATTCTTCGTTGAGAACGTAGAGCTCGTTGCTGATAGCGTAGATGGAGGCGCCAGCTCCAGCAGAGAGGATTGCGGTCTTACTCGCGAGGGAATTGCCTGGCAGGGCATCGACGATGGATTGGGCCTTCTTCTTGGGGTCTTCGACAGGGACGTTCGATGCGTAGCGTTGAGATGTCAAGGGTGTGGTGAGTGCAGGGAGAGAGCGGATCGAGAGTGAGGGTCGGAGTCTTGTGGCTCCTATATTGCGTTGTGCACGTCAGTTCCATTCATTCTTTACATCGGAAGCTCATGTGGGACATGGAGGAGCTCACCGGCCGCACTCCTCGCCAGTCTAGACGCCATTGTGTTGAGATAAATTGCCTGGAAAGAAGATCTCGCCGCTGGAGAGAGCTGTTTGACGTTTGTCTGCCCGAGAGGGAGCTCCAATTGCAAAGTCTGGCTTGGCAGGCGGCTGAGGAAAAATAAATGTTCCGATGCCTAAGGATCTTTCTTGCTAAACACGTGATCTCAAGCCCTGCTCCGGCAAGCGCCGTCAGTTCGAGTTATTGATGAATGCACGCGTGGGCACGTTAAGGGTTCTCAATTTTCCTTGGCGTACGTGTACGGACCGAGGTGGACCCATATCTGTATTGTGCTCAAAAAATGTTCATGCAGGATAATCTCAATGTACCCGGACATACAGTAGTATGTAGTACAGCACAGCAACATCCCTTTAAGCGAGATTCCTTTGCTAGACAAAGAATCGCGGCAGTGGTGAGTGGGACCCCACCATCTATATGAGAGCTTTTGCTCTCGAGCCTCCCTCTCCCAGAGTCAGAGTCAGACTCACTTGCTCTCAAAATGCCCTCTTCAACAGCCATGGACTCCTACGCCTCGCTCATCGCAGCACCCATGTCGGTCACCCAGAGGAAGTCACTTCTCAAACAGCTGCAGTCCCCCGAGGCAATATCAAGTCTCCGCAGGCCAGAGATTCTCATGGACTTCTTCACCGACAGCCTTGACATGAGAGACATGAGTCTTGCTGTACCGGCGCTACAAGGTCTCTTCGTCCTCATCACCACCAAGAATCTCGACTATCCTGCCTTTTTCTCGAGACTGTACGCTCTTTTGGACAAGGACCTTCTTCACAGCAAGTACCGATCGCGGGTCCTGCGGCACCTAGATGTGTTCTTGTCTCCCATTAACCACCTGCCCGCCGCAACGATCGCAAGCTTCATCAAGCGTCTCTCACGCCTCTGTCTCTTCGCACCTCCAGCTGCCATCGTGGCAATCATTCCTTTCATATACAACCTTATCAAAACCCATCCAACCACAAGCTTCATGATCCACCGTCATCCCTACCCTCCATACACCAAATTCAAGCACAACCTGGGCAATGATCCTTACGACCCCACCGAACCAGACCCACAACTCACCCACGCCATCGACAGTTCTCTTTGGGAACTGGAGACCGTGCAGTCCCACTACCACCCGACCGTCGCCAGCATCGCCCGCATCATCTCCGAGCAGTTCACCAAACAGCAGTATAACCTCGAGGACTTTCTCGACCACGGCTACGCCACTCTGCTTGAGAGCGAGTTGAAGAAGAAAGACAAGAAACCACCTGTCGTCGAGTACAAGATTCCCAAGAAGATCTTCAGCGCCGATGACAGTGACGCCGAGGAGGGCGAACAGAAGAACATCAATCACTTATTGGACATGTGGGACTTCCAATGTTGAGCCCATCGCGGCACACGGCGGCGCACTTTCTTTGCATCATACGAAGTCTACCGGGAGGATGGTTTTACTATTTCCTTTTCACATTGCAAGCGGTACGAGACAATAGACGGAGCTCATTGCATGGACAAGACAACCTGACGAAACATAGACGGAGGATATCTTTGAGCGCAAATCATTCCCTTTTCCGTTCTCAGGGCGCTTTTAATTCACGACGCCGCTATGATTTATGGCAGCGGTGGGGGACGTCGTTCATCCTGGGAGTTCATGATCTGATAGACAAAAAGTTTTGCAATAGACGATGCGCCACGATATAGACTTCTCATGAAGAGAATTTTCATACACTTGGCCTCACAAGTCAAACCTTTCAAACCAATTCTGGTGTCATGACCTCAAGGCCGTCACGAAACAAGATACCATTGAATCTGAAGCACCGCACCATACTCCACAATAAGGAAAGCTCCCTCCCGCCTCTCTCAGAACGGAAGGCTCTCAGGTAAGGCGGTACGCTCAGCCAGCTCATCGATCCAATGGAAAGAACAAAACAGCCAGCACACTCAGAACTCCCTCCTCTCCAGCCTCCTCCTACTCTTACCCTTAGCCCCTCCCCCTCCACCGTCAACAGCAGCGTTTTTCCTTTCGGAGATTTCACTAAGTTTCTTCCTCGGCAAAGCCCTCACCTTCTTCCTGCCAGCGACGGGCGCAGTGCTATTCATGAGCTGCGCGATAAGGTAGCCGTTGATTGTTTGAGAGCTCAACTCGATAGCAAACTGAGGGCATTTTCCATCGTCTTCGTTGCACGGCACGTTCGGGGGACAGCAGATGCCCACGCTGTTGGGGCACGTGGTGCAGATCGCGTTGCCATCGTCGGAGGAAGATGTACTGTTCGTAGTCGAGGATGTTGAATCTGAGTCGTTGATGTTGAAAGAATGCCTGTTTGCGCCGGGGTAGGAGCCCGTGCCTGATAACGAGAAGTTCTGGCCGAGACGCATGATTCCGCCCGCCGGGGCTGGATCTGGGCAGTAGGAGACGTAAACTTCGATGGTCGTGGCGGAAACGGCGCGTCGAGATGTGGTGCTTGTCAGTGTGATCGTTGGTCCTTCCGTGGCTTCGAAGCCGCCGGTTCCAGTCTGCATACCGACCATTAGTTCTGGTAGCTGTACCGGTTGCCCAGACCCTGGTGAAGTGGAATATACTTACCACGGTGCCACAGCCTGAGAATGCTCCTGTGACATTATGCACCGTGCCGGATGTCACAAATGACACTGATCCTCCAAACTGAGCTGGCCAGACCGTTCCTGTGCCTGTGATATCGCCGGTGCCAGAGCCATATCCGCCTTTGATCAGGTCAGCGGCTGAGATTGATATCGTACGACAAAAAAGTGAAAGGATACAACTGGACACGATGCTTACATCCAATGATTGTAGCAGTGCCGTTGAAGCCTCCGGTCGTAGCGATCAGTGTACCGCAGCCAACTACTTTGATAGCAGCGCCTGGAATGGGAGAGTGGGTCAGTATGCATGGTTGTGTTTAGGCGCGGTTGTTTCCCATCGTGTAGCTTACCACTAGCAGTTCCAGAGGAGACTACAGATGAGTATGAGCCAAAATACACGGTGCCAGATCCATCTAGAAAATTTCAGTTAGTCTAGCAATCAAGCAAGCTCAGTCGACCAACTTACTGACGTGCCCTCTTCCAGATGCAGTCCCGCAGCCTATGATTGTATTTGGTGCAACGGTGACTGGGAAAGAGGCGGAGGTGCTGATCGTGCTAGGTGTAGCAGTGATTACGGTGATTGTTGACTGTGCAGTTGTGGTTCCGCGAGTTGTCGAAAATTCGTCGCTCCAGATCGTGGGTGTGATGGTTATTGTGGTGCTTGATATAACGACGATGGAGTAGCTAGTCGTTTGCGTGGTTATCACAGCAGTAGTAGCTGTACTGAGGCTTGAAGTAGAGGATCTCTCAGCCGAAAATGACGATGGTGATGATGATCCATACTGTTCGCTTGACTCGGATGTGGAAGCTGTGATGGCAGCTGTGGTGGTCAGTCTCGACGTTCCCGAGGAAGTGGTCACTATAATTGTTGTTCCGCTGATCACAGTCACAGTGGTGATTGTTGAGCTGGAACTCGTACTTGCACTAGGAAGGACCGGTGACTGAATTGCAGAATGAGAGGAAGTGCTTGCAGATCCAGAAGTCCTGGTGCTGGTACTACTCGAACCCGATGCAGATAAGGAAGTCGAGCTGCGCCTGGTATTTGTGGGAGTGCTCAAGCTGGAGCTTGATGATGGTGTTGCAGATGTACTTGAACGTGAGCTACTGCCCGATGAAAATGTGCTCGAACTTGTTGGTCTGAACACACCGCTGCTGAAAGTAAAGGAGGAGGAGGTCGTCGATGTTGCATTTCTTAAGCAGGATTCCGGGAAAGTAAAGCAGCAGGGTAGACCAGTAATGGTTGAGCTGGGTTTGAAAACACCTGAATAGTTTGAGTCATAACAGTAGCTCGTTGGGTCTGCCGGATCGGGATATTGGAAGACGCCCTGCAGTTACAATCAATATTTGGAGGTTGCAGACGACTTGAGTAACCCACAAGATACGTCTTCGTTACGCAGGAGGATGTGGTTGTTGAAGGACTTGATGCCCCGTCGCCACTTCCACTTCCGCCACAGGGCTTACATGTTGAGATAGGTGGATCGTTGGCAAAGACCCCTCGTTTGAAGATACCTCTGCCCTGCCTCGTTCTCTTGAATAAATCATGATAGTGGAGGCTGTAGAGCATCTCTCGCGTTCCATTGGCAGCAATTGTGACTGCAGGCGACACGGCCGTTATCATAGATGGGTGTAATTCTTGACGCAGGTCGGTTGGAAGTTGATGCGGTATCGGCGTAGGGTGGAAATAAGAAGAAATGATGATGGTTTCGGTCCCAAAGTCGACATACGCATATGTGACCGGAAATGAAAATGCAAGTAACCCAACGAAGCAACACAAGGACAACATCTTCCCAGGAATAGAATACAGACCAAAACATACCTTGATAGAGACCTTTAGGGTGTATCAACGGCATCTGCGAGGACATCATTCGGTCTTTCTTCTCTCGCGTTGTGATGCGCACAGACATGAAAAGGGAGAGAATGGAATGCCAGCAAATACCTGCAGTATTCGCCCTACCCAGTCTCCAACCAGAAAGGGTTCTTATCTTCATAGCCATCCAGATGTGGTGATTTGGGATCGTGTTCACAACGACAATGTTATCTATTACCTTCTGAATAGCAATCCCATGAGCAAGTCGGTAGAAGGAGATATTGCTCGATTTTCGCCACGTCGAGTTGCTGGGTTTTCGGACAGAAGCAAACATCTTGAAACCCGCTGCCAAGGGCTGACACCACTGCTGGCCGTACAGATGAACTTGGGTGAACAGCTGGTGATCGGACAGCATTCGCGCTGCATGCCCACCAAAAGATCGAGGTGCGAAGCTTCGGAAAGCAGGCAATGGTCCTGCACCTTTTCTTGCTCCCACGGACTCTCGGACCTACCATCATCACAATAGTTATGGTAATTGAGTTAGCATGAAGATCATACGTGATACTCGTAAATTCCTCTAGGGTAAGATGTATCCTCCTGCAGGCGGACCGAAAAGATGTGCGCGGCCAATTGGGAGGTCTGGCTGTTTGGTTGAAATATTGATATTAGTCATTGATTATTGATTATTGATTCTAAGCTCAAAGCGGTTAGTAACTTTCTCGCCTCCTTAACGTCGACAATTTATCCAGTGGGAGGCATCCTCAGAGTTTACTCGTAGGCATCGTCCGGAGAGAGCCAGGTGTAGACACGGCCCTCATGCTGTAAGTTGTAACACGTTGTCCCACAAGAAGTTGGCCCAACTAGTAATAGGGCTTCGCTCAGATCTATTAACATCTCTACCACGACGAATTCCGTCGATGATCTGCCTGCATATGGCTGTAGAAAACAAGGCCGAGACTTCAACTGTTGGCGCTAAGATTCAACTAGCGCATACTAGCGCTAGTAACACGTGACCGAACTAGTAAATATGGGTACTAAACTACACGGACTACAATACCTCCTATCTTGAACTAAGAAACCGCCACTATATCAGCATTTGGAATGCTTTGAAATCATGGAAAAGGGGCTCCTGGAGATCAAGTGCCTAGGAAATATCTATGTAAACTAGAACAGAGTCCATAGAGTTGAAGAAGACAGAGATTTCATTTGATCGCGGAGCGCCATATCCAAAAGGAGTTAAGTCACTTCCTCCAACATCAACTTCCAGCATAGTTTCTCACCATTCTTGAAACGCTCCGGCCATATGGTAAGTGAGGTCTTGAGACTGACGGTTCAAACAGAACTTGTCCTATCAGATTGTTCGCCTCCGAAGGGGGGTACCGGTTCAGGATTCGAAAAAGTTTAACGTCTGCTGCGAACATTCGATAGTCGTAGACGTCGTAGCGAGACAACATCTGTACACTTGCTCTGCCTCCAATAATGAACGTAACATTGTCTTCTAGCTGTATGCAGCACTGTTTAGAACTTGTCTAACGCCATCAGCACGGCCTTTTCCTTAGTCTCTGCGCACACCTAACTCATAGGCATCTAATTCACCAGTAGGAGTCTTGAAAATTGCTGCGATGAGGCCTCAGCGTCTTGGTATTCTCCCCGGAACGAACATCGCTCGCTTCGGACAGAGGGATTTCGGCTCCGAAGAACTATGCACGGCTGTGTGGAAGGGGTTTTGTAGAACATCTTGATGGGTGTTCTTCGACCAGTGGTGGCTTCAGCGGCGCTTGACACTTTTCCATGGGCTACGTCAATGATATTCGCGGTCAGGGATACGGTAATGTCCGCTGCTTTGTTCCTTCCATCGACGACAGCCTCGTGAAATATCGTGGATTGGTTTGGTCCTCCCTGGGAGGATTAGTCTTCTACATTAACAAACATCTGTACCTAGGTAGCTTTCCCACTTAGCTTAGACACCCCCATATGCACTGTGAAGGCTTTTAATGGAAGCGAAAACACAAGACTAAATGCACGGTTGGTGATGGGGATGATAGTAAAGCGGCCGTTGCAATTGTCCCTGACCTGCCAAGGACTCTCGCAAGGAGCAGACGAGGAATAACTTACAGCCGGACTTGCGACTTGCGACTTGCGACTTGCGACTTGCGACTTGCGAGGCTTGATTATTTATCAATGGTGTTTCATTTGTTGTTGATGTACCCTCGTTGGGTTCAGCCGATGTATTTCTGCAATGGCTGAAGCATTGCTTGTTCAATCCACATCAGTGAGTGAAGAAATCATGTCCAACGCAAGCAGTACACTCACCCACAAGTGTAGGGCCGGGCCTGATTGTCCAGCCCCGTCATCGTCAGCAGTTCATCCGGCATTGATGGCACTAGTACGGGAAAGGAGGAGTATGACAAACCTGATCACGAACTAGAGAGGCAAACGCATAGCAATCCGAGACAAACCGAAGTTGGCTCGAAGAACATGCTACGGCTCACAACAAGGAGCAGAAGCTCTCCCCGAGAGCCAGTGATGGGTGGCCAGAAAGACAAATACCTGTACAATTAACTCGTCACGGAAGGCAACCTGCATTCGCAATCTTTAACTGCCATGTTGCTTGTCGGGTCAGTCCAAAGTCAACAGCAGTGTTCCCTTTGCTTGAAGGCAAGGTCATGGAATGGATTCGATTCCGCAACAACTTTGCGCGTCGGGAGAAGCTTACTGGAGAGAACTTACAAGCTGGTCATGTCGGCGGCTCGTGACATCGAAGATGCATCGCCAAGTGGTTCGAAGACGCGTGTCAGCATGGCTGTTTTCTAGGCTTGCCAAAGCTCCGCTAGGATATTTATGTCGCAGACCTTGGCTTAGATTTGAAAGACGCAAGTCGGCAGGGATGGAATCGAACGACAGATGGGCACTAACAAGAGTTCACTGTCGTCCTCCGTACGCAATCCGCGGAGAGTGATGAACATGACTTCGGAGGTCGGGTTGTTTACATACTCCGTACCCCTATCAAGGGCTGTGATCTACGGAGGACTGGGTACGCCCGCCAAATGAGCCAAGGCTTGCCGTGTGATTCTTTACTCGTACACGCGCTTGGATGCCGCTGGGCCCCGAGAGACCTTTTCCTAGAACCGGTTACTTTGCTTTGCACTCGACCGACATTCCGCGTCTGCCAGGAAGACATGTTTTCCTGCAGTGTCAGGCAAGGGGTTGCCGTGCCTCAGTCGCTGGGACTCGCCCACAGGTTTGCTCTATCTGTTGTACTTATCACGGTCAAGAAGGCATTATTCCAACTTACTAACATGTCAAGCATGGACGCATTCCGTACGGAGTACACAACAGGCAGCTACTTCAGAGTGGCGGGCTGTCAGAGTGTGATTGCGATTGTGTCTCCCGAGTTGCTTGTGGCTTTGATTATGAAACTCCTCGGCCCATCTCCCGCCCATCTCGATCCCTAACTTCCGTCCTGAAACTAGCTATGAGAGTATTGGCCCGCAATTGATGATGCTAGCCCGAGAGCCGTTGTTCTTCTCGATCCCTTATACTTTCGCTACTTGCCGACTAACCTTGATCTAGATTGAATCAATCATGTCAATCGACACTCTCGCTAGGGCCTAGAGGTTCGGATTTGCTCAGGTACTCAAAGTACCATCCACGTTCCTTCTCTACGTCTATTCTCGTCCATTTGTGGAGATGCAGGCTCAAGGATGACTTTCTTCTCCCCTCTGTCGGTCAACATCAGGGTGGAACAGCCATGCCACCTAAGGAGCCAATTCTACGCATGCAGTAATGGCCTGGGCCGTTCACCAGGGGTGTAAGCTTGGTATACACATGTAATCTATCCCTGACAGGGTCCTGGATGGCGCAACATGATGCGCAGACATCGAAAGTCATTTATACTTAAGAGATACCAGGTACATCACCAGTTTACTCTCTATGTTTGAGTATTTCCTGTCGCTCTTTGTTTTGCTTCAACACCACGTTCGCTATTCATTGGCTCGAGAGTCTGGGGACCCTCGCCGTTCGTTCTTTATTTCCAGTGCGGTTGAATCGCACATCCAATCCTTTGTCAAGCCATTCTTTTATAGATCCTGTTCATCGTTCCCAGCAACTCCAGCCGTCCACTTTTTGACTCGAGTCATTTTACCACACGATAACAGCACATCGAAATGTCTGTGCTTCTGGCTGCTGGCCTCGTGGCCGCGCTCGCCGCCTCCCCAGCGGCGGCATTCTGGCGACTTCCATGCAAATCACCCATTGTTGTGGAACGAGCTGATCCAATTGTTCAGCCAGGCCAAGTTTCAAACCATTTGCACACAATCATGGGGGGCAATGGATTTGATTTTACCATGGACTATAACGATACTCAAAAGTCCACTTGTTCATCGTGCACTGTGATCGGTGACAACAGCAACTACTGGACTCCCACTCTGTTCTACAGACATCAGGATGGAACGTTCGAGAGTGTCGAACAGATTGGAGGAGCAACGGTCTACTATCTCCAGAGATCAGGAAAGGGTGAAAAGATCGTGAGCCCTCCTGCTGGTTTCCGTATGGTTGCTGGTAATCCATTCAAACGAAGTGGTGGAGACGATTTTAAATCTCAAGCCATAAGGTAAGTTTCTGTGCGCGTTGAATTATAGCTGAACTGGATGCCATGATGGATTGCTGACGAGTGTGAAGTTATGCTTGCCTCGATTACAATGGCCCTGCGAAGAAAGAAACGCAAAACTTCCCAAACTACAACTGCCCCAATGGTCTTCGTGCTCAAGTTTTCTTCCCATCCTGCTGGAACGGAAAAGACCTCGACTCGAAAGACCATACATCGCACATGTCATATCCTGCAAATTCTTACAACTCCGGTGCTTGCCCACCTGATTTCCCTGTCCACCTTATCTCAATTTTCTTCGAGATCATCTGGGATACTGGTAAATTCGCCGACAAGTGGTACGGCGATAGCCAACCATTCGTTTGGTCGCAAGGTGATCCAACTGGTTATGGGGGGCACGGAGATTTCCTGATGGGATGGGATCCAGATCACCTTCAAGATGCCATCGATCAATGCACAAACGACAGTGGCAGGGTTGAAGATTGTCCCGTCTTCGATCTCATTCCAGACAAGCAAGCTGAGGGCTGCAGAATCCCTTCGGGTGTCGATGAACTTGTCAGTGGCATCCTCCCAGCCCTTCCAGGTTGTAACCCGGTCCAACCCGGTCCCCAAGCTGAGCCACAACCACCAACCTGCGGTGCTCCCACCGAGATCTCTTACTCAGGCAAGAAAGACTACGTCGATCTTACTTCGAAAGGATGGGGCTACATGGGATGTGGTACGGACAACTACTACAACCGAGCCTTGACAGGCGCTAGTCAGTCTAACGACAAGATGACCAACGAGAACTGTGTTGCATTCTGTGAAAGCAAGGGATTCTCCATCGCTGGCACTGAGTACGGCCGAGAATGCTATTGTAAGTGTAACTCCTCAATGGCAAGCAGCTCGATCCTAACCTCTCGACAGGCGGGAACTCGCTACCTGATGGAGCCAAGCCAATTTCTGGAATCGCTGGTAACTGTATCATGCCATGTGCTGGCAACAGTGATCAATTTTGTGGCGCAGGAGGTGCCCTATCCCTCTACTCCAAATGCACTGGTGAATGCACCAATGTTGGCGGCGGTGCAGCTCCTCCTACGAAGCCCTCGACCTCTGCAGCGCCGTCTCAGCCTTCTGCTTCAGCGCCTGCTCAGTCATCGACTACGCTGGCACCCAGCAACACAAAGCCTCCTACTGAAGTAGTCGTGCCAACTACCACTGCTGTACCTCAGGATACAACCGTGGTGGCCACTACATCTACATTGGTAACTACCACATGTTCATCTGATTCAGAACCTTCCGAGTCCACAGCCCCTGCAGACGACTCTGGTTCTTCCGACGCAAGTTCGTTGGAGGGCTCAGATGCCCCAGCTACGACAGATTCTACTCCATCCGATGCAAGTTCATTGGGTGAACCAGATGTTACGTCGCCCAGCACAGCCTTCAAACGCTACGTGCACTACACTTCCGTGCCACGCCCACCTTTCCCAAGCAAATAGCCATATCTCTCAGTACCCCAAACCCATTCATTCCGTTCATCAAAGCACTGACGACCCAGGCCTCTCCAAATTCACACATTCTATGACCCATGAAAACTAATATTCCACTTTTTACTCTAGGAACCGACTTCCAGCAAGCCGTCCTCCGCAGCACCATCATCCACCTCGGGCTTCACTTACGCCGGCTGCTTCGTCGACACCGTCAATCCTCGCTCTCTCCCCAATTGGAGCAATTTCAACGGCCCCAACGTCTCGAATGAAGCCTGCATCACCTTCTGTGCCGGGCGCGGCTTCTCCATTGCAGGGACCGAGTACGCCGGCCAGTGCTTCTGCGGCAACGAGCTTACGACCCAGCAACTGGACGACTCCAAGTGCAACATGGCCTGCACAGGGAACAGCAGCGAGAAATGCGGCGGCCCTGGCGCCTTGAGCGTGTACAAAGCCAGCAGCCCGACCAAGAGATCCACCAGCTTCATCACCAGGCACCTAGGCCATCTCGCTAAACATGGAAGAAGGTCTGCTGCCCGTGTGTTGTGAGAAAGATGCTTTCCGTCTTCCTCCAACCCAGATCCGGCGCCTGTGTGCATTGAAGTTGTGTGGGCCGGCTTTTGTCCAGGATAACGATTGGTCGGGACCTACGCTTCTTTGTGCGGCTGTTTGCCTTCTTCGTCTTCATCATTTTTGAACGCTTGCATTACCGATCACCTCCCCATCATCAATCACATCTTCGATTCCCAGGATTTTTGTTTTATCTACCAAGGTTTTTTCTTCTTCAAGGATTGATGCACGGACAATCAAAATTTAGCATATGTAGGCAATATAATTGTATTGCTAGTCCAAAATTCCCTTTGTTCGAGTACTGCTACTGCTACTGCTACTGCTACTGTAATGTCCAAGGAGAGGCATAGGCAAAGAAAACACGTGACCCTTAATCAGTACCTACGAGGATACTACTAATTACGGAGTATTGAGAGCTCCAAAAAAGGAAAATGGTACCAGAGGACTACTACCTGGAACCTAGTAGTATTGCTCTTCTGAGGGGCGTTGTGGCCAAGAACAAGACTGTCTCGAGAGAAATTGGAATCTTCCAGGAGTCCACCTATTGTGGGGGACAAGGGGAAGGGGAGGGGCCGAGGGGGCGGGAATGCTGGTTACTACAGGTACAGAGTACTGTAGCTGTACTGACTACCCAGTTAGGCGCCTAGGTTAGTGGAACTCCTGAGTCGTATTAGGTGTAAATTCGAATCAGAGTCCTATTTCTCCTTCACACGTTAAGCATATACTGGTCGAGACAAGGAGCAATGTACTCGCGGTAACCTCATACATACAGTACACTATCAGCTTCTGCCAGCGGAAAGCCTTGCCCGCCGCACTCCGGGCTCATCCATGGTATCTTCGTCAGCCCGTAAACCACAGAAGCCCCTTTGGCCTGACCTCTTCTTAATGGGTTAACCGGAATACCGGACCCGACCTGGACACCGTGCTTGGCAAATAAACCCACAATCGTCTCGACATTGGTAATACAGGTAGGTTAGTTTCCATGCTATAGAAGTGGTGTGAATGCCGTAGTGGGAAACCAGAAACGCGACACTGCTAAGTCCAACGGGAGGCAGAAAGGCAAAGTCAAAAAAGCATGGACATGGCCCTGGATGCTCATGGGACATACTTGGGCAGCTGGTTACCGTCATCCAAACCGCCAGCATCCGTGACCGAAACCCTGGGTGCTGTCGCATTGGTATGATGTACTCGCGGGGCGTCACTGTCCATGGCGGTGTCGTCACCGACTTCGCCGGCATAGGAGTTCTCGTATGGATTGTGGAATTCGCGGTCCTCTGCTTGACTTTGTGCTCGGTCTTCCGCAGCTTCCTGTGCTTTGGTCTTGGCCTGTAGAGTGCGCTTCTCGTTCGACACTAGAGCTCTGCTTGCCGGAGTGAAACCTGCTTTCTCTTTTTCGCCTCTCACTGGAGTTCTAGTTCCGCCTGATTCACCTGACGTGCGCCGACGAGACCAAAAGCCACTTGAACCTGATGACTGCGCCTGGATCAGTTCTGCTCCAAGCATTTCCGTGTCACCGATGGCAGGGAACGTGGCTTGAGAGGTCGCTGCTGGCATAATAACTTGGCAGGCAGGACCGTTTTTCTGGGAACTAAACTTTTCGATTTTCTCGGCACATTCCAGTTCCAATTCCCAGATGAGGTGGTATTCTCGGGCCACGTTGAAAGTGTTGAAGCTGGGGCAGAGCGGCGCTTCTAGCTTCGAGCCCAAGTTTGCGTTTCCCAGTCTCAGGTCGCATAGTTTTCCAAGATCTAGTGTTCCTTCCTCTGCAGAGAGGGACATGTCGCTTGGCTTGTCAGAAAATGATAGCCGTTGGTTGATTGGTTTGTTCGCAAGAATAGGGATCCCGTATGTCTTGCTGTCTGAGAAAGTACCCGCAGCACGGCAACGCACATAAGTCTTAAGCTCAATGGTTGCACTACGGAGGACCACCAGGGGAAGCCCATGTGAGGCGTCGATGGTTGTGCTTTTGGGAGAGAGGTCGGGCCGTATGGTGATTAGAAATGGGATGGGAGTTGGATGCAAAAGTTGGATGACTGATGGTGCTTGAACCTGAACATTGAACGAGAATCTAGGAATCGAGTCACGCTGAAAAATCGAACGTGCACGATCGCGAATACCCAGAGATGTACCGGCGTGTTCTGGTAAAAGTTTGAGGGTTGATATAGTGAGGTTGCGGCTATCTGTGATATGATGCCAGTCATTAATTGGTTCTGGGGTTGAAAGAGGATGAAATGTGATGGGCACAGTGGATGTTTTAGACTGTGCTTTGCGGATGTGGTGAAGGCCGTCTGGCTCAGTGACTGTTGCAGAAAGAACGTATTCAACAAAACATTCCGCTTGGCGACCAAACATGATCCTCGTATGATGATTAGAAGCAGGGAGCGTCAAGTCAAGGTTGTTTTCGTCAGTTGTTCCAGGGAAATGCTCCTTCGGCTTCCATTTCTCACAGGCCAGGATTTTCAGAGGATCTGCGCGATCTGGCACATTGAATTCGAATGGGAAGGTAAATGAGCCTGGCTTGTGAGTATATTGACCCTCATAGAGGATTTTCTCCTGGTTGAAGAGCTGCGTCCGCCCACGATGATAAGTGACAGCTTGTCCATGCTGTTGAATGATTCTTGATTTGGTGCGTCCCCAGAAGTTGACGATTATTCTACCAATTGCACTGTCTTCAGCGGTGTGAAGGATTACACGGCCACTGATAATGTCTCCTGGCGAGTAATGAGACCGGGGATGATCTAGCTCGAACGACAGCCCCGGCGCGTTCTCGGTCTTTGTAAGGCCCATTTATCTGAAAGAGCTTGATACTTGCTGACAAGTGTGGACGAGTTGTCTTGCTCTCAAGAAATGTTCATTGAGACAAGCCCCTGTCGCATATATAAAAATTCTTGGATGATGAGGATCGCAAACTTCTTCCCAAAGCCGCGACACCGAATACGTCACATCTCGATTGGGGTGCGAGGCAGGCTAATTATTAGTTAGCCTTGGGACCGAGCGAAGGTGAATAATTGGCGCAATCTGGGCTCAAAGCCACAAGGCGGATTTTGGCTTGGGAAGTGACCCAGTTATCGTCTGAGAACACGTCGATCAACAGGGGTGGAGAGACTCACACAAACGAGGCACGTGCATTTCTTGCACTTCGGTTGGTTAGTGCCTTCGTCGACCATGATTAGAGCCCGGCTTTGCTATAATTGGAACTTCAGCTTGGATACAGTAAACGCAGAGAACACTCGAAGAAAACACTGGTGCCTGAGATTCCCAGGGTGATGCGAATCTTGCAAGGCGCAGGATCATTACTTTCAGTGGTGCCTGGCATCAAAACGACGTGTGTCACGTGTTTGTCTCGGGGGCGCGGGTCTGCCACCAAATTGTCTTGAACGTAGCTGCCGTTTGGGTTGGGGGCGGCAACGTGGCACCTTCCCGGGCGGCGAAGAGCTCTCGGCTTACTTTCCGGCACGGGCAATCGTCTTCGCTCTTGGTATCCAGTATCTTGACAAGTAATTCTCTCTGATGGTAACACTCCTCATGTCTCCCCACGTTCAAGGCCCGTCATACACCCGAGCGAAACTCAAAGAGATGCTCTACAGGCAGGGTTCCTCCTATCAAACCCAGTGCAGGTTGAGCACATTCGGATCTGAATCTGAACTCACCTATCCTTCTCTCGTCCTCGCGAGTGAAAGCAGAGAAGATGGACTCCATTGTATGAGCCCGGAAGTTCTAAATGCCTGAGGAGCTACTCAGCACCAGAATGATGCGGGGGCGGCGCTTAAGCTTCAACTTCTGATCCCTCGACTTATATCTCTATACAGCTACTGCACCCTGGGCTCGAGCCTACCAGCTGTGTAGTAAAACCTTTCAGAGATCGTAAGTCTGGAGTCCAGTATCAGTCATGCCTACCACCACCAAGAGACTCATTTTTTCAAGCGTAGATCAGTCATTGGGATAACAAGTGCTCAAGGGCTATTCAAGATTTCCAAGTCCCTAACCTGCTGCTTGCGCGCACACGATCCGCACCGTCCTTGGCTGATTACAGCCCATCTGATAAGCCCATCTGGCTTAAGGACGCCTAGCTTCCGCTACAGCCCATGCCGACATCATGTCGGAATACCAGCGCCCGGTGCGAACGAATGGACCCCAGATCAATATCTAACTAGTCTCACCGTTACCCTCGCCTATCCCTTCATCCCAGCATTCCGAACATATCTAACAGATATCCACATTGCTGAGTGAGACGACATGTGTTGAATCAAAAAGCTTGACTGGACTTGACTTGAATAAGCTCTATTCCTAGCCGGGCCTTTCAAGCATCTGAGTCCTACCACTTGAGGTTTAAAGTTGAGATATTGAAATAGCGAGGGAACATCCCCCGATTCAGTAACTTCGACTCTTCTAGACTTGTCGATCACAACATGTTGACCTTGTGGAGGACTCGAAATCACCAGAAGCATCATAATTACTTACAAAGCTAGGCTCTGTGCGACCTCTTCATCGGATCGTGGCCATTGCGCTCCGCCCTAAATCCCATGCTCACCGCTAACAGCCACAATTCATCTGTTCCAGCTGCAGACCAAAACAGCATGGCTTAGAAGTCTGGCGATAGATTTTTCTACTCGAAGGATTATCCACGATCGCCTTTGGGGCGTTTACTCTCTAGATTATGCCGAACTCTCCTTGAGATGTTATTACGTTCGCGGCCGCACAAAAGGAATACTATGTTAAGAAGATGGCCGTAGATGTGCAAATCACGGAAAGTAGTAGAGTCACGCTATACAACACAATTGCCTATCTAAAGGAGCCTCATTTCCCCAACATCGCTGTTATCTCTTTCTGCGTGGGTGTTGCCTAAGGCGTGAGCTTATTTCACACCTTCGGCGCCGTCTTAATATTCGGCTCTAGTAGGACTACCACCCAGCTACTCAACGTTCCAGCTATCCTGGGTTGCAGTCTGAACTTGTCAAAAAGACCACTTTGATTCCGCTATCCAGCACTTTTCTTCCTGGTTGTATGGAAGCGAGGTAGGAGGATGTCTATGAAAAAATTGTGTGAGCCGAGCCCATGCAATACTGTAGCGATTTTACATTTTCAAGAAAACGGCTTTGAAGATCTGGCCTGACAAACCGAAAAGCTCATTTTCATTTTAGTCACCCCTATTTCTCTCATCAGGAAGGGCAGCTTGTTGTCTCTAGTGTCCACTTTACTTCCCTCGATACTGCCACTGCATCGAAAAATCTAGACTAAGCACGACTAGGTCTCCCGAAGTTGCTTGAAAACTGCAAATTGCATGGGTCAAGCAACAGCCTCTTCACTCACATTAGAATCGGCAGGAGCGTGTCCCAGCCAGTGTTCGTCCTTGCTTGGGCAGTCGCTCCACTCGTGCTTTTCATCCTCGACGGAGAGTCGCACACGCCTTCTGTCCGGATCCTCGCAGGCCATGACCTAGGCTTTGATGCCCATGACGATCTCGCTCCTCTCGAAGCCGTTCGCATCGAATCAGCGGCCCCGTCTTTCCAGGTCCTTTCGCGTGCCAACACCCCAGGTGACTGGGTCCCATACTCGCTGTACCTAGCTTGGTAGGGATCATAGTGTGCTTCGACGATCAGCTTCGTTGGTGAGTGCTCGAACATGACATCGAAGAACTTGTGCTCAGGCGTGTAGTGGTGGTACTGCGGCATTGGCGTGAGGCAGAGAATCTCCGTGTAGAATGCTTGCGTTTTCAGGATGTTGTTGGCGGCGAGCTTGAGATGATTTACACCTTTGAATGATCCTTGCCCGTTGGGCTTGCTCGCCGTTACATTGGTCATGATCGGGGAAGCTCTGATTCTTGTTCTCCACAGATGCTTTGCGTTTCCATGTAGGCCTTCAGCGAAATCCGCCGTTTTTGAGACTTCCGTGGTGGCAGTGCGATGTTGCCTCTCAACTCCGCTATGGACACTGAGTTCCGAGTTGGTCATACAGAGAATGTGAACATAACCCACCTAAAGAGCTATAGTGCAGGGACGCATACAACTGAGATCAGCTTGGTCGATCTCAGCTGGGATGTGGTGTTTGACCGGCAAAGAAGGTATGAACGGCTGCTCTTGGGAAGTGAACTGCTCAGAGCCAACGATCCGATGTTGACCCGATGTTGAGAAGAAGTTAGAGGATTTGAATTCCTCCAGGCGTAAAGGGGAAGTCATCCGCCTACGCCAAATCATTTCTGCCGCCCCATTGGGAAGCTCGGGGTTAGAGAGATTCCCGACCGCAAGCCTTCACGTCCGTTGTCAGTCGGAGCTTTCCCCAGAATCATCAGCGCGGAATGATGTGAATCCTGCGGCCAGGAGACTTAAGAAATCCATCCTCTTGTTCATATCACGTCAGTCACCTGTAGGGTCCCTGCTTGATCGATCCTTGTCAATACTGGCAATATGATACAGCCAGTTATATCAGTCACTACGAGTGCCTTTTGTGCAAAGATGACTTCGTACCGAGGATCTTTGGTCCACCTTCAGCTCGTGCCACCGAAAACAGGGCAGGATTTTGGTAAAAGCCAAGGGCTCAAACCCTCAGAACATGCGGCGCAATTGCTCATCATCCAATAACCAGTTCATGGGATCCATGCTGCCAAAGTTGAACTGGTCATCAGATATCTGAAAGCTGTGATTAGCAAATGTGGAGACAATCTACAATAGAACTCACCATATAATCCCATTCACTCATCGGGTCTACCAACGAATCTGGAGAGAGCGGTAGTGGAGCATTTAGGTTTGATCCGCTTTGGCTGTGAGCCGCCATTTGCTCGAGAATGGCAGAGCACCTAATTTCAGCATCTTCAGCGGCCTTGATCAACAGCCCAGGGAGCTCATCCTTTCTCAGGCCGCGCATGAGCCCATCAAGATATGCAGCTAGCAAGCAACTGAGGAGGTATCCCTTTATGTTAGTCTCACCCGCCTGGATGCATTCAAAAGACCAGTCTTTTGATTCTTTCAACACAGCTAGGAGATCGGGTCTTAATGTTGCCGGGCCAAGCCCTTCGTCCTCTTTCAATTGCATCAGAAGCTCCCCAGCAAGCAAGAGGCTTGCCTGAAAAGCGGTTGTTCGAAGAAAACCATTGCCACACATTGTCAGGCGTGCTAGGTCGCTTTGAGCTTTTGGAATACGGTTGCTGTCAGATTGTGCAGTCTGCAAAGTTGAAATTGGATAGATTGCCGTCCAAAGCCTGAGTGAGGTATCAATTACCACTCTGCGGGAGAATGCATATGTCGTAGTATGGAAGTCCGGGCCTAGGAATGGTATGTGGATTGACATAAGGTAACGCTGCATGATAAAATCCAGGTAGTTCATCGTAAACTGAGAGCGCGAGCAGTCGCTTTTCAAATTGGTCGTGTGAAGCGTGCGAGAGAGTTCCTTGTAGAAAGCTCGGAATTCGCGGTCAAGACGAAGGGCTTCGTCATATGTGCCAGTGGATGTTAAATCGTTCAGAAATTTGGCGATGGCGAGTCGGATTTCCCATGTCCTGCGAAGTGCTCTTGCAATAGTTGTGTGAGAGAATTCATGTCCTGGCTTCGGGACGGGGTTCTCGGTCATTAGTTGTTCATCGTCGAAGTTTCCAGGGGGGTCAGTGTCAAAACTGGTGAGAGACATAAGTGGAGGACCTCCGGAGAGCATGCTTGAGTGCAAGCTTATCTCCAGGATTGTGTTCCATAATCTGCGACGCATTTCGGCACCAAAGGGAGTTCGTTTGGGTAGGTGTACAGGATCTCTGTGCAGACCCATATACACTGCTGCTCTGATCAGTGCACCCGTAGTGATCCAAGTAAAGTCTTCGCCAATGCTAGTCGACTCTCGTGCGAGTATGAGCAAAATACAGGTTTGCAGATATTGGAGACTAAGCTGGGCCTTGAACTCAGGTTCTGAAATCCAGGTTTGAGCTTGATATACCCACTTTAACGCTGATGGTCGAAAGGAGAATTGCTCGTCGTACACAGTACTCCCTATGGCGAGCACCAGTTTCACCTGAATCAGAAACCCTGTATCTGGTGTGCTATCAGCCGCCCAAATTGCTTCATAATCCTTCCTGAAGGTCGGCACGTGGAGTATTCGATGGACTGTCTCAATTGTTCGCAAGTAACCGTCTATGAGCTTATCGGCAACATCTCTTGAAGGAAGATCAGTTGTTGGTGGTGTAGGCCACGGAGGCGCGCGCTGCCATTTTATTATCCTTCCGAAAGCCTTACACCTTTCCATTCCAGTGAAAATCTTAGAAGACTCGATTCGAACATGTGGTTCGATCAACTCCAGGATATCAATTGCCTATGATATTGTCAGCCCCTAGAAAACTTCATGAGTTCCTTGATCGACTAGTCTTCGCTAGTGAGTCTAGCTCCGTGGTTTCTTCTGGAATCTGATCTGATCTCTCCACTTGAATTCGGACGATGTCGAACGTGTGCAAATGAAGCCATGAAATATGCACTCACCACATGTGCAATGCCACTACCCCAATGACTCTGGCCATACAATCTGTTCTTGTGCATTACTCCACGGTTTATGATGTGACTTGATCCAAATAAGCGGCTTTCATGTTTAGAATGAATATGGGCCAGATATGTTTCATTTACTGCAGTTGCAGTACTCTGGCCTGAGGCTGAATCAGAAGACCTGGTAATTGCAACTGCTTTTGACAATTGTTCTTCAAGTTCTTTAATTCTTTTTTGCAGAGCCCCTACATCCATGCTGGCCACGTAGCGTGCTGGTAAAGAGTCATCGGTAGAACTGGCCAATGTCGAACTTGCGGCAGATGGATCCCTGATATAACTTGATGCTGACAACGGGCTAGAAGTGTCAAGATTCTGGCTGAGACTATCTGGGCATGCTCGCTGATCACCGCTAGAGCCATAACCAGATGCCGGTCTCGGTTCACCAAGTTTGCGCAGTGGCATTTGCTGAGGCTGGCTGTCATAGGTACAGATCTCCCTTTTCGTCCGGACGCAGTTGTTGCAGGGAATTTCTCTATTGCACCGGATCTTGCGTTTTCTGCAAAGTGTACAAGACCTTCTCTCTATTAGCATTCAAATTCAAGCGGCTGCATGGTACTTAGTACTTACACAGCAGGCCTTCGACGGCGACGTTCGGAATCTGCCATTTTGACTAGCAACTAACCTTGACAAGATTGGCTTTAATTTACGGTCTGAGAAACTCGTCTCTCCGTCTAGACAAGTTTTCTTTGATGCTTTCTGGCTTTGTACGGAGTCCGGTCGTGATGCACAAAAGAAAGCTGGGATGACGTCGGAGATAATAGTGCGCTATCATCTATACGATCCGCAATATCCCGAGGCCCGACGGACTTGCCTACCACTTTTGATTTCAAATTAAAGCGAATAGGCTGACCTAGTCCGCAATGCCTCCTATGAGTCGCGGTATGGCTAGGATGTCATTTTTAATCCCAGGCGAGCTCTGGTCAATTCTATCTCCGACCACTGTGACAGCATTGCACCGGCCTCGGCATTTTTCACAGACAACTCGGAGATGAGTATCATGGATGACTGCAGTTCCCGCCTCGTTGGTATCTCCGAGAATGCAATCCAAGACACTATCTTCATGTGTCAAGGGTATTAAATACTTGGACCATCCGTCTCTTGTAGTTTCTGATGCACCAGGCACAGTACTCGAATTCTCCTCTGTTCTTTTACGATACTCCAGACTTCATCCCTTACTTCATAGCCCCATGGCATCTATCGAGACACGATCGGGAACTCTCCATGATGGGGACAACCCAATCGCCACTCATCCTTTCGACAACATTGAAGACAAACCGTTGCACGTTTCTGAAGATGCACCGGATGGTGGCCGTCGAGCATGGCTTGTTGCTGCCGGCGCTGCCTTCATCACCTTTGCCTCCCTTGGATACTCTAATTCGGTGGGCGTGTTTCAGGAGTATTACCTGAGCCATCAGCTCAAGGGTCAATCGCCAGATGATGTCGCATGGATCGGATCTGTTGCGGCATTTCTCCAGTTCACAGTCGGTGCTGTTGCAGGGCCAATGTTCGACCGTTACGGTGCCTGGGTATATAGTCATAGTCCATGCATTTGCTATGAGAAAGCCTGGCTAATTCAAAGAGCAGATCATCCGACCAGCTGCAGTCCTCCTTATCTTCTCCGTTATGATGACAAGTCTTTGCGAAAACTATTGGCAGTTCATGCTCGCCCAAGGTGTGCTAAATGGGCTAGTAATAGGGCTGCTTCTCATCCCAGCGATGGCAGCAGTGTCCCAATACTTCGACAAGAGAAGAGCGGCAGCCTTGGGCCTGACAGTGTCTGGCTCATCCGTGGGCGGCGTTGTGTTCCCTATTGCCCTGTCGAAAATGCTAAACGGGTCTACCTTGGGCTTTGGATGGTCTGTGCGCATTGCTGGCTTTCTTATGGTGCCCTGCCTGGCGTTCTCTTGTCTTACAGTCCAGGCCCGCCGGCCACCGAGGAAGACAAAGTTTTTTATCGGAGAAGCCTTCAAGAAAGCGACCTACCTTCTTTTAGTCCTTTCGTGTTTCTTCGTTTTCTTGGGGATGTTCACCCCGATTTTCTACCTTGCAGTGTACGCAGTCCAAAAAGGCATGGATGCAACCCTTGCTTCATATTTGCTCGCCATTCTGAATGGCGCCTCTACATTTGGTCGCATTATCCCAGGGATCCTGGCTGACAAGTTTGGGCGGCTAAATATCTTTGGACTGGGAGGAGTCATAACCGGGATCATCATCTTATGCTGGACTACAGCGGAAAGTACTGCAGGATTGGTGGTTTATGCCGTTTTCTTCGGGTTTTGGAGCGGCACAATCATCTCTGGAGCCGCTGCAGCTTTCAGCGTGTGTGTGGAGGATACTAGAGACCTCGGTACGTACATGGGCATGGGACTCGGAGTGGGAGCAATCGCTATCTTGATTGGGCCTCCTATCAATGGCGCACTCGTCGAGAGGTACGGAGGATTTCTTCAAGTGTCTATCTTCAGCGGCGTTACGTGCATCGCAGGCGGCTTCACCGCCCTGGCAAGCAAGTTTGCGACTCCCCAGGGTGTTTTCGGGAATGTGTGAGGATGGAGATCTAACAGGTGATATGGTTGTCTCGTGGTCTTGGAGAGTTACTCTGTCTCACTTGATAGAGTTAATGATCGGCTTCTTAACTGTTGCATTCATATCACTAATTTTGTGTTACCATTCTTATACTCGAAGTACACAGAGATATTAAAGATTACCCCAATTGATTTCAGGGTCTGTCTCAATGGTGATCTCCGATAGATCTCTCAACATAATAAGGAGATGTGAGTGAGATTTTAAGTACGTAGTTGTGGTGCTCAACTGGACTTTACTCGGTTGCGACTTCGTCCTGTGTGGGTACACCGGGGTGGATAGATGCAACGCAGGTAGTATAGATAAGCATCGTACACAGCAATCACACACGGCGATTCTCCCGTATCATTTCCTGAATATTCGACCATCTGCAGCTTCGAATACGAGTAGTACCTCCCCTGTAGCGTGAGGAGCTCGGCGTGCATATCCTGCTCCATGATGCGACCGCGATTCCATCACCATCAACGTATCGGAGTGCTGGATACTGCTAAGGCGATGGGCGACAGTAATCGTCGTTCATCACATAAACTAACGCAACTATTCATCATCCTGTGGAAACTTCGTACCACCCTGCTTCCTGATCTCATCCATGATTTGCATCACCCGCACAGTTTCTGCATGAGGCATGACAGCATTCTCTAACCTCTTAGATGCAATGTCTAGTGCAACCGCATCAGCTTCGTAGTAGAAACCCCTTCCCGGCTTCTCGAATTTGAACACTTCTTTCGATAACTGAGTCACTTTACCTGACGCATCACTCTTTTTCGGGCCAGGAATCTCCTTGTGAACGGTGAACGCGTCTGGAACCGATGCTGCGCCTCCCTCGACAGTTATATATCCGTCTGTGCCCTCGATGCGGCAAAAGTCGCGGCCGGATTTACACTCGGTTGTCGACGTCAAAACGCCCTGCGCGCCATTCGAATACTGCAGGATAAAAGTGCTCGCGACATCAATTGTGTCTGAGAGACTCTGCACAGCCAAGACCTTCGGCTTCTGCGCCCGCTCACCAATCTCGCTGTCCAACCCTAACAGTCCCCACGTCAGGGAGTAGACGCCAATATCCAACAGACTCCCCGCGCCGAGTGACGGATTCTTGAGCCTGGACTCCGGACCTAGTGCCGCGAGGTTCATATTCAAACCAAAGTCGCAGAACATCCTTCTCACGTCCCCGATCACACGCTCCTCGTGCAGTTTCTTGCCCAGCGCCACCACGAGGGGGATGAAGCGCAACCACATCGCCTCCATCACGAACACGCCCTTTTGCTTTGCGGCGGCGCACACTTCCCTCGACTCCTTGGCAGTGATCGTGAACGCCTTCTCGCACAGCACGTGTTTGCCTGCGGCGATGGCATCGAGGCAATTTTTCTTGTGGAATGCGTGTGGAGTCCCTATGTAGACTACATCTACGTTCGGGTTGCTATAGACGTCCTCGTAGGTGCCGACGCTGGGTTGGTGTGCCGACGAGGGAATGTATTTGGAAACGAATTCTGCACCTTTGGTCGCTGAGGAGCAGCCTATAGCTTGCACTATGTGTTCTGCCTGCGCGCCTGGACGCTCAATGAGGAGGTCCTCTACGAACCAAGAGGAGATCAGGCCAGCGCCTGGTAGGGGTGGTTAGATGTTGAGAGAGAGGTCACGTGAAAGGAGAAGAGGAGGTTTTATGGAGACTTACTGATGATGCCCCAGCGTAGGGTGGGGAGTTGAGGTTGGTCTGTTGGTCCCATGGTGTATTCATGAGCAAGTCGGTTTGAGATAATGGCGCAGGACAGGCGATAAGCTTAGAAGCGAGGGTATTCTCAACGCATCGGATGAAGAGATCATCTTTAACAAATTAATACCAGTTGAGGGGCACAATCAGGATATCCCAACGCATGCCTGGAGTCCCGCACGTATTGTTTAATTGGCGGAAGCAAAGACACTCCACGCAAGGCTCCGTCCAAGTCCCTACATTGATAGGGTAACGCACCCAGCTCCGGGGAGCTCCCCCGCTCCAGAAAACAGCTCATTCCTAACTACCATTGTCGTCCCTTATCTAAGCGTTGGCAGAGATCGAGAGTGAGTAGTAGAGAAATGTAAGTTCTGTTTAGTGTTGTCGAAGAATTGGGCCAGACCACGGTCAGTAGGGTCGAATCATCACTGATGCCCATCAAAATTTGAGTCGTTCGAGCCGGCAATTGTAAAGAACTAGGATGTTGAAGTTGGTCTTTATTTTCGAAAGGTGCATCAACGCGTTGAGATGCGAGAATGCCCCTGGATTCACCAAAGCCTTGGCACTTAAAATCACGTGACTTTGATTCCCGTCACGTCGCGTCGTGTAACGGAAAGGCGCGTCATTCGTTCATTCACTTGCATTTGTCTGAGAAATCCAATACGCCATCCTCTGTCCGCCATTTGGCAACACATACGAACGAACCTTCCGTTCCTAGAATGTCGACCTTTTTCTCTCGATCACCGTGAATTTATCTTCTTGCTCGGCCGACACGTTTGAATTACCCCAATCATGCCGTCTGATATTAGGAGCTTTTTCGGTGGCGGAGGAGGGGCGAAGGCTGCTCCTTCAAAGAAAGACATTGTATGTATATATTCTCTCAGGATACTTCCCAAGCTGGACAGTACTAACGAGGAAGAAGCCTGCGCCCGCAAAGGCTAAGTCACAGCGTGGTCGCCCCCGAAAGGTCGTTTCCTCCTCCGATGAAGACGAGGACATTGCCCATACCAGGGCCAACATCCCATCAACTCCTAACACAAAGAAAGCAGCGAAGGAATTGGTAGAAGAAGAGACAACAAGCTCGGCGTATTTCGCTTCCTCGAACGCAAAACCTTCCAGATCCACTCCAATCCGATCCAAGGTTACCACGACTCCAAATAAAGTCGAAAAGACGACCCCGAAGCAGGCAAATGGTGGGACTCCTTCGACCGGTCGGCGCTCTGGTAGAAGAACTGCGGTCAAAAATTACACAGAACATTCTGAATATAAACCTCGCAAAGTAAAGGACGAAGATGAAGGACGTGACGACATTTTCAACGATATGAAAAGCCGTAAGGTGGACGACGATTATGACGAGGGAACTGATGATGCCGATGCAACGCCACCGTCCTGGTCTTCCAAACCCGTCAATGGCCACTCTCGAAAACGACAACAACACGAAGATGAATCTGATCTTGACGTAGCTCAAGTACCTTCCTATGACGGTCCAGGTGACCGTAAGGGACCGCGTTCTGCAACTGCTTCAACCACAACTCGAAAGCGAAAGTCCAAAGACCTTGAGGATGAGGAGATTGACTTCTTGGATGACGATGATAATACTCCGAAGAAGAAAACCAAAAAGACTACTTCCGCAGCACGCAAACCTCGAGCACCCGCCAAAAAAGAGGAAAAGGAGGAAAGCAAGGAGATCCAAGATATCCTCAATAATATACCCACCGTTCGAGCACCTACTCCACCGCCTAGGGATGATGAAAGCAGAAAGTTCAAATTTGGTGGAGGAAATGCGAATGCTCAGCCTCCTGCTCAGGGGTCTGCGGAAATTCCTGTTGGTGAGGAGAATTGTCTTGCTGGATTGACTTTTGTCTTCACCGGCGTCCTGACGTCCATCGGTCGAGAAGAAGGCCAAAACCTGGTTAAGCAGTACGGTGGCAAGGTGACAGGAGCACCTTCCAAGAAAACTAGTTACGTGGTCATCGGCAGTGATGCCGGCCCGAAGAAGCTTGAGACTATCAAAGCTCTTGGTATTACGACCATCAACGAAGAAGGACTGTTTGCATTGATTAAGCATCTTCCCGCGAATGGTGGTGACGGCAAAGCTGGTGAAGCTTATGCTGAAAAGCAAGCCAAAGAGGAGGCAAAAATTCGCCAACAAGCACAAGAGATGGAAGACCGCGAACGCAAGAAACAGAAGGAAGCTGCAAAGGTTGCAGAAAAGGCAGCAATGGCTCAACCGAATGGTGCCTCTGCTTTGGCAAAACCAAAACCCAAAGTTGACGACCGATTGTGGGTTGATAAATACGCACCAGATTCGATGACTAGTGTTTGTGGCAACAAGAGCACAGTCGAGGGCCTCCAAGCCTGGCTTCGAGCTTGGCCGAACAACCAGAAATCTGGTTTCAAAAAAGCTGGTGCGAGTGGGAGGGGTATATTCCGTGCTGCGTTGATACACGGACCTCCTGGTATAGGTAAAACAACTGCTGCTCACCTGGTTGCGAAACTTGAAGGCTACGATATTGTCGAAAGCAATGCCAGCGAAACTCGAAACAAGAAGTTGTTGGAGACTGGTCTGAAAGGTGTGCTGGACACCACCTCGCTACTGGGATACTTTGCTGGAGACGGCAAGAAGGTTGATGCTTCGAAAAGAAAGCTTCTCTTGATCATGGACGAGGTCGATGGTATGTCTGCAGGCGACCGAGGTGGTGTTGGTGCCATGGCCGCGGTTGCAAAGAAGACGAATATCCCGATTATCATGATCTGCAACGAACGTCGACTCCCTAAAATGAAACCATTTGATGGCCATGCAGCCGAGTTTGCATTCCGAAGACCAACCACTGACATGATCCGTAGCCGCATTGCAACAATCTGCTTCCGCGAAGGTATAAAATTACCAAGTCAGGTTTTGAATGCACTCATCGAGGGATGCAATGGAGATATTCGTCAGATCATCAACATGATATCGACCGTCAAACTTGACAAGAAGGACATCGACTTCAACGACTCCAAAGCAATGTCGAAGGCGTGGGAAAAGCACGTCATTCTTAAGCCATGGGATATTGTCAACAAGATTCTCCGACCACAAATGTTCTCAGCGAGCTCGACCGCCACATTGAATGACAAAACCGAACTGTACTTCAATGACCATGAATTCAGTTACCTTATGCTTCAGGAGAATTATCTCAAGACGCAACCAACTCTAGCTAGTTCCTACAGTGGAAGGGAGCGGAACATGAAGCTTCTCGAATTGTACGATAACGCCGCCTCCAGCATCAGTGACGGTGATTTGGTTGATAGAATGATCCATGGGTCACAACAACAATGGGGCTTGATGCCTACCCACGCAATTTTCAGTTTCGTTCGTCCAGCTAGTTATGTTTACGGCAACTTCAATGTCCAAGTTGGCTTTGCCAGCTGGCTCGGACAGAATAGCAAGCAAGGTAAGCACGCTTCTGTCAGGTGCGACACTAGAATTACTAACCGGTGCCATAGGCAAACTCTCCCGCATGGTCAAGGAAATCCAGGGACACATGCGTCTGCGAACCTCCGCCGACCGACATGAAGTTCGTCAGCAGTACCTACCAGCTATTTGGAACAAAACAGTGAATCTGCTCAACAAGGAAGGCAAAGAATCTACTCAAGATGTCATCGACTTCATGGACTCTTACTATTTAACCAAAGAGGATTACGAAGCCGTTCTGGAATTGGGAGTTGGTCCAATGGATCAAGCCAAGATAAAACTCGACACTGCAACGAAAGCAACTTTCACAAGAATGTACAACCAACAGAGCCACCCCATGCCTTTTGTCAAAGCGAGCCATGTCCTGGGCACGGCCAAGGGCGGAGCGAAGAGAGACAAGCCTGATCTGGAGGAGGCTGTAGACGAATCCGAAGCCGAGGAAATCGTCGATGATGCCGATGACAATGAGGATGATGAGATTGATTTAAAGAAGGACAAGTATATCAAAGCCCCAAAGAAGAAACCCGCAACTGCGAGGGGCAAAGGTGTATCGAAGAATAAGCGGAAGAAAGACGCCGATAGTGAAGACGACGAAGACGAGAGTGATGATCAACCAAAGAAGAAAAGGCCCGCGGGTGGAGCAAACCGAGGGGGAAGAAAAGGTAAAGGGCGAGTTTAGCAAAAGCCAACCATTCATGCAACGAATGTCAAATTATCTTGCTCAGCCGAGCATCCATCGGAGTTGCTGGGTGATCCGCGTGCTGCATTATACCGAGCTACTAGCACAAATTCCCCGCTTATTGTGATGTACACCTGAGACTGAAGATGTCCCAATCCATACAACAGCACCAGCAAGCAACAAGTATTTACAAGAAAGCAGTTTAGTCCGCTCATGTACATTGCTATATGATCACGACACGATAAAAGCAATAAAAGTCTTGTAGTTGCTCTGCTGTCGTCAGTCACGTGTTCTCCTACGAACCTCCGTAGTTCAATCCGCAGCCCGTCGTCCCCCGGATAGATCAACTGAAACCAATCTACAACGGCCTATCTATGCAGCTTCTTGCCCTCCCACATCATCGACACGCTGCTCACGAAGGTTACCGCGTGCGAGGGAGGGTGTGCAATGAAAAGCCCTGGCTAGACACTCTCTTCGAAAGGAAGGACGGCACTGGAAAGTTCGGTTCGGTAGTCATACCAGACTTGACCGTGCAAGAGGACCTGGCGAGAGCGCTTGATGGGGTTACCGGTGTTATACATTCGGTAGGTTTCGGCCATTCGGGGTGAGATACAGAGCAACCGTTGTTTGTCAAACGGGCGTCGTATGTCTCCCGTATAAGTGGAAGACACTGAGACTCTAGCTGACGGTCCGTATCTCAGGAATCGGATCTGACTCTTACGCTTGACCGGGGAAAAAGTCATCAATGGCACAATAGCCCATACCCTTGCCATACTAAAGGCTGCGGCTGCACAGTCGTCGGTCAGGAGCTTCGTCTTAACGTCTTCTTCGAGCTCTGTTTTGGTGCCTGTGCCTAACAAGTAAGGGGTTGTCGTTGATAAGTGTACGTGCGAGTTCTTCACGAGCTCCTCTCATAGAATGCGCTGTACCCTGACATGATAGTCCCTAGCGACGGGGGACGATGAAGCCGTCTAAGCAGCTTGGAGTCCAGACACTCCCCCAGACCAGTTGCAGTACACCATTTATGCGGCCTCCAAGACTGAGGGCGAACACAGCCTGTGGAAATTTGCCGAGGCGAATAATCCTCAGTTCGTGGTCAAAGCTGTGCTTCCAGACGCGAATGTTAGTAGGAGTTGGCCCTCGCATTCTGTGTATGTCTTATTTGACCGACCTAATGATATAGTCGGTCCGATTCTAGCACCAGAAACATTCGGAAGCACGATGGGCTGGGTGCGAAAACTGCTCGAGTGTGACCCTTCAATCTTGATTGTCACCCTACCATATGAGTTTGCTGTCTCTTCTGAATGAACGTGTGTGGACAAAGCTAGTACATGGGAGCATCCAATCCTGACTGACCATGTCCACCGGCATATTTTCTACAGAATGGTTCGTCGACGTGCGCGACTGTGCATGCCTCCACGTCGCGGCGCTTCTTGATCGGGGTGCTGAGAACCAAGGAATCTTCGCATTCGCAGAGCCATACAACTGGACCTACATCACCCATCTCCTGCGTACGCTAAGGCCTCAGAATGCAAAACTCCCCAGCCCGCCAGAAAATGAAGGCCGCGATCTGTCGATTGTGAAGCCGGTGGCTAAGGCCAAGCAGTTGCTGAGACTCCTTCGGTGTATCGGGCCGGATACGCTTGGAGGACAGTGTCGAGGTGGGGCTTGAAGGCGTCGAGTGATGGGATGGAAGGGAAAAGGTATTTCTGACTCTATGTGAGTCATTATATGTGTAGGATTGGTTTCTCAATTTTCCCCTTCCAAACTGTTGGACTTGGGCAATATTTAATGTCGCTGTTTGCGAAATCCCTGCACCCTTAATTCCCGCGATGACTCCTCACCTCATTCGCGCAATCTTTGACAATCAGTCACAGAATAACATGAAGTCGGAAGTAGGTTCTAGCTCCCAGAATATTGGCCCAAGTGGTAAATATATAAGCACTGCAAAACACGAGACTGACTAAAAATAGTTAGTGCAAGGCTGTCGCCCCCTTTTCGGTGCCTTATCTGGATATTCGCCTCCCAGCAGAAATATCCTTACATAATTGCTTACTCCTGCCAATGTCTCATAACTTCTTTTTTCTGCCACGGGATGGCATCTTCCTACCAGCTTGGCTATTGATCTTGGATTCCGGTGTGGCCTCTTCCTTCCAGCAATGACAAACCGACCTCAACCTGTGGAAAGCATACACCGCGAGCCAGCCAAACAATATCAATCAAAACGCTTCCCGACACTCATACGACTCCGGAACGCTGGGATCTGAGCCAACATAGACCGAAACGAGAGGATATCTACACAACGGCTGCTGCTTGATGATACTTCCATCTGGCGACCTTATCGTGGCCAACAGAGTCTCTGGGGGAATACCTTTCTCGACCCAGTCGACCAGCGCCTCGAGACTTGAATCCGGCTTTGCACCAGGACCTCCTCCGCAGTGCGCCACGCCAGGGGCAGAAAAGAAGCGGTAATAGTCGTTAGCGGAAGGGTCGCGCTGCAGGACTTGGTTGTAGTAGTTTACAGTGCCGTTGTATGGTATGAGGGCGTCGGCCAGACCGTGCCAAGTGAGTAACTTGCCGCCGGCGTTCTTGAAGGCGCTCAAATCTGGGTCGATTGTGCTGATCGTTGAATCGTAGATTTGATGTGAAAGGTGAGAGAACCTGTCGAATTCTTCGTAGGTGGCGCCTGACGGATTGTATGTGGCGTCTTTGGCCAGCCAGATCCGGACCCAGTCCTGCGGGAGCCACAACGGCTTGCCTCCACAGCTTCCGTTTCCGGAGCAGGTAGAGTTCGCGATGGGGCTGAGATCTGTGTCCTTGGAGGTCCCGTACCACTGAAATGTACCGTCCGCGTTACGGGGGCCACCCCACGCGGCATTGGCGACTTGAGCTGCGCCTGCTGAGACCTTGACATGTTCTCCGGAACAATTGTGAAGCCGTCCCACAGCTTCGTTGGCGTCAAAGCCGCAATTGGTATCCGCGGAGATCACTCCATCCTTCAAACCATCTAGCTTGTCACAGGCCTCGATCGCCGCTTCCTTGATGGCAGCTAGCTCGCAAAGTGATGGGAACAGTCCTTCTTGATTCATCACAATCTGTGGCCAGAGCATAAATTGGAAGAAATCCGCCCAATTGATTGCGGGCGCGGTGCCGAGGATACCATCATACTCTTCAGGATATCTCTGTGCAAGCATATGACCCTGTCGACCACCTTGAGAGCAGCCGTTCCAATATGAGTAATCAGCAGGGCGGCCGTAGTAGTTCTCTGTGATTGCTTTGCCAAACAGTGTTGCTTCGTAGAGAGCGAGAGATGCAAAGTTGTTCAAGGCATTGAAGTCAACAACTCCTGGACTTGCAAGACCCCAAGATGCTGGATCCGGCCAGGGGTTAGAACGAGAAGGATATTCGGTCCCAGCATTGGTCCACATGGTCGAAAAGTTGGCACCGATGCCTGAGTATGGGTAGGCGAAGTCCTCGCTATATCCTGCATTGAACCCCCCACCGCCGATGCCCATGAAGCGTCCATTCCATTGGTCCTTCAGTGGCAGCCAAATCATGACGTTGATACTGTCATTCAAACCAGGATGCGTGTATGTGACGCTGACATTGCAAAAGTCGAGACCTTTATCTACTCCCCCAGGTAATGTTGGAATTCTGTCCGGTACATCACGTTTGTCAAGGGCGAGGCTGTTGTTGATCACTGGGACCGCAGATAGAGATATCAAATGTGTACCAAATATTTCAGGGTGGTTAAAGGCTAATGCTTCGCAGGGAATACCAGCAGCGATTGGCGATGAATCCGCAAGCGCACTGCCGATGCTAGGAAGCCATATCAGGGCTTGCGAGTTGGAAAATCTCATTTTGATTGCGTTGCTGATAGACCAGTTTGTTTTCTCGGGTGATAAACCGGAATTTTTGTTCTCTCGAAATCATTCCAATGTCACTGTCTTTTATATCACAACTTAGGGTTCGCTCTCCCTGTCTAACCTGACCAATTTAAGCCATTTTGCGAAGCCGAATTTGCGCCGACGAAAGTCAATGAACTGAAGAACGTACGCTGTATTGATTCATTGAATCGTCATAGCTGTGTAGCCATAGCTGGTCCGCGAATTCATCCGCGACTGGTGCGAAGCGACATCATTCATGCGGATTTAGGAGGCCCTGGTGGCCCGTCCATACCTAGCCTTTCAGATCTGTATACCCACGCAAGGCTATGGTAGCATGTATAGTTGTGTGATGAAGTAAACTTGCTGTGTGTTCCGTTACATCTAACGGATCTGATGGGGGAAAACATGCGACGGATCCCGGTCCGGCTGACCGTTGCGTTAAGTCTACACCTCGCAACCTGTCCTGTTACGGGACGGCAGGACCACCCTTGTCCTGTTGAAAGGGTACTGAACCCAACGCTATTACGCCGTGTCGGGCGGACGAGATCAGCAGCAACGGAGGACAGACTCACGTATCCTGACAGCCTAGGCAGAAGTTGATGGTTTACCAATCCATCAAGGAAGAAAAATGAAGTCGGAGACTTTTCAACTCGAAGATTGAACAAAGTTCTTCCGAGTCCCGCAAGCTTGGCACGTGACTTGGCGGCATCGCTCAATTCAGAACGACTGCACCAACTACTTTTCTACGTATCGAGGAAAGGCAACTGAACAAGCTGGACGCGCCACCAGCATCGCTTGTGCCTCTCGCAAACATCTTTTGGAGATAGAATACCGGCACAAGCCTTGCTGGAAATGCTGCTTTGATCCTGCGTGGAGTGAATCAACAGTGGTAATGGCTGCACCTTTGGTCCAGCCCTCAGGTATGACACCGCAGTCCTCCGCCTCGACGAAGAATACTGAATGTGCTAACTCAATGCCTAGCGGCGTGCCTACGCTACCTGAGATCAAGTTCACTCTTCCATCGGGCGTCACTGCTCTCTTCAACACAATCTCTCTCCCACCGGCCAAAGCTCTCACACTCGCCCGCGACCACCCCTCGCCCATTTTCACAAGGCGATGCTCGCACATTCACCACGACGGCACCACGCCACAACTGGCTGCAACCTGTACGGCCAGAAACCAAGAAATCCATGTATGGGCGGCCGCGGATGCAGACCGGGGGGTCCGTACGCGGCACGACGGTCGTCTGGGGCGATTGGGGACTGCGGATGAAGGACCACGACCGCAATATCTCTGCAAAGCAGCTTAAAGTCGCGGAGGACACCATCCGCCGACGGCTGAGAGGCGAGCGCTACAAACTGTACACGCGCGTGAGCGCCAACATTGGCGTCTACATCAAGGGCAGTGGTGTGCGTATGGGTAAAGGAAAGGGAAAATTCGACCATTGGGCCGCCCGTGTCCCTGTGAGTCGGATCGTCCTGGAGCTAAAGGGCCAGATTCACGAGAAGGTCGCCAGAGATGCTTTCAGGTTGGCCGGTGGCAAGTTGCCTGGCCTGTGGGAGTTCGTCAGAAAGGGAGACCCGCCAGTTGTTGGTATCACGAAGCTCGGCGATGGTGTAACTCTGCAATCATTGAAGGAGGCCAGAAGACCGGTGGAGCCCAAAGACAAGGCTGATGAGCAGCAGTTGATTGTTCCTCCTATGGCCGAGGTCCCACCTCATACAGTGGCTAGGGACTTGGATCCGTCGGCGAAGGGTACTGTCCATGTATCTCCATGATGTAACAAAATATCAACTATTCATGCAAGAGTATTGTTTCTTGTTGTGTCACCTGGAACCACAGAGAAAATACGGCGGACGATGAGCGATTTCATGCGCCAACTCCAGAGCCCGGCCCATACCCTTGCTCACGCCGAGTATTCTTCAGGTCTTCCGAGTCATCGGGCTTGCCTCCATAACCACCTGATTGCGTTGCAGAACCAGTCGATGTGGTTGTCATGCCTCCAACGCCTGATTCCGAGATATTCTGACCGTATCGAATGTTTTCCGTCGTCGTCTGTCCACGTTCGTCAGAGACGCCAGATTTCTCAGACGTGTTGGGTCCGCCTGATTTGAGATTTGAGGCCATGTCAGCAAGTGTTTTGACAGAATGCTCAACGGTCTCGGAATATAGATAGCCATGTACGATTACAGGGCACTTTGAGAAATTACTATCGGAACTTACTGCCTAGTTGTCCTCTCTCCTTCTCGGTCGGGTTGGTCACAGTCTGGATTGATTCATATCTGGCCTCCGTCAGCACGACAATACCTCTCCTCGCCACGCTGACGAGAGTCAAGTCGGCATAGATTTTCAAAGGCTCTCAAACCTACTGGGTACTCTCACCACCGGGAACCGTGTCCATGGTCTTGTTACCCGGGCCTGAAGCCATATCTGAACTCTCGCTATCACTGTCCCTTTCGCGAGTCGCCATAGATGTTACACTCGCGCTCACACTTCTGGTTGGACTGTGAGATCTTGAAGCCGAAGAGGAAGCAGAAGTGGAATTAGAGGATGATGAAGATGACGACGGAGTGTAACCTTTGAACGAATCGTACCAGTCGCACGTGAGAACTGATTCTATGCCTTGAGTGACGGCATGGAATAAGTCCATCGAACCAGTCAGTAAACCTTCGATGACGGAGACGTGGGCCGGAGCATTCTAATTGAATATTATCCTAGTAGATTCAGGCCAAATGTTGAGCATGTGGAGGGTGCGAGTCTTGAGTCGTCAATTGCCTAACTGCTGCTGTGGTGGTGGCAGTCCTATATGTGGGTCTTCCTTTATTGGAAGGAATGTTGAATTCGGTGATGAAGCCTTGACGTCACGGATATTTGGTGAGACGTGAAAATGGAGCAGGACAAACAGGACCGTTCCTGATTGCAGGACACCTCAGCCCAGATCGACAGATGCCGCGTTAGATGAATATTAATTAAAACACATGCCAATCACTGGGCTCGGTGCTGTTTTAATTTGCTTACCCAGGGAAGCCTTCTCTTTCTTGGTTGCTGTGACTCTTGTGGGGCTTGGAATCAACCGCCTTTTCCTTCAACGAGGCGTTTCACCTTTCTGGGCTTGATCGAGCTTCAAGCCTTGACCCTCCCTTTTGACTGAGAATAACAAGCATGCGAAGGATCGTGCGTAGACCAATTTATACTTTTCAAGAACAGTTTCTGAATCGTTGGCTACCTAGTCTTTGGCATTGGCTCAGGATGGCATTCCCACATGGTGGACTGAGTGGTACTATTGAGACGTGTCTTGATGTTTAGACTGTCTCCCTAAACTTTCAGGTATCCTGCTGCCGACCAGGCTGTGCCAGCTAAGTCTGTTCATCGAGGCGCTAACCAAGCTCATGTCGCTCGATGTATTCAACCACTGGCAGTTTCGTCTTCGTAACCTCCAGTGGCAAGCGAGAATGCTGCGGTGTGCTAAATCTAACCTCTGCCTTTCAGGGAAAGCGATAAGAGCTTTGATTGAACAAGTCTGCGGCTTGGATTGATGCCAACAATCACCACCCTTGTGCCAGGTCATTGAGCCTCACTCACTTCCTAGAATCGGCAGGGCGAATCCCGTTGAATCGCACAGTCATGGAATTTCGAATGGACAGGATAATGGTCTCAGCAATGGTCTTCGTCACTGCTGGTGGAATTGCATTGGGGACGTTCAGATATTGTGTCTCCTTCAATCCATAGAAAACGAAGTCATCATCAAGACCTTGTAACAGTGCAATTTCGCGGACACTGCATTCGCTCAAGCACTGTCGATAGGTTAGAAAAATCTAGGAATGGAAAATTGTGAGAAGCGGGTGGCTAACTTGGATGTCTTATCTTCTTGCCAGGTCCGAGCATGAAAGGGGGAGATTTGCTTTGGCGAAAATATTCTCCGGAAAAGTCCATTCGGTGCAATGATTGTAGATATTCGTTTCAGGGTTGCCCAATGTTCTGAAATTGGATGCTCTGGGGATGGAGCAATAAACCCGGTAGAATCGTGCTCGTGAGAACGTGGATTGGAAACCGCGAGATCTTCGATGGCTGGTTCAACTCCAGAGGGCCGGCTTGTACCTGAATCAGCGTTGCTCGGCTCCCACAGCAAGTCAACATGCCAAGTTCGATACTATCAAGACCAGAATTGAACGATCTTGTTGGAGACCCAAATCTGACAAGCGACAAAACTTCACGTGAAGGAGGAGCCGCTGCTCCAGAAGCTGCAGTATGCTCCTTGAAAATCATTCTGCTGCTAGCGGACGGAGGACCGCTGGTGACAGCATCGTAACAATGGAATCAGGCTTCATTACCGATCTTGCAGTAGTAAGAAGAATTCCTCAATTGAGGGCATGGTACAATTCTTCTCTCGCAGCTTGAAGCACGAATGCTCTGCAGCAATGAGAGCGATTTTTGGAGAATATCGAGCACTGTTTGATGGCACGCTAAGAGTGCCAGATTCAAACCCACCCATGATATTGGTGATTGAGCCGTCGAACATGACGAGTCGAAATATGCATTGTTGCTGTTGGACATTGCTTACCTTCTAAGTTACGTGAAGCGCTTCATCAAAACTGAAGGAGCTGTCAACCACGCACCCCGCTGCGAAAACCCCTCCGATGGCTCAAGGATAGCAGGGGTCATGTCGAAGACCACAGGAGGAGCGGCGCCGTTGTAGGCTCGTGGCTGTCGCTCCTCGAGGCCATGCAGAAGCGTGGAAGTGATGGGGATTATACAAATGGTACCAGGTGTCGTGAAGATTCTGGCACCAAGTCGACAGAATAAATCTCTCTCAACAAGGTCTGTACAGCGGTTAGCGAGTCTCGTTTGGCCTATCGGGTGACTGATTTACCCCTAGGACATTCAATGACATGCACAACGCGATCGCAAGTCGCTTTTCCCGCATTGATGGTATCGTTTATTTCAACGAGATCAGCATCCGCCTCACTTCCCATTTGCGAATATTATGGAATTGAACTACAAGTTCGCGGCTGTCCGGTGGTAATTCGGAAGACTCTGAGTGCTGTGAAAGTAGACTCGAGGCGGAGCATGCAGTATACTTTGTCACCAAAAGGCAGTATGATGGCTGCTCGGATCCCTTGTGCTCATAGAGAATGTCGTGAATATACGCGACAAAGATCTCGGATAGGCCAGAAGTCGTCAACTCAATACGAGTTGAGTCGCCCCTCTTGAAAGTATGGTCCAAATGTGGGCGTTCAAGGTCTCCGCCAGAGCTGCCATAGTTTTGACGTGCCTACGGTTGGTCAGATATGACACTGGAAAAGAATAGACATCACAAGCAATGGTACTCACACGAGGCTCTGGTTCAGGTTCTGGAATAACCTGAGCCATTGCAAGAGGCATTGCGTCTTCATACCAGCTCTGCCGCGTTCGTTCGTCTTGGTCTGAATGCAGTTTCTCAATCTCTCTTTGAGCTTTAGTCGGTCTCTGTCCTGATGTTTTTGGCAAAGGCGAATGCACATCATCATTTGCGCGGATGACAGTGGGTATTTTGGAGGGTGGCCCAGGTTTCCCCTCCATGTCGCCGTTACCGATATCAGTCTCGACCTGGGCTGCTGCTTGGGGGCGACAATGACGACAGGCTCAGAGCTTAAACTTTCCACTGCAGAAGCTCTAGGCTTACAAGCTGCTGGAGGTATTCCACAGAACGACAGCTGTTCTCGCCGAGAGACGACTGGAAATTAGGTCTTTGAGGGGCTGAGGTCAGAAAATATCGTTCTTGACTGAGTTCGAGGAACAATATCTGTTGGACAACCGCATGGAACAGTCGATTCATCTGAGATCTCTGAGGGTGTACCGCTTCCTAGTGGTTCACGTCGATTAGCACTATATGACCAAAGGCAGGGCCATGACTCACTCGTTACGTGTAGGAGTTGATTTGTCTTTGCCTCACGTGCTAGACTCATGAAGCTGCCCAAGGTCCTCAATATCGGCACCGTGTCTCTCGGACACAACGCCACTCTCATTTCCAATCCAGCAAATTTCGAGCTCCCCAGCATTTGTGGTGGCTTTCGCAGTGACCTTGCGGGGCATAGACTGTACGGACGAGCGTGTCATATGTCTAAAAGACGCGCACTGAGCTGGCGTCATTCTCAATGGACCGCGCACGTCATTAACGACAAGATCTAAGAGGTCTTCTGCGACATGGTCGCGAAAAACTCGTCCGCATATGCTAGTGAGTCTTTAGGAAAGGCAATGACCTCACAGGGAGAATTTTTATGTATCGTCTCAAAATTGATCTATTTCTGATGAATACGAAGGTGTCGATCTTCCCGATAGACTAGATCAACCTGTGTCTCTCCACCTTCAACGAATTCGATGTCAAGAGTCTCCAAAATTGGGGTTAATGACAACGACGCCCACAAAATGCGAGTAATTCCGATCCAGAAACTATTATTGGTCAGACCGACGACAGCTGACTCGTTGAACAGATGCATCCGGTGTCCCTGTGGAGGACGTGCTAAAGAGAACTTCCTGAAACACTTCCACAGGTCTTCAGGGAGTTTCCGTGGTTGCATTCGGAAATCCCGTGGGATCATGTCTGTCTGCGAGAGAAATTTTAGCATCGGACACTGTTGAGAAGACAGTCGAGTGTGAAATACCTGGTTTGTGAACGTGTGATTCGTCAGCTTGTCGTTGCAATGGAAAAAAGAACCCTCTTGCCTCGTTAGTAATCGTTGCCACATGATACTCGCTCTGGAACGTGAAATGACCCGATGAGCAAAAGCAACATCAGGGCAACTCTCGTCTTCGAGAAATAACTCCAGGTAGGCATCCGGTCACCCTCTTTCAAGATTGGTTGCTCCCAGATGATGGCAATCATTTGAGCTTCTTCGAGCTGATTCACCATGCATTCCCTATCTCGATTGATCCGCCCTGCGAGAAGGTTGTAACCATATCTGTACAAACGACCGTCAGGTCCATGTCCAGCTACACGAAGGCCTTTGAGATAGACGCATCTTGAATATGTGTGCCCAAGAATAAGAACACCGCACTGGTTGCGGATAATGTCATCACCGTCTGGAACATCAAGGTCAAGAGCAACCGTCATCCACTGGCGGAATTCGGCTTCTTCGATTTTGTGGCCAAATGTGTCTCTTCGTTTGCTTATCTCAAAAGTGACGTCCTCCCACACGTTCGCTTTGGGCTGTCGTGGGGGCACCAGGCCGAGTCATCTGCTCTGCGTAGGCATTCTTCTTTCTGGTCATGGAAGTTGACGACGGTTCCGACAGTCTGCAGCAGAGAGTATCACCGGGGCCAAAGTTGAAGATCCAATAAAAGGAGCTGGACTCGATCCGAACGGAATGACCCAGTCGGCGCATAACAAGTGCCGCGAGCTTCACGCCTTCACCATGATGGCCAGCCATATCATCCCTAAACATCTTGCTCGACTCTTCCATGCTAAGATGCTTAGCGTTGAGGCCGACCTGAAAGTTTGAGAGTTGAATTCGGCCGCTGCGATTATCATATGATATGAACCCTACCAAGGTTTGAGAAGACTCGCCGTGGCTCGGATCGTGGCTCTTGTGAACCGTAATTGTGATCCCACGCCCACTTTCCTGGAAAACGGGTCTGAACGAGGATATCTCGAGTTGAAACGAGGCAACTATCCCGTCCTTCCTATGTCAGGTTAGAAAGAGAATTCTAAACTGAAGTGTAGCTATGGCGGTGGCCGTTGAAAAATACCAATTCTGATAGGCTTCTCTGGAGGCATCTTGTCTAGACTAATCTGGTACGTAATGCTTGCCTACCCCTAAATTGATCAGTCCGCGCTGAAGCTGGCACCCAGTACTATCGGATTCGTCATCGTCTCCGTAATCTATGCCGTCGCAGCTCTCTTCTTTGAGATGATCGGTCTGTGTTTGATGATGAGAAGGACTGCTCGAGTTTGGCGCATCACGTGAGTGCCGAGGTCGGGAAAGTGGGAAGGAGCCGTGAGCCAGGGCGTCAAGGCGTCTGAATGGCTGCGGCGGGGATCAGCAGCCGAAGGCTTAATCTCCGCCCTGCTTCCGAGCCGCGCTTTGCTGTACTTGTATGGAGTACTTGTAGGCGTATCAGAGATTGTTTCTTCGAAGCAGCTTGGTTTGAGGGAACCAACGATGAAATATTAAGGAAGTCCAACTGTTAGATCGAAGCTAGTAGGGACAAAAACTACATGAGCTCTCAATCCTCTTTCACTTGGTGTGAACTGAGTGAAAGAATCTCGCCAAGAGGCTGCATTTCGTGCAAGTGTGGCCCGCCGGAATCATCACCTGAGAATTTGAAGCTCTTCAATCCACCATCAGGACTCTGTACATCTTTTCTAAACTCTCCCCGTCTCGTCCTATGTCAGCGATGCGCCCTACCATCAGTGCTACGATACCTTTGTGTTTCCGGGCGGCGAGACGCCCCGCCCGGTTCAACAAGACCAGAAACTCGATCCCACCAAAAGTCGCGGGGCGCTCCGTTTCACAGTCAACGAGAAAGTCACAACAGCATGGCCCGTCTGCTGAATGGACCGCTGCCAGGGCCAACGCTAAGTTCAAAAATAAAACAGCACTGTAAGCGTCTTGGACTTGCTCAGCAGATGCACGGAGGCTTACAAACTGCGTAGATTATATGGAACGAGTCTGGGCATAGCAGTTTTGGCCCTCGCATATGGTTCGGTCCCGTTGTATAAAATGGTACTTTAATCAACCTCCTCCTCGGGATGACAGATATCTAATACTCCTAAAGATTTGTCAGCAGACGGGCTGGTCTGGGCAACCCATCAAGACCCACGATACTGGTGGTGACCCTGCACTCCGATTAAAACCCGTCGAAGACCACCGACGTCTTCGAATTACGTTCAACGGCTCAGTTTCCGATGTTCTACCTTGGAAATTCACACCTCAGCAACGCGAAGTTCGAGTGCTACCGGGTGAGACAGCTTTGGCATTCTATACAGCTACGAACAAGAGCGATGCAGACATAATTGGTGTGGCGACATACTCGGTGACTCCGGCGCAGGTGGCACCCTACTTCAGCAAGATTCAATGCTTCTGCTTCGAAGAACAAAGACTGAACGCAGGAGAGACGGTAGACATGCCAGTGTTCTTCTTCATCGACCCCGAATTCGTCAAAGACCCGACGATGAGAAATATCGATACCATCACCTTGAGTTATACTTTCTTCAAGGCCAGATATGACAAGAACGGCGTCCTGACCACCGTTCCTTTGGCGATGGCGGCTGCTTAGACCCATTCGCTTGAAAAGTGGGATCATTCACCAGTACCGGCGTCGGGTCCAAGAACCCACGAGGGCATCTGCAAGATTGTGCTCAACCCGGCAGTCTACCTCGATTTCAGCCACTGAAGCACATCCTCTACGCCTCTATCGGGAGGGAACACAGGATACCACCACTTGAGAACCCGGCCCTTCTCGATGGCGATCATCGATCTCCTCAGCACCTTCGTGCCCTCCCATTCGAAGGTGGGCAGATTCAAGCCTTGCTGGAAGGTCAATTGCTCGTCGCTGAGCAAATCGTACGGCAAATGCAGTCTTTCGTGCACCTCAGCCTGGTATGAAGTCGACTGTGTTGAGACGCCATATATCTGAGAAACCCCAAGAAAAGTCAGCTGAGGAAGGTTGTCGCGGAACGAGCACGCTTGTGGGGTGCAGCCACGGGCGCCTGGGATGGCGTTCCAAGAATCCGGGACCGTTTCGTTCGGTGCACCTTTGCTGTCAGCAGGGCGACCCTTACATGCCTGTGACTCGACACACCTGTCCTCGGATACACAAACACAATCGTCAATCCCGGTAAATCAGCCAGCGTCACCTTCGTACTTGGGTCTGTTGCTGCAGGGAGCGAAAGACTTTTCGGGATCTCCAAATCCGTAAGATGATTATACAACCCATCGTCTTCAGGAGCTGGCAGGTCTGACGGAAAGCTGGTGTCTGTGATATGATCAGCACTTGCCTAGCTCCAGAGGGACTCGCTCAAAATTTATCATGAAATGGCGTGTGTTTGCCAAAGAAAGAGAAAGACAGAAAGACAATGACCTCAATCTCTTGTGCGGCGCCACGTCATCCAGAAATGTAAATATTCATCATCGCGCAAGGCAGGGCGGATGGGGACAAGGACAAGAGGGGGAGGCCAGGAAAGGCATGCAACGTACGAGCCATAGCTCTCTCTCTCTAATTGTAACCTAGCCCAACTCAACTCAACACAGTATTACTAGAAACGCGCTTCAACTGCAAGCAATAGCAAGCACACGCGAATCTAACAACCGCTCCTTCTCGGTCCGCAGGCTCGTTCTCTCACGCTCTCACGCCCTCTCCCTATGTCAGACTCAAGTATCTCTCGTCTGCCCCGACAGCTGCCTCCTGGCTTCTCGTCGAGTCGTACCGGCAGACCCTATGGATCGAAAGATCGATCGGTGGAAGAGGCCGGGGAGATAGTTGTGGTGCCCCAAGCGTTGCAAGGTTGTAGATTGATGGATAGGTATGTTGGTGTGTCGATTCTTGATCACATGACGTACATGATCAAGCGTCTTCGGCTGTGGTGGTCAGGGGTCACGGGCACCACGGGTCAGTTGCGGCCCCGCTTGGAATTGACATTGTCACCATCTGGGCGAGGCCAATGTAACTAGATACACAAGTTGGGTGGGTGCTGTTTCTCCGCATGACAGGCGGAGTTGGCTTATGCGAGTGCGAGCTTCGAAGTCCATCAGCTAACTACCTACCTATGTAGCTTGAAGCTGCGTGGATCGAAGGGAGTTTTGCTTTTCGTTTCCACAAGGGGCAAAATGCCATCTTTGGAGCGGAATTCAATACTCGGTATTTCATTCCATTGTCTAACAGTACAAATAGTCTCGGGATCTGAGCCTTCATCTGGAAAGTAGGTCTAATGGTCATATCTACCATGCTATGCCGTGCTGTGCCATGCGCTATTATCTGAGAAGACTCAATCAGTGCAAGTTATTTAGACCATGTCTAGCTTGACGGCAGTTGCACATAATTCGGAATCATTGACTCCCCTTTCCTGGAATGTATTAGCATTACTGTTTCGTGGACGCCCTGATGATGCTGATGCCGTGCCAGGCTCCTGCGTTGTTGGGAAGGACACGCGCCTCGGAAATGCGTGGGATGCAAGTAACAATACAAGTTGTGATGCTGATTGATCAGTCGTTTCTTGATGTTTCGTGAATTCATCGTGTGAACCTTTATCGTCTAGTCATGAGGAGAATGCGAAGTAAGAAAGAACCGTTGTATCTTTGTCGTCGACCTTTCAGACGCCTAGGACTTCTCGAATCTTCTCAAAGTCCGGTGTGCCAAACCCAGAGGCGGCATCCCAACCAGGAGCTGCGGCAAACCCGGGACCAGCGCAGCCAATGGCACTACCGTTGACCACATCGGTAAATGCTGTGTGCCCCTTGGAGTAAAGCCATGGGTTCAACCAACCCAGCACCGGTTTGCCCTTGGCGATCAAGGCATCGTTGGCGAGGGAGAAGATGCTGGCGACCGTGGGTGCTGATGCACTCGTGCCGTCTAGACTTACAGCGCTCCCATTGACGAATACAAGGTACCGGTAACCCTGCGCTGCGATGTCTGGATATGCGCGCCCCGATTGGTTGTAGAGGCCCTCGAATTGGTTGCCCATGCCGTCGATGTAGCTTTTGACAACACTGTCCTGCCAGTCGGGACGAGGAAAGTAGTTGCTGAAGCCGGCACCGGATGAGAAACCATTCCTAGAGTCAAATGCGACAACCTCGGGATGATCCTTGGTGGCACCAATTGAGGTCACGAAGGGACATGAAGCTGGAAAGACTGGAATAAAGCTGGTGCGGTTCTGCCCGTCATTGGTGATACACGAGTCGTTTTCACCCACACCATAGTCGCCGGACGAGAAGATCAAGCTAATCCCCTGAGCAGTCAGGGCAGCGAATTGGTTGCACACCGTCTCAGCATAACTCCTCGGGACGGTTTGTTCGTCATCGCCATAGGAGGTGGAGATCACGCTAGGCCAGGATGCTGGATCTTGGCTCAAAATGAAGAGGACCCAAGTCAAATAGGGTTCGTTGGTGTTTGTGGGCGTTAATAGATCGGGGTCGAATGGTGGTTCGCCACCTGTTGAGTAGGAGATGATGGAGGTTGGGTAAACATGACCGAGAATGGTTTGGACGTCGAGACTAGCTTCGACACCTGCTCCAGTTGTTCCGTCGTCCCACACACCACCGTCAATGCCGATTTGTGTAACTTGGCGTGCAGCGGAGAATGCTTCGGGACGGAAGTTTCCAAGGAAGATCTCGGTGTCACTTGAATTGAACGCTTCCCCTAGATAGTTGGTAAAGCCAATTTTGTTTTTCTCCAAGGATTGAGGAGTGTAGGTGTAGGTGTTGTAAAGAAGGCGAAGGCATCGAGGAGTCATGCTGTTCCAGTTGCAATTCTGGGTCAAGGTGGTGGAGTTAGTGGCTGCCTCTGCTGCCTCTGAAGCCACAAGCTTCGCGATGTCGACATCCGTGGGAACGCTCAAGACGGTCTTTCCCTTTGGGTTTGCTCGAAGGAACGCGGTGGTTGGCTGGATCGTGGTGACGTGGTCAAGCAGAAAGCGCGGCAGAGACCAGTTCGGAGTTCGCACGAGTTTGGTTCCGTCAGCATGCTGGTAGACATGGTACTTGGTGTCCAAGAGGGTTTCAACTTCAGAGACGGGTAGAGTGACGGAGACCCAATCCCCGGAGGAGCTGTAGTCGCATTTGGAGATGTCGATGGAGTTTTCTTCAAGCCAAAGCTGCACCAATCGGGAGGTCTCCTCCGTTGGTTGCATGAGGCTCTTCACATCTTGTTGAGACAAATGCTGGCCATATCGGTAGTGATCGGGATTTGAGACTACTAGGGTTAGCTGGGAAGCAGCAATGAAACTGTGCAGGCTGACCTTCATGTAGATGCTGCTTCAAGAGCTCAACATTATTTGGTCTGAGGCCAATATTGAGCTTCAAAGGCTGTAGAGGATGAGGTTCCCCCACGAGTGACCATTTTGGAGGGACAGTGTGAGTTTCTTTGACGGCGTATTCCAGTCCAGAAAGCAGAGGGGAGCTCAAGGCGAGGCGAGCGACGACCAATCCAGCCAGCAAGATAGGAGGGAAGGCGACCATAACGAATGTAGAGCACGCCCGAGAACGACTGAAGCATACGACGGAGAGAAAGAAGACGCAAAAGCGAGACGCGATCGACGGTGTTTCTTTTGAAGGAAGGTTGAGGTTGAGGATGGATTCCTAATGCAAGGCACACATTGGGGGTCGTTGGTACTTGGCACGGCGGAACGGCGGAACGGCCTAACTTTAGGTAGGACCAGGCAGGAACAGGCAGGACCACGTCGGAACAGTACCCACCGCACACTTCACCTTGTACGTACCTGACGGGAAACAGTGATTTTGGCGGGGCTTCATGACATCGTGCTGTGGATGAGATCGACAAGAGTTCGCAGGCTAGTAGTGCCTTGGACCACAACTCCAGTACGAGGTGCGATGTGGTGGATTCTACGTGGAGATTCATCGGCTACCTGGAAGGGCAGCCGTCTCGCACAAAAAGGTCTGAATGAAACGAATCTGTAGCGGAATACATCTTGGAAGCGGATAGGCACGACTGTCATCTCCGAAAGGCCTGGTCGGTACTCAGGTAATTGGCTCTGCTATTATCCGACGTGCAGCCTGTATGCTGTGCATAGAGTGCTGATTGCTTCAGGGTATATTTGATTGCCGATCCAACCTATCCTGTTTCATTTCCAGGAACGAGATGTACCAGTCGAGCGACTCAGAAGACGGGTGAAGCAAGGACCGTGCACATTCTGGTGCGTCATTGATGGGGTTGTCTGGGCGGGGCGTCCTTCCACCAAGCATGCCTAGGGGTGCTAGGGGCCGAGGGGGCTTAAGCTCTAGGCGTCTCTAGGCGTCTCTAGGCTCAGCAGGCTTAATCTTAGGCCTGTAGACTTCCTCCTTCTGTCCAGGCACTCCATCCGTCTCTTGTATGCTTTAACTACGGGCCGCCAGGCACATCACTAGGCTGGGGCTGTGGGGCTTGGTTGCTTCTTGGCTACCACCTCTGGCCTACGAGTACCCGTACTCCGTACTTCCCCAGATGCAAATATACGCGTATCCGCGGCTAGCCTTTGAATTTCATGGAAGTAGCATTCGCCCCCGACGCCCTCTTGTAGACCTCGTTGAAGTTAGAACTGCCACTGTCGTCGTGAGAGTTCCTTTGAAGAGACCCGACTGATCACCTCCCGCACAATACGCCCATCCACAGTCTGAGAGTTCTGGTGCTAGTCAGAAATGGCGCGGCATAAACAGTTTGCGGATACTATTGATCTATGCAATGGTTCTAGGGCCCAGCAGCCCAAGAATGGACCGAGCCAGAGAGGCCCAAGGTATGAAAGGCCTGAGCACCAGACCCACAGTTCGCGTTGTCGCCGCTCAACAGCCCTTGTCGAACATGTTGCGAGTATGAAAGTCAGAAACCGCCCTTGTTTAGCACATTATCTTAAAGATGCTGCTTGAGAGGCCGAGGGCAGATTCGAGGCGCAGATTCATCTCGTAAAGTCGGAGAGAGGGGTTCTGTGCATGCATCTAGGTCGTCCGGCCTTGCCGCTGAGCCGCCCGATATCATTCAAACAGCCACCTTGCGACCAAGAATCCGCAAATCTATTAACACAGTTCTAAGAGATAGTGAAAATATTTCAGGTCAATGTCAACCTTCTGCAATCTGCAATCTCGGAGAATGCCTGCCACATATTTTCTGTGGGTCTCCTGCTCGTCCAAGCCTCCCTCATAAGACATCTTCTTCGCCTTCTCCAGGTGCTTGTTTGCCAACATCCGCTTCGCGCTCCGTGTGAAGACAAGATTTAACTGTTCGCCACCATCGTCAGCGGCAGGAGTTTCTGCCTCAGTCCAATAGTCCGCTTGCATCGCTAGTCTCCAGTCTTCCCACCAAGCCCGCTCGTGGACATGTATGCACTGTAGATGTGGCCATGGCTCCTTTCGCTCTGCGGCGACGGTCATGATTAATAAGCGAACAGCCTCGTTATCGATTTGCGAGGCTGATTCGTAGAAGATGCATCGACCGGTCAAGACCTGTAGCAGCGGATCGGCGCCGGAACAAAGTAATCTTTGTATCATCCTCACCATAAATGGTTTCATTGTTGTGCCCAAAACCCTCTTCATGACTAACACGCGGAGTGGGGTCTCCCCTTGCGATTTTAGAGTTTTACCTTCGCCAGACCGCCCAAATCCGCCGAGCTGATTTTCCCCGAGTCGTATAAATATAGGGACCCCGTTGGAAAACGAGGTGAGCGGATCAGGCCCCTTGGCTAAGAATCTTTTAAGGACATCATTCATGTGAATGTTTAGTTCAACCGGCAAGGATACTGTCCTGGCCAAGAAAACCTGCATGGGCAATCTTCCATCCGGCAGAGCGTGATTGATGTCGGCACCGAGATCAAGGACTCGCGCAAGGTATTTCAATGTGGGAGCGTCGTATTCCTGGTCCACAGCTTTGTGGAATGGGGTGGACCCAGCCTTGTTTGCGAGATTCATGTCCGACGTATAAGCCAAAAGCGCATCTACGACCGAATCGCTTCTTGAATTGATGGGTGAGTTTAGTTAGGGCAAGATGAAGTGCTGTGTCTCCTCTATCGTCTTGGTTCAATATAATAGCGCCCGCTTGGTGGAGTAGGCCGATCATTTGTTTATTTGAGATAGCGAGATGGACCAGAGAGCGACCCAGACGGCACTCTGCATTTACATCGGCACCAAATTGGAGCAATAGTTTGAAGATTTCCAAGTCATCTGCAATTGCAGCGTAGTGGAGAGCTTGGTGGCCACTGTGATCCCGGATATCAACCGATGCCCCAGCAAACAGGATGGTTCTAACCTGGTCCAGGGATTTGTCAATGGTAGCACGATGGAGCTGGGTTTTACCATTGCTGTCTTGTTCATCTAGGCCAAACCCATAATGGAGCGGGACGTGTGTGGATCCTAGCGGCATACTGGCATTTATGCCGAGATAAGCGCCCTCGGAAGAATGAAATGCAGTTGCCAACCCTGCATTGTAATACAGCCCGTCCGTGGGGTCATGGCCAAGGATAGAGAAGGATGGCAGATGTGGTTGAAAGCTTCCTGAATCAACAAAGACTGCCTGGTAGTAATGGTGTATATACTCACGTGGCCGATCTGCTGACGCCATCAGAAGAAGACGTTGGAGGAATCTGGTTGGTGCTTCGAACACTTGCGCGCCTTTTTGATCTGACTTTCTGAGCCGTGGAGATCGGTTTGGGGTGAGAGTCGGTACTATATTTCAGATATCCCCATTTTTGGAGCTGAGTTCGATATGATCGCTCGCTGTGTGACATTAGCAGACTACCAGGAAGCAGGCGGACAGCCTTACGAGGCGTGGAATCCGTGACGTCCTTTAATAATACGCATCACCTCTTTCAAGGGCTGTCCCTCGACGTGGTACAGCATCTTAATGTCCTCTTGGAGAGAAGACCAATCTTTGACCATCGTGGGATTGGCCTGCTGCAAATCCAAGATACTTCACAAACACGATCCACGTAGTCAGCCTTCCGTATAAGGTGTAATCAGTCGGGGTTTGGTAGTTAGCGAGGAGTTGGTGATTCGACAGACCGCGAGGACTTGCGTTCTCGATGCGATCTCCAGGAAGGCATTTGGGCATTGGATCAGACGCGAGATGGGAGGGTCACATATATATATATATATATTATATATGCCCCGAACCGAGTTTCGTCAATTACCATTTTCGTTCAGGGAAGGGAGCGAGGCCGCTTTACTTGGGCACGTGACGGAGCATCGAGGAGGCCCGGCAGAGCAAGGGAGAGCGTCGCGGGGGCTACGGCAGAGTACGGGGGAGCGCGCCCGAGCACTAGGCGAGCCACAGGGAGCGCTGCATAGAGCCCATTTGCAGAAGCCAGTTCGGGCTCAGGGGTCCCCTTTGGGCCTCGACTATAGTTACCTTGCGTTGGTACGAGTCCTCCGTAGTCCAAGTCGTCCCACTCGATATGCTTGGACAAGACTTGTTCAAAGATAAAGTGACCTCTGCGATTCTTTGACGCTCATCACGCGGTAAATGTTGGTGCCTTTGCCATCCGACCGTCTCGCTTCAATCGTGTATTCTTCGATCTTGACCAGCGGGGTACGAGCTGGTTTGAACGATCCTTGAAATATCGGATTCCCTCTCTTTTCCGACGTGGTGATGCCCAGGAACAGACAAGAGCAAAATCTTGACAATTGTTGCTCATGGCGTTGGTCGCTTCTTGCTCCGTGTCCCTCGGAATATTAATTATCCGAGCCGCCGTGGGTTGGGCCCAGCCAAATCAAGGCTTGTGTAACAAACTGGCCTTCATGCAACCCGTCAGGCAATGGCGCTCGCTAGACGCAAATCGACTTAGCTATCCTGAAACAGACGGTATTTTATCCCAGTATGGCACTATCGCCCAGACGCGAACACACCGACGAAAGCAGTTTGCCGCGGCAATGCAAACCTGCGTTGAGCTGGGCATACCCTGAAGGTCCGTCCTAATCTCCAGGGCAGGGCCCAAAGCTTAGCCTGCGGAGGCGCGGGCTTTTTACCTTTAAGCTTTCGTACTCTGTAGGCTTGAAGGTGGCCAGCTCGGCAATTTTTACTATGGCTCCAAAGGCCAAGTTTCTCTGTGGAAGCGGCGGCTGGCTGAATGTGCAGGAGCCAAATCAGCCGATCTTACAGTGATAGTAACAAGCTGCGTCTCTAACAGTTTCACGTTCGACCTTGTTACACCTTCTGCAGCAACAAGCGGCTGAGGTAATCAGCGCGCATATGTTGAAACAAGTTTTTTGATCCTTCCCAGCGGCTGCCGTTGTATCGTATCTCGTGTTCGGGCACTAACTAAGCCACAGCGCTGCCTAAAGGTGGGCCGAGGGGCTTCACCAGCCCTTCCGCCCCCACTGCAACCTGACCTCTGGGGTCAATCAGAACCTGGCGGATTCCTCTCAGTATGGCCCGAGCGGACGAGAAACGTCCAAACCAGGGATGGACTAGCGGCGGCAATGCGTATAAGGAGGCTATTCTGGCAACCTGGAAATCTTCACCTGCCATGCGGCAGAAATTGAAAATCATGTCATATCTTGCCCCGCAGAGTGTGATGCAAGGTCCGAGCACTTGAACTACGAAATGGTATGAAGCTGGTATCACTCTCGCGCAAGATTCAGACGCTAATTACGGCCCATCAAGTCACTGCGAGAACTCGCCCCGGGAACAGGCCTCCGCGGTGATGAGTTCCCAGCGATTGAGTCCGGATCCCCTCGAAGACCCTAGATTCAATTGAATAATCACTGAACACTATTTCAGTATTGTTGCGGTCCACGGACTGAACCCCTCCAACAACGAAAACCACGCTTTCGATACCTGGTGCAAACCAGCGACTGCCACCGAAAACCTCTGGCTGAGAGATGTCTTCCCCAAAGTCCAGCCCAATGCCCGAGTATTTCTCTACGAATACAATTCTAGTCCTGCATTTGGCGCAGGTAAGGATAGTTTTGTTCGGGAAGCCAATCAACTCCTAGACGAAATCTATGGTGCTCGTTGGAATAGCGTAAGATAATGGGTATTTAATACACTCAAGGAAGCTAAACCTCGCAGAGAAGAAATCTCCCTATCATATTCATCGGTCACAGTCTAGGGGGGATTCTGATAAAGCAGGTTCGTCGTAAGCTTTATCTATAGGCTGGGGCTGATGCACGGTACAGGCTCTTGTGAATGCTTGGGCAAATGCCAGATATAGAACTATCAAGACCTCAACGTAAGTCTCCACGTGAATAGGTAATTGAAATTTATTACTTTCTTAGAGCTGACTTGCTGAAGATATGCACTGGTTTTCTTCGGAACGCCCCACTCAGGACCGTCGGGTGATCTCAAGATTGGTCTCGGGAAAGCCTGCGCGAGAGTTGTCCAATCTCTGCCTTGGACTCAGTCAACCAAAATATTGGAAGTCCTTGAGCCCGGGACATTATTTGGGGATTTCCTCGGTGACCAGTTCAGACAACAGCTTGAGCAGTACAAAATTCTTTCTTGCTATGAAGGAATCGGAAATGTAGGTCAAAGCAAAACGTCGTTGGCGTTGCCCCAACTAATCCTCCTTATACAGATTGTCCCATACGAATCGGCCGTCTTAAATTTACCGGGAGAGAGGGAGATACAGCTCAGGATCAACGCCGACCACAGCAACATGTGTCGGTTCGACATGACTTTACAAGCGGACAGGGATAACTATCGGAAGGTAGAGAGGAACCTACAAATGCTCTGTGCTGATGCCCTTGTTGGCTCTGTTGAATCTTCAGAAGGAGGTAAGCAGAGAGCCTAATACTATCGACTCTGAAAACTATTATGAGGGTCAACAAAATTTCCTGCACGTCCATATTGATTTGCTCGGTGACACTTCAATGACCCTCATTGGCGCCTAGAGAATTCTAGCACCTCCTTTATCAATTGATCCACCATCATGCTTCCCTTTTTTTTTATGCTGTTGTAATTCTGACAAGGGTGCCTAGGAGATCAAGATTCAACGAATGTAAGACAAGGAGGCATTGATCTATTTTCTGCTCTCTTAGGGAAACTCGATTTCTCTGGGGGTAAGGTCAACATACCTGTCACCTTAAGTATGGACAGACTTCATGAACCCGAACCAAAAGCTGATGAAATGAATCAGATGTGGTCGAAGCTCCTGACTTTGCTTGGAGAGTATATCGAATGTGCGAAAACTCATCTGCTTCTCAGGATTTCCGCAAAATCTCCAGCCATGTCTCTAACTTATACCTTGCACTTCGGACTATGGTTGACAAACTCGAGAGCGACACCTTTTCTGTTGACTGTAAGAAACAGATACAGGATCACATGAAATCCAATTTTGAGGCGCTCTACAAATTACAATCTATGCTTGAAGCGTATGGAGCTCTTCCTCACAGAAGCCGGGAAACATGGAATCGTCTGAGATACGAAGCTCATGAGATTTCGCAGGTAAGCATCGATCTTCAGTCCAACATTGATGCAGCCAAGGAAATCAACCATCAGCTCGAAGAGTAGGTTGGGCCCACAACGCAAATGTGGCTTTATGGCAGGCTAACCCGGCCTCAGGCACTCTATGAACAGCTTGATTGAACGGCTGGATGAGTTGATTGAGGATACACAGACCGGAGCGCGGAGTTCTTCAGCATTGTCCGGCCATGTTTCTAATATATCAACAGCCAGCTCAGCCAGTAGAGAGGACATCTGGCAAGCCCTTCGTCGAGATCTCGAAGGACTCGGCGTCTCTTCCATCGTGCTGTCAGAGCAGCGTGACTACATTGTCAAATGGCTTATGAATGCTGTTGCAGCAGGAAGGGTAGAGCTAGACTCACCCGCCTCTGAATTGGCACCAATCGTTGACATGTCGTCACTCATGGTCGATGAACCCACGTCTACGGTTGAAGAAGGCGATTTCAGCTGGTGGCCACGAAGAAAAGTCGTTCGGGAGAGGCCAGTCTCGCAACATCTTTATGTTCCCACGAACGGGCCAAAGCACAAAAGCCCTTCCTGGATCAAACAGATACAGCACAGCAGGATGAGCAAGGAAAAATCCTTACATGCAGCTATCAAGAGCAGAGATGTGTCGAAGATTGAAGAGTTTCTCGCTTTCCCACTCAGTGTCGCCTCCGCTTGTAAGCTGAATGAGAGCGCCGTCTCGCTGGCAGTTTCGAACGGAGATGAAGAAATTTTGCAGCTGCTGATGGAACGAGGACGTTGGCATCCACGAAACTCTGACGAAAAATATTGGCTGGAAAGACATTTGGAGGGCCTGGTTCGCACCACAGCCTCCAATGGTCCAGTCAGTTTACTCGGCGTTCTTCTGGAAAATGGCCTCCCAGCGCTTGTTGCGGATTTCAGAGCAGCCTGCAGCTCTCGAAATACAGCCACAGCAGAATTGATACTGCAAAAAGGAGGACTGGAAAACGACGAGATATCCCCTTTCCTATGCGAGGCCGCTTACAACGAGTATCCGGAAATGTTCCAATTGCTACTTCGCTATGGCGCAAATATTCATACCAAAAACGATTTCGACTTATTTGACTACTTCAAGAACCAGCCACAGCAGGATTCCCCCTTGGAAGGCTCTTTCCTGAGAATAATTATGACGCCCTTACATTTCGCAAGCGCAGTTCGCAACACACACATAATACAGCTCGCGCTGTCGCACGGCGCCCATATAGACGAGAAGGACAACTTTGGCGAAACCCCATTACACAAAGCGACAGGCGGTATTGAAAGCTTAGGTACGATTTTCCACGATTGTAGAAGGCGCGTTGTGAGGACGGAATCTATGCGAGAACCTGGTGCAGCGATCGAACTCCTTCTCGGCAAAGGCGCCGATGTCGACGCGAAAACCATGGGCGGGCAAACGGCTCTTCACCTTGCAGCAAAGTACAACGCGTTATCTGCGATCGGAGCACTCTTGGCTGGCAACGCACGCATTTCGGCCGTCGACCATCGAGGGAATTCGCCCCTCCATCACGCCGCCTCATTAGAAAGTCTCTACAAGAAGAAAGTGCCTCTCACCCAGATTGCTTTCGCCGCATCTGAACTCAAACTCGGCTACGTAGAAGAATCTCGCGTTTACTTTGGAGGAGAGGGAGTCATGAGCCATTTACTGGCCAAAGGAGCTCCAGTCGACCAGAAGAACTCTTGCTCTCGCACGCCGTTGCACCTGGCCGCACGGCAGGGAAACGACGCGCGATCGGCCATATTGCTAAACCACGGCGCAGACGTGAATGCCACCGATAATGGCGGCTGGACGCCGCTGCATGGTGCCATTGAAGCCGGCGCGATTGCGACGGTCCGGCTTTTGCTGTCAAATGGCGCAGCTACAAACACACGAGCCATCATTAAGGTGGGAGATGGGGATGGTTCGCAGACTCGGGTTATGGATGCGCTTCAGCACGCACGGCACCTGAAAGCAGAGGCAATCGTGCAGATACTTATTGACGCAAACCTCCAATGAAGTTGCCCAGGAGCGGGATAAGTAAATGCTCAGGTTGACACTTGGCCCTTTGACGGGCTCTGTACATAGCAATACAACCCTTCGCAAATTGACGTGCAATTACTCCCATCCCTATCCGTAAAATATCTGGGTCAGGAGGCTTTAAGTCTCTCGGAATCGTCGGTCGTGAGTCTACTCTACTCGTACGTGAGGACGTGGTGTGCCTAATTCTATTCTATACCATGCCACCAACGTCTCTATCGAGAGCCTGGGCCAAGTTCTGCCGTCTTTCTACTGAATCTGGCGACGGGTGACCCCTGCACCTTCGAGTTTCCAGCTTGGACCAAACGCCTTCAACGGCTGAGCCGCCGACCAGAAAAGCGAGACTAACATCCCAACAACTGTGGCAGGGACCATTGCATCCTGTAAATCCCACTGACCCGTCCGAGCGTGCTCGAAGGTCAGCCACCAGCCCTAAAAGCCAAAAGGCCCCGCAAACATGAGAATGTGGTACATGATCAAAATGATGATGTATGGTTCTTCCACCACTTTGACACCCCAGGTGTAGTCGATATCGGGCGTTTTCAGAAGCCATTCGGTATGCTTTTGTGGAATCTTGGGGAGGAAGATATTGGAGCCCGTCGGAAGAGGCGGCACGCAGTCGTGAAACCATGACAATGGACAAAATGGTAATGTAAGGCCGAGGAAGACTCTTTTACGTGGGCGAGTAGGAGAGAGTGGATAGGGGGCGCGAAAGAGAAGAAGGGAGCAGAAGAGAGCGGACGGGGGAGTAAGTCGACTAAATAGTCGTTAGCGGAAGAGCAAAGCGGCGAGAGATGAGTCAGCGAAATGAGCCTGGGCGTCGACGGTTCGGAGATTATATATATATATATATATATACACATACACAGTGTTGATTTTGCCAGTCCGGAGGAGTTGCGTAGTCAAGGTCACTGACCAGGGCTTTAGGTTGGGCCTAACCTATCGCGTCGGTGGTACAGTGCAAAATGCCAGAAATCGGGGGGGTTGAGGAGTCCCTGATCATACACACTCGGTTGTTTGCAAGTGCCACGCTGGTCACCTCCGCTCACCCCAAATTGTGCCCAGCACTGCATTTTGCAGACTGCAGCCTCAACTTGCGCAAAATGCATTTCTTTTTACTTCCTTTGGTCGGCTCGTTCTGGGCACCGATTCCTTGTCCTCCCACATTAGCCACAAAATCGATGTTGTTATACTTGAGCAATCGGCATATTGCACTTCGCTGCAGCGGTGGCTGCAGCGTTGCATGCAAAGTGCACATCTATCTGCCACTCAAGACCCATTCGTTCCATGACTTAGTACTTCTGGCATCTGCTTTAATTGCATTTTTCACTCACGGAGTCTCATCACCTGAATTCTCCTGGAAACAGAAGTCGTCTTGCCGTGCTATTTCAAAAGCGATTGTCTCGCTTTCCCCCTAATCCATCGTGCCATCTTCCCAATCCTGGCCACGATTGTCAGCAATTGCACTTTCATACCCTAGAATGAGTGGGCTGTTCTCGTAGACGACCAATCTCATCCACGCTTGCCATTTCATTTCCGAAGGAGACGACAGTATGCCTCGCGCGCCAGGGCTCAAGAGTTCCTGGTCACCAGCCTCTCCACATCAGCATACACGTATATAATCTTTCCATCCCCTTTGCCTTGAGCCCTTCTCGTCCTCAGGTGTACATTCCAGTTTGATTCTCTTGTGAAAACCTATCTTACTTCCCAAATTCAGCTCTTCCTCTCATCGAACACATGATGCGTACCACTGACATCGCAGAGCTGAACTCTGACCCAAGGCATGAACAAGCTGTTTTCGCTGGCAGCGGCCGCGAATCTAGGTAAGCCTATATCGACTCAGCCTTGCCCACATAAAAGTGTAATGCTGCCCATGGATCATGCGTAGAAAGAATCTTCTTGTTGTTATTGTATTATTTGGGTGTCACCGTCGCTGAAAATAGGCCTCTGGGCATGTAGCTGATGTTAGAATAGTCTTGACATGAGCATATCCCAGACGAATCCAGACCTCGAGCCAGCTGCAGAGATCGATCAGGACCTCCATGCTCAAGAGATAGACAGACGCAATAGACCAAAGCTTCCACTTGGCCCGCTCCACATGCCGCAGCACAAGCTCCGTGAGCCTGACCACAAAGCTATTCTGACTCGAAAGGCTCTTGAAACCGTTGGAATCGAATCGCCAAATCCAGCCACCCAGAACGCAGCGATGAGCTTCAGTGAGCTTCAGCCAACCGAAAGGTTTCTGAAGGAGACTTGTGAGGTGCAGCACAAGTTACCACACATACACCCGTACTTCAAGTTGTCTAGTATTGGCGCGTTTCAAGGTTCTGTGAAAGAGAGTGAAGAGATTGGTGGTGGGAACCTCGATGTAGATAGGCATCATGATGAGCCTACCTTGTCACAGAGTGAAGCCATCTCCCAGCAGTCAGCCGTGTTGGACATGGTAGGGACGTGGTGCGATGACTATATCGATGCTCCTGCTGAGATAGATGACCCAAACCTTGAACGTTTGTGAAATGGAACTCATCGAGTACTAGCGCTAGAAGTCGGTTGGCCAGAATACCCAAACGGTATGTTAGATAGCTGGGTCCACACGAATGAGATTGACGATCTGTGTCTTTCTGTATTTCAATCTAGAGTGTTGACCTTGTTGTTGCTCGGTTGGAGCTTGACCGAGCTGAGCGCTGATGAAGCCTTATGGGTATTACGCAGCACCAAATTCAGTCAGCCATGTCAATGCCTGCCAACTTGCCATATGTCTCCCGGCCCTCGTGTTCCTCATACAATGCACCATATGAAGGTCAGATGAATGTGTATTCCGCCAGAAGCTGCAACATTGCAGTTTCCTGTGAACCAACTTGCTGCTGGACGACGATTATCCAAGCTACTCGGCATGGTATTGTTGAGTCATGGCGGTAAGAGCTTTGTCTGGCTTAATTGCTTCTGTGGCGGCTCATTCTGTTCTTCGACAATATCAATCTATCAAGTAGCCTGACTTCACTTATTTCCATTTGATGGGTCTGGATGATGGACCCCGGTGAGTCTCACGAGACGAGAAGCAGTCTGGGGAAGGCCAACGTGGTGCGAGCAGCACGCAGATGGTTAGTAGATAGCAGCATGAGGGGAACTCCCCAAAAGACGCGGCCCGAGGGCCGAGCCGCTGATACTATGGGCCGGCGGGTTCCATGAATCCAAAATACTTGCTCAGCGCAAAAGCCCGCCAGTCATCCACATACTAGCGAACTAGTTAGAAGGTGTCGTATGCTGGCCCAAGTAGTTCCTGTGTGTTTAGCATGGTAGCCTTCCCATTTGCCTCTCTTCCCAAATAACAAGCAGTATGCCGTTTCGCGGCATTGCCCATGTTTGAGATGTATCTTATATGATTGTTTGGAGGGACGCATCGAAGATAGGCAAAAAATGTGCACTTGTGATAGAGTTTAAGGTAACTTTATAGTAGACATCAATTTACAACAAAAATGGTCCGTACGCGATGGATTTAGTTGAACTTTCGCGATCTGAGTGGCCTCGTCATAGAAACTATGAGCCTGAAGCACATCAAAAGAGGAGAATTAGAAACCCATCGTCATCAGTATCTGCGAGATGCCGAGGCTGGCAGTGCATTCAGCAGTCTTGGGTGTCGTCAAACTGCCCGCCGACAACCTGGAACTTGCAAGAATAATACAATTAACAGCCCTAATTCATGCCGTAATGTATATGATCCATCCCTCTCATCTCTTACAGGTAGAAGAAGAAGAGCAATATGGAGATCCGCAATCGACCGTATGAGTGAAGGAGTGACTGCGGCCGAAAAAGTCGGTGGTCGTGATGGTTTCACTATAGCAACTAGAATCAAACGTTGAGCCAGACGTGCTTCACGAGACAAACATATCAGTCCAAGGGGCTCAGTGGAACACATACGAATTGACCAGAATAAGAGAGCTTATTCCCTCCATTGCGGCTGCCAGGCCCTCAAGAATATCAAATAGCGCTTGCGGTTTCGGTAGCACGTCGATATGGATTCCAGTGCACAATTTCTGCTGCCCTGTAGGGTTTGGAAGGGTGACTTTAGCCAAAACCTTAAGAAAGTTCGTGTTGGGTGCCTGGGTCAGTGTACCCTCTTCAACTTATGAGGGAATCAGGCTGGGATTTTATACCAATGCCCAGTTGCCGACCTCTTGATTTGAACTAGCCCCGTCCTGTTTGACGCATGCTCGAGCTCCCGGACAAGGAGAAAAGTGAGGCGCAAGCAAGCGGGGGCCTAGAGCCTTACCATGGGTCAAATTCCAGATACAAGTCTTCTCCCCTCCACTGCACTGTACTTACAGAGGACACAGCGGTTTTGAAGTGAAGCGAACAAGCCTAGTATTAAGACCCCCCTTGTCTCTTCAGGATGATGAGCGACTCGCACTTCACTCGGCCGTGGCGATGTTGGACCCACTTCCCAAAGGACAGGCGCGAGTAGAACAGTCCTCTGCTGGTGAGGTGTCAACCGAGGGTCCCAAGGACATTGCTCCAGCAGCGAGTAAATCCTGTTGCACGTGCGTCTCAGGCTATGCAAACTGCGTTTGTGAAGCAAGGTGGCGAATAACTGATAACTTGGGGACGACCATTAGCAATTCGAACCCACTTCCTTCCAGCACATCAATACTAGCCAACACGGCCTTTTCCCGTAGCTTTAGCCCCACCGCTTTGAGCCTAGCCATGAGTGTACGCTTTGAAAAAGTGGCATTTTAGAGAATCTTGGGTATCTGTGTGGCTAGATAGCGACGTTATCTCGACCTGCAGTCAGGCTGCGCGGTCGCTTCACATCAGCATCGAAAGACCAGATAAGTAAGTGCCTTGGCTGACAGAAGAAAATCTTTCCTCGCTGCGCTTGATTCAATCGAGGCCTGAGGGCTATGCTGCAGACATGTCGACGACCACCTGTTATCTTTACAACCCCTCTTGCCTGTGCTGCTCCGTCCTGAAATGCTCCACTTTGGCTTGTTCTAACCTTTTTGACCTTCTAAAACCTAACGAAGCTGCGGCGCTCCTAGGAATTGTGGATCCATCAGTCGGACTTCAGCATTGCCCTCGATGTGCGCAGAGAAGACTATGATAAGGCTGACAGGGCCAAAGGGTCGAGAGGCCTTCGAGATCGCCTTATTCTGTACTTTGACGAAAGAGTCAGATGCTGTCGAGGTTTTGTTGACAGATGCACCATGGTGGTGAGTTTGGAGAAGTCCTCGTTGACAACACAACGGGTTGGACTCGTCGCCACAGCATCATTCCAGCCTGTATGCCTGGTATGGGTAAGTCAAACGCTGCCAGTGTATCCAGCAGTTGTTCTGCCTAGTCCTCATGTATCAAACTATGCTTGGTGGTTGTTAGGATTTTGGAGGGATCCCTGACTGAACAGGAAAATCCGTGCACGCACCATTGGTTGCCAGAGGCAAGGCTGTAATAGACATTCCTCGATTCCTAGGAAACACTTTGTGGAATCCCCCCCTAATATAGACATGAGAGGTCAGTCTACCGGCCTCTTTGTTCTACTCCATCTTGATCCTTGCACAAAAATATCTCAAACTTCTCACGTTGGTTAATGCTGCGTTAATAGGATAGCAAAGGTCTTGTTAGGATATGGCTTTGCCGCCACTCCTGTCTGTTTGCCATGACTCGTTGCATCTGCCATTACGTGAGGGAGGCTATGGTCTTGCCTTCTGTGAGTCTTAACGTCTCCCAAGTGACGTACCTGAAGGATGGCAGTGACAGATTGGTTGCTTCGCCGTCTATATGGCGCTGAACTGCCTCCTTACATCCTCATATAGGCCGAGATCTTCTGTCGCGCGTAATCATGAACCCTGTCCATGGTCAACGCTGGAAGAGAGTATCTCACGATGGATGGCCCATCGAACCCCCAACCCCCACTCTCAATTGAAGACTTCGTCTCGTTCATACAGAGCGCCAAAGAGAGACAATCCAGTTCACAGCCTCGGAGGTACCCTCTAGAACGGGCTGCCCTGCCTGTCTTCATGCATCAAGCCCTAAACCTTTATGTCTAGGAGCATCGTGCACAAGCAGAGCGGTATGACAAAGATCAGATGGTTCGGCAACAACGTTGGTTCCAAGTGGAAGTGGCCCTCCGGAAGAAGCTCCCAGATATGTTCATAGTGCTTGAAAGGCTTCAGGAACATGTTGACTTTTGGACATTGTGTGACGAAGAGAAGATTGCTGAACAGTTCAGGGGCCTGCGCACAGAACGGGAGCGCTTCAACGCTATTGTGGGATCTAATATTGTCCTCCCGGAGGATCCAATTATTCTAAATAGTTCTGCATAGTCCTCTACCTTCATTGACCGCCACTGACAAGCCATAGATGAAGGAAATGACGCTCATATCACTGTAGAAGGGCTTAATTTGGAGGATGTCCAAAGCGACAGCGATGGAAGCGTTGTGTTTGAACTTGAGCGCCCACCCAAAAAGAGAAACAAGAAGAAGAAGAAGAAGAAGAAGAAGAAGAAGAAGAAGAAGAAGAAAGCAAAGTCAAATATAGGAGGAGCTAAAACTGAACAAGCAGCCAAAACGAGTATAGATTCCCAGACTATGATCGACGCCCATTCCGCTTCAAAGGAGCTCTCCAGCCTTCCGTCGACGATGCAGTCAGAAGACTTGAGTACTGAGGAGACAGAAGAGGACTCACAAAAGCAAAGCACGAGAAAACGGAGAAACTGTTGTAATAGACTGAGCAGGAGACGAATAGCGAGGCAAAGACTGCAGGTGAAGCAGACTCTCAAATCGAAGGATGCACCCGCCCATCATCGAGCATTTGCTGACCGACAAGGCTCTCACCTGCATGGCATGGCGGCATGCAACTCCTGCTCCATTGATGCTAGATATCTGGTTGGTGTATGGCCAGCATGTATCCATGCATCCATGGCTCCGTGTCTCTCCTATCTGGAGGCTGGATCTGAGCCTTCATCACCGTCATCTCGAAGTACTACGAAAAGCACTATGTCGGAGAGCAAAGGGGTTTAGTTCAGTGTTCGATAATGCAACCTAATGAGATGCAAATTATGACGAAGACCTACTTATGGGTACTTGGTCAAGCTGGTCATAATTTAGATTTGTTTGTTCCCATTGATTTTCATGTGTACAGATCGAAGGTCGGAGTGACGACCAATCAGTTCAAGGGGCAGGTCAAGTGTTGCCGCCCGGGAAATATGCACCATGAGACCGCATATTTGGTGGCATCAGCGTAAAATATATTTTCCCGGCGGGTGGACTCCATTCTTATGCATTACTGTTTGTTCACAACGGCATATCAGGATATTTCCCCCGAACGCTGAGCTTGAGGCTTTGTGGGCCCAATTTGACTTGTACCTCTGGGTAAAGGACAAATCTATGTCCGGTACTACGCAGCCGGCAGATCATTGATTCTGTCGCAACTCACTTCTCCCCCTCTTCTTTTCCTTTCGGTCACTGAGTTACAACTTTGAGCCCCAATTATTCCAGAATCCCTTGCCATCACAACTACTGATGGAGTCCTTGCCGTAACCAAACCCTGGCGCGTATGTTCCGGGCACATCGATGATGCCGGCGGTCACAGAGGTGTCGCTTTGATTGTACATTCCGCCGTTAACCAGCAGGATCTTACTCTCATCGGGCAAGACGGTCAGACTGCGCGTATAGCCAACGCCATGGGTGGTCGGGATGGTGAACCAGGCGTTGGGGTCGCCATACTCGGTGTTGAAGAACACCTGGGCGAAGTGGCTGTCGCTGACGACCACGGTGCCCTTGCCAGTAGGGCCAATGGGTGTCCAAACGACATAGGGCCCGGAGCTGGAGATGAGCCCGTCGGAGGATTTCAGTAGAAGCTCATCGGCGCTGTCAAATGTCTCCGGGTCGGTCGAAATACGGTAGTGTGTTGCGTAGGGGTTCACATCAGGGAGGCCGTCGGTCGACAAGCCGAGCTCGTACGTGAAAATATACTGCCCGTTTCCCATTCTGGCCATGGTTGTCATGCCGGGACGGAGGGTGTAGTTCGCCTCGGCCGCGTCATCGATTATGCCACCCCAGTTCATCAGATCTGGCGAACTTTGATGGGCGAGCTTTTGGCCGTGTGCCGGGTCCCGGGAGTCGGAGTATGCATTCATCACCCACGGAGGTTCGTGAGAGACGGGCGACATGAGCAAGAATGGTTCCCAGATTGGCGTGGCGCCATTCGTGGTGTTGGCGGGTCCTCCAGATGTGACGTGGGAAACAAATTCCCAGGTGTATCTGGGAATCAAGTGAGTATCATGTCGTGAGACGACAGCGGAATCAGGATTCAATACCTACCCTTTATCGAGAGATGCATAAACATAGATGTCTGTTGATGATCGATCAGTAGGTGTCGCCATACCCGAGAACAGCACTGTGCCTGCCGGATATTCGCCTATGTCGACTGGATATCAATGTTAGGTTAAACGAAAACTAGATGAATCCTGCGGATATGGTACTTACCTGGTAATTCCAGCAGAGTCGGTTGAGCGAACCGGCCGCCGCTGTAATCTTTACCGGTCTCAGGACCGAAATCAATCTGGGAGATCTTCTCCCATGAGTAGCCGAGATCATGCGATGCAAAGATTGGATAGTATGGTGCTCCTGGCGGAGACAGGGTAAACGTGGTGAGCAGCACATTGTCGGTCTCGCAATTCTGATTCAAGAGCACGACACGAGCATAGCTGGTACTGCGACGGGGCCAGTCTGCAGGTGGACTGAAGACTGTCACGTTGTCAAAGCTGGGGGATGAGCTGCCCTGACCCGGTGGTCCTCCCCAAGGGACAGCGGAGGCAAGGGGGAGAAGCCAGAGAAAGATTGAGGACAACATTTTGTAGTGATATCTGTTCTAAGTTTGTTTCACGAGCGAGACATCTCTCGAACCAGTCATGGACGGTCTTTTATATCGAAACTCGTGCATGTATCCCACCCAGTCATTGATATTTCCCACAGGTTAAATTGAAAGCTCTCTTACCGGAAATCCGCCTTCCTCAATTCAGCGTCACGACCATTGCCATCTAGCCCTGCTGAAAAGCTATATGGCTTCGAGGAAAATCTCCAAGTGGAGATACTCTTGATGTCCGGATATTAGGCTCAATTGACCTTGTGGTGTACCATAGTGTACATGTCTGTGAGATTAGTGGACGATCTATGCCTTATTCAGAAGTGGTACTCTCTCGCCTGGTCGTCAGCTCATGCTTAACCGGCCAACCCCTCGCTTTCTATACCAGTCTAGGATTTCGGCTGTTGCATTTTGCAGTGCAACCCGGAGCTCAGAGCGAGTATCTACATGTGGTGCGCGATGTTGCAAGCGACTTTGGGGCACTCGGCGCTTGGTGGTCAGTGACTGAATCATTCACCAAGTGGCCAGAGTAAAGCCTGAAGGGGCGCCCCATATAACGTTGGTGAGCAGAAGAATTGAGACCGTGTTGAACGCTTCAACCAAGGACTATTTGGTGTTCAGACCACCTGAGAAGGGCCCGGGAGATACAATGGGGATCGAAAGTGCTGATTCTGCGGAGGCATGACAAAGACTGTAGAGGATCCGAACAGTGTGGGGAAGAGAGTCTGTTCCACAGACCCAATATTTCCCACAACCCCTACACTTGCTCTTCTACTCGGTACACCATACGGAGTAGCGCCACGCGGAAAGTCAGCGTAGCTTGCAGGGGAGGCTGGGGAGCCCTGGAATTCGTCAAGAAATGACGTTGAGGACTTACAGGCAACCGCATCACGTAAATGACGTCTCAACGATCGATTGTTGCTGGACTGTTGACCTCGAACAGTCAGAGAATTCACCATAAGCAAAGGGACGATAGATGGTGACTTTATCGAGAAGCCTGGACTGGGTCTCTTCACTCGAACTTTAACGTCTTGCCCAGATTCCCGGTGCTCGTATGGCGCTAGTATAGATAGCCACCGATTGAAGCTTTCGTTTTGGTGAGAGAAGCAATACCAAGGTTGACGTGGCGCTCTTTTACCATGAGGCCAAGGTCGCGGTCGGGATATTGCTGCATCAGGACTAGAGCCTCCCTGTGACGCCAAGAATAATTAAAGCAGCGTGAGTCATGCCTCGGTAGATGGAGCTCATCACATGTCAGTCTTTAACATCCTCCTAATCCTCCCTCCTCCATTTGGTACACTCATACAGTTTACTTGGACGAGGCAATCCATTCCTTTGAGAGAACGTCGAGCATTTTCATCTACAAGGAACCATGAGTGGACACAATTTGGGTGAACTAAATATCAACGCTCTTAAACCCCCGCTCCGAGCGTACGCCCTCGGATATCTCAGCGCCACGGGCCCAAGGCTACTAGGTTTCTTGAGAACAATACGGCGGAAGGATCTGACGGCCCAGGAGAAGCTGAGCATACTCTTCACGATTCTTAGAACATCGACTCAGCTCAACCGGTTTCCCACCGCTGTTGCAATTATCATAGGTGGAGCAACAACATTACCTAGGCTAGTACGAACAGTGCTTCAATGGCTTCTATCAATCCCAAGCCGAACCCGGCATACAAAGCTTAGCAATACCTATGCATTGCGACTGACCTTCGTTTGTTCTTTTCTATCTTCATGGTTGGCTTTTGACCTTCTCAACAGGGACAAAGGTTGGGTGCGCAAACGCGCACAATCTCGTACTGCTGCAAGCCTCGGCAAAAGCGAATTCCATCCTCCTAACCAACATCATCTACCCCCTCCATCCTATCATCCCCATTATGCTGGGAAGACCATGGACTTCACATTGTTTGCACTGTGTCGAGCTTTGGACGTTGCAGCAATCACTCTCTGGACTCGAAGCCGATCCAAATCATGGCACCCCGAACGACGAGCACCAGCGATCACAAATACTGTTCGACGGCTTGCCGACCCTGGAGTCTTTGCCACATCTGCTGCGATCATCATGTGGTCCTGGTTTTATTCCCCACACCGACTCCCTAGGGCATACAACATTTGGATCTCCAAGATAGCGGATATCGATGAACGTCTCATTCAAGCCCTTAGACTAGCTCGACAAGGAGACTTTGTGTATGGACATGACACAGGCCAGGCGCCCCTCCTCGAGCCTCTATGCAAAGAGCTCGGCCTGTCCGAAGCTTTTGCAGATCCGTCCAAAACAATACCCATTCCGTGCGAACTCTATCATTCCGGGACAGGAACGAGCTGCGAAGTCCACGCAGCGACACGTTTCTGGCGGAGTTGGAAATTTGCTTTCGAACTTTATCTGCCACTTCAGATTCTGGCACGTTTCAGGAATTTCAAGCTCAATGTAATTGTGGAGGTACTAAAGGCGACTGCCAGGTCCTCTTCATTTCTCGCGGCCTTCGTTTCGTTATTCTACTACGCGGTTTGCCTCGCCCGTACCCGACTGGGACCAAAGCTGTTGTCGCCAAAAAAAGTGACCCCTCAAATGTGGGATTCTGGCCTTTGCGTCCTTACAGGTTGCTTGGCCTGTGGATGGTCCATATTATTGGAGAAGCCAGGTCGAAGGCAAGAGATAACCTTCTTTGTGGCTCCGAGAGCCCTGGCAACGGTCCTGCCACGGGTGTATGATAAGAAATACAGAAGGAGAGAACAAACCATTTTTGCGACCAGTATTGCCGTTGTCCTCACCACGGCGAGGTCGGGAGACTTGAGCAACGTGAGAGGAATGCTCGGAAGGCTGCTAAGAGGTATCATAACAGATTGACTTCCTCATTCTGGCTTCTGATACATATGAACCAACTTCGATGTGAGGTAATGGCATCGTGACAGGAAGTTTGCCACCAGACTTATGATGCCACATGTCCAGCACCGCTGTAGAAGCACATGCATGCCAAATGACTTTACCAACCTTCAGTCCTCAACCTCAATTGATGACATATTTGATGTGCCACCTATCGAATCCTTTATGTCTCTTCCTTTATCTCATTCATGTCTCCGCTCGCCCATCAGTGGACACTAGGACATTCCCATACTCTATCCATGGATCGTGGGTGTCTCTCCATTTCTCAAGACGATGAATAATCACCCAGTCCCAAAAGTTTCCACCTATACCGTTACACAATACTACGATACAAAATATGCAAATACAGTAACGAAATGTGTACTTACTGTGGACGAAGATTCTCAAACGCTCATAGTCTCCAAAGGTGGTGGGACAATGCAGGAGGTCAACATCGCGGACATCGTGAATGTCATCTCTGGGAAAAACAGCGGCTTTCTCTGCATCTGGTTGAAAGAGGCCGTCATCGGTTCCAAACTTCCAGAGCCCCACCAGATCCTGCTTGATATCACGCCGAACAAAGATGTAACCTGTGTCGTCAGGATCCTCAGGGAAATGAGAGGTTGGGAGCCTCTTGCATCAGTATATGGCGCAAAGTATGACTTCGTTGCAAAACTCCCACCAATGCTAATCGTCGGGAGCAGGGCCGAAAAGGAAGAACTTCTCACCAATTTTATTCGGTCCTTGAAGGCGCGCAGTGACACCAACGCAGCTTCACCTGAATTCTCTCACGGGGAGACGTGTCCGGGTACCGAGAGTGATGCAGATGAGGGTGCTACAGATGATCTCCCCCGGGATCACAAAAACAAAAACGGGTTCGGTCAAGTCACTCCTGGCTCAGTAATCTCTCAAAATGAAGCCACTTCACAATCGAACTTCAAAGAGGCAGCTCCAAAAGATAAGATTCAACGCAGAGAACCTGTCTCATCGAAGAAAGCGCATAACTCAAACTCTGAAATCATGGTCCATGAAGATGTTGTCAAGTCATTCAACGATGCTGTCACCAGCTTGAGCCATCAGCCCACGAAGCGAAGAAGACTTGATGAGCTAGATTCTTCCTTCAGTCAGGTTCTGGAAGGTGTTGAAACATTGAAAATTTGGCTCATGCGGGGTTGTAGTTCCAACAAGTCTGAGATTGCTCTCATCGATCGTCTCGAATCAGAGAATGAACGTCTTCATGCTGAGATTGACAAGTCGAAACAACAAGCCTCTCTATCATCGGAATTCCAGGGAAAACTTGAACAGCTAGCCTTAGAGCATGCTGCATTAAAAAAGGATTATGATGAGGTGCGGGCCAGCGTGACGCTGCGAACCTCCAGAAATGCCAAGCTGAGCAGGGAGAACAGGGCATTGGCGGAGTCACTTAAAGAGGCCGAGAACAGATTGACCACACATCTGGACTCAGCACGCCGCACACTAAGCATCGAGATGAACAACCTGCGTGAAACACTGGCTGTGGTCGAGTTGGAGAACGATGCCTTGAAAGGTCTCACGGAAATGTTTGTCTCAGGGGTTAACATCACAGAGCTTTTGGTGCAAGTTAAAGGTGGCACTGGATTCGACGAAGCTTTACGAGCAAGTATGCGGAGCCGAAGTCAGGCCTAGCGCACCCTCCTGGACCATCTTAAATGATCGCCGTTCGGGCGAATGATGGATATCATGCCAGGTGAGCAAGACTGAATACTACGGTTGTTACAAAGCTTCTACGATTGAGGAATGAAGAGAGCGACATAGGCTTTTGCAAGGCTCGAGATATTTTGGAGCAGAATACATGACAGGACGCATGGCCAAAAGACATTGGAAGAACGGAGGTTTGCAAAGATCACGACACACTGGCCTGGAGCATGCACGGCTGCAAATGTGCTGAAGAATCCCCTAGCCACAACAATAGGGCTGCTATGGTTTAAGCAAAGGATCGAGCTGTCTCTTACAATTCCAGTCCAGTCGTGTTCTGACTGGAGCCTAGCTAGCATGAGCTGCCTGAGCTGCGCCGTACCATAAATATCTTTGTTGGTACCTTTTCCCTAAGAGACATTCTTCATTTGTAGATAAAACCCCCTCCTCTGTCCAAACGCAACCACTAGAATCCTCTACATACCAGGATGAGGGCAATGTCCAAGATCTCCACGACTTGTTACTTGCCTCGTACATGCATAGGGAAACAATACTGACAAGATATTCGGGAATTCCCCCGCGATCGACATTGCTCCTCCACGCAAGGGAGTATGCCAACGTCAGCCCGAGCAACCAACTGCTCCGTACCTCGTACAGAGAGAGAGAGGATCCGTCTTCAACTGCCAATCACGATGTGATCCATCCGTTCCGAGCTCTTGATGCTAGATCCGAATGTCAGAGTGATATGGGACGAGCCAACTTATTTACATGTGATTGGCTGGTGGCTCTAGGTCCCCCAAGTACGGAACGCCGTCCCGGTGGGACCTCCGAGCTCAAACGCGCCACAAGGGCCGCCTCCCCAGACCAAAACGCCTCGTACAGAGAAGAGGTTGTGGGGTTGGTGACACTAACATGTGTCCATCAGGCAATGAACGGACTTCCAACTTACAACGTGGAGGCCTCCGTGTAAACCGTCTTGACGTTCGGACATCCCCCAGGAATTGGCACTGATTAGGAGAGGCCTGGTGTTCTTATTATATGGGCTTGGGCTTCCATCCTGCTCGTGACTACGAGGGATTTCAGGCAATTAATAAAACCGTTTCTAGGGTTGCTCTTGCATCGGGAAAGCGCAAAAACGACAGCAAGCTCCTGCCCGCAAGCAAGAATTAAACAGCCTGGCTGAGGTGGAACCCTTCCAGTAACATTCGTCCTTAAAGACGCCTTCTCTCAAGTCTTGATTGGGATCTCGGCCTCGTTACTCGCGTCGGCATGGCGCTGGGTACAGTCATCCCGGCCGTTGGAGCCGCTGTGCTCGCGTTTCTTCTTTATGCTGTCATGTTTATCGGGCGGCGAGAAAAGGGTCTCCCACCTGGTACGTATTCTCACCTGCCTTCAGGATATAGAAACAACATATACAGTATGATCGACGATGTTGACTCTCAAGCACAGGCCCGCCAACAGTGCCGGTCATTGGTAACCTGCATCAGATTCCAACCAAGGGCTCATACTTAAAGTACGACAAGTCTCTTCCCCTTCGGCCCTCACCTCTTCTCTGACGCGCTGCATAGGTTCACCGAATGGTCCAAGACATACGGAGGACTATTTTCACTCAAACTGGGCTCCGGCACGGGCATCGTCTTGACGGACCGACGGCTGGTCAAGCAGCTCGTGGACAAGAAGTCCGGGATCTACAGCAACCGGCCGCACAGCTATGTGTCACACAATCTCATCACGGGAGGGGATCACGTCCTGATCGCACACTACGGGAAGGTGTGGCAGCGGTACCGCAAAGTGATCCACCAGCATTTCATGGAGAGCATCGTGATGAAGGACCACCTGCCGCTGCAGCAGGCCGAGGCGTCACAGCTGCTGTACGACTACCTCACTAACCCGGCGGACCACATGTGGCACCCCAAGCGGTATACGAACAGTATTGCCTGCGGGACGATCTGGGGCGTGCGGTCGCCCACGGCTGACACGAGCCATATGAAACGGCTGTATGAGCTGATGGAGCACTGGTCGGTGGTAATGGAGCCTGGTAATACACCTCCGGTCGACGTGTTCCCGTTCCTGCACTGGATCCCCGAGAGCGTGTTTGGTAACTGGCGGACACGCGCTAGCGACGTCGGTGACGCCATGAACAGCTTGTACAACGACATGTTAACCGGCCTCGAGAAGCGCAGGGAGAAAATCGGGCCAAAGTTCTCCTTTATGGATCGCGTTCTCGACCAGAAGGAAAAGCTCGAGCTGACTCGCCATCAGCTGTACTTCTTGGGGGGAACCATGATGGAGGGGGCGAGCGATACGAGTTCTAGCATTATTTTGGCCGCTGTTCAGGCCTTTGTCAAGTGGCCGGAGGTCATGCGCAAGGCACAGAAGGAGATCGATTCCGTCATGGGCGAGGAGAGATCGCCTGTGTGGGACGACTATGCGCGGCTCCCATATATTGCTGCAACGGTCAAAGAAGCACATAGATGGCGGCCTGTGGTACCATTGGCGTTCCCACATGCAGTGGATGAAGGTATGCTATTGATTTCTGGGCGCTCTTCTACTCTTACTGACGTGGCTCACCCTCCAGATGACTGGATTGACGGCTTCAAAATTCCCAAAGGGAGTGTGATATTCATCAATGCCTGGGGTATGCATCACGATTCGGATCGCTTCCCCAACCCGGATGTCTTTGACCCGGACCATTATAAAGGTGTAACCGCCCTTGCCTCTGAGCTAGCGCAATCAGTCAATCCCGATGATCGCGACCATTATGGCTATGGCGCCGGTCGCCGCCTGTGTCCCGGTATTCATCTTGCTGAGCGAAACCTGTTCCTCGCCATTGCAAAGCTATTATGGGCTTTTGACTTCAAACCTGGAAAGGATGCTCAAGGAAAGGACACCATCCCAGATACAAGTCCCACCAGCGGATACAGTGAGGGCTTTTTGGTATGTGCCAAGCCGTACGAGCTCGATGTCAAGGTCAGGAGCGAGAAGAGAAAAGAGACGATTATGAAGGAGTACGAAGCGGCAAAGCGGGATTATTTCACGGACTTTGATGTCGAGGCTTAGTTCAGAAGCTCGCAATGGGGAGCGATGCCGGATGGTAGTGGTGGTGGTGGTTTTTGTGGGTGAGTGAGAGGGAGACAACAAATACCTGGAATAATCGACAACAAGGGTGAAAGCCCCAATGGTATGGCAAACGAAGTTTCGTGGCATTCTGAACAGGATCAGCTTACCAACACTCAAAGCATGTTGAGAACATCAGGACTTACCTCATTCATGAATCCCCATTTCCATCCTCACTATTCCGAAAATTCCTTGTACCAAAGCGCTCGAATTACCATCTGGTCACACGTGAGATCTTGTACCGTCGTCAAGTAGACAGTAGCTCAGTGAAACCAGAAATGCGCTGAACGCTATTTACTTGTGCCTTCCCATTCCCGCTTTTAGTGAGGTCCAAGGTATCCTCTCCTTGACGCCAAATGGAGTCGAGCATGAAGCAGAACGCCTATTGTAGAGACTTTGCCTTGTATATTCAAATGGCAAGTAGTAGAAGAAATGGTTGGACGGCGGCAGGCCATAAAAGTATGCAAACACTTTTGCTGCCCGCTGATCTTCTGTCAACCACCACATTTAGGCGAGGAGATCGGCGACATTCATCGGCATCTCATCAATTTGCGTCGAGTAGTAGAGTTCAATGTCCCTCAGGATTCTCACGTCATCGCTCGTGACGAAGTTGATCGCAACGCCTTTCCTGCCGAATCTGCCACTTCGTCCGATGCGGTGAATGTAGTTCTCTCGATTCGAAGGGAGGTCGTAGTTGATGACGAGGCTAACTTGCTGGACATCGATGCCGCGTGCCCAGACATCAGTACTGATCAAGACGCGAGAATTGCCTTGGCGGAAGTCAGACATAATGCTGTCTCGCTCCTTCTGCGGCATTTCACCGTGCATGCTGCTGACAGTAAAATTAGCCTCTCGCATCTTGTCAGTAAGCCAGTCTACCTTGCGTCGTGTGTTACAGAAGATGACGGCTTGAGTGATGGTCAGCGTATCGTAGAGGTCACATAGAGTATCGAATTTCCAGTCCTCCTTCTCCACGGCGATGAAGTATTGTTTCAGGCCTTCCAGTGTGAGTTCGTCACGTTTGACCAGAATACGAACAGGGTCGGTCATGAATTTCGTGGTCATGTCTAGGACATCGTATGGGAGAGTGGCGGAGACAACGACAACTTGAGTGGCAGGGGGGAGATATCGGTAAACGTCGTAAATCTGCTCGCGAAAGCCACGGTTGAGGAGTTCGTCGGCCTCATCCAACACAAGCATCTTAATATGCCGGGTCCGTAGGTTCCGTCGTCGAATCATGTCTGCAACACGCCCAGGGGTACCGGAAACCACGTGTTGTCCGTAGTCTAACTTGCGAATGTCTTCCCCAACATTTGTCCCACCAATACAGGCGTGACACTGGACATTCATGTAATCACCAAGGGCCATAATGACGCTTTGGATCTGAGTGGCTAATTCGCGGGTCGGCGAAAGAACAAGGGCTGTTGTGTGTGTTACTGTCGCGTTCATATACCAGGTGTTTATCCCTACCTTGTGTTTCTCGCACTGAGGTCTCGAGGACTTGGAGGATACTGATTGAGAAGGTGGCGGTCTTGCCTGTGCCCGATTGCGCCTGAGCGATGGTGTCTCTTCCCTTACAGATCTGAACGATGGCTCGAGACTGGACAGCCGAGGGTGATTCGTAGCCGTAGGCGTAGATTCCGCGCAGGAGGTTTTCTTTCAGATGCATGTCCTCAAACGTTGGAGCAACAGTCACCTCTTTCGAGGTGGAGAATTCCATACGCTCTGCAGTTGTCGTTAGCGACGACAAACAGGGGGAGATTACAGTACCTACCCTCCACATTCTTGTCAATCCCTTCTGCCATATTTCAAGACGAAGTAAAAGTCTGCGCGGAGGTTTGGAGGATAGAGGGTCGGATGAGTTGCAAATAAGATGGCATGGTCGGTCCAAAAAGTTGAGGAAGAATCTTGGCAATCTGGGGTAGTCACGTGATGTAACCTTGCACTACGGAGAAATTTACGTTGCGGAGCACGTGAGGAAAGGCATCCAGGTACCCGAATTCCGTATTGTAGTCATGGTCTCGAGTCTCGCTGTGCGACCGACCGCACCCATCATGCGAGTTGACATATTATGCTAACGCCCTCAAGGTGGCTGATCCGAGCTGCACGATCAGCACAATTTGTCTTGCGCCCCCGTCGATGGCAGCGATGTCTTGCCAGCGTCGTCAATACCGCTCCTTCCATCGAACGTGAAGAGGCCATCCAACTCCGCAATTATCAGGAAGAATGCATACAGTCAGTGCTATCGTATCTAGCGCAAGGTCGGAAACGCCTGGGCATCTCCCTTGCAACTGGAAGTGGAAAGACTGTAGGTAGACCCGTCATCCTCATATGAGCGAACTGTTTGACTTAGGATATGACACCTAGGTGATTTTCACACAACTCATTGACCGGGTCCACGCACCCGATGAAAATGCGAAACAAACGCTCATTCTTGCGCACCGACGGGAACTAGTTGAGCAGGCAGCTAGACATTGTGAAAAGGCATACCCAGACAAAAGCATAGACATCGAGATGGGAGAGACTAAAGCATCTGGGGCAGCGGATATCACTATTGCATCCGTTCGCAGCATGATCTCAGGTGATCGGTTAAGCAAGTACGATCCCTCCAGTTTCAAACTAGTACTCGTCGACGAAGCCCACCATATCGTGGCACCAGGATATCAGCAAGTTTTGGAACATTTTGGACTGCAAAAAGAATGTGAACATGGTCCTGCACTGGTTGGGGTCTCTGCCACTTTCTCTCGCTTTGATGGGCTCAGATTGGGTTCCGCCATAGATCACATTGTCTACCATAAAGACTACGTGGATATGATTGGAGAAAAGTGGTTGTCAGATGTCATGTTCACAACCGTGGAATCCAAAGTGGACCTTTCTAGAGTCAAATCGGGCCAAGATGGGGATTTCCAAACAGGCCAACTTGGGGCGGCCGTCAATACCGTCGTCTCAAATGACATTACTATCAACGCATGGCAGTCAGAAGCAAGCGACCGAAAATCGACATTGGTGTTCTGTGTTGATATTGCACACGTCACGAGCCTCACGGCAGCTTTCCGACAGCGTGGGATCGATGCACAGTATGTTACGGGTGCTACCAAAAAGATAGTCAGGGGCGAACGACTCGCAGCATTCAAGAATGGAGGGTTTCCCGTCCTGCTTAACTGCGGTGTATTCACCGAAGGTACAGACATACCCAATATCGACTGTGTTCTTCTTGCACGGCCCACAAAATCTCGAAATCTGCTGGTACAGATGATTGGTCGGGGCATGCGTCTGCACCCTGGAAAGAAGAACTGTCATGTCATCGACATGGTTGCTTCACTCGCGACTGGTATCGTAACTGTCCCTACACTGTTTGGCCTTGATCCTAAAGAGCTTGTCAAGAAAGCCAGTGTTGGTGACCTTGAAAAACTTAAAACCCAACGAGAAAGCGAAAACATGGGATTTGATACGAGCATACTCAACCCTGTGAAGTCAAGGAACTCCTCTGACTACCATAGCCTCAAATTTACCCACTACGACTCTGTCCACGACCTTATCGAGGATACCTCGGGCGAACGACACGTCCGTGCCATGTCTCCTAACGCTTGGGTGCAGCTCGACGAACATAAGTACATTCTAACAGCCAGTGGAGGAGTTGTGACCTTGGAGCGGCAACTTGAAACAGACAAGCAAAGGAAAGATTATTTTGCCGTAATCTGGAAGCATAAGCTGCCCCAAGCGGGTCTTAGCAGATCACCTTGGTCCCGACCACGAATCGTGGCGACAGCATCCAATCTGACTGACGCCCTACGAGCGGCCGATACTTTCGCAGCGAGCCAATTTTCGCGATTCCTCATCGTTTCGAATTCCCCCTGGCGGAAGAAACCCCCATCCCAGTCGCAGTTAAATTTTCTCAATCGCTTACGCGAAGTCAACATGGAAGAGCTATTGACTGAAAACGACCTGACCAAAGGCCAGGCCGGCGATATGATCACCAAGATCAAGTTCGGAGTCCGGGGCCGGTTCGATCGTCTGCAGGCCGAGCGGAGGAAGTTACAGAGGGAGGCAAATAAAGTGCAGGAAATGAAGGATCGGGAGACCGTTAGGGTTGGACCTGTAGAACAATGAGGGTGAAAGCTGATGCTGGAAATCCCGAGGGATTTGTTCTTCAAAGGAAGAGACATTTACTGTCTACTTAGGCATGGGCCAGCTTCCACTCAGTATTTCTATATTGCAGGTCAACTCTGGGTATGCATGGGAAACCCACCTCTTGAAACGCGTTATCAAGCTGCTCCTTTTCTCGGCGCATCGTGTTCTCCCGCGATGACAATGTCAACTCTCATTTCTTCTCTCTCCTTATAAATAGCCTCCTTCAGGCGATAGGAAACACTATACAGCTGGAAAGATTCACGGTTTTCAGATATTTATTGTGCTGCTCAAACCTGATACATCAAACGAGCAATGGAACTAACAATGGAATTCATGGTGATGATGACATCCGCCGCCGCCGCCACTGGCCCCCTTCCCTCCCGCAAGGCGTTTTCGGCATGTCTTTATTTACAGGTGCGAGATTATGGCAGCAGCATACTCGTGGGTTTTCGACTTTCCGCCCAGGTCACCGGTCAAGGTCTTTCCTTCTGCGAGCGTGGCGAAGATGGCTTTCTCGATCTTTTCGGCGTACTCGGTGAGACCCATATGTCTTAACATCATGATACTGCTGAGGAGCAGGGCGGTGGGGTTGGCGAGAGCCTTGCCTGCGATATCTGGCGCGGAGCCGTGCACAGCTTCGAAGATGGAGCACTCGTCGCCGATGTTTCCAGAGGGCGTCAAGCCGAGACCGCCGATCAGTCCAGCGCACATGTCAGAGAGAATGTCACCGTACAGGTTGGGCATGACGAGGACCTTGTCTGCGTATGGGCCTGGGTCGGTGGTGATCTTCAGGCAGGCATTGTCCAGGAGCTCAGCGTCGAACTCGATATCGGGAAAGTCCTTGGAGACGGCTCGGGCAGTGCTCAGGAAGAGGCCATCAGACATCTTCATAATCGTAGCTTTGTGGACGACGCGGACCTTCTTCTTGTTGACATCTCTTGCATATTGGAATGCGTATCTCAGAACTCTTTCTGAGGCTTGACGTGTGATGAGCTTGATTGACTGCACAACGCCGTCCACAACCACATGTTCAATACCGCTATACTCTCCTTCGGTATTTTCTCGGATCAGAACTGTGTCGACGTTGTCATACGGTGTTTTGTAGCCCTCGATGCTTCGGCAGGGGCGGACATTTGCGAACAGGTTGAAGGTACGACGGAGCGTGAGGTTGAGAGAGACATGGCCCTTGCCGATGGGGGTTGCAAGAGGTCCCTTGAGAGCGACATAGTTTCTCTTGATGGACTCGATAGACTCATCTGGAATGACGGTCCGGCCGTCCCTCAGTCGAGGGGTGACATCAACAGATTCCCACTTGATAGGGACCTTCGCAGCGTGGTAGATGTCTTTCACTGACTGAGAGATCTCAGGGCCGATACCATCTCCTTCTATTAACGAAACAGTGTATTTTCCATCTTCTCCCTTCTGGCCCTTGAACTTGGCAACTTGTTCGGCGTAGCCTCTCGACTGGATCTGAAATAAGAGCTCAAAGGTCAGCAGCAGACTTGCGAAAATCAAAGGTAGGCAGTACCTGGGAGAAAGCTGGTGCCCAGACGGGTTGCTGGTAGCCTTTTCGCAAGCATTGGCGAGCTGGGGAAGAAAATGCTCGAGTTGCGATCATGACGGGCGACCAAGGCAAAAGTCTGAGAGATAAAGACCCAAGAAGCTTCAGCGAGGAGTGGTATTGACAGCCCGCAGCATTGAACAGGCTCAGACAAGTAAAAAGAAAGCTGTATCGCGAAAATGCAGGTGTTGGCTCGGGTTAGATTCCAAGTAGAAGGTGGTGGAGCTTGAGGGTTTTTGCTTCGCAGCCACTGATATGACATCTTCCGGTAGCTCTCAAGCGTTGCATATGCTGCTTCTGTTAGCGAGCTGGAACGAGCCTAGGGCCGGCGACATCGGGGGGGGGGGTGCGGTCCTTAAGTGATGCCAAGCATCTAGTGTCGTACGGTCGAGCAGACGCACATACGCGTCCCATCAAACGGACGGGACAAACTTTTGAAACTCACCGACACCAGCCGACGCCCCTGGACTGGTATTCAGATATCATATTTGGGAATGCCACAAGTCGCTTGGATGTGAATCAATCAAACAATGGGAGAATACGAAAGGACCATCGTCACTCACTATAATCTACCTACTCCGTATCCTACCGAGTGGCCCAAGGAGCTAGATGAAAGTGATGACCAGGATGATGTACCAGACGCCGTCGGGATTAGACGGTCTCGATCGAGATATTCAGCTTTGGAAAGAAGTGCCAGCGAACGGAAAAGTCTGCTCCCAGGCTCACAGAAGACTGGTGATGGCAGAGCGAACCTTGTCCAAAAGGATGAGCCAGACCCGCTAGGCCACAATGCAAGCGTCGTCCAAACACTTCGCAACCGTGGTTTGCCGGTTGAGCAAGACTCGCGGTTGCGCAATAAATTCATGCTCTCATCAACGACATTTTCACCGGCTTTGTTCTTATCTCAGACACATTCTGACGCCACGACCGATGATCTGCTTCGAGGTCTGCAATATTTGTCGAGATCAATTGATCAAAAGTCAGCCTCGCTCAAAGTACTGGTTGAGACAAACTTTGAACGCTTTGTGCGTGCTAAAGCTACAATCGACAACGTATATACAGAAATGCGCAATCAGGGAATCGATACATCAGCTACACAGCCACCCCCCCCATCGCCGAGACACTCTCGTCGAACGAGTGGAATTCACTTCCGCAATATCAGCAGTAGTAGCGCTGCGGGGATGCACAGTCAAGCACCACCTCAAACTCCGAGCAAGAATGCTCTTCGCAAGGAGACGGAGTTTGGTGTTCAAGGTATTAAAGGTCCGCTCCTTGAAGTCTCTCAAAAAGCGGATGACGTCTGGGGCCCAGCTCTGGGAGGAAAGGAGCGTGAAGGGAATCTGAAGGCAATAGCAGAGGCAATATCAAAGGATCATATGCTCTATGAAGTGGGCGCGAACCTTGATGAGGCAATTAAACAAAAAGATTATGGCAAAGCCGTAGAGCTTTATAACTCTGCTAGGCGTTATGCCGTTGAAGCAAGGTCCCTCAGCGACGGGGTCGTCCAGAACGGCAGGACACTTACAGATGAGCAAGTCCACCGAATTCTAGCGGTAGGAAGACTCTGGGCGGATGCAGATGACCAGGTCAAAACCTTGAAGCGCGACATCTGGCGCAGACTATCAAATATGCCTTCTACTCTCGGAAGCCCCGGTGCCTCTCAAGCAGAGGAGCACATTGAGTTGATCACTGTCTTACTCGAGCTAGGGGTTGATGAAAGCCCCATCTGGGTCTATCTATTGAGTCGGTATGACTCGCTGAAGAACAAGATCGCTGCCGTTGTTGAACGATCGAAGATCGAGATCGAGATTCTTCGCCGTCGACTTGCTGCTGGAGAGAGCCCATCATCGCAAGCGATTGCTGCTTTCTTGCGCCAAGCCTCCAAAGATCGTCCAGATGCGCTGGACACAGAAAATGTGGTCGATTTTTGGAATTGCATTTTGACATACATTACTAAATTATTATCGCTGTCGACTGGGCTTTTAGGCGAAGTGATAGATTTTTGGGATTCTGCTCGGTCTTTCATCGACGGCAACAAACAGAGAAACCTTCCAAGAGGATTCGAGGGAGAAAGTGTCAAACACCATCAATTATCTGAGTATGACATCAACGCGCTACGTAGCGGAGCGGTTGAATTGATCACGCTGGTCAGAGATGCCGTATTTTCCCTCTTTGCTGAGCCGCCGACCGAAGATATTTCGGCGCTCTTTTCACCAACACCGGCCTCGGCTCAAACACCTACCACCCCTCTTGCCCCTGTCCCTTTCTCGCCCACCGAGGGCAGAATTGGTAGACTGGATCCCAACAACCTGCCTGCGGCTGCAGCAAGGAGAGGTGACCCCTGGGAAGACTTTGCTTTCTGGCCTCCACATTCCAATGCACTGAGCGCTGTGCACTATCTGGAGAAGATATTGACTCTCGTTGGTATTGCTGCTGGTGAGATGGCCGCTGTACGGCCTGTGACGAATAACGGCTCCGTTCACGACAAGGTCAAATCCATGATTGCAGGTGCCCGTGAACGATGCATGCGAGCTGTGTGTGAGGCGTGGGGTAAGGATGCCGAAAATTGCAAATCTCTCGAAGACTGGGTCCGGGCTCCAGAAAAGCGTGACCAGACAAGAATGCCGTTGTATTTCGAGGCTTTTGAGCGCAAAGTTCTGCTAGGCATGCAGCAAGTCTTATATTTCTCCGACACGCACACAAAAGCAGGTCGTGAAATCATTACTCCTCCACCAACCAAGCTACTGCAAATGGCGCGTACTCAGTTCGTCAGCAGTGTTTACAAAGCGGTCAGCGGCATGCTAGAAAATGCCGAATCGTCAACGCAAGGTCAAGAGGATGAATGGGTGGTGTCAGTTGGATTGGGTCCCGTTGCAGAGCGCAATGGCCCCAGCGGCATGCTCACGCAGGACACTATCAATTCTTCCAGCCGCAATGTTCGAATGCTTTTGACAATGTCAAATTTGAAAGCTCTACGAAACGAGCATGTCCCATCATTGATCCAGCTATTCGAATCGTCTTTCTCAGTCAAGTTAACAGATGAATCCAAAACTATTCGAGATGTTTTTGGTCAGATCGATGCGAAACTGTTCCACTCTTACACAAAGCCCATGGTTGCAGGACTGACAAAACTGATCAAGGAGGGTATCAATTCTCCCACGTGGGCACCGACATCAGGAAGACCGGATCAAGTGAGACCATATGTTTATGCTGCGTTAATGACGCTTGTCATGGTACATACAGAGGTTTCAACGACCGTCTCGAATACCGCAGCCAGCAATCCTCTTCTCAACGAAATCCTCTCCTTCCTGCTCGAGAATGTCTCGCAGGCTCTCCTGGATGGCTTCAAGGAGCGCAAACCGAACACTTACACCCTACCTGCCCTGATGCAAGCTACTCTAGATACTGAGTACATTGCACAAACCATGTCACAATATTCCACAACCAAGGCCGGTGAAACCCAGGGTCACATCTACACAGAGTTAGATAAGCGCACCACGAACGACGCAAGACAGAAACTCCAGCAGGAACTGGGAGACATGCGTATCGTATTGAAGAAGCTACGCGAAGGCAGCAGGAATAGCTTTGGGTGCTTTAAACGCCAACGCACCGAGAAGGACAGGGGCCGCAAGATGACGGGCTAGTAGTTTAGAGAATTGTAACAAACGAGAGAGAGTATTTGATCATCTCTGCATTCACATGATAATTGATTCCTGACCAGATATACTAGTCCACAATGCTGAAATACTCAGTATTTGTTCGAGCTCTAGCGTTGCATTCACCCTGTGAATGGCTTCTGGAGTGCAGATTCTCCTTCTTTGGGTGACACAGGATCTGCATCTGCAGCGAAGCGACTAAGATTCGAGCTGAGCGACAACTCCTGTGTGGCCGATGGACAACCGTGGCAGGCTTCTCTTCAAGATTTGCCATCTCTGACCCCTTTCGGTCGTATTGGGCCTCAGTCTTAATTCCTCAGCAAGATTTTAGTAGCGAATCGAGACTGTGACGGACAGAAGTGCTTCGTGATGAGCTTATTCAACAGTATTCATCTAGAGACTATGCATCTTGTAGATGTAGCATTCTCTAATGATACCCTTGAGCCCTGTTTGAAAGATCAGCCTGAGGACGGCTTGTTTGCTCTGGCAAATCCGGCTCATCTTTTCCTCCCTCGTCTTGCTCGGCCTCTCCTGCCTCCACGTGCCGCTTTCTTTGCCCTGCTCTCTTCCTCCTCAGGTTCGCTGCTCTCCTCTCCCTCGTCCCCACTGTCTTGCCCTTCCTCATCATCCTCATCTGCATCCTCCATAACTTGGTCCTCATCAGCAACGCTGGTGGCTTTGCTTGACCGCCGACTGCTGGTTTTTTCGCTTTCAAGTTCATTCTGCAAACGTGAAAGCCTGCCACCACGCCGACCGGACCCTCTTGTACCACGCACTGAACCTCTACCAGAGACGGGTGAAGAGCGTGGCTCATCTGTATCGGCGACTGTGCTCTCCCTTCTCGAGACGTCTGGACTTTGAGTTCCCTCTGGCGCCAGTCTTCTTTGCCACATTAACTCTTCGAAATCTTCCCGGGGTAGTTCGAAATCTCTGAAATAAGCCGCTCCCTTGGTGTCGTCATCGTCAATACCATCAATGATGGAGTCCTCTCTCTCGTCTAACTTGGCCAAGTAGTACAATGATTCGAGCTTTGCCCAGATACCAGCTGTTGTTGTATGGGGGTCTTCAGTGTTGGTGACGCCCTGGTTGATCATGAAATCCCTGATAGCAATCATGCGGAAGTGCTTGTGCATTCCAACAGGCTTCCAGCGAATGATTGCTTCTAGGAGTGCGGACTCCTGGTCATCGGTCCAACGGGAGAGGTCCAAGGCCGAATCCGTCATCTCAACAGAATCTCCTTTGGCCATCGAGTCAGATCTGATCGATACAATTGGACCACAATCATAGGCTATAATTCTGGAGGGCAGATGGGCACTGTAAGAATGTAGCCGCTTAGACTCGAATATCAAGTCGCCCTTTGGTACTTTGATACATATATAGGGTAGGATAATGCTTTCGCTCGCTCAATGTCTTTTATACCACGGGTATAGCCTGGAAGGTAAGAATATGTGAGCGCTGATATGCCGATACACTCTCTTGAACGCCTACTCGTCGTCAGTAATTTGTCCGTTAGTTTAGCCGTTGTTGCTCAAAAAGGGCGAAATGCTTCGAATTTGCCTTCGGCTAAAATTGCCCTTCGTGGACACGCCATCAACGCGTTCTTCCGGGCGCGTCTTCCACATGTCTTCCATGAACCACGAACACCACAAAAGTCTATACTGAATCTCAATTAGCGCCCCGGAGCGTACTTGATCGTACTGGGTAATCCTCCTGAAGGTCTATCTGCTCTTCCGACACCTGACAGTCCTGTCAACCTATAGCGACCGCTGTTGAGGACCGAATATTTCGCCAGTCGCGATTTCCGTCGCACCAAATCGGGGACATCAAGATGAAGCGACTATGTCTCGACAAATCTACCACGATCCATTCTCAATCGAGACGCTCGCCAAACTCCCTTCGCTCCTTGTTGATCCCAGCGCAGTATGGGATGGTTTCATTTTTGATAACAGCCTCGAGAGCAATCTCTTACAGCTGAGCGAGTCCGAGGCCAAGGCCCTCCCTGAACTCCAACCAGCCCTGTTAGCCTTGAACTTGGACAGCGTGCCTCTACAAGGCCTTTCAACCCCTCCTTCTGCTTCTTCGGAAACTAGCAGCAATGAGTTCTTCGAGGTTCAGGAACATCTATCTGATGAGGAGGCGGATAACCATGGTGACGATGATGCTACAAACATCTGGACTCTGCCAGAAATCTCCAAGAGAAGTCGGAAAAGCCGTTTGATCTGCTGGGACAACTTCTTGAACGAGAAGCACAAAGAATTACAGTCAGGCTATCTCAGCGAAGTTAGCCCAATGGTATTCAGTACCATTGTGAACAGACCGGCAACAAACTCGTTGAAACTCGTCAAGAGCGATGTCCTGCTCAATGCCACCTTCGAGCTGAGCATGGGGCGCAGCTCTGGGCTATTCAACTGGAATGAAAGCAAAGGGGCCTTTGAGGCTTGTTGGGATAATCTGACCGCCATAGGCTACAGTGGGAGTCTGCTGCGAAATACTATCGCGATATTTTCGAATGTTGGTACCGGAACCCGGAAACTGGTCGAACTGTTCAAGGACCTGGACATGAGAGGCCACAAAATGCTTCCCTCAACGATCGCGTTGATATCATCCGTTAGGTCTGCCTTGTTTGTCATCCACAAGCACCTCGAAGACATTCGGGCACATGTTTCATCTCTCCTGCAACTCAGAAACATCATTGATAAAGTCAAGACGCTTATTCATGTCTTGAGCAACCTTTGCAATGTCGTTAAGACTCTGTGTTCCGATCAAGAAGTTATTTTGTGCCTGATGCAGGAAGCGTCAATTGCTTCAGTAGCGCATTCTGGGCTTGATGCAATACTGCAAGTGATCTTCACCCAGGTCACACGTCCGGGTCTAGAAAAGCTGAGCAGTGAGATTGGCTTAACTTCTACTCTAATTAACAATCACTCTCCGGATCTTATGGTCGATGAAGAAGACTATGGAGGTTCATGGCTGAGCTTGCTCTCAGCTGAGAGCTCACAGCTCATATCCCAAACACGGCAAAGCCTCCACTTACTTCGACAATATGCTCCACAGGCTTTGGTCTTCTATAACTCAAGGAGTATAGCGAGCTCTACTTTGACCTTGCAGCCTGTTTATTCCTACCTTGCAATATGCCAACAACAGAAGCTGGCCTCCGAGTATGAATCCACATTGAAATTGTCTTTCGTGGCGCCAGAGAGTGGTTCCCTAAATCCTAGTAGCGGACTCACCCTCACACAGTGCTCGTGGCGAAGAGAGGATGCTTCTACCGTATTTAGCGAGGGCCCCTTCACACTGAACCTGGATCTTTTCGGCTCACATATGCCTAAACGGCAAGCTGAGCTCGAACATGAGGTCACTGCTTATCTCAATGACTGTCACATGGAACGGCCAGAACCTTTTCAACTCCAGCTCGATCAGGCTCTGGTTTCTTCTGTGGCTCCTGCGCTTGCAGCACAGCATAGGCTCCTCTCTTACTCTATTCTTCAGATACTATTCGAGGAACATAACCTCCTCGCTCACATCAATCTTCAACGGAACTTTCATTTATTTGGTCACCCAACATTCCCGCAACGCCTTACCATGGCTCTTTTTGATCCGAACCAGACCAGCGGGGAGGGCAAGCGATTGACCGGGAGTTACACTGGCCTGCGTTTGCAAGCTCGTGATACGTGGCCACCAGCGGGCTCAGAGCTCCGACTTGTTCTTATGGGCATTCTCTCTGATAGCCTCGCATGTTCAGACGAGAGATCATTCGAAAGCTCCATCTCATTTGCTATCCGAGACATGCCGTTGGATGAGCTCGAGAAATGTCGTGAGGTAAATTCCATCCATGCGCTACGTTTCCTCAGGTTGCAGTACAAAGCACCAAACCATATCTTGGAAAGTGTACTTAGCCCAAGCATTCTTGACAAGTACGACCGTGTCTTCCAGCACCTTCTGCTCATTCTCCGGCTACATAGTGTAACGGAAGGTCTGCTGAGGGATAATTGCAGTACAAGAGATGCTTCTAAAAAGAATCTTCTCGATCAGAAGCTCATATTAGAAATGCACCACTTCATTTCAATGTTAGCCGACTATTGCCAGAACACGGCAATAAACCTTTGTTGGGAGCACTTCGATGGCATCCTGGAAAAAGTGAAAGGTCTTATTGAAAGGAAAGACTATGATAATACTCTGAAAATTGTGAAGAGCCAGGACTTTCTCAAGACATTGCTTGAGCAAACACTTGATGACACCCTGCACGCAATGCTGTTAAGGAAGAAACAGGCGAGAGGTTTACAATTGCTGCATGGGATGTTCAATCTAATCTTGGAATTTGCGGCCTCAAAAAGGAGCCAGACTGAAGCGAGTGAGTCAAAATTGAGGGATTACAACGACGAACCTACGATGAGACGATATAACCATGACTTTAAGACGCATATGACTGGGTTGATCGAGATGCTGAAAGCCCAAAGCCAGTATCGACCACATCAGAAGGTCGGAGGAATCGAAGGATTTGGCATTGGTAGTAGCGCGGCGGACAACCCCGTTGACCATCTGTTGCTCAAACTAGACATGTTTGGGTACTGGAGCTCAGGGAGGAGAAAAGGGATCTTTGCATCTCGACTGCCCACGATGGTATCTGATCAGTAGTTCTGATGCCCTGATAATGACCAGCTATCAACACACAAGCATAGGTGGAAGTCACAGCTATCTGACGAGTGAGGCGTGCTGGCTGGCTCGCTCGCAGGTGTGGCTATGTTCAAATGCAGAGTGCGAAGCCCGCGTGCTCTATATCTCACAAGGCTTGTTTAAAGGCTCATGATCGAACTATGAGCTCACTGCTGTAGATAGTTGCTGTGGCCGTGCGCCTTCGCATTCTACCGTCACGGACGCTGCTGTTACATGCCACTTTACATGCGCTACATCACTTGAACTTAACAGTTTGATTAGCTGACCCCTCCTTTCTTACAAGTAAAAAGCGACCAGGCGCAGCACAGGTCTGTGGACCTTGCGCTTCGCCTTCGACAAGGTGCGGTGAAGTCTGTTCGAGTGCTGCCAGGACCATTGCCTGGATTCCAGAGTCATCGCTGTCATCGGTATCGGCATGGTTGTGTCTTCTTCCTCACGGCGATAACGATCACTTCACGAGACGCACCGCAATGGGCCTATCGAGACTTGGCACACAAAACGAACGACCAACAGCTTCCTAGCTAAGAAGAAGTCGAGTGTTTGGGCCTATATCATTTGTTCGCCATATCCCCTGTACTTTTCTGTGTCCGTCATCAACCATTCCAAGCGCCGAATTGCGAGCCCCCCTTCGATCCTCGCACCCAGACGACGTCAAGGAGAGCACTGCACAGCACACGCACGATGACTCTCCCCAATCATTACACTCAGCCAACGGCTATGTGCCGCTCCTCCTCGATCCGGCTCCAATGCACAGTAAGCAACCCAAGCCATAAGCCGTCGTACCGGCAGTCATGCCACCGGTCTAAGCTCTCAAAGTTCCTCGAACGCCGCACCGCAGATCCGGAAGCGTTGCGAGGATACACATTCAAGGCCATCCGGGCTGTGTCAGGAATGTGATACAGACGAGAGACCTGTACCTCCACCGCCGGAGATTGGGAAAGGCGGGAAGCATGTACTAACGGTGGATGAGGGCACGACGGAGGCGTTGGAGCTGGGGAAGTGGGTTGAGTGCTTGTGATTGGAGAAACCGTTCGGAGACGTTCCTGCTTGAGCCTCCTGCCATCACTCTTTTTCACAGACGGGAGGACGGCGTTAGAGACTTGTGGTGTTTGGGTGCAAGCCTAGCCATAGTCAGCGATGAATGTTGTCCAGATCTAAGTGTGCAGGACTGGCCTTTAGAAAAGCTTTCCTATAAGCCCGAATGTCACTTTCACCCCAACATAGCCTGCGAAAGCCAGGCAGCCCGTAGCGATTAGTAAGGTATTCAAGTTCCTCCTCTCCACGCCTGATTCCTTCATTTTAGCTTTTTCATCCCCTCCTCTCGGCGTAATGAAATTGAGATCGGGGATATACTTGAAATCAAAGACTGTCTCGCCTCCAAGGCCAGATTTATGGTCCACGATGAGTGTCCAGAGAACCTTCCTCAGCGTGGCCACTTTCCGCCGGTCGAGGCTCGGCACCGATCGATAGAAGTAGCAAACACTCATGAAGAAGATACATTGCCCGGCCATGAGAGCCCAGTACCAGAGACTGGGACGGCCCAGACCCAGAGCATCGCCGAGCTCATTCCCGTTCAACCAGCGGGCGTTGACCTCGAGAAAGGACCGTGATGCATAGGTGGGCGGCTGGGCCTCGAGGCCGCGGATGACGTTGGCGGCAAGAATCTTGGAAGTTTCCGTCGGGTTGATCTCGTTCATCAGCAGCGACTCCATCATCGCCTTGGCTCTGGCCGGCGTCTCGAACCATTGCGTTGGCGTGCCCACGTAGTGGGCGATCAGCCGCCACAGCGCGATGTAGTCGGCGACCTCCTGCTCGCGCAACCAGATGCCCTGCCGCGGCAGCGAGAGCCAGATGATGGTTCCCGAGAAGGTGCCGATCGTCGCGATGCTGTCGAGGTCGTTGATCGGCACGCCGTATTTCTCCACCGAGTAATAATCCGGGCGGGAATTCGCCAGCTTCATGATCCGGCCGCGCACGGCGGCGTGGAGCAGCCGCACCCGGAGGCTCGACGCGAAGCCCGCGCCTCCTGGTTGGATGGATTCGACCGACCGTGTGCACTCGAGGATGTGCTGTGCGGTTTCGAAGAGTCGGTGCCGCGCAACTTTGACGGAGAAGCCCCCTGTCCGGGCGAGGACTTCGACGACTCGGTTGGCTCCCATACCGCCCAGGAGAGATTGATAGGCTAGCCCTGTCAAGGTCGCTCCTCCGTATCGGTAGAACACATCCTGCCCTCGTGCGATTTGGTCCCAGTCGACCCAGTCTGGAACTGTCGTGACCTCGTCCCAGAGCTGTTGGAGTTTGGGATCCTTGTCGTGGTTATCGCGAAAAATGGCATAGAGATCTCTTTTTAACTTTGGTGGTTTCTCCTCCATTGCTGCTGACTCTCCGGGCATGTGAGCTGAGTCTGGTTTCAGTGATGCAGTTTCTGGGTTTTTAGCCTCTTGTGGGCACAATCGATTCAAGATATCGTAACATTCCTCCCCCAGCACATCGTAGGAGAACTTCAGCGGATGTGCCTGCTCGGCCGTCAGATGTTCCGGAGTTAACTGGAATGTGTAGCCCCAGCATGTCCTCGTGTTCACATCCCGTCTGCGAAACGGGTTAGGCCACGCCATCTTTGCTGTAGAATATAGCTGGTACCAGATGATTTCTTAAAGGAAGCCATGCCTTCTCAGGACGAGACGGTCAGACTTGCATAACCTGGCTAGCCCACCGGGACGGCAAATACTGATGTCAATGATGCGTACCTAAGCTTGTATGCACACGAGTCAAGCCTCGGCTATCTCGGGGATTCTGCGAGTCAGAACGACGTCCAATGACGCCATGCCTCTCCTGGTGTGATTGAAATTATTACCTCTCTCCTTTAGACGGACAACAAAGCATAGCCAGACATAGAACAAAGGCCCTCATTGGGACTGCATTTGACTGCAGATGTCTCCCAGCATGCAAGGCACGAAAATTTTGCTGTGGGCTGTAATTCACAGTCAGCGGATGCAGACCCTGACAACCTGTCGCTATGCCCATTCAGCGGCATCAACAATCCCCTGGATCAACAGTCGCGCCCACCCTCCAAACGCCGTAGAGCAAAGTACACTACTTCCGTGCCTCAAGTCTGGCGAAAGGAGTGATCTACACGCGCGTAAACGACGGAGATACTCCGAAGATCAAGACCGGCCTGTGCCCCCTCCTCCCTCGAAAGGAAAATTCAAGACGCGGAAGGGCAAGGACAGGTGGGAAGCTGTCGAGAACTCTTCACTACTTGTGAGGCCCAGAAAAGCAGTCATCGGAAAGAAACCCGAGTCAATAGCTGTAAGAACAAGGCAAGACGAAGACAGTGTGCCATTTGAGAATGGGAACAGGAGGGTTCCCAAGGGCCGCACCCCTCCGTCAACAAGTGAAGCAGAAGATGGTGACAAGGGGAGGCTGGTCTCGAAGGGGAACAGGGCATTGTTCCTCCCACACAATCCAAAAGAGTGGCAGGTTCAAAAAAAGGCATTGTTGCAGAAGTTCAAGGACGAGGGTTGGAAGCCGCGGAAGAGATTGTCGCCAGACACGCTTGATGGAATCAGGGCGCTTCACGAGCAGGACCCGGAGAGGTACTCTACTCCTGCTCTTTCTGAACACTTCAAAATCTCTCCTGAGGCGATCCGCCGTATTCTGAAGAGTAAATTCCGGCCGTCGGAGGCTCAGCTGCAGGACCGGAGGGAAAGATGGGCACGGCGACACGATAGGATCTGGGACCAAAAGACCGAGCTTGGACTACGTCCTAAGAGGACAGGTGAAAGGCGGCTGGAAGAGCCTGAGGAATTTGAAGAGAATCTCAAAGCGAAAGAATTGTTGGATGCGGCACGGAGCAGTTGAGTTGAATACTGTCACGTCAGCTCTATAGATGGTGAAGAACAAGGCCTGCAGGACTGGAAAGATATACTGCATTCAGGCTAAGGAAGGTCTGACTTGATTTTCTGTGTAATTGACTCTGATTATCTGGTCGGACCACTAATTTACAGGTTTATTGATCTCCATACTAGGTGATGCGTGTCGAAAAGCTCTCGAAAGCGGCATTCCTGTTGAGGTGCGCGCTGGCAAACAATTGAGATTTCTCTTCTCTTTCTCTCTTCCTTTCATCTTCCTCGACTGCAGAGCCGGGCTTCTTGTGTCGATCACCCTGCCAATGATGCTGAGTGGTGATGACGTTCTTCTGCAGGAGCTCTGTTCAGGGTTGTGTGCAAGTCCTTAGTGTGCCTTGAAAAGACGGGCAGTCGCGGCCACAGATCACTAAACCTTGATCCCACCTCACTTTCTCTCAAGCATCTCGATCGTTGGTACATACCTCCATGGCATCGAGACCATGACGATACACAACCAGCAGAAGCCGACCAAATGCGGGACGGCTAACCAGACACTTGTCGAGGCTATCCACCTCATCTGCTTGGAGGTCTCCTTGGGAAGGTAAATCATCAGTTTGTTGTCATATTGCATGAGGTCTCGTCTTTCTGGCATTGTTGGAGGGAACGCGGCGTAAAGCAATGGAGTGAATTCCAGAGGGAGAAGTTCTATAAGACCGAGTCCAGGAAAGCCGACAGAGAAACAAACGTCATACCAGAAGCTATCAGAGCTTAGAGCGAGACGCACCAATTGGCGCAAAATGAGCGCAGTGATGATGCAGGCCACCAGAACATGATAGAGGATACCCTCTTTAGCGTTCAGAAGAAGTACTCTGTCCCAGCAACGCAGACGACGTCTGGGGTTGCGCTCATGGGCTGAATTTTCCGTTCGCTCTGTGACGCCTGAGACTTCAAACCCGAGTGGCTGTATGTCAAGTCTGCCCGGAAAGAGTGTTGACATTACTGCCTTGCCAGTGTCAATTGCAAAGTGGAGTCCGAGCCAAGTATTGGTGGCGTGACGACGTCTCATGTTCCAGACTCGGTCAAGATCCGGTAAATCCTTAAACTCGCTATGACGAGCAATCAAGCCGCGAATAGAGAGGCTGATGAAAATCGAAAGGACGCACCCTTTACCAGGGGTGGCCAACACGGTTCCACCAGTAGCGACGCACAGGGTGATCAATATCAAAGAAATGGCTTTGAAGACGGTGTTGTTGAAGGGCCGGAGACAGTGCTGGAACATGGCTGCTCGCTGGACAAAGTTGGCCTGCTTCAACTTATCATCAAAGAGAGACATGCCAGTCGTTAAGACACGAGACAGATGACCAGTCCACTACAACGACATCAGCAGACATTCGATGGTATCATCGTCTTTACTTACCCAACGACGACGTTGTTTCATATGAACAACAAAACAGTCTGGTTGCAACCCCCATTGCAAGACTTCATGGATCAGCATAGTCTTCCAGGCCTTTCCATGAAGATGCCAGCTTGTGAAGAGATCTTCCGTGACGGCGTATTCTGGAAAGCCACCGATGTCGAGCCAGGCTTGGGCACGCATGACAAAGCCAGAACCTGGACACCACGCAGATCCACAACTGTCTCTTGCACCATCTTCAGCATGATTACCGGTTATGTTTGATTGGTAAAGAGGATCATTGTCAGGGATGTTGTAAAAGTGCTGTGGGACGAGTTAGCCACATCCTTCACGTTGATTTTTGAAACAACAACCTACCTGGCCAGTTGTCACCATGCCGACATCTGCCTTTTCAAGAGCATGTGGGAGTAACGAGCGAAGAATTCCGAATGCAGGGATCATGTCAGCATCCAGCACGCAGATCCAGTCGAACTCGAAGCCAAGAGTGGGCACAAAGGATCTCAAGCAAGTGTTGAGATTGCCAGCCTTGTATCCTTTGCCACCTAAACGAGAGGTATAGTGTAGGACAGAGTGACTGGCTTGAAGATTGGTGACTTGTGTTCTCAAGCTTGCCGAATCACCATCATCGGCGACGATGATACGAAGCTTGTCAGGCGGATAGTCAACATGCACGGCTGCTCTGATAGTATCCATGATGATTTCCAGTGGTTCGCCACAAGTGACAATGACCATGACAACAGGAGGGACGACGCTGCCTCGCAGGCGCAGAGCAGGCCGAACAAAATCTTCCTTATTCAAGAAGACAATGGCATGCCAGATTGCTTCTGTGAATTGAGAGCCTGTACGACACATTAGCACAGTCTGTTGTCAAAAGGTTGACTACTCACAATGCTCGAACACTTGGGAGACAGCAAAAATCAGTGGGACAATCAACACACTTGGGTCTTGGCCTTGGGCCCAAGCAGCGAAGATGTTGAGGAACAACGCTGAAAGATAGAAGACCAGGTTGCAGAAGGAGACGATAGGAAGATACTTGCTCCATTTCGAGCGGGCAGGGGGTGCTTCTGGCTTGGGGCTTTCAACCTTGACGATATCGAACTTTGCCTCAGTCTTTGTGACAGAGGTTGGGTTCGCGTTCGCAGTTACGCTTCCGCCGTTGATTCTCAAACGAAGAGAAGAAGAGGAGGAGTCCTCCATCATGACGATGGGGCTCGTGTTCAGTTGAAGTGCTTAGGAAGTCAAATGATGAAGTGGTATGGGGACTTATGATGATGGTGTTGGGGAGAGAAGGGTGAAGGTGAGAGAGAGAAGAAAGAAGAAGAAGGGCACGACGAAGAAGCGGAAAACCAAATGGCAACCACTACTAGCGCCTTTTCTGCCTGCTCGTCGTTGCCATCGGGGTCGACGCCCTTGGTACGTGTGAGTACATTACTACCGACACCTCAATCAACCCTTGCAGGACACTCTCCTCTATCTTTACCATTCGGTCAAGAACAGGGACCATGGCATATATACAGACGATCTAGCAGCTGGCAATCATGCCCCTGAAAGAACCATGCTGGTCATGATGGCGGATACTTGCCACGACGTCCTCACATCGGTGACAAAAGCAGCGGGAATTAATTATCCTTTGCCTTTTCCGATTGCCACACCGACTTCTTGACAGTCTGGTCGTGGAAGGAGCTTGAGCTACTACACCAGCGAATGTTTCCTGCACGAGAGCAGTCCTGACCTAGTATGTTCCAGCATTCTCCCTCTCTTCCCAAGGCCATTGCCACTTCCAGGTTCGTCCCAAAGACCTGCACTCTCGTTGTGTCTACACGTTCTCCATATAACAAATCTGCAGTCACAGATTCAGCAACATGACAGGCAGATCGAGCTTCCTGTATTTGCATGCTCCCAGCTCGCCCTTGTCAGAGCTACAAGCACTTCAAGATTCATAACCAGGCGAGCAGCATCTCTATTACGCTACTTCACAAGGAAACGCCCATGGCAATGCTCTGCATGTCCTTTGTTGGAATTACACAGGTGGTGGAAAGCATCCGACCCTGGAGCTGTCGAACATCGTGTGCAGGTGCCAGCAAAATCTACAATATAGATACACAACCACAGAACTCTTGTCTCCGGTGTGGTTCAGCTTTCCTAATGGTTGCGTTCCTAATGGTTGCGTAATGGGGAGCTTTTCTGCCACTCTCTCCTGGGATGAGTCCCGCGTCCACGTCTACATGTCCTGCACCTGGTCACAATTACCGCCAGACTATAAGATCACGATCGAACGTGCCGGTGAGTTATACTCATGTGCTTTTTTGCCAAGCCAAACCCTGACCATCAACTACAGCCTGCAGATAATCCCTTTCTGTTCTCCAAGTTTCAATGTTACTGCACAGCTTGCAATCACATTCAATCCTTCCATCGTTGTTCCGTGTCAGAGCACATCTGTCATTCATACTGTGGCGGGGGTGTCCCACCGGGCTAGCCTGCCACAGATGAGCCAATCGGTCGATTATAATCTTTATGGTGACTCCTCAGACCTTATTCAATCTTGCTTGGTGCACATCCCAAGGACCTAAATGTGAATGGTCGAGCGGGAGCCCCAGAAACAGTCATCTTTGTCTGGAGATGGATGACGTTCGCGAGCTCAGGGTCCGCTCCTTCAATAACAGTCCACCACGCAAAGCAGCCACGCAAGTCCGTTCAGAACTGTGTTCTAAGATAGTGCTGTCACCAATTCGGTGTAGTTCGGTCCCACAAGGCTACCGCTTACACTCTGGAGCTCAGGGGGTATTTTGATCGACGTCGACCTGGATGCCAAACACGCCCAGACAAGGCTGATCTTGGCATCCTTGGCGTGTTTGCCAGATTGGAGACGGGACCTCAATTATTCTCGGACTTTGATCATCAATCGCCCATTTTGACGGCAACAATAGATACTGAGAAATTCCAAACCGATATGCAACGTGGTGTTTCAAATAGCTGTGTTGAACGACAAAGATAACAATTGTACGTCTTGGGAAGCTCCGAGGCCCGGAGCGAGCCCTCAAGCATGGTGAACATTCCGAAGCGCATGCGTGGTCTTCGGCCTGTAAGTTCCCCAATTTCTAATGTGAGGCAGTGCTAACGCTTGGTAGAAAGTAAGTTATTCTTGCGTGTCGCACAAGTTTGAATCTTGACACGCGGTAGCTCTTCAACATTCGACACGGACCCGGGGCAGCCACCTTCCTTCCTCATCCAGCTCCACAGGTCACACAACTCGATATATGGATACCCGAGCAAAAGAAGGCCTTTTCGCCCGGGACAAGAGATCAGGTATATGGCGCGTGGGAGTTTGTGCGGCATAATTTGCCGCGTATAAAATACCATAACCCATCCGTGCCAATCCGCGTACAGAGCGCCGACTCTCCAAGCCTCAGTCTAACTTTCGAGAGCGAGAATCAGGCTTCGTTACGGTCACTCGACCAAAAAGGTTCGGGGGACAAACCAAAGTCCGCCATTTTCAAAACTTCTTGGTCGATTGTGGAATCTATACCCCAACCCCTGCAGGATGGTTCATCATCAGCCCCCCCGGAACCAATTTTCCGAAGGCAAGTCAAGGTTGATCTCTCTGAGAAGGAAGCCAAACATATCTGGAAACATATTGAATTCATCACGAAGTGTGAAGAAGCGCCAGAGCCGACTGAAGAGGAAAAGACGATGATGCAAAAGCTGAATAACTTCAAGAGTCAGTCCGAAAAGGATCGAAGATTAGTGAAAGCCGGTATGGATAAGATCTTTAAAGAGAAGGAAGAGCTTCGGAAGGCAAGAGAAGCAGCCGAAAGGTTGACTTCTGAGTAGCATTATGGGATGGATGAGTTGTGGACCAAATCCCTGCGAGATATTAATTCCTGTACATTATTGTATCAACCAAAACGACCACCCTTTGATCATCTTCGATGGCAATCAACATCCCCCTCTGGAGCAAAATTTAGCAAGAACCGGAGAGCAGCTGTCTGGACAGCTTGAATGGAATCGAGCATCAACACACTACTTCTGACATAACATCTTCACCCTTGCAAGTGATCCCCAGATTACACAAATTTGCTGGCTGACGTTATGATTTTGCGCAGATTAATATTTATCCTTGTGCGCAATGACTCAGCTCTTCGTGTTTAGGTGAGTTGTCTAGTGGCAAACTTGCCCTGCCGCAACAGCTCAGCCTGTCACGGGCTGAAAGCTGATACGTATCCAGCCTGCTGAAAAGGGAGAAGGAGAGGTATCCTGTCACACTGGCTAACTCGGATAGCTTCAACTCACGGCCAACAGCCGTTTGAAAGGCATCGCATCAAGATGATAGTGAGCGTGTCTCACAAATTCATACAGGCACTCCGTTTGCGCATTCCGAAAAACTATATATACCGCAGATCGCACCCCAACTTCCTCAACCTCGACCCCAAATAAACCCTCTATCTCAATATCATATCATATCATCTGCCATGAGACGAAACCCCACAAAACCACGCGTGTGCGAGCTCCACCCTCCGGCGAAAGCAGAGAAACAATTACAACCACAAGAAGCATCTGCAGCGACACTCTTGACACATGTATCCCGAGAATCCTTGCTACAAGCTGAGGCGAGCGATTCTGATAGCGATGGCTGCCTCGTCTCTGCTGACGACAGCCCTTTTATGTGGGACGATACTCGAATATCTCCTATCGAAGCCAATGACACTGGAATAAATGGGAGCGAGAGCCCCCAGAAAAGTGAAAGCGCCGAGGAAAGCAATGGCCCGAGGCGTGGTGTTAGCTTGAGCGGAAACGATGCTCATGAAGAAGCGCCTACAAGGTATCCCACTACTTCCAAGGGCAAGGATAAGGAGCGCGTGGCCCCAGATTGCACTGAGGGCATCACTGTCTCTTCCATGGAAGCTACTGCTCCATCTAAACCGAAACGTTTTCAACCATCCACGACTCCAGCAACTAACCCCGCTTGGAAGAGATCTCACAAGCCATATCCTTTCCTGAACGCTTTGGAGAACGAGTGGAATGTCAAATCTGCAAAACCCGTCGAAAAAGATGGGGCTAGTGGGCCATCGACCCGAGTCCCTACCTCTGCAAAGAGCAAATTGAAATCCATGCGACAGGAAGGGTTGAGCTCACCAAAGCGCCGTGCCTTCCCTCCACCGCCAGAAGTTCACACTTTTCCAGACCAAGCGCCTCCACCAACACTCTCGCGCAAATCGTACGGAGGCCCCTTCCGTCCTCCGAAGCCACCGCCCTGTCAAAACCTGATATCTGCCAGTGACGCCCAATACATTGGCCGGACGGCTTCAAGCCGGCGGGCTCGTGTTATGCGACGTCCTGCTCATCGCGAGCGCCAACACGGGCAAACCCGAATGGGCAGACCTCCACCTGAGCTCCCTCGTCGCCCTGCGAACATCATTCCGCGTCAATGTGTTCCCTACCGAGGCCTACGAACGACCACGGATCGATGGGACGAAGTAATGCTCCCTTTCCACATCGCTCGAATTAGCGGTACTGGTGACTATCAACAACTCTTCATCTTCGACGTGGACGACTCCTACATCTATGCATTTCTACTCCTTAGCGACATCGCAAACACGTGCGATGAAAGCGAGCTAGAAGCACCCTATGATGATGTCTTTTGGGGGACAAGTGTGACCGAGGGATTTGCTGATGACACTATTGTTGTTGATGACAATCCGTCTTTGGACCAAGGTCCAGGGCTTGTGTCTCCTTCGGGGCATGTTGTTGAAGCTGATGGTGAAAATGGGACCCCGAATTTCTGGAACGTCTATTGCTCAGAATGTCGTGGAAGAAACTGGATTAAGGATCCCCCGGGGATACATTGGGGTAGCGGCTCTGAGCCGCCTGAATTCGATGACATCTGCTGTGCGACTTGTTACGGATATGACCGGCACGTGGTCCCCGTGACAAGGCAAGTCGATACTGATAGTGACCATGAATCTGAATCCGAGCTCTACGATACCTGCTGTTCAAAATGCCAGGGGAGGGGCTGGGTGAAGAATGAAGCAAGTGGTGGGCGAAGGAGAGCGCCAATGCACCGCCGTTGAGCAGATTAGAGTCTTTAATATCCTGGCAAAGGGATTGGGGACATCATCAGCGAGCTTGAGTCTTCACAAGTCTTTTGGTGGCAGTATTCAGCATTGACGATCGATTAATCATCTAACTAGTCTTAGCACATATATGCCAATGGAACCTGTGCCGCCTTCATGCGGAAGGGACGCCCAGGAACACGACGGGTTACATCAACAGGCTCTGTTGTTTGAACCCCGATCTCTCCCCATGAGATAGTTGGTGTTGATGCTTCATCTCACGTGCCAACATCTTGAATATGTGTTCCATCGTTACCATTGAAACCGGATTGATTTTCGCCGAGACTGAAGGAAAGTCGACCGACGAGGCTGACGTAGGCGGAAACCAAGAGAGCAATCTTGGTATCGTAGGAAAAGCGCCGGCACTGACCGCCCAATCCGGGAGAAATTTCCCTGCAAGCCACGTTGCAAAGTTGGACCGGAGGCATAGTGGCTAACAATCGTACAATACCTTTCCATGTAGTCGATGATATCACTGGGGTTGTGCCGTAGCTGCGAGGCGTTTCACTTGGTTGGCCTTCTCGTTTCCTCGAGGCGTTGGACCATGGCAGACAATACGAAAGCAATGAAGCAACGCCTTCCCCCACCGCTCACGAAAGTGGCGTCCCTGCAACAGCGTTCCGACTACATTCCACCGCCTCTCCAATCGCAATATGCCCAAATCCAGCTTCAAACAGATCCCGAAGGTCAGTGTGGTCTGCATGATGGGCGACCCCTGAATGCGAAATAGAGATCAGCTGAGAAAAACGTGCTATTCTCCTGCCGAGCCGGGTGCTGCAACCGCGAGACGACATCTAATTACCTATGGCCATGGACTTTTTGCTGAAGAGGCCAATAATATGGCCAGGTGCCTACACTGCGTGTGAGCCTGCCGGGAGCAAATAGACAACTACCTCTGCAACCGCTATCTAGACTTCGAAACTAGTTTTCAAATCTTCAATCTGTGATCCTGCCAGTAGATTATCGGTGTACACTTCAATTCAATGACCTCGAAGAAGCCACTGTGATGCTTCTCCTGCTCTTATCGACCACTACCATTCGTGTCCTCCTTGAGAGGGGGATTTTCGACTGTAATAAGGGATCATCCGTATTGATCCATGGGGATACCCCTTTCCAAGACCGTCTCTGAAAAGGTACCAGACTCGCATGTTACTGAACTCTGCTCTGTCATTAAAGTATAATTTAATTTAATTATGTAATTTATTCTTTTTATGTAGGTAAGAACTATTACTAGGTATTTCAAGAGTACTATCTGTGTATATTTAATATTAAGGAATTAATTATAAGTAACCATAAGAGGTAAGAAGGTCTATATATCAAGAAAAGGCGGAAACTCTCTACCCCGATCTTAGCACTCACACTGCAACTCCTTGGAATTATAACCACGACTCTAGACCTAGCACAACCTATACTTAATATGTCAATTCATTTGTACCTCGTTCTAAACTACTCTTTTAAATCTAAAGTGCTGTAGTGAAGGATAAGTTCTAATTATTATTATTGAACTATGGTTACTTTACGAGCCGAGAAGATGAAAGCCCTACGAGATACGACTACTTTGCTGGACGATCGGATAATATTTAACATTTGGAGAAACTTTGAGTCCGGAGCGAAGACAAAATGTCAACGATTCCAACCTTGATAGAACACCGACTAGTAAATAACCTACAATGGGTCCTGGATGCTGCGCTCTCTATGTCTGATTGTCCACCTCCCTCAGCGCCGGCCTGATCGTGTCAGGCCATGACTATCCAGGCGAACGGCCCGGGTTTTGTTCGATCGACAACTTTGCAAACGCCCTCGTTGCGAAAACGCTTCTGTCAAGAAATGATCTTCGAGGCATTGTGAAGTGATCTTCGATTGTTTCAAAACCTGGCAATATCACGCGCTAGTACCAAGGTCGATGACCTTTCTATCATATCGGCTTTTCGATGAGACCCGCGCGGTGGTGACTCCTCGCGGGCGGAGTTTGTGGTGGCATTGGCTTCTACAGTCGCAGTCTCACAGCTGAAGATAAGCTCTTGCCATCGAGATGAGTCTAATGGAGAGCCTCTCGTTTGAGCTGCCCTGGCAGTATAGCTTTTCATCAAGAGCTGTAAGGCGATTGGTGCTGATCTTGGGTCCTCTTGACATTGAAGTAGCTGTCTGTTTCCTGAAGCATGCTGGATCTCTAACAAATCTCCATACGCATCACCGACCCACAGGCTTGCTCACGACATTCGCTCACGGAGTGAAACTAGGAGAACGCCCAGGAAGCACGCGAAACGCGTTGTGAGCGTTCTCGAAATCCTATATATATTTGCGAAATACTTTTGCTTTTCCAGCCATCTGGATCTCTAGACAAATCTCGATTCTCAACCTCAGAAAAAACCTTCAATTTAAAACTTCGAAGCCAGCATGTCTGGACACGGTGGATGGCCAGGCGGCATTCCTTGGAGTAATTTCGATGACGATGGGGACCATCGAGATTACTCAAGAGGACCATTTGTATATAGCAATAGTAAGTCCTCGCCTACTGCGATAGCTTGCTGCTGAAGTTGTGTATCTGACCTTGCCGCAACACCAGTTCGTGCCCCAAATGGTACATTACACCCACAACTAAATCGAGCGGATCGTGGAGGACATGGGAGCAATGGCCGTGACACTTACAGACAAGGAGGAAATCGCCTCGGAAGCGATCGTGGACGAAATGGGAATGGGTACCGCGACCTTCCAGAGTTTCTACGCCGCCTCAACCTCAATGGAGGCCTGCAAGGAGGTCGAGGTCCCCAACGGCCTAATCAATGGCGATTCGGTGGTCCTCCCGTTCCTGGCCAGCCCGTTCCGCGACCAGACACTCCGGAGCCGAGTGCTCCATCCCTCCCACGGCCACCGTCGCGCCCAGTGAGTCCGCTGAAATCAACGCCAGAACCACGTCCGTACCCAAGTGGAGGCGAGGACCGCGAAGACGGCGAAGATATCTTTACAACCTGGGTTCTTCGTCTGGACACAGATCAGCACAAATGTGTGGACGAGGGGTTATTCCGCCAGCCCTTCAGCCCGGACCCGATAGTCATGGAGAATGATAGGATTCTCCAGCCTCGGGGGACCGTTGTTCTTCCCATCAAGCCTGGACGCCGCTACAACATGGACATGAGTGTAATGACCATCTCAAATGTGCTGTACACCCCAAGGGGGAAGCACTCGGAGCTTAGCTTCCCGGTGTTGGAAAAGCAAGGCTTCGCTTTGCATGAGACTCGCCGTCCTCCCGCCTCCATCCTGAGAAGACTTCCTCGAGCTTTTGCAAAGGGTAAATTTTATACCCTTCAGCATGACAACCTGCCGGGCGTGTATATACTCTATGCCTGTCGTCTAGATGGCGATCCCAACCGCCTGTCAGTATTGCCTCCGAAGCCGTCGGTAGATAAGGGGAACTGGATTGAAGGCGTCCAGAGTGGTGTCCTCGGAAGAGCGGTTGATATGGACGGAACTCTTGGTTGGACAGAAGCATCTGAACACAGCAAGTTTGAGGAACTGGTGCTCGATCCACTAGGCCGTAGGAGAGCTGATCTCGAGAGGATTGCAGGCGAGGACGATATCACAACTGTGCTGCACTGAAAAGCAATGAGCCTGAGTTGGTAGCTGCTCCGTTTGAGATGGGTACTTGACTTCCGCCTGAGAGCCACTCCGAACGATCTTGAAGAGTGAGCTTACCAGCACTGTGCCCCAAAAAAAGCTATAGAACGAGTGAAAAGATACCTGCGTATGGTGTTGATGGGTGTGATTGGAAAGGCTGTCCCTGTTCCTCGTCTCCCACCTTTACCATAACCTCCTAATTGACCACAATTCTGCTCAGGCATCTCTCTTTTGGCAGGTCAATAGATCTCCGGCCCATGATAATTCAAGTTGCTCCTCAAGTTGCTCCTGTTGGAATGACGATCGGCCATTAGCCTCCAGAGGTGAGTGTGCTACGGGTTGACGCAGTCAGCGAGCGAATTTACCGTGGTATGGCTAGGCGGAGTATGTAACCTTCATGTCATCCTCCATCATCATATTCTCTTTGCGGATCCATGTCTTGCAGGTTATCCTGATCCTCTTGTTCATTCACTTCATATGGACCAAAACCTCATGATGGTCCAAGACTGCCTTGATATAACAGTATCTACATGAATCTACAGTGATCCAGCTAATGGGGCTTAGATAGGATATTCATTCAAGTACGGAGGTCTCTGCAAACATTGGTGGCGAGGACTGGTGGGAATGTTGCCTGTGCAGGCATGCATGTCACGGAGTTACCTAGGCGCCCGGGGCTTCATCGCCGCGGTAGTGCGGCGCCTCAACGTCTGTGGCCCAGGGATCCGAGGGCCACCCTGTGGTCTACTACTGCCTTGCGATCTGGGAACTTGAGGCCCGGACCGTGATCCAAGACCGCCCTGTGGTGTGGAAACCTGAGGAGCAGGCTGTGGAAAAGATGACCTGGAATTCCCCTCACTTGCTGGATAGGTTTGAGCCGAGCTCGATGGTGTGGTATTGGGTAGTGGTGCGACAAAGCCGCCGGGAAATGGCACGTTAGGTTTATTCGGCAAGGGGCTGGGATGCTGGGCTGCATTTTCGACAGGACTCTGGCTAGGAGGTCCGGAATCAACCGAGTCACCGTTGCCCATGCCTGCCGATATACGCAGAGAATACAGCTCCGCCTGCCAGGACGCTATGTTGGCTTCCAGCACCTGGATTCGGGTTTCATGGCTGTCGTATGCTTCATCGCCATTGACATGACCCATAAGCTCTTGCTCTTCCTCACGAGACTTGATACATCTGTATTGGTTTGACTCGAACGTCAGCCCCTAGTGCAACTTGAGTTTGCCGAACTTAACAGCTGAACAAGGGATTCTTACAACCGAGTCTCATTGATTATTTTGTTCGCCAGTGATTCGAGCTCCTCAGTGGGCGCTTGGTTTTCTTTCATATATCCATAGTCTTTGGCCCATTCAGCGATTTGTGCTTCGCCTTCCTTGTGGTTGTAGCCTTTTATGACCCGATGGGACGCCATGGTGGTGATTTCGACAGTGGTCTTGGAGTAGCGGTGAGTTACTCTGCAGATGAGAAGCAAAGTGCAAGGAAACGAGATACCAAATCCATCGATAGCAGGTTTATGGTCCCTTCCCTGGGGTTATATAGTTCACGGCCAAGAGTCAAATGCCCCATTGAAGTGGAGATGACGCTTCTGTCTTACACTCCATTCTGCCATGAATAGAGACTTCGAGAAGAAATTGAGCACCTTGCTTTGGAGCGTGGAATGTAGAGATAGACCGAAAGCAGACTGCTGCTACACATAGCTTTCGGCCTCCGAATGCAACCTAGAGTCAGACATCCCAAAATTTTATTCGAAATTGTGGTTATGAACGAGCGCATTGGCGCGAGGGCCTTCAGGCAGCTTCACGCGGCATTCGGCCGCGTCGAAGAAACTCGCTCACCATGAGCGAGTATGTAGTGGTATTAATAACTTAAAACTGACCCTACATAAGAAGGTCCGAGAACTGTAATCACATAATCAGCACCCACAGAAGCATTCGATTGGCGTCTGGGGGCTTCGCCATGATTGTTCGAATTGCATGGCTCTCGGAGCTATCTTTGGAAAGGTCGATTTACTTGAAGCTGATACCGATGAATTGGTGCTTACAAACGGGGTGTGAAGGGTTGCTTTTCCCGGTTCTCAAGTCAAGCATAGACCAAGAATCCCGGCCAGTCGATAGAGATGGGCCAATCTGATGAATGGTTGTTGGATCAGGGCGGATCTTGAAGTGTTCTTAGTGAATATGAGGAGAAACACTGAACTTGAAGACTGGATATTATCTGACCAAATTTGACCAAGCTTCCAGCGTGGTACATGGAGAGAGTCTTTGCTCCTCCGTAGCGAGAAGGAAGCGATCAGACTGCGGCTCGTCACTTTTTGTTCGGGACCTGGCCGTGTCTATTATTGTTAGTATTATTAGGGGCCCTTTGGTCTCCTTACCAAAGACAGTCCGTGCACCGTTGAGCCCATCGGAGACGTTGACAACGTTGCTTCTATCCAAACTTTCCTAGCCATGGCACCTGTTTAAATAACAGCAAGTAACAAGTCCCCCAGTATCCCTCACTTATCATGGCTGGCGACCACGACCGCCATGCGCTTCTGGCTGACAATCACTACGACAACGATGCCACCCTTGTTGACTCGGACTCAGCATCAGACGTTGATGGTGCTGATGACAGACTTTCAGGAGAATACGGTCATGTCAAAGAGACTGATAGAGATATCCTTGAAGAGACAGAGGAACACGAGAGACTGCTGCAAAAGCCAGGGCGATCGTTTTTAGGGCTGATCGGCGGAGAACAGCATGGAGATGCCCCTAGCAAGAAGACGAAGAAGCGTGGCAGAAGGGCCAATACACACAGGACGAGGCCTTCTCAAGATTCCGATATGTTTGAAATGGAGGGTGGCTTCAAGGACACCAGCTCGCAGGAGTCTTCTGATTCCGAGACGAAGGGCACTAAATGGGACCGTCAACTCCCGGCAAAGAAACATCGTGGACGACTGGCCATTGTGTACCTGGCGATCATCGCTCTTTTCATTGCCCTCGTGTCTGGTGCCTACAAAGCGTCCAAAAAGCACATCCTTGCACCGACACATCACCGTCTGATCAATTTCTCCAATGGCACTCACAACTTCCGTCCAACAACCATTCTGATATCCCTTGATGGCTTTCGTGCTGATTTCCTTAATCGCGGCATTACTCCAGCATTGAATGCTTTTATTGCCAGCGGTGTCTCACCAAAATACATGTTACCATCGTTCCCATCGGTGACATTCCCAAACCATTTCACTCTTGTAACAGGCCTCTATCCTGAGAGCCACGGCATTGTCAGCAATCAATTCTGGGATCCAATTTTCGGGGAAGAGTTCTATTATACCAATGTTGGCGTCTCGATGCAACCTAAGTGGTGGACTGCTGAACCAATCTGGGTAACCGCAGAAAATCAAAACGTTCGTACTGCCATTCACATGTGGCCGGGATCTGAGGCTCATATTCCGGACGTCGAGCCAACATATCTCGACAAGTACAACGGATCAGAAGCGCTACCACGAAAGGTAGATCGAATCCTAAATTGGCTTGATCTTCCCGGTGACGATGATGATGCTGCTCCTGACGCGGATAAGCGGCCTCAACTCATCGCTGCGTACGTACCGGATGTTGATGCAGACGGTCATAAATACGGGCCTAACAGCACTGAGATTCGTGCCACTATCGCTGATGTCGACAGCATGCTTACTATGCTCGTTGAGGGACTCTATAACCGTAACCTGACCGAGATAGTAAATATCGTGATAGTATCTGATCATGGGATGGCGACCACATCTACAGAAAGACTGATTCAACTTGACGATTTGATGGACACGTCATTGATCGATCATATTGATGGTTGGCCACTTCGAGGTCTTCGATTGAAAAATCCTGAGCGCGATGTTCCGATTCTATACGAGCAACTCTCGAAGGAGGCAGAAAAGGCCGGAACATTTGATGTTTACACGCCTGAGACTATGCCAGAACGATATCATTTTTCCAATAACGACAGGATTGCTCCTCTCTGGATTGTTCCGAAGACAGGATGGGCAGTTGTCGAGAAACCTGACTTTGATGTGGCTGATGCCCTCGCCACCGGAAAAGAATATGAGCCAAAAGGACTTCACGGCTATGATCATGAGCACCCTTTGATGCGTGCCATATTTGTTGCCCGAGGCCCTGCTTTCCCTCACAAGGCAAACAGCCGAGTTGAGGTTTTCCAGAATATTGAGGTTTATAACATCGTGTGCGATGCATTGGGCATGGCGCCCCATCCCAACAATGGAACTCTCAGACTGCCCTTGAAGACTGTGGGGCTACACAGTGACTTCGATGCTGCTGGTCCGGAAACTCCTAGCGATCCGGTTGACCATGACACGGAGCCAAACCAAGTGGATGACCAGGACTCAGGGGACAAGACATCAGAAAGCACAACACAAACAGATGATACGCAAGAAGATGTGTCTGATGATCAACAAGGGGATTCGGTTGAAGGGAAAAGCAGCTGGTGGAAATTCATCCACGACGGGCTTGAAAAAGCAAAGGAATGGGCTAAGCAGTTTGTCGACTCAATCAAGGGCAACAAGGAAGAAGGGAGTGACAATGTTGAGAATGCCCCAAGTGTTTCAGCTTAAAAGCACCACCGTACCTACGTGATGGGGGACTCTCCGACAATACGACCTTGCATTTGAAGAAAAACCATGATGACCACGATTCGCGCACGCTCAAAACAATGCCTCAATGTATTCACCATTCATATTCCCGAGCATGCATTTACTCTAGCCGAAGGTCACGCTAGCCGATAGTTGGTGTATGCTACCTTTTGGGTTGATGATCTCACCAACGTACCACACTCGACACATATTTTATCCTAACCGCATGAGCCGGGTGTGAGGGGTTCGATAGAGCCATCCGGCCACGCTGAAGTCATCTAGCCTGATATCAGGCGATGGCGATGGCGAGGGTGAAATGATGGCAATTCGAACGGCAAAAATCTGATTGGAATGGCTCAGGCTTATCTGTCACATGTGTCTGTGGGCACCGTCATACACCCCCCTCCCCCCGGGACGCCTCCATGGGGGATGTCTCCGGACAACGGAGATGCATACCGGGGAAGTTCTAGAAAGATAAGCTTGTTCCTTTTGGCCGAACCATTGACATTGCTCTCATATGAGGCTTTTATCTCCAGACCAACATATCAGCCGGTAATAGTTCGGGGAATTTCGGGAACATGGGGTTGATCGTTTGCGGTGGCAAGTATACAAAAGTCTTGCACATGGAATATTCGAACGTTGAGTATTAATATTTTCGAGTTCCGATTCATCTCTCTGTGCTGGTACACACGGTCATAACATCCAATCACCCAAAACATGGCTCTAGTCATTGTCATTTCACCAACCAAGGCACAGCTGCCACCCTCCCAGTCCGGGCTGAAGAGACCCACAGTTCGGGAGAGCTCCAGCCTTTCAAGCACACCCACGAACGAGACCGCGGTACAGAAATCAAGGCGTTTTCCCGTGGAAGTCCAGCATGAAATATGATCTATGAATTGCCACTACTGTTTTCCTCATGTCTACAACAAATCAGGATGGCGCAGTGAGCTTCCTTTTCTGATAAAAGAGAATATTCAAAAACAGAGCGATAAAACGAGCATGTCAATATACCCAATCAATCAACTAAAGCTCACCGGCGAAAGATGTTTCTTTTTTGGATTGACAACATGTACCCCGAAGCATTACATGCATCAAAGCATGCCCGAAGGCTTCCAGGGCGTCTTGTTGACAAAATGGTCGAGCCTCAGCAGAGACGCAGCGGACGCAGCACCCGCTGTAATCAGCGTCGTTGCTTCTTCTACGCAAAGCACACGTCTCATGGAGGGAAGGACGGAAGGACGGAAGGACGGAATGTATGGATGTACTCATAGTCAAGGGGATGGGACAACTTTTACGAAATGGAAACCCGCTTTTCTTTTGCAATTGCACAAAATGCAACAGTTCTGTCTCTATCTTTCTCTGCCTGGGGAGGCCTTTCCACCTCCCAAGAGTTATCATTTCATAGCTCTCCCAAATGCCCGCGAATGTAAGCGGTACATAGTAAGCAACGAGACCTCTCTGGCCTCGCGTCAAAATGAAGGCCGTGTTACTATTCCGTTCTCGAGCATGCTGTCAAATTTCCACACAAGTTTCAGGGTCCAGTTAGATCAACCGTATCAGGCGAACACCGTCCTGCAGTCCATAGCTGCTAACTATCCGCACTACTGCAGTAAGTATCTACCTGGGTAGTGAAGAGCTTTCCACCGGAGTGGCCTGATGGTGACCACGACCAAAACGCGCCGGGAAGGATACCTGATTCAGTAACATTCGTCGATCCCATCTCGGGGTAATCCCTTTGCTGGGCGCCTCAAGATTCTCCACGTGGGAGGAAGAGCCTTGGTTTTCTGGTTAGTCCCAGAAGCTAGGCTTCGTCGGTAAGCTCAGCAAACCAGGGTCCGTCGGTCCCCTTTTTCTTCTTGTTTTTCGCCGCCGAGCGCTGCTTTTCCCGATCAGACTTTTCCCTGCCACATGCCACTCAAAGGGCGGTTTCTGGAGGGCAATTCCGACGTGCTCTGGAAGGGCGGCGGAGACGTATGCATCAGGCATCACGTAGATGATACGATGTTGCTGAGCAAGGAATCAAATCAAGGGATAACCGTGCGTTCAATTGTCATCTTCCATATCCAACGAGGACCGCCAATCTGCGCGTGCACCAACGCCTTGGGCAGGGCGAGTACGTACAGGCTTTAGCTAGTTGCATATTATTGACCAACCGAGAGAGCATGGAATACGCGAGGCTCGCCCTCGCATGAGGACCTCGCAAATGCATGTGAACTATTCAACCTCAGTGTGTATTGATTTATTGTGGGGAACTATCCTTCACGTCAGGGGGGAAGAGAGGCGTGTTTCAAGACTCATCTTGAAACTACCTTATTTCAAGGTTGACAGACATATGAACAGTAGCTCTCCACCACCATCACCATCACGTTCCCCGAATATTTCCCCCCTCTTGTACGCACACGCCGTGCTGGAGGCTACAGACTGGTCTTGGTAGGAAGGAAGCAAGTACGGAGGATCCGTATGTCGCATGGACTCTGTAGTACATTGGTTGATTCGTAGATCCACGGATCGAGATCCATCTGGACTCGCTCGCAGATCATGGAAATTACATCTGACTGTGATCAGCAGAACGGACCACAGCGGACATTTTACCAGTCCGAGTCCCTTCTATTATTCGTGATGCACAACAAGCTCAGCTGCCTTACCTAATGCTAATGAAAGGACTGTGTCAAGTAGTCGTGAGGTCTCACATGTGCAGGAGAGGAAAAAGGTAGGTACTCACTCACTCTCTTTTCTTAATCTGTCAAAGCCTCGGCAGCACGCTCGTGGCATTTGGTGTCGTTTATCGAAGGTAGCTGATGCTGCCCAAGATACTCCTCGGTAGAGGCAAGCCCAAATACAGATGTGCCAAGGCCCATGGCGTGGTCGGGCAATCAATCAATGGCGCCATAGAGTACTCCGGACCCGTATGTACTCCGTAGTACAATACATACTGCGAGAATCCCTCATCCGCAAGTTATCGATACTCGGCAGCTTGTCGATACCGCGATAGGGACGGGGTTCCCCTATCAACTAACCAACGTTAGCTGCCTTGGCTCCCCGGGGTCCTAGCTTACTCGTATTAGCCCTGGCGTCAACTACCCTTGGTCCTATATCCCCTGCGAGGATCCTCGATGCGCTCATATGCATTGCAAGCATGCGAGGGAGCACAGCATTTTGGCACTTCCGCACTCGGTACCAGGACTTCGCTTCCTGTGCCACGAGCCGCCGGAATGGTGTGAGACATACATACATGCACATACTGGCATCAAAGGCAAATGCGAAGCAAACGTCAAGCATGTCGTACGCCTGATCTGACTGAATGACTGGAGGGTGAGACATTGTAAACACTCGCTGGTTGGATATGGAACTTGAAGAAGCCGATAGAAGACGGTAGCACACTCAGAACATTTAAGATCTGGGGGAGCCGAGATGGTTGATTTTTCATTGTTTTTTGGCACTTGGATGTTGTCGTAGGCAGGCAAACTGCCTCCTAGTAATCACTGAACTATCTAATAAGCTAGCAATGATGACGCCGCTCACGCTCACGGAGTGTATCACGTACTCTTACTTCCAATGCTGTATGTTTGATCTTTTGGCAATATATCCATTGCTGTGTCCAAAATAGGGTCACCGTCTTCTATATATATCATACAATTTTGTCATTCTCAAAAACGAGTAGACCAGAACCCCCAACCTCAAATTCTTTTGGTGTCCTTTTAATGGTCTCCTCCCCCTCCCCCGATGCCCTTGCCCAAATGTTCCCTGCCCATGAGCCACTTCTTCAGGTGACGCAGTGAGGAGGAATGCTCTCATGCTAAAGGAGTGATCATGAGTTCCTTTATTCTTCGTCGAATGTTCATTTCACGTCATTAGGTGTAAATTGCTTGTGCTGTAAAAAGATTTCCAAGGGAGGGTGCGTCTCTCTTCCAAGTCCATGGGAAATAGATGAATTGAAATCGAAATCCAAGTAATTCGAAATGTTGAAAAAGGCTCGATCCATTTTTATAGGATTGCAGCAACCATAATAACAGCAGCAGCCCCGGCAAACTTGACGGCACCAGTAGGAAGAGGAGCTCCTCCAGTGAAAGTGCTGGCAACCGGTGCAACCGGGACAGAGCTGGATGGCGTGAAAGTGGTTGGGGCTGGCGCTGGAGGTGCTGGGGAAGGAGTAGATGTCACCGGAGCCGGAGCCGGTGGTGGCGGAGAACTAGTAACTGGAGGTGGAGGCGCCGTTGTCACAGGCACCGGAGTGACACTACTCCAGTCCTCCCAATGGTGAGATGAAGTCTCAACTGGAGCAGGGGCCGGCTCAACAGAGGTCAACCACTCAGACCACTCGGTAGACGTAGACACTACCGGGACAGGTGCAATTGAAGTAGATGGAACCGGGACAGGTTCAGCGGATGACCAATCGCCCCAGTGAGTAGTTTCAGGAGCTGGTGGGGGAGGAGTGTCAGTGGTTGAAGTCTGGATCGGAGCTGGGGGAGGTGGTGATGGAATGGATGAGCTCGAGGATGGCCAATCGGCCCAAGAATGACTTGTCTCTTCAACTGGAATAGGTTGAGGGGCTGGAGGGGGAGGAGGAATGGATGTCGTCGTGCAAATGGTCGTTGTCGGAGCTGGGGGAGGGGGCGGAGGGGGTGTTGTTGTGACTGGGATAGGTGCAGGTGTAGGGGAAAGAGTCGATGATGATTCCGGTTGCCAATCGCTCCAAGAATGCTCACCATTTCCACCATACTGGCTACCTTGCCAGTCGCTCCAGCCATTGCTACCACCGCTGCCACCACCCACTCCTGGAGAGCCTCCTTGACCGCCACGACCACCAAAACCGTCATTGCCACCATGTCCGCCAGAGCCGCCACCGAAGCCGCCTCCTCGACCACCGCCAGAGCCACCGCCGCCAGGGGCAGCACCGGCCATGGCTGCCAAAGCAAGAATGATAGTAGACTTCATGGTGATAATAATGTTGGTTGTGGTTGATGATGTGAATTAGCGAGGCGTATTGAGTATTAAGATGTGACTGAAGGTCCTGTAAGTATGGAGACCTTGATTTTGAACGAAAGGCTCAGAGTACTCTGTAGTGAACGATCTGATAGCGAGGGATGAGGAAGATATGAACACAAAACAAAGCGCGAGGGAAAGGACTTCAAATACCCATTAGGGGGACAGGACGTCATGTACGGCGGGTGTGACTGATATCCATCTTTGAGGTCTGGTCGTACGTTAGTTTGCAGACCGAAGTGGCAGGTCAGTCAACGAATGTGCACTGTTGACCATGTCAGCGTCTCCAAGCGTCAACTGTTTGCTGAGGTTTTCAAGAGTGGAGTGGTCAGAATAGGAGTTCAGGCCAGGTTTAACTAGGATAGATGCATAAAGTGGGTAACCAGATCGTACCGAGCAGGGTAGGGAAAGGCTGGAACCACGCACGGCTCAGGGGATTCCTAGGACCTGGGGGCTCACGGTGGACAATGCACAGACTGGACTGACCACAGTTCCCGCAATGAATAACGCTGGCGGGGGAAAGGCTGTTATTCCCTGTGGCGGCAGTACATTGGAGGTGGATATATGGTGAAACGGCACCAACCTCGCCAAGAGGTCCATTGCCGGCTGGATATGCTCGATTGGCAGCGCGATGATGCAGGGGGACGGACCCCGTGCTGAAGGATACAACGGGGCTCACTTGGGCCCTTAGCCATTGTGCCTGGATCTGTTCAAGAGGCTTCCGACTGCCTCTGCCACCAAGTGGCTTGTGGCTGTCGGCGATCAGGAGGCTGACCGCTCGGTAGCCCAGCCAATAAACAAACCCAGCCTTCTGGTTGGGGATCAAAGAAGGGCCCCAGACCCCTTAGACCTTATTCCTGGCAGGTGGTGGGAGAGAGTAGACTGCATGGACGATGACCATGGAGCGTTCAAAGCTCAAAAGCTGGCTGGTTGGCTGGTTGGCTCGACTCGTGAATTGCAAAGGACTTCGAGGCGGACGTTGCACTCGTTCTTGATGTTTGGGGGGCGCCTGGCCGTGGCTTCCCTCCCCGGCAAAGACGTGTGATTTACGTGTGCCTGCCCTCTGGGAGGTGTCTCCACACCGCTCAAATGGCAAAATCACATGTCCATGTCACATGTGTAGTCTTTCGTATAGTAATCATAATCGGCAGGCGTGGGCACCCAGCGGGGTTCTTCTTTCCTCTGCTTGGTGATGAGGAGAACAACAAACACCACCCAGCTGTGGGCTGCCCGTCAAAAGTCAATCAATCAACAGTGTCATCGCTACCTCGCACTCATCCTAGAACTTTTCATCACTCCAAGGCAAGTCCGCTCTGTACTCAGGCTGCCATTCGTTTTCGACCTGTAAAGTTGTAGTTGAAATCCAACCATCCATCAACCTTCTCCTGATCCCTGACCTGACCGTCTGTGGGAATCGGCCGGGTAGTAGTTGCCTTTATTCCAGACACAGCCGAAAAAATGACGTACGATTCGCAGATTGCTTTCACTTTGGACACCATTTGTCCTTGGTAAGACATTGATTGCCCCAGATCCCAGCATTCTACTCTCGTTGTACCGCTCAGACGTCACTGACAGCGGCACAGGACATACCTTGCGAAGAAGAGGTGTGCTAAAAATCTGGTCGAGAAGATGCAGAGAACTTGTGCAGCTCGCTCGCTAACGTGGTCGGCCCACTGGCATTTGCAGACTTGATGAAGGTTGGTCTTTGACCTGCATTTCAATTGAGACGCAGCGGCTATCTAAGACCTCTTGTTGTCACCGTCAATGCCGTTCCGATCAACAATTCTGACAGCTATGCTCACTTTTAGCCCTTCGTCGTTTCCGGCAGAGCGATCAGGCCAAAGATGTGAATTTCACTATCAAGTATTATCCGTATCAGCTTTACCCTGAGGCTTCCAAAGAGGGCGAAGACAAATACCAATGGTATAAGAGATCAAAATATGGCGATTCCGAAGACAAGATGAAGATGTACGTCACCCTGATGACTGCCTACGGAGTAAGTGCCGGCATCGATTTTAAATTCGGCGGGACCGTTGGAAATACCATGGATGCACACCGGGTCATCCAGCATTTCCAAGAAGAGAAAGGCCCCGAGGTGGCCGACAAGATCGTTCTCTGTAAGATACCGTATTCAAGTCCGGCCCGGGGGCACCGGGAATGCGGTTTTGCATGCATAACTCATTCTTTTTTTTGCCTGCAGCTCTATACTCGCAATATTTCCAAAACGAGAAACATCCCTCTACAGACGAGACACTTTTGAAAGCCACCACGGACGCGGGGATCCCAGAGGATGAGGCAAAAGCGTTCATCGAGGACAAGAATGACGGTCTCATCGACGTCAAGAATTTGGTCCGTGAACAGGCCGGCAATGGTGTGGATAGTGTGCCAACCATCGTCTTTGAAGGTAAGAGAAGAGATATCACTCTTGTCGGCGCCAAAGAGGTCGAGGAGTATGAGAAGACACTCGCGGCAATAGTCAAGGAAAGTAAATAGAGAGTAGCTTTGTTGAGGTCAACAATGAGTTCGTATCATGGACAAACCATTCGTGTCCCGTTTGCCTGGAATGCCAGAACACCCATCCATCCCTTGATTCTTTCCTCCATATATTAGCTGAACGCCTATATCACAACCATATAAAGATATAAGAGAGAACCCAAAGCATTTTGGATCTCCTCACGGCAGAAAATTCCAGTATGGATACAAGAATCGTAATAGCCAGGGCTACCTAGCCACGTAGCCACCTGCCTAGGATAACTAATATAACATTCTCAAACACAAGGCTAAAGGTACTCAAACATCAAAAACCTCACCAAAGCCGCCGACCCCACCACCACCAGCGGCAGCGCGCGCATCGACGAGATCCAACCGCCAACCGACCCAGGCCTTCAGGCCGCGCTTGACCTCTCTGACATGCTCGACCATCTTGCGGGCCTCCTCTTCTCTCTGCGCTTGCGCGAACGCATTCTCATCGAAGGCGCCGTCGCCGAGGTCGTCGTCGAATTCTTGGAGGAGGGAGTCGTTTCGAGGGCGATTCTGATGCTGATGCTGATGCTGATTCTGCTGGTGGGAGTCTGGCGAGGCGGTGCTGGCGCGGAAGGCGGCGAGGCCGGAGTTGATGACCTGCGTGAAGCCCGAGTGGCGAGGCTGAGAGTGCGAGTGTAGCAGGTTGCCGGAGCTGCGTCGTCGACTTGCATTGCCAGAGCCAGACAAATCGACATCGTCGAAGTCCTCTCCCGCGGGATCCAGCGAGGTGCGTGACCCGCCGTCGTCGCCGCGCGGCTGCATCTGGATCCGCTTGTCCCTCCACACGCCGCGCTGCAAGTCGAAGACCTGCGCTTCGAGCTCGCGGATCTTCTTCTCAAGCTTCTGCCGCTCTTCGTCCTCGAGCTCGTCCAATCCTTCATCCCCCCCGCCGCCGCTCATCACGCGCTTGTGTTTCTCGCGCAGCCGCGAGTTCTCCGAGTCGAGCTTTTCGAGCTTCGCGCGCAGGGTGGGGAGTTCTCTGGCTGAGGCTTCGGACGCGGCGAGCTTGGATGCGTTACGTGCTTCCGCTTCGCGGTGGAGTTTGTTCATCGCTTCGACTTTCTTGTCAAGCTGCTCTGCTTTCTTCACCACTTCGTCGCGTTTGACAATGGCCTCCTGGAGCTCGCGTTCCAGGGTGCGGATTTTCGTGTCTTTGCTTGTCCGTTCTGTGCCGTCTAGGACCGCCTTCTCGCTGGCCTTTGATAGTGCCTTTTTCGTGTCTGCCAGCTCCATCTCCGCGTGTCGTAGCTTGCCCTCTGCAGTTGACAGCGACGTCTGTAGTGCCGAGATCTGTTCTCCGTGCGTCTCACAGCCTTCCGTCTGGCTCGACAGCTGGCCTCGCAGTCGCGAAATCTCAAGCTGCATGTCGGCAATCGTGGAATCCTTGTTTTCGAGCTCCATCCTCAGGTTCTCCACATCCTCGCCTGCGGTGCTGCTCCCCCTCCTCGCTGTTGTGCTAGTTTTGCGCCGTAGTGTCTCAACCTCCGTCCTCAGCCGTTGAATTTCTCCTTGATCAGCAGCTGCGCTACCACCGGTGCCAGTACCGCCTGAGACAGACCTCTCAGCATTCTGCTCTCGCAGCTCCTCCAGCTCCTCCTCCACCCTGCGCCATCTCTTCTCATGCTCCTCTGCCTCTCTGGCAAGCCGCTTATTCTCGCGTTCCAGCTCCTCAGGGCGTGAAAGCCCACTCGGCGTCACGAGCGCGGGACTCAGAGGTCCATTGTCTCGGAAGCTCGTACTGCGGATCTTGCTTTGCAGGCTGACGCTGGGTTGGCGGGCCGAGTGGCGCGGGCCTCTCGTAGTAGTCGTAGAAGATGAGGAAGGCAACTGTTGATCTGAGGGAGGAGATATCGTCGCCGGGGATTCGACCGCGTCCGGACTGGCGTTCCCTGCCGTGCCCGCAGCCTTAATCACATCGTTGAATGTCGCTTCATCCGCATCCTGGGCTTCACCTGCGGTGGCGGACGTGTCCTCCTCTGCAGGTTTCTTCTCTTCGCTTTCAATCGGGTCTTCAATATCAGCGTCGGCAGCGTCCTGCTCATCTTCTTTCGCTGCTACGGCTGCGTCGTCCTTCTTCGCTTTGTTCTTGCTTGACTTCTCTCCAGCACTCGCCCCTCCGCCTGCGGATGCGGCTTTCTTCTTCTTCTGAAGTTGTGCGACCTATGCGGGAAGGGAGAGATTAGTATCTTTTTCCTCAGTTCTAGTGTCTACGGATTGTTGAATTCCCTGTAAGGAGGAATAGACTAGGAATTGCGTACTCTCTTCTTTGCAGCCGCAAGCTTCTCGGCTTTTTCCTTGTCTTCTTTTTCGCCCATTGTGAGAATTATAAAACCGTCGCGGTTTGGTCGAAAGGATAGATCATACAAGGGAAAAAGCTGTTGTGAGGCCCGTTGTTGGGAAGATATTCGTAGATAAATGGGTGAGGTCGTGGTTCGAGTCCAGTACTCAGCCAATCGGAATACGTGTCCTTGTTCAGGGGATGGTCCATCTACGAGTACAATAGACGAAGCAGATGATGCGCAGAGCACATGCCAGCGACGATCTCGATGTCGAAGAAAAGGTCGCGATAAGATTAGAAAGTGTACAGAGGCTAGAAAGGATAAATCACTTTCGACGGTCATCATACGGATGATATATGAGCAGCAGTCTGCCCACAGGCCAGTGTAAGGGAGGACCTGCATATTGGGCCCTTTCACCTATCCATGCCCCGGTGCCAACCTCCTGATCCATATGTCCTACTCATAACACCATCCAACCAAAAACACAGCGCTGCAAGTTGTGACCAAATGGTATTCAAGCGAAGTCGTAGAGCCGCTCCCACAGGCTCTCGAAACGCCGGTAACATTCTGGGTATCATTAGTAATACACCCTGAATGAATTAGAACAGTTCCTCCCCCATCATATCATCCCAACGCCGGCATTATGCAGTATCCCGTGGGTCATTATGAGAAATCCCTGACGGGTTTCTTCAAACCTCAATGGGACCAACAATCTCTTCACTCATGCCCCTAGCAGTACTCTTGCTGGCGCTGCGAGCACTCCTCACCTCTTCATCACTGAGAACGTAGTTATCGTTCTCATCAACCACTGGTCGCATGGGAGGTGAGAAGTGCTCATCGTCACTTCTTGGTTCTGGAATGCCCTCACCAGTTGGATTCTCCACTGAAGCCATTTCTGTGTCCTCATGGTCGATGACTTCGATTCCTTCTCGGTCGCCGAGCCAATACTTCGCTCTCTTCCGGGCACCCATATCAGGTGTCATCCAGCCGTCTGACTCGTCCTCTGCGAACCTCTTTGATCTGATTGGAGTCCGCAGACCATCATTCGCACCCACCGACAGGATGCTAACGCCTCGAAGATAGAGGTAGCATACTCGTTTTCTTGTTTTGTTAAAGAAGAAGTAGTTCATTGACCATATGGAGCCTTCATCATCATCTTCAAATGGATCATAATCTTCGGGAGCATATCGATAGATAGTGCAGTCCCTCAGGCTCATCTGGTTGTCGATCAATCTCCACATCCCCGGGCCCCACAAAGTCTGGATTGATGGTGGACCGTTGGCGTCCATAATGCCACCGGGCCCAGCAAACAGAGGGTTGAAGGCTCGCGGCCTCAAGTTATAGAGAGTGGTATCAAGGTTGTTCATGACGGCTCTGAGACTCTTTTCCCGTTTGAAATCGGTTGGCCTAAGGACGTGCGAGAAATCGTAATCTGGATGGCTGGCGTTGAGGGTGGCAATGAGGTATGCGTATGTTCTTCTGGAGCTGATAATTCCCAAGTTGCCAAAAGGACTACTCCGACTCAGATTGAGGCTGGAGGCCATGAGATGTGCTTGCGGAGGGGAGAGGGAATTCGAGAATTGTAAATTCGATTTGTACTGTTGTTCCAACCCATTTTCAATGTTCTTGTATAGTTTCTTATCTCCGCCTGCCGCCTTGGTCGTGTATAAGTCGCACCCTCCCATGACATATAGATCGGGCGTAGAGAAGTTGAGCGCGGAGTTAACGGCATCGAACTCACGAATCGGTACGAACTAATAAAACTGTGTCAGCGGTGATGGATTAACATCTAACTTTGAAGGGACCGAGTTCTACCTTCATGATGACTGTGTTCAATTCGGCGTCTCTGTCTCACTTGCAGGACATTGGAGAAGACACAGTCAGGACACTGGAGAATTGGGCTCGACACTGCGTAATCTGGCCTAGAGCAATAAACGCGACCAAATTGATACGGTGGCAGGCTTCGCGTGTAGGAATGGCTGGTGGATGATGGAATGTGGTGGTATAGGCACCTGAGTGAGCTAAGCGATCGCGGACCGAGAGATATCAAGGCTGGCTGCAGAGACAGCTCTTGGGCAATTCGAATAGCTAGACGATAGACGTCTAGCAGGTAATGTATATTTGATGGAATCCCATATCGTGCTGATGATGAACGATGAGGATGATGGCTGAGGTTGGACAATGAAGCGGAGGTGGGAAGTTGAAGTTGCGACTGCGGAAGGCCGCATCACGTGATAGATTGCGTAGGGTGGTCGACCAATAGGCACATGAACGCTTGCACGAGTAACAAGTAAGCAACGACAATGGCTTCATACTCACACACAATGTCTCAATCGGTGATCTGTAGTGGTGGGAAAAAGTTTGCGCCATTTCAAAGGGCTCTCTTACTCTGATCTGTGCAATAGAAGGTCTGAAGGCGCCACGTTCGGTGACTAGCTGTCCAGGTCAGCCAGCAAACAGTTTGATGGTCATGAAAGATGCTTGATTATTTCATCATCCTGATACACTGTACATGGTTCGTTCGCTGCGCATGATAATAATGACGAGGAAAGGGTATCTTCCTTCAACTCCGGACCTTCGTTGCTCTTCACTTACACAAGACCCACCAGCAAAGCGAGCTCGTTTACAGCAAACCGCTCTCTTTCAGATTCGTTTCGGTAACCTGCACGCATATCAAAGGTTAATTGATTCATACTGCAATCTTTTTGCGAAGAGGGTTTGTCGTCTGAGCATAATTCACAGCATGTTGCACTGGGCGTCACGATAGAGAGGCATCAAGCGAAGAAGCCATTTAGCGTTGCCGTTGCCGAAACTGCCCGAAAACTCGGTTCCATCATGTTCTACATGATCTTCGTAACGTCTTCCTCGACCTGGATAAAGCAGCAACCATCATTAGTTTGATTTTATGAGCGGGTCAATGATGAATGCGACTTGACGGAAAGGGACGGCAAGCAAGCTTACAGAGGCAAATTTGGAACTGTTCTGGTCACGCAGATCGATGCGAGCGGAGGCAAGAGTGCGACAAGGAGGGCATGTGGGATATCTCATTCACTTACCTCCATATCCTCAAGACTGTCCTCTTGACTTATGCAGCGTAGGACATTTTTTTTGCTGCTTTCCTGCATCTCCCCTGCCAGAAGAAGTTCATCCAGGATAAAGTAGGCTTTTTGGAAGTTGAATATGATATCAAGTTCGCACACATTGCCATAGTATTTATCCATCTGTTCGACGTAACGATGGACAATCTCGAGGGTGATCAATTCATTGTCGGTGGAGGCGCAGCCTGCGATGAAGAAGAGAGAGGCATAACGGCGATAGACTACTTTGCTGTCTGATGAAGTAGGTGTGTTAGTGACAACATTACATGATCTAGAATGCAGGTAAAATGAAGGGAGGGTTTCCAGGGCTGCGGTGCAGGAGGAATCGATGAACAGAAGTGAATAAGTGGCACACCCTTGTATTCAAGAAAATTGCACATTCGTGTCCGCCGGGAGAGAACGAGTTGAGAGACATCCTTAATGATTTTGGCCTTCTCTTTGGGTGAGAGAGTAGTGAACCATTTTGCAAGTCTCTGTGAATGAGATTGAGGTTAGCGAGAGAAGCAGGGTGGGCGACAAAGTATTCGGATGCAGCATACCACTTTGCCCTGCCTGGACAGCAAAATGAGATAACTGTACAGACGTCAGAATGGGTACAGTACTTTCACTAATGGTGTTCCTACTTAATAGGCATCTTGCATTGTTGGCACTGAGTACGAGCCACTTTGAACGAAATCGGTCACTCTCAAATATGAAAATGATTAGCGAGAGAGGGTCAAGAAGCCAAGGCGCCATATCTAGGGCAGATCATAACTCCCTTTGCGCACTCCGTAGTTTATCCGCCCGAACATTTGTCCCCCACTGCAATAAGTCCACGGGCCAGGGAATGACCCGGCCTAGTATTTATATGCGGGGCGAGTATATAGTAAAAGAAATTCTCCCATCAGACTCTGAGGTACAGTCATCATCGTTCATTCTGCAAACCGAAACCTCGACACCAAGATTTGTTAGCGAAGAAAATGGAATCGAATATGGCCCAGTCCTTCCCTCGCCTTTCGTGACTTCACTGACAAGGATACAAGTTTCATGAACTACGTTATATGCTCAATCGACAATAGTTCTGCCAATAAAAGCTCCCATAGTATTCTTGCTGGTAACTCAACGAAGCCCAGAATTGCCTAGGTGCCTCCGCATTCGCTGCCCTCTCGCACGGAGGGAAAGCGTCTTCGCGATGAGTAGTGAGTCTTCGATCAATTGAGATTTGGTCTGCGGAGCTGGTGACGAATTGATGAGAACTCGATCGATGCCTTTCACGAAAGTCCCTCGTGTGCTGTTGTTTGGGTCTGGACACAGGCATCTACTGATGGCTTCTCCCGGCTTTGGTGGATTCCACTTACAATATTCCATCATCTCTCTGGACCACGTTTAAAAAGATCGTTGATCTACTCGAACATGACAACGTCGCCATATCGAGTACTTCGGAAAGGTTTCGACATGAGCTTGTTCACGCTAAATATGTGTTTTGCTCTAGCATGTGTTACGCTTTACTCTAAGGGCCAGGATGACAAACTTTGGATATTTCAGAGCAGCTCTGCTGGCACTCTCGCCTGCAGGTTTCGGCTTTGACACTCTTCAAGAGATTCAAGACTTCATCTTGATCGCAAGGTTCGGGACATTCCATTTGATTGGTAATTCAAACTTTGCTCGATGTTTTTTCTGCGTGCTAATCCTTTGCCAGGCTGCTCGGTACGGCAGCTTGGTCAAACCCGTCTCAAAATTTGTCTGGAATTGAAGATGCAAGAAGCTTTGTAACCTCTCACATGTCCCCGTAGAGGAATAATTGAGGCGGTGAATCTCTTTGGAAGCTTACGTCCTCGACCGCAATAGCTCTTCAGCTTTGGGAGGACCCTTTTGGGCTCGACGATTCTAATATCTCCATTGAGCTTCCTCTGGATTACAACGATGAATATCTGGCACTGGCTAGCTTCTCATCCGCAAACATCACCAGTCCACCTATTTCCAGACTCAGGATCAACACTGAGATGACATTGGCAATTCATAACATTAGACTAGACTACGACGTTCTCTGTGTTGTTAATGCTACCCAGTAGGACTTATTGAAGTCAGAAACCTGGAACTGGCCCACCGAACGTCGCCTTCTCAAACAAAGCCGTTTGCTCCTGATGCTACGTTTCGTCAGCAACAAGGCCTCCCATTCCACTGTCGTTGTCCTTCCATTCAGAGCTCGCTTTGATTGGGACGAACAAGTCATCCACTTTTACAACTTCCTGGATCATCCCTTGTTCGGCCAGATACTGAACGAGAGTTTCTAGTGTCTTCCTATTCGGCTCCAGCCCATATGGCCAGCAGTCGCCGTTGAAAATCTCCTCCATTTCTTCAACATCGGCCAGGAGCCACGGTACCATATACCTCAATGTACCTGTGTACACCAATCCCTTCCGTGCAGTGGCTTTCGATTCATCCAAAGCGCGGAAAAGCGATGTTGCTGCAAAGCGATATCGCTCATAATAGTCCCTCCGTATGACAACCAGATGCATGATTGGAAATAGGCCAGTATTTTTGAAATATGCAATCTCAACCTGCTTGAAGTCCGGAAACAAGCGTTGGAGATGCGCTGACCGAGCCATGGAAGATGGTTTGTCCGGACTGATAAGCGCATCCAGCTCTCCATCTTCCAGCATCTGACTGAGCGACTTGGATGACGTGTTTCGCTCGATTTTCAGCTTTTTCACTGGTGGTAGAGCCGATGGCGATCCATAAACACCGGGCTTTTCCACGTCGCCTTCAGTCCATACGATACTGTCAATGTCTACCCCGTACTCGTGTTGCAAGAGACCTCTGATCCAGACGGCGGCGGTCATCGTATACAAAGGGATGCCCACACGTTTCCCGCTCAGGTCGCTCGGCTGTCTGATCGCCTTCGTATTGACATAGATACAGCTATGTCTGAAAGCGCGTGAGGGGAACACAGGCAGTGCAACGAATGAACGGTCGCCAGCAGCATAATTTGAGATGTACTCAGAGCTTGAGAGCTCCGAAGCGTCGAACTCGCCTGCGCTCATCATCCGGTCAAATATCTCGCGCGGATGAGGGATGTCGATGAAATTTACTGCTATGCCAGGACATCTAACCTGGCCTCGCGCCAACGGGACCATACGGTCATACAGGCCGCTCGCAAAGGTCAACGGAATGGAGTTCATGGTATAAGGTCCTCCGCGCCTTCAATGATGGTTGCATATTTACTTGAATTGCGACGGTACAAGGTATCATGCTCTAAGCATCGCACTCGGTCAGTTTCCTGGTTGTGGAGATACCTTTTGTCATACATCGGGTCTTGGAACCGGACTCAAGGCATACGGAGGAGTTGCCCGAGACACCCACACAAATTTCTGCGCGTCGTTCATTCTTCTCGAATTTGAACGGGGCTCGCGTCAAAGATCGCACCGAGCCACTCGGATGGTCTCCGCAATATCCGCAACATGCCCATTGGCCGGATTCACAGTGTATCACGATTGTACCCAAGCTGTGCTAACACCAATACTAGTTCTTTCAAGCTCTTTTAAGATTGACAGAGCTATGAATTGATGCGTCAGTTCATTATTGCAAGCAACAACGAGGCTGATTAAGATGATCCAAAAACAGGCTAGGACAGGCTTGGTGGTTCCTTGCATTATTAGGGGGAAACCGGTCTCGCTCCCCGACTCTCAGAACTTTGCAGTGATCGAGGGTAAGACTGGAGATATTGCGCATTATGCTCAAAGTGCTACGGTAGAGGTCGCAATTAATGCGGTGGAGGCCGCTGCCGATGCATTTAAGTCGTGGAAGAAAGTCTCCGTCACCCAGCGGCGAGACATCCTAAACAAGGCAGCTGATATCGTCGTCAACAAGACCGAGGAGGCTGTGAGGCGCGAGACAGCCGAGACGAGCTGCGATCCGGCGTGGCCTGTCTTTGACTGCTCGTTCGCAGCTACCAGTATCAGGCAAAACGCCGCCACTGCGATGAGAGTGTGTGGCAGCATTCCACCAACGGACAACAGTGCGCATACTTCATTAATCTTCAAGGAGCCCGTGGGAGTTGTGATGGTCATACCCCCGTAGGTTGATATCAAATTAATATCTACAAAAAGGCACTGACAGTGAGATTGTCCCTAGGTGGAACGCGCCGATGATCCTTGCATTGCGAGGAATCAGCGCGGCCTTAGCGGCAGGCTGTACCGTGGTTCTAAAGGCCTCAGAACTCTCTCCATGGTCACACCAACTTATCCTGGAGGCCTTTGAAGAGGCCGGACTCCCGCCTGGCGTGATCAACCAGATTCAATGCTCACGAAAAGAAGCTGCGCAGATCACAGAAGCCGTTATCAGCCATCCTGCTCTCCGAAAAATCGAGTTCGTAGGCAGTGCTAGTGTTGGAAAGCTTATCGGCGTTGTAGCTGCCAGATACCTGAAGCCGATACTCATGGAGCTGGGCGACCAAAGCCCAGCAATTGTACTCGAAGACGCAGACTTAGAACTTGCCGCGGAATGTTGTGTGCGAGGTGGTAAGTTATGCCACTACAAATTTGATCCTAGGATACCACTAAACATGGTCTCTTTCTCTAGCCCTGGCTCATCACGGCCAAGTATGCTTTGGCACTGAGCGTATTTTAGTACACGAAAAGGTCAAGGACGCTTTCGCCAAAGAACTCAGAGAGGCTATGAAAGCCCAACCTTCAGCAGGGCACGCTGTTACGGCCGATGGGGCGCAACGTGCGCACGACTTAATCGATGCCGCGCTCTCCGAAGGTGCAGAGATCCTGATTGGAGGGAATATGCTCACAGGCCTCTCGTCTCTAGAGTCGTCGATTCTGGCGAACGTGAACCCGAATTCCCGAATTAGCAGAGAAGAAGGATTTGGCCCGTCGGCGTCGCTCTATACAATCTCCTCTGACGAAGAAGCCGTCGAAGTTGCGAGCCAGAGTGACTACGGCTTGTCCGCATCTATATTTACTAAAGACTACGCTAGGGGTCTGAGAATGGCCCGAGACCTCGATTTCGGACAAGTCCAGATCAATGCTTTCACCATGTACGTCAATTCACACGCGCCGGTGACGGGATATAAGAGTTCGGGATGGGGATCAAATGGAGGTGGCTACGGGGTCGAAGAGTTTATGTTCAATAAGCATGTTGCGCTCGTCAGCTAGATGGCGAGCTATGGTAGAAATCTCAGGTTCTAGCTAGAGACGAACGCACCTCTGCTGGTAACTCTCCTACTGTGCCCAGATTTTTCTTGCAGTAGGCTGAACTCTTCATGTTTCCCGCTTCCCATCACCTTTTGCATATTCGCAGTCGGAATCATAGCAATTCCGGACCGAGCTCATCGGGCCCCGCAACGCGAGCGCAGAAGGCCCAGCATCCGATACTGCCGTGGTACCTCGTACAGCCATGGACAGCTTGACTCTCTGGATATTACGATCAGAATATTCATTCCGTGCCTTCACAAGGAGAAGCGTTCGTACAAAGAAACCTGGAAGCAACACAAGAAGGATATCCGGTGACAAACACTCTCAGCATGTCAACAAGCGCATCTCTGCCAAAGCGGCAACGAGCGATCGTGATCGAGAATCCAGGGAGAGAGGCCCAGATAACAATCCAAGATGTTGACGTGCCCGAGTTTGGTGGTGAAGACGTGCTTATCCGCGTCACCCACAGTGGAATCTGTCATGCGGATCTCGCCTTCGCCTTCGACGAGTGGCATCAACTGGGGTTCGGGCTCGAGAATAGCAAAACCCCCGGGCACGAAGGCGTGGGGGAGGTTGTTGCCGTTGGGCACAAAGTGACCAATCTGAAGGTCGGGGATCGCGCCGGAACGAAGTGGCTACGCAGTGTCTGTGGGAAATGCAATTACTGCCAAGAGGGCATGGAGAACCTTTGCTGGCAGCGCAAGCTCTATGGACATAGCACCCCTGGCTCTTTTCAACAGTACATCACCTCGCCGGGAACCTTTACGCCAAAAATCCCAGCAGAGATTTCTGACGAGGAAGCCGGACCGCTACTTTGTGCGGGCGTGACAATGTTCCGCGCTCTCAAGATCAGTAAGGCTAGGCCGGGGGACTGCGTAGTTATCATTGGTGCAGGCGGAGGCCTCGGACATCTTGGGATTCGGTTCGCAAAGAAGATGGGCATCCGGACTGTGGGCATCGACGGCGGCGACAAGAAGGAGTTCTGCGAGTCGCTTGGGATTGACCATTTCGTCGACTTCACGAAAACCGAAGATGTCCCCCTCTCAGTGCGCAGGATCACAGGAGATGGAGCTCATGCGGTGCTGGTCGCGATAGGGAGCCGCACAGCGTATATACAGGCCGCGGAAATGCTGAGGCCTGCGGGGATGTTGGTGTGTATTGGCCTCCCTCCAGAATCATTAGCAGGACCACTACATGTTATCGATATCATTACACACGGTTACTTTGTAACTGGAGTGAATGCCAGCAGCTTGAAGGAGGTCCAGGAAACACTGGAGTTTGCTGCTAAGCATGATGTTCGTCCTGTGGTGAAGGTACTGCCGCTGGACAAGGCAGCCGATGCTTTTCAGTTGTTAAAGAATGGTCGAGCACTGGGGAGAATCGTATTGGATTTGAGATAGAAATCTTGAGCACCAAAGTGTATCAGTAGTGAGGTTTGAAGAGTTGAAACCGGGAGGACTCAGTCACTAACTTCAGTGAACCAGGCAGGCTGACCACGATATCATGTGTCAGGATTCGACCTCAATAAGCAGCAATGCAAGGAGCAAATAAGGGGGAGCAGGAAATGTCTGCTTAGGAAGATGGTTAAAGCGCCATGAGGCTGCAGCGCGAGGCCGAACCGATCAATAACGACATTAGACAATAAATGAGCAAGGTTCTTTGAAATTGGCATATCGTTATCACCCGCTCTAGTACATTCTGCCATTTTCCATTCATTCAAACTTCTGGGTAGTCCTATGCATCTATCTGTAATGGATCTACAGTACATCTGACCCCAAGAGTGATTAGTAAGATCAAGACAGAGATGCTGGAAGCTGCTCTCTCGACGGAGACAATGCTCTGCCTGGTTGCCGCAAATCGAGCACCAGCTTTCCCAAAACACGTCCACTCTTCATCTGGTCCAATGCATGATTGAGCTCGAAAAAATCCATCACTTCAATTTCCGAAGTGACGACTCTATTGGCTGTAAGCCGGAGGACTTCTTCGATGTCTTGTTTCGTTCCTGTTTGGCTGGACTGAAGGGTGAGGCCTTTTCTCAGAATTGGCCGTAGAGGGAAGCTGTCCCAATCTTAGAACCTTCAGAAACCCATTTGTATCTTGAGACTTACGAGCAGTTTCCTATTCCCACAGCCATGATCTGAGCTTGGAAAGCTGCGTACTCTCCAACAGCACTGGAGCGGAAGAAGTTAGAGCGCCGCACAAAACAACAGTGCATTGGGAGTTAACACTTACTCGTACGCTGCTTGATGCGGGCTCAATATGAGCACATAGTCGGCTCCACCACCCATGCGTCGCTGCATTTCATTCGACAGTCGACTTCCTGCTAAGTGGAAGTCGACATACTCGTCGCAGCCTTTGCGCTTGCAGAACCGCTCTTTATCCCCAGCGCCCCCATCAATCACAAGAACTTTTAACCCGAATACCTTCTTGGCATATTGTATGGCCATATGCCCAACTCCTCCGGCACCTCCGCTGATGACACACCATCTACCTCGCTGAGGGTTCATTTTGCGCAATGACACGTAGGCGGTGACGCCTGCGCAGAGAGTCGGGCATGCTGAAGGCAGGTCTATGCCGTCAGGTAAGTGGACGAGCTCTTTGAGAGGAAACGCAATGATCTCTGCAGTATCACAATCGTCAGCTTGGGCATTGAGCAGCAATTCAGGTCCATGCGCGAGAGCTACTCACGCTGGAATGTGCCATTCCTGTGCATGCCATTCACCTGCTGGTGCGGGCAATAGTTCTCACACCCAAGCTTGCAGGCTTCGCATTCGCCGCAAGTGGCGCCCCTCCAAGCGATGCCGACCATGTCACCAACTTGGAAGCCCATAGAAGCCTTCTTGTCGCCGCCCAGAGCCATGATTCTCCCGACTCCTTCGTGGCCCCCGACCAAGGGCCGCAGGGGGGTTTGGGGCGCCGGTCCACCGCCATCGCGGCTATAGACGTCTCCATGACACACTCCGGTGAAGTCAAGGCGGACCAGAGCTTCGTCCCTGGATGGCTGAGGGGCATCTGTTGCCGTAAATTCGTAGGGCATGCCATATGGGCTTTTCAAAATGGCACTACATGAGCGAGATTTTGTCTCCACTTTAATTGGCGGGTTCTGTACAGCCTTCGACATGACAAAAGGTGCCTGGATATCCTGAATGCTCTACAGAAATCTCAAGCATACCGGGGAGTTGCTGCGACTCTCCCAATATGGACAGAAGTGGTTGGAATCTACCTCCAGATTGTTCTCAACCCGCCCTCGGCGATGATAGAAGGTCATGGACGAATGCTGTGGGCCCGTTCTCAGGCTCAGGATGGTATCTCACCTTTCCGTCGGTCATTTACGCATCACTTTAGTTTCCCTCCATCCTGAGAGAGCCAGGTCACTCGGCCATTACGGATCGAATTCGGTTAGCATGGGTGCACCGGTTGAGGTCTCCGATATACCCTTGGACCCTCAGTGGGGCCTCCGGTCACAGCATCCACTCAAGTCGTACTAACACCGTGTCTGGTGGCTCAAGAACACGTGCTAGACATTACGGAAAGCATTGAGATCTTGGGGTTTGCCCACCAAGTGAGAATTGTGTTTTTGTGTAATCTTTTTTGGCTAAGAAACAGCCAATTCTACTATCATGAGTGAACTTCTGGGTTCTCAAGCCAGTACACTACGTCTCGAGGGCAGACCAGAGTCCTTATTCACTCCCGTGAGCTCAGTGCGCAAGAATGCGAGGCTGATCACCCTCGAAGAGCACGCGGTCACGCCATTCCCGACTCCCACGATTTCAACCACGTTTGCAACCTTCCAGGGCGACTTTGTCGCGGGCTTGAAGGACAGACTGGGCAACATCGATCTCCGCCTCAAGGTTATGGACGCGAACAACATCGGCGCGCAAATCATATCGCTAAACCAGCCGACCGCACAAGCATTTATCAAAGTTGAAGAAGCTGTGGAGTTTTGCCAGAAGGCTAACCAGTTTCTGTATCAGAGCTACTGCCAAAGACACCCTGACCGATTCTTCGGTTTTGCGACTCTGCCTACTCAGACTGGCCAGGCCGCAGCGACCGAGCTCGAGAGATGTGTGCAGGAATATGGTTTTGTAGGTGCCATGGTCAATGGCTTCACAAATACGACGGATGAGACGCAAGGCCTGTACCTTGACGATCCGCAGTTCGATGCGCTGTGGGAAGTCTCCGAACGATTGCAGAAGCCCATCTTCATCCACCCTCGCGTGCCACTGCAGAGTAATCTTAAGGTCCTGCACGACATGCCCATTTTACATGGTGCGCCGTATGGTTTCGCGCGAGAAACAGTCGAGCACATCCTCCGACTTATGTACAGCGGCGTCTTTGATCGTTTCCCGAAATTGAAGGTCTGTCTAGGCCATATGGGCGAAGGGCTATCGTGGATTCTACCTAGAACCGATACCACCTTCAGAATGTATAATCTCGGTAAGCCTCAGCCTCTACAGATAAATCAAGGCAACAAGCAATCAAATTAATAATTTAATCAGAGGCTCAAGGTCCCAAGAAGAAGAGATTTCAAGAATATTTCCAGGATAACATCCTTCCAAATACGAGTGGCATGCCACGAACCTCTGCACTGTTGAACCTAATGGCAGAAGCTAAGATCTCAAACATCATGTTTGCGGTGGACTATCCGTACGAGTCCATTGCAGAGATGCGGGAATGGTTTGAAAGCGTGCCGATCTCGGACCAGACGTGGAAAGACATTGGCTATCGCAACGCCATCAGGCTGTTTGGATTGCCGCTGGATTACGATTAGACAAGGTGGTCAGGATCTGGATCAAAGCGACATGGAGGCGTTCATTTGAGACTATGGTTATCCAAATGGTTCTTAAAAAGTGCTGCCAGCCATGAATTGACCCATATCCAGGCCCATTATGGAAATGTCAGACATCTCCGGGAAGGGGATCGAAGAGTCGAAGCAAAAGTCCTCGTTAGGGATGAAAATTTCGTTCAGCTCCGCAGGTTGGGCGCCTTATTATCACACACGAGAAGTCAATGCAAGATATTGTTTGCTTCAGCGAGCATATAATTCTCACCTAGAGAGAGTACCCCGTGCATCATCCTCTGGAGGTACTTGTGACAACGACTAGACATCCGCGTGTCGCTACCGAGATACTGCAGGGCGTCCAGGGCGTTTTGAAACAAAGGCATCATGTCCTGACTTTGTAGTGAGGGGATCTGCAGGCCGCTGCAGTGCTGAACTAACATGGCAGCGAGGATCACAAGTGCCGAGCCAAACACTGTTCTCAGCCAAAAACGATTAGCCGGCGCTGTTTCAGTGCCATATGTCAAATGAAGGGACAGTATTCTTACCGTAATAGAGCGAAAACCACCATGTGGTGAGCATTCGCTGAGAGACCTTGGACATGGCGTAGTGGATCTCGATCATTTCAATGGCAGACGAGACGCTGAGATCTAGAGATATGTTTTCCGATGACCGCAAGAAGACGGACCGTCCGGTGGCCGTTGCCCTCTGGTGATTCTGGTCCAGAAAGCGAGTCAAGATCGCTCGATGCAAAAGAGTCCGCGTACTCAGATATCTTAGCGTTAGGACGGTGCTAAGCCGGGAATATTCTGACGAGTCGACTGGGTCTTGGACAATTTCGTCCCTCGTTCGGATATGGAGGGGGAATGGGAGCTTAACTTTCCAGGCTTCTAGTCTGACTTCAAGAGATATGACTCGTTCGAGAAGCATGTTGTATTCCAGGTCGACATCTCGCACAAGGTTCATCTGGTATATGTCATCGATAATAGATCCGACAATCTCGTAAAGCTTGCTAATAGAGAAATAGAGAGTCAATGATATCAGTTCATATACTTGGGGATGGGCCTTATGGCGTTGCAGTAAAAGGACAAGGCATACACTGATTCAATGAAGCAACACACAGTGCTTGTTGTAGGTGTTTGGAGACTCAACACGTTTGGCGAAGAATTTGCGGGCTCGAGGCCATCCGCATCTACATCGACTGGTAGGAGAGTCTGCATTGAAAGATATTCATTCCGTATGCCAGGGGGCCGCCCAAAAGTCATGCTACAAGTCCTGCTTGGTCGTAAGCAACTCATCAAACCGACATCTGTCAAACACGGCAGAAGTTTTACTTGTCTAGAATGAATGTCATGGCCCAACACCTCTTTTTGATTTCTCGTTCAATGATTGTGTCTTTGCTGCTGCTGGTGGTGCAGTGAATGCCAAGTTGAAAAGCCACTCTTGTAGTGACGCTCTGGAAGTTGTATGTCTGCATCGACCGCTGGGAACCCTGCAGGTACTGGGTAAGGAGTAGTAAAGCTTGGACTAGACGCATATTCAGCGGAAGGGGGAGTGCTAGCAGCTATGGCAGGGTGTACTCACGTGTCTCTAGGTTTGCTGGCTGTTGAGCCACATCAGGCAGAAGTTTTAGAGCTCGGTGCAAGAATAAATTGGCCTCAGCCATTGCGTCTTTTCTCCGTTCCGCGCTCTGGCTAAGAACGGTGGCGAAGGCCATAATTGTGTTTATAAGGCAAAGCCATGACTGTCGTATGTTCCTGGAATCAGACGAATTGATGTTGGCATAGGGAACCAAGACTGCCTTCTTGGATATATACGGGAAAATGAGACCTGTAGAGCTGAAAAAGCGATCTACCAGCTGCATGACGCGTGATCGATGCGGCAATCCGAAAATATTAAGTCGCTCGAAATTCGGAGGGGACACTGATTTTTCGCCCGCCAACGCAGAAGGCGAAGGTGGCCGAGAAATCAGGTTGGTTGCGTCGCGGTCGGGCATGAGATTCGGCTGGCCCATTTCCGCGAGAGCCTCTTTCATGGCTTGGTTGATCTTAATCGAGAGAGCCAACAATGAGGTAGCACCTGTGATGGTGAGTAACAAATGCACGCATCATTGGACGCGCCGCTCATCCTCTTACTTACCAAAATGACCCGACACATACTCATCGGCAAAAGCGACTGAGCCCATGCCATCAATCTTGTCGTCGACCGCTTTGGCATTTGTTGAATGCCCGTCAGGGTTGCTTGAAGACGCTTTGCCAGCAAATAGGCGCTGTGACAATGAGGAAGCTATCGTGTCCTCCCCAGATTCCACGTGGCAATCGAGATATTGCGAGTCATCTACATGTTGCGAACCCGGTCTTTTCACTGCTAGTTGAGGAACCAAAGTCTCAAGCAGTGCTTCGACAGAAGCCAATCGATCTTCGACTCGGCGTACATATCTGCTCGGCCGTTAGCCTAAGTTCCTAAGATTCTGTAACCTGCAACCCACTCAGGATCGTGAGTCGCCCGGCTAGACATTGCGGGAGGCCTGGGATATGCGCATTCAAAGCCCATGGAGATGCACAGATCGCACGACGGACGTGTACCATTGCATTTTGTCTTTCGTTTTCGACACGAATAACAAGCCATGGCGGTCCGCTGCCGCTTGTATCGGGGTTCATTGTCACCATCCTGGGACACTTCCTGAGAGGATCTCATTGCAGAAGAATGGGGCCGAGTGTTAGACAGGCATGGCCCGTCGAAGAGACGATCTAACGGTGAGGATAAGGCTTTGTACAAGGTGGGTGTAAGTTGAAGAGAAGACTCGTGATGCACCTACATTCTCTCAAAGTCCCACCATCTGGGGAACGAACTTGGGGCAAGTGCGGGGGACTACGGCGACCCGAAACCCTGGAGTCTTGTTTTGCCCAGCTAAGCAAGCTCAAAGGCCGCCCCCAACAGGCATTCCTCGGGCTGTTCGCTAACGAGAACACGGGGTCGGTAACAGACACCAACACTGCTACCGTGGCAGAGCTGGTTGGGGTTCACTAAATGGCCAGCCATATCTGTGAGCAAAGATTGCTTACTCTCTGCTTCCGAGATATACGCAACACTCCAAGCCAATCTCCTGTGAGCTCTAACTCCGACTTGTGGGGTCATTTTAACAACTTGTTGGACGCTGAGGAATGCCAGTTTCAGGGGTGCCAAATGAGCGAGAAACTTGTATGTACAGGCCTATTAAGTAGATATCCTGTAAAACCTCTGAAATCTGTATTGATCCTACGTAAGACCGGTGGCTTGCCAATGCCTCAAAATGAGCCATTTTTAGTCCAACACAAATCCAAGTCACTCTTTTCGGTCTACCAGCACGTTTGCTTCATAAATTATGCCATCTCGTAGCTAGAGTATTGGGATCAGCGCCATACTTGAAGAACAGGGTCTTAACTTCGGTGTAGAGATTGAGCCCGTGCAGACTCAGCTCACGACCGATTCCGGACTGCTTCCATCCACCGATAGGCATATCGACTGCGCGTAACGGCACGGAGCAATTGATGCCGACAGCGCCTGATTCAAATGCCTTAGACACCCGTATCGCCCTCTCGAAGTCCCGAGTGTAGATGGAGGCTAGGAGAAAATTAGCCGGCTTTCACTCGTGGCTTTCGAGCAACACACAAAATAGACCAAATTCGGTACAATTCGCCTCAGACAAGGCTTCTTCCTCCGTCGCGAAAGAGTTGACAATGACCACTGGTCCAAATATCTCCTCTTGGTACGCCTGTGAAGTCGTCGGGACGTTGAGCAGAATTGTCGGCTCGATAAAGGCACCCTGTGTTGTCGTGAGTATGTGCTCTTCCTCAAGATTACGATGAGATCACCTTGTCACCATGACGTCGACCTCCAAAAATGACTCTGCCGTCCTTGCCGCCTGCGTCAATCAAGGCTTGTATCCGTTGCATCTGCTTGACGTCGACTTGGGGGCTACCATGGAAGAGCCCTTAACAAGCATGTCCATTACGTTGTAACTGCTCACTCACCCTTGGAATGTATCCTTTTCAAACGGATCACCAATCTTAACACGAGACATACACTTCTTTAGCTCATCCAGGTAGTCGGACAAAATGTTCTGGTGGACCAAGACTCGGCTGTTGGCTTGACAATGCTGGCCAGAGTTGTGGTTGATGGAGTAGTGCGTACTGTACAACATCAATATCAATATCAAATGATAATGACCGTTGTCGATGACGGTACTGACCTTCTTGCGGCAGCCAGAATATCGGCATCCTCAAAGATGATGGCTGCTCCCTTGCCGCCCAGCTCGAGTGACACATTCTTCAAGTTCGATTCTGCAGCCATCTTGGATATCTTCTTGCCAACTGCAACGGACCCTGTAAATGAAATCTTTCGAATCTTCTTATGCAGGGCGATAGCCGAGCCTGTAGGCTCACCGTAGCCACTGAGAACATTTACAACGCCAGGAGGAAATCCGGCTTCTTTGACTAGAGCAGCCAATTTCAATGAGGACAAGGGGGCCTTTTCTGACGACTTCAGCACCACTGTATTGCCGCAGATCAGAGCAGGGGCGACTTTGAAGGCAAACATAATCATCGGGACCTAAAGAGCATAAGTTCAACCTTACTAAATCCTCGGTCACTCATGCACTCGCTCACATTCCATGGGATAATAAGACCCACAACCCCGTAAGGCTGTCTCACTGTCATGTTCAAGAAATTGGCCGAGTTCATACTGGTCTCGCCTAGGATGTGGAATGCAGAGCCCGCGAAATAACTAAAGAGACCCGCACACCCAATAACGTCCATCTTCTTCAGCAATTCAACCGGCCTATTATCGTTGGACTTAGCTTGGACACTCTGGCATCTGTCATACAAGTGACTTACTTTCCCATACACAGTGCATCAAGGTGCGCCAGTTCTGCCGCGTCTCTTTGAATCAATTGCACGAGTTTGAACATTGGGGCAGCTCGTTCATTCGCGCTCAAATTGCTCCAGGGCTGAAAAGCCCGCTGGGCTGCATTGACGGCCAGGTCAACATCCTCAGACAATGCTTCGTGGACTTGGCAGATCTCTTCCTCGTTGACGGGGTTGTAGATTTTGAATTTCTTTCCCTCCTTGCCAGGGGTAAACTAATCCGATGTGAGCTCGACCATCGTCCTGCGACCGGGTGAGATGACGCTCTTACCTCATTGTCGATAAATAGCCTTGTCTCGAAGGGTTTGGCGCTTGAGTGGGTGCCGCTCCGATGGCCGTTCATTCTGAAATTCGCAGAAACTAGGTGGTGCTAATCGTTATACCAGACTCATTAAAACTGCCATTCTTCATTGCGCCTTCGAGGGCCGGTAATATCATGCCTAATTATTGGGTCCAATATTTGGGAAATCCTATGGATTGTTCATGCTTGACGTTAGACTTCCTTCCCTAGTCGCCATCAAGATCAAGGGACCGGAAATTTCGGATGGTATCCGCAGACCCTACCTACCCCTCTTTTGCTGGACCTGGGAAGTAGTAAACTAATAGCTCGTGGCTCGCGCTCATCGATAAGCCGTCTAGCGAGGATTCCGAGATGAGGAGGAACCCAAATCATGCTTCATATCTAGAAATACAAGTATTCGATTGCCACGGAGATGATTTGTGCGGTTCCGGTCAATTGACGACATCACAATCGCTGTATCTTCGAAAAGATGTTCACCCCCTCTGCTGTACATCCCTTTGAACCTCTATATCAGCCCCGTGTTTTAGCAAGCATCACCTGTGCTGCACTCGTTCTGTACGTGGTCGCAGGGTTTTTCACGAACCAATTGCACAACATACCTGGGCCATGGCTTCCAGCACTATCCTCGCTACCACTGTTCGTGCAGTCCTTACGAGGGAGACGCGCGATGTGGATCATGCAGCAACACAAGAAGTATGGCCCAGTCATACGTATTGCGCCCAACAAAGTTTGTGTTTCTGCCGACGAGGGCGTCAAAATGATATATAGCAACAAAGCCGCTAAATCACATGCGTATGATGCGTTCCGTTTCAAGGACGTCAAGATGTGTATTGGATTGTTGGACATGAAAGAGGCTCATGCAAGAAGGAAAGCCCTTTTGCCCGCATTTTCTCGACAAAACCTAGTCGAGATGGAACCCGTCATCCGCCGGCACCTGGAGAGATTTCTCGAGTGGCTCGTTAAGTTTGAACAGGAAGGAGTCGCCATAGATGTCTTTAAGTGGTTTCGATACCTCACCTTCGATGTGATCACCGACATTGCATTTGGACAGCAAATCGGAATGCTGGAATCGGAGGACAACCACTTCATTTCGCAAGTAGAACTGAGGAATAAGCGCAATAGTCTGGTGAGTTTCTGGGATTTTGGCCTCCCATTGACCGCGTGCTAATATTTTTTTTAGGTTGGACCTTTCCCTTTTCTACTTCCCTTGATGCGTCTTTTGAGAATGAAACTGGCGGATGATTGGATCCAAGCCGATGAAGAAATCGCAAAAGTATTTGACAAGCAGCTAATTTAATCATTAAGTCCTTTCAGCTGACACATCCAGTATGCGATCCGCGCTCGAGACGGCTGGGCCGATTCTGGTCCGGAAAACCGTAATAGAGTTGACATCTTGGCCAGACTGGAGGAGGCTGCAAAGAACAACCCAAATACGAGTCTGACAGACAAGGAGACCATTGCGGAAATGATGGAGATACTGTGAGTGGGGGACAAGTGTCGGGAAATTGATGGACGTAAACACTGATCTCTGCTTCTCTTAGGAATGCTGGATCAGACACGACAGCCAACACAGCCATGTTCACAACCTGGGAGCTGGCTTCCCATCCTGAAATTCAGAATAAACTGCATAAAGAACTGGTGGAGGCATTCCCCGACCCATCAAAAACTCTGGAGCTAGAGAAATTGGAGAAATTACCCTTCCTCGATGGTGTGTGCCGTGAAGGACTCAGACTACACGCTCCCATTCCCTCATACTTGGAGAGAATCGCGCCAGCAAAGGGCCTGGATATTGCTGGATCGCATATTCCCGAAGGCAGCCTCGTAGGAATGCAGGCCTACACCAACCACCGTGATGGCGACGTATATCCGGACCCAAATGCCTTCGTGCCGGAAAGATGGTCCGACCCTACGGCTGCAATGAAGCTCAACTTCCTGCCTTTTTCTGCCGGACCGCGAGCATGCATTGGACTAAAGTAAGACTATCCATGCCGTAGACATATCAAGTACTGACTGCTACTCCCCGACTAGTCTCGCAAATATGCAACTCCGAATACACTTGGGGCACATATTCCGCCGGTACCGCGTGATTCCCGCCCCACATACCACACAGGATTCAATGGAACATGTCGAATTCTTCGTGATCCGCCCCAAAAGCGGCAAATGTGACCTCTACTTCCGCCGTGTCTGAACATCCGAAGGATCACCACCTCAGAGACTGGATGGGCACATTGGAGGAAGAGGTTGGTTACAAATGCACGAAAAATCAGGGGAACCGTGCAATGAGTTCTACATTTAAGTAGATATACAAGCATAGCGCACACCAAGTCTATTCATAAATTCCAAAGTTGTCCACGCACTAACCGTGACGTCTTATGGATTGCCGCTCCTACGGTATAATAGATGGTCACGCTGTATGGAAGGACGGGTACTCTCAATGAGCACCGTATTATGACATTGTCATACTTAGCTGTTGTGTTTTCTCTCGAAGAGAGAGGAGAAGTCTGAGTAAAGTAAGGTGTGTCAAATGCCCTGGTGGAAGTGCGCCTAGGCATTGTCATGTGACGTACTGCCGAGACCGTAAGAAATTGAGAATCGCGGTAAATGTCGTACAGAAGGTCTGGAACGGCTAATTCGGATGTCTTCCCTTCCCTTCCCTGTCAGCCGCTCAGCAATCCTGGAATCGGTTCGCAGCTAATTTAATGCCGAAAGAAGCAGATATTGTTCTCCTGTGACGAGGTGTTCTCGGAGGCAGGGACCCTCACCAACATGACTACTTACATTATCAAGGGTGTTCGATTATTTGATGGCTTTAAGGCTCACCAGGAGCCCAAGTCAGTGCTCGTGGCAGGAGGGGAGATCAAGCAGATTGAAGGATCTATCAGGTGTGTTACAAAAGACGCTGTTGTGATCGACGGGAAAGGATGCACGCTTCTCCCAGGTCTTATTGATGCCCACACGCACGTCTTTCGTGGCGTAGAGGAGGCTCGAGGGGCACTTACAGCTGGCGTTACTACGCTTTTCGATATGCATAATGTTCCTGCCAATGCGATGTACATGAAGAAGCTGGGTGAGATGACGAACGACGTGCCGCAGATCTACAGTGCTTTGTATGCTGCCACCATTGATGGAGGCTGGCCACGGGCGATTGTGCGTCACACAAACACGGACCCTGTCGTAAGTACTCCGGTGGCGCGAAAAAAGCACTGTGTGGGCGAGAGTCAATTTGAAGGACGAAAACTCATCAGATGAGCAGGTACTCGCCAGTCTTGACGGATATCCCAAGCTCACGACGCCGGAAGAGGCAGCCGTCTACGTGAAACAGAACAAGGAGGCGGGCGCAGAGTCAGCAGATACGAGGGCTTCTCAGAGTTGACTGAAATGCTGACTGTGTGCCATGTAACTACAGTTTCATCAAATTGATGCAAGAAAGCGGCGAGTGCCTGACGCTCTCCCCATTACCCGCGCCTACCAGAGAATTGCAAGCTGCGGTCATCAACGCTGCGCACAAATACGGCCTTCTGACTTTTGCTCATGCCACTAATCTACGGGAGACGCTGCTGGTTCTCGAAGCTGGCGTCGATGGCATGGCCCACCAATTCTTCGATCAGGCTCATACTGAGGATCTTATCGCTGCGTACAAGACCACTAACGCACTCCTCATCCCTACTTTAACCGCGATCAGCTCGATGATGGGCCTGACTACCGCGCGTGAGTGGACGAAGACCGAGCACGCCGACCAAGTACTGAGCCCTCCTACGCGCCAAAGCATGTGTGATTGCATGAAGATCTCCCGACCGGGTTGTAGCATCGAGTTTGCGTATGCATGTATCAAAGCACTGAAGGCCGAGGGTATTGACATCGTTTGGTAAGGCTGGCTGCTCGAAGTGGATTTGCAGTACTCAATCCTGACCGTGGCTGACGTCTCCCCTACTCAGCGGCACCGACTCTGGGCCTTCTATCCATGGTACGGGAATGGGAGCTGCCATGCATCTGGAAATGTCGCTGTACGTGGACAAATGTGGCTTCAGTCCAGTCGAAGCACTGAGCTCGGCCACAGGAGTTTCTGCGAAGCGATTGAATCTACCCGATCGCGGTCAAGTGGCCGTTGGCAAGCGGGCTGACTTGATTCTTGTGAGAGGTGATCCGACTAAAAACATCAACGACACCACGAATATCGAGAAGGTTTGGAAAAAGGGGGTATTGTGTGATATTCCCCGGAGTGGGTGAAGTGATGGTGCAGTCAAGAAATATTTGCTACCTACTTCTTACATAAGAGCCGAACCACTTGGCGAATTCCAAAATAAAAGTTTACTTCATGACAGGCGCAACAAGGTTATCATCGTTCCAAGAGACGTTCTCTATCTCCTTATGTAAGCGGCTTCTATAGACCGGCCGCTGTACAGACGTAGGGACATATAATGAGTTGCGTTGACTCAGCCGTAAAGCCTTGCAACAGCTCATGGCGTCAGCAACTAGCCTGAACCTACATTGCATATCCCGAGACGTAATAGTACGAACAATGAACCCTTCAAGGAACTCTGTGCCTGTCACCGAGCCCAAGAACATCATGGCCAGTACTGCCCGAACTTGCCGCTCTTCGCACAAGCTCGGCGTCAGCGCTTCGGAGGTTCCCCGTGGGTCAGCGCTCAAGCAAAAGCCTGAAGTTAAAGTCGTCCGAATCACACCGAAGCAGCCGTCGGCACCTCGTCCCCTGAGTGGCGTGGACAGAACTATACTCACGGGGGTGGCGCGTGTCACGCTCGGGTATTTCGGGCCGAGCTCGTAAAGGATGACGATCAACTCGAATCACTGGTGAGCATTACAAAGTAGACCTAGATGATTGAACGATGAATTATTGAATGCTTGTATTTTTGTACTGTTGTGCTGTTGTGGTCGTCGCCGCCACTATGACTGAGACAAGCCGACATGTTGTGTCGGTCAGGGCATTCAGCTCGCTAGTGATCAGCCACCCCTTCCTGGCAGCTTTCAGCGTGATCGCCTTGTATGTTACCTACGTGCGCCTCTTTACCCCTTTGAGGAAGATCCCTGGTCCATTTTTCGGGAGTTTGACACGGCTATGGAAGGTGACGACAATCTTGACTGCAAGACAGGAGGTCAAGATGATGGAGCTCCATCGAAAATATGGCAAGCAGAAGAAGCGGCTACGCAAGGAGTGTCGTGCCTAATCATCTTCAGGGGCCCTGGTTCGAATCGGACCGTCTGAAATCAGCGTCGCAGATCCTGCAGCCTTGAAACTCATCTACGGTGCCGGTAGCAGCTTCACGAAAACGAGGCAAGTATATCAAAGCAATTGATTCATCCACCTTATGTCAGGAGAACTAATGCCTTCCAAGATGGTACCCAACCTGGAACCTGGTTAGCAGTACCCTGATGCGTGGATTTTGAAGAAGCTTCAAGGCTGAGTAACTCCGGTAATTAGGCAGGCAAGTCGCACAAGTGGGACATCTTCTCTGATCCCACGTTCGAGGGCCACGCATCAAACAAACGACTTGTGTCCAACTCGTACTCGATGAACTCGGTGGTTGAGCTTGATGCGTACGTGCAGCGGCCCATCAACCGCCTCATCGAGCGAATGGACGATCATGCCCGGCTCGGCAAGGAGATGAATTTCTCAGACTGGCTCGCCTGGTTTGCATTCGATGTCATGGGCGAAGTAAGCTTTTCCAAGCAATTCGGTTTCCTTGAGGAGGGCCGCGACATCGACCAAACACTGCAAGGCATCGAGAACATGATTTGGTCGGGCATCGTGCTTGCAGAACTGCCTGAGTTGTATGACTTCTCCCAAAGCAGATGGTTTCGCATGATCCCAGTGGTCGGTCAATATGGTGCCAGCCTGAACTTTTTGATTGATGTGAGTGCGAGATAGGCTGTTTGCATAAGGAGATGTGGAGAAACTGATTATTATCGGCAGAAAGCTTTAGGATTCATCGCACAGCGAAGAAATGGTAATTGTGTCGACCGGCGGGACTTACTCTCTCGCTTCTTACAGCTCGAGAAGAACAACCCCGCAAAGTTTGACGAGCTGGACACTCAGATATTGGCCACGCTCAACATCTTCGCAGGATCAGATACAACGAGCATCGCCCTCCGCGCCATTCTGTACTTCATGATCAAGGACCAGAGAGTCTGGGACAAGCTCCAGAAGGAACTGGACGCCGCCGTGGTAGAAGGCACTATATCGGAAGCGATGACTTACAACGAAGCTCAAAAAATGCCCTTTTTGCAGGCGTGTATCAAGGAAGCCATGCGCCTTCACCCGAGTTTAGGCACTCAGCACACGAGGCTCGTTCCTAAAGGTGGTGTTACCATTGACGGGAGATACTTGCCTGCGAAAGTACGACACATGCTGCGCGTTGGACGTTGAGGTTTGATTGCTGACTGATATTAGACAACGGTTGGAATCAACGCATGGGTGATGCATCGTCAAAAGTCGATTTTCGGAGATGATGCAGACCAATACAGGCCCGAGCGATGGCTGGAGAGCAACAGAGGAGAGTTGGAGCGCCATTTCATGTCGGTAAGATCCGTTTCCCTTCGCACTCGTTTCAATGCGACAATGACTGACAAGCAACATAGTTTGGGTATGGTGCCCATGTGTGTCTCGGTAAGAATATCGCCTTGCTCGAGATTACAAAGGTGGTGCCGCAGATCGTTCGACGCTTCAATTTGCGGCTGGCAGACCCCTCGGAGAAGGAGTCATACTGCATAAGCCACACGTTTGTGCACCAGAAGAACTTTAAAGTTATCTGTGAGGCCAGAAATAAATAGACTGCCACTCTGATGGACCTGTCAATGAGGCTTAGCTGCTTATAGCTTTATGCAACGTGTAGACTTGGAGCTTGGAAGTGAAGTGTGAAAAAGGCGGCAGAAGCCACCCGATCGCCTTGGAAGACCTCGCGAGGACGTGCAAGATACTGAATATTCCAGTGCCAATAATGTGGCTTACAAGTTTATCTGATCACGGCGCACGGTAGGAGTAAGATCTCGAATGTACGGATGCAACAATGAATTGAGCACCAGTACGCAGGACTGCTAAGTACAAGAGCAGACTTTGGGCGGCAACATAACGTCTCCGGTCATTTCCGGATAGTAGTGCGTGCCGAGGTGAGGGTGCGCAAGGCTACCCTACATGAGAAGCCAACACGTGGCATGATGCATCAGCCTTGTGACTATCAGAATTTACTCTCGTGGCTCGACACCTCATCAAAGGCGCAACAGCTTCTTAGCATTCCCCGAGCATATCATTTCGAACTGTTCCTTTGAGACCAAGCCGCTCTTCTCGAGCTCCTCCATGAACTCTAGACCTTCTTTCGGGTCCTCAAACGGATAATCAAGGCCTGTGATGATTAGCATAGTTGACTCAAACTGACTGGATCTAGGTCAGCTTTTCCGGAAGGGACATACTGTACATGACGCGGTCGGGCTTGCACATCTTCAAACAGCATTCCAGCGGGCCCATGTGGAACATGCCACTTGTGGTGATCCAGCAGTTCTCGTTCCACACCGTCAGGAAGTCGCGCTCGTTTCCTCCCCACCGCCGCGTGAAGAATTTGTGGATGCGGTCCAGCATGAAAGGCACCGACTCGCCGTTGTGGCCTAGAATGATCTTGACCTTGGGATACGCGTCGAACATGCCGGCACCATAGAGGCGCAGAACATGCATAGCAATGTCAGTGTGCCAGCACAGCGCAGGGCCTGCAATCAACGTCTGAACGGTCTTATCATAGCTCCCTGCGTATCGCTCAAAGTCCGCGGCAGGTGTTGGGTGGATGTAGATCGGGACGTCAAGTTCCTGAGCCTTCTCCCACATCGGCCAGTACGCTTTGTCGTCAAAGTATTGCCCGTAGGCGTGGTTGGGGATCAAAGCGCCCACAAAGTCTAACTCTTTGACTGCTCGCTCGAGTTCGGCTGGGATTGCATCGGGGGTGCCCATTGGTAGGAACGCGAAACCACGGTATCGGCCGCTGCTCGCTTGCACAGCTTCATACAGCTGGTCATTCACTGCGCGGCAGATCTCAGGCGGCTCGACGGCCGGGATGTGCGAGACCACCTGCATGCTCATGTTACCGCGTTTCATCATCTTCTTACGCGTGTCGCCGAGATCCAGGAGATTGTCTACCACGGACTGGGGGAACATGAAGTTGGGAATAGCGGTGGCAGAGGGCCGAGTTGGCGATTGCCTGCCCGGTGAAGTGTTCTTCGAGTCCGACTAGTACTGGTGCCATTGCTATCGATGTTTCGCTTGTGTTCAAAATGGGGCCGCAATCACAGGTTCTAGAGATAGAGGTTTGAGAGCTGCTCATCTGGGCGCGCAATGATTTTTCTTCCTACACACATCACCTTCGTCCGAATTGAAACGGTATGCCGGCTGTTGGTCGCACCATTTCCAATACCGAGCGTCCGCGATGCGGGGCAACCGCCCGCAATGCGGGCGGTTTCGTACGAAGTCTTGACTCTCTCCTATCGAAGTCTAACGAGCATACTCGATGCCGAAATTCACACGCTCAGGAGGAGGCTGATGAGGCTGTAGGTCAGCGAGCCGGCCCCGAACGACTCGGCGGGTGGAACGGATATTTCGGATGGTGTACCAGAGCAGGTGCAACACCCCTTGGGGGCCCAAGCCACTTTGATGAAGCCTTTTGACGCATACTGCGGGGAATGGGCGCGAGGTGAACATCATGTATCAGGATAATGCTGAAGGATGCAGCAGCACCGATAATCATTCGGGAACAACACCGGATTGTACACTAAATAAGTATTGGTGTGATGATCTACTGCTCGCCTCAAAGTGGTCCTCGTGATTCTCCTTCTATTACCCGAACCCCAAGCAATTCCTCAGCGTTCTTGTACGCAATGCGCGCATAGTCTTCCTCTGATACCAGTGCTGCCTCTCTGAACTCAACCATGAATTGCTTAGATAGCAATGTACTTTCAAAGGGATAGTCGATACTGAACATGATCCTGTCGATTTTCGTTGTTGCAAGGACCAGCTTCAAGGATTCAACATCAAACATGCCAGACGTCGTCACCCACACATTTTGAGCGTAAATTTCCGTGAATGACCTCTTCCAGGACTTCGAGTCTTTAGTCAGTGCTAATTTGCGCTCAATCCGGCCCAGCATGAATGGCAAAAGCTCGCCTAAATGGCCGAGGACGATCTTTAGATTTGGACACTTGTCAAACAGCCCCGAAGCGTAGAGCTTGATGAAGTGCAAGCCACAGTTCGCGTGCCAGTCCCATGCGTGAGTGCCGATGGCAAAGTCGACCTCTTCAGAGTAATTGCCGTGAAAGAGCGGGAGAGCTTGAGACGATGGAGGACAAGGATGCAAGTAGATTGGTACTTTGAGTCTTTCGGCAGCCTGCCACATGGGCAGATAGTCTGGCCCGTCATAATAGACGCCGTTGGCATGGTTTGGGATCAAAGCCCCGACGAAAGTGAGATCTTTGACACAGCGTTTCAACTCACTCGCGATGCTCTGAGGTTCGCCCACTGGCAGAGTTGCGAATGCTGCAAAACTTCCAGACTGCTGCTTTATATCCTTGTGAAGTTGATCATTGGTGGCGCGACATTCTTGAGCTCCAATGACAACTGGGATATGAGACACCACTTGGAGTTTCACACCGCCCTCATCCATAGTCTTCAGCCTTTCCGGGCCAACTTCAATGAGTCGCTGGAGGATCGGACCAGGGAACTGGTGCAGTGCAAGAGTTTCGGCAACATCGTCTTGCTGGCACACACTCGAGACGAAATGGTCCTCAAGGGACAGCAGCGGTATTGTGGACATTTTTTTCGCAGCCGGTGTGGTTTGAGAACATCGGGAGGCTATGCTAGCTTGTCGAGACATCTTATGTGCAAGAGTCACTATGAGGACTAGTCCATCGTTAGGTAAGCATGAGCACCGGTTCACTAACCCGAAACCTCGGCTGGATTCCGGAACGGCTATCCTGTTTGCCGGATGTGAAGTAGGCGACACCAGATGTGGGGCTGTATGGAGTCCGGCATGTATAATAGCATCATCTACTCTCAATACGGTAGACTATTTTCTGGCACCAGGTCGAGCAGTCGTGCATCAGATGTTTGTCTGCTGAGCAGCGTCGGTCCAGTAGTCAAGGAAAGAAAAATCTCCATCGACCAGTATTTGTCCGAAGTCAGCTTGCAAGGGGGAAAGCGTTATATCACTTGCTGTGGTTGAAGGGTTCTCGTACGGCGAAAGATCGATCGTTGTCGGACCATTCGGGGCCATAGACCCAGTTGAAGTTTGGTGGCGCACTGTTATGAGATATCAGCAAACACTGCACGGATGATCTTGGAATCGTGCCTACCGAGTAATGTAGCAACTTGTATCATCTTCTTCAAATATTTCGAACACCTTCTGACGATGGTTGAGCAACCTCCAATCATGTCAAGTGCTTCCAGGGCAGTCTTGAGACAAGCTACCAACTCGGACAGTGGCTTCCAAGAGGCGTGAAACCGACTCAGCGTCCGTAGACATATGACACCGAACAGTATCATTGCCGAATTGAATGCTGCAACAAAGTCAGCAATAATTCCATCAGATGAATGGGAGCTCTACCGTAATATGTAGTAAACCACCAGGCAGGAAGGAGATCGAACCGTGTTCGAACTTTGTGAATGAGTGAAATTGTATAGATCGCCATCATAGTGCATGTCTGTACCATGGAATCACCAAGGGGTGGCATGCAATCGCTGTCCTCCAACATCGATTCTGGATGCGCTACCTGGTTCAACATGTGCTCGAGCATCTTTCGGAACAGAAGCGTTCGCGAATTCAGGTAGCGGAGAGTGAGCACCGTCTGCGTCTGGGTGTAGGCCCATTTCTCGACCTCCATTCCTTCGAGAGATTCTAAAGGCAGCAATGCGATGGTAAGAGGGAGATTTCGTTTCCATTGACTAAGCTCATAGTCCAAAGTGGCTATCCTGCTGAAGAGTTCATCCGAACGTAGCGTGCGCGAAGAGATAGCATTGTGGTTGTAGACTTTACCAATGATGTCACCCTGGACTCGATAGAGGTTTCTGTGACAAGTAATTAGCCGTGCAACCATTTATGTCATAGATCTAGTTTACATGCTGGCGATGAAGATACCACAAGGGGATAATCCGGACGGAGAATGTTGTGTCGTCTCGCAAGGGGCATCATCCTTGGGTAAGCTGTCGAGATCTACATCTTGTGGCAAATCGATCTGGACAAGCTCATTATGAATTAAAGCAGGCCTTCCGAAAGTCATGCTCAAAATTCTGTAGTCGTCAGTAGGAGTGGATATAGGGCTTGTGATCTCAAAGCTACCTGTCTAGGATAACGCAGGTATACCATGTTCTCGCTCGAGATTCCTGCTCGAATACCGACAACTTTCCAGAGACGTCTTTAGCGTGAACGCCTACCTGGAAAGCCGCCTGTACCAATAGCCCATGAAGTCTCCAGGTTTGCGTGGATTTTGAAGTGCCTTGCGAGTACTGAGTCATGAGGGCAAGTGCTTGCACTGTAAAAAGCCATCAATAAAGCGTTTGAGTCAGGGCCAGTTGCTCGATCAAACTCACCAGTCTCCAAGTTATCTGTACTCGAAGGTGCCATGGGCGACAAAGCAAGAGCTCTTTGGAAGAAAATATCGGATTCGGCCTCTCGAAACTTCCTCTGTCGGGCATTGTCGACGTCGAGGCTTGTGCCAATGGCCAAGATAGTGTTGAGTAAGCAGAGCCATGATTTGCGAACACCGCTGAACATGGTAATCTCAATGTCGTCTACCACTTGGAGCACGCTCGTCTTCGAGATGTAGGGGAAGAACTGGCCCGTAATGGAGAAAAACTTATCGACTAGCCGTACAATCTCTGCTCGTGGGGGAAGTCGATATGGGTTGACTTGGTCGGGGCCTTTCTTGTCGGAAGGCAAAGGCGGTGAAGCAGGCCGTGACATGTTTGAGGTCAGGTCTCGAGATGAGTCTCTGCCATCAGTGAAAGTGCTAGCCCCTGACGCAAGAGCACGAGCGACGTGGCCAATGAAAGCAGAGTTGGAGGATGGCCCAAAGTAGCCAGAGGAGGATTCGTTGGCGAAGGTGACACTGCTCATGCCGTCGACGGTGCTCTCATGCATGGCAGGCCAGACAATAGTCATGTTGTTATCTTGCTGATACTGGCCTGAGCTTCGACGGCCTAATGTAATATCTCCCGACTCGGCCGGATGCGAGGACTGAACCACAGTGCTGGCGTTGACGTGTCCCTCTGGACCGCCGACAAGAGCAGACAAAAGGTCTTCGACATGGCGCAGCCGGTCGGCCATGGACTGCATCTCCCTGCTCGGGGGCTTGGGACCGGGGGCAGGCCCTCTATAGACGCATTCGAAGCCGCAGTCTCGGCACGTGGCACAGACTGGGCGCTCTCCATTGCAACGCGATTTGCGGTGCCTACACGGGTTGCATGCTAAGGCAGTTCTTTGGCGCTTGTTCCCATAGTCTTCATGCTCGTCATCGAAAGAAGGTCGACTTCGCCTTAGGGCTCCTCCGGAATCAAAGCCATTCCCGTTCACATGTGAACCCAGACCAGAGGTCATGCTCCTTCGATAAGGCGTTAGATGGCGCAGAAATCAGGCTGTTGTTGCGTAACCGATATGATCCACCCGTCGTGGTTTGCTCTGCCACGGTAAGGGGAGTTGGTGGTGAGGACGAAGGAGCTGTGATGCCAGCAGCGGGGAAGAGATGTCTATTTCCGCACCTCCAGGTGTCGTCTCCGCAACGAAACAAACTCTAAATGCAAAGAAAAAGAAAAAGTTGGTCACATCGGGTGGGGCGGTTAGATCGGAAGAGGGACCAGAGCGGGTCGCACTTTATCCGCCTAGCCCTTTGTAGTTAGTAATCATGATTCAAAGAGGTCCACACCATCGATCTACATGGTCAAAGAGGCCATGCTCCCACCCATGGGTTTCCTGAAAGACCGAGGGCCTGATTATAGGGCCTGCTGATGATGGGGCCCCTGAGCGAAGTATCCTCCACCCTTGCTGCGGCACCCAACAATAGCGAACAGAAAGCAGAGCATCAGGAGGCATATGATCTACAGAACAGCTTCAGCAAGGTCATCGTCGCTCCGGCTGGACTGACAGCCCCTACTTTCAAGAAATTCCTAGCAGCCTTTCAGCGTTGCCGGACGCAATCATCCTCCACTGCTCTTCTGTCACTAATCCACTCTCGCGTACCGTCGCCATGAAATCCCGGCCAGACTCGTTCCTCTCAAATGGATAGTCGACACTAAACAAGATCCGATCTATAGCTACCGTTCTGAGCATGCAGGAGAAGGGTCCAAGGTCCCAGAAGCCTGAGACCGTGATCCACAAATTCTCTGCCCAAACAGTTTTCAGGTCTCGTTTTCGGGACCCCCAGCCTTTGGTCAGACGCGAATTGATCCGCGTGATCATGTAGGGAAGCATTTCTCCCGCGTGTCCAATGATGACTTTCAGCTTGGGGAATGAATCAAACAACCCACTGGCATACAACTTGACTATATGGATAGCCGTGTCTGCATGCCAACCCCAACCACCGACCGAGAGAATGGTGGCAACCTCATCCAGGTAGTTTCCTCGATATGTCGCCTTCGTAGCTTCTGGAGGCGGAGTGGGATGGAGATAGACAGGAACACCAAGGGCTTCGGCTCTGCCCCAGAACTCTTCGTACTCCCCAGTGTCGTAGTACTTGCCGTGGGCATTGTTTGGGATGAGGGCGCCCAGAAATCCTAGCTCTCTTATGCATCGTTCCAACTCCCCTGCGGCCTCTTTGGGACTGTCCATGGGAACACTTGCAAAGCCCCTTAGACGGCCATAGGACTGTTCAACTGCTTCCGCCAATTGGTCATTGGTTTCCTTGCATATGTCGAGAGGCTCGGATGAAGGCACGCTCGATACGACTTGGACGATTATTTCCCCTTTGTCCATGTCGCTGATTCTGAGGTCCCGCAGAGAAGAAAGCTTTTCATTGAGGTTCTCAGGCCACAGATGGAATGCAAACTCGTCCAAATTCTGAGACCGCGCTTTCATGGCATCAGATATAAAGTGATCTTCGAGAGATATCAGGGACGCCATTGTTGACTGTTGACTGTTGATTGTTGATTGATGATTGATGATTGATGATTGATGATTGATGATTGATGATTGATGATTGATGATTGATGATTGATGATTGATGATTGATGATTGATGATTGATGA